AAGCGTTTATTAGACAAGTAGTAGCTTACTACTAGTTGCTTAACGCAATTACGTCTAATAGAGGTAGCTAGTTTGTTAGCGTCCTGTAGGAACGTCTTTATAAGATCCTTAAGATTAACTAACAGCTTTCTACTACCTTCTACCTACAGACTAATAGAGCAACAGAACGAATAAACAGCGTGTAGGAAGCATACATCTAAGCGTTTATTAGCTAGTTACAAGAGAATTAGGTAAAGTACTGCCTTATAGCTTAGATCGCTATTAATAGGAGGGATGCAACATTAACAGGAGTCGCCCTGTTCTTCCTCTAATATAGGTACAACGTAGATTCTCTCTAGCTAGACACCCTGCTAGGAGCTAAAAAGAAAAGGTACACCGCTAAAGAACGTTTAGACCGTAACAAGGCTAAGGCTATCGTAGCTAAATTCTAAGACGTGTTCGAGCTAGCACAAGCGAGCATGGCTGCAGCGCAAGCTAAACAAGAAAAGCAGACTAATAGGCACTGGAAGGAAGCAAGGAATTATAAGGTTAGCGATAAGGTTTAGCTAAAACTCGACAAGCAATACTAAACGGGCTGTCTGTTACGAAAATTAGACTAGAAAAGCGCTAAATACATAGTAATTAAAGTAATTAATAGCTATTTAGTTAAGCTAGACACCCTAAAAGGTTATTACCCTGTTTTCTATGTTAACAGATTACGCCTAGCAAACACCAACCTACTGCCTAGCTAGGTTCAGGACAACTACTAGCTACTACCGCTATAGATTAATAGTAAAGACGAGTAGGTAGTAGAGGAGATCTTAGAAGAACAACTGCGACGCCGTAGACGTAGATAGAAACTGTACTTCGACGTTAAGTAGAAAGGATACTACTAGACGACCCTTAAACTAGTAGAAATCCTAGAGAATACAGAAGCCTTAGATTAATAGGAAGAATATACAAGAGAATACTAAGACGAAGAAGGACGCCTACTAGAAGGTTTTTAACAAGATACCCTCTAAAAGACGTAGAGGAGGGGGGTAATATAATAGGCTAGAGCCTAGTTAGTAAATCCTTAATAATATCTTAGTTACGTGCGCAAGGCGTACTGTCTACAGATTCTAGGTGCCCCCCTAAGCACCCGGATTCTGTGTAAGCGAGCCTAGCAGAAGGTTATCCTAAGCCGCCGCCCCCTAAACGACCTTTAGAACCCTAGCTACCTGTAGTTCTCTTCTCTATTAAATACAACTCTAGTATACCTATGTAATAGCTCTCTAAGCGTAGCCCCTTACACATATAGGCTGCTTATTATTAACAGCTATAAGAGCTACTACTTAGTAGATTTCTAGGACTACTACAAGGAGAACAATATTATCGCTCTCTGCATGCTATCTAACTTATCGCACCTCCTGCAGCCTCTTAACATTGTCCCCTACTTACTATTAAAGCGTTACTATAGTAATAGGATCTTGCTCTTAGTACGCAGCTGCATCTACTATATTAACAAGGAAACCTTCCTACTAGCCTTTAAAGAAGCTTATAAATAGACATTTACACTAGAGAACGTTTGCGCAGGCTTTTAAGGTGCTAGACTAGTCCTATATAACCTAGAGGCTGTGTTATTAAAGCTAGATGTGCAGCTGCGTACGCCGACGCCGCCTACACTAGGCACAGTCGCCTAGGAGGCGTAAATACTACGTAACGCCTACGAGATAGAGGCGTAATCTACGCTAATTCGAGATTGTATACAACACTACTAAGGGTTACTAGCAAGCTTATTAGACGAGCAGGTTAAGCAGCTAGGTAAAGGCGCTTAGCAGATAGCTTATAATATAACGTGCCTACTGCTAAATAGCGCACACTACTAAAATAGCGCACTGTGCTAAGACTACACTACTTTCTACTATCTCTATAATGCTATAACAACCTAATCATAAATCACGTCTCTAGACAGATAGAATTATCCTTGCTATCTAGGCTATAAGATCTAACGCGTTATTAAGCCTGCGACGTGCTGCTGCTATGTACAACGTGCCTGAAACTACCCTTTAAAGGCAACGCGCTAAACTAGCTTCTAGTTACAATACTTACTATGTAAGGGGTAGTTATAGGCAATAGTATTTGCTTTACACTACAAGAGAATAGTAGGGGAAAGCTCTGTATTACTACACTAGGTGGGGAGGTCGTGAGAATAATTCTTGCCCCTCTGCTAACGCGCGGGGCGCAGCTTATGAGCAGGTTTAGAGGCTAAGGCGATTACGAGAAAAGCAAACATGTTGAGACCATAATCGTCCCCCTCGTTTAGCCTCTGTTATCCTGTGTTACATACTACAATGCATTAAAGCTGTAGAGGCATAAAGAGGAGGCGATTATACAGTCTATTAGGAAGCTTAACGCGCGAGGATTTGCCCCTACGCTTAGCTACGTACGAGAGATAGCTAATTAACTACTAGCTGTACGTAGTAGTAGCTAGGTTAGAGAAAACTAGGCCTACAGGCTTGTACGCCGGAGACCTAAGATTAAATCTTAGGTAATAAGACAGCGGGATTACTAGAGAGTCCTGTGCAGCAACCTAGCTATTATTAGGCCCTAGTTTAATCTTGTACGCAACGTTAAGGCTAAGTATAGGATCTTAGACGAAGACGTCTATAATTTTAATAAGACTAGCTTCTAGATAGGCATTAGAGGGTCTGTTAAAGTAGTAACAGCCTCTAAGAGACGCCTTAAGCTACTTAGAGTTTAACCTAGCGATCGTGAGTAGGTAACGTTAATCGCTGGCATTAACGCGATGGGGTAGTTAATTCTACTATTCCTTATCCTTAAAGCAAAGCACTACGACTAGGCCTAGTATTACAATAACTTAAAAGATTAGAGGATAGGTGTTAGTAACAACGGTTGGACAACGAACGAGCTTGGTCTAGCCTGGTGTAATGGGCTAGAGCCTAGTTAGTAAGTCCTCGATGATATCTCGGTTACGTGCGCGAGGCGCACTGTCCACAGATTCCGGGTGCCCCCCCTGAGCACCCGGATTCTGTGCAAGCGAGCCCGGCGGAAGGTTATCCCGAGCCGCCGCCCCCTGAACGACCTTCAGAACCCTAGCTACCTGCAGTTCTCTTCTCTATCGAATACAACTCTAGTATACCTGTGCGATAGCTCCCTAAGCGTAGCCCCTTACACCTGGTTACAGCACTTTATCTAGCATACAGAAGCCCGAACAGTAGGTAGTCACCGCCTGCTTATCCTTGATGGCCACGAGAGCTACAAGTCACTCGCTTTCTAAGATCTGTGTAAGCAAAGCAATATTATCACTCTCTGCATGCCTCTACACTTATCGCACATCCTACAGCTACTTAATGTAGGTTGTTTTGCCCCGCTAAAGCAGGCGTATAAGAAGGAACTTAGGGGCTTAGCAGACAGCTACATCTACTACATTAACAAGAAAGCCTTCCTAGCTGCCTTTAAGCTAATATTTAACAAGGCGTTCTTAAAGAACAATATCTTATCAAGCTTTTGAGCAACTAGCTTAGTCCCACATAACCCAGATGTAGTGTTATCTAGGCTTAAAGTACAGCCTTGTACGCTAACACTACCTGCACTAGGGCCTACCCCTTAGCAACCTAAAACACTAAGTAACGCCTAGGAGATAGAGGCTTAAATAACGCTAATTGTTAAGAGGATAACAGACTATAAGGAATTATTACCTAATTCTATTATTAAGATAGTGCTGTAGGTTAAAAAGGGATTAACTTTAAAGGTGCACTTACACACGTTGCTTAAGGCTAGAATAGCTAACCTTAAGGAGGCAAACTAGGCAGTATCTAAACGTAAAAAGCGTAAGAAAAAGCGAATCTAGAAGGGAGGGACCCTATCGTAGGTAGAGGCAGAGGATATATTTAAGTAAAGGGATGTTAAGATCTAGTTAGAGGTGGAGAGGCGTTAGGAGAGGGTGCGCGCAGGTAGTAGTGCAGGAGGTATTTAACGCTGCAAGAACTGCGGCGAGGCAGGACATAACAAGCGCACATGCAAGAAAGATGTAGTAGAAGTAGAGGATTAATTCTAGCTATCGTACGCCTTTATTGTATGTTGTAGTAGAGTGTTATTAATGTGCAAAGGTAGTTTTATGTAGAGGTGCGCCATTTTAGTAGTGTGCGCTATTTAGCGGTAGGCACGTTAGTGTTAATGCAAGAGGAAGTAAGAAGCCTTTAAGAAGCTGTTAACACGCTTACAAAGCGTAAGACTCGCAAAAGGCGGTACGTACGCACAGAGGAGACTTTAATAGTTAGTAAGGTATCTAACTTAATTACTAAAATAGATAGTAGTAGGCGTAAGGATAGTAAGACGCCTACAAAGAGGGTGCGCGCAGAGAGGCGCTGCAGCCGTTGCAGCGAGGTTAGGCATAACTTCTATACCTGTAGGGTAGAAATTGGGGATTTAGATAATAGCGACGCTGCTAAATAATACTGTAGTATTACGTACAATATAGTAATCTGTTATAGTGTTGTACTGCGTTGCTACGCGTGCGCTGCACTAGTGTTAGGGTGGCCACTCGCTTGGGGTAGCCGCTCGCTTATAAACCACGTTATCCCTATAGCACTTACCTAATCTATAAAGATCTATAACTCTACTAACCTAATATTACTAAGATAGACAAGTAAGGAAGTTCTTTAGCGTAGCCTCTTGCGGTACTTAGGCGTAGCCCCTTACAATAGGGATATAAGTAGGTTAAAAGCATAAGACTACTCGCACAGACCTCTTTGCCCTTAAGGGCAGCTTTCGTTTCTTGCCCCTAGGGGCAACCTAACCCTACACCATCAGTACGGTTTAGGCATATAGTATCTTGTGATCCGCACGGTGTGGACACACGCGGAGCACCGGTAGGGCCACCTGTGCGACGGTGGTGTGCTTCTAAGATTACCTTGCATACGACCATAACATGCTCTTGATTGCTGTGGTATGTACAATGGTCTACAAATTCGGCCTTGTTGATTTGCCAGCTTCTACGGACCTCTTGTTTCCCGTTCTCAGATTGAGCCGGTTTGCTCGTACTTCCTCCAGATCATGCCCTCGGGAAGGGTCTTCCATTGCAAGCTATCATCCAGCAACCCCTCCATCTTCTTCCACTCAGCTTTGATCGTCTTGATTCGTTCAGGATCTCTCGGTACGATCTTTGCCGGGAAGGCTTTCGGCAGAACGAACAGTCCTTCTGTCAGACCGTCTGCGTCAGGCAAGATTTCCTTACCATCAGCATCGACAGCTTTTCGAAAGTTGAAGGCCCAGAGCAATCGAGACATGCCAAGGAATAGTGACCGCTCGCCGATGTGCATGCCTTGACACAGACACCGACCAGCGCCGAAGACGAAATGATCGCGTTTTGAGGCGTCAGGGTTGTTCGCAGCTTCAGCGGCTGTCTGGTGGTCATTAATGTACCGAGCAGGGTCGAAGCGACGCGGATCACAGTTGCCTGTGACCATGTGCCGAAGTGAATCTGGAACATCACACCTGACGCGCATCTATCGCGACTGGCACGTGTACTGCAGCATCGCAAGCTATCAATCACACGATACTCTCAAACAATTGATCTTTTTGAACTGCATCAGCCCTACCAGATGCTGATCTATCGCAAGTGTCAATACTGCGTTCGTCCATCAGTCAGTGCGCTCACCACGCGCCTTCGCGCCCAGCATAAGTTGCACCCAGACGTACATCCGCGCGATGGTACAGTAGACTACTTCTAGACATGGCGGGTCCCGAACCTTAGATTCGGCACAGAATGTCATTCCGCAAATCATTATCAAACAGTTGCAATGCTCAATTTTAAGTTTAACACTCTTCTCCTATACTTACAAACTAGAATAAGATTATATATCTTACCTACTTCTCTACTATCTACTATACCAGTGACAACTTATCCCGTAGGGAATACGTCTTCATATCCTCTAATACCCGTACACTATCTCTCCTGCCTGTTGTCCCGCTAACACTCTTAATGTGTCTGTTAGGTTGTCTCGTCCATCCGATCTGCAGCTTTCTTACATAGCATTTTAGTTCCATCGCCTAGAATTGTATCGTTTGTGGCAAAGTACCGTAGCCTGTTCTGCCAGAACTGCTATCTTTCGACTGTGATCTTGTCCTCGCCGTCGTGTGTCTTCCACAGCAGACCGGCTGGAGCTGGAGCGTCTATCAGCCTGTCGTGAAGATCGTGACCTATAAGCGACAGCCACTGTGTAGCAGCTAGAAGCTCGATACTAGGCTGTGATGACCTGAAAGCAGCCCAGTCTTGGTCAGGTATAGTACCAGAGCCATCGGGATGTTGCGTCGCTTCATCGAGGGTGGCTTCGTGTTCTAGGGCACCAATAATAGGGTAGGAGTCAATGCTACGAAAGTCCATAGTCTTGAGTGGTAGCGAACCTCGAATGTAGTGATAGCTAAGAAGCGCGGCGAAGGTGTGGATGTTGCGGTAGCGGTCTCTGACAGCGAGGACGACATCACCACTGACAATGCCGACTGTCATCGACTCATCCGTCCTCAACCTCGCATCCATGCGAGCTTCGGATGTCATGAAGAGTAAACTATAAACCTTAGGACCTGGGGCGAATGTTGTCAGCGTTCAGGATTCTCAGCACAAGGGTCATTTCTGTTCTCACCTTGAAGATGACCCATGAGCTCATGACCAAAGCCAGGCAAGGCCGTAAAGCAGCTGGAGCCCTGCACCGGCTCATCCCCCTCATTCGGATATACAGGCAATGCGTATGGCAACTTCGCGAGCTCTACAACCAAGTCGGCTAATATGCCCAGTTCTGCTTCTGGCCATGTCTCGCCACGGTGGCAAATGGCGCCCCAGAGCAGGCTCGCGTCATCGTTCGTAGACGAGCATTCGGTTGAAACCAGTGAGCCAAGGATATCAGCTGCTGCTCTAGGGCTGGTTCGATGAGTGAGCAGGTCTTGGAAAGTGCATAGCATGCGTCCCTCTGGGGAATATGGGTCTGTGTCGCGGATAGCGTCCTCATCGCGGCAGGAAAGGCTTGGAAATGAGGGGTCAACGGAAGCTCGGTTGAGACTTGGTCGAGTGGAGCTGAGAATGGCAGATAACTGTTCGGGATTCCATCTGGCGGGAGTGATGGGATATCTGAGCGTCAAAATGCCGTCTTCTTAACTGATGATATGCGGTCGAAGTGCCGATGCTTACGCTTATGCTTATGCATGTGTGTGCACGTGGAAGGGTAGGGCGGGGTGCAGGAAGGGTGGAAGAGCCGCACGATCCATACCGCCACGCCGTCACAGCCGTCAGATACCTGTCGCCTAGGCTCGCTCCCGTTGAAACCTCACACTCAAGCGACTACTTCCATCGAAATGATCTGCACGGCCGAAAATATTCCTGCAAACTCCGTGAATTAGGCGGACCACAAGGCCCGCTGACGTGCCGCACCGCAGACGTACAACTTACCTGACAGCGATCGTTCGCGGTAACCGTTCTATGCAGTATTGCCGTCTTCCGTCTTGGAGACGGCCGATGAATGCAGTAAGAAGCGCAAAAGCTCCTAGTAAGTGGAAAGGACCATTCACGGCGTACGTTGGCTTCCAGCTAAGATGGAACAGACAGGAATCAGTAGCGCACTTGCTACAGCTAACCTCGAGTGGCTGTATCCATGCATCGAAACACCAGCTATAATATGAGCCTATATCATACTACTAACCTATTATAGACGCTATCAGCGCACTAAGTCAACGGCAAGGCTTACTGCATTAGTAATTTACAAGGGCCAATCACTAGTAGTAGTGGTGTCCCATCTTGATTAGAAACCATTGTCGCCAATATTGCTTGTTCCACCGGGCGCCCTGCACTACTACCTGTGCTGCGAGGATCGTAGTGGAGTTCTCAATGGTTGCAGTGAGTTTCTGGGCATCGATGAGAGACTGGCTGTTTATTCATAGGCAACGATTGAACCCCCGAGACCTTATAATGTCCACATTTCGCAATGCAGCCTGTTTGCAAAAAGGAAATGGCAACACGAAAACCGATCTCGAAACGCAGAAGAATACAGAATCAAGTGGCACAGCGCAAGTTCCGTTGGTTTCCCCAATGTTGATTCGAGACAAAGCCTCAGCGGAATCTGAGTAAGAACAAGGCATAGCGGTGATAAAAGCCCACCATTACCACTCGATGGCTCTGGCAACCCTGTTTCACCGGATCTGCAACCAAGCACAATCTCAGTCCCGGCTACACATGCTACAAACCACGCAGAAAGACCTCCAGATGATCTCCTTAGCGGGAGTGCGATCGACATGCTACAGACAACCCCCAACTAGAATTCTGATGAGTATCTGTCGAGCTTAGGACATACTTTTGATCTAAGCGTGGTCAACGTAAGTAGAGTTCCGAACACAGTTCACCTAGGCCAGAATTAGCCAGGAGCTGACATACAAAGCCAAGTGACGGCCTGCTCAGCTCTCTCTTTTGCCTGCGGGAACAACCCACCACCCACCGTTCTCCATCTGCCGTCATGGATGCCCGCCAACCTTACCCTGGGGCACAAAATGCTCGAAGCCGTCGAAATCTACGCTATGCTCGATGCCTGTGCACAAGAATGTACCCACGAATCCTGCAAGCGTACACGCAGAAGGGCGGTTAGGAAGTCTGGGCGCAGACTGAGCTGGCCATGGGCATCACCGCCAACTACCCCGCCGTGACCGTAACACCCGAGGAACGCGTCTATAAAGGCATGCGTGAACGAGCGGACTTGGTACTACATGCAACGGGAGAAGTCACGCAAATCATCGAGCGTAAGACATTGTCGGAATACCAATTCTTGAGTTACGGCAAGTACGCTTTCGTGGCGGGTCTTATCATGGATATCGACAAAGTGCGGAAAATGTCTTGAAAGACGAACTAGCGCCTGCTTCTCTGCATGCTGTAGGTCTGTGTTGCATTGACGATGCGAACATCTACGCATTGACAAGGATTTCAAAGGGCCCATATCAGCCGGCGACGTCAGCCAAGCACGTGGCGGGTGTCAACACAGTCAAAGAGCCGTATCTTTAAAGGTGGAGTCTTGTTGTAGAAGTTATAGAGGCGAAAGTCGTTGATCGCCAATAGATATTGGATCCAAGCTCTTGATTTGCTATAAGCGTCCACATTCGGTGTTTTCGAGCCTACAATTTGATGAATGTTATTGTGCACAGCTATCAGATCGGATAGTGTTAGGGTCACGTGAGTGGAGTTGGGATGTACAGGTGTCCAGGGTAAAGTTGATGTACGCTCTTGCAGAACGGGCCTCAAACATAGCAGTGACAAAGACGAGTGGGCGCGCACGACCAGGCCTCACATCAGAAACACCCTCCTCGCGACCTTCACAATCGGACTCATAAGTCTCTTCATTATACTCGTCTTCGCGTCACCCTGCAGGAACCACTCGTACACCAATGCCCATGCTTCGTTGCCACCGCTATCAAGGACGTCTCCATGGCAAGGAATAATACGCTCGACATTCCATTCCGCGACCTTCTTCGCATCGCGTCGCATCAAGGTGTAATCAACAGTGGCAATGTGGTAGACCAGTCGCTTTGCCCATACCGATCGCGGGTGTGCGCGCTTTGCAAATTCACTCGACAAGGGGCCTTGATCTGATGAGCTGGGATGGTATTGCTGGTACGCAGTCAGTCTTCTGCGTCACTTTGAGGGGCTACGATATCCATGCAACATGATGGACGCGCGCGTAGACACACCTCTGTACAGGGTAGGTAATAACACCGTTTCAATGTCCTGTGCAAAGTCGAACTGGTCTTCCGGACTTGTCCGCCAGTCTTTGTAGATATAATCCCACCTCACATCCTTTCTCTTATGATTCAGACCTGGGACGCCAATAGTCTTTGCTTGTGGCCATGCGTCCACATAGTCTTTGACATACATATGGTGCCCAAGATCACTGGCCACGAGATGAACGCCCCCGAGCTTATTGAGCTTGTCGCGCACCGCTTGTTCGAGCTCAATGGGGTTGAGGAGAAAGATTCGGTTGTCGTGCAACCGAATGGCTGTTGCTCGATTGCCTACTGCGACGAATTTACGATAGCCGAATGGCGCGAAGCGGTTGAATGGCGTGGAGAAGGTGGTGATCGTTGGGGTGACATCGCGGATCGTCAAGCCATCGGAAGGCATGCTCGAGGATTCTTATAGTTCAAACCGCTTGGGCGTTGCAGTTGGTCTTGTCTTGCTGGTAGCGGCGCTTTTTTGCATATGTACGCGGAGATGTAGACGGGTTAAAATTCCATGATGTCGTCATGACGCTCAGCACTACGGAGGCAACTGCAGCGTGGGGATCTCTTCGCTATCTTCCACAAATCTTCAGAGCATATCTGGGATCAACCCCGCATATCGTCAGATTAAATGGAGTGCGGTAACCCTTGGGCGCGCTCCAGTGCGTCGGCTTTAGTCTAGACTGGCAGTCGCAAGCTCGACGAGGACAATGGCTATCATCGGGCATCTTTCTCGTGCGACCAACATCCCAGACTTGCGCCGTCAATTCGCCATGGCGAACATCGTGCTACAATAGCGACGAGACTGAGTGTTGGGGTAGAAAGTCGTGAACATGATGTGTGGAGCGGGCTGGCGTTCGAGATGCTGGGGGGCTACCCAAGCGGGAGAGGCACTGTTCCCGCCCGCGCCAACGCCAGAATCGCTGCACCTGTCCGCAAGCCCAACAACTTCCGTTAGCATTGCACTAGCACAATGCTCCTACCAGCGCATCGCGTCAGCTATCGGCACCTAGCGCAACCGACATAGAAGACTAAGAGCGCTTGTGTCCGCCAGCAAAGGTAGCGCAGGACTATGAAAAGTTGTTCCGAGAACCCGCTGGCCTTCGTGTCTATTCAACCTTTGACATCGCGAGCATCCTCTTTGTCATGCGTTGAGTTTACATCTTACCCAACGATTCCTCTCATCACATCCGGCGATCAGGCGAAAGAAGCGGGCTTCCATGATTCCGAGAACATCTGCACATGGCACCGCATCCTCCATCATGTATAGTTTCAAAGATCATTCAACGAGGTCTCAGTGAGAAGAACTCATCTGTGTGTACGAGTCTCTGACGATGAAGGAAACTATTGTCGGGAGAACATGATGGCTGCGTATAGTAAATTGTGGAAGTCAAAGTTCAAGACAGCCGTTGACCAACGATTCACTAAGACCACGAAAGCCCAGCCTTACAACTACCGCCCTACGTCAATCTCTCGACTCGAACCTGGACCTGTGCCAATCGATTCTCCACTAAACTATGACAATACCTTCAATTGACAGCCCGCCACCTCAGGATGTGGCGCAAATGCAACAAATGCATGTCTCCCGTTATCCAAATCCAGACGTAGGTAGCTAACACGAAAGCAGGATCGAATGCAACCTCACCAAATCACCCTTCCTCAAGCTTCTCGGCGAGATCCGTAATAGGATATACGCTTCCGCTGTAGGCGGGAACACGTGGCTTATCACGCAGGATGGGAAACTAAGCGACAACATGCCCAGAGCTGATCGAAACGATCACCGAGATCTGCTCCAGTATGCTGTCAAGTCCATCGTGGGACCCGTATCTTGCCCTGGTCACTTGTTACTCTCAATCGTAACGCAGCAACAATTCTTCGCCATTGGCCCGCCAAATGCTCGGCCGAAGTTGGCAGGAACATAACGTCGTCGATCGCGGGGTGGTTTATGAATGAGTGGGAACTGCCCCCAGGTTCAGCAGGGTGGAAAACGCCGATTCTGTTCGGGACAAGGGCACTCGGCTTCCAATACTTTACTGAACTTTGCAGATTACACTAGCAAGGTGTGACTCGCTCGGACTATGCGAATCTCAAGAAGTCGAACGAAGCCTTGGAACGCTAACATATAAAGGGAGATGTTCGAGTGACGTTTGGTCGTTTTCATAATGGCAAGATCAACGCGCACAAGACTCGATAGAGAGTCTGATGATCAAGAAGAACGGACTGAACTGAGACACAGACATGTTCCCGGCGCCGACAGTTGTTGAAAGTCTCATGTCATAGGTCATTATATACATCTCAGATGCCCACGACAACAACCACGATGGTTGCAAAGGTTGACTGGCATGAGAGCCACCACAACGATCCCAGTGAGAGAGAGCTTCGCCCATACGTTCGTCGTCCGTTCAAGGATGAAAGCTATCGCATGAGAGAGAGTTTTGAATCCCGACCCTAACAACTACAACTAGCGCAAAAGTTAGCTAGCATAAGACCTGGAACATTGTCTCTAGTAGGAGAGAGAGAGCTTTGCAGCTAGTTTATAGGTTTATCCTATGTGCTTGTCGTCTGTTTAAGCATAAGAGCTATTGCACAAGAGAGTTTGTCAACTTTTACAGCTGCATACAGTGAATATGAGGTGTTTAGGAAATACACCTGCATTGAGATCATTGTACTAAGTTATACAATCGCGTTGTGTTGCCCTGCCTGAGCATGAACGTTCCCTCTCCATAATACATCTCAAATGCAAGGCAGGCTGGCTCAAGAAGAGTGGCAACGTTATTTGAGAAGGCATTTAGTCCATCAGACTCCAATCTCTTCTCGCGTGCCAATATCGGCGTTTCCTACATAATGCTGTTAAAGCGAACACAGGTTGCAAATCATCACAAACTGCGCACATGCGTACGGGATTAGCTTGATGATACATTTCATTACTATGTTTGGTGCGCTTAGTCTTGCGCCATTATGCGATGGGCGCGTAGAAGCTAAACTGGCCCTTGGGATCATACTTCTTCTTGAGCGCCTTGAGCTTCTCCTGCCTCCAACTCTCATAACCATACCAACTCTCCGGTCCCTCGTTACCATACGCATAGTTGACATAAGTATGTAGCTCCTCCGATCCTGTGCCCTCACGGATGAGGTCACGAAGTTGTGTGCCAAGCACCTTGACAGCATCGTCCTGTGCCTTGCCAGTAGAGTTGTAGATAATGAGTGGCGCGGCAAGAATGCGCTCGTTACGGAAGCCGTATGCGGTAGCATCGTTGCTACGCTCGCGCACAGCGGCACTGGCGTAGTCTTCGAACATGAAGATGGAGTTGTAGTATGGGTTGTCATCACCAGAGATAGCTGAAGCGTAGAGGTCCCAAGCCTTTCGCTGTGCAGTGACGTTGTAAGTAGATATGTAGATGGGAAAGCGGGGGTTATTGAAGCCAAAGTCTTGGCATGGAGGTGAGTCAAGAGCGATACCAGTCCACTTTGCGAGATCCTTATAGGTACCGGCCTGAGGTGTGGCAGCGAGGGGACCGATGTCGTGGAAAGGGGTGGTATATTTGGCATCAACGGCAGTGACACCTTCTTGAACGAGGTAGATAACGATAACCGGCTGTTTCCATGTTAGCGACTCGAGTATCACCGGGGCTTGGCCATCATCTCACCTTCTCAGTATCGAACGTTGCATCGTTCATCCAGTAAGTCCACTCAGCGACGTCCACAGCCTGATTTCCACCTTGGAGGATATTCTTGTTGAGAGCCTCATAGACTTCCTCGACCTTGTCACCACTGAAGACGATGGTTTCGATTGCCCAGTCTGAATGCTCGATGTTGTAGACTTTGGTAGTGGCAGACGTGACAATCCCGAAATTGTGGCCAGCGCCTTGCATACCCCACCACAAGTCTGACTTGCTGTTGATCGTCTTCAACTCTCCATTCGCGAGTACCACGTTCATGGACTCAATCTGATCAGTGATTAGTCCATGGCGACCCTGAAGCCATCCGTGACCGCCGCCGAGAGCCGGACCCAAGTAGCTGACGCATTCGCATGCCCCAGTGACTAAGTATCGTTAGCCGATCGTCTTTTTCATGCACAAAGAGATTTTACCAGTCTGCTTCCCGGCAGTCCAAAGAGCATCGATCATGTTCTTTGAATTGACGCCCCCACCTACAGTCACCGACTTTCCGTCCTTGGCGATGGAGATGAAATTCAATTGAGGCATGTAAATCTCGATACCATAGTCCATCTTGCCCAAGGTTGTAAGGGTTCCATGATGGCCGTTGTAGGCGAGGAAAGGAATGTCATGCTCATTTGCAAACTTGACCTGCCGAATATGTCCTTAGTACCACTTATTGCTTGCTTTCGGACAACCGCATCAGTAGCAGAACTTACGATTTTTTGAACATCCTTCTCAGTTCCTGGGGCGACTACGATGTTCGGCGTCGGAGCTTCTAGGTTGGACCACCGTGTCGTGTATGTAGCAAACTCCTTCGTGCCTGGAAGGTAGATCTTGGCATTGGCGGACAGCTTCGGCGCCAGCGTCTTTACGTCGATGCCTGCTGCAGGGGTTCTAGGGAAGAGATCGAACGGCGAAGTAGGACCCCCTGAGACAATTGACACGGCCGACGTCAGGACCCAACCTGCGACAGCCAATGGAGTAAGGACGCTAGAACGCATGATGTTGGTAGAAGAGCGTCAAGAAGGATGTGCAAGACGAATCAAAGTTACCATCGTGCTGGAGTCTAGCTTGAAGTCACTTCAAATAAGAAAAAAAACTTCCAATTGATGGCCAAAAGCACCATGCTCGAAAAGGAAGACTTCCGGACCAATTTACAACGGTCCCATCTTCGGGGTCCAGATGGCGTGAAGGCGGGACCGATTGCATCGAAGGATGCGAAGGATGCAACCGCGGCTACAATTAGTGCGAACATGATCCTACGATGATTTTCACGATTCGCCTCGACTCGTGTGCCTGCAGGTCGTCGAATGGACTGGGTGGGGCATGTTATCGTGATTCATTTGAATTATGTCTCCATGGAGCCCCGGCATCACCGCCATTGGCTCGGTGCTCGGACAAAATCCCGCGAGCCGCACCGTCAACCGTCTGGTAGCCGCTACCGATACGCTAGTGCCTGTGTGGCGTTCATACCCTCCCGTTTCTTTCATTGCTTGGACAGGTTTAAATCCTGCGCGGTTCACGTGTTACCGAACGCGATACATGTCGCGCCTACCTCCTACGGATTGCGTTGCCGATATCCGATTGCGCATTGCGACCCTGCTGAGCGCCTGATCGTTCCAGAAACTTGGTACTCGGCGTTCAGTAGATCGAGGAGAATAAACGAAGACCCGGTAGATCCTCTTACCGAAAGAAGGAGACATGCGCCTATACGCAGAAAGGGAGGCTCGATGGAAAGTTTGACTCCGGATTTACGAGAGGTGAAGCATGAGCGAACTGCCGCGTAGCAGGGACGGACCAACGAATATTATCGCCGGTCCATGAAAAATTCCGATCTCCTCGGCCGTACCGCCTCAAGTCTGGCGGCCTATTTCCGATGGAAGTGGAGAACGCTACTTCGGCAAGAGCTAGTGTGACTTTGGGCTATAGTGGCCTGCCTGAGACTCCTAACGTTCGACCTCCTGTACATGTCCTTGTCATATGCGTTTCGACATGCAGGATATATATTGGTTTTTGTGATCCTACTTTTACATACAACTTGATCGACTTGCAGATCGACATCTGTCCTGTTGCCAAGTGATTAGCAAGAACCGTGCGTTCGGGATACCACGATGGCTACTGTGGAACTGTGGACCCTTTATGCATTCGGTGTCTCTTTCACAATTTTAAGAACATACGCTCGAATATCCGCTGTAGGCTTTCGCGAACTGCAAGTGGACGATTATCTGATATGGGTTGCTGTTGTGAGTAGCGAGAATACTTCCAGACCACGTCGCCTTCGTACTCACATTCGCCATTTAGCTCATTTACACAGCGCAATGCAGTCTCGGGTACAATCTAGGGGTAGTCGCCCACGGTCTCGCGAACAATGGCATGACGCCGGATGTTCGCAGTGCGCTCTCGCAAGATGATCCAGAGTACGCTATGAGGTATGCATGAAGCCAATCAGCTGTTGCATGAGCGAGAAAACAGCAATTGTCTTCTATACAAATCGTTCCTCCATCCGTAGCTGACATGGCTCTAGAGTCATCGGATCCAAAATTCAAGTAGCTGGTTGGACGACGGCCGCTTGCCTACTTTGGTCACTCAAGTTATGCGTAGCATTCTTCTACCTTCGTCTCACGGTATGTGCATCCATCGCAGCAGATATAGGGGCTTTGACTAACGTCGAATACATAGAGCGGCCTCCAGAAATACACAACACGCATATACATCGCTCTCAGCTCTATCATCATCACCTTCATCGTCATCATCTTTACGATTTACCTTTCCTGCAGACCGTTCAACCATTACTGGCAGATCAGTCCCGATCCTGGCAATGTATGTCAAGCAGCTGTGTCGAAGCCAATTATATGGGTGACGTTTGTGTTCAACGTCTCTACGGATGTATACCTGCTGTTGATACCTATTCCTATGTTGTGGAAGTCCAGCTTGAAGCAGTATAAGAAGGTTGCCGCAACGCTGGTACTTAGTGCTGGCATGCTGGTCATTGTTTGCGCGACGCTGAAGAGTATCTATGTTATTGTGGTACGACGCCATCTTCTCTTTATCAGGCCTCACACACAAACACTGAGACTAATCAGCCCGCAGGACCCTGTCCATGGTGGTGAACTCGCAGCCTCATGGGGTACCCGCGAAACATTCGTCGCGATCGTCACGACGAATTTGCCTATGATTTTTCCCCTGCTCAAGAATTGGCTGGCACCCTTCCTACCAAGTACCATGGGCTCGAGCAACGCAAAAGCATACAAGTCGCCAGGGAGCGGTTTTGTGACTATCGGAGGCGGCACAGGCGGCGGCGCGTCGAAGCAAACCCGATCGGTGCCGCATAGTACGCATCATATCTCTGGGAGCTTGACGTTCGATAATGAAAGCGAAGAGCACATTGTGAGGGGAGAAGATATGAAGATGCATCACTTACAGGGTGCGGCCGGTCAACAACAAGGAAAGAACGTGATAGTCGTATCGAACCAAGTCAGCGTTACTTCTGAAGACCGCGATTGCGCACGGAGCAATGAGTCGTTCCAGGTTGTCTAGTTCATTCAACAACGTCTGGCACGAAGATCCCAATCAGTCCCACGACCTCTCACGGAGATGCCAGATTAGGCTAGTCGTGCCGCAATTCGACGTGAGCAGGATTATATTTCACAGGTATCATGAACGACAAGCCTCATTCAAAAAGAACACTGAGTTATTGGGCACTCAATGTCAACAGCAAGTCGGGTCACTCATGATATGGTAGCAGTTGCCATATGACTGCGGCGTGACATTTCAAACTCGTCTGATATTGGTCGGTATGTACCCTTCGAGATATAGTCTCATGGCATAAGGGACTCGCATGGAGCCTTGAGGACGAGGTATTCTCAAAAAACTTCCAACGCATACTGCAATTCAGCGCTTCAACAGTTACAACCCGGGGGACGAACGGCACCCTGAAACCTCGACTATGTCAGCAGTCGAAGATGGAGGACCATCAGCTGGAAACTTACCGTCACGCAATCTGCAGCACCGCAAGTATTGCCGGGTGGGCGGGCAGGTCGGCGTTGGGGGTCGCGCGCGATATGTTGCGAGGACGGTACAGCTAGCGCTACACTGAACAGCACGAAGGATACGAGTGCGAACTTCATTTTGTTTGTTGGTTGCGAGAAATTAGAGGCAAAGTGTAATTGAGAATGGCATTTATTGTCTCGTGCCATTCAAGCTTTATATGCTTGAATGCCACTGCGATAAGTAATCAACAGATATCCGTACGATCCGAAGTATCACCGACATTTGCTATTTCAGATTGCATTCTAATTATCAGCAGGGTAATGCTGTTCGTCCCACAGAGATTGGTAATTGAGATTTGTATTTCATGCCGAGATATAGCTCAAGAAACTCTTAGTAAAAGAAAGATACATCCTACATGAATTGTAAATGCCTTAAGGCCGCCGTGACATTGGTCCCGCTACTATCGAGGTTGTTCTACAGGAGGGCTTAACTGTATAACATCATAGCAACAGGTCTTTAAGGATCGAAGTGAGCAGTGTGGATGCAGCAGACCTTGAACGACGCGGATGTCTCCTGGCGCCGAATCGGTACGCCATCGGTCACTAGGTAGAGAGTCTACGGTCCGAAAACTACTCTTGGAAAGCTTGCAACTCTAGAAGAGGGCCATCTAGGCGGGAAAAGAGCCTTGGAAACAGCTAGCTAAAGAATGTGTTGACTTCTTTGAGGCTGGTGTTTGTCCTATGACTCGTATAGGCCCGACACATTATGGGCACCATGTCTTAATGAGATTACAGAAGGCACTGCGGGATGCTGGAATAAAGTAACTCCGCAGCCCTATCTGTTTCAACTACGCTGTATATTACGCCCGAAAGGAATCTAGATAACGAGGCCGTGGAAAATATTATCTAGGTTGGGCACAGCCATCGAGTCCATGCTTGTTCTAGTGAAGACATTTATCGACCAATCCACTCTGACCTTTCTTTGTCTAATATGCAGAATGCTGACCTCGCTAAGTGTAAGTTGATGTATGGTTAGCTTTACAGAAGGATATAACATTAAATATAATCAATCCTTCGCACATATCCTTCTTATACACTTCACATTAGCCAGTCGCGATGCGTTCTTCAATATCAATATCAATATCAACAAAGTATTTCGGTCGTACATTGCTAACGTGCTGCATAGTTTCTATACTAGCAGCGCTGATTTGGCCACAGTTACACCCGTAAATATCGCAATCACAGTACGATCACGCTTATTCGATTCGAATCTCATCATTCAATCCTCTGATGATCTACATCATAAACTTTGTGCCGAAAGAGGAGAGAACGTATCTCCTCCAAGCCGGGTATGCTACCATAAATGTCTCTCATGTATGCTATTGACGTTTTGCAGTGGAATTCTTTTCCGGACATCAGAAGTCGGTATTGGGAATGACTTGGTCGTGTCGATTGATCGAACGAGCTCCACTGCAGCCCTGAATAGGTCGGATCCGATAGTTGAACGCATCATGCCCCGCGCCTCCACTTTCCAAGGATATATTTCCCTGCAAGACCACGAAACACTTCAAATGAGGCGATACTCAGCGGGGCAGGAATATAAACCTCACTGGGATCACAACCAATACGAGCCAGTGCCTTGCAATGCGACGCAACGGGTTACCACGTTTTTGCCATCCTTGAGGCATCCTGCGAGACATGTAGAATAGGATTTCCAGATCTAAAGATTGACTGGTCCAAAGAGGATCAGAGCTGCCGTCAATTCGTTGATTGTAGTGATCGTGGCGAAATTACCATCAGGCCTATTCTAGGGAACGCTCTCTTTTGGAGGAACCTCGATAACTCGGGCGCCGGCCATGCAAGAACCCTTCATGCTGGGCTTCCACCCATAGCAGGAGTCAAGACTGGTCTAAACATATGGACCATACACCAAGGATAGCTGAATAGTATTTCTTGTAGTAATTGGTTTATGTATCAGCCCTTCACACGCCCTGTCCGCCACACTCCCGACAGTCAGCATTGTAACATCAAGACTGCGAACAGCCGCACCAACACATGAAGATCTTTTGACGCCACGGATCAAACGTCCGGCGAGTGAGCTATCAAGCAACCAAGGTGACAGACATACCACAGAAAGCGCAATGCAATCAATCATGTATTATCATACCTACACCCTGCCGCACAATTCCCTCAACAAAGCGGGCACTTCAACCCCATCCTCCCCATGATCTTCCCCACTTCCGCATTCGCTTCCTGCCCACCACTCTCCTTCTCTAAACACCCCTTATGCCACAAATGCCTACAAGCAAACAACACAAGACTCTCCTCCTTCTCCCCCTCTTCTTCACCATCATCTAGTACATCAGCCTGACTGGGTCTCTTCCCCTTCGCCTTCCCACTTCCCTCGCCATCACCCGCACCCGCACCACCAGCCTCAGCTTTCATCTTCGCCCTGCCTTCTTCACGTTTCTCCCAAGCCTCCCACACACCACTCCCCGCACCCGGACCCCAAGCTCTCTTCCGACACCCCTCGCACATCTGGCCTCTCGGCCTCCACCCACGTTTCCTCAGCTCAGTAATCTCCTCGACGTGTTCGAAGGACTCTTTATCCAGAAACCTGTTTGCTAGACTGAGAATCGTTTCTTCGAAAGTGTAGGCGGCGAAGATTTCCGATAACACGGAGCGCAAGTCGAAGAGCGAGGGGGAGTAGGTATGTGTTGCGCGGGTAAGGAGACAGCGGAGGATGCGGAGAAAGGAAGGGTTGGAACGCGGCTGGGATCGCGGTTGTTGGAAGGGTGGGCGGGTCGTTGATGCGTCTGTGGCGGGATGGGGTTGCGCAGTCTTTTGGGTGGGTGGGATGGTGGTAGATGTTAAGAGGGCGGAGAAGGTTTGTTGAATCGTGGATCGGAGGGATGAGACGATGCAGGCGGTGTCAACGGTATCAGCTTGATCGACATTTGTTGATGCGATGGAGGCGTCGTGGTCTGCAACGGCACTTGATGTATCTCTGATGAGGCGTACGGATGTGTCGACTAGCTCGAGCCATAAGAGTTCGTCTAATGCGAGATCTGATTCTCGAACCTCGCCGTATGCGGACTTCCGCCTGTCGATGGTGGACTCTGGCCCCCGCTCTGCCGATCGTGTTTGCCCTTGGCAAAGCCATATGCCGACTTTAATGTACTTCTCAATGTCGTCGAGAAGATCGTGGACTGCTTCTTCAGTGTTTGCGACATCTGGGGTCTCCGCAGCGGCTCCGATAAGTCCGGTCAAAGCAGTCTCGAGCGTGCCAAGATGCTTTACCAATCGATCCATGGCTCCTTGGACAAAGCCGTCTCGTGCCATCAATATAACGGCGCCGTCGATGACACCGCCCTTCTCCAACGCTGGCAGCACGGGGTCGAGTCTGAGATCACTGGACTTCAACGAGCTGACAAAATCCGCGACGTGCCCGCTATTGTAAGTGCACATGAGTTGCACATAGCTTTCGATGAATTCGGAAGGAAGATTCTCATCAATGGCCGTCATTGCCCCTGCTCCGGCTTGGTCTGGTTCGATCAAAGCCTCCAGATATCGGTATTGAGCATCGGCCTCGGCCTCAATAGCATCTAGAACTGGCTTCAGCAAGTCAGGCGCATATTGCCTGAGTATCATTGCAGTTTGCGATGCGTCAACTGCAGCTAAATTGGCAGCACGTCCGACGATGACTGCTTTGACCTCGTTGACTTGCTTCTTGGTGAGGCCCTTGCTTGGTCGTAGGATATCAGCAATACACCCAAAGACTGCCTCCTCGTCTTCGTCGTCAACAAGGTATGTTTCTAGCAGCCTAGCGTACTGATGTGCACCTCGATAAACGGACTTGAGCACGCGGTGGAACCCAGCGGTTTCGAACAATGGCACGAGGCTTTGCGGATTGGGTGGATGGTAGATTGAAAGCAGGTACTCGACTGAGAGCTGGCAGTCTTCTTTAATAGTGTCTGTAGGATAGTTGCAGAGACCCATGAGGATCTGATGCAGCGACGTCCCTGGTAACATGATATGTTGCGGATACTTGGGCAGATTTCGCGCGACGAACATGTAGAAGTAGATGACGTCTTCCGGATCAAAGTTGTCAGTGTTCATGATGCCGAACAGGTAGTTTATGATGGACTGGCGAGTGGGTGTAAGAGCGGAGCCGTGCTGCATGCCATTGGCCTGAGCTTCGTTAGGCGCATCTTGTTCGCCATTCAAGAAACTATCTTCGAAAGCCTCGTTCAACATGCTCATAAAGCTGGACGCGTCGAAGTCTAAGACGAGCTGCAGATAAGGAAATGCAGGCTCCGGGCTGCCATCGGATTGGGTCAAGATAACATCACCCGAACCCGGCGGCCACTGCAGGTTCTTGCCGGAGAACAAGAATCGATACATATCCTTCTTGGCACTGTAGGCTTGGTCATCATTCATGAACGTGCCCCCAGGGTACACCCGGCCTGTGAAGGTGTATGCTAGATACGGAAAGATCTTCTTCGCCGCAGTAAGATAGATATTCCCCGTCTCATCCACATCGAAATCTACGAGCTTGATGAGTTCCAGTATGTTAGTGAGTGGTGTGATGTAGTCGCCAATGGCTCTTGTCCACACGTAGATCAGGGCATCGTACAACACATACTGTTGACAAAGTGTCGTGACCTGATTCAAATCCATGGTATCCGTGTCGAGCCGGCATATCATCTCTTCAAGCTGGGTAGAGCGGTTGGCCGAAGCGTAAAAGGTGATAAGGTCTTTCAAGACGTTTGGTGGCACTGCAGTGATCTCATCGTCTTGTATGTATGGTTCGAGAGTCTCGAAGAAAGCCTTCTCCGCTGACGCTTCTTCATAGGCATCGTAGACCTCTTCGAAAAGGAAGTCGTATTCCTCCATGCACAGCAGTCCGCTAAAGACCACTTCGGCAAGTTCTTTTGCTCGCCGCTCATGTGTGCCGCCATCAACGTCATCCTGGTGTGAAAATGAGTACTTCAGTGACGCCGTTATCATCTCGAGGAGCTTCGGTTGAACAAGCGCATGTCGTGCTTTGTCGTTTTCCGGTAATCCAACTGTAAGCTTGTCTGCATCGCCGACATAATATGAGGTCGCGAGACCGATCGCGGCTATATAGTTACCATCTTCCATCAATGCCAGCAGACGGTCGGCCCAGTTGGAGAGGGTGCCAATCGAGCAGTCGTTGAAGCCTAAGAGAAAAAGCCGACCCTTGTACGCTCGAAAACTCATGTAGAATGCGTCTGCCACGACTCCATGGAGCAAAGCGTCTTCTTCATTGAGCTGCTCGACAACTGGTTTGAGCTGCCGCGAGAAGAGATCTGAATGATAGATGTGCTTCTGCAACAGATCGAACGAGTCCGTAACACGTAACGTGTTGTCTTCCAAGATGATCAGTCGTTGGCTGATGGTCAGCACACTAAGGACTGATCTGCTGAGCCACTGAACAGCGACAATAGCCTCGTCTGCCTTCCAACGACTCCGAGGCTTAAAGCGAAGCTCTGTCGGCTTTTCTCTTTCCGATGGTGGTGGCAGAATGTGATCAACCTCAAGTATAGTGAGGACGTTCGACCAGCAATATACGAGCTTTGTTTTGGAGACCGCATTCTCAGGACCGTTGGAGGTCTTAAGCTTGACAGCTGGGAACCAGGCTAGGCATCCACTCAACGCGCTGTGTGCTTCCACGTCCTTTGGTCGAGGCGCCTTGTGCTGTGTCTGCGCAACTGGGGTAGTCGATACGATGACGAGCAAGTATGGTGTTAAAAGCGCGGTCAAACCCATACTGTCAGTGGGCTGCTCTACATTTCCTAACGGCAGGGGTGCAAACGCGAGCACAGAACTTGGTTTGCGTGGCTTCTCCAGTGACTTTGCCGACAATGGGTATCTACCCAGGATCCGAGTGGTCTTTACCGTCCGCGCAATAGCCCCTAGTCCGCGTGTTGCAAGATGTGAGAACGCCATGCCTGCATCATCGGCCGATACGAGTGCTGTATGTCGGGTACCTAGGAAACCCAGATGAAGGATTGCTACGCCTGAGACATGACCATCTGACTTGTTGTCTTCTAAGATTGCCCTCTCCAGTGGCGGTATGTGAAGAAAGGGCCTTGCCGGTTTTGACAACTCCCAAGTAAAGATGTGGCCAGTCGCATGTCCTCCTGCGATAGTCGAGTGATCGGCAGCAATGGTTAACGAAGTGATGGCGCCGCATTCAACAGCCTTGGTGCCCGGTCCAATGATGGATTTGAGAACCTGCTGGTAGTCGAAGATGAGGATGGAGCCTTTTGAGGTGCCTATCGCCAGCAAGACGGTAACGTTCAGACATGTTGGCCGCCCAAAGTTGCGCCTCCCGATCTCTGAGAAGACCTGTTCAGTGATCTTCTTCAACCTGGTCCATCTCACAACCTCCCATGGCGCTTGAGGTGTTTCTGACCCATCATCTGATAGTTGTTGGAAGATCAGATTGCTCGATACGGAAGATTGTCGCGAGTGCGGCGACAGGAATGCGGGTGACTGGCCCCGAGCTGGAGACGTTAATGGAGAAGGTGATAGCCGCGAGGAGAAGCGACGCTCGAATGGCTGTAATGATGTTGGACGGTGCGCACGGAGCGAGTTATGCGACACTGGCACACTGCTGGTAGGTGAGGATATACCGGAGCCCTGTCTTGGTCAGAGGATTCTCATATCGGCCCGGACTGAAGCATACCTGCACCGAAGGTGTGTCATCGGGTATATCCGTCGAAGCTGGGCTGCCCTCCAGCGTGATCTTGGGTCTTATGGACAGCTCTGACACCGAATCCTGCGTCTCCGCCGGCGTATTCCTGCTCCGCGTCCTCGCAAAGGTCAAGCCCTCAATGCCGTTATCCGTTGACTGTACATCTTCACTGTCCCCGTCGTCAAGGCTACGCTCCGCAGTCGCACTTCCCTCATGATCATCTTCTTGCGTAACAGAAGCGCCCAAGGCGCTTTCACCCATATCTATCTCATCTCCATGGTCGTTGTGAGCGCTGGAGTGGCTCTCTCCCGAATCTGAGCTCATCTGCCTCGTTCTGCGCAAAGCATTGCTTCAGGCACACATTGAATGGCAATTATGGGGTGCGCAGTGCTCTTTATCCTAGCTATTTCAGATCTATCACTTTGCTATTCGGCGGTGATGATAGGCCTCGGCGCGGGGGTCTCGGTGGTGGGTTTGCGGTATGTGATGGTGTTGCCTACGCGAAAGGGAATCAGGCAAGCGTCCTAGCGGGTAAGGCGGCAACTGGGAGTGTATGCGACGAGTATACACGTCGGTCAATGCGGAGAATGTCGCCCACGAGGTTTGGCAAGGATGGTGCGTGTATGGAGCTCATGGCGCAGTTCCCAGATCGCCGCACCTGCCGCACCGCTGGTGAAGGTCCAAGCTCCTGTGGAACGTCACCTCCATGCGACAGCCATGCGCGCCGAATACCACACACACCCATAGCCCACGATGCCTTCGATAGGACCGACCATGCCTCCACATCTCTCGAAACGCGGTCGCGACGGTGACGACGATCGCGAATCAAGTCCAGAGTCCGGGGACAAGCGTAGACGAGTCATCGGCCCAGCACCTCCGCCTTCCGCATCTTCACCTCCGCGTATAGCTGGTCCTTCACTGCCACCAGATGTGCAATCACGATCGCGGTCTAGTACTGTGGATAGCGACGTCGGCCCTACGCCTCCTCCAGCCTCGAAGCCAGCGCGTGTAGTTGGACCTGCTTCACCACCAGCACCTCTTGATGAGCGACCGCCCAATCCACCAGACAGCGATTCAGACAGCAGCGATGACGACTTCGGACCCGCGCCGCCTCCACCTGGCGGAGTGGTTCCAGGCTTCGACAACGACATGGAGAGATCAGCATTCGATACCGAACCACAATTCACAGAAGCGCCGAAGAAGGCACAGCGAGACGAGTGGATGACATTACCACCTACACAAGACGATCTCGCTGCGCGAATGGACCCCACGAAGATGCGCGCACGCAAATTCAACACAGGCAAGGGCGCAGGAGGGGCAGGAGGCATGAGCAGCGCATGGACAGAGACACCAGAGCAGAAGCTCAAGCGGCTGCAAGACGAAGCTTTGGGTATAACCGCGCCTACGAATTCTGGGCCTGCGACATCGGAATCTAAGCGCAGCAAAGAGGAGGGGAGGAGGGCACGCAAGATGCGCGAGAAAATTGATGCGACACGGGGCAAGAGTTTGGTCGAGCAACATCAGGACAAGGGTACGGGCAAGGAGAAGGAAGACGACCCCAGCAAGCGCACATTCAATTACGAAAAGGACATGGCTGTGAGCGGGAACCTCAATCACAAACAGAAGAGAGAGATACTCAGCAAGTCAAAAGGCTTCGGCGATCGCTTCTCGAGCGGTAACTTCCTATAGTTCCGATACATACTTCACAGCTTTACTGAATTGCGCATTTGTGGTGTACACTTCTACACCACCCAACCTGTTAGCACCCGCAGAGATCTTGTTTACCTGCTAATACGCGAACTTGCGACCCCGATCTGCAATTTCTAGCACCTACTAAGAGTGACAAGTGTTATTTCGCAAGGCAATCTTTTCTGTCTAAACGTCGCTAACTTTAAGAGGTAAGGATTATTCCTAAGGGTTTGAGGGACGGCCAGCGCTGCTAGCGTAGGTGCGGCCCTAGTTTGTGGGATTAAAGACGGAGTCGTAGATGATGTTAGGCAGGTAGTTAAAGATGTCTCTAAGGTCACGCTTATAACAGCTATTCTGCCGAGTTCGTTAAAGGGTAGATATAGTCGACGAATTAGTACTAGGGCGTAGCACAGCATGCATGTATAGATGCTGTAGTTAGCACGAATTTGTAAACGGAGCGAGAGATTAGTACAAAGACTTAAGGGTGGATCGTAAGTATCTCGAGTGTGTAAGGCAGACTTTACTCGCAGAAGAGCGAGCTAGTTAAGTAGAAGCTTGTATTTAGAGTGGAGAATAGCAGATACAGAATTTTAGAAAGGCAGAGTGTACGTGTAGTTATATAGTACGAAGAGAGGGAGCTAGAAGAAGGCGCTAGGTTGTACAAGGTCTGGCAGTTTAGGCCTTTATAGTAAGAAGTAGCCTTCCACTCTCTAGCTGCAAACCTCGAGGTAAGTACTAGATAAGAAGAGGCTATATCCTTACACTAATAGTCTTACCAAAGCCTCAGTCACTAACTCAAAGCTTATAGACGGTGCGTTTAAGGAAACATAGTAAGTGAAGCCCATACGGCTACGTACGTACTTGGCTACTCTCCCCAGAACACCATAATTTAATTCACTAACATCTGCAAACTGGTCGCTATGCGAAGAATCTCAGAGAAGAAGATTGTTCTCTTAAACGGTCACGCGTCAACACGAATGAAACATCAATTAACCTTCATTTGCATTCATATATGTCTTCTCATCAATTGAGGCAGTAGTCGTGTTTCGTGGTCAGGCCTGGGGAGGCTCTTCTACTGTCAGAATGCAAATCGGTCTTCTCTAATGGCCTGTCAAGCACGTTAAGCGCTGTGCCCTACACCCTTGCGCCTGCTTAGAAACACTGGCACTGCTCCTCAAGCCGCAACGAGAATAGCGGTGATGCAAATCAGATCATCCGTGGCCTAACCGCTTCACTCCGACGCTCATGGAGGTTATTGTTTGAGTGCAGACACCCGTACGAGTCTTAATCGACAAGAACATCAGGAACTCTCGCGAGGATCACGAACAAATGGGCTTCGGACGTATTGAGCCTGCGCCCTTTGTCGAATATTGGGATCTCATGAGATGGTAACAGAAGATAATCTTGAAGGCGGCCGCGGCATGCTGGAACAAGAGGGGTCAAGGTCAGACCTGCCTCTTGCGGAACACCAGAGGCCTTACCATTACATCGAAGCAAGCATCGACTACGACATACTCAGCTCCAGTGCACCATGGAGCCTCGTCGTCTACCGCATCGTGTATGGGTCAGACAGCAGCGCAGCATGGGCGTGCATGCTTGGAGAATTACGTGAAGCTGTATCGCAGACTCTCAGGCGTTCAAATCCGGAATTTGTTGCGAGCCACGAGCTTACTGTCATCGAGGACGAAGCGACGCTCGCCGGCGCTGATTTGTGGGCAGCTCACCAGATATCCTGTGCTTGGGTTGGGGAGGACTTGGTATCACGACTGGGAAACCCAGATGAGTGGGGTGGGAGTGCACAAGTTCGTTCCAAGGTAGCCAGCGGTCGCTCTCATGACAAAAATCGGTTTCTTCGACTCCTCCCGCTGCGATGGAATTCCTGCTTTTACATTGACGAAGCTTGTCTTCGCGCCATGGATACGGGCATGCTGCGGGATCTTAAGCCTAAGTTCCTGACTACGGATTGGGAATATATTTATAACGCGACGTGGATCAAGGGTGAAGAGATAGATGAGGTAGGCGACTCGCGCGAAGATGAATTGACGTGGGTATGTGCTTCAGACTATGTTGAATGCTGTCTTCGTTTGGCCAAGGCGCACGAGTGGCACGATCATTTTGAGAATCGGCGTTAGATAGTGTGAGGCAGCCAGCTCGAGAGTCAGACGTAATAGCCTGCATGAGGTGCTTCATTGTATTTGATAGTAATCGCTTTGATTGTTCTCGGTACGAAGGATTTCTGAATGTCGTACGATCCGGCATGGTGAACCTTGGTTCTACGCCCGATTAAGGGTACAAAGTGGGTCAATGTCAAAGCCGTCTTGGCAAGGTCTGCTCTGCATATTTCACGTCGATTTTCAACATGAAAATTCTGCTTGATACTGTCTGCGACAACTTCTTACGCCAGCATGATTCCATCCCACTTGAACAACTCCGTGGACAACACCCGCAATGCCATTTCTCCTAACGATGCGTTCCGTCGTTTACGTTGGTCTATCTTTGAAGACGTATCTAACATCCGCGTTCTTGATGATCCTCAAATGCTGGATTCCCCCTTCTCTAGAACGCAAAATCCCAGCTTCTCGCCTTTCGTCGGTCACGCAATCGCAACAGAACCAGCCTCCCAGATTCCTCTTACAGAGATTGCATTCAGTATCTCAGACCTAGTTAACTACGCCTGTGAGCTTCCATCTGAGCTCAACATCTACACGGAACCAGAAGACTTGCGCGTTCGCAGAGCAGACGGCGGCATCGTCACCGTTGCAGATGTCGTTGAACAACTCTCGGCCTACTTCATAACCTACAAGGAAGACATACTTTTGGCCAAAGACTGTAGCGAGCAGCGAACCCGCTACGCACATGAGAGAAAGGTATACAATGACAATGTTCCTAGCCCCGGCGAAGACAAGGAGATTCCAGCCGATCCTGACGTCTTTTTTGATGGATTTTTCGGTATCATAGAGCCCACTATGTCATCACTTCCGGTAGAGTTATGGACCGCAGAAGATGGCTCAAGCTACAATCCTGTACTGCCTTCATAGGTGTACGTGTTCTCCAACTAAGAGTCCTATACTTGAGGCTGCAGTTGGAAGTTAGACGTTCTCATCTTATCCTTAGTTACTTCAGCAAGGCGCATTAGCAGAATCACGTCTATGAATCAACAAGCAAGGCAACACTTTTGTGTGAATCCTTTCAACAGATTCACAAATCCATAGGATATACCTTTTGTTGTCGTGCTGCCGTCTCTCACCTATATTGCCAAGTTCGTTGAAGCGTAGATATAGTCGACGAAGTAATACTGGGGCGTAGCACAGCGTAAATGTATAGATGCTGTAGTTAGCACGAATTTGTAAACAGAGAGAGAGAGAGCAGTACAAAGACTTAAGGATGGATCGTAAGTACCACGGGTGCTACTAAAGACTGTCGCTCGTAATAGCACGTCGTCGCTGTCGCAAATATAGCGGACGCCAACCATTGGACGTCCGCCGATCCTCCGAGGAATGCTACCAATAACTCAAGGGAATTGGAATCAGCACGCCATCGTGATCTTGGGCGCAGGCTATGGCTTTGATATGGAAGCGCTAGTTTCAATACTGGCGCTCCTCTAGCTAGTCTTGTAAATTACATGCCGTGGTATTGAGGCAGACACGTGCTATCTGATCGCTGTAGGTGGACCTGGTATGGTGCAAAACTTCGTGGTCGCAGGTGTACCACGAACGTCTGCTGCGCTCGGGCTACCTATAAGCTTGACTCCGACCTGGAAGAGGATCAGGCCGTGCCCAACGTTTTCGCTGAACCGAAGGTCATGTGGACTATGATGGATTTGAGAAGAGATTTTCTGGATGTGGCAATGCGCTTGTCAAAAAGTTCCTCCCTAGAGACTTGCGGGAACGGGAGGTTTCGTGGTGGGCATCCTAAGGTCCCGAGGAAAGAAAGAAGCTGCTGGGTACTCAGTGCTGCAAAGCATGGGAAAAGGCGTATAAGGCTGTGCAAAAGTAAAGGTAGCAATGGAAAAATGAAATGAAATCATAGCAATAGGAAGAAGTCTATCATAACGAAACGTCTTTCGGGCTGGGAACTTCATGCGAAGTTGTTCGACACTCGAATCTTCTTCATCCAATGACGTTGACTTTCTGTTGGCCATATTTTGTGGATGATACATCCGCCCGTACGCGGCCCCATTGCTCCCTGCTCTCGAACAGCGATAACTGCGTTGCGAATCTTCCTGTAACACTGGTCTCGTCTCACGCACACCTGTAACATCCCAGATGCAGTCGCATCCACTACCTCTATAAGTCTATCCCTCGGATCTTTTTGCGCAACATCAACCAACATCAGCCGTCGCTTGTACTCGCAGGAAACCGTAAAAGAGCCATCTACCCTGGGTTCTGCAGGACCTTTGTTTCCGAACGCAGCCACGTATCGGCTGTCAGGACTAGAGCGCCTAAAGCTAGGCTAGCTTGCTAAGACGCTGAGTATATGTGCCACTCGTAGGAATCGCTACAATAGTAACGATTCGTCTAAGTACACATACACTTCCTAGTGCCTATAATATACCATTCTACGCTATCTATCCTGAGACCTCCGTTACTATCCTAACATCGGCCGGCACTCCAACGTGGTATGGCGGCCGTCGTCAAGACAAAACCGCATTGGTAGCTCATTTCGTTTGAGCCAGGTAACTCAAGTACTCTGTACGGCCGATCAAACTTCTTTTCTCCTGTCATCCAAGGTTTGCCTGCCTCGATAGTCCTTTCTGGGAACACTAGTGCATATTATGCTGGTTGGAGACCATTAAATGTATAAATAGCGTCAGCACCTTGTGGAAATATTGCGAAACTGCCTTTATCGCTATTTTGAGCCGCTATAAGCGACGTGGGAATCCAGTGAAATCCGTGAATGTCCAATCTGGGCCCTGAAAGAAAGAGTATGTTCTTAGGGAATTCATGCAGTTCCTTGAACAGCAATAACATGTGCTCCTCTCTATTCAAGTCAGAAAAGGAGAAACATGTTTACTTAGGAGACTTGCAACGGCCAAGATCTCGCTTGTGGCTCGGGTTGTATCCCTACAGTGCAGCGACCGAGCCACGTCACCAACAGTGTAGGTACCATAGCCGGACCGCTTGATCAGAAGATACGGTTCCGCCGCCAGATCAGTCTGGTATGGTTGAAGTAGCATTTCGCTGCTTTGGGTTATTAGATCACCCAGCGTTTTGTGAGTGTCGGCAAACTGTATGTAAAGTTCCTTCTCCAGTACGCCTTCCTGAAGTGTCCATAGTCGTCGCGTCCAGCCAGAAGTCAAGATCGCTAGTAATTTTGCACCAAGCGACTCGGTAGGTCCTATGAGCTGTACACTGCTGTCCGGTACCAAAACCACTTCGGCATCCTAGTAGGTGCGTGCCATCATACCAATAGCCTTCTTACGAGCAAGCTTCGCCTTCGAAACACATATGCTGTCCATCCAGAAAGCCGCACCTGGCCGCAATGTAGAGACTGGCGCGCTCAGTCGTTGCAGCTGACATATATAAAGTCCATCTTTCGAGGTGCTCTCGAGTCTGTCTGCCCATGTATGAGACACTGCCACGTATGGGATGTCAGTCGATTTGTGAGTTTCAAGACCGGAAGAATTGAGAGTGGCGGCGGGTACATGTCCTCATGCATGCAAGCAATGACTTGCTCAAGTGCTGATTTGCAATATTCGCGCAGTGTCTCTGAGATCCCCGTTATGAATCTGCACTTCCTGTCACTCTTCGGGATGTATGACTCGGTGTCGATTTCATAAGCCGCGCAAGACTGTAGCGTACAGACCGAGTGATTCCTATCGTCGTATAGCGGATCCTGATTGCAAGCGTATTGCAAAGACGATACTGATGGGGTACTCGCCAGGTATTCCATCGTGAACGGACACCATTCATCGGCATGCAATGCTTTTCGCAACGCTTCACTCATTGGTGGTGTCCGAATAATAGACCACGAGAAGCGTTCATCAGGCATAGGGGAGCGTACTATCATTATTGCGTGCGCATCGACTAATGCCTCGGCGATGATGGCAGTGAAGCACACCACAGACGGTGTTGAATCACCTAGCGGTTTGAATGGCCCGATATTCACAGTCATTAACGACACCATGCGAGAACGGGCTAAGCGCAGGTTTACGCGAGCTCGCTCAAACCACGATGCGAACAACTGTGGCTCAGTCTGTTCTATGCGAGCAATCCAGCCGTGGATGATATCGATCAAGCGCCTCGTAGTCATGACCAGCTTGCCGCTTTGATCGATATGCACCAGCATGTCTTCTGCTACTGGCGCTTCGATCACTGCAACTAACAAGCCGAATGTGAAAATACTCTGTTAGCTCACCGCCAGACTGTTCATAGAAGATTCGTTCTTCGGTCGAACTTTTAGATATTCGCGTAGCGACACGGGGTCATGATCATGGGGTATCCTAACCATTCTGGATCCTCGAAAGTCGACAACGAAGAGAGTGTGTATTGCAGGATTACGTAACGGCTCGTCTTTGGGGTTCCTGTCTAGCACGATTAGCCTTGGCGTCTACAAACGCTGTGTTTAAGCCTTCTTTAATGCTTCTACTCAAGGTATTTGTTAAGGCATTCTCTCGAACTGTAGTGCTTTGGTAGGGTCTTAGAAGAGTGTCTAGCAAACCTAGATGTCTAGCGAACTGGTTAGGTACGTCATAGCTATTAGCAGTTATAATCTACCTCTCGTAAAGAAATCGTATATCTCTACCCCTACCTTCTTCCTCTTGCTTAATGCATTGTTGCTTCCTTACATCCTTTTCATGCTTACTCTCAGCATTCTTACATCCACCTCCTCCACTACCCCATCTTCCCCCATCCCAAACACCCACTCGTCCAGGGTCACGCCCCCATACGCCGGCGCTCCCAACGACGTCCACTGCATCAGCCCCGGATCCTGTACCGCCCCGCCAGCGCCCGTTGCATTAAAGAAGCTCGCCCGGAACCCCAACCGTGACACGTACGTTGCTGTGCCGTTCGCCTCGGCTCGCTCCGTCCGCAGGCCTGACGGGAAGAGCCGCGCTGACTGGCCGGCGCCGTAGAGAGGGATGAAGGGGCTGGAGGGACCAATGACCTCGATGCCGCGGGCAGAGAGGTGCGTCACGCCGAGGCCGGGCGTCGAGGCGTCAACCTCGATGGTGACGGAGCTGTTGGTCGCGGCATTTGTGTATGTCCCTGCGAAGTTGGAGCGCGCCTCTTCTCGCGCCTGCAGCTCCGCTGCGGGTAGGAAGACAGCGCCGACGGCGTTCATGAGCGTCTCGCGCACAGCGGCAGAGTTGGACTCGATGGGGCCTGCAGACAGGACCACCGCGCCGAGGCCATGCTCCGGCGACAGCACCAGCGCCGCGCGGTAGCCGCCCGTGTCGCCCTGCTTGGTGTAAAGCTGCGTCAGTCGCTTGTCGAGCACTAGGTGGCGGATTTCCCACGGCGCACCGACGGCCGATCCGAGTACGCCCGTTTGGCTCATGGGCTTCAGCCAGCGACGTGTCTGCGCGGGGGCCAAGGTAGTGGACTTTAAGATTGCGCGCCCAGCCTTGAGCATGTCGCCCGCAGAGCTGTAGATGGACGCGGCTGGGTCCATGACGCCTGTCTTCCAGTCCCAGCCAATGGATGAGGCGTTGCCGGGTATGACCCCGCCAGAAGGGGGCGGCGTGTTGAAGCTGCTCACGGTCATGTTGAGGGCGGAGAGGATGTTGTCGCTAATGGCTCTACTGACGAGCTGGCCGGTGATGGCTTCCTGAGCGAAGCCAAGGAGGGCGTAGGCGACGTTGCTGTACGCAGGGGAGTGTCCGGTCGGGAAGATGGGGTGCTGCTTGCGGAGCTGGGCCATGGTTTCTGAACGTGTTAGCTTAGCTACGCCTCATATATTGTGACCGTTTACCATTTCGAGTGCATGTCCTCAGCAAACCGGTCACGCCGCACTGAGGGATTTCGTTGTTGGGTAGAGAAGGCAGACCGAAAGCCATGGCTTGCTCCGGACCCAGTTGAGCCGACATGTCCGTCTGGGAGGCTATTCTGGTCAGCTCGGTTCCTCTCAGGTCTCTCGATGCGTTCATGACTTACGATCACGGGGTATGCCCGCCAGGTGGCTCGCAAGCTGACCAAGGGTCACCTCATCCCAACGGACATGGTCGATGTCGTCGTACAGCGCTCCGTCCGAGGGACCTGCGTCACCCAGCTCGGGGATATATCGCGTGATGGGGTCGTTGAAGCGCTCATCGCCCACCTCCATGAGGAATGACCACACGCTGAACACCTTGGACACGCTGGCGATGCGGAAGACCGATTCGCGATTGACCTCCTCGACGCCAACGTCATAGTCGGGCGTGAAGTATCGCTCGTACAGGGGCTCTTCATCAGCTGTCGAGAAGACGGCCACGGCCCACGCCGCCTCGTTGGCCTGCACGATCGGGGAGCGGGCGACGGCTTCGTCAAATCGGCCGATGGCGGTGGCGAGAGCATCGCTGCCGCTGAGAGAGGATGGTGCTGGAAAGCCTGGACCGGCAAGGGCAGCTTCGGGCAGAACGGTTTCCTGCGCAAGGGTTGCGAGAGCGCCGAACAGGAGGGACGCTGAATAGGACTTCATGGCGACAGCGGGGGTATAAAAAGATTGACAAGAATTCAATAAAATACCAAAAACAGGGAGACTACTTAAGGAGGTTATGGAGTGAAATAACTATTAATACAACGTACTCTACAAGCGAGCTGCCTACCTACACGAGCTGCCTACCTACACGAGCTGCTTACCTACACGAGCTGCCTGCTTCTGCTAAGACGTGTTACAACCAAACCTAGTGGACACCTAGAGGGTACGCGTAATTACTTTGAAGGATCGCACAGCACGATGCAGAGCTTGCGGCATGGTAACCGCGTTGTAGTCGCGTAACTGCTAAGAGGTTAACTGCCTACGCTTAGTAGTAAGTAGCGCCTAACTAATTAGAGGCGCTTAGTATTACGCGCAGGAATGCTTAGCAATAAGCACTGTGTAAAGATCGTCCGAAGATAATTGTTACGGCCCCAAGCTAAAACGCTAGCAACTACGCTGCAACCGCGCCGCGAGGCACTAAGCTAGGGTAGCGATCCTCTGCCTTGGCGCTATTGTAAGAACATAGCCCCTCTGTAAGGCAGACTTTACGCGCACGCCCGTTGCAGAAAAAAACTGGACAGGTGGCGAGTACTATCTCTAACCTTAGGCTCAAGTCTAATGAGACCGCTGCGTACCCTAATACTTCAGGCGAAAGTCATATCAGGATCCGGGCGATTACCGTTTGCATCAGACTCTGTTCTTGCTTTGACGAGGAGTTGGACGACCTAGTGAAAATCGTTCTCCACGGCACAATGCAATAGCGTGTAGCCCAAGCAATCATATATATCGACACTCGCACCGCATTGAATCAGCATACGTACAGAGTTCAGATGGCCTTGCATGGCCAATAAGTGGAGAGCTGTGTTGCCTTCGGTATCGACCATGTCGACACAGACGCTGGCGGCTCGCAATAGCGTTGTAAGGGACCGCCAATGCCCTCGCTCAGCGTCTAGATGCAACGCCGTTTTCTTAGAATGCAGAACTCTGCTTAAAGCTGGGCTGGTTCCCAGACTTGTCAACAATCAAGCCAGATCAAGCTCATCAATCAAGCTGTTGCCAATCTACGTTCGAGCCAATTCAAGCCCAGCGTATAGTAAGATTTTATTAATTAAGCTCGTAGACGCCAGCTTAACTAATAAGCTTGATAGGATCAATAGGCCTAGGCGTAGGGCGTGAGGCTGTTGTTGTTGCTGTAGCGACAATCTCATCGTAAGGACATTGCCTCTCCTTAGCTATTACTTACTACGAGGTTTAGAGCTAAGGAGTGAAAGGCTACGTCTTACTACGAAGGCGCAAACTACTAGACCTTCGAAGGCTAAACTACTAGACATTCTACGGCCTAGTACGCCTTCGCTTCGCTTCTCTCTCTAGGCTATATAAGTACGCGTACGCTCTGCCTCTTCTAGGCTCTGCGTCTGCTATTTTCTCTACTCTAAATACAAGCTTCTACTCAATCAGTTCGCTCTTCTGCGCGTGAAGTCTGCCTTACACTCACGATGCTTTCTTAGTGTTAAGTTTCATATCTGCGCACGGAATACTAGTCACGTAACTAGCACGTGGTTATTTGATTAAACTTAACTCTATACAATTATCGTAAGATAGTTCCTACTGCAACAATAACAGCCTCACGCTAAAGCATCAATCTCCTCAAGCTCATCAATCAAGCTTGTCGGTTTTAACCTATTAAGCCAATCAACTCAAGCTGTTTCGCTCCTATAGCGAAGTCAAGCCAAGCTAGAGACCTCAGCTTGATCGGCTTGATTATTGACAAGTCTGCTGGTTCCGCTCTGTAAAGACCTCGTTGCTTAGCCGTCGTGTGCACAGACCCGTTAAGCTTGGTGACCAACCAATCAACTACTAAACCGTCGCGGGCTGGCCGGCTGGTTAGCAACTCTGCGTACCATAAAGCCCCTACCCCGCACTCGTATTACCTTAGCCGTCCTTCGCATTATCGAATCAATTCAAAATAATTACACATGCGGCTGATGTTTTACCATGTGATGTGGCTCCACTTGAACTCAGCTGAATAGTTAGACTAGAATTAGTTAAGACGATGTAATAAGCGATTTCTAAGAGAAAAGATATAAACCCTCCCTAGGAGCAGTAAAGGCACATTACTACACAATCTGCAAAAATTCTAAAGTGAATCCAAGCCTTTGAGAACATCAAAATGCCTTTCACAGGAAGGTGTGCTTGCGGCCAGATCAATTACATTGTCGACAGCGAGCCCGTCAAAATCGTTAGTCTAGTATTTTACTACACTATTTCAATCTAGCAAATTCTGTCCCATCTAATTCCCTACTCCTGGCCTTATCGCATACCTCTCCTTTCTTCCTGAACTACATCTGACCTAACCCCAAACAGGCCCTTTGCCACTGCCTCCATTGCCGCCGCCTAAGTGGCACAACCTACACTACCAACATGCTAGTCCCGATCTCTGCTCTTGAAGTAACTAGCGGCACGCCTCGGAAATGCAGTTTTGTGCATGAGTCTGGCATGAAGTTCAACACCACATTCTGCGGTGACTGCGGCTCCATGCTCGGCAAGGTAACAGAGGACGAGGCGTATAAAGGCATGTTCATCCTGTCGGTAGGTCTACTAGATGAAGATATTAGCAAATTCAAGCCCGATACAGAGCTGTGGGTTAAGTACCGGGCGAGTTGGATTACGCCGATTGAAGGCGCGGCGCAGGCGCAGACTTTCTCCTGAGGATGATGAGAAAAGGATATTTCATTGGTCATGGCGATTTCTATCAGACTAGCGAATTTATCTATCTACTCTAAGTGTTACGAATTACAGCTACGGACTTCATCGTTGGGCACAGCGGAACAGGGACTATATCGCGAGGCGCCAGGCCACCAGAAGGAAGACCAGGTCACGTGACTGATAGTTATGCCAAGGACTATCGCTAGTCCTGCGCGCGGCTATCACAACTATTACCCTTAGTATATAGTATTAGGGAATAAGCTCTTACAGCTCGTTGTGTTCAACTTCGACTTATAGTTTAATCTAAGAATTACTACTTAATTGTCGACACCTCGTGTTATTACATCGATCTACTAATCGTGCTAACACACCTCGTGCTATTACATCGATCTACCAATCGTGCTAGTACAACCCCCTCGTCCATCGTCGCCCACTCACCCCCCGAGAACCAACCCTAGATCATCTTCGGACAACCTTCACACTAAGATACATGCGCAATTTAAAAGAGGGCTGCACCAATTTGTAAGCTAGTTAGCTTTATAGGAGCTTGACAAGCTAAACTTCACTCCTACATAAATACATACGGCATATATATTATAGAGCTTTATAACGTGTGAAGCCGTAGCATTTCCGGTTGGTGCCAATTTTGGTCGTATTAGAGCTTGCAATCTGGCCAACTATGTACCTCTCACTAAGAGCGATGATTTTAATAGCATCGCTATTTAGCTCTTAATGCGTCTCGAACTTGTAGGTCGTTACTATAGAAGGATATTTGATTAGCAGTGCTTTGATAACGTTAGTATCACAAGATTACTTACGAGAGTCATCTACGTCGATGGCGCTGATGTTCGATGACAGCACATCGCTGGTATTAGTGAATGCTGTTGTTCCAGAAGAGGTGCCAGACTTCTTTTCGAACATGGCTCCCAGTCATTCACCAACTGTCGCTTCCCATCCGCAGCCAATCCATTGCGCAATGGACTTCCGGCCTGAGCTCACTATACCACTGCCACTTCACGTCCGTCATAACCTCAATCTGAGCCAGAGTGCGACATTCGAGGAACCTATTGAGGAAGGTACTGTTAGGACTCAGCATATTAAAGGTATTGAGTTCGTATGGAAGAAGAGCGGTCTCTGCGTGAACCTGCCGGCAGACGAAGAGTAGACCTATGCAATGGTGAAGCGTGTGTGGAAAGCGAAGCTTAGAATGACGCAGCAAGTCGATGTCTCCGTGGGACAGGACCAAAACATAGATCATGTTGCGGAGTTCGGCTGGAAGACGCAGAAGCGGCGAAGCCATTGTGTTGCATTGAGTGCTAGGACAGTCTGTCAGTATGTCATTCAGTCTTGTCGGCAACGTGGCAACTTACTCACATCCTATCTTGAGGCTGGATCACGTGAGGTGCAACGCCGGGTTCAGTACTGTCCGGGCCCGGCATACTGGGAGTGTCGCTAAAGTTCGATAGAGCTGTGCGGATGTTGGAGAGAGGTTGCAAGTCTAGTGCATGAAGTGTGGGAGTTTTTATGGTGCGTGAGTACGCCACACCTACGAGAAAAGGAAATGAAGTGGCTGGTACTTCTCCTCCATATTCGGAAGGAGACCCGACGCCAGACTTCTGTAGCTTGAGACCACCTAGCAAATGGACCGACGATGGCTGATTCAATCATCCTAGGTCACAATATCGTCACTTTTGATAAGTCAATATATCAGAAGAAGTGGGTGTTTAGATCAGGTTATCACGTGGTGTATCTGTGAATCAGTAGAACAGTACAAAAGGAGAGCGATTCCAAGCGCCGCCACAGACTTATCTTCGCAGATACTGCTTCGCTCTATGATTCCTCTAATCGCCCTTGAAGTTGCAAGGACGAACTCTTATATCCGCAGAACGATCCAACGCCGGACTTATCAAACCCATGATCACCTATCCACTGCAATCTTAATGCTCACCCTTCTTGAGTGCCTCAGGCTCCGACTTACGCAAAATCTTCATCCACTCAATCCCAAAAGATGGTTCGTCGCAGATCCGCTGCACATTTTGCAATCCGGCCAGCTGAGCTTCACTTCGCCCTCCCAAGAACTTCCTGATGCAGATTGCCGGGTAGTCCCATAACTCAATCGTGTTGAGCTTGTATGGTAAAAGAACGGTTTCTGCGTGGATCTGATGGCAGACGCGAAGAAGGCTGAACTGCATCTTTGGCGCGCCCCATATGCGGAACGTATCAATCGTCGCCTCGTTTTCACCGAACATGATTGTACTAAAGCCGAGAACGAAGGTGTAAATCATGTTTCTGATTTTTAGTGGTAATTGGAGGAGGGGTGAGGTGGTAGCGTTGCGTTGGGTGATGTTGAGGTTGAGATTGCGCCGGGCGCTAGTTGCATTGTGTTAGTATCGGTTACTAGATTGCGATGAACATCTTAACTGACACTAGTGCGGTTCATATGAGATATGTTGCTAATCGAGCTGTAATCTTGAGGACCTCTGTCTTCTTGCTCCTTGGGTGCTTCTCTAACGTGGGCATGTTGAATTTGTTGCCAATGTTGGAAAGACTGAAGAGGTGCTCGATAAGAGTCATAAGCAGACGGTCGGCAGAGAAAGGATGGAGAGGATAGAGAGGATGGGGTAGATTTACTAGGTTAATGCGCTAGAAGTGAAATCAACTCAAGGTGAGGGTGAGGGAATACCACCGTGATCGCATGAAACGACTCACCCAGTTGACTGTTTATCAGTAGCAGTTAACCAAGTAAAGGTAGGGTTGTGGTGTTGCAAGAGTTGGAGCCAAGTTGATTCTACCGCGGAGACTGATTCATTGTATTAGCATCAAGCCTTGGTTAATCTGTGAATCTCTTCGAAGTAGAACTTGAGGTCATCCGGCTTGACAAATGGGGTGATACCATGGCCAAGGTTGGCAATCCATCCCTGCTTGCCGCCACCGAAACCAGCGACCATCTCTTCAACCACCTTCGTGATAGACTTCCTAGTACCGTACAGAACACCCGGGTCCGCGTTACCCTGCAGAACCTTACCCTTCGCCTGCGCAACCTTGTATGCCTCCGCCGGCGCGTGTAGCCAGTCAAGGCCGATAGTGTTGTATTTGGTGTCGCAGAGATCCGACAAGGCGTACCATGCTCCCTTCGCGAAGACGGTCATAGGAACAGGCTCGAGGCCCTTTGATTGGAGACGCGCGGGAAGGTTGTCAGCGATGTAGTTCAGGTACGGAAGAGCAAAGGTTTTGAAACAAGATGGCGATAGCTCGCCCGCCCATGAATCGAAGACTTGGATCATCTACGACAGTCAGCATTAAACCAAGACTCCTCGTTTTGAGCCATACCTGTGCTCCAGCTTGCACTTGAAGAGCCAAATACTCCACGCAGAGCTCTGCAATCTTCTGCAGCAGCGCCTTGCTCTCCTCGGGATACTTGTAGATCCATGTCTTCGTCTGGATGAACATCTTGCTACCTCCACCTTCAACCATATAGCACAGCAGCGTCCAAGGCGCGCCACAGAAGCCAATCAGCGGCACCCTCCCTGCCAGCTTTTGCCGTGTCATGGTAATAGCCTTGTAGACATAGTCCAAAGACTCTGCCACATCCACCTTCCTCTCAAGAACCTCCTTGTACTGTTTGTCCTCTGGCGTTTGCAGCGGGTCGGGGAAATGAGGGCCCTTCTTGTCCACCATTATGACCTCCATGCCCATAGCTTGCGGTATAACGAGAATATCGGAGAAGATGATGGCAGCGTCGATGAGGCCCGCGTAGCGCTCAATCGGCTGCAGGGTAAGAGTGGATGCGATTTCGGGGCTGCGGCAACATTCAAAGAAGTCGTTTTTGCCTTTCGCCTCGTGGTATTCGGGAAGGTAGCGTCCGGCTTTACATTATAAGCATTGAACAGGTATAGTTAGGGAGCGCGCATACCTTGCCGCATCACCCATATCGGTGGGCGCTCAACTTTTTCGCCTGTATGTTGTCAATTCAAGCTGCTCGTTGTTGACCAAATGAAAGTATTAACCTCTCGCTGTGCGCAGAATGAGATCATTCTTCATAGGCTCGAATTGAGGTGCCATTTTTGCTGTGAGTGAATGTGATGTCTATGTCATCGGCGTCGTAAGTTTGTTAAGTTCCGGATACCCCGCGCGTGCAGCTTGGGCGCTAACCGCATCGAGACGCGTTCCTGCATCCCTACCATCGCGCTATCCCCACATCCCTCTGACGCCAAATTTGTCCCGAGGATGCTCATCAAATCTGCCCGATGTTTAACGCGTCAGGAGCTGGTGTACCAAAGAACCTCAATCCAACTAAACCGAGGACTTTGCTGCTCAACTTACAGCCTGCCAATCGTAAGCTCGACGCGATCCATCGCGAAACCACGTGCAACACAAGCTATTAGTCGAGCATGCCTTCCAATATCGCAATGTCGTGGCGCAAAAAGGAAGACTGCAGTGGGTCTTGACGAACTTCAACAAGGGCCATTGGACATCGAGGCACTACCACCCCAAGATGATACAGAACCGGAATACCCTCCGCTGTTGCAGCAAGTGCGCAACAACATGCTTAAATTCAGTCACTGTGTGCTAGTCACACGTGTGGGTGGCTTCTACGAGGTGCGCACGCGAGCCATAATCTATTTCCACTACTAAAGCACGCGTAGCTGTATTTTGAGCATGCGGATGAGTTTGCTCCATTGTTGAACATCAAGAAGTCCAAACGGAAAGTCTCGAAAGGTAGCAAGAAGCCTGCCATCTCCATGGTCAGTAATCCAATTCGCTGATGGAACAAAGAACTGATAGCGTGAGGCTGGTTTTCCAACATATCAGCTGGACAGGTACCTGAAGATCCTAGTCCAAGATCTAAACAAGCATGTCGCTATCAGTGACGAATACCTCAATGACGCACCGACAAGGGCAAAAGGAGAACCACAATACACGCGGAGAGTGTCGCGCATCGTAACGCCAGGCACCCTGATCGACGAGCATTTCATGGATCCGTGGGAGAACAACTATCTTCTCAGTATCCACGTGAACCCCGAAGTACTCGCTGAAGAGAACGCCGTGAAGCAGAGTCCTGGCAGCTCAAGTGTTTCTTCTGTGCTCAATTTACCGCGTACGGAGGTCGGCCTGGCCTGGATTGACTTGTCCAGCGGCGACTTCCTCACCCAGAGTACAGATATCGCGTCGTTGCCGTCAGCAGTAGCCCGTATCAAACCCCGAGAGATAGTACTAGACAGTGTCTTCCAAGAACAGAACCATTCGCGCATCGTCTCTATCATGCAAGAAGACGGACACATCATCACATTTCAGGAGCCATCAGAAACACCACTTACCGTCAAGGAATGGATGCTCATGCTGGAAGATGTTGTGGATGACTTTGACACGGCCAACTTCACTCCCGGTGAAATTGCCGCCGGAGGCTCACTACTGCATTATGTGAAGCACCAACTGCTTGGTTCACGCACTCGACTTCGCGCGCCAGTACGACATCAAGCGGAAGAGCACATGAACATCGACAAGAATAGTCTGAGAGCGCTGGAGATCAGGAGTACTATCAGGGAGGGCACCTACGAAGGCAGCCTACTACATGCGCTGAAGAAGACGGTCACCAAGAGTGGTACAAGACTACTCACGCACCGCCTGTGTAAGTAATCCTTCCTTGGAGGAGGCAAATTGATTGCTGACGTTGCCAAGCTGCACCATCGATGTCACTGTCAACCATCAACGATAGACTGGATCTCGTGGAAGAAATGATACAGTATCCGCAACTCCGCCAAAATGTCATTTCGCTTTTGGAACAAACGTTCGACTCTTTGCGGTTGGTGACCAAGTTCACTTACGGTCGTGGTGACGCTGATGACCTCATGGAGCTGTCGAAAACTATCCTTACCACCTCCAGTATCTTGGACGTCCTTCAAGAGCACGCCATCTCCAGAAATCCCATTCCAACTGATTCTACATCGGCGACATTGGAGAATCGCAGAAGACAATGTATCACCATGCTAGAGCATCGGTTTGATTTAGTGCAGCCGCTCGAACTTGCGCACCGTATACAACACGCCATTGACGAAGAAGGCCTATCTGAGTACCACCGTATAGAGCATGAAGAAGCTGAAGACATGTCGGAATTGGCCCAGGATGTAGTCGGTCGAGAGGCTGGAGAAGAGGACCTGAAGAACTTACCCAAGCGCATCCAGCCGAAGCCTCATGTGATTGTTGGAACCTTCAAAAGCGCGACTGACGGAAGAGAGGACGTTCATATCATGAAGCGTAATGCCAGTCCGATGCTTGAGCGTCTGCATAAGAGTTTGGATACCATGGCAAAGGCAAAGATCAAGCTGGAACAAGAAATGCGTCAAAAGATGGCGACCGACAGCCTAGTTCTAAAGTGGACACCAAACCTCGCCCATATCGCCCACGTCAAGGGCAAGGACGCATCACGCACGACCGCCTTCTACTCTCGTAGCCTAAGTAGCAGCAAATCTACTCGCTCCTTCCAAATCCCCGAGTGGACCCAACTAGGCGCCCAAATGGACGAGACCCGTTTTCGAATTCGAACTGAAGAACAACGCGTTCTGGCCTCCCTCCGCGAATCCGTCGTTCAGAACCTAGTCAAGCTCCGCCGCAACGCCGCCGTCCTCGACGATCTCGACGTAGCGTGCGCCTTTGCTATCCTCGCCATCGAGAAAAGCTTCGTCAGACCCATACTAAGCGCGGAACCAACGCACAACATAGTTGGTGGCCGCCACCCCGTCATAGAAGCCGGTTTGAACGGACAGGGCCGAAGCTTTGCTCCCAACGACTGCCACCTCGGCTCCGCTGAACGCATCTGGCTCATCACAGGGCCCAACATGGCTGGCAAGTCCACATACCTCCGGCAAAATGCGCTCATCTCCATCTTGGCACAAACGGGATCCTTTGTGCCCGCTGAATACGCGGAGATAGGTTTAGTAGATAAGATATTCAGTCGTGTGGGCTCCGCAGACAATCTTTACCAAGATCAATCTACGTTCATGGTCGAGATGTTGGAGACGGCACAGATACTCAAAGAAGCTACGCAGAGGAGTTTTGTTATCATGGATGAGGTTGGGAGAGGAACGACACCGGAGGATGGTATTGCTGTGGGGTATGCCTGCCTTCATCATCTCTACCACGTCAATCAGTGTCGGACGCTGTTCGCGACACACTTCCACGCGCTCGCGGATATGACCAAGGGTTTTGAGAAGTTGGGTTGTTATTGTAATGATGTAATGGAAGAGGATGGTGGGGGGTTCAGTTATGTGCATAGATTGAGGAGAGGGGTTAATCGAGAGAGTCATGCGTTGAAGGTTGCGAGGGTTGCAGGGATGCCGGAGGGGGCGGTGGAGGTTGCGAGGAGCGTTCTTAGACAGTTGAAGAGAGGGATGAGGGGGATCGAGCAGGCGGAGCTCGACGCGCCCACTCAATGATGGAGTGCTGGAAGGGCTGCAGGGAAACTATGAGAGTACGGTGGTCGTAACAAAATGTTGGTGCTTTACTGCATCATTCGTACATCAGCTTCAGTACCTGTTCCTGCATTGGGCCGCGCTGTCAAACACTCACACCTCATCCCTTACAATACCCGACATCGCCTGCAGTGTACATACCACTCGGTCGAAGGTTGACTGTACGCACTGCGGATCGCCACGCTGCAAGGACATGAAACGATGTTTTTCTTTTGAGACATCTCCTTACCAATGCTGTACTGGATTGACGCATACTCTCACATCACCTCTATTTATCTTACGATTTGTACCACGAAGTACCAATGTGACACAAGCTGCATGGAGATAGTGCGTGCAGCAGCGAGCCACGGATGCCACTCGAATCTATATCCCCAGCCGCATTCACAACTGTGACGAATCTTGTTCCTGGGGAACTCTTACCTTTCTACTTCGCTGCACTGCCCCCTTCTGGAATCTGCTCTACTGAAACTCTAACCCTTTTTCACCTTCGTATTCCACTCAATCTCACGAACATTCTACGAACCAGCGTTTTGTCGTCTCAGCTGTCGAGTACCTCGCACGATACCCAGTTCGCTCGAGTCAATAACGTTATCGAATGTAACATGACCGCTCGTGACAGTATGCGGCATCCGTCGCGATGCTAAATCGGGCTCTTACACAGGGGTGGTGTAGTACGAGCCATCTAGATGTGGTAATGAGGGCAGTTTATCGCTATCCGTGTCACGAAGGAAGCCGCCGGACAACGTGGCGGTGCAGGAGGAGTTTATCTGCTATGACATGTATGAGGTAGCCAGGGTGGAGATACGTTTTTGTCGAAGCAACGTTATGATGCTTGGATGTTCAGATCGACCTTCTACCCCACACTTACCCACTCTATCTTGTTCATTCGAAAGGTGAGACCTGACGGACTATCCAACGACAATACAGCATCGTATTTTCTTTTTGTGTCTTCTGTCAGCCACTTTCTATTCTGCGCAAGATCAAAGCTTTGCCGCGTACAAGAAAAGCTAAACTCGACATCGCGAGAATCATGGGTGGTGCGCCAGTTACCCCACCATCGTCATCGTCGCTTGCCGCCCCGCCACCTCAACCGCGAACGATAAGTCCAAGCATCACGCTTCAAGCCCCTCTATCGAGGCGTGGAAGAGGACCTGGTTTAGTGCTTGTGTTGGATCATTATGCGGCGACTGGCGGGAAAGAGGGATGTTTAGACCCGCCGCCGATGCAGAAATGGGCTGAGGAAGGGTTCGCGGTCGTGCAGGTATGTCAGTGCATGATGAACGGGCGGGATGACAGATCTATCTTGTGCGACTTATGAGCTAGAGATGGTTCATATGCTTGTAACGTAGTGATAACGCTGAAAACACCATAGCTACTGGTCCCTGGCAAAGTCGAAGATGGTGGCGAGTTCCCACTTCAAGAAGCACTCGACGCGCTGAAGAAGTGCGCAGGATGCGAGTTCAATAATGGTATTGGACTAATATGTTCGTATACTCTCTAATAAACCACGTGGATACTCCATCAGCATGTTAATGATCATATGCAGCATACCTATCAAGAACACCCTACTACGTCGAAGAAGCCGCCTGTCAGACCCTTGAAATCAAGGCTCTCATCTCCTACGGCGGCAGGAAGTTCACCACTCTCAGCTCGACAGCGCTTCCGCCCCAACTAGTACACATAGCGGGGCTACCAGATCCTCATCGACGTGAGTCGTGTTCATTAGTCCCTGTCTCAGCTTCGAAGGATTCAGCGCCATCCTTTGAAAACATCATCAAGACCTATCGTTACGAGGATGCAGAGAAGGAGTCTGGATGGGTACTTCCAAGCGACGAAAACTATCACAAGCGAAGCGCCGGCATCGCGCATACGAGGAGTCTGACTTTCCTGAAACCGTTGCTGGGTGGACCGTTCTTCGATCTGGAGGCAGTATGGGAAGAGCACACGAAGTTTGAGTTTGGAGAGAGGGATGTGGCGAAGACGATGGCTACGATGGTGGATCAGCCGTATGTCAACCACATCCCGACTATGACGTAAGCATCTCCTTCTGATGTCGCTCTCAACGTCGTGTTGCACGTCAAGATGATATACTAAAGCTAGATCAGCGGAGGAGTGGGCCAGGAGCGACTCACAGCGTTCTACACCCACCACTTCGTCTTCAGCAACCCACCCGACACTACCCTCTCCCTCGTCTCACGAACCGTAGGCATCGACCGCGTAATCGACGAATTCATCTTCACTCTAACCCACACCAAAGAAGTGCCTTGGCTTCTCCCCGGTATACCTCCCACAGGCAAGCCCCTCGCCATCCCCTTCACCAGTGTCGTTGCTATGCGCGGTGATCGACTGTGTCACGAGCATATCAGCTGGGACCATGCGACGGCGCTAAAGCAATTGGGGTTGTTGCCGGAGTATGTACCTTTTCCGTATGAGATTGAAGGAGAGACCAAGCCGGAGGGGAAGAGGTTTGAGGTCAAGTTGCCGGTTGTGGGGATGGAAGGGAGCAGGAAGCTGGTGGATGAGAGTTGTGAGGAGAGTAATGCGTTGATGAATGGGAAACTTCGAGTGGTCGACGATTTGTGACGGCAGTGAGTCTGTGCGAAGGAAAATCTTACACAAGAATTTCATGGGAACTATGTACAACAGTTCAAGAAAGAAACCGGGAATGATCATACCATACGAAGAATCGTGAGTCGAAGCGAATGAAGTAAACCGTGCCGATCAATGAGACTAGTACCAGCGTCCGGGCAGTGCCTGCAGGGGCCCGAGGCTGTGCGAACATCTCTCCGATAAGGTTACACAATCCCTCATCAGCTCGAAGATATTTCAGGTAGTCCATTGAGGAAGGCTGCCACTCGTTTTCGTTGGCTACTAGCATCAGCCGTGCCGCTCCGCAAACCTAATACTAAATCACGTAATGGCTGCTTGCATTGCAAAAAGACGCATATGAAGGTAGATCACCAATTCGTACCCTTGCACAACTATCATACCTGCTGACGACCTTAACATAGTGCGGAGAGGAGACCCCAGTATGTCAAAACGGCATCTTTCGACGAGTCAGACTTGCCTATCCTGATATGCTATCTTGATATCATCTCTGCTATCCTGCTATATCCGATATGATATATATCAGATATCGGATAAAGCTAGGGTCCCTTATCCTGATATCTATTCTGATATCAGGATAAGCTGCGGGCTCTGATTGGCCAGATGTTATCTCATCAATTGATAAGATACGTTTTTTCCCGAGAGGGGGTTGCAGAGTTCGAATCGCTCCAACTTTACCACATGATTTAAGTGCGTAGATATAATATGTCCCATTATTCCGAGCTTCTAATGTCCTTAATTATGGCTTCTTTATCACAGCAACCTGCGTATAGCGCGTCACATTCTCAGACAAGTATTGATCCTGCTCTTGATGCAGAATCAGCACTATCTGAGGTCCTGAACTTCGACTGCGTATTCCGCGCGACATATCCGAACAAAGGCCAGTTAGGACCATCAGGGAGGCGCAGAACGAAAGGAGCAGTGGTCTATGAATGTCTTCTCTGTTCATCTGATCAGGCCTGGTCGAATTCGAAACGAGACAATGCCATATACCATGCAAAGCGCAAACACAGCGACGTTATTAACTCCCCGGATAATTCGATACTTGAACGATCATCGGAAACTGGTCCTCTATTAAAGCAAGCTAGGCTTGGTGATTATTATCTAGCAAAGCCTTTAGAATTAGCCCTCTGCAGAGTGTTTAATCCCTAGCGCTATACTGAGAGCATGGTTGCCCTTCTCACACGTCGTCGACTACCCTTTTCGGCAGTTACATGGGATGAGATGCAGGACTTCATGCTAGCCTGCAATCCCGCGATTGAGGACCTTATTATAGCATTACGACATGAGGCCATGCGTTATATTACTACAAACTTTAGCCTATACCAGTCGCAGTTGAAGGCTAAGCTACAGAGCGCCGTTTCGAAGGTCCACATCTCATCTGATCTCTGGACATCGCCACATCGCCATGGTGTACTAGCAGTATGTGCACGATGGGTTGATAAGGATTACCAGCCTAGGAGAGTACTTCTGAGTCTACTAGAGATTCGACACAGTCATTCTGGTGAACGTCAGTCTCGACTTATCTCGTCAACACTCGTCCTATATGGTATCACGAAGCAACTCGGGTGTCATACTGGCGATAATGCGACATCAAACGATACGTGTTTGCAGCATTTGTCAACCAGGCTCAAGCAGGATCATAATGTACGTTCCTACCTTATTCTTATCCAGTCATCTAACCTATAGTAGATCAACTGGGATCCGAAACGGCACCGTATCCGCTGTATCCTTCATATTATCAACCTATCCCTTCAAGCCTTCCTTTTCGCGTCTTCACATGAAGCACTTCAAGCCGCCCTTGATGCTGCTAGCGACGTCACTGGTGATGAACTCTACGAACGGTTCTATCTCGCCCTGTACGACACGTCTGGTGGTGATACATTAGACCAGCCAGACCAGATGACACAAGCAGGTCAGACAGGAGCTCAGATGAGACGCCTCGGCCGCGCCGCGTCTAAAAAGGTTTCTGTTCAAAAGGGCAATCCTCCATTGAGAGCAGATAATAGTTCAGACATCACCACTAGTAGGAAGGGCTGGTTTATGGTCCCTGCTCTACGCAAACTACACCGGATCGGGCTGTGGCTGCGTAGTTCAACTATCCACAGTGATGCATGGGATGAGCGTATCAAATTACGACTCGGCATTGATAATGCTACACGTTGGAATTCATGGTATAAGATGATCGATAGTCTACTGAGGAAAAAGCAGCAAGTAAAGCAGTTCCTGCTTGACTATGACAAGACTCTAGGTGATAATATTCTCACCTCTTCAGATTGGGAATACCTAGAGAAAACACACGGATTTCTCCAGCCCTTCACATCTACAACGCTATGGGCTCAAGGTGCGACGACGACGCTCTCGCAAAACCTGATGATTATGGATATACTACTGCGCCATTACGAGCAGAAGAAGGTAATATCTTGGCTTCGCATCTAAACCAATTACTGATCGTCTCTTTTAGGAACTCTATAAAGCAGAGGAGACATGTGACCCTCTCATGCTGCACTCGATTGATATGGGCTGGTTCGTACTTGACAAGTACTATACTATGTCTGAAGAGTCACCTATCTATGCAACTGCCCTCCTTCTCGATCCGTCGAAGCGAGCGCGATATCTTGAGATACACTGGAAGGAGGAATGGGCGGAGACTGCCATTACGCGCGCCCGTACAATCTGGGATGAAGAATACAAGATGGCAGACACCCTCGGCCCTGCCTAGCCGCTGAGCGAAGTATCTAACTCGCAGCAGGGGCAGCCGGACGAGCTTGATCGGCTTCTGGACGAGATGATGGTCGCTGAGGACATAGCCAAGGACGTAGATGACTTCGAAAACTTCATCCGCACCCAGCCGATAAAGATTGAAGGCTCCCCTCTTCTCTGGTGGTGTCAGAGGGATCAGATTCGGACATATCCGCGTCTTAGTCGCATGGCCATCGACATACTATCTGTACCCCCTGGTTCTGCTGATCCTGAGTCAGCATTTAGTGGAGCGAGACGTACTGTATCATGGGATCGCGAAAGGATGTCATGTGCTAATCTGGAGAAGGTTGAATGTATTGGCAACTGGCTGCGTGAAGGACTCATTATACCATCATCACGTGGAGGTAGAGGGCTCGTCGTGGACGGTGATATAAACAGTAGTACTCGGGTTGATTCAGATGATGATCTAGATTAGAAATGAATGAAATATTACCCTTTAAGCTATGCATCTAACGCTATATCATCTCTGCTAAAACCGCTATCCTGATATCATCTCTGCTAACCTGCTAAGCCGATATCATATCAGGATAGTGCGTTATCCTGATATCGGGATAATTTATCATATCGGATATGATATCAGGATAGGCAAGTCTGGTCCAGAGCGATAACATCATCAACACAGTCGAATTTGAAAACAAATATTTCTCTCCAACCTGCTGCCTATGTTGCGCGACGCTCGTATCGAGAAAGCGACGCTTATTGTAGTCGAGCTCAAGCTAAAGCTTACGTATAGAGATACCCTGGATCATGACTAGTAAGATTGCGATATGATACATACAAAGGGAGATGCATGACATCGGCTCCAATGGCAATAGAGCGAATGCGAGATTGAGGGGGAAGCCGAGACCAAAAGCAGGAATCCACAATAGATTTGAGGACATCGAGAGGCCCTTTCCAGATTCGCATAGGCATTGCCTTCGTCAGCCATATGGATGCGACGGATCAGCTCCAGAATGAAATGTTGACAGTCGCCGGTGAACGCGCGTATTCTCTCGGCACTTCAAGAAAGCAATTTAACGTGCCAACGTTCTTTGTTTTGTAGACTTCTTCTTGGCCCTCAATTAATTGGCCATCAGGGAGATCCACTAGAACGCGAGTTATACATACTACGTAAAAAGACATCTTCTGCATTGGCTGTTAAGCCTAGCTAACAAAATATACTACCCTGCACTATTATCAGTATTGTATTATTATACGTACCTTTTTAGTTGCCTAGCCTAGTAGTGTAGAGTTGCGTTCTAATAGCTAGCGGGGAACTACAACCCAAAGAAGATAGGTCAAGATAATTCCTACATATCGTGGCGTAGTATCAGGTAGGGTGATTAATGGGTTGGGGTGGGGTTGGGGTTGGGTTGACTTACGTAAGACCACAGCCCCAACCCAACCCCAACCCATCTTTTTCACGCTAAAAAATGGGTAGGGGTAAGGGCAGGGTAGGGTTAGGGTTGGGTCATAAAACTATAGGTATACCTAGGTATTTAGCTACTACTGTAATTAAAATCTATAATATTAGTAGACTCAAGTCTATATATGTTAGGGAATAAATAAGTCGTAACCCAACCCCTACCCATCTTTAGTTAACCTCAACCCTACCTCTACCCACGCCAAGAATAACCTAACCCCAACCGTACCCAACGCTCCTATCACCCCTACCCAACCACTGTCCCAAGAATGGGTGTACCCAACCCATTTACCAGCCTAGTATCAGGTCACCTAACCTAAGGCAGCAAGATATAAGCCTCGATAGCCTCTCGGGGACAGAAGGCAGCTTCTTCAGACAATGCCAACCCAGCAATTGCTTCTCGTTACCTCTTTGATTTTCCTATCCTACTGATTGCGGGTTGGGTACATTGTTTTGCGACAATATGTGTTAAGAATTGAGACTAAGTGCTGCAAACAAATCTAGGAATTACTAAAAGGATATATCTACACAGACGCTATAGAAGATAAGCCTAGCTCTTTTTACAATAACGTAGGTTCAGAGCGAGCTGGCTTTAATAAACGCTTACACTATTTAACTCCAAATCTAACGCTGATCCTTGAATTAAATCGTTTATCTAGCTTGTAAACCGTTGCGTATCCGTTGTCTCCACATGTCTGACTAGGGTCATTGACGCATTTTTGAGAACAGGCTCCATCTGCAACCTTTGCCGCCTTCATATCATCATTCGTACTGCAATAGTAATACACACCATTAACACCTATGAGTGTGTAATTGTGACCTGAACATCGTTGCGCGCATTCATTCAGTGAAGGGGTCTCAATCTTTGTACCAATGGTCCAAGTACCTCCTGTATAGCAGCCCTGATACGTGGTTTTGGTGCATTTACTCAGTTTATCCGTCAAGTCTTCTTCTCGCTTGAGGAACTCTTGCTCACGGTCCGGAAGCTCCTTCTGCTTCTGGCTGATTTCGGCAATGAGTTGCTGCTCACGCTCGAGCCATTGTTCTCTCTCTGGCTAGCAACCGTCGGCGTTGGTGCCAGAATTGTTTTGGGAGGCCAAAGGGACAGGTTGATCGAAGCTGATGCCGTTTGTACAAGTGCACGAGCAGCTGTGTTACTGTAGCGACGGATCTGTACATGTGATTGATGGATTTACACCTATTTTTCTAAATAAGTGTGTACAAATTAAAATAACTCCAAGTGTTAACCTACTATTCGCGCATGTGTACGATGTCCCGGAAACGTCGAGAGAGCTTCCAAGTACTTGTTGTATGTCTTCGCCATCGACCTTAGCACAAAGACTGGTAACAACAAGAATCCAAGGAAGCCTCTTATTAAGTTCGAGTGGACGAGGAGAGCTTGGGGACAAGGTTTGTCTTTTGTTTCGTGGACACTAATTGCGAGAAGGCCACGATTTTATATCTTTAGTCATCATCATCTTCTTCATCCCTTCTTCTGAATACTTCATGCAATGTGTAATTCACCAACTAAGATCTACGTGATATTGACCATTTGTTGGCAATGCGTCCGGTAAAAAGAAGATCATCCCGAAGCTCGCCATAAACGTTCGTTGCAATTCGCGAGGATTCTTTCTCGGGAGAATTGTTTTCGTAGCATCGCTACTAGCTCGTTTCGTTCTTGCTAAGCATAGCTTTCGGTTCTGGATGGGTGATAGAGCATTCGATTATCGGAGCGATCACCTTATGCTTTCTTTTCAGCCTTACAATATTTAACTCGGTACGAACCGTGCTATGGAAACAACTCATTATGTGCATTGCCGACATTAAGAACAAAGGGTTAAGGCGGATAGAGGGGTTTCGATGAATATCAAAAGTAGCAAGTGGAAATCCTGCTGGATAAATAACACTATGATAAGTTCGTGCGTCAACTTTTCTTACCGATATCTCGTCTGGGAGAACCAACACCATGCAGACAGTTTTATTCCTCGCGTCGCTTTTACTCTGGCGCATGACCAACGCGCAGACTCCGTCGAACCTACATTCAGACCCGTTGCTAACATGCGAAAATGGTAATTCCTCTAGATCCTTAATAATGTATTGTTATCAACAACTGATACATATTTCCAGGATACACTCCATCCCTCTTATGCGCTGAACCACTTCCAGTTGACGAGCAGTGCTCCTGCACTTACCAGGATGGAGCAAAGTTCAACCAAACTCGTCCTGATTTCACGGGCTCCATCCCTATTACCCCAAGCCTAGGCGACGGAGAGCAGATGGGGCCCAAACCATGCACTGAAGAAATCATCCAGCCACGCATACAGATCTCGAGGTCTCCCAAAGTGAACACATTCGAGCCCAGCACTATTTCCACTAATATCATCGACAACCCTGAGGACAGCATCTTGTTAGTAACTGATTCGAGACAGAGGTGCCAGAACTTCCTAGTGTTTATTGACAATGTCCGTGTAGGAGTAACTTCTGGAACAGGTGAGCTTGACGGCAGCTGGTGTGGGTCGGGAGAGGAGTGCATTGAGCATCATGGTGGAAGTCATGCATACTTCAAACTCTTAAAAGGTAAGGACTTCTACGCTCAGAAATTGTGAGACCATTGTTCTAATATTCGATGCCTTTTCTATCAGGACGACGCAAGATCGGTCTTCAATGGGTCGATGTTCCTGAAGCATGCAAACATTATTCCGAAGCAGTTGGATCCTTTCAGGTATATAAGCCGTGTGAACCTCTAGTGTAGAGCTGTATGTTAGGACTGTTTCTTGAACGATGTAGGAGGGAATTCAGTCCAGTAGTCAAAGTTTTGCTAAGCAACACGTTGATGTAATAATAGAAAGTCGTGTTCCACTCGCTATACAAGTCTGTTATATTCTAAGAAGCTCATACATAAAAGATAGCTTTGGAGAAATCACGTAGTCAGATATGCAGCGCGCAGACGATAAGTTTGAATGTTTCTTGCTACGGTCATGGATTATGTTGCGATACGCATCATAGATACGTGCCAGAATCATAATAGAAATATGGTATGTGCGTTGTCTGGTGGTGAGGGGCACGGGAATGTATAAGCACATCGCGGCTGAGTGGATGAAGTTTGACGAAGAAGATTACAGAATTGTTGAAATAAACGTTCCGGGTATGATTTTCAGGTTGTGGGCCAAAAAGGCGGCGTCAAGATAGCAAGAATATCAATTCCAAAGCAAAGTGTACAGCACTTTCTAATCTAGCATCGCTTCAGTAGTAACGGGCCATCAGTGCTTCAATATATCTAATCGATCTTGGCTATCCTGTCGCAAGACATTTCACTCAGGCTCTAACTTTTGGTGTAGCGCACTCGTTCATAATCTTGAACTGTTGTTCCCCTTCTCCTCACTTTCTACGCTCGGCGTTCAAGCTCAATCAGCCACTCTTACTTTATAGTCCATGCAACGTCAACAATTACTTCGAAATGAGGGAACCAAAGGAGGATCCAAGTACAAATTTGTCTTAAGCGTAAGTCTCAACACATCCAGATCCGACACCTTCGTCTTCTCCTTCTTCCTAAAGCACAGTCTAATCTCGGCCCTCCCACCAGACACACCTCCATCAATTCTTTGGATATTGTTCATACGCCCAGCGCGCGCTTGTGCCAGTGCAGCGGTGTGAGACTAAGGAATGTCGACTGTCTAGGGGTGGGCGCTCTAGGGACCGGCAGATTGTGAGGATATATAGGATGCTTTTGCAACCAAGGAGGGTGGTGTGTGCAAAAGGATACGGATATCCCTTTAATCGTTGTCATAATTCCACGATTGAGAAGAGTAGGCCTAATGGCGAACGATGTTGAGCAGCGGGCGGAGTACCTAGGCATATCAAGAGTGGTGCTTAATTTGTAGGCTCGATGTTCGGGGTCCGGAAAGCAGTTCCAAGGGCGGATGCAGGAATATTTTGTACTGGTAGTCCGATATTACCTCTTTGTTTACGGGGCCCGACTGCTTCATACAGACCATTGGTCGTCATTACCTTTCTCTCAAGTCGCCGCCGTCATCCCAGGTCTTTCTTGTAACGAAGACGAACTCCGTAAATGCAATTGATAACATGTAGCTGACACCCCACATGCCCTACCTATATTTGCGAAGATTGACGACGGGCTCCACTGCGAAGAACATGTAGCAAAGATACGCTGTGACTGTCTGGTGTCGCCTTTGTCTCCGTTACCGATCGCCTCCCTTTAGCAAGATGTGGCATCCCCAATCGTGTGAACTACGCGTATCCCTTGTTTCACGGTGAATGATATTAGGAGAAAGTTGGTAAAAGTATTTGAGGAAGGTTCGAGGACAGGAAGGGTTGTGTAGGGTTTTCATCGAAAATAGCCGCAAGTGTTTCACGCAAGTAAAAGATCATTCGTGTATACGGAAGTTGTAGAGATGCTAGAAAGGAACGAGCAAGTTAGGAAAGATGACAATGTAGGAAGCATTACAGGAACAATCCCAGTTTCAATTGAAAAGACTACTGAACCCCTCATTTACTAAGATGCCGTTATTCGGGCTCTCCCCTGTCTAAGAAGAACGCCGTTTAACTAGCAAACAAAACAAGATAATGGATGCCTTGCAGAAAGTAAAAGAGAAAGAAAAGCTCTCGTTGGTATCGCAGAAGCTGTTGTCGACGTAATGCTGAGAACATCGTGCAATGTCGTCAGGCTGACAGTGTGTCAATAACCTCGAATGCAACAGAAAAAAAAAACTCCTCCACGCCACATTCCCCCGGCCCCCCATGGTTATACCTCATGCTCATAAAATTTCATGCCACTTCAATACAACTCTACTCCGGCAAACTGTGATATGCACCTCTTACTGAGATGCACACTGCACGCGCTCAGCACCCGGATGCATGTCATCGTCCTCATCATCCATGCCACCCATGCCCCTCGCACGCTGCTGCTCGCCACTCGGGTCAACATCCTCGAGGGTAAAGTCCTCCGTCATGGCATCAGCAGGCGGCATACTCTCCGGGACCTTGCGCGGCGGCAAGACAGATTCCAAGGCACGGATCTGCTCCGGGCTCATGGGGCCTCCATCCTCGTTGTTACCAAGGCGCTCAGGGAACTTGACGTCGAATTGAATGTACAAGTTGCCAAAGTCGTGGTGGCGGTATGATGGCATACCCTGGCCACGGATGACCTTGACTTGGCCGGGGGAAATGCATTCACCCGGGATGATGTCGACGGTTAACCAGCGTTCGTCTAGGTGCTCAATGTGGATTTGGCCACCGGCGAGGGCGGTCAGGAGGTCGATCTCGGCGTGGTAGAAGAGGTCGTCGTCTTTGCGTTGGAAGCGCGCGTGTGGCTTTTGTTCGATTTCGAAGACTACGTCACCCGGTTCTACGCCGGGGAGTTGGTCACCCTCGCCGCGGAACTCGATCTTGTGGCCAGACTTGACACCGCGGTCGACGTGTACATGGAGGACTTTCCGCTCGATGATGGTCTTCTTGCCATTGCATTGCTTGCATCGGTCCTTGTCGCGGATGATTTCTCCTTCGCCCTGGCAGTCTGGGCAGACGGTTTGGAAGCGCTGGATCATGGGACCCATTTGGCGCATCATGTGCTTCATACCGCGGCCGTCACAGCCAGCGCACTTCTTAACAGCACCGTCCTTGCCGCCAACTCCGTGGCACTTGGGGCAGATGACGGATTTCTGAAGAGCGAGCTTGGAAACCTTGCCGCGGTAGACATCCTCGAGCGATACCTTGTGGACGTGGGAGATGGTTCGTGCCTTCTTGGGGCCTTGTTCCCGTCCTCCACCCATGCCACCGCCGAACATGCCGCCAAAGGGGCCGCCGCCGCCGCCGAAGAACTGCGCAAACAGGTCCTCAGCAGCCATGCCACCGCCTCCTCCCATGCCACCTTGTTCGAGGCCTTCCTCGCCATATTGGTCATATATTTGGCGCTTCTGCGGGTCTGACAGAACTTCGTATGCGTGTGAGAGGTCCTTGAACTTGTCGGCTGCCTCGGGGTTGTGGGCATTCTTATCGGGATGCCACTTGAGTGCTCCCTTCTTGTACGCGGTCTTTAGTTGGGACTCGGAGCAGTCTGGCGCTACCTGTTGTTGTTGTTAGACTTGCAACGTTCTGTGCTCGTGGACGAGGCTGTGCTTACCCCCAGGAGGTCGTAGAACTTTGTGTCTTTGACCATTGTCGCGGTTGGTGAGTGTGCGGCGGAGATATAGACGAGGGGCTAGCGGGGTCGTAAAAGTCGAGTTGAGGGACAATGAAGAGGGGTATGTGAGTTGGTCTGTGGAGAGCACGGATCGCGGTGTGCTAGTAATTCTTTATACAAGTCAGCGTCGAGCCTTGGGGCTGGTTTCGCGGTGAAGTAGTCGCCCAGATGCAGGTCAGCCTTGCAGGAGAAGGCGTGGGTAACTCGTCGAAATGATGACAAGGTGAATGAAAAGCGCTTACCGAGAAGTCGCCGCGGGAGTGTGTCGCGGTCGAGGAGTGAAGCACGGGTATCTGACTCGAAAGGCAGTGGTATGTGTGTATATTGATTGCGAGCAGAAGGCGACGCTTGTGGACTTAAAAGTAGTAACCGGGATGTTGCAAATGCACCGGCTGCGCCGAGCGAGAGAAGATTCCAAACAATTCCATGCCCTTCCATGGTCCCTCAACAGCCCAAGATTGCCTGAAAACTGCCATTCTGCCTGCCCAAACCACACGGCGATCTCCACAGTATTGAACCCAGCTCAACAAATTCCAAGTCCATCGTGCGATACCTATAATTCTAGCAAAAGTCGAGATTCTGGATGCGCATTTCTTGGGAAGCTTCGCTGGACGCACGCTCGGACCGCCTTTGCGTGAACCAATCAGGTCGAGAGCAGATCAGTAGGGCTCTTATCGCCGAAGATTGGCGAAGATCCGGTAGCCGGAAAAGGACCCTGAATTCGCCTTGCCTCTTGCGCCATCGCGCAGTCCCGGCATCAGCCACATGTAGAATTTGATCACTAGTCAAGGCTTGTAGAAGGTACATGTGCCTCAGGCAACGAGACCAAGGCAGCAATACACGAGATACAAACGTCATCAAGCTTGGCTCGGCATCAGGTATCCTCACAGCAGACACTAAAACCATACGTACCACGCAGCCAACCTTCATCTGTAGAAAGCTTTAACTGGTCCTCGCGCTCGAACCTCGGGTTGTCTATTGCATTCTAGAAACTTGTGGACGGTGGGTTTGCCTGAGGCATACGTCCAACGCAGCAGTCTGACAGTGCCGCTTTCTTTCCAGCAGACTAGTACTGAAAGCGAAGGTCGGCCTGGGCAGCGCAATGCATCGCGACCAGTTAACATGCAAGTTAGTATAGTCCTCATTCTTCGCAGCGATGTATTGAGCACGTTGAAGGCAAACCAGATCTCATTAATTGCAGCAAGTCTGCCCAGCCTCCTTACAAGAAAAAAGCCCATGACTTCAGCTCTGATACTAGCTTTACTAGGCAACGAAGCTCAATGGAATGCATCAGAGCTGCCATGACCTGTCATCATCAAGATGCCAGATACTATATTGGCAGCTGAGCCAACTCTCCCCTGGTAAACTTCATCCATTCCATCGCTGAGCACACATGCTCCTGATGTTTGGGCCAGAACACTCCGTTGACGTTCCCAACTTCATTACCCGCACAAGCTTGATCTGGGTTGAGATATTTATATTAGGTCAGTGTGCTACACCTGGAGGCAAAAGGTAATGATAAGTCCAAGGGAAGTGAAATAAGGAGATGTGGTTTGTGTCAAATCGACTTCCTAACTCAATGTCACAGTCGACGGTCAACCCACACCCGCTCGTTCCACTGCAACTTCAACGCCATTGTTTGCTTCACTCGAGACCTTACAGATCACCCTTAGAACCATTTCACCCACCCAAGTTCCGACAACCCCTCACCTTATTTGCCATGAGTAATGCGTACCCATATCAACTACCTCTACTTTGCATATACGACAAATGAGTACATAGTAGCACCATCGAGGTAAACCCGCTCCCCTCGCAGTTGCACCACAAGCGCACGCTGACCAGATGATCAACACCGTAGGAAACGACCTGAGATCGTGGAGTAGTAGCTCAAGATGCGTATTTAATTGAGTAAGAATGGTAAGAGCGCGGTTTCGTGATGAATTCTTCGGCAGACGTAGAGGAGATCGATCGAATCCTTGACCGAGAGCGTGCATCCAATACGCAGCTCGAAGAATTCCCGAACCGCCACTCGCTACTCTTCTTCCTTTCTGCGTCCACATAGAAACTGCGCCACGTTTCCGCAGATGCTCTGTCAAGACATACTGTGTCATGTTTATACAAGCTCCGCCAGTCCGTTCCAATACTTTCAGACAACTCGTGCCACTCGGCAACGCCAAACGTACCGCCCTACATATCCCAACAAGTTCCAGTGCCACCTCCGTAAGGGATAGTAGACCCTCCAAGACGCTAACTTCTATGCAAAAGAGCCCCAATCTCGAACCACATTCTACTCAGTCGCGTGGATGTAGCAGTAGAGGAGACTCTCACTGAGCATGCACCCTAATTACAAAACCTACCACCAAGTACCGACAAGCGAACCAACTACTGCGATGACAGTCAGGATATTAGTACCAACATTATCTCTAGTAGCGATGGAATTGGAAGTAGTAGAACCATTATTGTTGGGCGCCTCGATTCCAGCGTCGGGGTCACTCTTCGAAATGCCGCCTCTTTCAGTAGTAGCCGGACCATCGACAGTAGGATAGAGCAATGCCTGCACTATTTCCAAGGCGGCCATTTGTTCACCGACACCAAAGCTGCCGTCATTTATGCCATTGTCGGTCCATCGGAGACCGCACGATACCTGGTCTTCACCAGCATTACACTGGGCTGCAGCAGCCTTTGCTGAGGCCTTGAGCAAGGGGTCGATCTGGTCGCGTGTCCATGGAGCGATAATGGCCGTGTATCCTAGCCAGCGGGCAAGATATGCTTTGTAAGAGCGCTGGTCGATGTCGCACTTGCCATTATTCTCACAAGCGACTTCGCTCATAACGCCATCCTTGAAGAAGACGTCGACTCCGTTGACGATGCCTTGAAGTCTATCTTTCCACAGCTGGCTTTGAGTCTGGTTCATGTAAGCAAATGTGCGCCCATTCAGTAAGCCAAGACTGTCGTATACGTACAACGTTCCACATGGCAGCAGCACCGGACATGTGCACACCAGCGTTGTAGGTCCATTGAATGCGGTTGATGGTGGTACAGTTTTCAGAGTCGCCGGTGCCATCGAAGAAATGGAAATCTGAGCTCATGAGTCCTATAGACTGCTCCCATTCCCACGTCCTTTCGGCCCATTCAGAGTACGTATCGTTTCCAAGATACTTATATAAACGTGCAGCGATATTAAAGAAGCATCCATTAGAAATAGTGTTCTTGTAGTCGTATCCAGAGTTCGTGGGAAAGACCTGCCACTTAAGTCCGCCACCGCATCTCTCCGCATCCCATCGTTCGTGCTGGGTCTGGAATACGGCCTGAGTGAGAGAGATCCATGAAGGTCCGTCTTTGAGGTCGGGTAATTTGTTCTCAGCAGCCGACATGGCAGCCATGCCCCAGAAACCTTGGTCGTCGTTTCCAAGGGTTTTAGTTTGATTCGGTGGCATAAAGGCATTGTAGTCCCCAATCTGATGTTGCAGCGCCTGCTTCGTAATGGCATTATACTGGTCGTCTCCAGTATAATACCAGTAATCAATAAAAGCGTTGAACATGGCACCGCATTCCCACCAATAATACGGATCTGGAAGATTGCCGGGGACCCTGCCTGGCCTGTCACCAGTGTATTGCTTCCGCAGATTCGTCGAAAGTGCCTTTGCAGCGTTTTTAATCGAGTCTATGTCCATTAGCGCTATCTCGAGGCATATTCAAGAGTCAAGATACCTACCTGGTGAATTAACGTCCAGCTCAATAGCGCATACACCTGACAGTAATAGACTTGAGGCACAGACGCCCCCGAGGGCGTACCGAAGCTTCATGTTGTCGACCTAGAAGCCAGAATGACGTCCTTTGCGACCGTTTACAGGATGCAGCTGGGATCAAGCGCGAGGCTAGAGCCAATAGATTGACGCGCGATCCTTAGCACGATGCGCTTTGGAAGACCGGTCGGACGTTTGCGACGTTGCCTCTGGTCTGGTGGAATATGCCACTTCCAAGGTTGACGTCGGGAAGAAGGGCAAATCAGGGGGGCAGACGACGGCGCGGCACAAAAGGCAGGAACAAGGAGAAGTCTACATAACGGTATTCTCTAACCGAGCAAGACATCTAATTAAAGCCGCGCAGCCTATCCGAAACATGCAGCCAAGCGATTAAGGCATCCAAGCGGGCGGTGCAGCCGATCGAGCGGCCTACAGTATCCGTGCGTTCGATGGGCATGGTCGTTGGTTGGACACCCCCACCACCACCACAACAAAACTTCAACGCGTCATAACTCAACTAATATGGACCTGATTCAAGAAGCGATTGCAGAAATCGAATCGCGTGAACCAGGAGATGAATTCTCGTACCAAGCAATCGCGAAAAAGTATGGTGTACCACGAACGACGCTGATGAGACGACACAAGGGCGAATCCGAGACCTATGGCTTGCGCAAGCTCTCCCTCCATCTAGAACACGAAGCTGAGCTTGTACGATACATCAAAACGCTTACTGAACGACGTTTGCCACCTACAAGAACAATGGTACAACAGTTTGCCAGTGAGTTGGCTGGCAAACCGGTCTCCGAAACCTGGGTTTCCCGGTTCCTCCGCCGGCATCCCAACCATCTCATCTCTCGCTCGGGCAAAGCCATGGCCAAGGAGCGGACCAAAGCTGATTCAGGAGCCAAGTACAGCTTGTATTTCAAGCTTTTACATGAAAAGATGGAGGAGTACAACATACAACCCATCCATATATTCAATATGGACGAAAAGGGATTTCAACTTGGCCGGGTTGGCAGAACAAAACGTATATTCAACAGGAGACTCTACGAGCAAAAAGGGGTAAGGCAAGCACTTGAAGATGGCTCCACCGAGTGGATAACGGTAATGGCTTGTATTTGTTCGGATGGCAAAGCTTTGAGTCCAACTCTCATCTTCCAGGGAGCCAACGGAGCTGTTCAATCGAGCTGGATTGATGCTGTACAAGCAGGAGAACACTCAGTATTTACTACGTCATCACCCTCTGGCTAGAGCAACAACGATATTGGGTTAGCTTGGCTCAAGGGGGTGTTTGAGAGAGAAACTAGACGGCATGCTTCAACCGGGTATCGATTACTACTCCTTAACGGCCACGGATCCTATGTAACTATGGAGTTTATTGACTATTGTAACGACAACAAGATCCTCTTGTTTGTACTGCCCCCTCACGCTACCCATACGCTTCAACCCCTCGACGTTTGTATGTTCAAACCCCTCTTGAACGCTTACTCAACTCAGTTGGCTGGATACCTTCAGGACAGCCAGGGGTTGCTCAATTTGACCAAAGGAGACTTCTTCCCGCTCTTCTGGAGGTCCTGGAGCTCTGTATTCAAACCTCCACTTATCCAGAGGTCGTTTGAAGCCACCGGTATATACCCACCCAACCCAGAGGTTGTACTTAAGAAGTTTGCCAAGGAAGCTTCAGATTCTGACAGCAGCCAGTTAGTCCTCTCTAGTGAGGATTGGCTCAAGCTCAAGTCAATCGTACGCCGTAAGGTGAAGGATTAGGGCAGTAAGGACGTTAAGAAGCTTCAACGAAGTTTGTGCTACATCGCAGCTCAAAACAGTATACTCCATGAGGAGATCAGGGGCCTCAGGCAGTCCCTAGCTATCAAGGAGAGGCGAATAAAGCAGTCCTTCACCCTCCAGCTTGATGAGGACGAGGTTTACCACGGGGGAGCCAAACTGTGGTCGCCCAGGAGTGTACAACGAGCTCGCGATCGTCGGGCATCACAACAACAACAACAGGAGCTTGAAAAGCTTCAAAAAGCCGAGAAAGCCGAGGCCGACAAGGCAGCTCGCCTTTGCAAGCTTCAACTCCAAAAAGCAAAGCGTGTTGAACGAGAAAGAGGTTGGGAGGAGACTAGAAAGCGGAAGGCTGCAGAGAAAGCCGAAAGAGACCATCGTAGAAGCCTCCGCGACGCTGCCAAAGCTATACAATTGCCACAATCGGGTAAGCGCAAAGCTTCAAAACCTCATAAGCCAGCTACAAAGCGTCAAAAGCGTAGTGGTGTTGCTCCAGCTGTGGTGGGAGCCGCAAGGGTTGCACCAGCTGCTCCACCGCGTAGTCGCCGTGAACGGGTGATAACGCCCTCCAAAAAAATATCTGAATAAGCTAAAACTTTCGTAGGCCTGTATATAGTATAATCCCAGCTTTGCGCAATTTAATTACGATTTGTGGTGGCTCTACAACCTCATCTTTTTGAATATATTGTTGTTGTTGGGGTGTCCAACCAGCGACCATGCCCATCGAACGCACGGATACTGTAGTAACACCAGCAGGACGTGCGCGCAGCAACGCGCGCAACACTACAACGCGAACCTCAAACTTTTGCAATAAGAAATCTTTGTTCAGAAGTCGCTGTTATCTGCACCCTTAATTTCCACCTTGAGAGTGTGGAAGTAGTGCCCAATTTCGCCGCAACAGCTGCAGCGTCGCCCTAGAGCTACGCGCACTCTCTTCGCCAACTCCTCACGCCCTTTACAACTACCACCCTCTCCTTTAGCAATTAAGCCAAGTATCAACAGTTTTTAATTTTCTACCTCCTCGCGCGCAGCGCCGCTTGTGAGTCTCCCACCTAGTGAGCATTTCTTCAAGGCCACATCGCTACGCGCGTCACGACCTTCTTATAAGCTATCCGTTGCGCGCCTTGTTTAAGCTGTCGCACTTATTTTTCACACGAAGTTACCAGAGACCCTCGATGGGTTTGCATCCTGCTTGATATTCGGGTCGATTGCGCCTCTATTTCTTTGTCGTTGCGCAGTGTTTTCGCTTCCAAGCGATATCATCTTACTGTTTATTTATTCTACTAGCAAGCCCAAGTATTACCTTCTACTTCGGAGTTGTGGGCTGTGTTAGTGCTTAATACAAAAAGGAAATGTTTTATTAGAAATCGATCCTTCAGGGCCCTTCGAGGCAGTTCAAAATAGTCGATTGGGGCCCCAGCTTCTCAAGCTCCTCACCCACAACACCAAGAAACCGGAACGGGCATCTGGAAGGACAATCAGGAATATAGCAGAGAATCAACAACTCAGCGAAAGTATGTTTGACGCTTGCGTCCATCTCGCGATCCCCTACGAAGGCTTTAAGTTGGAAGCCAAGTTCGAGATGATGACATTAATGGACTTCGATAAGCTTCAACATTTTCTCAGCAAATAATCTCGACCACGATACCATGCAACACATACCTGCAAGTACGCAAAGCCACTCATTAATGAAACATGTCTTAAATACAAAGAACTTGCAGATTTGGAGATGCAACGACTCATCATTGGAGCTGTCCAAAACAAGAAGTGCGCTCCACAGCTAGTCAGAAAGAAATGAACTTTCGCTTACGAGAAGTTCTCGGAGTACTTCGGCAGATGGTCGAGAATGAAGAATATGTGACCGTACCGGTTATGTTGATGGTCGAGGGGGCTGACGCTCTTACGTCGAATGGTATACATCTCATCCTCAGTACGATGGACAGTCCTACCATAGTGACTGTCCTTGAGAAAGTGAGAGATAAGCTTGACTTTGGACTCACAATTACTCGAGCCGCTCTTATGGATCCAATGTATCGCCCAGCAACTTTGAAGTTACTGACGAGCCACCCTGATTTTGACGAGACCTATGTTGACGAGCAAACACTAGTGCTAGCAGCGAGATGAGGCCAAAACGGTTAGGAAACACATAAAGCAGATTTCCGAGAGACATCTCAAGGAGATCTGTTGGACAAACTAGCTGGAGGCGGCTACATAGAACGAAGAGCTTACTGAATTGCTGAGCGACATGTATACACCCGAAGTGTTCACAACGCGCATCATCACTGTGGTCTTACAAAACTGGAAGACCTCGAGTATGCTCATCAAGAAACTGTCGGACGATAGGGTGTGAAGTCATCTATTGTATGGAATGATGCAGCTGCGTTGTGTGCCATACGCCAGATGGATTCGGATACCATTGCCAAGCTCATGGGGTCAAAAGAAAAGTCTTCGCTCAAGGTTCTGCAAGCGGCTGCCAGTAATTGGGATCATGGCGTCGAGGCGGTCGAGCTTCTTATGAACGCTCTCTACAACGCCGTAGCGAAGCACGACTCTGTACCTAAGGAGATTGCTAGGTCTGCGGCAGCCAACTGGAAATGTGGATTCGACATCTTGAAAAGTCTCAAAACAACGTACAAGAAGACGCGAACCGTGACTACCAGTGTCCTTTAAGCAGCGGCCGGTAATCCGAGGCACGGTGTGCGCATGATGGAGTTTCTCCTTGACCCTGGAGACATTGGAGACGTTACACTGCCCGTCCTGGTTTCGGCAGCAGCGAATATAGGCTGTGGGGCAAGCATGACAAGAAAGCTGCTTAACAGAGCTGCAGTACGAGCGAAACATCTTATAACCCAAGGAATACTCAACACAGCAACAGAAAACGAATGCTGTGGAGTGGAAGTGCTGAAGAAGCTCGCAAAATGTAAAGGTGTAGAGTTGGACAACTCGTTATTGCGGTGCGCGGCAGGTAACGCCACCAGCGGCACCATGTGTATGGCGATAGGTCTACAGTCAAGCAGAGGACACCCCAGAGCGGCTGTGACGCCCCGACAACCACGCAAGGACTGAGTACCCCTTACTGAGCACACATTTCAGGCGGGTATCAGGGGTGTCCTTTTCCGGATGTAGAATTTGATCACTAAGTCCCAGGTGTGGGAAGGTGCCTCAGGCAGATACTTGGAGAAACAATCGGACATTACATCTTCCTAAACTACAGCCATTTTTATTCGAGACAACAGGGACAATAAACAGTCGTAGCGTTTTATTCCTATATATATCTCATAGTTGAAGTATGATCATCCTTTGTAAGTATAGGTAGAGTATGTTACAAGGGGTTACGCTTAGGGAGTTATCGCATAGCTATACTACAGTTGTATTTAATAGAAGGCTAGACTCTTGTCCAATCTTATGTTAACCTAACCTAGTCGTCGCCTAAGCATAGTGGCACTTGAACTAAGCTGCAATGCCGCCTTTGAGCTTTTGCTAGGAGATAATGTCATACTAACAGCAGCTCTACGTTGTATCTTGATCGGTCAGGCTGTATCGCTATAGAAATTCTTTTACACGCTCAAATGCAGCCTTGCATCCAATTCCCTGCTCTACAATACCCAGATCCTCCATCGACAAAAAGTCGTCAGCCAAAGGAGTCGTCCAGTCCGTAACCAATTCTCCAAATTCCATCTGTCGTGCAAATTCGTTACCGCCGACACCCCATAGCTCCTCATACTGCTTCTTGCCGACTTCACAGTATACGGCCTCACGACCACTCACTTCAGACCAGAGGTTCAAAATCTCTCCAAAGGTCAGCTTCTCTGGAGCAACACTAGCGTATTTTCCTAGAGTCTTAGGATAGTTGGCAAGAATCTGACGAACCCAGATACCGGGCGTAACAGCCATGTCGCCGGCGACTGGGATCTGGGAACTGGCCCGAGTAGGAACAAATTGAGCGTATTTTCCATTGGCACCGGGCTGAGGGGTTTAGTCTCGGCTATGGATGACAGTCAGGGAGGATCTTACGTATTCGATTGGCTTGAGCATAGGAAAGAATGCCATGTTTGTTGGGTAGTAACCGAAAAATAAGAAAGTGGTCTTCCTTCCCAGCTCAGGTAGCTCCCTCTTGATACGCTCATCGACCTTGGACTTGTAGTCCAAGTGTGGGACTTCTACTTGTCCTTTGGTTAAATCTCGGGCGCCTGGGAGTGTAGACCAGATATAGTGCTCGACAGTAGGAGTACGAGAAACTGCGCGAGCAAGCCGCATAGCTTGCTCTTCTTCAATCTCGCCAGATTTCGACTGGGAATTACCAGTAAAGATATACTCCCAGAAGTTAGTGACGCCAAACACCGCATGAACACCCTGTCATACGTCAGTTTGTGTGGGAGGACTGTGCTTGAAGCAGGACAAGGTATCTGTCTAGCATACTTCAAAGCTCTTGACCAAAGAATCTTCATCGTCAAAGTTGGCCTGAACCACTTCTGCGCCCCGAGAAGCAAGGTCATGGGCCTTTTGGCTGTTTGCATTCCTTGTGATTGCACGGATTTTCCATCCGGGGGTATCGAGTAAGATGTTGGCAACTCCTCCACCCTGAGATCCCGTAGCTCCAGTGATGGCGATGATTTTAGTCATCTTGTGCTGCGGCTAAAGATTGGAGGAGGGGAAGAGGATAAGAGTGCCAAGATTGTGACCTATTGGTGCTTGGAGTGGAAGCTGTGAGCACCTGAATAGTACTCAATGCCCACTACTTATATTAATCCCGCTTCTGCTTTGAAACGCATGTTAAAGCTTGTTCACTAGCGCCAATGAACGGGCTCGCTGCTCCGAGATCTCGAGAGAGAAAATGCACATCACTGCCCTCGAATTCAATACTCTTGGTCGCTAGGTTGCGATCTACGCTGATTGGCGCTGAATGGCTTAGAACGCATATATCGAGATGCTGTCGCTTGGTAATATCTTTAACCTTTTGCTTCAGCAAATTACATCTAGGTATGTCCCACATCCGAATCAGCTTTACATTACCAAAGTCAAAGTAAGTTAGTATATGTCAGCGCCAAGTAATAGCTTAGTACGGAAGCTGTATCTTCCGACTACCGTGTCTGTGCGCGCTTTGCACATAGTTGATTCATACGCACCCTACTATAATAACTGCCTATACTAACCGCATTACGACTACAGGTTTCTCGTCCTGCGTAGGGCATTTGGAGTACTACTTATTAGTTAGTCTGAGAAGCACTAAAAATAGGTTGTACGCCAAGGTTCCCATCCAAAAGTTACATCTTATTGTTGAAGTACGGATTGCTAGTGATCAATCAATGATTCCAAAGAGAGCATGAAAGCAGCTTCAATGTAAGCGCTCGACTCCTTTCCCGTTCTCTCGTTTCGATGGGCAGGCCTCATGAACTGACCGTCCGACCACCAAAGCACTTGGAAGATTCGATCAACCTTAAAGATATCTCCTCAGGAGCGGTGTCCTTGATCTTCTATACATAGAGTAGCTTTGTACGTCTTTAGCAGAGCTGTAGTTATGTCTTCAAAGCACGGCTTGTTTTACCCAGAAAGATGAATATTGTAGTGCCTGATATTAGTTCTAAGTATCATGACAACGTCTAGAACCCAAAGTTCGGCTAGTACCCAATCCCTTCGCCACGAAGAACATCCCCTTTGAGTGTTGATACCATTCACGATGATGAAACTATTCCTGTATACTTCCACTTTATTGAAACTCTGTATACACCAAACCATCTCTCAGCACACTCGTCTTACTTTTCCATCTCATCTCCCGCGTCCTCCAAATACCCCCCACCCCCCAAGTACCTCCCTCTCCCCCCAAAACAGCCACTCCCCTTCCTGTCCCTCGCCATACTTGCCCATGCCCTCTCTCCGTCCCCGCTCGCCCAACTCACCCCATCTCATTAAAAGGTTCCCGTCTAGCACGCCTCTCGCTCCAGTCCCCGCGTCCCAACCCCCCTCATTACTCATCTCGCCTGTGCGAAACGCGCGAGGGTTTAGACTCGCAGGACTATCCAGTGTATTTGCGAGGTAAGCGGTTAGATTTGAGAGGCGACGGTAAGAATCTTCGGACAACGGGGTTATGAGGGCGAGGGTTCCGGACTGAGTCGTGTGGAGGATTTGGTGGAGCGGCTGTTTGGGCGTGGACGGTGATGGTGATGGGGTGGTGTCGTCTTCCATGTCGCCGTCGTCGTTGATAGGGTCGGTTGTGAAGGTATCTGTTGTTGATGGCAAGTTCAGATGACTTGTGACGAGATGCAATGATGTGGGGAAGTGGCCGGTGTGGAAGGTGGATTTATGCAGGAGGCGGGATCCGGCTTCTGATTTGGGGTCTGTTGGATATGTTAGCGATCTAGTGTTTGTGATTGGTCGAGGAGGGTGAGGAGGAGAGGCAGAGGCAGCGAGACTACCACCATCCACCCCTCCACCTCCCCCACCTGGGTAACATACTGTCAGGATCAAACTGGAGCATCTGTAGATTCATGTCTGCATCCGCAACAACAAGATGAAGTTGTTGATCAAACGGCAGAAACTCTACCGCAACAGTCTCCAAACCATGTTTCGACCGTGCAAAGAGGGACATTTTATATGGTTCTTCCTATTTTTCTTCTCGTTAGTATAGATTTCAGACACGAGCGACCTATTCTTCGTCGTCAAGTGATCATAGCAAAAAAGATCTTCCACTTACTGTGTAGCCCGTAAACCAAACACCTCGATACGCATCAGCCATGGCCAGCATACCCGTCCCTGGCAAATTCTTCAAGTCACTAACGTAGCATTGCATATCCACGAACGCGACTGGAAGCAACGTCCCATCTTCCTTGAGACCTCTCACCATGCACTTCTGCCCCTGCGCCATGATCAAAAACCCCTGTGTACCCAGTCCTGAGATGGCAGACACGGCACCTTTAACTTCATCTTTGACAATCAACTTCAGCCGTTTATTTGTCTCCGGGCGATCAGGCTCGGGTACCACGGTGATGACTTCGAAGATGCGTATACACCCCTTCGTAGCGAGATCTTCGCCGTGGACAATGGAAGTACCAACGGCAACAAGGTCTTTGCGTTGATGCGTGGTTTCGCTGACTTCGAGGTTGAGCGTCTTGATGCTGAGGACGACTTCTTGGGGGTCGAGCGTGTGCGTATCGATGATTGCCCAGGATTTCTCGTCTACGAGTTTGATGACGCCGCGTTCGATGGTGGGCTTGAACGTCATGTCTTCTTTGGGTAGCTCGTAGTGGTATGTTTCACTCGGGTCCAGCTGGTACTCTTCCTGTTGGCCTGTTCCGACGATGTACAGACCGGCTGGGTGGTAGGCGAGGGCATGTACATCTGCGTCCATGGGCATGCGTCGTGTTGGCCAGCCGAGGTGGCCGTAGTGTGTTTGAGGCGGGAGTTGGGAAATGCGAAGTGTGTGTGTGGAGTCCAGGTACGCGAACCCGCGCTGACAGTTCGACGTGTGGAATGAGGTGAGGCTCTTGACGGGCTTGCCGCTAAGGCCAATAACGCGAGGTGCGCTCGATGACTCTTTGAAGATGAAGGCTGGGGTTGTACCTCGTTGGAAGACAGTACTGTAGCCGCAAATATCATCTAATGCTAATAGCGTACTCTCAAACCCTGGGTCTTCTGAGCCTGTGTCTTCGATGTATCTCGGCACGTGCTGCTGGGAGAGTTTGACCCATCGCAAGTTCTGAGTCCAGAGTTCTGAAGCAGACCGTGATGGAGAATGGAAAGCCTTGTAGATGACGAGATTGTCGTTCGATGTGCGGATCTACAGGACTGTTAGTTACCAAGAATTGTGAACCAGGAGTAAAATCTTACGATTAGATGAGGCGACTTGGAGGTCGCATCACCCAAATCCGCGGCCAGAATCTCAGTGATGGTCGCTTTGATCGCACTGCGCTTGGGCACATAGTCCATCACTAGTACCGGCGGCAAAAAGCTCAAGGCCTCAGCAACATAACACGGCTTTTCCATGTCCGACATGGCAAAAACGCGCAGACCCCCTTCTGGAGTCAGCAGAAAGGCAAAGACATCCGTGAAGCTGGAAGATTTAAACAAACTGGCCGAGAGCCATTGAGTTCCTGACAAACCCGTCGCTTCAACATCTTCAAGTTCGCCGTCACCAGTGGCTTTGAAAATCTTGACGCTTGAGTCTTCGCGTAAGATGAGGAGGTACGGGTCTGCGAAACTGGCGTTGATGACGTTGAGTTCGTTGCCGGTTTCTTCGTCTTCCATGGGGAGGATTTGATCCATGTTCAATTCTGTTTGAGCGTATTAGTGTGGCAACGCGGATGATGGACACGATCTGACATACCCGAGTCATATGTCCTGACTTCGGTTCGCATTACCTGCACGACCTTTGTGCCGGCTGCCAACACACCTACGAAAAGAGTCGAGCCTTCTTCACGCTCAAAGTCACCCTTGTCAGTTTCTGAGAGTTCGTTGCCGTTGACTTCGTACACGACAGTGCTTTCAGTGCCGTCTTCGCCGACCTTGGAAACAACCAGATACTGGTCATAATCCACGTCGGTAGCCATATTCGCTTCGGTGTCTTCACCAAACGCAGCGGTAACATCTCCGGGGGCTTGCTTCCGAGCATGCACAGCCCAGACGCCATGCGCTGATGGAAGCTCCTTTGTAGCCACACTGACAGGATGCAGTTCACGGTCAAGAGCGGTAATGGCTCCAGCAGCCCCTCTACCTGTTGACAACATGATCTCGCCCTTGTTCAAGGATTCGGTGTCTTTGCCAGGGTGGAGGATGGCGGCTTTAATCGGCGCTATGCTTGGCAAAACGTCGTGTATCCTGAAAGTATATGTTCCTGGCGCTGTGGGTTCAGATACAGCTGCAGTGATCTTCTGGACTGCGGGTGCTGTATCATTGTAAAGGTCGTCCTCCATGTCATCCACATCCTCCTCGTCAGACATATCTTCGTCGCCGTCGGAATCAGCATGTGATTGCTTTCGTCGTAGTTGGGTGGATGTGCCAGTCCAACCTAGCATTACCGATTCCCCATCTTCACTTCCGATGAACAAGCGCCCTCGACCGAGGTTGCTGGTACAAGAAGCAGCAGCTTGAAGGACGTGACCACCATGGTCTTCCGACACGGTCTGTATAGTCATTCCAGATACGGTACGGCCGTCTAGAGTGAAGGTAAGAATGAGGATGCGCCCGCTGTTGAGTACGATCATGACATCACCAGTGTCCTGCGACAAGAGCTCAACCTGACATCCTTCCAGACGCAGGGCCAGGTCTGACTGGTCGCTGAGTGGGAACGAGGTGCAGGCCTTGGCAAATTCGTTGACAGCCACGCCATTTGTCTTTCCTCCCTGGTCGACATGTATGATCTCGTTGCCTCCTACCAAAAGAGCACCGCCGATTGGAGACGGCAGTGGTACCACTTTTGTGATGTCGTAGGGGAGTCCGGAGACTGATAGAAGGGTGGTGGAAGCCTTTTGTTCAAGATCGAGGGTAAAGACGGAGTAGGTGAGGATGTCTTTTCGGTGGGCGAGTAACGACGGAGCGGTAGCTCGTGAGGCAGCGACGATGCCAAAGGTAGGTTCGCGGTACTCGTGCAGAAAGGCGAGGTGGACGGGGTGTGTGAGGGTGGGGTCGAGGTTGGTGAGTGGGAGGACAAAGGAGGAGGAATATGGTGTCTTGTGCTCGACGGCGTGCTCAGCCTTGGTCTCCTTGGGAGCTTCGGCATCGGAATCATAGTCATCTTCGACAAGATCACGCTGGCGAAAGGGCAGGATGGCGAGGTTGTGGGTGCCAAACTTGAGGGCGGCGCATCTGCTGCTGGGGTCTGCCGTCAAGAAGTTGTACGTATCTTTGAGATCAGCGGACCAAGGTGCAATGCCGGGCAAGTCTGGGTTCTCATAGTAGTGTATTGATATTGTATGGAGGTTGTACGTCTCCGGGTCCCACTCTACCAAACTGAGCTTTGCATCCCGAAAGGCTACCAGCAGCGCCTCGCCCTTTGACTTTGTATTGAGCGCCTTCACGCGCGCAAGCGATATGACTGTGCCGGCGAGGGGGAATTCACCCACCAGCACCAGCTTTGCCGTGTTCTCGGTGCGCTGCAATGGCACGTCGGCCGCCTCTGTGTCGAGGTTCGCGGCTGCATTCTCCGACTCGTCTCCTCCGCCCGGGGTGACCTCGGTGGTGGTCGACTTGAGTTCGAAGATCTGGAGTAGCGAGTTCTTTGCGACGACTAGGTTGTTTGATCTAGAGTGCAGGAAGGGAAGGTTGATGGCATGGCTGACGGCGGTTGGCGGGGCTATTTCAGTGTAGCACTGCATGATGGTGGTGGAGGAGGCTATCCGCAATGCTTCTCATGGCAAGGCTACTTTCTTGATGTCAGCCGGTGGATAACTTGATCGCAATCGCAGTGTTGGCCCGAGATGTCGCGTCAAAGAGCTCATGCGCGATTCCTGTCTAGCGCGTTGGAGCTCTAGACATGTGCAGGGGTTGGAGACGAGCTAGCTGTTTCGGGAATGGTCAGCGGCTCAGAGCAAGGTTCTAGGCCGCCAGACGTCATGCCCAAACCGCGCTCTTCTACCTGGAATCCCCTCTTCTCAACCCCAAAGTAATAGCGACTGCTGTATCATCATGGCGCTGATACAGACCTCTCTTATCTGGGTCGCCTACGCCGTGGCCGTAGGGATTCTCTTCCTCATCGCGTCCACATTCGTCTACGTCTACCAAAAGCCGCGCGATCGCGCTGCTGCCGTCACCATCGTCTGCATCTTCACCACACTCGCGCTGCTTGCAACCGTCCTGCTCATTCCCGTCGACGTCGCTCTCGTCTCGTCTACCTCGAGATCCAGTCTCGGCCGCAAGAAGGACTGGGCGACGCCTGAGAAGGTCGACAGCATTGTCTACACGCTGCGCATCGTCTACTACACCCTCTACTCGCTCGATGCGATTCTCTGTCTTCTAGTCATCCCTTTTACCTACTTTTGGTACGAGGAATACGATGAGGATGCGGCTGAGCACGGCGAGCAAACCGCTGGCCAGCGCATTGGCGGTGCTCTGAAATGGACTCTCGGCTTCCTCATCTTCGTAGTTGCCATCTTCCTCGTTGGCTTCTTTGTTCCTTTCGCGAAGCAGGCCAAGGATGATAAGCGCCTTGATCTCGACTACTTCAAGCACCTGCTGTCAGAGAACCGTAAGCCCCCATACTCGCCTTGGTAATTTGTCCTGACTCCACCAGATGGCGAACGCGCCCTATCCTTTGGCCTCGGCTTCCTCATCACCGTCGGAACCGTCCTTTTCGTGCTCTACACCGGCGCTGGAATGGCCCTCCTCCCCGTCGCCATGATCAAGTCCGCGCCCTCCGTCTCGGCCCCAACACTCGCCGCAAACACAGCATCCCAGCTAGAAAACAACCGTGAGCGCCAGCGCCAACTCGAAGGCCGCAACGAAGGCAGTGAAAACGGCCTGGACAGCAGAGACAGACGCGAACTAGAAGCCCTCGTCCGCGAAGAGCGCACCCTCATCCGTCGCGAGCGTCTTGCCGCCGAATCTAGCGGCGAAGACCGCCACTGGATCGTCAAGGCATGGATCAAAACTGAAGCCTTCTTCCGGCCCCTTAAGCTCGTCGGCGGCCTCATCCTCATGGTCTTCGCCCTTGTCATCTTCGCCAGCATGCTCATCACCGGTATCGACAAGGCCAAAAACTCCATCTGCGGCGCCCACTGCGGCTACATCCTCGGCCACATCAACATCTTCCAGCCCCTAAACTGGATCCTCGTCAAGTCCGCCAAGGTCTTCCCCATCGACTATGTCCTCTTTCTCCTCCTCGTCTTGTTCTTCTTCTCTGCCTCTGTCGTTGGTGTTGCGACGGCCGGTATCAGATTCCTTTGGATCACCATTTTCAAGATTCGCAAGGGACATACTTCGCCTCAGGCACTGCTCATGGCTACCGTCCTCCTTACGCTCATCACCCTCGCCATCAACTACTCCGTCGCCATGGTCGTCGCTCCCCAATACGCTACCTGGGGCCCGCAAACATACTGCGACATGAAGACCAACTCTCTCGACGAACAACCCGATTGCACTGAGCATAAAGACCTCATCAAGCCCTGCAGCGAACTCGCCACTAACCCCTCGGCGCAGAATGTCTGCACGCCCTCGGTCCTTTCTACCTTTATAAACCGTGTCACAATCAACTTCCCCTTCTTCGGTGTTGTGCTCTTCTGGGCCCAGTTCGCCTTTTTGGGTGTTTACCTTGTTGTTTTCCTGACTACACTGTTCAAGGCGCCATCCCTCGACCAGGAGCAAATCGACCGCGACCTTGAGGAGGAAGAGGAGGAGGGTCTCTTGGCTAGCACTGGGCGTAGATTTGGTGCTGCGTGGAGTGATGTCACTGGTCGCGCCAGGAAGCCTGCGGGCTATGGCGCTACTGACAGAGACGACAGGATTCAGTAGGTGCAGTGTAAGGTGAATCTAGCAAGGTTGAGTGTTAAAATTGTTTGATGGGTTTCGAGAGTAATCAGGGTGGGGTTTGGTATATGTGTTATTGGAACTTTTTCCTTGTTTTGGCTCCAGGTTGCATGCTTTTCAAAGCTTCTTTCTTCTTGTCTCAATTTGTATGATACCTCATTTTTGCGAATCTTTACGCATACTTACGGAATGCACAATCAAGTTTTTAAGTTTTTAGTTTCTTTGGTCTTGCTTTCATAACGTAATGTTCTGATGAGTGGTGTTGCCTAAACATGGTAGGTATGGTACTACTACACTTATGGTCTTGTGTTAGTAGAAAGCGAGGTGACGGCATCTTTGAACCAACCGGCATACGTTGAATCTTGCAATCACCTCGATTAGCTGGCCCCTTGGATGCGTCTTCATATATATGTAGTCTAGCTTCTCCCTCTCCCTCTCCCTCTCTCCCTCCCTCTCTCTCCCTCCCTCTATCCTCCTCTCGGCTACGTATCTCCCGCGCTTCTCTGCTGCTGTTATTCGGCCACCTCAAGCGCAAGTCAGCATGCCTAGTCGTAAGCGCGCCGCGTCGCCCCCGACTGGCGCACCGTCTGCGAAGAAGACGAAAGGATACATTGCTCGTTGTGATGCTGCGGCTCGAGATCAACTTCTACAAGACCGTACTCGGCTTGAGGAGATATAAGATTCTTGACTCTCGTTAACGGAGTCTGCAACTAATAATCGATATCAGCACTAGGCTCAACGCTGTCTAATCTCCTCTTCTCCGCCTTTCCCCTGAGATTAGGAACATGGTTTACAACTATTTTTTGCGATATCATGTTCCACCGCGATAAGTCGTCCTACCTTATGTTTATGTGTAGCAGAGAAAGGTTCTACAACGATGTCGACAAATTCAAGACCGAAGTACTGGAGGTCAAGGACGCTGTCGAAATGGAAGAATCCTGGGATCGAGGCCTGGGTCTGCTCAGTGCATCTCGTCAGCTGCATCATGAGACAACCCTACTGCCTTACAAGCTTGCAACTTTCTACTTCGGAAACAGAAGCCTGCTTGTTCTACGTAAGTTCTTATAGAAGAGATCAATGGCGTAGATCGAGGCACTTGGTAGATTGAAGGTGGACGGCTTCTCTCGGGAATCCTCGACGTGGGAGACAAAGACGGGAACCGGTGCATACTGGGCCGCAGAACTGGGTTGCGAGAACTTCTCGCCTAGCTGTTCTTCAGGTAGTCGATTGAGCTTTGAGCTTCACGAATTGCGATCTCGCAGGTGAGATGGCTTTTCCCAGTAGTCACTGTCTCTACAAAACTAATACAGGACTTATTAATACGGCTGCATCACGATGTGTGTCCACTCCTTCCTTCATACACACACAAGCAAACCTACGACGATCATGCTACTGAAGGTTCCTCTTCATGTTTTTCTTGAAGCTCATAGCAAGAAGCGTGCACGATATACGGGTCATGAACGATCTGACAGCTGTGATATGAGTGGTTTTGCAGATACATCGCAGAGGCATAATACTACTGGATATATTCTAAGACGATACAATATATATGTACCCCTCAAGGTAGGTGCTCACTCTCTGCTATTACTGTATGTGTCTTAGAAAGGCGGACCAACGCGGAGGTGAAGGCGGTCATTTGCCATGACGCGTCCTTGAGGGGACTGACCTGACTTCAAGTTCACGCTCACCTTCGTTACCTAGCAACCAAATCATTTGTCTTTGTTTCCATTTATTCTCAGCGATTACTCTTACACCCTTTGCTACTCATTGGTGCATCGCCTCCAGCTAACACACTTCACGATACTGTCAACGCCTGGATAACGGTTCAGTATGGCGCCTCGAAAGTCCACAGCTTCACTCCCGGTTAGTGCTCTATCTGCGAGGAAAAGCCGCGATGATAGAGCTCGTCGGAGGGATGCCGTTCGCGATCCAGGTCTGCACGACAGGATGTAAGTTTTCCGGTTCGGATTAGACGAGTGAGCAGCGCTAATACGACATCGTAGTACGCAGCTCAACGCTATCAACTCGCCTCTTCTTCGCCTGCCAGCCGAACTGCGAAATCAGATCTTCACCTATGTCTTCAGCGGCGAAGAATACCGTTCCTTGGGCAATGAACGTGGGCCTATCACCTGCCGTATCTCATCGTTTCAACACAATGGTCTCGGTCCCCTACTCGTCTCCCGTCAGCTCTACATCGAAACTGCCATATTGCCGTATAAGCTTGGCACATTTCGTTTCATGTTTGACGATTCTTACTCCGAGAAGGAATGGTCGTGGTACGTGAAGAGGTTTCTTGAAAATAGGTCAACGGCACGGATCAAGGCAATTACTAGCTTGCAAGCTACCGAAGTTTCTTGGGGAGGCCCGCAATGGATTTGGGATATGAATGGGGTAGACTGGGTCAAGGAACTGGGTATTTGGTAGCTTCAAGAGGAAGTTACTCTAAAGGTATGATGAAGCGGCACTGATAACATGAATCGGATCTATTTCTGGACTGTTTGTGTCCGAATTAGAGAACGGCCATATGTCTGAGTCGGTGCAGGTGTAATACGGCGAGGAGAGGGCTCCTCATGACTTGCTTTCTCCTCGAAAGTACTTTTGTATCTGGTGAGACTACAGTACAACCTTCGTTGCTGTCACGACTCAAACACATATGATGACGAACTCTTCCTGTCTTTGCTGTGTATTTCCTACAGGGGTGGCCAAAGTGAATGAAGAGAGTGGCAATGAATGGTGAAACCTGGCAGATGTGAATGACCTGGAGCGGCATCCACTATTCCTTTTATGGATAGCTACCCTAGAGAGTGCGTTATCTATACCACCTGGGTAGCCCGCACTCAACTCATGTACACCTTCCTTCTTCGTATCACCAAATTACTCGTAACGTCGGCCGCACGACCTGACATGGCCTCTAGAAAGCGCTCAGGATCGTCTCCTCCTACCGAAGCCCAGTCCGCGAAGAAACAACGCGCCGACAGGGCGAATCGAAGGGAAGCGGCTCGCGATATTCGCGAACAAGCTCGTCATGATGAGATGTAAGTACCCACCATGCTCTAGTAAGATTAACGACTGATATGTCATCGTAGTACCAAGTCCAACACCGTCAACTCGCCGTTTCTTCGACTGCCAGGTGAAATCAGGAACATGATTTACGCCTACATCTTTACCGACACATTATACATCTTCACAGACTTTCATCTAAATGGCGAAGCACAAGGGAGCGATATCGACTTATACAAATTGTTCGAAGAGAATGACATGAGTCTACTTCTGGACTCTCGTAGGGTTCATAAGGAGACTGCTCTGCTTCCCTACAAGATGAGTATATTTGCTTTCGAATTCGAAGGGGAATGGAGACACTGGGAGTATGTAAGGGAGTTCTTGGAGAGTAGATCGAGAGCACAGATCTTGGCTATGAGGAGACTGGAGATCTTTTACGGCGGAGTTGGGTTGGTAGGTTTTTCACATCGCATGGAGACAAGCAAGTGGTGGTACAAGAGTTTGGGTTGCGTAAAGAGCTAGTTGCCAACCTGGCTAATCATGGTATATCCTGTCGAGGTGGATGTTTGCCCTACAGCAAAGACGGCGGTGGAGATAGCTTTCGACGCATCTTCTGAGCGTTAATATCAGCAAGTCTTGTACATTGGCAGTCAATGCCACACACATGTCACAAACCCTCCCTTTGCATGGCTTGAACATGCATGCGCACAGCATGTTCTTTGCAAACGCTCGGTGGGCGGTGATTCGAATGGCCCCCTTCACGGTACGGTGATGGCGCTCTCCATTGGCCAGCGGTACTTGTTCCTCATGCACCTATCCGCGCACTCAGGGTCTTCACCGTGAACAACATTGCACGCGATGAGGCGCGTGAACGTCGCGCATTGACTCGTTTTGTGTTATTCTTTTCTCGTTCGCGTTCCAAATTTTCGATTCCACTCACCACCACCACTACGGCCATTCGCACTCGCATCACAGTCAACTTCTTCAATCCGCTGCTGTACGATTGTACAGTCATTGTCAGATTCACCGTACCCCTGACAGCACTCACACTTGTTCGAAAGCACTGCGACCATGGCAACACCTATCGTCTCATGGCCGCAGAAGCGCAAGGCTCCGATCTTGAACATGTCACGCTCAACCAAGCGCACCAGGTCTGTCTCCATCTCCGTCAAGGTCACCCATGAAGCGGCACTCCAAGACTTCCTCAGCGACCCGGAAGTTCCTGTTGTACCGAACAATCCGCAAGCTTGTCTCGGTAGTATACCGGAAGAGCTTCTCCTGAAGGTTGTGAAGTACCTGTACCAAGATCGCCGAGCACTTGCAATACTCTGCCGTACAAATCGACGTTGCAAACGAGTTGCAGAAGAGGTCCTTTACAAGAACATAGGGAGGTTATCCTACAACTACGAGAAGGCGCGGTCAGTCGCTAGCAACACTCTCTTAGGCAGCCATGTTCGCAGCTTTGATGCCGCATTCTGTACGAAGATGCCTAGGATATGGCCCAAACAGTACGACCAACAACCAGTTGATGCCAAAAACGCAAGGCAGACATACATCAAGGTCCTTGCCAGTGCCCATAAGATCCAACATTTCGCACTGGAGGAGTGCGATAACTATCACTGGCACGCCAAACGTGACGAGCTTGCGCGTACACTGGGTTGGCTGGAACTATTCAACAATGCTGTCGCGCAGTCCGTCGACGAGCGTGTCAATCAATTTGCTCACCTCAAAAAGCTCACAATCATAGCCAATCTCATCTCTGTCGAGGAGATCTCCTGTGTGTTCCGTCTTCCATCCCTCGAATCACTCTTTCTCCAAGATGTTCACCAGACAACGCCTTTCAAGAATTGGTCGATCCCCACCTCAAGCAGCCCTATACGAGAGTTTGCTCTTCGAAATGCGATGACAGACATCTCGGCCGTCGTACAGATGATCTCTTCAGTGAAGTCTCTTCGCAACTTCATGTACGATCACAGTACCAAGGCCTGGGAACCGTTTGGGGATGAGGACAGTCCAATGACAATCTGGCCTGAGCACTCATGGAAGCTATTGGGCGATGCACTGAGGAAACACCGGGATTCTTTAGAAGAACTGTACGCGTTCAACTATTGCGACAGGGCGCTCTTAGACGTTGTCTATCCCGACGGTCGAGATGTTGGGACTCTAGGCTCTTTCCGAGATTTCTCAAAGCTTGAGTTTTGCGGTATTCCAATGGAAGCCTTCCTCGATACTGCCACTGCCGAGAAAGATTTCTCCTTGTACCTCCCACCACGACTAAAGCGCTGGTACACCCACATTACACCAGGAACCCCCAAGCTCTTGGAGAGGTGTGTCCCGGCGTTAACGTCCTTGAGAGATGTCGTCTGTGCGGGCCAAGATAGGACAGTCCGCGTGGTATTGTTAGGTGGTCTGCCGTTACAGACGCTCGAGCTGTCTCGTGCCTTCGCTGTACTGGAAGAAGCCGGCATCATACTTGAAATCCGCTACGATTACGCCATGATCACACTGAACGACTTGATACAATTGGAGACTCTTCATGATGAGGATGATTCAGACGAAGAGTTAGACGAACACCAGGAGGACGTGGCCGACGGGGCAGAAGGAGGGGATTTGGTGGACGCGATAGAAGAGGACAATGTCGGCGCACAGAACGGACACAGCCCGGCCGCTACTACCGATGGAGAATTAGAAACAGCTGATCACCCTGGAGATGATGTGGAGTAACCCGATCTCCGCAGCTTTCCCCTGCCTTAACGGCACGAACGTTGTCTAGATCCGCGTCACCAGGTGTGGTGGAACGACAATGATCGTGGAAACCTCCAATAGCTCCGCAATTGTGTAGAGTGGGAAACTCACTGATATTTGATTCATACAGGTGAACACTGCTCGTGAAATTCAACGTTTCTGTCAAGGACGATTGTGTGTTGGTGCAGTGGTGAAGGTATACAGGGGCGAGATCCAGGTGTACGTAGCTTTCGGCATGTTGTCAGAACCGTGTTGCCGGTCGGACTTCACAGGAAGCTTTGTCGCGCGAAGGATGATGGCTTTTTCCTGCATCCAATCAATGACGAAGAAGATTAATCGTAGCTTTCTTTGCCCGTGGTCCAGCTTCGCTTGTGCAAGTCTCGATGCACCCTGATGACGTCGGCACTTAGCCTCGCCGTCCCCTCTTTTACGCGATCGATAACCACATCTCCAACGCCATCACCATACTGTTATTACTTGACACCTGATGTTACTTTACACACAAAGCCTTTCGTGAAAGGTTTGCTGCGAAACACAAAGCTACCGTTCTTCGGGCATTGCGCAAATTGCGAAGCACAACTTTTGCTGCAGTCCGAGAGCCGCCTCTTGCGCAGTTGGGTGGCTAACTAGACCCTCCAAAGCTCCAATAGAGCGTGCCTATCGCGGTACTTGGCGAATTTGTTTTTCTAATCACGCTCGAGAATGTGGAGGCCTTCCGCTCGTGAGTAGATGCTTTCCGAGATTTGACGCCGAGCGACACATGCGTAGACTAAGTTCGCACATTCCCGTTCTGTAACCTCCTTCCTCTTATCTTTTTTCTAGAGCCTGGCTGCGAACGGCTCTCGTCCAGGTATTGTACATTGGTCCGCACGCCCAGCTGCCTTGGAGATTCTTGGTCTTCGTTAGCGGGCCGTGGCATGGATATCCGCTCACGGCTCTCGGCCGTTCTCTAACAATTGCGCAAGCACCAAGCCGGCTATGTGTGGCGCACGACATGGATACGGGTCTCGCTGCTTGGCGACAGCAGTCCACTTAAAAAGTGTATCGTTACCTTCCCAAGTGAGTTAAACGGTTGGTAGTCCTGACCTTCCGCAAGGAGTATGGATGCCAAATCTTGCCCAGAGTATGCGGCTGTACCAAGACCGTAACATAGTACTGAATGGTCGTGTGGCGACGCAGTGGTCGATGGCGAAAGATTACAACTTGAGGATAACACATTCGTATATATACCCTTGGAGCTTTAAGGTAATATGCTCATTCCAGCTCAATACTTCTCCTAGCCCGCCAAGATGAAGTTCTCACTCGTTGTGCTAGCACTACCAGTTGCGGTCCAGGCTGCGCACTACTCAAAGTCAGAGTATGCCTCGGGCGCAATTCATCAGAAGTTGATGAAGTTGAAGAGTGTATGACAGACCTTTCCCTGTTCTTCACTCCATTTGCGAGATGATCAATTACTAATGATTTACAGGATCAATGGGAGCATGATGCAGCCGAAGGAAAGCAAGACTCTCGTCAGTGGAAGTCTTGGAAGAGCTGGAACAAGGGATCTTGGGGAGGCGGCAAGGACAAGCGCATTCGCTGCAAGGATGGACTCGCCATCGTCGAGCAAGGCAACGCAAACCAAACGTTCAGGTGTAACAACATGGACCTTTATGATTTTGTCAACCATGCCGACATGGGAGGCCCTGAAGGCCAGGGAAGCTCTTCCTGGGGCTGGACAGCTCGCAACGGTCGTGAGTTTGGTATCGTAGGCCAATTCTCCGGTGCTGCGTTCGTTGAGATTCTCAAGGACGGTCAAATTCAGTACATGGGCCGTCTTCCCGCACAAAGTGTGGGATCGCGATGGCGCGAGATTCGCGTACTGAACGACTATGTCATCATCGGCTCGGAAGCCGTTGGTCACAACGTTCAGATCTTCGACATGAAGAAGCTTCTCACGGTTGACCCAAAGAACCCAAAGACATTTGACCCCAAGACCGATCTTGTTGGCTTGTGGGATGAACTGCCTATTGGCCGCACTCACAATGTGGTTGTTGACTGGGACAACGAGTACATCCTTGCGGTCGGTGCCCAGCCCCGCAACCAGACCTGCAAGGCTGGTCTCCAATATATCGATCTTGCCAACCCTAGCAAGCCGACCTCTCCCGGATGTGCCAGCCAGGATGGATACGTACACGATGCCCAGTGTGTGACATACAACGGCCCTGACCGAAAGTTCCGCGGTCGCAACATCTGCATCGGTTACAACGAAGACACTATGACCGTCTACGACTCCACGAAAAAGAACGGTAACCCTGCATCTGAGGTGATTTCAACTCTCTCCTACCCTGGCGCTACCTACTGCCATCAGGGCTGGTGGACCGAGCGCAACTGGCATCAATACGTTCTCTTGAACGACGAGCTCGATGAGCAAGAAGCCGTCGGTCCCGCTGCGTCCGGCCGCCCTGTCACCCACATTATTGACCTAACCGATCTTCGCAACCCCAAGGCAACTGGCACCTTCTATGCCACAGACAGCAAAGGTATCGACCACAACCTCTACATCGTCGATGGCCTTGCCTACCAGAGCAACTACGGCGCCGGTATCTGGGTACACGACGTCCGCAGCATCAGTAAGGATCCAACCGGCAAGGGTGTCAAGACTGAGGGCTTTTTCGACATCTACCCTGAGGATGACTCCGTCGGCGGCATCGTTCAGTTCGTTGGCACTTGGTCGCACTTCCTGTTCCCCTCCGGATACATCCTGGTCAACACCATTGAACGTGGTGCGTTTACTGTCAAGCTAGCTAGTGGTCGCGGAGCTAAGCGCGGCCCTGGCTTTGGCGGAAAGTCCAAGGGTAACGGCAGGTAAGGATTTTGTAAGTAGTATAGCATACAAAATCGCATTCTGAGGAATATCCTGTTTAATGATTATGAGATTTTGTTGTTCGCATGTAAAGTGTCGTGTATACCGGATGTTGCTGCCACTTCCGAAGCCTATCCGCTTTGATCACCCCTAATTAGGTAAGGGCGCATACAACAAGGGCTCTTTCCTCATCCCACCTTTCCCACACGCTTCTTGTTCTCATTCAGTCTGTATGTCACGTTCTTACACATAAGTTTCCATCACATACACACTAGTCTTAAGCATCGATGCCTCCTGAACAAGTTTAACCTGCTCAGTTCGCTGCGTCAGCCCTGGATTGCCTTACTACACGCGCGAATCACAGCATATCGACCAGTCATCCACAAGCTAACCACAAAACCCAGTGGCTATGCATATCGAGTAGCGAGGGATGTTGCACAAGACACGGTCCCGTCTGACGTCGGTGGGACGGAGAACGCCATGTTGCCTTACCATCATGTCGGAACGCTAGGCCCTTGAGCGTGGGGTGAAGCATGAGTAGCGGTGACTGCGTACGACTGACAATGACTGCAGCTCGCTCACCGGACGGAACCTTCAGACCTGAACGTTTCAGCAAACTCCAGGTCTGACCTCTAGGGAGCCACAACGCTATCAGCTGCCGTATCAGCTGGTGGGCTGGCCATAGACATCACGATGTTGCTATCGTTGAACGATATCCGATACCTCCAGGCAAAAGCAACACGAGCGCCACACGAATGAAACGATGGCAGAAGGCCCTGGTCGGTCAGTGTGGCTTACTGCAGGTCCCCAACATCGTGGCTATGAGTGATCGCGCCCTTGTCGTCGGGGATCGTGTCGTCGATATAGGGCAAAACCATGCTCAGGTGATGGCAAATTGGCCTGATCAGTTACTCATGCTGGATGCTTCGCTGCTACTCATTGCCCATGCGATTCGATCTGTGCGAGGTACTATCCGATGTCGCCTCACGATCTTCAAGTTGGTGAGACCTCATTCTTTTACGGAAGCCGGCACCGAAATTCTCTAAAGACCGCAGGTCTCGGAAAAATCGGAATAGCGGGAAGCAGGCCTGCTCAGCGGGAAAATGCATATGTCTGCGACACGTCCCGGCGCCCCCGGCTGTGGCGGCGAGGATGCATCAATATATACCGGAAGGTTTGTGCACTGATATCTCGCACGGGGTAACAGCATGAGCACTTCCACGTGCGACACCGGTTCGTGGCTGACTTATCCCACAACCACGACGGTCCAGTCACAGCAAACATCACACCGAGTGCGCAGAACCACTTAGGGCGTCGCTATCTGATAAGCAGGGACATTACCAGAGTACCACATCATCAAGGATAACAGCACGGGCAAGTATCACCATGTCAAGTAGCAGGTACGAAGAGTCATTCATTAAGTTTCAGAATTCGACGTTGCTACCATAACGGCAAGTGATAAGAGGCTGGAGATACGACTTTGAACCAGATATCCGCCCAATAACTACTATGCGAAAATAAGAGCGCCACAGAAAACGAGAAACGGGCACAACCCGTTGTAGGCCGCGGAGGCATTACACAAGCGCGACCGGCAGGGTCGATTGCTCGAGTGGGGATACCAAATTGCTTTTTCCAGGATCGTGACGGAAGATAACGTCCAAAACACGGGTCGTCAAGGAAACTTTGACCAAATCAAGAAAACGCCGCTGAAAATATGCGAAAGCGCGTTCAACGCCAAAAGCAATGCGAAAGGATGTCTGGTAGTGATAGCATGTGCGCCGTAAGACCATGACGTCCTTTGTCGAAGAGAAGAAAGCTATGTGACTCAAAGAGAGTTCTCGGTCTTGACAAGCTCGTCAAACGCATCTCGCCACCTGCAAACTTCATCCTTGGAAGGCCGGGGTAGGGGCTTGCGGGCATATCCGCCATATCCAAAATGGGCCATGAGGCCGGCCTTGGTGCCGATGATTCCACCTTGAATAGCAGCCCAATCTCCTCGGGCTACGATCGCCTGAAGTTTACGGGCTTCTGTAAACTTTCCAGCCTCGAATAATTCCACAAGCTTGACACATGTCTTGGGTGCGATGTTGGCCATGCCACCAATGATGCCAGAGCCGCCTCCAATCAATGTTTGCAGTGTGAAGTCAACAGATCCACCCATGCACATGAAGCCAGATCCAGGATCAGAGACAGTGGCTGCTCTAGTTGCTGCTGCAATGCGGTTGAGCTTGCCCGTGTTGCCACAGGTTAACTTGCAGCCGACAATGTTGGGATGTTGAGCTAACTCAATGATGACATCCGAATTGAGATCGAGCCCAGAAACCGCACCAGGGTAGTTGTAGATGAGGATTGGAATGGGCGAAGCAGTGGCTACGTCTTGGAAAAATTCTTTTACGGTGTCCTTCGAAAACAAGCCCTGGTAGTACGCTGGTGGAAGCACCAAAGCATAGTCTCCGCCAGCGGAGGCTGCCTCTTCACAAAGTTCGATACATTCCCGGGTGGACTGAGCCCCACATCCGACGATTACAGGCATGTAACCAAAGCCTGCGTCATCGAGAGCTTTGCGAGTGGTGTTTGTGATGAGGTCGCGTTCCTTGTGAGACAGATGGACAGCCTCGCCATTGGACCCTTGAGTGGTAATGCCGGCAACACCAGCTTTGGCTAAACGAACAGCGTGGCTGGCGATAGTCTCAACGTCTACGCTATCCGTTGTTGGTTCGAAGAACGCTACGGTGGGAACATAAATGCCAGGAACCAAGGATCGGCGAATGCCCATATCGGTAGACTCCATAGAGCTGGTGTCGAAGTTGTTATATTGGCTCATCGTGTAGACGGATTGAACAGGATGATGGAAGTCGGTATCTTGACTGTAGCTGTTTGCAGGGGAAGGTGCGTCGTGGTGTGGTGACATGTTAAGAAGACTTTGGAATGTGGAAGTATAATAGACTTTTATACTAACAAAAGCTTGCAGGGAGAAGCGGGACTTTTGACAAAGAATAAGCGGAACGCAGCAACGACGAACGGAACGAATACGTCAATGGTTGATTGATGTTTGGTAACATCCCGAGGATAGTACAGGTACTTAAGTATTTCCAAACGCCGGACACTTGACCTTGCAATGCGGAGTGTGGGGGTCCAGCTGACGGCGTTGTCAGGAGTGCTAGTGACGGCAGGCAAAGCAAGGTGCGTGAAGTGCATCAGTGAGGGATGAACAGGCATCTTGGTGACGACCAAAGCGGCGGTGACTCCCGTAGCCTGCTCGAGGCGCTGTTCTGCACGTAGCCGATACCAGGCACAGCTGTTTGCGCGTAAGTAGATGGCTTGCGCGTAGCCAATTAACGAGGCGAGGATTGCTGATTGAAGCGGCGTTTGCTTTTTGCTCACGTTGCAGCAAGCGAACAGGGGGTGAGAGGCTGTGAACATCGGATCTTGGCCGGAGGGAAGTGCAAGGGGGGGACGCCTTGTGACGATCTTTTGGGGTCCTGGATGGAAGCTGATAGGGTAATTCCCGCCACAGCTGGCACCATACGAAGGGTTAGCGTACTCAAAAGAGCGTTGATGGATATCGTTCGGGGGTGTTAGTGTGGGGGTGGGGGAATAATGGCCGGTCTATTCGCATCATCTGATTCCGTTCAGCAACCCAGGCCAGTCCTTCTTGCCCTTCCTGAGGTCGCGGTCCCAGTGGGTCTAGCCTTTAGAGTTCGGCGACCACTCAGGACGTGCAGTAAAGCAATGCAAAGGGTAAGAGAAATGAAGGATTCCAGCGGTGGTACAAGACGTGGCAGACAACCAGAAGCAGAAGCCCGTCACAAGGTCATGCAACATCCGCGCAGAGGCAGTCATCGACATCCGACAGCCGCAGGGCCACCAAAACGGACCAAAAATAGCGAACTTGTCAGAGGCATCTCGTGTCTCATCATTACAGGGCCTTGCCAGGATGACGACGCCGATCGCTCGCGATATTCGTACCCCACGCCCATTACTCTTAGTGGCAGGGTCTGGCCATAGCTCAAACCTTGAGGCTCTTCACAATCTTCACACAACATGTTTGCGCAAAGGCGATTGCGTACGAGTCGTGCTGTCGACACAACATCATCTTATTCGTACCGACTAACCCGCACCTGGAAGGTGTTTGCACTGCTGCATGTGCAAGCCAACGACGGAGTTCCACGCGAAAAGCATCAATCGATGCCAGCATGAGCAAAAGCATCGTGGCAAAGTGCCGAACGCCGTTCCGGCAATTGCAGCAGGAAGGAAAGCCCTTAGCAGGTTCCCACTTTGCTTTTGTTTCCACGACTTAGGTTCAAACCCGAGGAAGGAAATGCCTGAGACGCCTCGTTCGTTGTACCTGATCCTCGGTGGATCTATGTCTGATGCCCCCACGCGATGCCGTGGCGGCTCGTTTCGGCACTCAGAAACAGCGAAATTCGCGTCGAATAATTGGACAGATCTCCTTCATTCGGCACACCTTCAATCACTCTTTACATCCAATCATCTTCCGCTCCGTTAACATGTAAGGTGATTCTCCCATGTTTGACTTTTGTGAAATCCACAATCCGGCGGCACGAGGACGAAGAGTTTTACTGGCGGTGCCGTAAGCCGTATGCAGTCACTGCGTAGCCGCATACCTATATGGATCTCTCGACTGCACTATCTATTGCAAAACGAGTGTAATATTCGCGAGATGCACACAGCCTCGTCGCAAAGCAGAGAACCGAGCGTGAGCCGACCATGCAGCCATCAACAACGATGCTATTACCCCACAAATTGGCGATCCTGGAGACCTGTTTCCCCGCCTTCTTACCACCTTCGAACACAGGCCGCACACCTTCAACTTGCCGCTGCACCAGGCCTCTGACTTGCATGATGCCCAGTCTCGGCTGCGATAAAGTCTTGTATGTCTTTCATTGCCTTTTCCTGCACTAAGGCCCTGAAATTATGCACGTAATACTGGGTACAGCCGTCGTGGATGATGCCCAAGGACTGCGAGGTTTAAGCCATCCGCTCATCTTGCAGGGTATACGTCAGTTACGCCCAGTTCCAGCAGTCTCTACGGTCTTGTGATGATCCCCTTGAAGTACCTCATGTAGAGACCGGGGTAACGCTGCAGTCACAGGCATTTTGGGACAGTTCCCAACGGCAATTCCTTGGCTGTGGTTCCTTTTTTCTCCATAGTTAGACGAGTGTAGTTGCACACAGAGGTAAAAAGACCAGGGAAAAGTGGAAGATCCACTCTAACATCAGAGTTCGCCTCAAGCAACTTCGTCCAACAACTCGGCAAAAACGCCGCACCGGAGTTAGTGCTGATGAGGGGTGAGGGGTCAGCCCGCATCATGCGGGTCATATGGCGTTCATTGGGACCACCCTCTCGCCCCTTCCCAGCCTGATGTAGTGAGCAAAGAAGTTTATGGGCTGATCGAGAGCACACTTCGTCAGCAGATGATTTTCTGGGGATGTTTCTAGTACACGTCACCGTGGTATAGTCCACCCCAGACATTTGACATCGGTCATCGCACACTGGAGCAGCAGAAGTAAAACTTAGTCCACCAGGAACTTACACGCCACAAGAAAGTGTGTGGTGGTGGGCATGTCCGAAGCATCACCACATGCGCCGTTGAACTCCGCTCCAGCCTCGGTTAGTTGCGACAAACCAAGAACGATGGGTACGCTTACCGTGCGGTCCACTTTGACTGCAGTTTGTTGATCCTTTGTCGACCGCCGTGGGGGGTGAATTGCTATTCACAGCTCAACAGTAGGAGCTCACCGCATAGCGGCAGTTGCATTCAGAGCTTGTCTGCCGCATCACGCCGTCCGACCTTGACTCGGTCCCTGGAGCCTCAACCGATCTCACCGGGTCGATCGTGTGGGGTGTTTTGCGTGGTCTCACGCACACTTACCTAATCTAGCCATCGAAGTGGGATGCCAAGTATCATCCAAACGCTTCCAACAACCTCAGTCCCGTAGTTAATACCTTCTCGGATGCTTTTGCCTTCTGAACGTTTCACCGCGGCAAGTGATCGGAGTGCTTGAACGGTGAACACAGTGAGTCCATCATTCGCTATCCCACGCGTGACGGTCTTTGAGGTTCCACGAATCGAACAACCCAATCATTCCCGTCTCGTAAAGTACCGATACATGTTGGATGTCATGGCGAAAAACTTAGCATTGTCTTACCCTCACGAAACTCTCAATCGCTGCCTGCCAAAGCACGAAACCCCCACCGTATGCGCGATTTGCGACGACCACCCAGAGTTGTGTGTGGTATCTAAGAGGCATCACATTATCCTTTGCCGAGATGTATGGTTACGAGTATGGCACGAGTCGAACATTCTAGGACCATGATAGGAGGACCATGGTGTGTCATTTCTCCATGCCCAGAGGTTGAGGCTCGAAGGCTTTCGATGACTTGCATACAAGCAAAGACGGCAGTGCTCATCAGGCATGGTGATCAAGACTGTCGTTCGTGGCACAGATCTGCACTGCCCCTCAAGCGAGGAAGGGATCTCGAACCTAAACAGGACTTCGTTGAGATACGTCATATAGAAGCCATCAGTAACATCGCGTGTGCGGCGTGTGGGCGCACAGTGCGCTAAAGTCCGAAGTTCGCGATGCATATTCTCAACAAGATGCACGTTGTTAGTTCGTCGTGGGAACGCTTGGCTGGTTCCGCGGCCACGGGGGTAGACTCAAGCTCACATCCAAGTCTTCAGTTCTGCTTGGGAGAAACTCTAGGGGACTGGATACCTCCACCACTACAGCCCCAAGTCTCTAGGCAGCAGAACTTCTAGTAACAAGAAGCTGGCTTCTAGTGCGTCGGCAATGGACCCATAATTCGCTTCCCAAGGCAGCAACTACAGCACATTTGGTCGAAAAGCCCATCTCTATTCTACATCCCCAGCAACCCAAACTCCTCAACCCCCGCCTAACAATTCGTTACGGCGACTTACCGCACCAAGAAATTTGGTGCGATATTCCCGCACCCAGGCTCCTCTAACAAGCGATTTCCCCCGAGTATCCCGCTTAGCCCAAGACCGCTATAGACAAGGTCACATCTCGCGATCGCATGCCGCTTTTCTCAAGATACCCTTTCTACTTCCAAACATGACATAACTTACCCTGTCGGTCCGGGAACCTGCTAGATGTTCCACCAATTCGCAATATCCCACCAATACGCTCGTCTCGGAACCTTAACCGAAACGCATGGTTCCGCAATTTGCTCGCTTGTCCATGTTGAATCCTTTAGCAACGATCCCAGTTCCCTTTACGCAAATCGTGGGGTAGCACACCACCATATCTCGCTTCATATTGTACGAACTGTCCACCGAATCCTGACGTACTGACTCTGCAGGGGGGCGTTCGTGTTCCTGCGGCGTTTGGGGCAGCTGGGTAAGATTTACTCGATCGGAGTTGAAGATCTGCATGGCGCTGAGGCTGTTTCTCCGATGTTCTCCGGTTGTTGGGTCTACGGTTGTAGGCATGGTATTGCGGTGCTGTCGTGGTGGTGGACATGCCCTACGAAAAGTTGACGCATCTAATGTTTTAAATTTACTAGATACGCAACTCTTCTACCATCTCAAGACACGATAATTTTGTTCGAAGCTTGTAGGTATTTGCAGCGTTATCTAATATACCAAGCTTCGTTCTTATCGTGTCCAGCTACTAGTTCCTACACATGCGGCATGGACGTTGGCTCTCGTAAACACATATTTTAAAGATTCCCACTACAGCCAGTATATTTCACGTCTTCCTAACCCGCGAATGAAGACGGGGTCCACCGAACGTACGGTACAGCGTAACAGCGTATATCTCCCTTAATACCTAGTAATGAGCATATATCAACCCCGCTGCCTCGTGTATACTTCAGGTCAGCTCGCCGCGACCACATAGCTCAATTGCAGTAATCGTAACACATAACCCAGCACGGAATGACATGATAGCGATAATCCGGAGCAGGACATGCTCCCTGCAAGGTTACCACTAGACATCTTGTAAAACCGAATAGGCAACAACACAGCACTAGGAGATGACATTCAAAGCCGTTTCAGGCTTTATGAGCTCTAGAGCCACTCACATGCTCTTCAATGGAATATTCTTTCTCCTAAAGAAGGGAATGTAAACACGATCTTTCTAAAAGAAAACCGCGTGTCACCTCTCATGAGCAGAAACATATTCAGACTCACCGTTGCAATCGCGCGAATGAACCAAGAGTAGAACAATAAGTAGTACCATATTCCACTGATCGCTATTCGCAACGCTCACCGCACCTTCATCTTCTTCACCACAGCTATAGCCTTTAAGATCGCCACTAAAACCAACATCCCCACAACTTCATCGCCGATGCAAGTACAAGGAAACACAAGAACCCTGGGTACCCTAGCCGGGGAAGCGGTTATGCCTGCACCCACATGCACGGACAATCGTTCTTTGCCAAAGTCATGGAAAGCAATCTCTTCCTAGTCCCACAGTATTATGGAAAGTCGCGCGAACACAGCCCGGCACTGTGTATCCGAACGGGCCCCATGCTGAAGTGCAGATCAACATGCTACTACCAACATCGTGCGCAACGTGCGCAGCCTCGTGATGAAGATGGTACTACTGACTGCAACGTGCGCTCCCAAGACTACGCGTCTCCGCGACGACTGTTTACTCTTGAACGCGCGGATGGCGGGTGGGTATGACGACAGATGAAGATGGAAGTTGCGGATGCGTAGTCGTCATGCTGTGATGCAATACGTGGGTAATGCCGAGATGAGACCGCAAAGTGTGCAGATCGTGGTTTGCAGGGCACTATGACAAGGGGGTAGACTGACATTATTCTGTAGTGGGGCTAGGAGTGTGGTAACGGTTGATGATATTTAGCTGTAAGGCAGTTTGTGTGGTGAGATGTGAGGTTCTAGCAATGGCACCGAGAGATTTGTGATGAGGTTATTTTTGAAAGGACATGTTTAGAGGCAGGGAATTGACGGTGAGGAAAGGACAATTTGTCCTTTTGTCCAGATCTATATACATCTGCTCATGAGTAGAACTATTCATCAATCGTCATCTCCGCCTTCCCACACAACCCTCTCTAACACGTGGCGTTCCCAGTCTGTGTCAACAGCCCCAAATGCCACGGCAGCGCGTTGTAAGACGCGCTCGCACTCGGATCAATCCCCTGATACAAGAACTTCATACCACATGGCTTGATCGTCAGCGTCTGGTCAACCTGGCTCCTAACAATCTCCCCGTGACTGATACTATCCGACCATCTTCCATTGGGGAAAACCACATTCTCCTCACCCATGAACGGGTTCTGCTGCGTAGCAGCAAGCGGCGTCCAACTACCCGCCAGCGAAGTCGATGTCCATGAGCGGAAGTAGCGGAGACCACCTGGTGAATCTCCGGCACCGATGCATTCTACGAGTAAGAGGTAGGTATTGTTGTTCACGCGGTATACGTTTGACGCTTCGAAGAGATCGTTTTTGTTGGGTTCCGAGAGTGCGATGACGGGCTCGCTCATGCCAGCGGGGAATTGGGAGAGCGGTGTTTGGCTACGATAGAGACGGCCGTTATCGTCGTGGGAGAAGAGATAGCAGTTGGCGTCGTCGCACACGACCCACATGTCGACCCAGTAGCCTTGCTGTGGGGTCAAGAGACCCTCTGCAATAAGTGCGGGGGTGCCGTTGGGGTAGAAGACTTCGGGGGCGGTCCAGCCTGCAGGGTTGGAGATGTCGGGGTTGGTGCTGTAAGCTGCATTGCCGTTTTGGTAGATGAGGTACCAGAGTTTCTGAGGGGCGAAGTAGACTGTGAGGCTGTTAGTAGAGCGCTCGATTATCTTTTCCTGTCCTAAGATATAAGGATGTGGAGAAGGGCTTTACTTACAAACTTCTGGTGCAGCCCTGTAGCCTGTGCCTATGGCGCTCTGGTCGAGATAATAGAAGGGCGCTGATTGAGCCTTATCAAAGTCGGTGAAGTTGAAGTACACAAGGTTGTAGCCTTCTTCTTTCGCTGTGCTCGCAAACACGTGGTATACGCCCTCGTACTCGATGATGGAAGGATCTTTAATACCGGCAATGTTTCGACCATCGTTCTTAGGTGAGACTAGGATGGCACTAGATGTCCAGCTGAAGGAGCTAGGAAGGCCTCCATTCTGTCTGGCAACCAGAGAGGAGAAAGAACGATGAGGGAGGTTGCGAGCCAATGCAGTGGCTACAAAAGCAGCGCCGGCGAGGAGGAACGAACGCATTGCGACGGTAAGTGCTTGACAACGATAACCATCATGTTAACGCTGGACCTACTGTTCTTTTATAGCTGTTTGTTTCACCTGCTTCCACCAAGGCCGAGGTTTGGAGCCGAAAGCTGGGGAAATCCTCGTCGACCAGGGTACATAGTGAAGGCAATCTATCTGGGGTAACGGCCATCCTGGTTTTTCCGTCTATTTTTCCTCGTCCATACGTTCGTGCCTGCATGTGATAGGCACTAGCATCTGTATCAGGCTGTTTGTCTAAGGTTTGTATATGAACGAATAGATCGTCCATATCTTTCTCGTCCCGTCCCGTCGAAGTTCGTCATTCTATACCCCGGTGGTAGAAGGGCGTGGCGGCGATATTTTTGCTGCTTGCATTTGTCGACTCGAAGGCTGCGATCATCGTGTACCATAGAGTCGCCTGCAAAATCTTGAGCCACCGGGTCGATCATGGCATCGGGGGACCAGGTAAGTTTTGGGCCACCGTCCGATCACGTGGCTTAATGAGCCGTTGTTCATCCGGTGGTTAACAGTAGCTTGTCGACGTTGGGCGATAATAATCCCGCCTACCAGTATACAACTCCAAGGAAGAGCGCGAAAGCCCAGGCGATAGTGCGAGCTAAAAGCGTTGAACTTTTCCTCGTGAGCGAAGCTGGCAGGAGGCACCGTCAAAGCTTCATGCCGCTTGGAGGCGCGGGGAGACACGATGCCTATTCCGTCGCGAACGCATCATCGTGTCCTTTCCACCTATGTCTATGTCCCTCTGTCTTTCTCTCGCGATGACGCTTTCGTGTTAAATACTTTTGCGATGCATATCGTCTCACTTTCAAATTTTCCGATGAAGCCCTGAAGACGTAGAAGGGTCTCAGTAGCAGCGAGATTTAGCAACGAAGCAGAACGCGTTATCTTCTGTAAACATCTAGAAGAAGAAACAACAAGAGACTGCATACTTCCAGGTGTTATTTTTGCAAGAGTCTCCATATATGAATGCTGAGGACAGGACCATACCTCAACACTCTCTACCATGTCGGCCGAAGTAACCATTTCGCTAGACCAGAGTTGCGATGTCGCGATTCTATTATCGGTACGCGACATGGCTGTCAGTGACCCGGACGCTGGCTCAGGTTATGACCGCGATGCCATTGTAGCAAGTATCACCCGATACTATCAGCTTCTCTCCAAGATGGTAGCGATCAAACCGAAGGATATCGCCTACGCTCGTGAAGGCGGGCGCTCTGATGATGAGATTCCCATTTCGAAACTGCGTCGCTTGGGCTTCAATGACCGAGTGATTGACTTTGTCCGGCACGTGCCGTTTTCACACAGCAGCGACAGGCCAGTGTTTCCCTTCACGACGACACTAAATTACTACCCCAATCTTTTCTGCTACCCCGAGGAAAGCTACAAGCTTGAAGATCCTGCCATGACGGAAATGTGGCCGCTTCCAGAACGGCGGATTCCAAATAGTGTTATTCCACTATCCCATGCTATCGAAGCAGCCGGTCTGGAGACCTGGTGGATGCTGGATACGAATAATGGTAAGTTTGACGCACAACCGAAAAGTGTGTTCGGTGTAGTCCGCAGCTTTCTTGTTTCTGATTCGATTATTCATCGTAGGCGAGCTTACTCCTCATGGCCCGTTCAATACATGGCCGCATGATCCAAAGCGGCCGCGGGAAGCATCAGAAGACGAGGAATGGCGTTCATCTCCCCCCGTGCCCGCGACCGCTTATTTCGACAGCCTACGTGAGGACCTGATATCGCTCAGAATGATACCGGTTCCGGGAGGTCCCTGTTCGATTTGTTGGGAGATTTGGAGATGCCCCCCAACAGATAGCACGAACCGACACGACGTTAACTTTTTAACGTGGGCAAATGTGAGTTCGTGATAATCCAGTACTTCCATGTGTTGCAGAGTGAACAGATACCAAACACACCATTTTTGGTCAATCGCAAATCTCAACAGGAAAAAACTAACATGAACAGGAAGCCAAGGAGATCTATCGTCGGTGCCATTGGCCAGATCTGCGTTACTTCCAGCGGGCAAAGTGCCGAAGGCTCCTAATTGATCTTCTGAAAGATTTCAATCTGTACGAATCGGAGGGAAAAGCGATGCCGCCTCGCCCTTCAACCTCTACAGATACCGAAAAAAGAACGGCTACACTACAAAATCCGGAACCAGAGAGTGATCGTAGCGCACCATGGGGAGTAGGAAACATAGAGCTACAGACTAACCAAGAAGGAGGGTTTGTTAATACTACATTTGACATATAGTTTAGTGTACACAATGTTAATATAGTATCTGTACGCTATTGTTACCTTGAACATGACTTTTGAATTAACATTCTGTACACCACCACATCGCACCTTTTCAAGTCGACACACATAACGCGCAGCGTTGGGACAGGCTTAACTTCCATCCCTTCGTAATACATGTAGTCCTCGATAGCAATGGAAACACCCTCCATACCCAACAATCTCCTCGAAGCGGACAAGATTAATGCAGAGGAAAATATGATATGCCCCAACATCTTCTAACTACACTGCATACACGTCAAAGCTCCAAGTAAACGTCGAGCAAAGCAAGCAAGCTGAGCGCCATGGAACGGTGGGACGGAATAATCCGCGACACAGACAAAGAAAAGACAAGGGCTGGAAGACCATTCATGTATTCATTTTGGCCGTTCGCGCATGTAAGCCAAAAGGGCGAACATGTTACCCACATACACTGAATACAAGCGAAAGCCAGATAACTAGTTGAACGAACTCTAGAGAACAAGTAATCACAAATGCCGTCGGGTATATATATATATATACGTTGTCATCAAAGTCCCTTCTCTCCTCTCCACTCCACCCCAAAAGAGAGAAAGAAAAGAAAAGAAAAGAACAAAAACACCAACCCCAAAACTCGGCTTCTTCCATACTCCCACCTAACTAAACACCTCCTCCAATCCATGTGTCATGAAAAAAGCAACACCTAACTTTCAGCTTTCATAGTCCCACAAAGACTACAGGTCCACCACTGCCGTTCCATAAACGTCCCGCACTCGAGACAATTCCAGCCCAACCGTCCCCTTGCCGGTTCAAACGGCGTAGTAGCATCCGGACCTCTCAAGTCCCTCTGCGGTGGTGGTCGTGGTAAACTCGGCACACTCCCACCCATGTGCGAGGACGCAAAGCGACGGTTCTCGGGAATGGGCTGCGGTGGTTGTTCCAAGCCGCAGGCTTCGCAGGCGAGGAATTCGAGGGGGTTGTGTAAAGTGCATTGGGGACAGGCCCATGTGTTTGGTGGCAAGTTTATAGTTGTGGGTGGCTGAGGGGTGGTTGGCTGAGAATGGGGGTTGTTGGATGTGAAGAGGAGCGAGGGGGGATGTGCGTGGCGGGGTAGGTGGGAGCTTTTTATCTCGCAATTGCTGTTCTTCGTGTTGCGAGATGAGGCGTGAGTTTGGAGAGAAAGACGTCCTTGATGATGATGGTAGTTGTGGTTGTTGGGTCACTAGTCGAGACAGGGGTTGGCCCTGTGAAGGATGCGAAGTGCTTCGCGTGGGATATGGTTGGCCAGTCATTGATGTCGTTGATGTTGTCGAAGGGGTGAAGGAAAGGCCGGCTTCTTTCGACCAAGCTAACCCCGCGGATGATGACGACGACGACGGACTTTGTGTGCCGGAAGGAAGGTCGCGATCGAAAGACAATCCATTCTGGGGATCCCAAGCTAGGCCACCGTTCCCCGTCGGCGCACCTAACCTCTGCATCTCCTCATCATACATGAGATCTTGTAGCGCTTGAGCGATCGCCCAATCATTAGCATCGTCTTGTTCTGCCGTGGTTCGGAACCCATCCTGCTCTTGCTGGTCGACGAGTCTTCCCGCACTCGCGCTCCCACTCGCGCATCCATCCGTAATGCTATTTCGACGTGATGCCGCATCAGCGATAACCTTGCGCATGTCGACGCCACGCTGTACAGGTCGTGCTCCACCTAAGCGATGTCCTCCTGTGTTAGGGGTGGTCGTGGCATTGCGCTTTTCGGCGGCAATTCTGGCCTGGCGGCGCATCTCATCAAGCGGTATGCGCCTTCCGCCTAGTTTCTGACCTTGGCTGAGGAAGCCTTCGCCAGTGTATCCCTTCATGAGAAGCGATTGGTGTTCATCCCTGAGTTCATTCCAGAGATTGTTGAAGTCGGCGTTGTGGGGTCCGAAGATTATGTGGGATAGTTCATGGAGTAGTGTGTCTGTGATTTGCTCCATTGAAAGAAATTGCCTAGAGTCATGGTGGTATCTCAAACGGATTAGGATCCTCTCTGTGCGGTTGATGTTGAGACCTTTGCGGGGTTAGCAGGATGGACTGTACCGCGACGCAGTGCAATCTTCTTACCCAGTAATTGAGGCTCGTCGGGCAGGAATTCAGCTAGTGTTCCTACTTTCCAACCGCGCTTTCGCATCATCGGTTTGACCATGGAAGCAGCCTTGCGGAGCATGTGTAGTGCCTCGGCCTGATTAGGCAGATGTTTTAGATGCTCATAGGCATCGAAATGCGCGTCGATCTCCTTCATGGTTGAGTTGGGCTTTGTGGATTCAAAAGTGTATATATGGTAGACTGCCTCTTGATGATGTAGAGAATGGTACGTTCAAATAACCACAAACGCACTGACGGACTGGTTATATGCAGCGACCAATATTGAACAGAAAGTGTGAAGGTAGTGACGGAGCCGCAGGTGAAAGTAGAATACCGAAGAATATCAAGAGAAGAGGCAAACGACGAGGCCAGCCGCGTAAGCAATTCACGCGGCTTTGGGTGGTTGACGATAGATAGCAAGGCCGGGTTGATGAGAGACTATTCTACCAGGGAAAAAGTGAATTACCCGCTGCTATTGTTTAAACGAGCTGAAGGGCGATCTTTCTGCAGGGTCAGCAAGCGCACCTGTTTTGTGGGATATGCTAATGTTAGACATTCACCGAGAGGGTGGCGCAAAGGCGAGTTTGGTGCCTCTCACGTGGGACCGTGTGCGGATCGTTCCACGAGTCAGTGCTTGACGTAGTGCACTTGCGGACTTGCGATGACCTCCGCAGGCAACCTTGGAAGACTCTGAAGCACCGTCTACAGCGAGATTCTGTTTGGTCTCCTAAACATCTTTCACTTCTTTTAAGACATGTCGAGTGATGACCAGCAGATTTTGGGGGTGGTGAGTACGACCAAGACATTTGACTCTGCGACTCGCTGACGTACGAGAAGCTCGCCGGGTACTCGAAAGACGTCCGCAACTTCACCGGATCGATATGGGATGCCACTGATGCGCATTTTGCCCATGTAGCCGGATACATCAAGAAAAGCCTCCCTGAAGGTTGGCTGCCAGAACGCGCACGACCGCGCCCGCCCCCTCCGCCCCCGCATCCCATCACCGGTGCCTACCTACATCGCCTGCAAGACTGGGTGTCTAGGAATCGGGCCTTGACTGCAGCTATTGTCGCCTTTGTCAGCACTGGTGGTTTCTTGGTATGGAGAGAACAAAAGAAATACAACCGCAAACGACGAGCGCGACGGGCGAGCAATGGAGCGAGGAGGGAGGTCGTGGGTAAGTAGTTGAGGAAGGCGCGACGCTGGACCTTGGCTGACGAGAACAGTTCTCGCGGGACCACCCAACTCCCCCATCGTCCGATCGCTATCCCTGGACCTCGAACGGCGCGGCTTTATCGTATACATTGTGTGCTCGAACATGGACGAAGAGCAGCAGGTCCTCAGCGAGTCGAGAGCAGATGTGCGACCGCTGCACCTGGACATTGTAGACACGATGGGCACAAAAGAGGCCATTCAGAACTTCAACGAGCTTCTGGTGAAACCCCACGTCGCTTTCTCTGGGGCAAGCCCACACAACCTCAACCTTAGTGGTGTTATATTGGTGCCGGACCTCATCTACCCTACAGGGCCTGTCGAAACCGTGACGCCTGAGCTTTGGTCCGACGCGCTGAATGCCAAAGTGCTCAACACGATTGCAGTGACTCAAGCGCTGCTCCCGACAGTTTGTGAGTTCAAATCCCGGGTGCTGATGCTCACACCCAGCATCATTGCGTCATTACGGCCGCCATTCCATAGCGTAGAGACGACCATTGTGAGCGCACTCGAGGGGTTCCTGGCCTCGCTCAGGGCGGAACTAGGAACCCTTGGCATTGAGGTTTTGCAATTTCATCTCGGAACATTTGATCTCACAAACGTGGGCCCAAAACATCATCTCCAGACCAGGGGACTTGCAAGTCCGCACGCCTGGCCAGCGACGACCAGAGCGCTGTATGCCAACAACTTTGAAGCGCAAACGCGCGTTGCGCAAAACAGGGGATTGCTAAATCACAGTGGCTCCAGTCTTCGGGAATTACACAACGGCGTGTTCGACGCACTCACGCAGAAGCGGCCAAGAAAAGTATGGCGTGTCGGGCGTGGTAGTGTGACATATGATCTGGTAGGCAACTGGGTACCAACTGGACTTGTGGGATGGATGATGGGGTTAACACGTGTGTCCCTTGACACGGCGTCTGAGCCAAAGCTAGAGGATAGCGTACAACTACAATCGTGGGAGAGGATCGATGCGATGGCTTAGGCTTTGGATCCCAGAACCCAGAAGAGTAGTTGACAATGTGGAGATGATCACGACACGCAACGTCATAGCGGACCACGAACATGGCAGCGCCCAGCTCTACCTGTACGTGTGTATTGGCACGAGGACGCGCACACAGGGCGAGCGCGGTGTTGGATGGGCATCACGTAAAAGCCCCTTGGGCCCTTTCTTGGCAATGGGTCTCAGCTAGACGGGCCCTGCATGGTTAGATTTGCAGGTACGACGACGATCCAGTCGACAAGGGAAGTATATTCACACAAATATAGGCAGAATTCTCAGCTCTTGACATGAGGCGTTGCAGGAACAGTGGTTCGCAGGATGGGCAGCAGTTTAATGAGCAAAAGTCTGGAACATGTTCTGCTCCACAATGTGCCATGAGCAAATGAAGTGACGCGAAGCATGTGCCACTCTATTGACGGGCAGCGCCTAAAACGGAAGCAATCCGAGAGGGGGATACGGGTGGTGTAGGGATAGCACTAGTGAAACGAGGCAGTCGGAGCCGTGGCTAGTGTCGAGGTAACGCGTGAGAGGCATTGGAAGTTTGGTACGGCAATGTAGAAAAGCAATGGCAATGTCAGCAGAACGAGATGAGCATCATGGATGGGGCCGCCAATTGCTGCTACAACGCGCATCAATGTGGCTTTGTGTCAGGGCGACGGCGTAGTGGGTCAACGTCGTCGATGATGCAGGGCCGACTGGTGGTAGGGTACACTATTGGGGGTGCAGGGGTCCACCTGCGGTGGTTTCAGGAGGTGTAGGTTTAACTATTATTGCACGCGACAGTAGAGCTAGAGGCACCATAGAACATCGCAACGCCCCCCCGTCTATTCTGTCTGCTTTCAGGCCTTGCAGTCCACCACTCGACGCTTGCTGTCGTATCCGCTCCTTCGCGCTGCATTAATTCATTCTTCTTCCATGTTGCCGTCGATTGCATCGATCTGCACGCGAACAAACAACCAACACACCACCTCGACGACCGCCATCGCCTGCTTTTCCCGCCAAACCGGCACAGCCCCAGTGTCTGCCACATCCATCCCTCCAGGCGGCTTCTTTTGCCCGATCGCGCGCATGACGGCACAGCGTCATCAATCTTCCGTCGCAGACTCCATGAACTAATCCGCCTTCACCATGGCAAACAGACAGCAACGCCCGGGCGGCCTCGACTTGCGTTCGCAGTCCTTTGACCCTCCCACCACCACTAACAACACGTTCGGCAATTACACCAACAACAACAACAGCAACAACCATCTCGGTCTCGGAAACCTCGCCAGCGCCAGCATGAGCAATCTGTCCCTCGGCTCAGACTTGCCCAGCCCGCGCACCGGCGATGCACCACCTGCCCTCTCCCCTCTGGATGCCCTCGCCCTCCAGGGCCGGTTGCTCGCAAAGCGCTTCGAGCAGCAGGACAAGACCGGACGCCGATTGAGTCGCATCGCACCCCTCACCATCCAGAACGAGTTTGGAAACCGGCCATGCTACTTTTCCTCCCTCTCCAACTCGACGGTGAACTCGCCCAACGAAGATGCAGGCCCCGTCAAGTCCCCACGACCGGATGCCTCCCCCCGACAGGAGATGTCGTCCGACAAAAGACACCAATCCTACTACCCGCAGTTCGGCATGGACGAGCCCGAGACGCAGTATGCCATTGGGCCTCTGCAAAGCCCCATGGCCACCATCGCCGAGGCCAGTCCTGCCACTCCACCACAGGGTTACTTCGACATCCCCAGGTCGCACTCGCCCGATTCGGTAGAGCCTCATATTGGCCTGCGAGAAGCCACTCCCGTCAGCCCCCATGTCCCCGTTGCTGCAACCTCGCACATGTTCCTTAGCCCACAGAGGAAGCCATCTGGCAGCTCTGAACACTCTCAGCCTCCTTCGCAACCACGCTCTAACCTACTTCCACCGCGTTCGTCTAGTTCTCTACACTCTACCCGCTCTCCGCGACAGTCACCAAGCATCCGTTCCGTTGCCGGTGCATACGATGAGGTCGAGGACATGTCCCTCAGTGGATCCTATGATTCCTTGCACCAGAACCGCAACCTGTCGCCCAGCTCAAGCCTGTCCAGGGCTCATTCTCCCTTTACACCTGCTACAGGCCCCACCACGATACCCCGCTCGCCGTCTGCCGCATCCGACTACTCGGTCAATGGCTCCAGCCTGCCGCGCCCGGCCTTCAATTTCTCGAGACCCAACTTCTCACGGCCCACCAGCCGGCAAAGCGTTCGTCCCTCACTAGACGTGAGGTCCGACGCTGGGCCCTCACGGCAGGCCTCAGAGGAGAGCGTGAACATGCGTCCCTCTTTTGACAACCAGCTCCTTCGACAGGACTCTAGTGACAGCCCTACCGCACACTACGCGAATGAGCAGGTTCACACACCCGTCAGCATGGTAAGCGAGGACTTCCGTCGATCTGGCGACTTCACCAGCAACCCAGCCCCCTCCTACACATACACCAGGTTCAACCTCCCTCGCGGCAGAGCCGTCGATCGCAAGTCTGTTGGCATTGAGGACTTTTTCAAAAGCCAAATTAAATGGGATCAGCCAGGCCAGCCTAACCAGACTCAGGAGCGTCCACCTTCACCCGAATCACCACCTCGATCTTTCGACCAAGCCCGCCAGCAACAACATCGACCAGACGCAAGACGTGATGCTTCCTTCGAACACGGAACCCCTTCCCTTACATCCAGCAACAGCACCATCCGCGCACGAACTGCTGGGTCTGTCGGCGAGGTCACGGCGCAGCAACACTGCGACATGGGACTCGAGCTCCACGAAGCCGGTGAACTGCTCAAGTCGACATATCACATCCGTCTCGCAGCTCGCGCCGGCCTCCCAGAAGCCATGTTCTGGTACGGCCTCGCCTGTCGCCACGGCTGGGGTATGCGCGTAAACCAATCTGAAGCCCTCCAATGGCTGCGCCGCGCCGTCGACTCTGGCCAACTCGAAGTTGCCGACGACGAAGCACAGCCCTCGGCCACCGACATCACCAAGAAGAAGCGCCACCGCGCCCAATACGCCGTAGCCATCTACGAACTTGGAAAGTGCTACGGGAATGGCTGGGGTGCTCCTCAAGACAAGTCCCTGGCGCTTCGATGTTACGAAATCGCGGGTAACTGGGGGGATGCAGATGCCCTCGTCGAAGCTGGCTACTGCTATGCCGAAGGCGTTGGGTGCAAGAAGAACATGAAGAAGGCAGCAAAGTTCTACCGTGCGGCCGAAGCCAAGGGCGTCAGCATGGTGGGTAACAGCTGGATCTACAAAGACAAATACATGGATGATGGCTCGGATGAGAGGTCTGGTCGCTCGGCTACGAAGGATCCCTCGAGTGCTGAGAAGAAGGCGAGAGATAAGAGTAGGACAAGGACTATGTTTGGAAGGAAGAAGAGTGCGGTGTAGTAAAAGCCTTCTTCCCATGCCTTGAACATTAGGCTGCACCTCCTCCGCTCTGGCTTGATTGATATCTTGCCTTGTATACGTGTCTACGACTTTTTCCTTTTTTTTCCTTTTTCCTTGGCGACGGCGTCTGGGTGGCAGCAGCGATTACTTGCTGCTGGGGGTCCTTGTTACCTTGCCCTTTCGCTCGGTTCGCTCAAAACATTTGCCTTTCGAATACCCCATATTTACGATACCTGCCTAGCGCATGGCTTGGCTTCCGCTTTTCTGCGATGTTACTCGTTTCTGATCGAATATCTTCGATGGACTTTCCTTTTATTTTCTGGCTTTGGCTGCGTTCTGGGGTTCTTAACCCCTTCTTTCCTTTGTCTATACCACTGTTTGTTTGGTACCCATGGGTAACCTCTTTCCTCTTTTTCCTTTCTCTCTCTCTTTCTCTCGTGTACGTAAAGTCTAATACCGGTACTGGTGTGCCTGGTCTGGGGGAAAACTTGTTGATCTTGTTGCTCAAAAAGGGTCGGTTTACAAAGGCTGTTGTAAATGGGCGGTTCAATGGTTTTCCTTGGTCCGAAGGTGCATTATACCATGCTTGATAGCTAGTCTGTTTTACCTACTGTTGATGGATAGGTACAATGGAAGAATTGAAGCTGAAGATGTTGATTTTTTGTGGTTTTTTGGAAGTGAAGTGATGTTTTGAGATTGAGAATTGAGGATTCTTTGTTGGGAAGTGAGGAGAATATAGTAGGACCAGAGTGCAGATAGTATCCTAACTTTGTGCCTTGAACGACCAGGTGTATTCGTCTGGGTGCAGTCGATTCGGTATTCGATCGGCCACGGTGGATGCACATAATCCTTTCGGTCCATGTGCAGACCAAAGCAACACAGGCTCTCAAACCACTTTGGGTCCCATAGAAGACGAGCCCAGTTGACTATACTATGAACATGCTGTAAGCGTGGCACTAAAGGCGCTAGCGACCGATTGGCCGTGTTCTTTCTCTTCCGTGTCAGCTCCATTGGCCTAAAAACACCGCCTAGACGTTTGCCCATCGCTGAGGCTGTGCTCAAAAGGAACCTAAAGGGCCGTATACTATGCTTGTAAGAACAGCCAAGGTACACAAGCAAAACGTTACCCATGCCGAAAGAAGCTAGCGAAGTGGTTCGACTAGTGCAACTCCCACTATCCCATCTTCATCCGACACCTCCACTCCCCATCCATCAGTTATCAGAACATACAGGCTGACTGATGTTGCTCACGTTTGCACCCTATTTTCGAATACATTCGGCATGTGTCAAGCAAAGCAGCATCTGGTAGATACACGATGAAGGTCTCCGTTTGTTCCAAGGCCTGCAGCCAACAAGATCGCGCGCATGACAAGAAAAGAACTTGGTTTACATGTGGGTCCGAGCTATGTTGCCCATGGCTATGTTCGTCAGCCTGAGGAACGTGAAGGTAGGGTGTTCGTGGAGCAGACGGCTGCCGATGTCACATGTTGGCGCTGCCGACTGGTAGATATATCTTGACTTCTTTCACTCACTGCATCTCGTACATCAGGTTCTGTGTCCCTCTCCAGAGATTTCATTTGAAGATAGTGCACAGCCGTTAATACACCACCTTTTCTAGGCTTAGCGCTGATCCGATTGTCCGTCTTCGAACTTCCACCGCCGCTTGACACCAGTTGGTCACTGTGACAACGAACTCTCACTTTGATACATTCCACCTATAGCTTATCAATTTACCAAAACTGCGCATCTCATGATAACTCTCATCTCTCGACGATAGTATAGCGACCGCAGGATGTGAAACACAGTCCCACAATGCCCTCGTTAAAGGACCTTGATTGCTCAATTGAACTATCCGAAAGCCAACAAGCATTGCGAGAGTTTGGCACCATATACGGCGATGGTTTCGTAGAGACTTTCATCCCCGTACCCAGCAAGCCGCAGTCTTTCTCGATCCATCTCACGTCCAACAAGTTCATCGCTCCAGGCATTGCAATCTTTGTCTACGTTGACGGCGTCTATCAGTGCAACCGCAACAGACAAGACTTGAAGCTGCGGAAGCCTTCCGATAGCCGGTCTCTAATTGACTTCCGAGTGCGCCAGAAAGAAGAGAGGCAGAGGAATGGCTCCATGATTGCGCGCGAATGGGCTTTTGATAAGCTCAACATTGGTAGGTATTGTGAAGACATCACAGAGTGACGGCCTGCTAAATAATCGCAGCTTCAGCGTACGATGCGCCAAACCTGTGCTCACCAAACCTCCCCGACAATATTGGCTGTATCGAAGTTGTCGTCCTACGGTGCGCCGGTACACGCAATGCCAAATCTGCCTCGGCGATGAACTTTGACGGAGCTGGAGACCCTCCAGACCGTCGCCTTGACTTCAATGGCAACTCGTCCCTATCGAACGAGAGGTCCATGTACGACGATCGCGGACCATTCTTTAACTGCTTCAGCGATAACCACGGCCCACCACCACCGATCTCGTCTTATCACTCACCCTATGCTGAAACACTGCGTAGCTATGAAGGCTCGGCATCGAAAAGTCATCGTACCACACACCCTCCCCAAGAGCTCTTTCTTCCAGAGTCTGTCACGCGCAACTCTCGGCCACGTTCCAAATACTCGGAGCCCGTTAGTCCTGGGGGCCGGCGCACGAGTGACCTTCCTCCGTCGGGTTTCCAGTACGGCAGTGGTCCCATCCCGTGCGGCGGAGAGATATACAACAACTATCCTTCAGATGCTGGACCAGCGCAAGCTCCAGCTGTGGATCCGGTTTGGCTGAACAACCTTCTCACGACGGCAGTGAAACAGGGAGTGGAAGAGTCGCGACGAATGGACGCACAGCCACAGGAGCACACTAAGTACAAGATGCATACCATGGATGCAGAGACTAAGAGTCAGCCTCCAGGAGCATGGCCAGATTCTCCGTTCAATGCGCCCTCACTACTGCATCAACAGTCGGAACAGCCAGGTTTCTCTTCACGCGATGACCAGAGTGACCATGGGTCGAATTGGAAGCAGTCTCAGACTGGCTTGGGTGAGAAATCACCACGGAGTAGAGTCGGAACTCATGTCACCTGGAACCCTGAGCCAGTGGATGAAACTGCATCCTCCAGTGTCGGTGTGTGGAACTCGCTCGGGGAGACACCGTCCGATTCCTGGGACACTGGAGATACATGGCCGACTGACAGGGTAGCTGAGTGGAGGGCTTCCAGTCAACAAGGTAAACGTTGGGTACCAGACACTCCTAGTCACTACAACTCGAGACCGAGCTCTCCTATCACTCCACGCACACAAGATCGACGAAGCTCAAAGCGCGCTTCGCAGTCAAAACCACGGACCAAATCTCGATCAAAACATTCTCGACGAAAGCACAACGTCACGTCTTCTTCAGAAGAGAACGGAAACTGGTCTTATCTCGACCGGCCGTCAGACTCCGTGGTCTCGTTGAGCAGCTCAGACGACACTCTCCAACCATCGCATTCCCGAAGCCGGATGCAGACGTCACGACCTAGGTCAAAGAGTCGTTCGCGACTGTCCAAATCGGTGCAGCGTGAACATGAACGAAAGCCATCCAGACGTTCCCATACACCGACGTGGAGCCCAGCAGATGCAGTCCCAGCGCATGTGCCTTCAGTAAATACGCAGGTGACACCGGCTGTGATGAACGCATCTATTCCTGCTATCCCTGTTCGAGAACGTTCACGGAAGCCCAGCGCCTATGTTGTTCCGCCAGCTTCAGTATTGCCACCTCCAGAGTGGTGCCCCCAGGTGCAAGATATAGTGCGGAAGTCTAGCATTGCGGTCAGTAACATGGCGCCGGCACCATACGCTGTGTCGTTGAAAGAATTTGTACGAAGTACAGTGGGCGAAAGCCAAGCGGACAACCGTTCGTTCTCGTCTTCATCTTGGGGTCATAACAAGGAGGACGGCACCATGAAGGTTTCTTGGGGTAAGGAAACCAAAGAAGATGCAGGGTGGAGCAAACAAAGCGACAGCGGTTGGCAGGAAAAGGAGCCAGAGGACGACAAGCGTGGCTGGTACTCAACTGACGACGAAAATAATGATGGTTGGGCGAAGGATAATGATAAAGACAAGGCCGAAGCTGGTGACAGTTGGAACTTCAAGCAAAACAAGGAAGACGCAACGAACGACTGGGTCGACCTAAAGTCTGCCTTGAAATCCGCCTTTGAGAATCCACCAGCTCCTATAGTACCTTGGCAGAATCAATCATGGACTCTTTCCACCGCAGACGCCGCGAAACCCGTTATCCACCAAGCCACGACCACACCCTTTGCTTCCGCTCCAGCCCCAATCTCATCACCAACCAACAACCCGCACCCATCTTCCCAACGCATGAGCAACAAATCCCTCTCGAAATACCGCTCCAACCACCCCTCTCCGGGGTCAGGTTCAAAACCACACTGGCAATTCCCACCTCCCCCATCCACCTCGATCCAGCCTCTTTTTTCAAACAACACATACATCGCCCCCGCCGAACCACGCCTAACCATCAGCCAACAAGCCTCTAGCACGACAGGCATCGAACACGCCGTTCGACCAGGGAAAGCAACGCACTACGGTCATGTGATAGGGCGACCGGAGTATCTAGATGGTTTAGATAAACCATATGCGGTATTCCGATTCAAGTACCGGAGTATAGGAGTTCTGAAAGGCTTGTTCTGTGAAGACGTCGACACAACTACCACCACGTCCAAGAACGAAGTAACAGAAAAGGAGAAACTGAACATGGAAACGAAGTTGAAAAATGTGCCGCAGGGAGATTTGAGCAACAAGACAATGACGGGGTTGGAGAAGGGGGAATTGATGGTGAAAGGCAAGAATGGCGATGCTGCTACGACTAGTACTAGTACTACTCCTCCTCCTGAGAATAAGAGACACGAAAAGGAAAGTATGGACAAGAGAAGTGGGAGGGAGAAACAGAGAAGAATGAGTGAGAAGACGGATGGGGTCGCGAGGAACTTTACGGAACGGTGGGTTGAACGACACTCTAGGGATCCGAGTGTAACTGCGAAGAGTTTGGACAAGGATAAGGCTAAGAGACGGGAGAAGGAGAAGAAGAAAAGAGAGAAGCAGAAGAAGAAAAGGGAGAAGCAGAAGGAAGGGGGAGCGGGTGAGACGTGGGGACAGGATGATGATGATGGGTGGGAAAATGGAAATGTGCAATGGTAGGGTTAGAGTGCTGGACGGGGTCTGGACTTGTAGTTTCTGGAACGATTAAGGTTTTTTTTTGGTATACGTACGTGTATTTGTAGAGAGAACAAATAAAGACAGACAAGGAAGACAGCAATTTTGCCACATTTCGATTACTGCCCTCTCTATGTCGATAGATCTCGCTTGCTGCCAGTGTCGCACGATATGCTAACGTATAGTAAGTTCATCTTCACTATCATCGTCATCCACCCATTTTCGTTTCCTCTCCTCTTTGCCCGGTTCCAAACCCCCTAGTCCCCCACCCAAACTCATCCTCTTCCCCCCGCTCTTCCCCACGCTCTCCTTCTCCTTCGCAGGCGTCGCCCTCCTCGTCCACTCCCTTTTGACCCTCTTCAAGAATGCTTTCCGACCAGTCTTCGATGTAGACTTGATAGTGCCCGTTTCACTACTACCATCCATGTCACGCGCTTTTGGTGTTTGATACGACCTAGTGGCGGAGAGAAAGATTGATGGTGGTGTATTTGTTTCGCTTTCGCTGACGCGTGCGCGTTTGAGGGACGGGGTTGTCGGGTAGGTTGCTGAGGAGGGGAAGGGAAGGAGTTCGTCGTCGGCGGATGTGTCGATGAGGGAGAGAGATGGGCTTCTACGGTGGGCAGTGGCGTGCGTGCTTTGTTGTTGGTATCCGTAGTGAGTGGCGGATTCGGCGGGTTCGTATGGTGCGACGATGATATTGCTGAAGTCGTTTTGTATGTCGTCTTCGTTCTGTTGTGAGTTGGGTATTACTTCGGCGGTGGGTGGGGATTGCTTTCGTTTGAGAAGTGCAGTTGGCGATGAGAAGGTCGGTTCGGATTTTATTGCGATTGACGATGCTCGGGTGGGTGTTAGGATAAAGTCTTCCGTTTGCGGAGTTGCAGGCAAGTCTTCTAGTATGGTGTCTTGATTGACCAAGTCTCTCGTCTCGATAGATGGTAGTATCACATCTTGCGATGCAACTTCGACTGTGTCATCATCGCCGGCTGAAGGTTGATCCTCACCAGGATCAGATCCAGCGAGAGACAACAGATCGCGGTCATCGTCATCGTAATGCGCGCTCGATGACAACGTGTTCTGGCCACTTTCTTCTGTCAACTGCACGGGACCCTGATGGCACTCTTCGTGTTCAGAAGAACTCGGGGTTGGCAGATGGTGCAGTGGGTTTGAAACGGCATCAACTTCTTCCGTCGAGACAAAATCGCTCGCGTTGACACGACCACTTGTGGGAGCTACAAGTGGCTCTTGTAGATGTAGATTTTGATCCTTGATCTTGACCCAACGGTTGTGGAGTGCGCTCATTGGCCACATCTTCCACTTCTCTCTGCCATCCTTTATGGCCGACCACGAAACACCGTCTGTTCTCTTGCGCTTGCTTATGTACACGTCGTCTTCATGAGTGAAGTGATACATCCTCGCAAGACGGGGAATACGCCTCTGGATTTCGACACGTGGACTGCTCCGGCGGGGTCTCGTTGGTGAACTTTCGCCTGGCCTTGTATATAGTGTCGTCATCGGACTTTCTTCAGCCACCTCTATTAATATCGTGTCTTTGTGCTGTTGGCCTCCCTCTTCCGTCGCCGATGCCACTGTATGGCTTGGAAGGGGACTTGACTGAGCAATCGGGCATTGACGCGGTTTTGCGGACAGAGGTGGGAAAAACCATTTTGGGTCCGTGGCAGGTGCGACCTTGTCATTTGTTGTTATCGGAGTGATTGGTGTGGGAGCAGCGTTTGGGAACGATGTCGGGGCGTTGGGTGTGTTCAGGCCGGCTGTGAAATGGTGCACAGCTTGATTGATTGTCTGCAGTAAATTTGCGTAGAAAGCAGCGCTTTGCGCCTCATGTCCTGCGGGTGTTTGTGGTAACTGAACATTTCGTAGGAGGTCTGCGGCGGGGTTCGGTGTGTTGGGTATTTGCGGAACGCCGAGTTGCGGTATGGGCTGTGCGGGAAAATCTGACTGATGCGACGTAGGTTGTTGCGTGTTGATCTCTGTGGCTTCGATTCGTGGGTTGCCCAAGTCTTCAGACGGCACAGTAGTCCTCGACTTCACCGGCTGTGGGGGTGCCAATTCGTCTTCCGAGTCTTCTTCGCTCGCTTCTCCTTCTTCGCCCTTTGGATTTCTCGCTGCTGATAATACGATCGTGTCCAGCAATGTTTTCTCTTTCCCATTAACCTGACGCTTTATTCTTCGCAGATGCCCTCTATCCACCACCACCCTATTTGTTTTCATATCAATCTCGTCGCTCTGGGACTCGTTCATGTTGCCGAATTTCTCGAATATAGACTCAAATCGGCTTTTAAGCTTTTGCTGGTTTTTCTGCTTTTCCTTGAGGTAGTCGAGGTTCTCTTCGTCGACTTCGACTGATTGGAGTATGCGCATACGCTTCGCCGGTGGTTCCATGGCGCGTGTTTGCGAATGCCCTGGTAGAGGTCATGTGTCTCGGAGAAGGAAGAGGGCGGTGGTGGATAGGCGGGCTGGCGGGGAGCGCTTACTTGTGAGATGACTAGCGATGATGTTGGTGAAATGACGCGAGACGCGACGCGACTACTCACGCCTCGGCAGGCACCCGGCGCCGCAGCCCCACCTGCATGCAGGTGATCGCCAACCGTGAACCGCAACACCGTCATTCCCCCTACACCCGCGAATGCTCACCGTCCCTCAAAGCATGAAGAACCACAACTCATGACAACATGGCCAACGATAAGAAACAGCCGGGCTTGGCTTGCCAGAAATGCCGGACGCCAATAGACATCGATGCCTCCATTGACCAGCTCAACCCGGCAGCCTTCAAGTTATTGACTGGTAAACATCCATATTACTACAGACTCTAGCACATGGTAATAATGTACTCCAGATTCCACACTATCAGCCCAGCAGCCAGTATCAAGAATATCACCAAACCGCCAGTCGCGCCCTCCCAACCCTCCCGAACACCTGAAGACATATCAAGATGCGGCCAAGGATGCCAGGAACCCTACCTTTAAACGCAACATACAAGGCGCACCACCTTCAGGACTCACAAATGGCCCCCAGAACCCCGCCATGTCCTTCATCGACGTACACATGTCCGAGTCGATGATAGACCCACCCGCCCCTCCGTTCGAAGCCCAAGCCGGAAACCACAAACAAGCAGCGAGAAGCCGAGTGCAAACGACAAGGCACGACGGAAGAGCTTCACAAACGGTCCAAGCATACCAGGCGGTGCAAGTTTGGCAGATGGGCTGGAGACGACAAATCGCATGTTCGAAATCCTATCCGCACGCTCCGACATCGACCACCCCATCTGCGTAGAATGCACCGACCTCCTCATCGACGGTCTCCAAAAGCGGCTCGGCGTCGCAACCCGCGAACGCGACGCTTATGTCGACTACCTCCGGCGCGCCAACACCGACGTGCCCTCGGCCGACGAGGTCCGAGTAGCCGAAGCCGCCCTCAAAGCAGCGAAAAAGGCCGAAGCCGTCGCCATAACCCAACTCGAAGCCCTCGAAGCCGAAAAATTCGAACTAGACAACCAGCTTGCGGCCCTAGAAGCCGAGTCCCGCAGCCTCGATATCGAAGAAAGCGAGTTCTGGAAGTCGAGAAACGAATTCAACACTACGTTGACGGAGATACAGAATGAGCGTGATGCGCTCGCAACGCGGTATGCGCATGATGCGCAGGTTCTGAATCAGCTGCAGAGAAGAAGTGTGTATAATGATACTTTCAATATAACGCACGACAACCATTTCGCCACCATCAATGGTTTAAGGCTTGGGCGCCTGCCAAACCCTTATGTCGACTGGCCGGAGATAAACGCCGCATGGGGGCAGACATGTTTGTTGCTTGCTACGCTGGCTGAGCGACTAGGGTATAAATTCGACGGCTACGAACTTTGTCCCATGGGCTCTACATCTACCATTACCCGTTTAGAAGCTAAAGGCGGCGGTGGTGGTGGTACTTCAAACGCGGAGTCGACACGTCAACCAGGTCATCACGGTAGTACGAGTGCGAGCTCCCCTCAAGTGAGCAAACATAGACTCGAGTTGTATTCCTCCGGTGACTTTCCTATAAACTTTGGCTTCTTACACAGGAAGTTTGATACAGCCATGGTCGCATTCTTGGAATGTCTGCGTCAACTTGGCGAGTTTGTCGAGAACTCGGCTACTGCAACACCCGGCAGTGGTATGGGAGCTGGAGGAATGGGTGGTGGTCAAGGAGGCCCCCTAGGTGGCGTCAAGATGCCATACGAGATACGGAAAGATCGCATACATGATCAGAGTATTAAACTCGCGTTGAATAAAGATGAGGGGTGGACGAAAGCTTGCAAGTATACGTTGACATGTTGCAAGTATCTACTTGCGCATGCGAATAATGTTGAGAGTATGGGGGCTAGGCGGAGGTAACAAAGGGGTATGGGAGAAGAAGGAGAGGAGCAAGGGGATTGGACAATGGTGGTCAGGGTAATGATGGCATACTTTTGTGATTTGGTTTGAATAGGTTAGATACCCCCAATAATGATTTTCTGTCCTTTCTTCTAACGAAACGAAATGGAATGGCTACTCTATGCGAAACCCTCTGTGCCATCCACGTTTACTACCCTAAGCTTACATCACAGCAACAACAACCTGTCAGCGTACAAATGGCCGCTCTTGTACCATATGAAGAACACACCCTCGTCTAGCGTAAGACAGCGCCAACGACGGGAAGGGGCGTGTACGTGAGGTTCCTGTGTGTCCAAAGCTTGATATCCCTATCTCGAGTGACACAACGCCAACGACGGGAACATGTACACATCAGGCTCTTTCGAGTCCCCAGCAGCCAGTGTCCCTATCTCATAGTACACGAGCCTCAGATGAATGAGGCGACATCGCAGATACTAGCCTTATCGCATAGTATACGAGGTCGTGCGGTACGATGGTGGTTCAGACGTACCTCGGACCTCGATACTGTAAAATAGAGATGGGAACGTTGATTGAGGTTAGGGTCTGACTCGAACAATCTGTTAGTGAGAAGTAGGGTCGCATGCCCATCGACTTGTGCTCTAGACGACACGTTGTGTTCTCTCTCTGTCACATTGAGCCGTTGCTTACGCGGGAACTCTCGTGTCGTTCAAGATGGGATGCGGTGGGATATAAGGCTAGCTTAGAGGCCTAGCATGAGACTAGTAGCTAATTCGACTACCGCTTAGGGGAAGCTGAACACACGTTGGGTACTCAGATATGTTGCTGCCCACCAAAGGATAGCAGTACCTTGCTTCTCTGATCGACTGAACATCGTGCGACTAGTTTGATGTGCTTTGCACACCGCACAGACTGAAAAGCACAGACACCAACTCCGCATCCGGGAGGCACCGACGGTCAGCACAAAGCTAAAGCCTCGTGCGTAAGAATCCAAGGGGCGAAAAAGGAAGGTCACGATACTTTCTCGGTGGTGTTGCGGCTCTTAGCGCTGGAAAGCACCATGTCAGCTGAGTTGTGCAGCCCCGTGACTCTCGGTGGCGCACGTCCAGCCGGACGAACAGCGAAGCCGACAATTGAGTTTGGGCGAGCAGGCTCGCCTCGCAGCGGCATAGTGTAGGCAATGTCCGACGGCTCTAGTGGAAGCGGAATGTTTATCCCGTAGCCTAGCTTGCCGGTCTGATCGTCTCAGACCTAGATGAACTTCGTGGAAGCGAGCTGATCAGGGGTCGCTGAGATCTTTGCGGGGTAGCGTATTTCCTTAGCTTATAGAAACCAAAAAAAGGAAATCAGGGGTGCTCAGAAAGACGCTGGAGTGTTGTCAAGAGGCACAGTTCGATGTAGCGATCGGCCTGTTGTGCTCGTTTGCGCAGACACCTGTCGAACATACTGAAGCTGTCTCGTGGTTGCACCATCATCACTCTAATCAAAGTCAGCATCTCATAGACTAGTTTACTCTGCTGTTTGGGAATCGCTGTGTAGTGTGCTCGGCTCAAGTGCTGAGCTAGAGTAGTTCCCGTAACGGTGTTTGATTCTTGGTTGCGGAGAAGTCGCATAGCGGGGAAGTTTCGAAGACGTAAGATATTACCAAATAAGTCGAGGAGAACACGATGGTGAGAGGCCTAAGCTCCAACTCATGCAACAGACTGGAGAATACGTGTCACCAGAGGAATGTGCCCATGCATCGTGAAGATTTTGCAGGCTGGTCCACTCTGGGTGTGAAGTTTGGGGAATGGCCATGACATGAGTTCTGCGTAAGTTGCATACCGTGCGTTGCACAATTCGCAAAGACCAAACGAGGAGGTCCGGTACGTTCTGGAATTATCGTGATCACGGTAAACAGGGTGTTGCAAGGCTGGCCGTGTACGGCGCTGTTGTGCGTCAGACGTGGTCCGTTTGACGACAGAAGGTGCGAGACATGACATAGATGGCGACACCCGCAACCGCAACCACAACCGTCTGGAGATGCGGAGATGGTGCAAGTGCCCAGTGCGTCGGATGTAATATGGCACAACAAGCCACAATGCTGGCAGTCAGTGCATTGTCGTGAGACGAGGTATGAAGACGGCGGTCGACGGCACCAAGACAGGGCGACACGACGCGACAGCATGGAAGTAACGGAAGTTGGACCCAGCAGAAAGGCGCCATGCAGGCACGGGGATGGTGAAAGATGGTCGGAAGGTCTCGTCAGAGATTTCCATGTGTCATTGGTGGTCAGGTGGCCTGCGGATTGAATTTCCTGGGGGTAATCGAAACGCCAGCCACGAGCCACGTGAAGCCAATTTTCTGCTTTGAATCGCCGCCCCAGCAAACCCGAGCTCGCCAAGCCACCGTGACGTAAAGAGAACCTAACCTCACAACCACTTTCCCTCGCAAGACTATACGCGTGCAACGTGCTGCCAATCACCCTATTGGCTCGCCTCTGCTGAGAATTGATCCTTCTAGCTCATGGACCATGTCGGTCTAGCGTCCGAGTCGTTGGCGCTTGCGCAAGGACCTGGGGAAGACACAAGACGTCTGACTAACAAACAACCACGGAGCTCTTTGTGCCAAATAAATCTCTGCAGTAGCATTGTGTCACTATAAGAGTCCAAAGTGCCTTCCAGGGTTCACTCCAAAATCCATACACCTGACTAACTACGACTTGCTCGCTCACCTTACCTACGTTTCAACTACAACAGCAGCATAGACATCGAGTCACCCTACCGTCACCACCGTCGTCGAACATTCAATGAACATCAACGACTTCCCCTACGAAATCCTTACCCAGATCCTCGAGGAGGTTACCAAGGCCAATATACGTGATGGTCCCACGTATACATTTGGTCTCCAGCAAGCACCATTGCCACTCGAGAGGGCCAAGCTCCAACGCTATGTAAGAGGCCCGGTCCCACCGGAGCTCCTCAAGTGGGATGCGACTGCCACACTACGATCAGTCTGCTGGAAGTGGCATGAGTGGGCTTTGGAGCACTCCATCAAGGATGTCTACATCCGTCGCTGGAAGGGCGGAGAGGTAAGCACAACCAAGGTACTTAGCCATGGCACAATACTAACGTCACATAGCGATGGGCCGAGCTATCAAACAGGCGAGAGAGCTACCCGCTCTACGAACTCATTGACCGTCCAACTGGCACAGCTGTCTACCGCGACCCCTTCGCCTCGCTCAAGCGGACGGTGAGCATCTGCAACGACTACCCAGCAGTGGCTGCCAAGATCAGGCGCATGTGGGTGCACGGTTTCTACACCGCCGAGACCGATCGTCTAGTATTCCAATCGCTCAAGAACTGCACCAACATCACCTCGCTCTCTCTTCCATGGACCGCCATCCGTCACGTGGACGCCAAGGCCTGGCGGACTGTGCTCACTGGTACTGGCAAGCCACTGCAGTCGCTGGAACTCCAATGCGTCGACCCTACCTCGCAGCAAGCAACAGACAAGGATAACCTCGTTGACCTGGAGCCACTACAGTCGGTCAACTTCAGCCAGCTGCGACGCCTGAAGATCTTCGGCGACACTAGCTTCATGCCCATCACCAACAATGATCTCTTCGCCATCGCTCGCACTGCCACTCAGCTGGAGGAATTTCACTTGACCTGCAACTCCTCAATCACCATCGACGGCGTCATGGCGATTGTTAAGGCGTCTCGCAAGACTCTCCGGGTTCTTGAGCACAGCCCGCGGTCACAGGATGGCTTCTGGCACCCACATCCTGGATCCCCGAGCGACTGCGAGCATCTCTGCGATACTTTCCGGAACTGTCCCAAGCTTGAGACTCTTTCCATCTCGCTTCCTTCTGTATGCTCCCATCTCTTCTCAAACGACAATGCAAAGTTCGCAGGCGACCTGCAGGTACGCGCTCTGCACTTGTGTGAGCATGAGGATGGTCGCTCCACCCAAGAGGCTACCGACGCCCTGCAGAAGCTTCTTGAACAAGCCCGTCGCTTCATCCGCCTTCGCGCAGAGAGTGCCATCCCTCGCGACTTGTACGTCGAGCTCTTCTTCGCAGAGTGCATCTTCGAACCCGGTTTCCAATCCGTCCATGGCGATTTTTCCCTGGCGCAGATTTCGTCCGATGGGCACTGGCCACAAAACGTCGACTTCAGCGGCAAGGGACCTTACGGCAGCACCGGTCTGTACGGAAAAGAAGAAGAGGCGCAGTTCCAGCGTATCGACGAGGCCGACTTCCTAGCTGGTGTTCGCAGGAGGCTCCTCTCCATCCAAACATGATTGTGTGGCTAAATCCACCAATAACGGCCGAACTTTCACTTCAACTTGTAAACCTTTATCACGAACCTTTTACTTACGAAATTACGACCACATGCATGAGCGGCAGGCCTGGAGCCAAAGAGATACCAGGCTGAAGCAGCCACATTGTATTCATGCATTTGGAGAAATTCACAACGAGAACATGGCCATGTCTCGAAAAGCGATTGCTGTGTATCTTTCATCTGAGAGGGCGGGGTGGCTTTTGCTTTTTGTCTTTGCATTCTGTTAGCATTTTAGCGTTCGACTTACAATCAACATAATGAATCAAGTTTTTCACTCATCTAGATTCTTCCATCGATCATCTGTGCATGCATCTATATTCGCGCATGTTCGATACTGGCATCCTGCTCCAACTGTGATCACGACGCGCAACAGGCGATGAGAAACTTCGCGAAATCTCTAATTTTACCAATGGCTCCCTTTTGGCGATAAACAGCAACACCCCGCACCTGCAGCCCACGCACCCACACCCTCCCAAAGTGGGCAAGCTCAAGGTACATTTCCGCACGTCTTTGCTTACACACCGCACAGTCATCACCCATTGCACACTACTCCGGATGCCAACCTCTTTCTCTATCCGAGCTTGTCAACCTTACCTAAGCCGTGCTAAGAACGTAACACTACAAGTGTCTACACGCCGAACGCTGACCGATATGCTGCTGAATAAGAGACGGAACATGGCCGCGCGAACTAAATGCAACTAAACTGTTGTTGTTCCGGACCCGGGATCTGTCTATGGGACAGCCACCTAAGCAGGTTTGCCGGAACGCCGGTGGGTGATGTTCGTATAGTAACAGATTTGGCAGGGCCAAAAACCCCATTTCCAACGATTACATGAGCCTTTGGTAAGAGATTGACAATGTCCATGACGCTACTGCATTGGGGGTAAATGTGGGCCGCTAGCCGTTCCGCCATGCCTCGATAAGCCTAGCGGTGCGGCTATGAGGGGCAGAATGGCGCAGAAGCTGTTGGTTACAGGACAGCTGGGTAGCTAAGCTTGCTGGCATAGCAGTTATCGAGCATGCAAGTGGTCTCGGTGCTATTCGACCGGTGTAAAGCATGATGTATTTCGAGACGATTATGGGGATCGGGACAAGGACAAGATAGGGCAAGGGACAGGGTGCAACAGCTAATCTATGCACCCGGTGCAAGTATAAGAAGATGGGACTACCCCACCTCGAAAGCCTCCCAACAACGCACACATCTCTCATCTGCTCTTCTACTTACTTGTTCTTTGTTACTGTTGTTTGATACCCCCCTCAATTCTCTCAAGATGGCTCCCAAGATCGCGATTGTATACTACTCCATGTACGGCCACATCAAGACGCTGGTATGTTGAAAGTTTTGTGTTGCGTTTTGGCAGAATGTTGCTTGCTTGACGGCTCCCCACTTGTTCCTTGTCTCCAATTGAGAGCTTACGCTGACATAGTCGCAAACAGGCCGATGCTGAGTTGAAGGGTATCCAAGAGGCTGGCGGTGATGCCAAGGTCTTCCAGTATGTACCCCTCTCCCCAACACCACCATCTCTGTACTCGCAAACGCAATGGCAACTACCCAATCGACGCCCCACCAATCCTTTTCATACTCCCTCAAGAATGGTCACTAACAACCTTCATACAGAGTCGCCGAGACCCTCCCCCAAGAGGTTCTCGACAAGATGCACGCACCCGCCAAGGACTCCTCTGTCCCTGTCCTCGAAGACCCCTCCGTCCTCGAAGAGTTCGACGGAATCCTCTTTGGTATCCCCACCCGCTACGGCAACTTCCCCGCGCAATTCAAGACCTTCTGGGACAAGACGGGCAAGCAATGGCAGCAAGGCAGCTTCTGGGGTAAATACGCCGGTGTCTTCGTTTCCACCGGAACCTTGGGAGGTGGCCAGGAGACTACTGCCATTACCAGCATGAGCACGCTTGTGCACCACGGTTTCATCTACGTGCCCCTGGGTTACAAGACTGCCTTCGCCATGTTGGCCAACTTGGAGGAGATCCACGGTGGAAGCCCGTGGGGTGCTGGTACCTTCTCTGCTGGTGATGGTAGCAGGCAGCCTACTGAGCTTGAGCTGAGCATTGCCAGGGCTCAGGGTAAGGCCTTTTACGAGGCTGTTGCTAAGGCACACCCGTGACTAGATGATGGGAAGACTGCTGGCGATGTTGGTGAGAAGAAGACGGTGGTAGAGGGTAACGGGGCAAGTACGAATGGGGTTGCGGCGTCAAACAATGCTGCTGCTCCAACTGCTACTGCTGCCGCTGCTCCTGCTACGTCTCCATCACAACCCCAGCAAAAGACGGAAGAAGTGAAGGACAAAGAGGGAGGTCCGTGTGGATTGCCTACAAAGTGCGATATCATGTAGACTTTGTTACTAGTCTTCTTCTTCTTGTTTCCTACTTGTTTAGATCGCAACGAAATGAAATGAAATAATACAACACACAAGACCTCTTCTCTAGTTCACGCAGATAAAGGGTACTTCTTTCTTACGTGGTCGTGCTTGCGTAGCCATTCTTAGCTCGTTACTAGAATATAGCCATGGCACAGATCTGACTACGAAAAAGTTATACTTGCATACAAACAAATTGACAAGACATGATAACATGATGTAGCTTATCGGTTCTTAATGTAAATACAGCTTGAGTTGAAGAAGAACACATTCGGGTATCATTACATCCTCAGCTTTACTATCAAAGCACTCAAGTTCTAATCCCAAAACATACCAACATGTGTCCCGGAATAGCCAGAGATCCAACATTTGACATCTATACCCACGAAAAGAACGCCAAGAACTCCAAACTCTCGAACACGGCTACTCATCGCCCACCACTCTTCTTCTTGTCCTCCTCCCCCTCTCCTTGTGGAACGTGATCGTGTACGAATCCATCTACCCAATCCTTGACCCCGTCAGCTTTATGCGTCAACCACTGCCACCAACTCTCTTTTTCCTTTTCCGCCTCCTTACTAGCTTCTTCGTCACCTTGTTTGTCTTTCAACTCGTCCTTGCCACTGCCTTTCCCACCGCTCGGTGGTGTGGGCCTGCTAGGGGCTTCGTGATCAAGCGAAGGGGACGTGTCTTCCAATCCCGACGCCGAAGCTGCGATACTGGATAAAGAGTCGAAGCCCATGGATGCAAGATTTGATTGGGAAGGTAGTGACGATACAGAAGAAGAGAGGGTATACGTAGGAACCGGATCCTCAGGCGTATGATTACCGGCGTCGTCGTTATCACTGTGCAACCCAACGGGATTCAACGGCAATCTCAGCGTCCCGTTGTTGGGCGCCGGAGCGAGACCAAGTGAATCGCAAACGATGTTGTATAGTTCGATATTCTGGAACGGGTCCATTCTGCTTCCCGCCTTGTGCGGAAAAGCCGGTCCCCTAAAATGGCAGTCGCAAGTCAGTAAAATGCGTCTTATACACACTTATTGGTGAACAATCAAAGGAGAACTTACCGAGCAATAAACACGGCCCTCATCAATGGGTGTTCAAAATCGTATCCATGCAATCCCCTCGGATGATACACCTCGCCCTTCTTCTTTCCCTCTTCGACGTCGAATTCATCTTTCGTCACAATCGCCCAACCGGTCTTGGGTACAATCCACAAAGGGGCGATACGCTCGTTTTTGCTAAAGTGGTAGCGTTCCGGCATATCCTCATCCCGTAGATAAACATCCACGTTAGGATTCCCCTTTGTCCGTTCCTTGAGCTGGTCGTACAGACGATGCAAATCCGCGTCTTTTTTGGGCCGCAGGCCATAGAGCGGCCAGCCATCAGTATGTTCAAGTTCTTCCGGGTCGATCAAGTCTTCGAGCTGAATGAGGCGCGTCACGTCTGTTGTAGCCATGCCGTGATCCGACACGACGATTACATTGACAATGTTTGTGAGGTTACGCTGTTGGAGACCGGCTAGGATACCACCCACCATTGCATCAGCATTGGCAATCGTGCTCCGGATTTCCGTGCTGTTGGGTCCGTAACGATGGCCGTCGCCGTCTACGACCGGGACGTACGCTGCGATGAGTTGGGGACGCGGCTCGTTTGCACTCGCGCCGATATCCTTGGGGCCGGGCATGTCGAGTAGAGACATTATCCGGTTGACCTTGCTAGGAAGCACTTCCGACCCGTTGTACTTGTCAATGTACGCAACCTCTTGGTGTAGGATGTTGGCTTCGGAACCAGGCCACATGTGCACTGCTGTGCGCACTCCTTGTTTCTCGGCTGTCACCCAGAGGGGTTCGCCGCCCCACCAGTGCGCTTGTAAACTGCGTTCTGGATCTGTGTAGTAGAACTCTTGCTGTAGTTCCGGGTCCCAGAATGTGTTTCCTACCACGCCGTGCGCTTCCGGATACATGCCTGTGGCCATTGTGTAGTGGTTTGGGAATGTGACGCTGGGGAAACTGGGCATCATGTATTTTGGCGATATGCCTTCTTGAACGAATTGGTTGAGCGTGGGTGTAAGGTTTCGGTAGAGGAAGTCGGCGCGGAAGCCATCGAGCGATATGAGGATTGTTGTTGGTGCGAAGAGAGAAGTGCCGTTTGATATCATGGTTACTGCGCCTTTGACGTCTTTGGGGGTGGAGAGATTGTACGTGGCTGTGAGGAGGACGACGAAGAGGACGATGATGGATATGTATATGGCTATCCGTCGGTATAGGCTCTTCCTGCGTGCCTGGGACACCCATTAGCTTCGTTCACGCATTCATAGGCTCTACATACCTTTCTTTGCGACTCGCTCGCAAGTAGTCGCTGCTCATCGCTCTCTGAACTCCTTCTCGAGCGGAAACTCGTACTTGATGCGCCAATGCCTTCTTCCATTTCATACATGAGCGCGCTTGCCTCCTCGTTGCCGCTTTTCCTGCGCTCCTTCATCTCCTTCTTCTTATCCCATTTCCCGACTTTGACCCCCGAGCCTTTACGTCCTAGTATACCTTTTCCGCCATCTTCGCGCGTAAGAAGCCTCTCGCGCTCGTCTTCCGAGTCTAAGATATCATGGTCGCGTTCGCCAAGTTCGCCGGAGGGTCTACCGTCGTAGCCTTCGTCGTCGGAGGTGTGGTCGTAGAGGGTGCGCTCGTCGGTGCCAGCATCGGAGCTAGCGACCCTTTGCGCTTCATTGTGCAGTTGTGGTTGCGAAGACATGATCGCGTTCTTCAGGTAATATTATTACATCGCTCGGTGACCGAGGAAACGTTGCGCACCCGCTACGGTGCTCAATATGTTGAAGGTCAGCAACCCCAGACGTGTCTCTTGGCACTCATGTTTCACGCGTGCAGGAATGCGGCGTTGCTCGCGCAAGGGCGTTATTCGGTAATTGAGAGTTCACTAAACAGCGAACAAGAGAAACTGCTAGCTGGAACATTGCTTTGACTTTATGCATATGATAGTTTGTAGACGCTAGTCCATGGTCCTCTCTGGATATCCAGAATTCTGGATCATCTTTCGCGTTCCACATGATTTACTCCATCTCAAATACCGCGGTCTTCCAAGCATCAAACCACTTAAGACCCGCACCATCTACTTTCCCTTTGGAGCAAAGCCACAGTACCAACCACATGTGCTCTACAAGCTCTCCCCAGCAATACAGTCTGACCTCCCCAAGAGTCTGAGCACCAATCTCTCGATGCAATGATGTGGCCCAACCAAGCCTGCCATCTGTCAACAGTTCACAAATTGCGTCCCATAAGTCTTTTTGGGTTTGTGCTGGCCATTGCGAACAGTCAATGGACCACCAACCCCGTGTATCGGGCGCGGGAGAGCGCAGCTTCTTGATTGGGTTGAATTGGTTGGGACTTTGTGTCTTGATGGTTGCCAGGTAGGGTGTGATCTGTGAGGGTAGAGTCCCCGGACTAGTTATACCGATTTTCGGCTCAGGAGCTAATACACTGAACGGAAGCTCGGAGAAGTCTATGAACTGATCGTGCTTGTTGGGTTCGTGCTCACTGTTGCTCTCGCTTGTGTTGTGCTGTGTTGTTGAGACCGTCGGCTTTGACGTCTTGATCAAGCGCGAGCCTTCCTGCTGTCCTGGAACAGCGCTGCTAAACTCAAGTTGCGCTTTCGAGGAATCAGACGCCCGGACTCCTGCTGCGCTAACTTCTTCCAGGCGCCTACTCTTACGACGTTTCGCAACCGCGGTGGATACCTTGGAGGAGGCCACTGCCTTTAACGCGTCGTTTGAATGCAAACCTTCCAGTTGTTCTGGAGCGATGGCGATAGACTTTTGATGCGGCTTTGGAGTACCAGGCGCTGAGAAACCAGATGTCTTGGATCTTGCTGTACGACCAGCTTCTTCCAAGCGCGTACTCTTACGACGAGTTACAACGGCGGCAGGTACCTTGGAAGAGGATGTAGCTCGAGGTGGAATCGAATCTTCCGTCGTGATATCGGTCGTGCGTTCACTTGGCCTAGCTGGACACAAGGGAACCTCTTGTGTGAAAATTCCAGCGACTTCATCATCTTCGTCGGTATCCTCGTAGATCATCGGAGAGCTATCTTGCAGTTGACTCTGAGGTAACTCTTCTGCTGGCTCAGCGTCCTCCAAAGCCACCCCTTGAGTCTCATTCCCAATCTCATCATCATCTGATTCATCATCTTCATAGGTATCCTCAAAACCCATCTCAAAGCTATCCGGCATTTGACTCTGCAGCGCCTGAGCCGCAGCTTGCGTGTCCTCGATAAAGGCCGTATCAACATCCTCTGGACTGCTTGGAGCATCTTTTGTAGATTGCTGTTTGCTAACAGCGCTTGGCTTTGGAGTCGTATGCGCTTTCCAGTTCCGATGGATGTGCTCTAGGCGAACAAGCCGACTAGACGTCGGCGGAAACTCATCTTCTTCCACATCATCATCTCCCCTTGAGCGTCCATCGGACGACAAATATGAAGGAAAACTGCCGTACGAATCTTTGCTCGTTGATATAATCGACGCATTGAGACTCCCGGAGAATGAACTACTCCCTGCATTCGGCACCACCTCATCGCCGCTTACTCGAGGAGTACCTGTAGACTGACTCGATACATGATGTTGGGCCTGTTGTGAGCCATCCGCATGACTTTGACTTTGACTTTGGTTTCGATACGGCTCGAAGTCAAGATAAGCGTCAGCCAAGGAACGGTAAAGTTGATCGTTTTGTCGGGTTGCTGGTGTGGAGATGTGAACCAAAAGTTCATGGTCCATAGCTGGAGGCAAACAGGTGGAGTGTATGTCGATTTCCAAAATCCATCGTTAGGACTACTACATAAAGAGAGGCGACCCAAGAGAAAGCGCGCACGGATTGTTGTCTTGTGTTGTGAGAAAGGGACGTGGAGAAGGCAAGGGTCCAGCCTGGCGGATCTCTGGCGATACTTGGCAGGTACGGTCTGTGCACAATCTTACGAACGGGTCAGTACTACGACTGGATCTGTTGTATCTTATGCGACGGCCTCACAAACTCAATGTCACGCCCAGAGATGGTCATCCAGCCGAGGACATCTGTCCGCATCGTCATTCAATGGTATGTCGTCTATCATGTTGAAACCATCCCTACGGATATCGCTGAAAGAAAAGAACCCACACCCCGTTTTAGTTTCCCAAAGAAAGTTACTCCTCGTCCTCCTCATTCGGCGCCTGCATCTCCTCGATATCCTCCTCCTCGAAAGTGTGCATGGGAACCGAGTACAAGCGAAGAAGAGACTTGTTGGGATCCTTGACAAGCACATACTTGCCCTCATCCATCCTCAATACCATATCAACGATAGTACGGACAATAGCCCATCCGTTGTTAAGGTTAAGGGCCATCTGAGCGGCAAAGTCACGGGGCTTGGCGGTAAGGACACCGAGAATGACGTGGTCGTTGTTGTTCTTGGGGTTGGTACGGGACACGAAACTGCCGTACTGTTAGCCGAAGTTCAATAGACTAAATGATTCACAGGAATACATACCCAAGTTTCATGGTGTCGGCCTTGGCCAGGATACTCTGCACAGTCCATCGGGCAAGCTTGCAGGAGTTGTTCTTCATCTCAGTGGCGAGGACAGCACCACGCTGGCTGGCCAACTTGGATCTCCAGTCGAGCGCACCACCAGCTCCTTGTGCCTTGTTGTCGAACTCGTTCAGGGCCTTGATGGTCAGGTACTGGTCTTCACCGTTGATGTTGTTCTTAACAACAGCGTCCAGCTCTGTCCGGACAACCAGGTGCAGAGGCTCCTCGTCCTTGTCCAGAGACAGATCGAAGCGGCGGTACCTGTATGCCTTGGACGCTGGTGGGTCGGTCTCAACCTCCTCGTTGTAGAAGGGGTGCTCGTGGGGCATGTTGACCTTCTGTGTCTCGGACTCGGAAACGACCTGGAGGGGGAAGATGTTGTTGATGTGGGTGGCTTCGAGCATGAGGGCGCCGGGGCTGTTGATGGAGTCCTTGTTGCCTTCGGAGATTTCGAGGGGCGCGTCGGCGGCGTTCTCGTTGACAGTAACCATGTCCAGACTTGAGCCATCGCGCTTGTCGATGAAGACCTTGTTGCCCCGCTTGGTGAAGACCAAGTCCCAGGAGTAGACAGATTTGGTGGCGCACATGAGCATAGACAGGACGCCGTCGGTAGCGAATACAGTAGCCTCGTCCTTGTCGGCAAGCTCCTGAATGATGGGATCGCTGGAAGTGGTGACATTGTAGGCAGCACGGTCGAGGACGTTGAGTTTTCGCTCCGAGGTCTTCGCGCCAGGCTGCTTGTCATAGCTGCGGTCGTAGTAGTAGAGGAAACCGTAGTTGTCGATGTCCTCGCCTTCGTGGGTATCCAGGTTGAGCTTGCTGAGACGGGAGAAGTCGATCTCCTCCATGACGTTCCATTCGGGCTTGACCTGCACGGAAGCATCGCGGTTGCGCTGGGGCTTGTCGTCCCTCCAGCCAAAGCGGCGTCCTCCCCTGCCGCCCCGTCCACCACGCTGGTTGTCGTACTGGTTTCCACCACGGCCACCAACACGCTGGAAGGTGCCCCGCCCTCCGCGTTGCGCCTGTCCACCCCGGGCTCCTCCACGTCCACGGAAGACAGTGCCGCCGCCTCGTCCAAATCCTCGACCGCGGGCTGATGTGCGTGTGTTGTCGACGACGGAGAAGGTCGCCTCCTCTTCGGCGGCCTGGATAGCGAAGGGGTTGGTCTGCTGGTTTGCGCCGTATACCTGTTGGTCTATAAACTTGTTAGCTTCCATATAATCGTCTTCAACCATGTCTAAACATACCCCTGTAGTTGCGGTTGCCGTACTGCTGGCGTCCTCCCCGCTCGCGGTCCTTGCCCTCAGTCCAGTCGGCCATGCGACCCAGCTTGTCGGCCTTGGAGTAAGGCGCGAAGGGCACGCCGTCGAGCATCGACTCGGTGGTAACTGGCGGTCCCCATCCTGACGTGTCGGGCAGCGCGGACACGAGGTCCAGTAGTGATGCGGGTGCCATTTTGTGTAGTGTCTGTAGGTGGTTGTTGCCGCACAGAAATTATGTGGGCAGCCAAAAACTGGCGCTAACGAAACGAAATTCCTACCCCGCGTCACCTTCACCTAAACATCACTCCACATCCTACCAAGAGCTCCATTTCCCTCACCAAGACCACCTAGTGCCGAACCTTCCCGCAGTCTGATAGCATGCACTTGAACTTGCCAAACTCACATAATCCCAAGGAACACCCGAAGATATTAACAGCACGGTCAAGGATGGTGCACACCGTGAGCGTGTGTTAGTCGCATCTACCTAGATATCATCAATGGGACCAGAATTGTTGAAGAAATTCCCATCCTAGGTACTATCGTCTCAGTTCTGTAAAACTGGGAGCAAGCATGGATATAAGAACGTCCCTACTACTCCAAATATCCAAGCTTCTATCGTTCGACGCCACAGAAATCACGTCAAGTTTGAGGATGACTATGCCAATCACATCTAGCAAACAAGAGTTCTCTGCGCAAACTTCTCTAGTCTCTCTTCTTCGGAATACTCGTCTCATTTGCAATAGCGCACGTTCGAAGATATCTTGCTTTCCAACGGGCTACCCCACATCTAAAGATGGCGTTCCGGTGAGTGGGAGGCACAGTAGAAATGTCGAACGCTTGCTATGTGCCATACCGCGATTGGTGCGTTTTCATCGCCTCTCGCTTAATCTAATCAAACCATAGGATTTACAGCAGTATATTTAGGCAGGTGCAAGGAGACTCATGCGCGCCACGTCCCATATGGCTGTAACTGGCCACCATCCGCATCTCGATCCTAGCATATAGGTACAGCTACATGGACTTGCGGGGCTATGGTGACGAGTCTCCCACCCTCCCAAGTTCTCACCGGTCTTCAAGAAACGGTCAGAAGGGTAGCAGGGGAAAACGAGTTTCGACGTCCTTTGAGAACCAACTGGACTACAAAATGCGACAAGCAACGTGCTGAAAAGTCTTCGTCTTCACAGCGTATCAATACACATATTAAATTGTATTCATACTGACAACTTCAAGTTTTGTTAATCCAGGGTGAAAATCGTTGAAGTGCTCTATCTCTTGTTTATCCTCCCTCCGTACATGATGCAGTACAAGCCTCTTGACAAAGCAAAGAATGAAATTCGAGTTCTTAGATTCCTTGATCTTTCCACTCCGGTCTCAACTGAAAACCCCATTCAATGCTCTATCGAAAATGTTCCGCTCGAAGAACGTTCTTCCCATTTCCGTTCGGATCAAGAGTACCCGCATACCGAGGATTGCCCGATAGTGTGGGATAGATTCGCAAAGTGCGTAGATCTTCGGGATGCAACCCTGGAACAAACGAATCTTGACAAGGCCACATCTATGGGACTCAGTCAAGCCCATAAGCAGCCCAGCAACTCTCGTTATACATGGGGCGATTTTGAAGCTTTGTCATACACTTGGGGTGGCGGGGGTGATGTAAAGAGCATTACCGTGAATAGAACCTGTAAAGACGTTCCAAAGAATCTCGAAGCAGCGTTGAGGGCTTTACGAAAGCTGCAAGAGACACGCTTGGGTATGTGTTATTGGGTGGATCAGTTATGTATCGACCAGAAAAATCGGGTAGAGCGAAATGAACAGGTCAAGCGCATGAGACATCTATGGCCGAGCTAGGGCAGTCATAGTCTGGCTGGGTCAAGAAGAGAAAACCGACGAGATTGCAGTTCGGACAATGCGCCATCTCTGTCGAAACCCCTGTGTGGGAAATCCATCACGACTTCCAGATGACTTGCTAGTTGACGGATGGCCCGCCCTTTCCGCCTTCACCAAAAAGCCCTATTGGACCCGAGCGTGGATCATTCAGGAGCTTGCTATGAATCACAACTCGACTTTGATATTTTGCGGAAAATTCAAGTTGACAAGAAGAATGATACGCTTGGGTGCCAGGTACTGTCAGAAGTTTCTACAAGGCTCCGAAGACCAGTCTCATCGATCCGATCAGAACTTGGACTCAGCTGCGTGGCCCAGGGCTAGTCGCGTGCATCGCCTAGCAAGTCTTACCTTCAATCCAGGTTTTGAAGTAAAGTTGAACCCCTTGTTGAATCTTGTTCGCCGAGCCGACGCAACTGATAAAAGGGACAACGTTTACAGCATACTCGGCTTGTTGGATCCTGCGATCTCTGTAGATATCGTTCCAGATTACGAACTCTCGGTGCAGCAAGTTTTTACCGACTTTACGATCGCTATTATCGAGAAATCAGCGAGTCTGGACCAAATTGTATATGGAGGTATCCCAAATCAAAAAGGGTGGCCATCATGGGTACCCGACTCGAGACTGCCATTTGTCCGTCACCACATTCAGCATCTGAGATCCCGTCAAGCAAGCGGAAATCAACCAGTCCAAACTCGATTTATGAAGAGAGAGAAAGATGGAAATCTTCTTGCTTGTAGAGGATTCCAAGTGGACATGGTCGACGGTTCTGGAGCTGGACGTTCTCCACGTTGCCATCCTACTAAATCACGTTACACCTTGAACAGATACAGCGGTCGAACACCTGAAGCGCTCCAAAAGACCTTACTCATGGGTCACCCTGGAGCAATCAAACAAGTACTTCTTGAAATACCATGGACATCAGGATACAATGTTAGTACTAATTTTGCAAACATCCGTCAAACCACGGAGTGGCACAACATCTTCCAGTCAAGCCATTTTCGAAAGTTTCATGCATTCAGAAAGCGAAACCAAAACTTTCGTATTGGGGGCAAGAAGCTCCGAAGCTTTTTCCCTTATTACTCCAGGAAGAGTGTGGAAACCGAGACCGTCTTACCATGCATGCGTTTGGCTATACTGTCTTTAGATCACCGAGCTCTTATAACAACAGAGACAGGCTATTTAGGCTTGGCTCCAATAGCTGTTCGCCCAGGAGATGTCGTTGCCATCTTGTTAGGCTGTAAATGTCCCGTGGTCTTGAGGCCATGTCGTGATGATATGTATCAAGTTATCGGAGAGTGCTACATCCACGGGCTCATGGATGGGGAAATCCTAAGTCAGGAGCGTGACGGACATGTTTCACGGCGGGAATTTGTCTTGTGTTAGCAAGGTTTTGTTTCATCGTTGCAATATAAAACCTTGATCAAGTACGCACGCATCACGAGTTTGAACAAGAGAAAGACAATCATGTAAGGAGCACAGGTAGGATGCCTTCAGTCTTCCATCTCCATTACTTTAATTCCGAGGTCTATGCTCTACAATTGCACACACACCAGTATATAATATCTCCTCTTTTTACTAATCCTAGCCTTTCGCTACGAGCCTCTCGTCTCTATATATATAAACGTTGTTGAAAACGCGATTAAAAAACTCTACTGTTGATGAATGGATGAAAACGAAGCTTGGAGTATACGCAGGTCTACAATGCACCAATGCGATCCAAGAAATTAACAGAAAAGTGTATGCGTCCAGAATAGGGTCGTCAAAAACGTGACCAATCGTGAAGTATCGCTGCGCTGCATTGCGCTGTGCTGTAATACGGATAACCGCTCAAGTCGATGATGATGATGATGATGATGATGATGCCGCCGCCCAGTCTATGAGATGTGGGGATAGGGATAAGTGTCGTCGCTTTCTAGATCGAGGTCCTTAGTCGGTTCGTCCCTTCCCATCAACAACATGTCCATTCTTCACCTCTCCACTCTTCTTTGGTATCGTCAAGCAGTTGATGCCCAGGTAATCGCAAATACTCGTAATAACCAAATGCGCCCATTTGCCATAAACCACGGCGGCGAAGACAAAGTACGCGCGGAGGTACCATAGCTCGAAACTAGCCGAGACTGGTCCAAACGTCGTACCAGGAATCGTGAAATAGGGGTGGTTGACAATCAGCGCACCACCAATCATAGGCGCAAGCATAATAGTCCAGTAGGGAAAGGGTTGGTGCGTAAGATGCGCGAGGATAATCTTTGTCGTCATACGTCCAAACACCAGACTCATGGTCAGGCAGTATAAGACGAGATGATTGTCTTCAAGTAACTTGGAGTAAGGGGATCCAAGCCACGCCATGGTGCAAGTGACGAAGATAACCAGCGGTGTCCATTCTTTGAGTAGCGGGAGCAACGGCTCATTCCTGGCTCGGCGTGCTTTCGCGACGTTGACGATGCAGGCGGGGAGATGGGCAACGAAGAATGTGAAGAGGATAATGGGGACCCAGAGTTCTTTTAGCGTGACGTTGCCGATTTCAGAGGCGTACGACGGGAAGTAGGTGGCTAGGGGTGTGGACCAGATTTCAGGACCAAAGTAGCCGGACATGCATATGAAGGTGCATGCGAGGATTAATCCCTCTGTAGATAAGTCCAAGGTCAGCAGAATTCCTAGCGCAAACCAAGTGGATAAGAACGTACCTGTGGGACCATTGAAGTAGCCCAAATACAGCGTATGCGTGTGATATGTCTCCCACGTCGAGAAGAACATGGGCAGCACGGGGATCAACGCAGTGAAAGCGCCAATCTTGGTGCTTCCGTATCCTACGGCCGCCGTCTCGAGGAGACTAGCCAAGGTGCAGTTCAAAGAGTCTATTCCATGGCTACAAGGTCGCAAAATCAGTATCGTGATATTGGCGCTTTGGGCTATGTGTTTATCACGTACTCAAAAAGTTCTCCGAGCGGACTCGATGTGCCGGTTCGGCGCGCTTGCTTTCCGTCGACGTTGTCCATGGTGGAGTACCTGTGGCTGTTAGCACGATGACCTGTATCTACTCTAGGCGTCAATTCTTACATCCACATGCCAAAGGCGAAGCTGTAATATACCCATGAGGGCGCCGGTCCGACCAGATCCGGGATGTATAGCTCGAGCAGGAATATATTCCCCAGAATGAAAAAGAAGCCTAACAATGTGACGAGGTTCGGCGCAAGCCATAGCGGCAGTAGTTCGACAAAGGCATTCCACTAAGTTCATGTCAGGTCGCGTTGCGAGTGCGCGGCGTGGAAGGGTGCGTACGTAATGCTTGAGAATGTAGCGCGAGATGAAGGATTTGTCGACACTCGAGTATTTGTACGTTCGGAGGTGTTGCAGGGCATCTTCCGAGACGCACTCATGCCTTGCGGTTTCTGCGCATTTCATTGTAATCAGTACATGGTCAAGAGTTGTAGGCGCAAAGGAGAGACTGCAGGGGTCGTACCTTTGCTCGGCGGCATGGTGGGTGATGTGACGGGAAGTGGTAAAGACATGAGTTTGGCGGGGCGGATTAATTTATATAAGGGATCGTGGCCATGTGGTGAAGCGGGGAATATGCGTCGCGTCTGCAGGTGCCGCCTGTCTCTTGTGGGATGGGATGAACAACGGGATGGGCGCCTTTGGCGGGCGTCAAACTTCTAAAGGGACGGGTCCGCCGGCTCGGTAAGGGCTCAGGGCAGGGATCTGGAGATTGGCCCAGGTGCGCGTCATAGTTTAGCTCCAATCGCTCTTGCACGTGAAGATCGCGGACACATAGCCCATACAAATCTAATCTGATGAGACCATTACAACGTGTAAGATAGTGTAACGATGAGTGTTATCATTAAATACAACTACCAATAAACAAACTGCCATACAAGTACTCTTACTATCGAGCCCTTCCCGCACAGACGAGAAGCTCGGTCAAGCGTTCCACACACCCGCTCAAGAGCTTCAAAACATGTAACTCAACTCAGGCGGCGCGCCGACCTGTGAGGGCGCAACCTGTGTAGGCGCCACCTGTCCTGCCTTCAAAGTAGGTCTACGTCGGCCATCACCCTACGATGCCGCAGCAGCCTTCCTCTGATCCTCCTCCTTCCGCATATCCTCGAGAAACTTTTCCCACGTCTCAATGGTGCCCTGAAAGAATTCGACATGTGCGTCTGCGAGATCGCCCAGGGTATCTTTAAATTCAATGGCTTTGATACGTTCAAAGTCGGACACCTCCTTGACCGTGTGCTCATCAAAGGCCTCGCTGGCTTTCTTAGACATCTCGACTTCGCCCGTGAGCCGCTCAATTTCAACCTCCAGTTTGCGGACCCGTTGTCGCCGCGCTTGATCGTGGTCGATACCCCGGAAGTCTTCCACTTTGGATCGCAGGAAGCCAGATGCACCCATGCCGGCCCCTGTCGCGCTAGCCAAGGAATCCCGATCCGCGGCGGATTTGGCAAGGTATTCGCTCAGCTGTTCGAAATCGAGCTGCTTGCCTTCTCGCGTACGGAGTAGTGTTTTCACAGCTTGGATGTAGGCATCCATATCGCGCAGACTAGTAAGGTAGTTTTGGTCTGTGTGGTCTCGAATAGACTTGAACCCCTGTGAGGTGGTATTTACGGAAGCAGCGAAGGATGTCAGATTGCCTTCGACAGCAGGTTCCATGGTCGTCAGCTTCTGGCATTGTGTGGCTAGATCGGCGTAATCCGTCTCCAGGTCACCCTGTCGCCTGGCCACCTTGACAGTAACCTTTTCAACGTTGTTCAGATCCTCGCTGAGCTTGTTGGCTCGCTCGCTAACCTCGATGAAACGCTGGTCCGGCTTGTGTATCTTGGTAAAGGTGTTGACAAAGGTGTCGGCGATGGCGTCCACGAAGCCGCCGCCGCCTTGTTCGGACCCGCTCGCAGCTCTTGAGGACCTTCCCTTCATGTGCTGATTCCAGTCGGGACTCTCCAGGAAGTTGATTACCAAGGCTGCTCTCCGCAGCACTGGGTGCAGTGCTATCCGCTTGAGGAAGCGGTGCAATGAGTGGGCTCGCCGCTGTGTGAAGTCCGGGCCAAAGCGGTCTCCGCGCACATACTCCATCTTGTGCTTGTCGGGCAGCGGCGGGACGGCGCATTGCGGGTATTCTTTCGAGAGCTGTTTCCAGAGGAAGACGAAGTCTGTGAAGCGGCGACGCACGGAGAACTCGGGTTTCTGGAAGGACTGGAAGTCGGACTACGCGGGGTGATTTGTTGTTAGACCCTGAACATGTAATACTACCGGAGCTGTAGAAAAAAGCACCAACCTTTGTGGTTACTTGGTACGAGACATATTGGTTCTGCGTGCCTGGCAGCTCTTTCTGAGGGCTGCCGACGAATGTCTCTAGGCGCCCTTCGCTGAAGTCGGCCGCCATTGCGTGTCTGCGGACAGCCTCTGGATCGCGGATGTATATGAGGTGGTTCTTTTTAAGCTCCGCGATATCGCTTATCTCGTCGTATTCGGGATCGTCAAGTATATCGTCAAACTGATGCGGCGGGCTTGCTGGCTGGGGTCGTGTTAAGCTCGGAGCGTTGTCGGTGACGTCGGTTGAAGCCCCGGCATTAGCGCCTTTCTCCATGGCGGGCGCACGATGCCTGACACGCTCGTACATGGCTCCAAAGTCCTCCGCGCTCCGATGGAGCGAATGATTGTCAGTCAAGATAGCCATGATATAGTGAATGTGTTTTTTTAAGAAATGATTAATAGTGTGTAATGAGTGCACCTAACCGCCATATATATTGCGGGTCAAACGTGTACAGTGAATGAAGAAAGCGCGACTTGTCCAACAAACATGCACATATGCCGCGTGCGTGCTAGAACCCTCAACAAGAGAAGACATAGGTATCGTACGTGATCTGACCAAAGAACCATAACCCAACCCAAGACATGATTGTTACATAGCAGTACATCAATGGTCATCAGCGCCGAAGCGCTTGCTGAACTCGTCAAAAAGCTGTGGAGTAATCTCGTCGCTGCTGTTTCCGTTTACAGTCCAGAGCACACCTAGCTTGTCATAATGTTCAAGCAAAGGTTCGTTGTTTTCCTTGAAACTCTTCAACCGCGCCTTCCACACCTCTGGATCGTCGTCGGCTCTTCGGGTAAGCGGCTCGCCCGTAACGTCATCCTTGCCGTCAACCTTTGGCGCATTGAATGTGGTGTTGTAAACACGTCCTGATGCCTCGTGTACCCAGCGGTTGCATATACGATCGATGATAATATCACTCGGAGTATTGAGGTTGACCACCATGTTGATGGGTACGATGTTGTCGAGCTGTATCGCTTGAACAGCGGTCCTTGGGAAGCCGTCGAGTATAAATGAGGCCGACGGCCTGTTAGAGAAGGTGTATCGCGGAGCCCGTACCGCCGAGGGAATCATGACTGCATCTACCGTAGTCTCTGGCATGTCCATGGAGCTGAAGTTGAGCGCATATGGGCGCAGTGCGTTGTCTCGTATCCACCCGCGGGTCGTGAGTTCATTAACGATGAGGCGCAAGATCATGGTGTCGGGTACTAATTTGCCAGACTTCATTGTGGACTCGGCTTGTATGCCTGCGCTAGTTAGCACTTTTTCAGACGACGAAAACGATGCGCATACCAAGGGGTGTCCGCTCCCGTACGTTCTTTCTCAGCAAGTCGCCAGAGCTGATTGCCGAAAGCTCGGTGAATTTGTTCATCAAGCGCTCTGTCTGAGTGCCTTTCCCGACGCCAGGCGCGCCGACCAGTATGATCCTGGCGGCCTTGGATAGCCTTTGGGCAGGCATTGTTGTGAATATGGGTTGTCGCGAAGGTATGCTGTAGTCGCGAGTCTAAGAAGATGCCGCTATGTATAGTAGAGGTCGGTACGGTGAATAAAGCTCGAGGGCTCCGCCGAAGGCTGTTTGTAGTTGCTAGAACAAATCCATGGCGAAAATTGAGTGAAATGAGAATCGGGGAGTTTAGGTAAGAAGCGACGTGACGGTAGGAAGTAGGGAGTCTCCACCTGATAGGATGGCAGAGGGACGATTACCGTCGGATAGACGTGGAGGTGAGGGGACGGCCCAGCCTTGATGGCATTCAATTCGCAAGCCGCGCTGTCGTTCTTGCGGATATCGGAGACGCCAACGCCTCGGCCAATTGACCATGACATGCCGACTGACAAAAGAACTATTGGTCCTTGAGCATATTTGGTATCGTACAAGAACCCGAGGCCGAGTGCTGCTGCCTATAGTGTCCCATGGCGCGCATCGAGCAAATGCATCCGGTTTCTTCCTAGCTGTCACGACTATGCGCGTCAGTCCAATGGCTTATGCGCACCGTTGGTGGCGACCAAGCTTTACCCAGCAGATCGCCCGGCGGTCCCTGAGACTAAGTCCGAAGACGCAACGTCAGCGGAGCCCATTTTCTCAAAGCTGCATCATTCCATTCCTTGCCGCAAACTACGTCCACTGACATCCACCATCTCTTTTCTCACTTCATCTGTTGATTCTGTATCAAACCTACAAACCACTTTAATTCTTGTACCGTACACGTCACTCTCTACACACCACTCGGCGCAATGTACGCCGGTCGCACTGCTTCTAGGGCAGCGCCCGCAGTCTTCAGAGCGGGCATTAGGACCACTACACGAGCTCATCGCCCTATGCTCAGGAACTCACCCGCAATCCGCATACTCATCCCCCTCCGTGCCTTACAAACCGAGTCGACGTCATCCAACAATGCGCAAAACTATCCACCTCCTGGTTTCGACCCCAAGCAGGCGAACCAGCATTTGCTCAAGCAACAGGCCCAGCCACGGTCAAAACAAGGCGTCGAGAAATCGGATCCTCTTATCCCCAAGTCCGGCGCAACCGCTAATCCAAAAACACACGCACAAGATGTACAGACATTGAGCGAGCTAAAGATGGAGAAGTCGGCTGCTGAGACCAAGGAGGAGAAGAAGGTTTTGGCAAAGAAAGAGCAAGACAAGAAGAAGTTGACCGTCTGGCAAAAGGTCAAGAAGGAGCTGGTTCACTACTGGGATGGCACCAAGTTGCTCGGCTTCGAGGTCCGCATCAGCTCCAAACTGGCACTGAAGATGGCGGCTGGTTACGAGCTTACCCGCCGTGAACGCAGACAGGTATGTTCTTGAAGGCGACACTTCGGCATGTCGCTAACAACACCAGTTACAACGCACCGTACAGGATCTTGCCCGTTTGGTACCCTTCCTGCCCTTCGTTATCGTTCCCTTTGCGGAACTGCTACTCCCCGTAGCCCTCAAGCTCTTCCCCAACATGCTGCCCAGTACATACGAGGGTCAGTCAGCCAAGGACACCAAAGCTCAGACCCTCCGAGCAACTCGCAAGGACGTCAGCAAGTTCCTTCGTACAACACTACAGGAAACTGGTCTACCCGTCTCCGCCGAGAACGCGCAGACAGCCGAGTTCACCGAGTTCTTCCGCAAAGTACGCACCACCGGCGAGAAGCCAACACCAGACGAAATCATCAAAGTATGCAAGATCTTCAAGGACGACCTCACCCTGGACAACTTGTCTCGGCCCCAGCTCGTTTCCATCTGCCGTTACATGAACATCACCTCTTTCGGCACAGACAACTTCCTGCGCTACCAGGTCCGCGTACGCATGCGTCAAATCAAGCGTGACGACAGGGCCATTGCTTACGAAGGTGTCGAGACCCTTTCCGTTCCCGAGCTCCAGACTGCCTGTGCAAGCCGTGGTCTACGAACCTACGGTGTCTCTCCTGGCCGATTACGTGATGACCTCACTAGCTGGCTCGACCTCCGTCTAAAGCACGGCGTTCCATCAACCCTCTTAGTCCTCTCCAACGCTTTCGTCTACGCACAGGGTAAGGAAACAGAAATGACTTCTCAAATCGATGCCTTGGAAGCCGTGCTTTCCAGTATCCCCGAGGAATTGTACCACGAAATGGATCTCGAGGTTCGCAACGCCGAAGGTGCCGCAACCAACAAACAGCGTCTGGAGGTGCTCAAGGAGCAGCAAGAACTCATCAACGAGGAGAATGAGCAGTCTGAGACTGTTGAGAACAAGGCTGCTGCGTCGCCTAAGGATCATGAGGATATTGATGAGAAGCCTGCGAAGGAGGCGCAGGAGGCTAAGGAAGCCAAGGCTGAGGAGGAGGGCAAAGAAGCTGAGGCTAGTGCTGGTGACGCCGCTGGTGGAAGTGCCGAGCGCGCTGAACAAGATGAGCGAGCTATGAAGATGGATGATCCTACAAGCAAGGGCGAGAAGCCTGCTGAGGCGGCTAAGAAGGAGTAAAAGCAAACCGCCGGCAGCCCGATTCTCTACTTTTTGTGTATAGCTACGAATCTCTATTATTGGCGCCTCGAAAAAAGGTACGTGGAAAGTGCATAGAAACTACCCATTCTCTCAATCATGGGATAGGAATTATAGAATTGTACTCTATAGAATCGAGATATCAAGATATCATGTCGCAATCATAACGGTTGTTGAATAGTAACTAAATGTTGACCCATTTCGGCTTCTATGTGATGCTTGTTCAAATACCTCTTTCGTCTCCAACCTCGGGCAGACTAGAAGTCTAGATCATTGACGTCATGCCTCCCACTTCCGCTTCCTTCCCCCCACTCCACTTCGATCTCCAACTCAACCAAGCTTCTGCCAAGTTACACATCAACTTGGCAAGTGAAGGTTGCCTTTGCCTCCCTTGCCCGTCTGCTTAACCTATTATCCTATTCTGTTTCATAACAAAAAGATCACACTGCGAAAGGAAAAAAAAAAAACGAAGTTTCAAAATGCCAGACGCAGCGCAAATCAATTGTTCCCTAGGAACCATCAAAACAGAACTAGAATACCTCGCATCTTCTGGTGTCTTATCGCCGCCGCAGTTGCAATCCATCCAGGCGCAGTTACCTCAATCCAACGGTCAACCCTCCCAATACATCGACCCCAAATACGTCTCTGGAGGCAACCAATTCAATCCCGCCTTGGTCGCGCAACAAGCACAGGATCCGGGGCATCCGGCGAATCCCAATCATCCAAAGGTATGTTTTTGGACACTCAATTTTACATGATCATTATAGTATTCTGGTAGGGAAGAAGAAGATTGATCCGAGAGTAATTCGACGGATTAGAGAAAGCTAACACCGAGGCCAGCACCACGAATGGGCGAGCAAACTAGCGCATAAATTCGGTAACGCAGCCGTCTACGGGGCTGGAGCGACGTTTGGGGCTGATTTAGTCAATGATGCTATGAGGAAGTTCTGATTCAAGGCTTAGGGGAGATGTGTGAAGGGAGAAAGTTGAGGCAAATAAGCTTTTTCAATCCACCTCGTGAGTAGCCTTGCTGAGAACAAACCTGGTTCCGTATACTCGTTCCAGCTTTTACACACACACCTACCTCGATATCTTCAGCAAATATCCAATATCTCAATCTTCACCGTTCTATTCTTAATCCCATTCTGAAAATCCTCAAACGTTCTATCTTTCTCTTCATCATCCATAGTACCGAGATCTCTCAACACCAACAGCTTCAAACTTGGCAACGTGGAAAGCGTAACGTAATCATACTGCCACGTTTTCCGGGAAGCATGGGTATAGTTTGTAGTGATGACTTCAATCTTATCCCTTTGACCGATTGTCAAAGGTTCCAGCATCAGTGAGACACCCGGAGACGTCGTTGCGCCGAAGGAATTGAAGGTAAAAGGGAAGTATTGTCCGAGCTCACGTCGGATCTGACTACAGGCGAGCGGCAGGTTCATGGCTAAGATTTGCGTCATGGGCTTGAGATTCCAGGCTTGCTGGTGGTTGGGCCGTCCACGCAGCATTCTTTGTCCGTTACCGCTGGGCATGAGGTAGATTTCGTGGTCGCCCAGCGCGAAGTAGTAGATTTGATTTCGAATCTCGCTGGGTAGACGTAGGAAGGGTGAGTCGAGTTGGTTCCGTGTGCTGACGACGGTATGACGCACTGCAGTGGCAGCCATCTGCATCTTCGGTTCGGCCTTTGTAGCCGGTCCTGGCATGGAGGGGGTGGTAAGTAGTCCGATTTTGGGGTATTTAACAGTCTGTATTTTCGACCTTCGCTGATCAATAATCTCTTGCGCGAGTTCAGGTCGCTAGAGTTGATCATGCGTCGCTTGACCGGTTAATGACCTGCTAATAGTAGTACAAGGGCTGGAAAACAAGGGAGTCTACGAGTATAAATAAAGCCTTCGGTATTGAATACCTCATTTTTACGTACATTGATTTGATTGTATCCTATTAATGTTCCGCCACAGTCGGTCCGGCGCTAGTGGCGGTGCTATCGCAGTCGCTAGTGCTCGACCTATCGGTTATGTTCTCGAATACACGCGGAAGACTTGTACTTCGAGAATTTCGAGAGCTTTGTTAGAAAGATGTTCTTGGTTGTGGAGGACTGGGCGAGACACACCAGGTGCCCATGGGGGTGCCTACTACAAGCATGACGCTAAAAGCGCTAGCGATTGATAGGCCATGTTTTTTGCCCTTTGCTTTACCAAAGAGGCAATACTCTCAGTCTTCAACTACAAAGAAACCCATCTTTGCTAAGAATATCATGCGGGCTAAAGGGTGTCACTTCTTTCGTGTCTAGTGCCAATAAACATCTCTGCCATGTCGAATCGAGCACTCAATTGAACCGATCATGTTTTAAGATTGACATGTACGCCTACTTGGGCAGAACAATAAGACTAATTCTATGAAGTAACTTGTAAATACTCCCACCAAATTCTGAAAGACACTGTATACCACCACCCTCTTACAACTCAGCAAATTAAACGTCCGCACATCCCTACTTACTACCCAGCTCATGACGCTGCTCCTCCACACTAACCTGCCCACTCATATCCCGCTCATCGATCTCAACAACAGGCCCATGATACGTCTTCCTCGCCCAAACCGCATAATAAACCGCACTAAGCACCGCAATCGCCCCCGTAACCAGAATCGCCCAGTTCATATTCGCAGGCGTAACCTCCGCAAACGTTGGCCAAAAGCTAAAGAAGAAAACGAAACTAAGATATGCACAAGCGAAAACGTTGTTCGCGATGCCTATCGCGCCGGGAAGACGCCAAGGGCCCCATACAGCACGTACCATACCGTCGCTGGTCGTTGTGGATATGGTATTTGTGTCGAAGGCTTCGCTGGGGGCGAGGATGGCGCCGGTGCAGCGACGGTAGAGGAGGAGGGACGATGTGAGTAGGTAGGAGGAGAAGAGGCCGGCGATGGCGACGGAGATTACACCGTTGAAAGCGACAGTCGATCCGATGTTCACAAGGGCGAGGAGGCAGGCGATAAAGCTTGTGACTGCTACTGCGTAGACGGGGATGGACGTACGGTCGCTGACCTGGTGGAGTTTAACATTATTGTTTTTGTATAGATAGATGGGTTTGTATACATACCTTGCTTAAAGTTCGCCATCCAGGTAATCCTCTGTCTCTTGCAAACGCCCAACAGATTCTTGATGTTGAGGCGGAGAAGCCTACGTTCGCACTGATGGTAAGTACCATGACGATAGATGCCATGACTGCGGCACCAGAGCGTGATTGCACGGCGCGGTGGAATATAGCCATGAAAGGGAAAGCGGGGTTTTCCTCCAACACTTCGTCGAGATTACCCATGCGGAAAAGCACAGTAAGTATCATCGCGAAACCAAGAGAGCCGTTGATGGCGATTCCCGTCATGATGGAACGAGGCACAACGATCTGCGCGTTGTGGATCTCCTCGGACAACTATAGCAGTACATCAGTGTCTTGCAGCGAGTAATAGTGACAGGTTGTAACCTCTTCGTGGTTATACTTACGTGAATCGGCCCATCACCACCAACAAACGCAAAAACACTACCCATAATTCCAATACAAAAGCTCAATCCCTGCGTCTGCCAACCCCCCAAGTTCACAAAAGTCGTAAATATCTCCTTAGCATTTCCCTGCGGCCCAAGCACCAACAAAGGAATCAGAATGGCAAAGAAACCCAGGATGTGCAATATAAGTAGCGCGCCTTCGAACTTGGGTAGTAGCCATCCAGCAGCAATGTTGATGAAGACACAAAAGGCAATGATGGCCCAGTAAAGGAGGGTGACATGCCAGTTTTGAGGGACGTAGGTATCGGGTTGGCAAAGCATTAGGAGGCCTTGGATGAGGCCGCCGGTGAGGAAGGCGCCGGAGCCGAGGGATGCCAGCCAGCCGCAAAGTGTAAGCCATCCTGGGAAGAAAAGTGTGTTAACATGCGCTCGAATTGAAATAAGTAAGAGTTGGAGGTGATTGCCTTACCTGAAATGTAGCTCAGCAGTTTCTGAGAGTTTCGAGGTGCGAGCATAGACACCCAATGATATTGACCACCCGATGTAGGTGCCCTTCATCAACTCTTAGCCATTCGCTTCATCAACTCCAGTTTTTAGATGCACACTTACATTGACACAAGCTCGCTGAGAACCATGAAAACGGATACGGTACCGACCCATACAGTAAGGTAGCCATAAATGACGCCAGCCGGACCACCACTACTCTGTTTAGCACACTGCTTCAGCATCGATATGCTGTGCTATGTACTCACTTCTGGAAGCCAACCAGGAATAACCTTGAACATTGTTAGCTACGTGTCAATGTAGTACTACGGGGTTGTGCGACTTACACAAGAGATCCCTCCCAGGTGATCAAGACAGTACAGCTGAAGCCTAGGATAGATAGAAAACCGAATCGACGCTGTAATGTCATTAGTGATGTAAGCATACATAGTAGAAAAGATAAATACCTTCAGCACAGCTTTCTTCCCCAGTCTCGCAAGTGCAAGATCATCTTTTCTGTCCGTGGACCGAGACGACGTAACGGTCAGCTCAACATCACCACTCTTAGTTGTAAGCGACGCCATCGTGTCACCAACACGAGAGGAAAAAGCGTTAACAGGGCAATCAAGGAGCCTGTGAGACGACCGATGATGATCGAAGAAAAGAGAGAAAGAGCGAAAAGGTTAAAGAGAAAACCGATATGCCGTACAAACAAGTAGCCGCATAGATGAAAGCCAGAACGGCTCATGCACAGCATTGTAACCGAGATATTGATACTCGACCCTGATCCTTACCGTTACCCTATATCCCGCTCGCCAATAGGATCACACCGCTGTATCCCGGTCCGGACCACCTGCTAGAAGGAATTTAGGTGCATATGCTTGCGTGCCGTGCCACTTGCAAGACGAAACGAGGGTACAGCAGGGGTATGTGCTCGCCGCAATGAACGCCAAAATTTTACATGTGTTGGTATGCACTGTCTAGAAGCTGTTACACTATCGAAATATATTTACTGCTGTGCCATGATATTCACTGCGATATTGTTGTAGCCGGCATAGGAGCTACGGGCTCTACTTGCACCGCCCAGCTCTTCGATACCTGGATACTTCTATCGGGTGCGCTTTGAGAGCGTTTAGAATTCTCGGAGCGTCCTGATCGCGATATGTCCATGAGTTGATACCCTTTACTATCATCTTTGGAAGTATGCTCTCCTCGACGGCGCAGATCGTCTAAGCGCAAAAGCCCAGACTCAAATCCTTCCATGAAGAGTTTGGTGTACGGAAGACACGTAGTTACGATGGCAAAGCATTGTACGATCTGGTTGCAGATAGACGAACGCCAGTAACCAAGTGTCAGATCGTCTTTCAAAGCGGTATCGGTGCTTTCGCGGTTGAAGAAGCCAAGCTGGATCGCAGCAGCAACTAGAACTCTGTATACAGTTTCTCAGTATGTGACATACGTGCTGGACTTCAAACATACAGTAACCGACATGAAAAGAGCGTCATAACCGCTGCTTTCCGTTGGCGTCTTATATGAAGTTGCGCTGTTATGCCCAATTCCAATGCCACGATCGCGATCTCCGTTATGATGTTGAAGCAGGTGACAATATTCCACCAGGTCAACTATTCGTCGTCAGTCGCAAGGCCAAACGAGCATCTGCGTAGACAACTGACACGATCGATACACCGGTCCAATGTCCTATCCCATGGCCGTGGAAGCCGGCATTCGAATGCTGCCACCAACACAGAGCACACCAGCCAAAGGGTTATAAAAGCTAAGACGCCGAAGTTGATTCTCCGATGGAGCTCGGAAGGCGTTAGGTGATGGACGAAGGCTACGACAGCAAGCTTCGAGAAGCCGAGGGAGGCGATAAAAAAGATCATCGCGGCGTACTCGCTCTTCGCACACATCAGCGCTGTTGACCAGATACTCGAGCAGAGGTAGGATGTTACCTTAAGGTTCGACTCGATCTGATACCCATCCAAGGTTGCCATTGGTGTTCCAAAGCCATAATGAGCTTGCAATGACACGGCGACCGATTGTGCGACGCAAAATGCCTGGTAAACTTCATTAGCAAACGCTCTTAGATATCTTGAAGTTGAATTTACCAAAGCCACAAGTACGAGCCATGACTCGATTGTTAGGCTCCGAAAGACATAGAACTTGATGCCAGCATGTGTGAAGAATGCCAAAAGACTGGTAACAAGAGTGAACCAAGTGATGATCTGAACGATGGGCGTCCGATTCAAGTCCGATATAATGACTTGATCCATCGTCTTAGACACACACCAGAAAGACTGTTGAGCGGAGACCGATCGACGACTATCGCGAAAATGCACATATTGTATGGGTTGTGGGGTGAGCGGCGCGCATAGCAAAAGGCAGGGTGAGTGTATCAGGTACGGACCCGCCAGTACGGCTCTCCTCGAGATGAGTAGCACACCGAGGCAGTGCTACCTGCAGCTGCGCAAAGTATCAAAGTTGGGAGACTATAGTGACGATGCCGCGTTGAGCATAAGCGGCTGATATTCCGGCTAAAAGAGCCTTTCATTACCTCGCAGAACGTTCGACACCTCGCATGTTTCAACTGAGGTAGTCAAAAGAACTGCCCGCGCAACTCAAGCATTTTCTCGAAGTGCTTAAGCATGCCCAAGGACGCCGCGCATCGTTGTGGTGGTGCTTGTGTGATGTAAACGGGTCGAGCTGGGTGCACCAACACAGGCACGTGTTTCCGAGGCTGTTGTTGATGAAGGTATCGACTGATCCGAAGATGGTTCGAGCCGCGCGTTTGTTGAACATATCCTTGACCTCAGTTGGCAGGTATCACCGCAGATTTCCCGATATTCTGGGACGCAATTTAGCTTCGATATAGGTATGCACGGAGTACTAGGTCTTAGAGCGAAGCGGGAACCTGATCTCCACACTAAAACAGTGTCGGGAGCGGTCCGCATCATCTGAGTTAGCTCTTTGTTGTCGGTTAGTCGGACAGATGCCTCCATTCGCCTATAGCGCGATGGCGTGATACTCGCCTACGGGGAACGAGGGTCTTCAACTTTGCGAAGTGGAGGACGCAGGGGATTGTAACAGTATGCCTGAAGGCGTGGCCGATTGGCTTGCGGTTGAACGGAAGGATACGCTACTTCATCCGCGAGTGGAGTCGCTCCAAGCCAATGAACAAGCTCCCACTTTCGGGTCTGGAAGATCAGTGCATACGAATGGTGAGTTGAGCATTGCGAAAAACGGCTACGCGTTTCGTCGTTGTGGAGAGACCTCTGTCTTGAGCTGCGTAGCAAGCGGTTTAGTAGCGCGTAATCATTCGGTAACCTAAAACAAGCGCGTGTTCGCACCTGCTCTGACGCGACCACTCACGCAACACCAGACCAACGCTTAATACATCAAATATGTAAGCATGCAATGCCATCGGAGCTACGACCAAGTTGCTATCGAATGCAGCTGCCTGTCACAGTGCAGTGGTAGTACACGTATTCAACACAGATTTCTCCTCGCTTCTTAGTTGCCCTCACCACAACACGGCATCGATCTGTGAAGCATAACCTGATCTTGTACATCAACATACAAACTACGCATCGCTTAGTGGTGTTACATGTGAAATTCTTCACAGAATCAGCGAGAAGTGTCGAGCTAACGTGAAATGCATACTGTTCGGATTTTGGACAACCAGACCCCGCATCACCTCAACTTGCTCCATGAGAATATCGAAACACGTTGGACTTGCTTACCAAACAACCCACTTCTCTACGCTTTATGTGCAACTGTGGTCTGTACAATAATGACGAAGCTTTTCCTGAATACACTCAAAGTGTCGGCTGTGAGTCCCCCGATGTCCGTCGAGAGATCTCGCCCCTTGACACCTCAGAGTAGAACTAGGCTGCATTCATGGGTATGCCGACGGGTTTGCGTCTTACTCTGCATCATGTAACAGGCAGTTGAGTCACCGAATACGCTCAAATACCTCGCTCATATACCCTCATACACTAGTTGTGACGCTTTCGCATCGAAACAAACCACACGCGACGTATGCAAGGAAACCGAGGAGTTTTATTTCCATCTGATCAAAAATGCGAATTTGCAATTTGCTCGGCATTGCCATCAGCTCAATTAGAAAAGCCTAGTTAACCTCGTTAAACAAAAAAATCACATCAAGTTCGCTTCTCTTCCTGTCTCCACGTCGTGTCCATCTTCTGTCCTCAGAAACTCCGCCACACACAAGTTGACCTCTGCAACAAGCCCGTCACCCAACCCATCATCTCCAAACAAACTATTCCACGCCATCTCAATCCTCTCCATCCGGTTCATAGTCGTCACTGCCCACTTCGCCCTCGCACGACTACTTTGCAGCCCGTGTGGAAGCCAGAACCCAACCTGCTCGCCACTCTGCTCATATTCAAAATGGGCGTGTGAGTTGTGACAATGGTACGTACAGGACGAATATTTTGGGTTGTGGATATTATCGCGGAGGCGGCGGCGGCGAGAGAGACAGTGCTCTGGGCAGGGGTCTGTTCGTGCTGAGGTAGGGCAGAGTGTTAATTTGTGATCAACAAGCTGCTCAGGTGCTGTTGTTCCGTCGGCGATATTTGCGAATATCTCGTCTCCGGTTTCTATCTCGATATATCGATGTTCGGCGAAATCTTCAATATGCTTGATCTTGTCGGAGCCGTTAGGGGACATTACATCGATACACTCGACCGCTTCTTCTTCTTCTTCTTCTTCTTCTTCTTCACCAAAGAGCCTACCTACGCTCCCCCCCTCAAGGTCATCCATACCTTCCCTAAACCAATACTTGTACTGCTCTTCGGCAGCCTTCTCATCATTCAGCCTCTCCTCATACGACCTGACATGATTCAGAGTCTCATCGGGCACATAGCACTCATGCCACGGATCCCTATCCCCAAACCCACCCCACTCCTTCAGCGCCTCAAAAACGTCCTCAACATCGCTTCCCGACCTTAATACTAAGGCTGCAAGCCAGTAACCCGGCTGCACAAAAAGGTCCCACTTCTCGTGCGTACGTGCTCTCTCAGCACAAGTCCGACACTGACATTCGAAATGTCTCGACTCCGGAATGCTCACCGGTGCAAAGCCCTGGAACGCTGCGAGTCTTTCAATCAACCTCAACACCGCAGGTTTATTCACAGGACTACTTTCATCGATGGCAAGATGAATCGACTCCTCTTTGGCAAGGCCTTCCGCTAGCAACATCCTCCATGCTTGGTAATGTCTAACCTGAACTTCCAATCTGTTCTTTATGCTACTCAGTATTGGAGCGAGGATGCGCGTCTTCTCGACCATGCGGTCGCCGTGGAAGAGTAAGGGAACCATGCCGGTAGCCTGGTATTGTGAGCCGTAGAAGGAGTCGTGACGGAGGGGATGACCACCTGAGCAGCGGGACAGGTCGGAGAAGACGCGCGAGAGTTCATGTTCGATCGTAGTAAGGACTTGTAGTGCTTGCGTATGTGTTAAAGTAAGTGATGGAATGGAGAACAGGTTTGGCATTGTATGAGGTTGTCTAGCTGAATCTTTTGGTAGCACGATGTTAGCAGAATTATTGGAAAACAAGAGAGACGCCATGTGCTTGCGATGATGCACCAATATTTACTCAAATGAATGATGAGTCAGTCAAGTGGGCGCTTCAACCACAGTTCCATACTTCAACTTACTGACCAACGAGGATCCCTATGTATCCAACCATCAGCTGCCTCTTACTGTGTTGAACTGCATTTCCGTCTTGCATAGTTTTGCAAATTATCGATATCATTCATGTCTGTTCAAACCCACAAAGACAAACACGGAGAAGCGGAAGATTGTTATTTGTTTGGTTCGATGACACATCGCTTGCTCTTTCGCAAAGTCATGAAGTATGTGTTGACATCCATTTCCGCCTTATTGAACGAATTAGCTCTCGACGCGCTAACGCCTTCCAGAAAGGTGCAATAGAAGTTAGCAAGGGCATGACGAAGCGCAAGCAGGGCAAAGTGTGCACCGATGCAGGCTGAATTCATGTCAGTCAGATTCCCTCCAAGTAAAGGTACACAAGGCGAAGGCTTACCTCAGCTACCTCCACCGAATGAGTAGTAGCCTTGTAACATATCTTTTGAAGGGTCGTCGCAGCTCGCAGGAATGTTGCGCCGCGTGCACCGGGGTCCGAGGACTCCACGATCTCAATTGAGAAAGGGAGGTCAAATCAGTCGCGTTTCCATATAACGGTTGAACATCTCTCCACTGTGAGGTGTGGGTTTTGGGGCCAAATCGGCCAAACGGCCAAACAAATCGCTTGGAATCTCGAATCCTTTCAAATTCTACGGCCGTAAGTCCATACTTCACAAACTACGTATTCCACACTCTAGAATGGTGGCGTGATTGATGTAGCGGATATTAATTCCCGAGTTCTCAATCACAGTTCAATCTTCATAGTCATATCTGAAGTTTCAATTCCTATATTATCCGTTCCTACCTTACCTGCACATCGACCATTCCAAAAAGATCAACATGGTTGCAGAAGAAGTATCCCCAGATTTTCCTTTTGAGAAAAAACATGTCAAAACCCTAGATTCGTTCATGGCTTACGTTGACACCGGCACTCCCAATACAGCCGCAACGACTGTTGTCTTCGTTCACGGAAATCCGACGTCATCTTATCTTTGGCGTAACATTATTCCGCACATCTCACCTGTTGCCCGTTGCGTCGCGCCTGATCTTGTAGGCTTTGGAGATTCGGGGAAGATGCCTTCCAACGGCTACTACATAAGAGAGCATGCTGAATATTTTGGAGCGTTCATGGAAGCCGTATTACCAGCGAATGATAAGGTAGTATTGGTTGTACACGACTGGGGCTCCGCTTTGGGATTTGACTGGGCACGAAAAAATGAGCAACGTGTGGCTGGACTGGTTTTCATGGAGTTTGTCTACGCCTCCTTAACTGCGGAAAACTTCGTGGGCTGGGATGACCGCTTAAGCAAAATGCGCGATCCGGATACTGGGCATAAGTTGGTCCTTGAAGAGAATTACTTCGTTGAGGTTATTCTTAAGAAACATGGTACTTCGAAGGGAGTCCCTGAAGCTGTAATGGAACACTACCGTAGGCCGTTCGCAAATCCGCTCGACCGCGAACCGCAATGGCGGATGCCCAACGAGATTCCACTCGAGGGTCGTGCTCCAGATGTCGGCAAGATGGTTTGGCAAGCTTGGGAATGGCTAAAGGCGGGTAATAATCAAGTTCCAAAACTGATCTTCTGGGTGGAGCCAGGTATGTTGGTACCGCCGCACAGGGTCAAGGATGTTGCCGAATGGATGGGCAACCCCAAGGTTGTTGGGCTCGGACCATCTGGTCATTTCCCGCAAGAAGAATATCCTCATCGTATTGGTGAGGAGACTAGGAAGTTTGTCGACAATATCCTAGAAGGAAAATAAGCTGGCGGAACATAAAATACAGCAGCAAGGATACCAACAAGTTGCCAATCGATACCTTGTCCTCTCTGCTTCCGTACCAATGACAAGATAATCGTTTTGTCTGTCGATGTATAGAGACTTGTACCAGTCATTGTCACAGCTTCAGTCCTCATTCGTATAAACTTAAATCTGGTCACTGCCTCCAGAATATAATTGTGTGACAAGGTTGTATATTCCGAACGATTTTTCTCAACAACCTAGCAGAAAGACACCGAACGCGTTCTTCCATGATCCTTTGTCACTGGTGCCACAGGCCTTAGCACTTGACGCCAAGATACATAAGCGCATGTGAATGTACAATGCGAGATTGCGAAATCAGAACTGGGTTTCTAATTTGTGTACACAAACCGTGAAGAGATTGGCAAGCGAGTGATCCCGCCGATGTGAAGTACGGATTGACATCACACAAGGCACGGAGGGAAGTCGCAACTGTAGTGGCAGTTGCACCGATACGGCTGTATCCCTCACCAGGCGTTGTCTATCACCATACACTTCGATGATGCAAGCTTCATTGACTACTATCTTCGTTGCATGAAATCAAGGCTATGGAAGCTTCGCAAAGCGACCATCATGTCAGGCTGTTCAGGCAGCAGAGTGCAATCTCGATGGCAAGGGACATGGCGAAACGCGTGGTGCCCTTGATAAGGTCGGCATCGATCAGCCTGAAGACGTAGCAAAGGTTGCAATGGACGTATTCGAGGCCAACGAAGCTGCTTTTGCAGTTGGCTGAAACAAGAAGTTACAATCGACAGTCTTCAGTTTGATTCCGGATTCCATTACTAGTGGTCTTATCGCGTCTGCGCGAGGGCCACCAAACGAAGAATGAACTCAAGTAACGTAGGTCACAAGTGAGTGATCGGGCCAGTCCGCAACGTCTCCGCGCAGTAACGTAGCATCCGACTAAAATGAAACTAAGACGTATTTCGTGATGGCAATTCTCATTAGAAACCAATCGACACAAGGCAACAAGGAACTTATTCTCCCAGCCAGAATCAACATAGCATTAGAGTTTTTCCGTCTCAAACAGGGGAATCAAGACATTTCTCTTGTAGTTAGATCCAACTTGTTATGTACAGTGCCTAATCACCCTGCTGCATAGTAAACTCTTAGCTGACTATTTCTCTTATTTATTGCATCCTTAAGATACTCTTTTACACTAAGATAACTACAGTATCTATGTGACTATGTTCCTACGATGCGCGTTTGACGACCTTAGTCGACTTTGATATAAAGGCTCAGCCCCTGAGATAATTGTAAGCTCGCAGCTCCACAGAACAGCATTCTATCTCTACTGGATATAGACTCCTAGCAAATTGAAATGTCTTCTTCTTTGAAAGGAGAAGCATTTTCTTGACATTTGTGTACAATATGGACTTGACGGAAGTGAATACCTCCCATGATGACTTCAAAGAAAGCCACGAAGCTGATCGAATGTACAGACGCACATCACAAAGTCGCTCTCTCAGTCCTTAGATCCTCAATCTCCTTTCTAACCTCCAACGCTGCCCTAGTTCCTTCTTCAATGGCTCCATCGATAAAACTCCTCCACCCGAGTGCCCAATCCGAGTTAGCAAATACCACTTTTCCATGCCGAGCACGCATGTCATCCAAATGCTTAGCCAACAATTCCGGCGGCGGGAAGAACCACGCACCCTTTGCGAATTCGTCCTTGGACCAATTGTGGAACACTAGACGCTGAATATCTACGCTCTTTCCATCGTAGTGATCCGGATTGAACATGGACGAGACGGCTTTCTGAGTACGCGGAATATCTGTCTCAGGATCCATGTGCTTGTTCTGCCCTCCGAAGCACACGATATGTGTATTTCCAGCTGGGGTTGTGCCGTCGCCGATTGCGTAGCAAAGTTCGTTGTATGGGTAAGTGATACCGGTCCATGATCTTAAATCCTTGTTCGAAATCTCAGCGTGTACCTTGACTGTCTGATTAACGTGACCAATCCTGATGGCTGCTTGTTTGCCTGCTGGGAGCGGAGGTTCAAAAGACACGCTGCTCAGTACGTTTAGTGGAACTGTGGAGATAGCGCGGAGAGCGCGAAATTTGCGACCAGTCCGGGTGATTATTTCGACGTCTGAGACGTTATCCTTGATGCGTTCTATGGGTGTGTTGAACGAGTATGATAACCGCTTTGTAGCGACTGCTTCATCGAAGAATCGCCGTGCGAATGTTGATTGACCCTCGCGGAATTTCCACGTGATGAGCAAGTCCATCATGCCCTGATTAGTGTAGCCGCTCATTGCCCACCAGTGCATAAATTCGTGGAAGGAAGTCGTTTCGAGCGTTCCACCACTACACAAAAGGATAAAAGTCTCAAGGGCGGCGCGTTCTTGTGGCGATAGCGTTGATGCAATGTCGTCGATCCGGTTTTGTGCTGACTGCGAATCGAGTGCAATCGATCCTGGGTTGTGAAAAGTGTCATGTGGGAGGGGAATCATCACACGCCCATAGACACCGTCAACGTTGGTAAATTTCTTAAGGGCAGAGTCCAAGAGTGCGTCCTACAAATTTTCGTCAGCATTCATGTTTAGTACAGAGTTGCCATTAGAGTCTCACCTCATCTTCATGGCTCATCGTAGCACTACCTTGATGCGTGTTCAGTTCGAAATGCTTCACTCCCTTCGAGAAATCAAAGCTTGATTCGATATCCTTCTCCATTCGGTATCTTAGGACCTCACGCCATGTGTTGGCCTGTCCCCAATGTACCCATGTGCCACCCATCTCGAATGGATAGCCACCGATGTTGGAAGACCATGAGCGGCCTCCGATTCGATCGCGCCCTTCTAGTAAAAGCACTTTGAGGCCTTCAAGGGAAGCATTCCGCGCAGCCGTCAACCCACAATATCCTGCGCCAATAACAACGACGTCGTAGGTGGCTTCTGAGCTGCAGATGTTGGATGCAGGAGTGACAACACCTAAAGAAGGGACGCCAGCTTTGAGACCATCCTTGGGAGTCCAGCAGTATCCGTCACGGGAAGTCATCGTGCGTGTACGTGTGTGAGAAGTCTAACAAACCTAATTGCAATGGTACTGGCGAATGTTCTCGAGGTGCTGAATTTGATTCCCAGTCTGCGGAGGCTGTGGTCAGACATTCTTATACCACATTTTGGTGGTGTCCACGGGTCCCAACCTTGCGCAAGTCTTCGGTGGCGCTATGACTGATTGGGGTTGTCTCGAAGCTAAGCTTAGGGCCGATATAAAGTGGGGCAAGTCGATTACCGCATTAGGTTGCTAAAGTGAGAATTCCAAGACGGAGAACACCTACAACTTCCTCGGATTGCGCATCATGCATACCTAGGCCCAGCTCTTACATAACCAATACTCTGGAGATTTTCGGCAAGCATTGAGTCCACCTCTTATCTCCTTTGTTCGCCCAGAGATTCCGTAAGCTTTGCACAGCAATTGGTATGTTGCGAAACTTGGTCCGAGCGTAGATACTGTTCATGTAGTCGACAAAGAAGGCTCTTCGGACTGGGTCGGATGATTCTGCTCCCGCAATGAAACATGGCCATACCAAAGCATGTGCGCCCGGGGAGTGTGGTGGAATGAGAGAGATGCATTCAATAAGATCCCGGATGGTCGAATCCTGGAGGTCTTCGCATTGCAAACGTTTAGCCATGGACGTAGTCGTGGCCTCGCTTGTCGCACGGCGAACATAGATGCTGCAAGCAGTGTGGAAGCACAACCTGATCTTGTCCATGACCACGTAGCTTTCAGACCCAACTGGAAACTGCTCAGATGCAAGCCAGTCGTGGCTTGCCTCGGATGCTCTCGTGATGGCAGCTACACCACTGTCCTCTCCAAGTAGGGGTACACCAAGCAGTTCGAACCTAAACCCAATTAGCAGTCTGCACACCTATACAACTCGCCTTATCTCACATGTTTGTTGCCGATCGAAGAAATCTCCTTGCCGTCGGATCTTCGCTCTCAGTCTTACTGTTTGCCGACAAGGTAAGCAACATCCCAACAAGAAAGCTATAATCTTCACTTCCTGTAACTGTCTCACCCACGAGCAGAACGATCAATGTTGCCCAGGTGTATTCGTTGAATACTTGATCTGCAGTGGCAGACATAGAGTCTTTACGCAAACGGGAAATGATTGCTGCGCGCTCCGCTTCTGCCGCGTCCCTGATTTGCGGTCTTTCACGGGCGCGATGTTGTGCCGCCACAGCGCCTACTGCTCGACGCAGTACCTCGTCTTCAAATGCCATACGCAATAGTAACTCGCGATAGCCATTGGAAGTGGTATCCAGAATTACCATAACCGGCGCAACAGTTTCCGAGAAATAAGAAAGTAGCATGCGTGTCTCTGCACTGAGTGGCGCGATCCACGGTTGCAATCTAACATTTGTAGAAAAGTGCTGCAGCATGCATTTCTCAGTGCTCGGCGTTTCCTCCACGTATTGTTCAAGCCCTGAAGTGACCACCTGCTTAGTCCAGGATAGCGATTGAGAACTGTCGGCCGCTGTAGACAACGCCGACAGATCATCAGATTCCTCGAATGCATCTGGCCATCGTGTCACTACGGGTCTAGTATGGGTTACCGACCTCTTCTGCCCTGTTGGCTTCGCCAGTTTCTTGAGTTCGCCTTGCCATTTGATTACCGAAAATTCTGTGCTCGTCGGTAAACAAACTTCGGCGTTACCATTAATGTCTGGTACTTTACGATCTTTCAGTTTACCACGTCTCGCTATACCCGCAGTGAAGCGTATGCGGTTGACTCCGGAACACTCGATATCTTTCTTGATGCATTTGCCACACGACGGCTCAGCTTTATCGCAAACGATGCGACGACGCGAGCACTGGAAGCATCCTAATATGGTTAGTCGACGGAGATTACTGACGATTACGAGTTGACGATAGATTTGGGTATACCTCGCTGTTTCGACATCGGCTTGGCGCTTGCGCTCTTCACCAGAAATGGCTCCACCGTTCTACCCGGTGACAAGATTATAAGGTGAACTATGGTAAGGGGCCATACTAATTTACATTGATTAAGTTTAGACCAAGCGAGCACTGCGTTTGAAGTCAAGGAGTTGAGGCTTATCGTTTGTCACAAAATCTACATGTTCGTGGGCGATGGCGGACAAAGTCCAGCAGGTGCCGGCGATTCTACAATCACATAAGCCGCCAAGGCATCCTTTTCGGGCTCGTTTTCTAAAGCGCCAAGCCCTAAAGTAAAGAAGACGCAGAATCTGCTCCAGTGAAATACTTGCGATCTGTTGCCCCCTATACAAGGCAAAAGCTAAATCAGTATCAGGATAATAAATCTTCTATCTGAGAAGTCTACATTACAACTAAACCTCTATTCTTTCAGTTTGGACTGTTGTAGGATGCAAAAGTATCGGTCTATATAATGATGTCTTAGCTATGTGTTATTGTAATCGTCTAGACTAGAGGAACCTTGACATGTTCAGCTTTTTTCTTTGAATGAGGTGGTTGTGTGATGTGAGTATCCCCACTGCTTGTTTTCAAGCGTGCAGTCAAGCTCTTGGGCTTCTCGCGACATTCACTGGAATGGAAAGCACAGTACTGGGACGCGCTCTCAGCCATACTATGGGTAACGGCAGCAGGCAAATCGCAACTCGTTTTCTACCAGCATGTCACCACATTTCATAGATACTATGTCTGCGCGCACATTACCTCTCATTTCAGCCTAGTGGATCTTACTGCTTCTCGGGATACCCCATCTTTGCCTCGTCTTCCGCCGTTCCAAATCCTCCCCAACCCTCAAAATCATCGGCAAACTTGACTGCCGCACGGAGCCAGTGGTTCGACCGATCGTCTCCAGTTTTCCAAGTCTCCTCTGCCACCTTCATAGCCCGCAATGCTGCGCCGTGTTAGCTAAGTTGTCCAAATCCCAGCATCATGTACATGACCTACCTTTGACGTAATGTGCATCAGTTGCATGCGGCCCGTTCAACGCCTTGTCCACGACATGCTTCCAGCTCTTCTTCTGGCTATCGTCACTAGCCATAACTCTACCCATATCAATCCCCGGCCTCATCTGGGCAATGTACACAGCTAATGCAAAGAGCCACCACTGTCGTAGGAGACTAACATGAAACTTGGCCGGTACCAACGGGAGAAGGATGCGAATGGCATGGGAGCTTGTAAGCACATGAACAAGGAAGAAGTCGTATTTTCCCTTCGCCGGTGCCGGAGTGCCTGTCAAAAGCCCCAGTCCAACCTCTTGAGCGGCTTGGAACTGTTCATTCGGGGCTGTGATTTCCCAAGCGTTCCAGTACTCCAAGAAGGCTTCTTCGCGCTCTTCCAGTACCTTGGTAATATCGCCGCTGCGGTGGTCGTAGAGACCGTCGAAGCGCTTGTCATTCCGTACTTTATCGAGTATCTCGATGAGCCCTGTGTGGTCTCCACTTGCGCCATGAGGGCTGGGCTTTGTGTATTTTGGGTCATCAATGTATTTATGGAGGGAGCTGTAGAAGCAAGAGCCCATCGCGAGGGCCTCGATCGCGACGGTTTTGGAGTTGAGTTCGTAAGCGTAGCCAAGATGGATCAGAGGATGTGCAACTGAATAGTATTAGCGACGTTCAAAATTCGCAAGACTGCAAGCTTACGTCCGGCGATGAGGCCATTGATCAGCGGCTCCTTGCCCTTGAGCAGGAACTCCTCGAGGACTTCTTCAACATCATACTTCTTGGTCACGAGTTGGTCTTCGAAGAAGTCGATGAAGGCGCGTTGGTATCTGGCTGCCGTTAGGAAATAGTTCTCGTCTCATAGTAGCACATCATAATGCAGCCACTTACTCGCGCTTTCCCAGAAACTCTCGCCAATCATCCTTTGTTATTTCACCCGGTGCATCGTGCCACGGCTCAAGTACCTCGGCCTCCTTCTCGTAGATCTCATTCAAATGCTCCGCCGTGCCTCCAAGAAGGTAAGCCGATCCCAGGATCTAGGGTACATGCTTAGCAGCTACAGCCTTTACAGGAGGAGCAGCATACGTGCGGTGTATGATTGTGAAAAGTAAGGTTGTGGTATATGATTGAGTAATTCGCATGGTTCGCTTTGAGTAGATGCTTGAGAGTCCGTGGCCGCTTCTCCGCCGAGGTTTCGATATCGTGGATTTCAACGGAGGGTAGATCGACGGTAAGATGTGTGCCTTCGCCTGCGCGAAGAAAAGACGGTAGTGATATCCTCGGTAAGCTGAACATGGCGAATGTGTGGTTGTGAAAGTCAAGAGAGTTTGCGGGGAAGATGCGCAACTGAGAGCTCGCGTCGCGCCTTTCTCGTTCTGGTATGACGTGATGTCCTCGCAAGCTTCGCCCAATCAGCATTAGCAGAACCTCAAAACAACATCATAACATTTCTTTCATCTCTGCTCTTTCATCCATTGCGTGATCATGAAGTTTGCAAGACAATAATTACCGAATCAGACCAATACTCTTTGAGTGTGAATTGCACTAATTGCAGCAGTATTTGGGTGAACAGAGCCCGCTCAATTCTTCATATTTTCACTTCCCTCTGGTGTACTGAGTGAGTCTGGAGCATCTCAGTCTTCCCTCACGCATTCACCAGCTTTCGGAGACAGTAAGTCCCCTTACCCCTCTTACCCAATCCGGAAGGTTAGCTAAGGTGACGATTACTCCAACATTCTAGCTGGACCTTTTATTCTTTGTGAAAAAAAAGGGCCGAAGCTCTTTCTGCTGAGTCCTTGCGTGTTGTGCCGTTACGAGCTTAATGCGTTATTGCGCTTCTAATGTTTATCGACTCAACATCACCAGAATAAGAAATGTGAGTTTGGCGTAGAGTACAGCAGTGGTTTTGTGTGAATGTACTGGGTCCACCATTCGGTTGTCAGCCTTGCCCTCACGTAGCAGGGGCTCTTCCGTGCTCATTCAATGCGATCTTGTAGAATTCTACACCTACTATCATAGTTCCTATTTGAGTAGTCATTTACCATAAAGCAAACCAGACGGATACATACTTAAACAGGCAATACTCCTCTCTGCCATTGATCACGGTAGAATTTAGGTGAAACGATTCCTTTAGAACTAGATCTTAGCCCTGACTGACTACTATGGGAGCTTTGCTTTTCACGTACAAGGTTGCTGCAATCGACAAGCCTTGGATATTACCTAACGTAGTAACACGTCGTCTCAGACTACATTAGATAGTGTTGCTACTAATCTCCAGTGTACTCAAGCCGACCACTTTGCGTCGCCTCTATGGCCCCTGCCTTCGTACGAGTGTAAGTATACTCTGACGTAGCGCACTAGGAACGAATTTTTAAGAATAAATCACATCACACCTGGGTGTAAAGACGCTTTCGCGCAAGATACGAGTTATGACATACTGCATAGAGAGCGACCCACCACTTTTAGTACCAGCGGAATCGGGTTATGTACGAGCCGAGCACACTTCCTCCACAGGAAGTGCTAACAACGTATCGCTTAGAATTCTTCCTGCGAGGACACGTCGTCGGCTGGAATCATGAGTCGCCAGTATGGAGATGCTGTGGAGAATGTTCCGCTCGACATATCGTTAGGTAGGTACAATGGAGAGCAGTGAGGTAGTTGCCGCCCTATCCGGTGTCTGGAACTGACGCAGCACAGGGAAAATCATCCTGCGCACATCGTCGGATCACATCTGGGGAGAAAGATGGAGACGCTGAGATTCAGCGGGTCTAGACGCTGCAGTCAAGATCCTTTTTGTTGGTGTTGTGCATCGATCCCGACCCCACGACGATTCCAAGGACTACCTGGGTTATGCAGGGGCGGCATTAGGATCGGCACGCGGCAAGCTTTGTCGAACGCCACGGGCGTTTTGCGAAACAGCCTTCCGCGATAACGGCAGTGACCCTGAAATTAAGGATAAGGGTCCCTAGGCATGTGAAAGTTTAAGAGATAATGGTCGAGTAATCCCAAGTCGTTGCGACCGACTGAGCGACCGAGCAGAAGCTGTTGACTAATTTTTGGCTGCGTTGCGCGACCTCCGTAGAGTGCTGATGCTCAAAATAGACACAGTTTGCAGAGTTTTGAGGGACAGACAAGAGAAGCATCCGGGACCTGCATTACAATGCTGAGTGACGTCGGTGGCTGTCGCTTGCGGTTCTGCTGGCAAAACCTAACGGCGTATGCGACGCAGCTGTCACGGGCATCACGACCAAGATAGATACCCGGCGCCATTGTTGAAGGCCAACAACGGGCTTACTGCGGTATGCGCCATCGCTTTGGTTGGTTGCAGACGCGTATCCTTACAGCATTCTCTACCAAATGCGATCCCAACAGAGATTCTAGACAAAGCGATGTGGCCCACCCGGTGTGCTTGCCATGGCCATAACTCGTCCACCGTCGCTTCCACGACCCATCTTTTCTTTGCACCAGTCACTGACGAAGGCTTGGCGCAGAAATTGAGGAATCGCAGATCGGGGAGCCCCAAAAATAATCCCTGGCCCAGCGAGCGCTGCTCCTTTAACCCCGGGCGAGCTCCACCTATTGCTTGCTACCTTGCTGCTGTCCATTCCACTGTGTTATCTTCTTCTTTACTTCCTTTTATTGTCGATTAATCTCTACACAACACACCATTTTTCCTCGTCACTCGCTAAAAACACCATTTGGAAAATTCGGCACCGCTTGACGTCATCCCGTTGTAGCAGTTCGCGTTTGACCCTGGACCACCGGAAGATTGAGCGCATGCCATTGACTGCTGCTTTAAGGTGAAAGGCAATCCATTGTTTCAGTAATCGGATCTTGCGTTATCAACAAAAACCCGCGGCAGAAACAAACACAATCGCTTCGCTATCGCTCTTCTACAGTCTTTTCGATCCAATACCTCGTCCAACTTGGGCCTGAGCGCGCCTCTTCACCATGACGACACCCAACATCGAGCGGCCGGAGCCGACGTACGATATGGACAGTAACTTGCCCTACCACAACCAGCGATCGTCAGACGAAGACGGCACAGTTGTGGGGGACGAACATCATCACCATCCATTGCGCGTGGACACTGCGGCACGGCCACTGCACAACAGATCGCGATCCGGAACACATCTCACCGTCGAAACCGCACATGATATACAATCACCATCGCAAACGCGGGAGCAGGCGAGCAGGCTCAACGATGACCTTGCTGTGCTGGCTATCGAGCAGGGTCTGGACGAGAAGGAGGCTCTTCGACGTAATGCCTCGATGAACCCATCTCTATCGCGCGTACGATCTCGTAGGGAAGAACTCATAGACGACTTCGATGCAGCGACAAACCCATTGCACGAGCAGGCCGCTCGTTATACGCCACCAGAGAACCCAACTACAAGCTTCTCCAAGTTTTTCAAAAAAGTCCACAACTCCTCATGGCTTGTTAGGTACTTTACGTACATTACGCCCATGGTGCTTCTGATTCTCATTCCATTGTTTGTTGGATTATTTGCCTTCCCTGACGCTAATGTTGGGGGTGTTGAGCTTGTTTGGTTTTCCATATGGCTCATGATCGTGTGGCTGACGCTGTGGGCTGGAAGAGTGAGTATTCTTCGCCTCTCCACATCTACAAGCACTAATGTCCATTGCAGGTGCTCGCAAAACTCCTTCCGTGGCCTATTGGCCTCGTTTCTAGTCTCTTCACCAACAACAGCAAGAAGTGGAGGGACATGGGCAAGCAACTCGAACTTCCAGCTACCTTGTTTTTCTGGTGGTTGGCCATCGAAGTGTCATTCCTACCGACCATGAAGAATCACCACGTCAACGGTGATAAGAACACGCGCGACTGGGAAGGCACCATGAACAAGGTCCTTGTAGCTCTCTTTGTCGGATTCGTCCTCAACTTCATTGAGAAGATCATCATCCAGCTTATCGCCATCAGCTTCCATCTCCGAACTTACCAGGACAGGATCGAGCTGAACAAGTTCCAGATTGGAAGTCTGGCCAAGCTGTACAGGTTCTCCAAAGAGAAGATTGCCATGGAAGACTCGGAGTTTGAACAAGGTGACAACAATGCTCCATCTGGCGCACGCACTCCCGGCCAAGTGCTCACAGAGGCGCAAAAGAACATCAAAGTCGGTTTCAACAAGTTTGGAGACATTGCTGGCAAGGTCGCTGGAGATTTCACAGGTCGTCAGGTTACCGGCAGCGGCCATCCTCACCAGGTCGTTCTGCAACTCATAAGTACTACTAGTGGTGCCCAGGTCCTGGCTCGTCGTCTCTACCGAACTTTTGCGCGACCTGAGACGGAGACTGTCCATGCCGACGATCTCAACAACGCCTTTGATAGCGACGACGAAGCTACTGCCGCATTCTCCATGTTCGATAAGGACATGAATGGTGACATCTCCATGGAGGAACTCGAGGCTGTTTGTGTCGAAATTGGTCGTGAGCGCAAGTCCATCACCGCCTCCCTGAAGGATCTCGATAGCGTCGTTTCCAAGCTCGACGATGTCTTCATGTTCATTGTGTTAATCATCACAATCATTGTGTTCATCTCGCTGATTTCGACATCCGCTGCCGGTGTGCTCACATCCGCTGGTTCGACCCTCCTGGCTCTGTCCTGGCTCTTCTCCGCAACCGCCCAAGAGTTCCTCCAGTCTTGCATCTTCGTTTTCGTCAAGCACCCATACGATGTTGGTGACCGTGTCACAGTCTACGGTAATACCGGAGACCTAGGCCGAGGCGACGACTACTTTGTCAAAGAAATCGCTCTCTTCTACACCGAGTTCAAGAAGATGCAAGGTCACGTCGTCCAAGCGCCCAACAGCTATCTCAACACGCTCTTCATCCTCAACCACCGTCGTTCTGGTGCTCTCGCTGAAGCCATCCCCATTATCATAAAATTCGGCACAACTCTCGAGCAAATCGAAAGACTCCGCAATGTCCTCCTCGAATTTGTCACAGAGGAAAAGCGCGAATACCAAACCAACATCCTCACCGAACTACGCGCAGTCCAAGAAGTTCACTGGCTCGAACTAAATGTCGTCTTCTTTTACAAGTCAAACTGGCAAAACGAACTCCTGCGTCTGCAGCGCCGCAACAAATTCATCTGTGCACTCACAATGGCAATCCAGGAATGCGGAATCGAAGGCCCACGCATGCGCTACCCTGGTCAAAAGCAATCTTTCCCCGTTTACCTGCAGAACTTGCAGAACCCGGCTACACCTGGTGTTGGCATAAACGGCACGCCCGACAACCCCAACGGCAACATCCACAACCAAGCCCAAGACCAACCTTTCGTCGCACCCGCAGAGGGAGCAGAGTCTGGTACCGCTGCCGCACCCGGCCGCAGCCGCACAGGCTCCATCCTGCGCAAACCCGGTGCCCCAGAGTCCCTCGCCGCTATGGGCCGTCGTGTCGACTTCTCCCTCGGCATGAAGTCAATGGGCCTTGACGACCCCAGCGGCGATGTGCTCGACGACCGAGAAAACGAGTCTCGCGCCCGCGCAACCGTCGTACGTGTCACGTCCCCCTCGCGTTCCCAAGACCGCGCTCGCGCCTCCGAAGACAGTGCATCCGCTCGTAGTACGGGTATCCAACGCGTCAGCACAAACGCTTCCTCCGTCGCGCGCGAACGCACGCATCGCAACCGCTTCTTCTCGCGCAACAGACATGGGAATGATGAGGAGGCTGCCATGGCTGATATACCCGAAGCGAGCGATTACGACACGCCGCCTAAAAGGAAGAATACGCTTGATCCTCGGACTGGTGTGATTAGTTCAAAGGCTGTGAGGAGTAGTCACGATGATGGCGAGGAGGGCCTGCCTATTACGAGGAATGCTAGTGTGGATGTGCCGAGGAGTACGGGCGCACTCGCGCCTAGTACGGCGGATAGTGAGAGGACTTTTGGTCAGCCAGTGAGGTCCAGGACGGATGGGATTGAGATGAGGAGGTTTCACTAAGGAACAGTCTTGATCCAACCATCGACACAGTCGTGAACGGGTTGCTGAGAAAAGTCGACCTTTTTTTTTTTGTCCAACATCTTTTCTCGCGCCACAGGCCCCTTCTACTCACAAGCGCGCGCGTAAAGCGAACTGCTGTTCTTGGTTTCGTTTCTTTTTTTATATAGACTAGTTTGCAGAACAGCCAAAGGCAGCGCGCCAGGCTAGCTCTCTCCTTTACTGTAAATAATTTCCCTTCTCCAAGCTTCTCGTCGTTGAGAGCCAAACAAGAAATTTCGAATAGATTGAGTAACACCAATCCAATGTGCAAGTGAGTTTGCAGATTGTGACGTTCACATGCTTAACGGTCGTCTCTCGTGCTACCTCTGAACACCCAACTAATCACTTACTCCAGAGAAAAAAAAAGATTTCCCAACACAATTAGTGGGTCATGGAACCTCAATGTCACGACATGAACAGAGACATCATTTGAAGAATAGCGCGGTGCGAGGATGTATAGTCTTCCATTCCCTTGTACTATTCCGACTACTTGTCGTAGCAAGCTTCCCTCGTCCCCTCTTCTTCTCTTCGAGCTTAGTACTCGCCCTCCTCCACCTCATCATCGAGCGAATCAGACGCAACCTCCTCATAATCCTTCTCCAGAGCAGCAAGATCCTCTCTTGCCTCTGAGAATTCACCTTCCTCCATACCCTCACCAACATACCAATGAACGAAAGCGCGCTTCGAGTACATGAGATCGAACTTGTGGTCGAGACGGGACCAGGCTTCTGCGATGGCGGTGGTGTTTGACAGCATGGCGACGGAGCGGTCGACGGAGGACAGTTCGCTGCCGGGGACGGAGATGGGTCTGGGGAGTTGTTAGGAACGATTGAATGGAGAATGAAGATGTGAGACGTACTTGGTGTAGTTGATTCCGAGCTTGAAACCAGTGGGACACCATTCAACGAGGTTGAAGGAGGACTTGGCCTTGAGAGCACCGGCGGCGGCGGAGCAGTCGCGGGGGACAATGTCACCACGGTACAGAAGCGCGACAGCCATGTACTTGCCATTGCGAGGATCACAAACAACCATTTGGTTGTTGGGCTCGAAGCCTGTTTGAATTAGCAAAACATACACAAGACGATGCGAGATGGCGTTGATGACGCACACTGGAAGGTAAGGTCGGAAACCTTGAAGCTCTCGTGGGAGCTCTTCTTGGCCGAGATGACGGGTGCGTAACTAATGAGCGGGTAGTGGATACGCGGGTATGGCACAAGGTTGGTTTGGAACTCGTTCAAATCGACATTGAGCGCGCCATCGAAGCGCAAGCTGGAGGTGATGGAGCTCACAACTTGAGCAATCAGGCGGTTGAGATGCTCGTAGTTGGGGCGAGGAATATCCAAGCTGCGTCTGCAGATATCGTAGACAGCTTCGTTGTCAACAAGGAAGGTGCAGTCGGAGTTCTCGATGGTGCTGTGAGTCGACAGAACAGCATTGTAGGGCTCGACGACGGAGGTGGAAACGCGAGGAGCAGGGTATACGGCAAACTCGAGCTTGCACTTCTTGCCGTAATCGGTCGAGAGGCGCTCGAGGAGGAGCGCACCGAAACCGGAACCGGTACCACCACCGAAGGAGTGGAAGATGAGGAAACCTTGGAGGGAAGAGCAGTTGTCTGTGTGTGTGTGTGTTAGCAGGCACTTTGCGTTGAAGTGGAGTGTCGAACTCACCAGCAACACGACGGATCTTCTCAATGACACTGTCGACCATCTCTTTGCCGATGGTGTAGTGACCACGAGCATCTACTCTCGTCAGTATCTCTGCATGTCCCAATAGCTTCTCGACACGCACAGTTGTTGGCAGCGTCCTCCTTGCCGCTGATCAACAGCTCAGGGTGGAACAGCTGGCGGTAGGCGCCAGTTCGGATCTCGTCAATTGGAGAAGGGTCCAAGTCGACGAAGATGGAACGGGGAACGTATTTGCCGCTGCCAGTCTCGGTGAAGAAGGTCTCGTAAGAACCACCCTCACCAAGCTCCTTCGCATCGGGGTTGGGGCGACCATCGGGGAGCAGACCGTGCTCAAGGAGGTACCTGAGGTGGACAAGTCAGTCTCAGAATGCAAGACTTTGGGGGCGCATGCGCGCGGTTTGCGATAACGTACAGCTCCCAGGCGCTGTTACCCAGCTGGGTACCAGCTTGGCCGATGTGAAGGTGGCAGATCTATAGAGCTTGGTGTTAGCATTGCGATAGCTCCGTCTCATACAAAGCCGGCGCAAGAGGTGGGGGGATCCTTCGCTCCTGTGCTAGCGATTGAAGCCTCAAAAAGAAGCAATTCAACTTGACATACCTCTCCTCGCATGGTGAATGTGTTGCTGTGTCAAACAGACGACTGTCGAAGGAACTTCAAGAACCTGGCGTCGACGCTGGAGGCAGAAGTGTCCTGGGTTCAAGCAAGCGGTGAGGAGCGCCGCGTTGGTCTAGCTTGGTGGGGTCAGATGCAGGGGCCGCACGGTTTGTTTATGTACGCGACCGTCGCGACGAGCTAGACACGCCTTGCCCTTTTCAACCCACAAGAACCGTGGCGGCCATGCGGCACGGCGGGGAGACCGTTGGCTTTTCAGGGATGCGCTCCCTTGCGGTGTGATGAGTTAGGCTGAAGGCGCACATATTGTGCTTTCCAGTCGAGGCTGATGGTTAGATTTAACCGTGTGAAGACGAGGAGGTGTGCATCAGTCAAGTATGAAGCTGTCGATCCGGCGGTCTAAGCATAAACCTTGCGCGCCGAGTTGGTTGATGTTGCGAACCATGTCCATTTCTAGTCTAAACTGCCTCCATTGAAGGGACAGGGGGGATATCTTATGTGCTCAAGGAAACGCAAAACCGCCTTCTATGTGTACCTACATGCTGCCGACCTGTCCACAGATCGCTATTACTCTCCAGGCCCATCGGCCACCGACTCCTTGCCCTTATTGCTCCATTCCCCCGCAGAGGCATCGATCTCCCGCGTCGCACTCTCACGAGTTCCATTCTTGCTGTAGAAATCCCGGATATCCTCACACCCCTTTGGCGTCCTGCACACTTTACGGGCATCTGCAGATGCCGTCTTCCAAATAATCTCTCTAACCTCTTTGCCGACCTTTTCAATGGCATCCATGGCCCAAATAACATCAAGATGCTCATACCCCTCAATAACCTTTGAGTGTACGATATCAACATACGGCTCTCTCCCGCGCTCAAAACGACGTAGTAGACTACGGCCATCTACCAGATCGTCGGAGCCACAGACCCATAGTGCGAAAGGAGGTGTTTGCGGACCGTACCATGCGTATCGCTCAGCATCTTTCCGCTCATCATGATCCTCCTTATCCGAATCGTGAGACTGGTCATTCGCATCAACTTTCTTGTGCTCCATCTCTTCGTCCTCCCTATCTTCCATAATCTTCTCTTCCCTCGTAGCCAAGATACATTTTTGCTTGGCGAAACATTCGCGTCCGAGCCACCATCTCATACTTTCTGCGCTGACGTAGACGGGGGCGAACTGGAACATGCGGTTCCGCAGATCACGCTCCCAGCGGTCGTCTGTCCAGTTGAACAGGAAGGCGAAGACACGGTATCCCATGGAGCCGTAGAATCTGCCCGGAAGTAGTCCATGCATGATCATCATGAAGGGAATGAACGCGTGGATACCGAAAACAGTGCGGAACATGTTTGGGCTGATTACCTGCATGAACTTGAACTGCGCTTTACCAATCAGACGACCAGCATAGGCAGCAGGTGCCAGAGCGCAGAAAACGGATATCTTCTCGCCAATCTCGGGTCGTTGTTCTTTGGCTAATGCCACAAGGGTTTGTGTAGTGCCCTGGCTGTGTGCAATGAGACCTAGTTTTTCGAACCCGGTTTCTGAAAGTACGCGAGAGACGAGGGCAGGTAAATCCATGACACCCATTTGACGGATATTCCACGCCCACATGCGCGGGTCTCCGTATTGTAGCGTGCTGTGGCGGGGCTTGAAACCGCACCTGTTATTTCCAAGCCAAACGTCGTATCCGGATTTTGCGAGGAAGAAAGCTAAACTATCGTCGTCGTTGGTGCAGTATGCACCAGCAGATTGCAACAGTCCGTGGATCATAAGCACAGGGTACTTCTTTTCACCTTCCTCGTATTGCGAGCCGGCGACATGCGTACCATCGTCTGGAAAAAGCTCGGGTGAATGTGGGGAGCGCTGAGCGGAATTTGTGCGTTTGTAGTCGCGAGGATTGTAAAGATGCCAAAGTTCGATGATGAAGCCGTCTTCAGTCTGGACATCGAAAATCTCACAATCCAGTCCCACCCTGCGTGCGTAGTGTCGCACATCGCACACCAGAGGATCGGGACCGCCTTCTAATGGTTCAAATGCATCCGTCGTTCCGCCATCTTCTCCGCTCTCCAACTTCTTCGCTGACGGCATAGTGTCTCGTTTCCTCCATGCTATTTCTGCCTTTTTTCTCGCTTGCTTCCGCTTGATCTCCTCTTCATAGAATGGTCTTCGCTTTTCAGGATCGCGGAAAGTGAGCAGCAGGAATAGGTGCTTGCACATGCCAGGGAGAGACGTAAAACCAGCGCCTAAGACAATGACGAGAAGGAACAAGAATGACAGGACACCCGAGGATACTCGAAAAAACCAACATTGGTACTTCCTCATGAGCGTTGGTGGTCCGTACATGGGGAGAGGTGGAAACAGAGGATTCGTCTTCCATGGTGCTTTCGCATCGCCCAGGGCAACATCGGATTTTCCCTCACCCTTCATCTCTGCTTCTTTCGGAAGAAGCCCATGTACTGTTCCATCTTTGGCTTCGCGCAGCCGTGGCTCCAGGGGTTCTTTCTGAGCGGGATCACGGTCGTCGATGATGTCCCGCAACTCATTGAGTTTCGTCGCTTCTTCAAGAGGAACAGCAGGTAGGCGATGACCATCAGCAGTTTCGATAACAGGGTCTTGCGGCGTTATGAACCGTGCTTCGACCGCTTGCGTAGAACCAGTGCCCTCATCTTCTTGGCCTGGTGTGTATTGTCCGAGACGCTCAGCCTGCTGTGCAAAATCAACTGCGGCTTGTGTCTTCGATTTGTTCTTTTGTTCGCCATGATCGAATTGCTCCTCAATACGATGTTTGACAGATGTAACAGTGGCACTCGGCATGTTGACTTGGGGAAAACTTCTGTAGTTCGGCGATGGTGGTGTGGAGAATCCAGTGTTCCGCGGAGCATAGATACGGCTGTCGGCAGCTTAGATGCTTCTCAGTGTTGTATTCCCAAATGGACTGCTGCAATCACCTGGGCGCGCAGGAAGGCTGCTACACGTAGGAATGAGGTCGAGAAACATGTTGCGGCTTTTTTGTGAACCGCGTTTTTGACGCGGTGGCTGCTCGCGCCTTGGTTGGAGATGACATTACGTCAGGGAGAAAGAAGGAAGCGGCAAATCACCAAGCGATCTCCAGAAGGATGCATCTCAACGACCGCGTTTGGAGACCCCATAGCGGGAGATGGGGGCAGGGTTCACCATTCTGTGGTAATGGTTTGCATGGCGAAGACGCTATTCCTTTGACATGTGAAGAGCCTGCGGACCTGGCTCCGGAGTCGCGAATTCCAACGTCGACAAAGCCAGTACCAGAAATCAGGGACAGATTTTCGAGATCTACTACTAGAGCGGTATATGCAGCTGATGCAGTATTTCGTATGTTGTGGACATGCACATGTTCTCTTGGTTGTGTGTCGTGCGACAAGCCATTCAACACACAATTGAAGCCATCCCAGACCTGAGCCCGTGGTGGTTGCACGATGAACATGAACAAAGGCAAGCCTGCAGGTTCAATAGCACTGAGTCGTGCTGTGCCTGTTGGATGACTGTTCCCCAATTAATCCAGTGGACGCGGGGATTTGTCGCATGTACCCATGTATTCCGAGCGGACTAGCTCTGCCGAGGCAATGCGGCTCTACTATCTGATGCCCGGGCTGAGCGCATGCAACAAACAAAGAGCCTCCCATGCTCATAGCACCTGTCCGTTGAGGCAGATATCCCTCATCAATCCATCATGGACGCGCAAAATGGAGTCGTCCATGCACACAAGAAGCGACGGAGGAGACGTCTTGACCGCCCTCCTATCTCGGCGCGATTACTGCTCGACGACCGTATGAAGGGCGAGGTCGGAGTGCTATCCGAAGACTTGTTCAACGACCTGTTTCCTGGATCAAGAAGCAAAAGCACTGGTATGTAAGAGGAAGAGTCGGTAGTAGGTGTATAGGAGAAGCAGCTGACAAGGAGCAGCAGCGAATGGAGACTCGCCAGACTCGCATCGCGTCCAGCACGTCGCAATTACCCCGTGGCTGCCGAGCTCCATTGTCGCTTCCCAGAACACTCCCTGGACTATCTTGCCTGTGCGGCCAGCCGAGAAGACGGAGAATGGCACAGTGCGCCCGCATTCGTCACTCCAGATCCCGACATCATCCCTCGCATTACAGTCCTTTTCGCAGCTCCTCCAGAACGTCGCCCCGAATAAGACGCAGAGACGAGATACGCCCATCGAGGTGCGCATATACGATGTCGTGCCGGTCGGGCTGGATACAGTCTACGTCAATCTCGATACCGAGGCGCTGCGGAAGCTGGATGAGGTGCATGCAAAATTCGGTGGGGGCTTCATTGCTCAGATGAATGGCGCATCGCGCGCTCCGAAAAGCCGCTATCTCGAGGCCAACGGGACAAAAGGAAAGGCAGTCGACCTAGCCGCGCAAGAGGAGGTTTGGCGACAGGCTGTACGCGAAGCCCTACAACTGCCCACCGTCCTTCATACTGGCGATTTGCTTCCTCTCAAGCTACCCGCTCATCCCATTACCCACGTCCCACCTCCGCCAGCCAAGATAAGTGCCTCCGAGCCCGTGTCACAAGGCCTCCTGTTACCGAGCACGAGGATCGTTATACTACAGTCGCATCGTAGCAGCTCCAAGCAAGCTGTCATCATCCCTCCTGTTAAACAGCCTCCGACGACCAATGGATTTGGTGACGACGACGAGGCCGATGATACGTCCAACGATACATTCTATTCTGCCGCAGAAGACCGGGCTGATTCGCGCAACGCCTCTCCACCAGACGAGGAATCTGCCGATAATTTCGAGTCTGAGCTCTTTGAGAGCGATGCCGGAGACCTGTCCGACGAGTCCGACGATATCATCTCACTGAATGCGCCTATGCTCCCACCTCAGTCGTCTGGGGTACTTTCATCCTTTACCTCGGCGACGCCGCGACCCGGCAACTTCCGCACCAACGGAATAGCAACTCCAGGCTCAGTGTACTCCAGTTTCACGGCTACGACAGCCCGCGGCCCGACAAGCAAGAGCAAGGTATTCAAAGCCCAGGGACTCCTCCAGAGTGTTCCAGATGACCTTGTCCACCCAAAGCCAGGGAGTGAAGATGACGAAGAAGCTCGTGTCTTCGTCGACATAAACACTCTAGTCAAGGTCGGCTGCTTTTCAGGCGACTGGGTGAAGCTTGAGGGTACCGAAGCCCCTTCATCACACCCTCTCTGGGGCTTGGGCGCATTCGGCCGAGTAGACGAAGAGGAGAGTGTGAATTGGCGTCCCGTCAGGGTCTTTGGCTTGCCGGAAAACATGTCCAAGAAGGTTGCGCGATATCCGGTACAAAAGACTTCAGATCTCGACAGACGAAGTAGTTTCTCCGGGTTCTCACAACCAGCTTCGTCATTACATGCTTACCTCTCACCAATCCTTCTCGCAAACCTAGGGAGTCCTTCTCACCTCCGCATCACCCCACTAGCCCCTAGCCAGTCTCCACATCTACCTAGAAGCGCCATGCAAAAGCCGCGGTTGAACAGCTCTTCTTTACCGCCATCCGCTAAAGAGGTCACCCTTCTAAAGGTGTCAACGCCTCTGTCTTCCGATCGTCTACTCCAACCCAGTCTCTTCGCGGCCCTGAAGGACCACTTCGAGCAAAAACGGCGGATTGTAAAGAGTGGTGATCTGATAGGCGTGTCAATCGACGAATCGCTTGGTCGAGCAGTATTCCAAACTGCAACTGAAGACGACGCTGGCAATGATGAGCTGCTGGCCAGAGCCAAGCCAACCGCTAGCGATGACAGCACTAGTGTCAGCAGCCGCAACCCAAAAGTCGTATCCTGGTTCAAGATCGGCAACGTATCGAGTTCTAGTCACGCGTCTCACGACGGCGAAGAAGCTGACATTTGGGGTGGCGCCGCGACGGTAGATGCCGCCAGCACGAAGATGGAGATGAACGGCAGCGAGCAGGGTAAAACCCCAGCTCCCATCAACAATGCATGGCAGTACTATTTGGGTGCCAAACGAGCTCCTGTTTCTAGCTCCCAAAAAACGATGGCACTAGATGAGCTGCCCAAGCCATACATTTCATCGCTTCGAAGACGGTTACGAGAACTCATGTCCGTGGCTACCAGTCCACGAGCCATCCACCTAGGTCTGCCTCCTATTGCCGTCTTGATCACATCGACTCAACGTGGCATCGGAAAGTCTACCGTTGCCACTAAAGCTTGCGAAGATCTCGGTCTACACACATTCTCCATTGATGCCTTTGACATCATCACTGAAGGTGGCGCTGGGGGTGGCGACGTCAAAACGGAAGGCTTTTTGAAAGCTAGGGCAGAGCGAGCCTTGACGTGTGGCGCCGAATTCACAGCACTGCTGGTCAAGCACGTTGATGCGCTCAACGCTGATCGCATGAACACAGCACTGAAAGAGATATTGGCCGACTCTCGTGTGCTGATTGCGACGACAACGGACATCGACAAAGTACCAGAAGGTATCCGAGGACTCTTCACCCATGAGATCGAGATGACGGCACCTGATGAAGGCGAAAGAGAAGGCATTCTAAGAAGCATTGTTGACGACGCTGGCATCAGGTTATCCCCCGAGGTTGATCTCGGAAACGTTGCTGTAAAGACTGCAGCGCTTGTAGCTGGCGACCTCGTCGATGTCGTCGATCGAGCCTTGGTCGCAAAGCAGCAACGCCTCGAAGCGCTCGCTACATCCGCCACAAAATCTCTCTCCTCCTCCGAGATGATCACCACACGTGACATCCAACTAGCAGGCGGTCACTTCAGTAACAGTCTTACAAAGGCCGATCTGGACACCGCAGTAGATGCAGCGCGCAAGAATTTCGCTGATGCAATTGGTGCCCCCAAGATCCCCAACGTGGGCTGGTCAGATGTCGGTGGTCTCACACACGTCAAAGACGCAGTCATGGAGACCATCCAACTTCCATTATCGCGCCCTGAGCTCTTCGCAAAGGGGATGAAGAAGCGCAGTGGTATCTTGTTCTATGGACCTCCCGGAACAGGAAAGACACTCCTTGCGAAAGCAATCGCCACAGAGTTCTCCCTCAATTTCTTCAGTGTCAAGGGACCCGAGCTGCTCAACATGTACATTGGTGAGTCTGAAGCCAACGTACGCCGTGTCTTCCAGCGCGCCCGTGATGCTCGTCCTTGCGTTGTATTCTTTGACGAACTCGATTCCGTCGCTCCCAAGCGTGGTAACCAAGGCGACAGTGGCGGCGTTATGGATCGTATAGTCAGTCAGCTGCTCGCAGAACTCGACGGCATGAGTGATGGCGGAGAAGGCGTTTTTGTCATCGGTGCAACCAACAGACCTGATCTGCTCGACCAAGCCCTCCTCCGTCCAGGTCGCTTCGATAAAATGTTGTATCTAGGTGTATCCGACACCCATGAAAAGCAACAAACTATATTGGAAGCTCTGACAAGGAAGTACGTTCGCATCCCTCATCCCTCTTTCTACAAAAAAAAACAGAAAAAGAAAAATCTGAAAATTGTCTACGGTCACTAACGAAGTGTGCAGATTTACCCTACATCCCTCTCTCTCTCTGCAACGCGTATCTCAAGGCCTACCTTTCACATACACAGGTGCAGACATGTACGCCCTCTGCTCCGACGCCATGCTCAAAGCCATTACGCGCAGCGCCAAAATCGTCGACGAAAAAGTTAAACAGTACAACGATACTCATACACCACCAATCACCATCGCCTACTTCTTCGACCATCTCGCCACAGAGGAAGATACAGCTGTTATGGTCACGGAAGAGGATTTCATGGAGGCGCATAGAGAGTTGGTGCCTAGTGTTAGCGCCGACGAACTCCGTCATTACGATCGAGTACGCAAGCAATTCGAGGGCGCGGGCAAGAAGGAGGAGAAGAATGGTGCTCCGCCGCTTGCTATTGAACAAGAACATTCTAGCAGCAAGGGTAAAGGCAAAGCAAGAGCCCCGATTGACGAGGTTGAGGATATGGTTGTTAGGACGGAGAATTTGGAGATTAATGGACATGCGAATGGATTGGCTGGCGGTGGTGTGGATATCAGTGGGAGCGGGAGTGGAAGTGGAGGAGGGAAAGGGAAGAGCAAGGCACCGGCAAGCCATGCTGCGGGTAAAAGTAGCGTTGATATCGCTGAAGGGGGATTTGGCGATGCGACGCAGGACGATGACTTGTACTCTTAGGGCTTTTTTTTTGCGAGCGTAACTGGTATGCTTGCAGAGCGCGTTTACTGTGTTGTGGATGATTTTAGTAAATGGATCATATGCGCACTGACACTGTCCTTCAAAATCCGAAAATAAAGAAAGATATGACCAAGACGAGAGCGCTAGCTAGCCAGGAGGAGTGGGTTATGTTGTACCATGGAATAGATCAAGATGGTATTTGGTAGTTCTACGGCGATTACGTACGCCGAGCTTGATTGGGGTACCAAAACCCATGACCAGGAAGAGTCATGTATTAGCAACGAAAGAGTGTAGAATTTGTGCTATGGTACGCGAAATATAAATGCTGACCTTATGCGGTTCAACTTTCAGTTTCCTTTTTCCCTTCCCATTCCGACATTTCAAAATCACAATCACACTCAGTCATGTCTTCATCCAAGAATCCGCCATCCCCCTCCAAAACTCTCCAGTCTGGCAGCCATATTCCTGAAGGTTTCCTCCCGGAGCGAACAAGCAGTAAGAGGGCTTTCGAGAAGGTAGAGCGCGAGCTTCTCGAGGTTAGACAGGAGTTCGACAAGAAACAAAGATATCTGAAGCCGAAGACAAGTTTCGACTCGAACTATTGGGAAAAGGCTGCTGAATATGCAATGATGGGCAGATCAGTGTCCACGCTTGAGCTTCGAAGAGCAGCCATCGCCTATGTTGATATCGGTAATCAGGGTTCTCGGGAAGAGTTTTCCGGATCAGACAAAGCAAAGGCTCTTGAAGAAGCCTCCAAAGCATGGGCTATTAAAGAGAACATCTACAGCAAGCGTGCTGCCGAGCTCAAGACCACCGACAAAGAACACAGTCTACGAAGGTCCTTCATGCAACTCTTCACTACCTCTACGTTAGGACTGGACATTAAGCACGCATTCGCTGGCAAGCGAAACTCTAGCTTGCAGAGCAATTTCAGACGCGACATCATTGAGAAGCAGGGTTTGAGAGATCCTCGAGGAGGACAGTACGTGAACCATGTCTGGAACATCTTGACAGGGAAGTATGAACTTGAGGATGGCTTTGTAGCTTCCCACATCTTTGCGTATAAGCTTGGTCAGGAGTTGATGACAGCTGTGTTTGGTAAGTAATCTCCTTGTACCAACCGCCTGTGATACAAGACTAACCTCATACTTTAACCTCTAGGTTCCGACGCGAAGGATGAACTCTTTTCATCTCACAACGGGCTTCTCTTGAAACAAACTATCGAGGCTCAGTTCGACAGTGGAATGCTGGCTATCGTTCCTAACATCAAGGTAATTTGTGAAAGCACAACATACGACGAGTAATACACATGCTAACTTCGTATCTCCACCTCTGTAGGACCTAGGTTCAAAAGCCGAAGTGCAGTTATGGATTAATTCAGATCCGCGCGACTACAAATTCAAGATCTTCGATGGCAACCACAAGGCCTTAGATTGGAATGCCACTACCGATCCAAGTGGTCAAGATGTTACATTCCGCCAACTCGATGGAAGGAAGTTGCAGTTTCCAAGTGGTGGCAGACCCAGAGCCCGTTATCTCTACTTTCACTATTGTTGCCAGATCCTCAGGCAGGCTTGGAAAGCAGGAGCAAAGGCTAATAGCCTCCCCATAATGGCAAAAGAACATGGCATGTTTGCCTGGGGTACAGCAGGGAGGTACCTCGCCAACGATCAGATGCGAGCTTTCATCGAAGAACTTGGCCACGAGTTCGAGCCATTGATGGAAAACGCAACCAAACTTGATACACCGGCTGATCGGCAAACCCTTGCTGACGCTGTTACTGGAGCGATCATTATGAGCAGCCAGAAGAAACTTGACGAAGAGGGTGATGACGAAGAGGGTGATGACGAAGAGGATGATGACGATGGTGATGATGATTAGGAGGTTGCGATGGTTTGGTCAACTCCCAACTACAGCGTGACTACACGGCAAGGACTCTGACATGAGTGGGTGCTCGGATGCAAAGGAGAGGAACAGGGAAAACGGGTGCTGTCTGGTTGTATGATAGATGAATAGTTGATGCGAGGAATTGAGATTTCTTGTGGTCCGCCAGATGAGGCTAGAACCTCCCCAAGGACCCACTCCCAATTAAGTCAACTTCGTCGCGCGCCCGCGTAGCTCCTCGACCTTGTAAACCCCACCACGTTCGCCCCCCGCCAACATGGCGCGCAATCACGAAGTATGTCGCGCCCGCTACTGCCCGAGTCAGCATACGCAGCTCTCGGCCTTCCTCCTGAAGCAATCAAAGACCTGATGAATCCCAAGCCTCCGCCGCCTGAACCCCCTGAAATTCACGCGCCGAACTTGCTCCAGAGTGATGAGGACAATGCGCGACCCATGTCGCCCAACGAGACTTCTATAACGCTATACGCCGAGCTTCTGCTGCATATACGCACTGTGACGCTTTTCGCGTCGCTACGCACGAATTACTCGCGGTCGACTGCTGCGAAGCTGTCTTCTGATGGGTCTTACATCACTGTATCGCATGAGGGCCAGTCTGCGTCAATACGTCTGCCCGTCAACATCGAGGGTGGAGGTGATGCCGCGCTCGAACTTCCATCGCAGCCCCCAACCAAAGAGCTCACGCTACGTCTCCAACTAGAAGAGCGCGAAGGAAGCGACCTCCTTAAGACACTGCACCGCGAGGACCGACAAGCCAACATTGTACCATGGGATGGCGCTTCACTCAACGATGCACAGGATTTGGAGGTTACCTGTAAGAACTGTCAAGGCGTTCTTGTACCGAAAGGGAAGATTCAGCAGTGGAGAGACCTACCCAACGAGAATTGGGCTGAGATGATGGACTTTTGGCACTGCCATAAGCCAGATGAGCACCACTTGCACGATCATACGCATGATGAGGTTGTCGGTCAGAAGGGTTATGCGGCTGGTAATCGTCTGCAGGCTGTAGGGGGTGTAGGATTCGTTGATCTGGCCACATTCTTACTGGCGGAGCCGGATTGTGATGGCGCACAGGTAAGTCATAACTCTCCTCTTACTTCACAGTGTTTGTGACGTGTGGGCGCAAAGAAGGCGAACTAGCCTCCTCAGTGGCATCATCGTCGATACAAGCTCCCTAAATTAATATGCTCATACACGTGCTCTCAGTGCCGGATGTATCCTCTTCTTCAAGTCGATGGATTGCCGGCGCTGTCGAGTTGACGGCCTGGCGTTTCACTGTCTCTATACCCTCAGACCCTTGGGATTGGCAGGTTTAGCCAAGGCTACATTTCACATTCGCTGTTGTTTACTATTGTTTCGTGTTATCCGCACTGACAAGAAACAGCTCTCCTCCGATGAAGGCCCACAAAAGGGCCTAATCCAATGCGCTCACTGCAAGCACACGATCGGCACCCAGGATCCTACTACCTCCGGCTGGCGAATACGAAAGTGGGCTATCGGCATGCGATCTACAACAACTACCATGCCATCCTCTTCCCCAACAACCTACAAGATCCAGAAATGGATAACAGCCCGCCTCCTCCACTTAATCGAAAATACGGGTCTACGCAAATTTCATATCCACACCGCTCCACCACCCCACTCGCAGGAACCCATACCTTCCATCCTCGTCTGGGCCTTCACCCCTGACTTGCTCTTCTCTTCTTCTATACCCACGCCTGATCGTCTTGATCCCACACGCACGATGAAGGTTTTCTACCAGAAGCAGACCTGGCAAGCTTTGAAGCCGGGGGAGCCGGAGAGTGCGCAGATAGAGGATGTGGAATTTCCCCAAGATTTGTATGGGGAGTTGGAAGGGGCGCTCGAGCAGAGTCAGGCATTACTGCCACCGACTGCAAGGAAGTTCCAGGGATGGGATGTTGGATTATTGTTGAGGTTTGAGGTTGTTGAGGCTGGGATGGGGGTTGTGAATGGTGAGGATAGTAAGGATGAAGGAGCTAGTGCGAATGGGTTGTCTTGCGAGATACCATCAGAAGATGTTGATTGAAGATATTAGTTGAATTTCACGACCATACACTGTCTATGCTTTTTTTTTTCTTCAGAGTTATCTTATATGACTACAACGACTGTTGCTTCTAGTCTAGGCCAAACTGACTTTTTATATCCAAGCATGCAGGCTATCCTGTCTCTCTTTCAAAGGTCGAACATTTGATTCGCTCTCTCGTAATGAGACGTTGGTTGCAATCGTCAGTGCTATAGAAGGTCATCATGTGCTAGTCGATTGCCTGACGCTCAGTATTCCCTTTCTCTCTTACATGGCAAGAGCTGGGTAAGAGCAAACACCTGTTTGTCTCGCGTCTAGCACCTTTCCCGTCCACTCAATTACCGCTAGTCTCTCGTCGACATAATTACTTGGTATATGGTGGGATGTACTCTGGTGGGTCGGGTCAGAGCATGAGGATTGAGTGATGGGTATGTGTTCCTATGTACATTTCCTGGTCACCTAACCCAAATTCCAACGTAAAAGCCTCACTAAAAATATTGGAGTTCCACTAGGACTCGACATGTCCTCTGCGGGTAGACCTAGTGCCTTTCAGGCATGGTCGATTGGGGATGGTCCTGCATCGATAGGGAAGGTGAAGATGTAGTTGGGCTTTGAAGCCATGAGTCCGTTTCCTCCTGGTCGCATCTGCGAAGCGGGAAGCCAAAGCTTCTTGTCGGCAGTAACCCACATCTGATCCGTCCAAACCAGAGCGTCATCCTGAACCAAGATAGAGGCATAGCCCTCAGGAGTTACTTTCCAGATGGCAAGCAACGTGGTGTCACTGAAGTAAATGTTGCCATCGCCATCGATTGTAGTACCGCCTGTGCTGGGAGTCAGTGCTACCGCCTCAGCGTAGTCGCCCAGGCTAGCAGCTAGGGTGGAGTTTGTCAAAGTTGCGTCAACCAAGGCTGTCTTGATCTTGAACAAGCCGCCATTGCAAGGCTGGTAGTAGAACCACTCGCCATCTGGCGAGACTTCCATCTGATCGAGACCAACCGCGAGTGTGCTTCCTGCAGCACCGTAGCCCGGAACAAGAGTATGGTTGTACATCATTGGAAACCATGCCACGGCGGTTGGGTCGTCGGCCAATACCCGAACTCCTTCTCCAGTCGTCATGTTGAGGACAAGTAGTGCTCCAGCCGTATCACTCAGGTATGCGACATCACCGGATGGTCCAAATCGCACGTCGTCGATACCGCTGTTGGAAGCTTTTATATCGTCGAGGTAGTAAAGCTTGTCAACCGTGTCGTTGGAAAGGTTGATGCCAATGAGCTTGGTGGAGCGGTTAAGGCCCTGGGATCCTCCATCCACCAGCCAGTAGCGTCCATCAGGCCCAATGCGGGCGCCATCGAGACTGACAAAAGTCTTCGCTGGATCTGAAGTACTGTCGCTTGAATTGTAGGAATTCCACTCGGCGTTGGGGTAGAGAATCGTAGAGTTGTCGTCCAGAAGCTCAACTGCACGTGGGGGATCGGTAAGAGAGTATCTCTGCATCAAGAACTTGCGTCCATCGGCGGAGAACGCGATACCTTGAGTTGCCAGATCAAGATCGTAGACCACTTCGAGGCCGGGGGCGAATGCGCCAGCGAGGCACGCAGCGCTGAGGGCTGCAACGACACAACGGGAGATCATGTCCAGAGATCTGTCTTTCGCAAACAGCTGAGAGTTGTTGACTATGTCTTTGAGAAAGGGAAGAATGGATGTAATGAAATAGAAGGTTTGACATCATCTATTTTATATGATACATCTTAAAGCTAATCGTCACTGCACGCTGTGATCTTCCCCTTTCACATGACCTCGGCGCGTCGTCAGCTTCAACGTACGATACAGTCTCTAGCATGTTCCACAAGATATCGATCTAGTCCGGTATAAAGATCATCCATCGCTGGATTGTAAATTTTCCACATGTTGTTTGAATGATCTCTGCAAGGGGTAAACATTCAAGCGGACATTGGTTGATTACGCACTAAGAAGTCGTTCAGCTAGAATGCGCACGATCACTGCACAACCTGCTTACCGTGTACGGTGGCATGACTATCAGTGACGAGATCGATGTTTACAGAGATGGTGAGGAAAGTTGGGTAGACTTGATATTGCACTTCTGATATCACCAGCATACGAAAATAGGAGCTTCCTTTCCACCAAATTTCTTATATCTATCTATCCTACACTATCTGATGATCTCTACCACAGCCTTAAGACTCCACAAAAGGGCCGCAAAGAAGGAGAAGGGGGGAGATCGAAATCAGTCGCTAGATGGAAAAAGAAGGAAACCCCGCTTAAACAAAGTTCCTTTGTTTTTTTGTGGAGTTTCTGGTTCTGTTCAGTTCGAGGCGCTATTCCACAACCTGTGTGGCAGAGTAAAGAAAGGCCGTAAATGCGTGCCTATGTGTCCTCTCGTCCTCCTCTTATCGTAAGAGTCATAATCGCTATTCGGAAAAACCATGTCCAGACTCCCGCTCAATAGAAAATTACTCTGCTTCTGTATAGGTACAAAGATGTGAAAGACGGCTATACAAAGTGCCCGCTAATCGTATACAATGCAGTGTGAGAATTACTGCTGGTTCCCATAACCCATAAAGGTCAAGTCATCCAATGTAGTGGTGGGCTCGGCGTACAAGTTGTCGAATTGCCCTCCAAGCTGGTTGAAGTCGGGGAAGAAGTTGGACGTGTTGTTGAACGCCATCTGGCTGGGTGGCGCTGGGTCAAACAACGTGAAGTCCTCGGTGGGGCGACCGAAGCCTTGCATGGTCATGTCCATGTCCATGTCACCACCGAAACCCTCATCCATGTGTGGTGAGAAGAGAGTGACGTCAGGCTGAGCCATTGGTGATAGGTGCGGCAAACCGTTCATGGTGCTGTTCGCCGTGAATGGCAGCGGCGCGTAGTCGAACGCCGTGCTCATTGGAGTTGGCTGCTGGAAGCCTGTGTTGAAGTTTGCGTTCAAATTACAGGCGTTGTAGACGTCGTTGTGGTTGATATGGGCGTCTTCTGGGGTTACAGCATCCTCAAAGGATGTGGGCTCAGTGGGCGAATGTCCAGATGAGTAGGTAAAGTGAGAACCATCAGTCGTGATCGAGTCACGACGGAAATCGTCTTGGAAGCCGTGGTGACTCATAGCTGGAGTATTAACGCCGTAGAAATCAAAGTTATCGATCATGGGCACTTGAGGCGAAGGAACGAAAGGTGTGATGGGCGTAGTCATAGTCGCCGACATGGGTGTACTAATGAAGGGAGTAAGAGGAGTGGTGGGGCTGTTTTCGTTGCCAGTAGGACCCTTCTTGCGACCGTTGCTCTTGGAGCGAACATACTCCCAGCCATGAGCCTTCTCCATGTGCTGCTTGCAGTTGGACTCGCGCTTTGAGGCGTACGAGCATGGAGGGTAGAGACACTTGTACTGGGCAGGGGCAGCAGAGTGCTTGTCGTTCATATGCCTGTCACGTTCCTTCTCAGTCGGCCAGCCGAGGTCAAAGTACTTGCAGTTCTTCTCAGAGCACTTCCACGGGCGAGAGTGGGTCTTCTCGTGCTTGGTCAGATCGCAGGGTCGCTTAAACTCCTTCTTGCAGTCGCGGCAAGTGTGCATCACGTCTCCGGGCTTCTCGGACTTGCGTCGGCGCGCCATTGAACGGGTTACTTCGTCATCGTCCATGCTGTCCACGGAAGCGTCCGAAAGGCGACGCTTGATCCTGAAGGCTTTTGAGGCATCCTCTGAAATGGGCACGACTTTGCCATTCTTCTCCCTAACCAGCTCGACAGGACGGCCGTTGTGGCTGATGCCACCACGAAGCGTGATCTTCTCATCGCTGTGGATCATTTGATTAGTGCGGGCGAATAGAAAGTCGGCGGCGCGGTCATACCGTGAGTAATCCATCTCGTCGAGGTCTTCACCCTTGGATTCTTTTTCTCTTGTAGCAGCCATAATTGAAGCGTATCGTCTAATCTGTTCCATCAAATCGAGGAAGTAGCCGTCAGTATAAGGGCGGTCGGTTGGTAGTCGCTGGTCTTGTTCGGAGATGTACTGGACGGTCGTAGCCAAGAGTTGGATTGATCGTTCGCAGAAGCGGGAGTACGAATCCGGGGTAGCCGACAGCTCCTTTAAACCACGAAAAATGCAATAAGCTACTGCACTTTGAGAAAGACAACGGGTGGTTCCACTTACCGGTGCGAGGAAGATGAGGGTCTTCTCGAGGTCACGAAGATTTCGGATGTTCTTCTCACCTATGCGTCGGGGAACGTCCTTGACGAGGGAGTGAAAGTCTTTGAGGGACTCCTCGGCAAGAATGGGCTTGACGATGAAGTCGTGGATCTGCTTGCACGTGTACTCGCCGAGCACGTGATCCTCTTCTGGGGCACTGAGTGCAGAGAAGGACCTGGTGACAGCCGAGTGCGTTGAGCTGATGGAAGTGCTGATAGATTCACGGACGCTCAAGCGCTGGGTGCGAATGTCGTCTTTATATATGTTAGAATGCGGGGCGTTCTCGTCCAAGACGGGTAGCTGCAGTGACTCCTTACCGTATTTCGATCCACTGACGCTGGAACCCAGACCGCTGTCAGAAGCGTGGTCGTGGGGGCTGCGTTGAACTGCAGTAGGCTTGGAGTCTATGTCCATCGGGGTGTGGTCCAATGAGGTGCTATCGAGGACAAAGCTCGGAACAGGAAGGACCTCCGGGTCGTTGAGAAGGTCAGAGCCGGCAGCAGCGCTCTTATGGCCAGCGACCCTCGCCTCGAAGTCCTTGAGCAGGTTGGTGACGCGACGTACGCTAGGGTCTTGGATGGAGTCGTTGACTAGCTCCTCTAGTCTCTCAGTGCTGGTCGGTGAGCGGCGGGGCATGAAGTATCGGTCGACCTCACAGATGTCGGTCGATATGTGGGTTGGCGACGAGAATGTACCGCTCTTCCGGAGCTGCATGCCATGGGTGCTGAGGGGGGATGCGGAACCCTTAAGAGGACGGCGGCGGGGATGACGGTTCTGGTCGTGGGGTGCAGACATGTTGAAGTATGACTGGTCGTAGTACCGGTTGAAGTGGGAAAGGCGGCCTCAGGTGAGTCACGGACTGCACAGTTCCCCAAGCCCGGCGAACCAAAAGGACCAAGTGTGAGTGGTTATCGAAGCCCAGATCACGTTTTCATTGACCGGGAACGGTGGAACCTTTGCGGCCGCGGAAGCCAACAGGTGATAGGCTCGAGTGATGAGACTGATGCAGCGAGAGAGTAAAGGGCGCTGGGTCCTCTTGTCGAGAGTCAGAGGAGATGTGCTGGTATATAGGAAGGCGCAGCACGTGGAGTAAGACGGGCGGCGAGCGGCAAAAGATGCACAAGGGCGGCGGGTCTACGGTGCAAAAAAGACGACGAGGAGGGAGGCCTGAGGATTGGGATTTGGAACAAGAAGAGATACTGAGGAGCGCGGGCTGGGGGGGATAGGTGGTTCAAGAGGGAAGGAACGGGTTGTCGTCGCTTCCTCCAGTGAGTGGAGTGCACTCCAGGCAGCAGTGCACGGACATTTGACGTTCCGCGCAGTCTGCCCCTGCTCGGATCCTAAATACGAACTGCATATCATTATTCGTCCTTTTGCACAATCCATCACCTGAGTATCTCTACCGCGACTTTGGCGCGCGCGTTAGCGCAGGAATCGAGTGCGATGCTCATTGTGTCCTTCACCGCAATCCGACCGTGGTAAAAGACGCGGAATCACCAGAAAAGAGCGACAATTCCCCTCCATCCAGCGGTGACAGGACCCTTGCAAGAAACCGGTCAACCCTAAGAAGCGCAGGAACGGCTGTTAGTGCATGCTTATCACTGGTTAATGGCGTCAGGCGCCCTATAAGTGGAGGCTTGCGAAGGGCAACAGGGCTGTGCATGGATGAAGCCATTTCGCCATCCTCACCACTTCTGGTGGACCAACAACTAAGATAACTAAAACGTCGCTACTGATAAAGCCGCAGTCCCCGCTCCCTGGAATTGCACAGATGCGCACGCCGTCCTACCCGCTATTCCGTCGATGCGCAAACCGCCGTGTCCTGATGTTCTGGGTGTCGGCGCATACGTATGCAACATCGGTTTATTGGGCGAGTAGCACACGACGCCTCTCACCGGAATCGTGGGGGCCAGAAACACGTCGTCAACATGCATGTGATGATAGGGCTGCGCATGCAGGGCTGGGAGCATATTGATATTGAAGGCGTCACAGTTATAAGACGCACGGCGGGGCACTCCGGGACTAAGTGTAGTCGTGTTGGTTGTCTCACTCTCTACGTAGGTTTGCCACCCCCAGATGTTGAATTCCACCCTCTCTCACGCCTCGCTGCGGACAAAAGCTGGACACGGGAGCGTAGATGCGCACGCCGATCTTTACAGTCACGCCGTACTAATCTGCATTCGAACTGTCTGTTTCTTTGCAAGCTGCTCCCCTCATCTCGAACTCTAGTGCTTCTGATTTCTTTTGCAAAAAGCACGCAATGATGAGTCGTCATCCACATACACCAGCATGGAGTAACCAACCTTTTCTATCCTAGACCATTTCTTCGTGCTTCGAAAGTGCAATTGATTCACTACCATGCCAATTCTACATTATTGGAACCATTGGTAGGCCTCTTGATCATGCCACATATACCAACAAGCGTCCTTGACCAATACCTCCAACCACTGTATCATCATGATTCTGTCGCTGGATTTCCATCTATAACCATGCATTCTGTGACAAGCTTCTCTCACTACCCACGCCTTCTCATCCCAGTCGTTGATATCGCCTCGCCGCGCTTCCTCGACTTCTCGAGCACTCGGCTGTCGCCTCGTGTTGCCCGTAGTAAACCGCTCTTCATAGTCTCTCTTGCGCATCAGCCAGTACTCACTTGCAAAGCCGAATTGCTCTATAGTAAAGTCTGCGATATATTCATCGCCAGATCGAGTGGTAATGCTGAAGACACTGTGGCGCACTAGCGGATATGGTCGCTCACCCTCCCAGTGTATCACCCAGTGTGGTTTCGCTTGCACTGCCAGCCAAATTACCGTTGCGCCGACGCGGCTCAAAAGCGGCTCGAGATAGCACAGGAAGAGGTGGATGCTGAAGTCGCAGTGGTTGAACTTGTTACTCGCCGTTTGCTGGGCTGTAGAGATCCAGGGGGCGTGGACAGAAGGACCATATGCTTGTGTATACTCTCCATGTGGCGATCGAATCTCAATTTCGGTGATGATAAAAGGCTCGCCCGGTGCAGTTGGAGGTGTGACATAGTGGTGAACGCAAGATCTTGGCTCGTACTCCAGTACGAAGTTAAAGACGTGCCAGTACGGCTCGATTATGGATCGGACTTCGACATATTGTCTTGGTGAAGGATATCGTACCTGCTTTTCTGGCTTGACAAAGTACGAGCCGTAGGAGGAGAAGGCTCGAGTAGGTGTTTCTCTCAGTGGAGTGTGTTCTACCGGTTGATTTTGGCTTGATGGCGATTCTCTTGGTGTAGGGTATTCTGCCGAGTCTACTTGGCGTAACGGAGATGCGCTCAATGTAGAATGTTCCGTCAAACATTTCTGGTTTGATGGAGATCCTCTTGGTGTAGGACATTCCTTCAGCGTTGTTGGCCCGGCAAACTCCCGGTCATAGGAGCAAAGGATGTAGGGCTGGGCAAGGCGTAGTCGATTTACCATGGCTTGTTGGACGTGTATGAATCATATTACTGTTCAGTAGTGAAAATGAAGAATTTGCCGAACATATACTCTGAACTTTTTGCAATATATGATTACCATGGCTCAGGTATTGTGGTCCTGGAATGGTGTCTATATCGGACGCCAGCATCGTCTACAAGTGTCCAATCCATATTTTTCATTATCAAACTCAATGGCTGACATATGTCCGAAACACCACATGTGCGAAGTGAACGAAAATATTGAGGGCTGAGCCTGATTGAGTAACAACTGACAGTTGTTTTGGTTACGATGTCAGTGTTTAGAGTGGATTTTAGGACCCTGGCGACCTTTACCTGGATAACATGGCGGAGTGTGATGGCTACATCACGAATCTCGACGCTACACAGCTAATCAAGACGAGGATGTCGCCTTTAGGTCCAATCGTTGCCAAATGAATGTTCTACAATAGTTGTAAAATTCACGCTTTAGTATGCGATATACTTGTCATAGCTTTTGTGTCTTCTGCTGGAACGCCACATAGCTGGAGTATTGTCCATCTCACTCCTTTCAGCCAATAGGCGAACCATTTGGAATAAGTAACAACGCGGGGCGTGATATCAGGGACCATAGAACCGCTAACACGCGCCTAACAGGACAGCGAATATGCTGCTCGCTTTGTGAGTACCCGTACCGAAAAGAGCGAAGCCTCGCTGTTCCCTGGAAAACTGATCAGCACACGGTAACCTTTTCGCTCAACTCACTAGATTCACAATTATCTCCCCCGTTCTCGACCTGACAATCCCTTGAACGAAGTAACTATTCCAGTTATTCCCGCAGTCAATCAAATACAGATTATTATTATTATTTTTTTTGCTCGCGGAACGCGGTTCATGAAACGGCGACCAAAATTGTGCGCATCACGTTGCTTCGGACAAAGAATCTTCGTGGCAGTCAAAATGAACGTTGTAAGCAAAGACCACAAAGATCGGACCTATGTATAGGCACGCTGCAGGTTTCCGCACGCAGTGGATCAGGAGCAGCAAACTAATGTGATGTCACATGGCTCCGCGTTAAGCGGCTTGGCTCCAATAGTACTAGCGCTTTGACTTTGGAACCAACTGTGTCCAATAGGGCGCCAGACAGTATAGTTCTGTTTCAAGAGCCCCGTCAAGCTCAAACCCCTCGCGATGCTGTTGCCGCCGTCGTCGTCGTTCTGACTGTCAACCCTCTTTCTTTCGAGGCGAGTCTTTCGTCGCTCCCTTGATCAGTTCTTCTTGTCACTCTCTCTATCTAATCTTTAGGTCCTGTCGTGGCCGTTACAGTCTCTCTATAGGTTACGCTGGTTCGTGCCTGCACACGCTCTCTCCTGCGATAAACGCGTTATCGCATACTTGAAGTGTTTTCTCAGCCGAGTTTTCCAGGTTCATCGTTTGATTTTTCGCAAGATGTTGGGTTTTCACAGAAGGACGAGGTCTTTAATACCGGTTAAGGATTTGGGCAAGTATGATAAGGTGGCCATGGTTGAGGAAGAGGAGGAGCGAGATGGAGAGGAAGAGATGGAGATGCACAGCGCGCCTGATGGTGCGGATAAGTCGCGACGGTCACAGTTGATGCTGGTGTACCTCATCTTCCTTGCTGAGGCGTAAGTTCTGCTATCCATTCGTTCCGACTCATGCTAATAGATGGCAGCATCATGGCATCAAGTCTCCAGCCACAACTCCAAATGCTCCTTTCCTCCTCCGACTACTGCGGCACCCTCTCCTCATCCTACCTCCGAAGTATACTCGACTGCGCATACGCATTTGGCGGAACAACGGGTCTGTTCTGGGGATACCTCGCCGATCGCATGGGAAGACGGCGCGTCACGCTCATTGGGCTCTGGAGTATGTTCGCATGCTGCCTGAGCATGGGCTTCGCAACCAGTCTCGTCAGCTGCACAATCTTCCGCTTCATCGCTGGCATGGTCAGCTCGGCAGTCGTCTGCACGACCCTGACCATGATTGGAGACCTGAGCACATCGGCAGAGGAGAGAGCAAAGAACGTCGCCCGGTTACCTACCATCTCTCTCGGCGGTTCCATGGGCCCTATCATGCAACTCATGGTATCGGAAAGCCTACAGGCATACAACATGGTCTGGCAAGACTTCCCAACCCTGGGCTCTGAGTTAGCCTGCGGAGCCGTGTTGTTTGCCATTGCACTCACAGCGAGCATCTGCCTCAAGGAAACGCTTCCCCACCACAACGACCGCTCCGCAGATTCCGTCGACATGGACTGCGAGAAAGCAGCGTTTCTCCGCCGCGACTCAGAAGACACAAACATCACCCTTGTCGACTTTGCTCGCCCAGAGCCCATCACCATCTCCCAGTTCCTCCAAGCCCCTTCTCTCATGGTCCTCCTTTCCTCCTTCTGTCTACTCTCACTCCACGCATCAACCTTTGACGTCGTACTCCCCCACCTCGGGCACAGCAGCACAGACCAAGGCGGCATGGGCATCTCGTGCGACTGGCTGTCCATCGTTGTCCTCGGCGTGCGCGGAATGGCCGGCATGGTCCTCTTCTACGCCATCCCCTACGCCACCTCGAAATACGGTCTTGTCAAACTCTACCGCTCCGTCTCCGCCCTCCTCCCTGCAACCTACGTCCTAACACCCATCCTCGCCATCGTTGTAACCTGCTCCGGTCTCGAGCCCGTCATTTCTACCCTATCCATCTTCTCCCAACACCTCCTCACTGGCGGTGCAAACGTCCTCGTTGCCCTCCTCGTCCTCAACACAACCCCAGATGCTTTCTCCGCAGGCACCGTCGTCGGTATGATGCAAGTCGCCAGTCTCTTCAAGGCCTTTGCCGTCGCAGTCAGTGGCACCAGTTATTACTTCAGCGACGACCTCAGCGTGCAAACAACAAACTTTGCTCTCTGGACCTGCCTCGCACTCTTCGGTATCGTCGGTGCGGGACTAGCTTGGTTCGTCCGCGAAAGACCCAGTGTCGAGAAGGATTTCCCCAGCGAGGTTCTGTGCTGGGAGACGTGCTTTGATGCTGATGCTGAGAAGCAGTTTAGTCTCGAGGATGTTGAGGAGGTTTGATCGATCACAGTGTATCGTCATCCGTTGCATGTCCTGATGTATCTGTAGCGCGTCGTTGTTATTTTTTTTTGTTATTGTTGTTTTTTCCTTTGTGTTGTCATCTATCTCCTTAGTGTTGAGTTCCATGCTCTTATTCTTGGGTTGTATGAGTATATAGCGAAACATCGTATCCTGGCTCATTGGTCAGTCATCCATTTACCTTGACATAATTCTAACAAGTGCTATTTCAATGTGACTTGATCTATATAGGCAGTGAGCCTTCCTTGGGTAGGAACACGCGCCAGGATGGAAGAAAACCTTGGCCACTTGATTAAGGTAGGGGAGACCCAGCCAGACCATAGTAAGAGCACCTGAAGCCGCCGCAAATCACAGTTCTCTGGCTACCTTACGCAGTCGGCAAGTCGCCTGGCCGAATCGTCTCTAGGCGTAATGTCAGACAGCGCGCATCTCGGTAGCCCGCTACACAACGTAAGTATACGTACACTTCCTCTTGCAGTAAACAACGGAATGCGAAAATGCTACCGCGAACAGGCATAAGAAAAAACAGTCTGGAATACACGTTATTCCGTCGCAAAGCACTCCGCCAAGTACAGCCAACGAACCAGAGGGAAAACACTAACCAGACAACTTAGAGGGCGACCGTAGCACTATGTCTACTGCAACAGATGTAAATACTCCAAACCCCCTAGCGGCTAGGACGGAAAGCTCATGTACACCGCGAAGGGCGTCGCAATTCTGCAAATCAATGTCAGATCACATATGAAGTGGACAAGCACAAGGTCGCCAAAGCGGTATAAGCTCCCGGGTGGCAGGACGAGAGAAGTAAATCCGCTCATGGCTTTACTACCACACGACACTGTTAAGAGCATTGGCAGGTCTAGAGAACACATGTCACGACATCACATAGTAAAAAGAAGAGCTTGTTTGTAAATGCAATCGTTGTACACTATCGACGACTAAGTTTCTACGACCAGCCTAAATCAGACCGAGTGGTTGAGTATCTCTAATCAAACAACTTTTACCCATGAACGCCATACCCAGAGGTCCGAAACCCAGATTCGATGATCATTCCACATCATATCGTACGGCAGCACCATTACTTACTCTTCGAAGATGATCAAAGCAGATACACGAAAGGAATGTGCAAGGCGATGTCATAGAAGACGCTTAGTCGAAGGACTTCTTCTGTCCCTGGAAGTCACCGAAGCCACCACGGTTGAATGAACCACCGCGGCCACCACGGGCACCACCACGGCCACCGCCACGACCACCACCGAAGCCACGGCCTCCTCCACGACCACCACGGTCGCCGAAGCCACCGCGGCCGCCGCCACGTCCACCACGACCGCCACCGCGACCACCGCCGAAGCCACCGCCGCCACCATTGTCCTCACGAGGTTGAGCGTAGTCGATACGGATGGCACGGCCGCCGATGTCCTGGCCGTTCAAAGCCTCAAGAGCGGCGGTAGCCTCATCCTGGGAGCTGAAGTCGACGTATCCGAAACCCTTGAGGGAACCGGTGTCGCGGTCGGTGGGAAGAGAGACACGGGTGATGTTACCGTACTCTTGGAAGACCTCCTGGATGCTCTCGTTGGAGCACTCGAATGAGACGTTGCCGAGGAAGAGAGTGTTGCTGGGAGGGCTGCGCTTGTCACCGTACTTGTTGGCACGGGCACCGTTGGCATCGGGCTTAGCACGGGGAGTGCTGAAGTCGACGTTGAGCTGACGACCGTCAAGCTCGTACTCGTGCATCTCCTTCTGGGCCTTGGCGGCATCGGCAGCGTTGGCGAACTCGACGTAACCGAATCCCTTAGCACGGCCAGTCTCACGGTCAGTGATGACACGGCAGCCAACAATCTCACCGAAGCCCTCGAACTCGCGGCGGAGCCAGTCCTCATCGATGTTCCAGCTCATGTTACCAACGAAGAGGTTCTTGATACCCTCCTCAGCGGCGGGCTCCTCAGTCTTGGTCTTCTTGACAGCGGGGGCAGCGGCCTCCTCAGCCTTGCGCTTCTTGGAGGGAGCCTCGTCGCTCTCGGAAGCAGAAGAGTCATCGGAGTCGGCATCGGAGTCGTCAGAGTCGGAGGTAGTGGTGGCCTGTCAAAGTTAGTCTACGTCGTGTGATTGCAACATGGCAAAACTGACCTCAGCCTTAGCGGCGGGCTTCTCGGCCTCAGACTCGCTGCTGTCGGAGTCGCTGTCAGAGTCGCTGGACTCAGCCTTGGCCGCGGCCTTCTTTACACCGTTTGCCTTGGCCTTGGGGGCAGGCTTCTCCTCCTCGCTGCTGTCACTGTCGCTGTCCTCATCGCTGCTGTCGGACGAGTCAGAATCAGAGTCGGCCTTAGCAGCGGCCTTAGGAGCAGCTTTGGCAGGGGTCTTCTTCTCGACCTCCTCCTCGCTGCTGCTCTCAGAGGATTCTTCGCTCTCGCTCTCGCTCTCAGACGAAGAATCAGACTCAGGCTCTGGGGTGGGAGCCTTCTTCGACTTCTTCTTGTCCTTGATGTTGGAAGCAACTGACTTGGCAATGTCCTTGCTCTTCGACTTGGGGGTAGCCGCAGGCTTGGTAACGCGACCGGCCTTGACGCTGGCAACCTCGGACTTCTTCTCCTTCTTGGACGACTTGTCCGCGACCTTGGTCTTGCCCATTTTGATGATAGGTAACTAGATCTACTATGTATTAGTATTGTGTAACGTGCGACGAAAGCGCCAATGATTTGCGACAAGAAAAAAGGAAAGAGAGGAGCCGACGGCAATGACGCCGTGGCTCAGGCGCTGACACCCGAAGGCGGCCATATGCGCCAGTCTGCTTGGTCTGATTGTCTCAAATTGCGAATAGCCCACTGGTATCTCTCGAGACCGCACGAAGCGGATATCCCTCAAGCCCACGGAAAGCCTACAAGAGCCCACAGAAAACCGAGCTTCAAGGCAGCGTGTTCCCACAAGTGCCGAGAAGACGGGAGATTAACCCTCATAGTAGCAAAAAGCCCTCAGGATGATCTTGTCGTGCCCTGACGAGCGACAGACGTGCCCTCTGTAATGTGTGTTAAGGAAAAGCCAAACGTTGCCCACTGACTTGTAATTTGATCTGGTACTGGATGTTGCCCTCAGTAGCCCACTTGAGAATCGCGAAAGCCCTCAGTGTAGATTTCGAACTGTAAATGGTTCGAGAAAAGTTGTGAAGAAGGTTGGTGGTAGATGGTACGGAGCAAATGGCTGGGAGCGCGCAGTTTATGTAGCAGAAGGATCAGCATCGAACTTTTCAGCGGATCCGGGGCTCGAGCTTTGCGCTAGAGACGCGCTCTCTCAAGGTACGCTAGAGTCGCCCCACTGCGAACTCCATCCAACGGCGGCGGCGGTATTTCCCTGAGGCGAGCCCTGGAGGACTCAGAGTCTTGAGGATGACTGTTCTTACTGGGAGTGGAAGAGTTGTGGTAGTCTTGTTGTGATAACACTCGGAAACCTCTAATCTGCAAAGTGCAGTGGGTGCATCTATCATGGATCTATACTGACAAGTCTACTATCCACGAACCTTTTCATCAGAGAGCACCATATGGTCTAAACAGTCAGCGGACACATTCAACCATAGACAGTATGTGTGCCGAGGTTCTCTACTGGGGTCTCGGGATGGTGCTTGTGGCAGCTTCTTCAAGCTTCAGTGCCTCTATTTTATTTTTGCGGTACCGCAGTCTCCGTCGCTTTCAAACGTGACATATATACTACACATTCATTTTAATTGAGAGAAACCGATTACCAAGCCTAGGTAGTAGCCTCAACTAAAGGCGCTGACTCTCTTCGTTCGAAGATATCTGGGTGTAGAACTCTTCTCCCGGGGCTCAAATGCAGGGTGCCGACTAGCTCGGATGCGGTAACGCGTAGAACCACCCGCCACGAGTCCTCGAATCCCATGCAGACCCTCACCAAGCTCAGCTCCAACATGGCATCTCCAGCAGCCCACAAGCCGCGCCGGCGGCGAAAGATCGAGGAGGGTTCCCTCGCCCAGGTCGCACACGGTACCCTCGATCTCGACCAGTCCACCAATGCACGGAAGCCCGCGTTTCCTCTCGTCGCGTTTCTCTGGCCAGCCAAAGGCACCGTCTCGCAATGGATCACTATACCCCTCATATTGATGGCAGTCGGCCTGTTCAGATGGACTGTCAGCTTATGGGGTTATTCGGGATACCAATCACCGCCAATGCACGGTGACTTTGAAGCTCAGCGGCATTGGATGGAGATTACGAAACATCTGCCGGTGTCGAAATGGTACTTTTATGACTTGCAGTGGTGGGGACTGGACTACCCGCCTTTGACTGCATATCATAGCTGGATCTTGGGTATCATGTATGTGGAAGTACTGGACGTTGAATACAAATACTAACCGTTGTAGTGGCTCTGCTATCAATTCGAAATGGTTCGCTCTCGACGAATCACGAGCTCTCGATGACCCTTCCCTCAAGATATACATGCGAGCCACCGTCTTCGTATCCGAATACCTCATCTACGTACCTGCGATGGTCATCTTCCTCCGTCGATATTCGCGACTCGAAGGAGTCAATATCTGGGAGTCGTCAATTGCGCTAGTAGCTATCTTGATGCAACCGGGGACCATACTGATTGACCACGGGCACTTCCAATACAACACTGTGATGCTTGGATTTGCAGTGGCAACACTCTCGAGCATGATCGCTGGAAGGCCGCTGTGGGGATGTGTCTTCTTTGTTGGAGCGCTAGGATTCAAACAAATGGCCTTGTTCTACGCGCCTGCGGTATTCGCATACCTGCTGGGCATCTGCCTCTTCCCGCGGATCAACATCGTACGATTCCTTGCAATTGCGCTGACTACTGTGGCCGCTTTCGCTGTTTTGTACCTTCCATTCCTGGTGGGCATCGCCTACAATGTCCATAACGGCTTCGACCACACTCCTCTGGAATACCCACCTTTCCTGAACCTCAGCTGGTTCATGACGCCGTGGGACATGGACGCCTGGTACTTTCCCTACGTTCTGGAACTAGGACAATCAATACACCGCATCTTCCCTTTCTCCCGCGGATTGTTCGAAGACAAGGTTGCGAATATCTGGTGCACAATCCACACTTTCCACAAGCTCAATCGATATCCAATCGAGTTACTTCAGCGGCTCGCGCTACTCGCCACCTCCGCTGCTATCCTGCCACCGTGTCTGATCATTTTTGTTAAGCCCAAGAAGCAACTCCTTCCACTGGCGTTTGCAGCAGTCTCCTGGGGGTTCTTCCTCTGCTCATACCAAGTACATGAGAAGAATGTCTTGCTTCCGCTGTTGCCTATGACATTGCTTCTTAGTGGAAAGGATGGCCTGCTACCCTCCACTCGCGCGTGGGTCGGTCTTGCGAACATGCTCGGCGTTTGGACAATGTTTCCTCTGCTCAAGAGAGACGATCTGCGGGTTCCGTACTTTGTCATATCCCTCTTGTGGGCCTATCTTCTTGGCCTCCCTCCAGTTTCTTTCTCTGCCTATCAGGGGGGTAGCCGAAGTGGATTAAACGTATTCAGCAAGATCCTCCATCTCAACATCTACCTGGCCATGATTGGGTGGCACGTTGCAGAGGCCTTCTTTCCCCCACCAGCCGACAAACCAGACCTCTGGGTTGTCGCGAATGCGATTGTTGGAACAGGCGGCTTCGGTATTTGCTATCTGTGGTGCTTGTGGCGACTTGTAGTCAAGAGTGAGTTGTTGGGGGGAGGAAAAGACAAGACGCAGTAAAAGTTGGCAGTTTTCTATTGTCGTACTTTAGCACTTCTTCAAGATACCCAAGTAGATTTTGGAGGGAAGATTCCGCCCAGTTCCATATATTGTACAGCGAATACAGAGTGTCTATGCCCAACGCCACCCATATGCTTGTTTGTTGTACATGTTGTATACATTGTCGTCCCGCACTGTGCTATATCTTGAACCCGTATCCAGCCATGCATCGCTTGTAGTCGTCTACGAGGGTGAAGCACTCTTTTTGGGGATCGTTCGATGTCGAGAAGAGCATGCATTCGTCGCGTTTCGCCTTCTGATCCGTGCAGACCTAAAGATTGTGTACGAAATCAGTACGTGTCTCACATACAATTCATACAAGGCCATTCTCTTACACAGCACGGCTTGACTTTCGCTGGCGCAGCGGTGTCCTTGAGGTCTGAGCCCATGTTGGCGGCGGTCGGTGGTGCTATAACCCCATCAATTAGCTATTCTGCGTCGCAGGAACACCATCATTGACCTGTGACTTTACCTGACGACATATTGGCTGTGGGTGTGTGGTTGTGGTGAATTGAAGGTGATTAGCAATCCATCGCAGAAAGTCACCGAGTATGTCATCAGCCCATCAGCCAATCGCCTTGCCGAGACTCCCGCGGCCTACGCCACACGAGGCTGAGGCTGAGGCTGAGACTAGCCCTGCAGTCTAGACAACAATGAACTAAACCAACCCCACTAAACAATTGGTGCCCCGCGAGTCACACACTATAAACAACTCCTTTCGCCCCCCTGTTGCAACTCGCTACTTTTGCTTGAAGTTATTATTTTCACAACTTGCGAAAAGGGTGTGCGAAAGACATGGCTGGAGCAAAGATCTTTTCGATTGAGGGCAAGGGCCTGAAACTCACCACCGCCGAGGATATTGAGCCACACATTCAGGATCTGAAGAGCAACAACGATGTAGAAGAGATCAAGTTCCTAGGCAATACCCTAGGTATCGGAGCCAGCGAGGCGCTTGCTAAAGTTTTGGAGAGCAAGAAGAATCTACAGGTATATTTCCAACCCCGCTCACCAGCGATGCGACACCAAAGAGAGAGGGTGACTGACACAATTCCCAGGTCGCAAACCTCGCCGACATCTTCACCTCACGTCTCCTCTCTGAGATCCCACCCGCGCTGTCTCACCTCCTCACCTCCCTCCTTACCCTACCAAATCTCCACACCGTCGATCTCTCCGACAACGCATTCGGCCTCAACACCGTTGCCCCGCTCGTAGACTTCCTGTCGCAACACACACCCCTCCGATACCTCTACCTCAACAACAACGGTCTTGGCCCCGCAGCCGGTGTCCTCGTCGCCGATGCGCTCACCGCACTCGCTGCGAAGAAGGAAGCCGCGCGAAAAGAAGGCAAAGAAGTCCCAGACCTCGAGCTCGTCATCTGCGGTCGCAATCGTCTTGAGAATGGCAGTATGGCAGCATGGGCAAAAGCCTACGCAGCCAACAACGGTGTCAAGACTATCAAGATGACGCAGAATGGTATCCGCCAGGAGGGTATCTCACACCTCATCACCAACGGTCTCGCACACCTGTCCAAACTAGACACGCTCGATCTCCAGGACAACACATTCACAGCCATGGGCGCAAACGCTCTGAGCAAGGTAGTTGGAAACTGGACCGAGCTCCGCGAACTAGGTGTAGGTGACTGTCTCCTGAGCGGACGCGGCGGTATCGCGCTCGCCGCCGCGCTCGACAAGGGCAAGAACAAAAAGGTGGAAGTTCTCCGCCTCCAGTTCAACGACATCAACGCAAAGGGTCTCGCTGGCCTGGCTTCCGCTTCTTCCACCGCACTCCCCGCTCTCCGCCGTGTCGAAATCAACGGTAACAAGTTCGACGAGGAGGACCCCAGTATCGAAAAACTCCGACATGTGCTCGATGCAAGGAAAGAAGAGTCTGGTGAACATGAGGACGACGAGGAGTACTGGGGTCTGGATGAGCTGGATGAGCTGGAGAGCGAGGACGAAGACGAAGAGGAGAGCGACGCCGACGAGAAGCGTGGGGATGGTGATGAAGACGAAGAGGAGGGTGTTGAGGTTGAGGAGAAGGCTGCGAGACAGATTGTTGAGGATACCAAGGCCGAGGAGAGTAATGTGCCGCAGGAGAAGGACAAGAAAGTCGATGATCTTGCGGATATGATGGCTAAGGCGGAGATCAAGTGAGATGCTTGATTGTGCATAAGCTTGGATTTGAAGACCGAAGACACCTTGTCATGCATTTAGCGGCTTGGGATGGTTGGCGAGGGGGTTGTTTTGAGTAGGTTCGTAGGAATTGATACCATAGATGTTTCTTCATGTTTGCTCAAGTTCTGTATAACGAGAGGAAAATACCTGACACACTGGACTTTGAACATTATACATCGGAGATGCAAGCTAACGTGAAAGTACCGTTCCCTACACTCGAGACACAAAGTCGGAGTTCAACCATGAAGAAGCAAGATGTGGTTCATTAGGCTGTCCATCGGACGTCTCGTCTATGTATGCAGGCTTGTAGTGTGCAAACCTCCTGGCCATATTCCCCTATAGTCCATTTTGATTACCTCTCGTTCCCTTAGCCTCTTGAATACATACGCGAAATTCGCGGCCACTCCTACCAAGTCACTCGCTTGGTGTCGCTGCAGCATCGAGAATTTTCGCCGTTGCCTAGCTGAAACCTCCCGTTCTCGTCGACCTGGCCATAACCGTCTTGCACGAGAGTCTTCACTTGGGTTTCGTTCTCGTCCTCCTCCAACTCTTCATCAACCTTGTTGAGATCCTTGTCGTGTTGAGACTGCTGCCTGTGGTGCTCCGTCGTGGAAGAAATGGACACGTCACTGAGTGGCTCTTGTCGCCTATGGCACATAAAGGGTTGCGCAGTGGCGCTGAGTCCGTCGTTCTCGGTGTGATCATGGGCGCGCATCTCGCGGAGTGTGTTGGCATCGAATTGGGGAGCAGTGTCGTTCTCTGTCTGAAGTTTAATAGCGGTCTCAACGTTGCGTAGGTACTCCTGCTCGTAAAGGAGATACTGTTGACTGCAAGAATGGGCGCTCTTGCTGTTAGCGCGAGGACTTTCGCTGCTGGCGTTCGATACACGCCTTACTGAAGCGCCACTTTTCTCAGTGCCGCCATTAGTACGAACTTCGAGAGAGTGTAAATGGTTGGTCTCTGGCTTGGTGGTTGTGCCTGCCTCGATCTTGGGCCTGACAGCCATCTCTGCATGGTGAAACTTATTCAACCTCTCTTGACGAGACTTTTGCTGGGGCGATGTAAAATTCCTGCTGTTGGCACGAGATCGTCCTCTGATGGGACTCAAATTGGATCCAGAACCGCTGCTTAGTGACAGTTGACGCTCACGCCTAGCTGTGATAGACTGAGCTGCAGCGGCGATGCCACCCTTCTTGGTATGACCATGTGCGCGAGTCTCGAGAGAATAGAGATGGTCGGCCTCAGCCTTGATGACGGTGCCTTGCGCAATCTTGGGTTCGATCTTAGTGATTTCCTCCTGGAGTTCAGCTTCGACTTCGGGGCGTAGGGCGTTAGTATGGCCTATAGCCTTTTGCAAGTCTGTGATGTTGTTAGTGTATATCTCGATAACAAGCAGAAGTTCAGGTGGTTGGATGTGTAGTGGGCTTAGACACGTACTGCTAACGATGCTCTGAGCAACGCGAAAGACCTCAGTGGTTGCTTCCTCAGCGCTGCCATCTACAGCGGCATGCAGGTCCTTAGCGCCATCAGCAGGGAACCATGAGGAGTCTGAACGTGACTGAATCCCTGATAATGCACACCTTGTTAGCAATAGCTAGGGATTCGACGGCAGAGATAATGCGGACCGCTCTGTCGTCACGTGTAGCGACGTTCTCAGATAGAGTGCGAGCTTCCTCTGCCGTGATGCTGCTTGTATCTTTTTTCAGCTTCCTCAAGATAGACTCGAGCTGATCTTGGAATCGCTGCGAAAGGGTGGTAGCATCGCTGCTAGCATCGGAGGACACCTTCTCGCTGAGTGTGTCGCTCATGGTGGTTGATAGAAGTGAGGTTGTAGGTGATGCTTGAGTATAAGAAGCAGTGGATTAAAAGCGTGGAGAAGAGGAGTGATGTAGTAGTGTCTCTGCGGGTTGTGTGCTTATAGTCTGTGACGATGACGTCGTGGTATGGGAGCAAAGTGCAGGAGCAAACGGTGAGATCGGACGACCCTGACAGCAGATCTTTCCTGAACCGAGTAAACACCTAAAGCATATCGAGATATAACGGAGCATTTTTTCCGAGGATGAAGGAGAAATTGCATACGAGCTGTGATCTGCCATAGTTCGCTCTTTCTCTATACATTCCAGGCAGGTACCATGATAACGCACATGAATGATGACATTGAAATTTTTGGACTGGGAGGCAACAAACAATGGGGAGCAGAACAATCGTAGACTTTCAGCAAGGACTTGAGAGATTTTTAAGACGATTCAGCTTCGTATCAAGCTCGACATAGTTTTATGTCTGAATAGCTTTCACCAACTCTTACAAAAACATTTTGACCACACGACAAGTAGAAGCTTGAAAAAAAATACTGATTATATCTACATCTGTCACTTCTAAGAACGTTTCACTGTCCGTAGGCATCTCCATTATCATAGGCATCATTTTCTAAGTCATTCTGTAAATTGGCCCTCTTTGTCTCGTTTTCGCTTAGTTGTTTCCTCACGGTTATCTCAGTCAGTTGCTATACCCATCTTTCGTATACACCATCCATGCCTGTCTCTTCCATGTACTCATCAAAAACATCGTCGTCAGCTGCGAATTAGATCTCTGCCGCCAACTCGTCTTCTACGGAGATATTGGGTTGAAAGGGAAGCCGTGCTCTACCTAGACATCCGGTAGTGAGACAGAAGCGGTCAAGAACAAAGAAAGTTGGCTGCGAAGCGGGCAATAACGACACATCTGTAGATCCATTGCAAGCGACAATAATGTCCTCTGCGGTATAGCCGTTAGTAGAAGATCTTGGTGTTTTTTCCTTCGCGATGACGCGGCCCTGCCGAGATGCCGAATAGCAGGGATGGCTACCTGACTAGCCCCACCAAACAAGCCTCAACACCCACACCACTGCCACTCTACCTCCAATGTCCTGCGCCACATATATGTTTACTGAGCCAGAATGGTCAGCGCCCAAGATGTCGCGGCTCGCAAGTCGGACATGGGTACCGATGAGCAAAAGCAAGCAGCGCAGCTGATCCAGCGCAACTATCGCGGCTATCGAGAGCGTAGGCAGCTTCAAGGCATGGGCCTAGATGCTAGCGCACGTTGGGCAGAGGTCGGAGATGTTCGCATTACATTAGAAGATATGTAGCTAACGGTACCAGGCTATACGCGATGGTTAGCAGTCTACCACGATATCTACTGCGCCTAAGCTAAATCTTTAAAGCGAAATGGCGTAATGCGACGAGACCTAAACCGCGCTCGGAAGAGGCGGCTTTGCACGAGAACCTCACCACACCCGAAGAACGTGAACGAGCGAATTCCACAGCGGCGCGCGAGAAATGGAAAAGGGTAGGCGAGATTGCGCGACGCGCGGGAGCCGACGATCCCTACGATGCCTCACTTACGGAAGACGAGGATGCGCCTGAGAACCACACTGAACAACGGCGCAAGCAGAACGAGTCAAAAGCTGAACGTGAGAAGACGGCCAAGATGATGGATCTCCAATACTTCTTGGAAATGGTAGATCAGAAGCATCGGTATGGTAGTAACCTGAGGGCTTATCACGAACAGTGGAAGAAAGCAGATACACACGAGAACTTCTTCTACTGGCTGGACAACGGCGCAGGGAGGAACTTTGAGCATCCAACCGTTTCTAGAGAGAGATTGGACACGGAACGGGTGCGTTATTTGTCGCGAGAGGAGCGCCAAAACTACTTGGTCACAATTGACGACGAAGGACGGTTGTGCTGGGCGAAGAACGGAGAAAGGCTAAACACAACTATGGAATACAAAGATAGTGTCAATGGTATTGTACCAGTCAACGACAGTACCCTCGCCTATGGTCCGAAGGCAAAACTCCACTCTGGCCAGAGCAAGACCTTACGACGAGGTTCAATGATCTCGCTGAGCTCAAATTCGTCAATATCCGAAAGCGATGCGGAAGCAGAACACTACGTCAATGAGGATCTCGACAAAGCTAGGGGCATATCGAAACTCAAACATGTGTCAGCCGCGACTATCCTCAACCACTTATTGCGAAGTTCTGTGAAACCGAACTCGTGGATATTCGTAAGATGAGCTGGTCTCCCCCCATCAGCCAGACGTACTAAGCTCGCATAGGTAGCCGACACATCCTTCCGCCTGTACGTTGGAATCAAGCAATCGGGTGCTTTCCAGCACAGCTCCTTCCTACATGGGGCTCGCATTTCTGCCGCAGGTCTGATCAAAGTCAAGGATGGCCAGCTGCGGCGCCTCTCCCCCCTGTCCGGCCACTACCGACCACCTACGAAGAACTTTCGCGCGTTCGTACACTCGATGAAAGAGAATGGAGTAGATATGTCGCGTGTCTCCATCTCTCGATCATATGCTGTCCTCGTCGGTCTCGAAGCTTACGTCAAAACACGTAAGAAGTTCAAGCATGGAGTTGAGCACGTCAAGGAAGCAGAGACCAAGGTTGTGCACCCAGAAGAGTACGAACGGAAAGTCGAGGAGCAAAAGGACAAGAGCGAGAGTGCGCAGAGAGAACGACAATTACTTGCCCAAGAGGCAGAGAGAAAAGAGATAGAGAAGAAGCAGACTAGTTTTGGTCGGCGACTTTGGAAAAGGCTCAGTCGAGGCGGCGGTGAAAACGACGACCTGACACCCAAAGAACAAGAATCCGCCAAGCAGAAGAGGAAGAAGTGGTTAAGCAAGTCAGGGGAAGACATCGAAGATGGGATTCCGCCTGATGGGCATCGGGAATCAGCCCCTGCGTCCTGAGCGGGCGGATGCGAAGTGGGCTACATAGCGGGCTGCTCCTGTTCCTGCATGACCCCATACCTACCTACCACCTACCTATTGTAGCTTATTCTTACGTGCTTATGATATACCCATCGTCGATTGGTCAAGTATTATTGGTGAAGTTGATGTTGTGGAAAGAACACCATACCTCAATACAGCATCGATCTGCCCTCATTCGCGTGGTGTCATTGCTAGATCACCACGAATTCGCGCGATCAACGCACGTCTATCGAAAAGGTAGGATCCAGGAACCAGAAAACAGGTAATGCCTTGACTCGCTCGCTTTCCAAGCCTCCGGACCCCGTTCCGTGCCGCCATCATTCTTACAAACGGCGGCGACTGACATCATACGCGTCGTCACGGACCCAGATTTCCATCTTTCTTTTTTGTATGAGAAATGTGTCTTCTGTCGTAGCCTGTTGTTCGAGCATGACTCGGCAGATTGCGAGATAGGGGTCCCCGAGCTGGGATGGTCGATGGTGCATCTGCGAAGAATTGCTTGTGCAGCTGTGGCGCAAACAAAATTATGGGTACGACGGAGGTGTCTAGATCGAGACCACTATTCTTCACCGAGAACACGTTGCGCGTCTACAGGTGCGCTTTGATGTCCAACAAAATCCCCGGACGTTAGGTACCATGGTAATATAGAGTTTGCTGCAGCCTAGTAGCGGTGCGTAGTGAAACTCGCAGTTGGGACGCGGCAAACGTCCCGACCGTTGCGATCGAGCCCCGCCGTTCATCGCATATAGACACGGAGTGGTGTGAGCTCAGCATCATTGCAGGAAGCCTTCTAACATGATGCTTTTCGGCTGCTCTGTCCCGAATTCCGTCGTTCCTGATCTCCAGCCGCAGCCGCAGTAACGCAGGGTCTCCTTTTTTTTCCCATGCCATGTCGCGCTGATAGCTCGTGGTGCTCACGATGGTGGTACCGAGGTTTGGTAGTGTGCAGCGATCGGCCGCCAAAAGGAAGCTATAGCCACGCTAAGAGATGTTTGAACAGGGGAGCTCCCGACGCTGTGACGTCAGTAGCTCGACTGCATCATACGCGTCGCTGCAACCTGCTTGGACACACGGCACGACTTGCTCTTCCCATCCTGCTGCATGCACCCTTATGATAGGAGGGGCATCATTTCCGCCAGGGATCTTGTACCCGATTCACGAGAAGGCCAGCCACAGCGCCATCGATCGGGCCTGGACTCCATGTGCTTTTGCTTCACCAGCTCGTCTTGCACCGCATACTCGCCTGCTTCGAGGCATCTGCAGCCCCGGTATTGGCCTGGCAGAGATGACACCAGTCTCCAAAACCTCCCTTCTTGCATGCCATTGGCATCCTCCTGCAGTAACTAATCCTGTCCAGTCCAAAGAGTACTGTAGACAATTTTGTGGCTAGGGCGTTTCAGCTCCACTTCCTGGGGCAATTCAACTTCAACCTTGGCAGTAGCCCGCTCTCCACGGTTCATCGACGATGCCAAACCATCCCATTTCCAGCCACAGGCCGTTCTCATCCCTGCTGCAGCAGCTACCCGCTTTGTCTCACCACGCTTAGTGGAGGCCATTCAACCAGGATGAGCTGACGCCCCGCTCGAGGCTGGAGCTTGTGAGTAGTGTGACGCAATACTCCTCTCGTTCGTTACACACAGTATGGCGCCAAAGCAGGTTTACCTTGCCTACCCACAACTGAGGCGCAAGCTCTGGCTCCTGGAAGCCAGCATTCGACGTCATCTGTTCCAGCATGCTCATTGATGAGACGTCGTATCATAAATGCCTGCTTCTCTGTGATCCTTCCACCTTTTCTGATTCCTTACAAAGACGAACCATTCGTCAATTGATATATGACAGACGATTCATCCCCCCAACACAACTACTCCTCCCACAACTACTCCTACTACTCTTTCCCCCAACACCTAATAGAAATTCCCCGTTCCACACGCTCCCAGTCTATATCAAGCAACAAATCAGGAAGCAGCCACCACCGAGCTACTTCCTACAGCACCTCATCATACACGGTGCATCACGGACACGACAATTCGTATAACGTCTCGAGCGTTCTATTCAACAATATGCCTTCCCCAGCAGCAGGAAAGGGTGACACCCCCCGCACCCCTACTAAGCTCGGACGAAAGCCACAATCATCTGCCCCAAAGCTGAACAAGCCTCAGCAAGGCAAGTCGGAGGACTCCCCCACCCCCGATGTGCCTGAGCAAGCAGAGGATGTAAAGCAGCAAGGACAGGAGAAGGCCGAGGACGCGAAGAGTCAAGCGCAAGATACCGCCGAGGACACCAAGCAGAAGGGTGAGGAAGCTGCCCAAGACACCAAGGGCAAGGCGGAAGAGGCTGCTGAGGACACCACTGGCAAGGTTTCACAAGCTGGAGATGAACTCGAGCAAGCCGACCCCAAGCCGATCGACGACGACAACGACGCTGACGAGGAGGCTGACGATGACGATGACGCCACACACAAGGCTGGAGACGACGCGGAAGACACCGCTGAGGACACCGCCGACAACACAGAGGACGATGCAACAGAAACCGCCAGCAAGGCTGCTGATACCGGCAAGCAGGCTGGTGGAGGTGCATTGAGCGGTGCCCGCGGTCTCGCTGGCCGCGCATCCAACCTCGCTGGCAAGGCTAAGCAGGACCCTCAAGGAGCTGCTCAGGACGCCGGCAACGACGTTCAGGAGGGCGCCCAAGAGACAGCGGAAGATGCGCAGGAAACTGCGGAAGACACCGCTGAGGGTGTTGAGGATACCGCTGAATCTGCCAAGGATACCGCACAGTCCAAGGCTGGTGACGCGAAGGACACTGCTGAAGACACTGCTGAAGACACTGCCGAGGACGCCGCTGAGGATGTCGAAGGCACTGCAGAAGATGCAACCGAAGACGCTCAGAGCAAAGCTCAGGGCGCAACCGACGATGCCCAGAGCAAGGCTCAGGATGCTACCGACGGCGCCAAGGACGCAGCCGAGGATGCTACCCCCGACCTGAGCATGCTTAAGGGTCTCGAAGTTGACGAGGATGGCATGATTAAGAACGCGGACGGCAGGAACGTCGGACGCCTTGTTGAAGGTGATGCCGAGGACCTCGCTGGTTACCCCATCGGTGACAACGGCGAGATCCTTGACGACGATGGCGATCTTGTCGGTCGTTGCGAACTTACACCTGAGATGGCGGAAGAGCAGGCTAATGAAGCCGTTGACGCCGGTGACAAGATGCCAAACATCAGCATCTTGAAGGGCCTTACCGCCGACCGATCTGGTCAAATCCTCAATGAGGATGGTGACTTTGTCGGTCACCTCGTTGACGGCGACCCGTCCGCGATCCAGGGCAAGGAGTTCAACGAGAACGGTGAGATCCTTGACGATGATGGCAATGTCATTGCCAAGGCAGAGCTCTCCCCTGAAGCCGCCGATCTCCCTGCATACCAGCAAGACGATGATGAGGAGGACGAAGAGGATGGCGGCGCTACTGAGGGCGTCACTGATGCCGCTGACCAAGCCAAGTCCACCGCCGAAGACATCAAGGACGGTGCTGAGGAGAAGGCTGCTGACGTAGAGGACGAGCTTCCTGGCGTTGAGGCCCTTGAGGGCATGGAGATCAACACCCAAGGAGAGATCCTCAACGATGATGGCGAGGTCGTTGGCAACGTTGCTGACGGTGATCTTGAGAACATCGACGACGTCAAGGGCCTCACTGTCAACGACAAGGGTGAGGTTGTTGACAAGGACGGCAACGTTCTCGGCACGGTCGAACTCGCTGAAGGCGCTGCCGACAAGCTGAAGGAGTCTGCTTCCGGTGCTCTCGACACCAGAATCTTGGATGGCCTCAAGGTCAACAAGAAGGGCAAGGTCCTTGATTCTGATGGCGAGGAGATTGGTGAGCTCAAGGAAGGAGAGCTCAGCGACTGCGCTGGCAAGAAGATCAACGACCAGGGCGAGGTCCTCGATAAGGACGGCAATGTCATCGGCAAGGTCGACGTTGTCCCTGGTGAGGCCGCTTTCACTGCCATCAAGGAGCTCAAAGAGCAACTCGGCGAGACTGAGGAAGGCGAGGAAGAGCAGGGCGAAGAAGAGGAGGGTGAGCCTGAGATGAAGGAGATCACCCCCGACATCGACGAGCTTGAGGGCTTTAAGGTCAACAAGAAGGGTCAAGTCCTCGATGAGGAAGGCGACCCCATTGGTGAGCTCACCGAGGGTGACCCTGCCAAGTGCGCTGGCAAGAAGATCAACGAGAAGGGCGAGGTTGTCGACAAGGACGGCAACGTGCTTGGCAAGGTCAAGGCACTGCCCAAGATGGTTGAGGCTTCTGAAGTTCCAGAACCCGAGGTCAAGGAAGTTGAAGTCACCCCAGACATCAACGAACTTGAGGGTCTCAAGGTCAACAAGAAGGGCCAGGTTCTTGACGAAGAGGGCGAGCCTATTGGTGAACTTTCCGAGGGCGATGCCTCCGAGTGCGCTGGTAAGAAGATCAACGAGAAGGGTGAGGTTCTTGACAAGGATGGAAACGTTATTGGCAAGGTCAGGGCCCTCTCCAGGATGGTTGAGCAGCGAATCGACGAGGCTGAGGATGCTGCCGAAGATGCTGGAGATGCTCAAGACGCCGCCGAGGATGCTCAGGACGCCGCTGAGGACGCCGCCGAGGATGCGGAAGACGCTGCGGAAGACGCCCAAGACGACGGCCGTCCGCCTCTGTCCATCCTTGATGGCCTTACCGTCAACAAGTCCGGCAAGCTCATCGACTCCAACGGCAACATCGTTGGTGAGCTCACCGAAGGTGACGCGAAGAAGCTGTCCAAGTCTGGCACTACCTGCGATGCCGAAGGTCAGTTCTGGGACAACAAGGGCAAGGTCATTGGCCGCGCCCAAACTATTCCCCAGGAAGAAGGCGAGGAGGAAGCTCCCTTCGCTGGCCTTGACGGCCTTGTTGTTGTCAAGGATGGCTTTGTCGAAGATGACAAGGGCAACCGCGTCGGCCAGGTCGTCGAGGGAGACGCTAAGAAGCTCGTCGGTCGTTCCGTTGACGAAGACGGTGATATCCTTGATAAGAAGGGATCAGTTGTCGGCCACGCCGAACGTTACGATGAGCCCGAAGAGGAGGCTCCTGAGGAGGAGCAGCCCCAGGACTTGTCTATCCTTGATGGTAAGACCGTCAACAAGCAAGGCAACGTCATCGGAGACGAGGGTGTGCCCATTGCCCGCCTCGTCGAAGGCAACCCCAAGGAACTTTCCGGCCGCAAGATCAACGATGAAGGCCTCATCTTCAACGACAAGGGTAAGCAGATCGGTCGTTGCGAGCTCATCCCCGAGAACGAGCGTGAAAGCAAGCCCGAAGGAATCTTCGCTGGTCTTGAGGGTCTCCGCGTCATCCAAGGCGGCATGGTTGCTGATGAAGATGACAACACTGTTGGCAGGATTGTTGAGGGCAACCCCAAGCGTCTTGTTGGCATGGCTGTTGATGAGGATGGTGACATTCTCGACAAGTACGGCAATGTCAAGGGCCATGCTGAGCCTCTTGAGGATGAAGAGGAGGAGGAGCCCGCCGACCTTTCAATTCTCGACGGCCTCACCTTGAACAAGCAAGGATACCTTGTCAACAGCGAAGGCATCCCTGTCGGAAAGCTCGTCGAAGGCAACCTTGCTGAGCTCGCCGGACGCAAGTCTGATGGCGATGGTCTTATCCACGGTGACACTGGCAAAGTTGTCGGTCGCTGTGACATCATCCCTCCCAACGAGCGTCCCGAGCGCAAGGAGGGCCCATTCGCCGGCTTCGAAGGACTCCGTGTCGTCAAGGACGGATTTGTCGACGACAACGACGGCAACCGTGTTGGTCAGCTCACCGAGGGTGACCCCAAGAAGCTTGTTGGTCACTCAGTCGATGAGGACGGTGACATCATCGACAAGTACGGTAACGTCAAGGGTCACGCTGAGCCATGGTCCGAAGAAGAAGAAGAGGAAGTCGATCTCTCCGCTCTTGCAGGCTGCACCGTCAACAAAGCTGGCAACGTCGTCGACTCCAGCGGATCCATTCTTGGTCGCGTTGCTGAGGGTGACCCAACTGCCCTCGCCGGCAAGAAGGTTGACGGCAAGGGCCAGATCTGGGACAACGAAGGTAACGTCATTGGACGTGCTGAGCTTGTCCATGGCCAGAACGGAGGACCCGAGGGCCCCTTCGCTGGCTTCGACGAAGCCACTGTTGTCAAGGACGGTACTGTCCAGACACCCTCTGGTGACATCATCGGTCGCATTATCGAGGGTGATGTTAAGAAGCTTGTCGGCCACAAGGTCGATGAGGATGGTGACATCAACGACAAGAACGGCAACGTTATTGGAAAGGCCGAGCGTTGGGAGCCCGAGGAGAAGGAGCGCCGCATCAACCCCATGTCTGGCATGCGTGTCAACAAGGAGGGTGAGGTACGTGACGAGAACGGCGATCTTCTTGGTCGTCTCACTGCTGGTGACCTTGGTCACTGCGCTGGTCTCGAGATTGATGACAACGGCTATGTCATCGACAACGACGGCAACAAGGTTGGTGAGGTTACTCTCTTGGAGAACATCCAGGATGAGGAGGAGATCCCAGAGGATGAGACCGACGAGGAAAGGCAGCGTCGTGAGGACTCCGAGCTGGCCAAGAAGATGTCAGCTATCTGCGAAGACACTCTTCAGCGTGTCCAACCTGTCATGAAGCAGATCACTGAGGTACGTTCCATTCTTGCTGACTCATCTCGCTCCCAAACATATGCTAACATCCGTCCAGTACATCGAGCAAGCCGACCGCACACCTCGCGACGAGCTCGACGAGGAGGAGCTTGTCAACAACGTCAAGCCTCTCATCGAGGAGGGTTCTCGCATTCTCAACGAATGCAATGGCTCGCTCCGCGGTCTCGACCCCGATGGCCGTATCGCTGCTCAAGCCAAGGGCCGTCAGCAAACCGGCGAAGCCTCCCCCGAGGAGTACAAGCTGGCCGACAACCTCAAGGAGCTTACTACGTCTGTCGTTACCACTATCGACAACGCGAAGAAGAAGATCTCCGACATGCCCCACGCCAAGAAGAAGCTCAACCCTCTTTGGTCCCTGCTCACCGAGCCCCTCTTCCAGATCATCGCTGCTGTTGGTCTGCTGTTGACGGGTGTACTAAACCTTGTTGGCAAGCTGCTCAACGGTCTGGGCCTCGGTGGCCTTGTCAATGGACTGCTAGGTGGCCTTGGTATCAACAAGCTACTCGGCGGTCTGGGCCTGGGCGGCCTGGGCGACATGCTCGGAGGCGGCGACGACAAGAAGAAAAAGAAGGGTGGCAGCGGCCCCATGAGCATGGTCGGTGGCCTGCTCGGCAAGAAGTAGATACCTTGATGGTATCTAGGTTGTGGGGGGAGACGAAGTAATGTCTATTCACATCTTTGGTTCGAAAATTGTTTTGCATATGATACCACGACCTTACTTGGTTGTGCGCTATCATCAAGGGGACATGCAATTCTTTGCCTTTTTCCGTTTCACTGGACTTTGGTCACACAAGAGCTGGAAGATCGGGGGGTCTGAAGGTCGACCTTTTGTCGTCAAAAGAAAAGACGAGTGGGATACGGTAAAGGAGCTGCCAGTTTCCTTGGTGGCTGATGCAACATCCGGGTATGGTCCGATGAAGGCATGAGTTTTCTTGGATTGGTTCCCAAAAATCAGCGTTCTTGTTATTGTTTGTTGTCGTCTTTTCATCACCTCATCATGCCGCGACTCTTTGAGGCCTCGAGAGCGTACGCGCGCATCTTTGGCTAGACCAGCCGGGTTTTCCTTTGTTGCACATAGCTGCTGTTGAGTTTTAGCATTGGCGTTGTTTTTGTTGTTGGTGGCCATCAAGGGGACGTTCTGTTGTATGAATAGCTAGTTGTAGTAGTTCGTAATCATTGTTCTTACTTGAATACCCTGAGCTTCTTTACTTTGATATGGTTGGTAACTTGACTCGTGCTTTACTGATGATGTTCGCTGTTCGGTAGCACACAAGCTCCGATCTTCCATATACTCAGCCAAGCTTTCCGAGACGATTAGAACAAGGAGGAAATGAACTCAGTAGCCGACCATCGAGCTAGTGTGTTGGACCCTGAGCTATTTCCCCTAGCACTGGCCATGTAAACTTTCTTGTATCCCTAGCACGACTATGTTGTTTTTCTATTTTCCCCGCTGACCGTCTTCCAGGATGATGGGTGCAACTACTAGATGTAGATCGATGGAAAGTGTCCGATGCTAATATTGGCAAGCGGGACGGGTCACCCTAAGGCAAATAGAATGTTATTCTACGAGTCCAGCGGCTGTTAACGCAACAAGGAGCCTGTGACGCGGGTCGATTGACCGAAGGGCGGAGGGTGCGCTACGTGTGCGATGCCCAAGCCGGAATGTTGATATTTTACAATATAAGCCTCTAGCCCTTCTTTTGATGCGGGTGTGGCGTAGTGGCTCTCCAATATATCCTGAACGGGAAGGTGCCTGAGGAACAGTAGTGTAGTAGTTGAATATTGTGGGTACAGTATCAACTGAGAGATGACTGGTTAGTTCCGATCTCCGGCCCTGATAGCGAGCTTGCGCAAACCCTAACCTCAGCTCATGGTGTCATCGACCACTAACTACTAGAACCGATCTTGAAAGCATCCAGTTACGACCCGAGGCCCAGCACGAGGATAAGACTTACGGTTCACTACCATCGCACTTCATCACGTTACTTCACGTGCACCATTCAGAACATAGCTCTCATCCGAGAGTACCATTGGGTAGGCGGAGACCTCGGCGCACGCCGAAACTACCATGTGCATACGATCTATCATGGCTCTTGAAAATCCTGTACACCGCTTACTACAAAGAACGTAATCCGAGACTCGTTCACTCGTTCACCTTGGGCTCTTCGGAGCACGAAATGCCCCTAGTCAACTCGCACTCAAGGTCTTAGGCCAACAATCGCGGAAGGCGGGACTCAAGCCACACATACGCTCCAAACCTTCTAGCACCAAGGTTCAGGTACCAACCTCTAGCTCATAGCTGCCATTTGCTCGCAAGGCTAGAGAATTTAACCGTAGTAACATAATGGAATTATCATTGACAGCACTGTTTGGGCTGCTAGGAACCGGAAGGTTAAAGTGGTGTCCTTACATGTAATTGCACCAAAGTTAGGTGCACTTCGCTGGCTTCGATATGAAACCTGAACACATAACCCTGGACCTGAACCTGGACATATAGCTACGCTGTTTGCAGGCCAAGCCCATATCTTCCCCCCCAATACCTGTTTCAGCATGCCTTACGATCTTAGAGTCGCTATCCCGACCCTTGTCGGCAGCCTGCTGTCTTGTGTTGCAACCTCTTGCGTTCTCATATCGTACATCGTATACGCTGATCAGCAACGATCTTTTCGACACGCACTTGTTTTGAACCTTGCTTTAGCGGGTGAGAGTCTTTGGCGAGTCGCTGTGATCTCGAATTGACTAACCTTCACAACAGAATTCATCAACTCGCTGAACAACTCAACATCCGGCATTTATGCAGTTGCCAACAATGGTTCCATCACCGCGGGTCCCGCGTGTAGCCTCAATGGCTGGGTCGGTCAGTGGTCTGTTCAGGCCGCAGACTTTTCGATCCTAGCCATCGCTATCATAACACTTCTTACAATCACCCGCAAAACCTACATGCCCAACGCCTCCCTCCTCAGCAAGGTCCTCATTTGCGCGTCCGTCTGGGTGGTTCCTACTATTACATGTAAGCTCATATATGCGCAATCATCAACACAATGCTGACTGAACCTGATAGCGACTACAGCCGCAGGATTGAAGGAATTGAAACCTGTTAGCGGCAACTGGTGCTGGATATCGGGCAAGAGAACGGACCTGCGTTACGCGCTCGGTCACGGGTGGAGATTCAGCATCATATTTGGAACCGTTGGGATCTACGTCTACGTCTGGATATACATGAGGCGACACTTCATACAGCTGAATAATCTCAATGAAGGAAGATCATACGGCCAGGGAAGCGCTGCCAAAGCTTCCAAACGCCGCACATTCCACCGAGACAACGCGATTGAGTTGAGGAGCGAATCGCAAACAGAGCTACACGAGATCAATGTCGAGTACCGCTACGAAGTGAAGCATTCTGATGGTAGAAGTGGCACTAGTCTCGGAAAAGACGACATCGAATCCTCCGTGGGCGACCTGGAAAGAGACGACAGACGACCTAGCGAAATTACAATTTCTTCTCCAATGTCGCCGAAAAGCCTTTATATCAAGGGTAGTTCAGGTGCGTCTTCCTTTCCTGCGGCTATGTGAATCTCATTCGTTCGTCTACAACATCTCAGTGCTGAAACTTGTAGCTTTCCCCAGACTTCCCCCCATCAGACAAAAAACGAAACATCGTAGCAGCAATGCCCGGCAGTACTGCACCAGCCCAAATCTCCGGAGCCTACGAGTCTGGAACCACACCTCAGCGCAGTGGCGGGACTCACCCCCGAGATCTAGAGCGAGAGATCAAGAGGATGCTGCTCCTAAACGCATACCCAGTGTTGTACATCATCTTGTGGCTACCTGGTATCCTCAATCGTCTGGTGGAAGCTGCAGGACATTCGAGTTATCTGTTGACTATTCTACAGTGCTCGACGCAATATATTGGGCTGGCCAACGCTATTACGTATGGATTTAATGAGCATTTAAAGACGACGGTTAGGCGGGATTTGGTGAAGTGGTACAGGACCAGAAGAGGGCAGGCGCAGCTGTAAGTGTAGTCTTTGGGCGAGAACGACTCTACAAATAGATAATGTTAATGTTAAATGCTGTTCTACCCCGAGTTTCGCGCAGCGCAGACACCGGCATCGTCACGAACTTGGAAGGATTAGCAAAAAAGGTCTTTCGCTGAGGACTTTGTGAGATGAACTTACAAGGTTTCATAGAATGAGCCGCCTCGACTATTCTTGTGCATCCAGTATCGTAAAGGACTCTATTGCTTGACAGAAGCTTATTTGTACTACGTAAGGAACTAGCCCGATCAGGCTACAAAAGCCGCCAAGCACCAACTAAGGACCTTGCTCACAACTACACCACCGTCTGAGGTCCTATGGGTAGGCTATAATGCATTTCCTAACACAGTGTAGTAGCAGTGTCATTGTGGATGCAGTAAAAGGTAGTGTTATAAAAGGACGCACATAACTCCAATAACGTTTCCTATCTCGTTACCGTCTGTCCTATCAAATTCCATTCAAGACGCACACGATGCCGTTCGCAACGTCAGACGACTGTGAAATCTACTACGAAACCCAAGGCTCAGCGAAACAAGCCTTCGTCTTCGTCCCGGGCTACATGGGCATCGCCGACATCTGGGCCCCGCTGGTCGTCCCTCTTAGCACGCAATACCACTGTATCACTTACGACAACCGGGGCTATGGCCGCTCCTCAAAACCGACTTCTCCTACAGACTTTAGCCTAACAAAAGTTGCGTCAGATATCACATCGCTCCTCAACAGTCTACGGATTCACGACCCAGTCCTGCTAGTCACGCATTCGTTTGGTAGCCTCATCGCGTCAGAGTTTTTCCACCAGCATCCCGACCGCGTCAAGGGGATAGTCTACACAGGCGCTGTAATCGCCGGGATGTTTGACGACCCAGAAGCAACGGTTCATGCTCTTACGTACAATGGCCACTTACCGTCCGCAGCTGCGCAATTCTATATCAACCTAGGCCTCTCGCGCGACATAGCGTTAGAGGCTGCGAAGTGGTCTTGCGCCGCTCGAATGAGTTTCGCTCGCTCCATGGTTAATGCCTCATTAGGAGGGAGATGGAGTGATATCGTCGTCCCTACGCTCGTTGTCCAGGGAGAAGAGGATAATATTACACCTTCTGAAGTGGCCCAGAAGCTTCATGCTTTACTGCCACAGTCCCGGCTTGAGCTATTGAAGGGTGTGAAGCATTTCCCGTCGACAGAGTCGCCAGAGAGACTGGGCCGTCTAATTGAAGAATTTGGTGATTCTCTCTTCAAGTAGAAGAATTAAGTTGTAAAGGAAGACGTAACATAAACTGCTTTAATGCAATAAGAGTTCACAATATCTATGTACTGTGTTTGTTGTTGGAGATTCTATAACGTAGGTGCATAGCGAGTGGTACCTTTTTGCTAAGACCCCACTAACTCTTAATACTATCGTGATGCCTCTACCTAATAACGTAAGAAAAAGTCTCTAGCGAAACGTATTAACTATAGAAGTTTCGTAAGTGCAGTCTCCTGTAGTATCAACGTCGCCGGCTTTGAGTATCATGAGCCCGTCGTCAAGCTCGTCGATATGAGTAAACCGCAGCCTATTCTGGTGTCTACCAAGGCTGATTTGGAAGAGATGCAGGTCCGCGTCAAATGGGTCAACCCCACCGAAGGGGTTGGTTACTGCCATGCCACAGTCCTCTATGAGGAATCCTTCGTGCTGGCTATCCACATGGTCCGTCGCTCTACCAAACTGGTCACTAGTCGTACTAACGTTCTAAACGACATGACCGCCACTGGTAAGGCAAGCAAACTCGTTGGCAGCTCCAGGGCACAGAGATTGTTGAGGTCGTTGAGACAATAATGTTGCTGCAGTGGCCAAGAGCAATGTCCAATCGCTTCTCCAGGCCCGCAGATGCCATGGTAACGCCAGCAGCAAAGGTTTCTGTAAAAAGCGATCCGTCGGCTCGTCCCGAGTCCAAGCCACAACAAGTACCACGCCCCAAACCTACTCCCACACCACATAGCCCGGAAAGCTCTGGGCGCTTCTCATCCTCAGGGGTAATAGTTTTTCGACTCGGGGGACATTTATCTTCAGGCCATGATATGGGAGCGTCGATCAGTCCTTCCGCTGACATGAATAATGCTACAGACAAAGCTTTAGCCTTACAGATAATGCCCACATTGCTGACTCGGGATTTGACTCACTCACGTCGCTGGTTATGTCCCAGAGGCTGCGAGAGGAACTTGGCTTGGAGATCAGAGATATTTCTTCTTTGGAGACTGACACAGTTGGAGATCTCAAAAAGTTACTCCAGTAGTAGTTGGGTCGTTTCCATATCTAATGGTCATGTGTGTCGTCTATCTATAAGGAGTTATTGACATTTTTTAATCGCCCCCTAGGGAACGCCCACCCCTACGGCACTAGAAGGACAGGCAGGTGTTAGAATCCGGAAAAATTCCCTGCCATCTTCACAAGGAATTGCTAAATACAATACGTCAGGAATTAAATTAGTAAAGCCTAGGTTTACATGACTCGATATATGGGAATGATCCGTCCCCAATAACCTTTGTTCGACCAGTCTCTGCCCAACATCCTACTGTCCCTTCTTCTCACCAGCCTTCTTCTCCTGCTCCAGAATGTACCCTACACCCCTCTTGATGCCCTCATCCAGAGTAACAAGCGGCTCATATCCCAACCGCTGTCTCGCCTTATTGATACTGTGATATTTCGACATGCTGCTATATTTGACCTGCGCCCTAGTCAAATTCGGCTTTTTCCCCATGAGCCAGAAAACATTCTCCAGTATCGCGCCAACCGTCCACGCAAAGTCGGCACTAAGATGCCACACGCTGCTCAAGGGTAAACGGTCGCCCGCCTCGTGCCATACGGCACGCGCGAAGTCCCAAAAGTATACGGGCTGGCCGTTGGTGATGAAGAAAGCTTCGCCGTCGACGCGCTCGGTGTCGAGAGGAATGCTGGGTAGCCGTTTGTGCGTGTGGAGCAGTGCGAGAGTGGCGAGGACGTGGCCGTATGCGACGTTCTCGACGTAGGTGAAGTCGAACATGTTTGTGTTTTCGCCGACCTGGAACTTGGTTTGGCCCTTGCGGTATGCGTTGACCATCTTGGGGAGCAATTGTACGTCGCCTTCGCCGAAGATGCCAGCGGGGCGGATGGCGGCAGTCAGGAAGTTTTCGGGGTTGCGGTTGGCTTGGAGGACGGCCGTCTCTGCATATGCCTGAGCATTTGAATTAGCGAGGAAGATGCAATAGTGCTGTTGTATGCTTACCTTTGTGGTTGTGTAGTACTCAGGCTGGGCGTCGCCAGTAACAAGCGGCCACCTCTCGTCCGCATTGATGAGCTCGGTTTCATGGTCGAGGATAACACTCGCTGAGCTTGTATACACGAATGCCTTGACTCCAGATTCTTGCGCGGCTTGCAGTAGGACCTTGGTTCCACCAACATTGACCTTCTCGTGGATCTCCGGCTTCAGATCGAAGTGTGGAGATGCTGTGTGGATGACCGCGTCGGGCTTGACCTGAGTGAACAGCGCCTTCATAGCGGCAGCATCTGTGATGTCGCCATCGTGGTATGATACGGTCGGACTGGCGTTGCGGTTCGAGTTGGTTCGCAGATCGAGGACTGCGACTTGTGTCTGGGGGTGACGCTGGACAATGAAGCTGACGATGTGGCTCCCAAGAAAACCGCAACCGCCGACTACAAGTACCTTTCCAAGCGATTGGATTGTGTCTGAGTTGTTCGGCATGTTGAGTGATGGTACAATAGTGCAATTGGGGGTGCGACGATCAGGGAATTGTTTTGCGGAGAGAGCTACTCCGACCGGGGGCCTGGATTAGCCCCATTCAGGGTCTCGACGGCCAAACTCTCGCCGGGGTGAACGGTAGTTGTCACATGTCAAACATCAAGCAGATGAATTAGACGTGCGTTATCACATATCAATGGAATAAAATGTCATTGATGACTAACACCATTACCGATGCTGCTATGCCCAGAACCCTACTGAACGCCATATAATGCAAGCCAGGACCTCGCGGGGTCGGGCTTGGGGTATCATGTAATATCATGTCTGATGAAGTCGGCCGTTATATCATTACTCCACCTTGTCCCGCCTAGAAACAGTTTCTACACGACTGTCAGCACGTATCATGGCATCACTCAGGCATGAACTTACTCAGCACTATCCTGTGCGGACCGCCTCAAGCGACGATTGTAAAGCTTCTTCTCCTCCGGGGTACCCCAGAAGAGTTTTGCAGCCTCAGGGTTCACCAGTGTGCGTGGATCGTACGCGGGCGATTCTTCCTCAATAGCAGCAATGATGGCCTCGATGTGTGATCGCATGTCGTCTTTGCGAGCTGCGTCATAGCAGAGGATGCCATCGGGCGACACGCGGTGGTGATAAAGAACCGGCGTCTCAAACCTAACACGAGGTAGGACTTCGGGAAACTTTGGGCTGATGTATAGCATGATCCTAAACATGCCACCGTCAAGGTTCGTCATGGGCCTACCAAAGAGAACCAGCTGCCACACAAATGGATTCTTATCGACCAGATCAAGGTCCAGCGTGACGGCGTCTTGCTTCTTGTACTTTTCGATAATCTGCTCGTACTGGCGCTGGAGGTTGTTGGCGATGCTCATCTCCTTCTTGACAGCCGCCATGCCCTCAGCTGCCCAAGCCTCCATCTCCTTGTTGAGCGTCTCGAAGATCTTGACGAGACGCTCCCGGAGTTGTGTGTACTGAAACGTGCCCTCCATTGCGTTGCCTGGGCCCTCGAATGGCATCTTCTCGAATCGATCACCGTCCTTGTTCTTCTGGGCCGCCTCGTCTATACGAGCCAGATATGACTGGTAGTACCATAGGAAGCGTCGCTTGCAGAGATCCTTGAAGGGTTCGAATGGCGCGTCGTCTCTACTGGACTGGTAGTCTTCTTCCGCATTGTAGACGGTCGGGCCAGACCTCCCCCAGCTAATGCCCAGGTATTCTTCAAGCCGGTCTATGACTGATATACGCAAAGACTCGTGTCGGATCTTGTCCACGTAGGCCTCTTGGTTCTTCTTGTCGTAGTCTGAGTTGGCGTCTTCGAAACCAGGCTCGTTCTCATACGGGTTGCTGGACATGAGGCTCTGGATAGAGATGAGAATAGACTCGAGACCCTGGGCAGACGACCACTCTTCACCACGCTCTCCTCGCCATGTGCTGCGTCTTGTTAGCGTAGACCCAAGCCTAAGCCATGCAGTTCTAGTAACTTACCCAAGGATCGATAGGCACACCTTCCCACCCGCGTAGATGTTGGGGTTGAAACGCGTGCGCCCACCATGTGTAGTGATGGCCGTCACACTTGGCGCCTTTGTTGGGTAGTCTCGCGTGAACTTGACAGCGAATTCGAAGAAGCCAAACTCGTATGGGGTGTCGGGTGGGCCGATGATTAGTGCCCGCACATGGCGCACGTCGATATCGCGACAGGCGACGGCTATGGAGAGGTCCGAGCCACGCTGAATCTCGCCCAGTTCGCGGGTGATTCTAAGGATGCTCTGGTTCGACATGGTGTGGTGAGAGTTTCCCGGCTGCGGTTTCGACAGTTGAGTTCGCGGGGTGTTGGAAGCTCAACAGTCCGCGTTGGCCGGGCCGATATTTTTGGGCGGGTCGAGGTGCCTTTGAGTGGTGTGGGTTTTGGGAAGCAATAGTCGGGGAGTCAGCCGCGGTGTGAAAGGGCAAGCAAACAATGGTCGCCCAGCTGTCAAGGCGGGTGCGGTGGAGGCCTCTGAGGGGCAGAACCCCGTCACCGCTTACGGAACGCGAGCCGCAACACCACGCCGCCTAGACTGTCGCGATAGTCTGTTCATTCAGTTGACAAGATGTAATAAAGAGCTCTGTAAAACTCCAGGTTGCTGGCTAATCGTATTGTGTAGGGTGGTGTTCGCGCTGTTCGTAATCAGCAAGTCTGGCGGCCTCATCTATAATCGCGAGTTCCACACGGGCATGAGCAAACTTACTAGCAATGACTACCTCATGCTCGCTGGGTCCTTTCATGGGTATCTTGCCGTGTCCTTTACTTAGTAAACCCCGCTGACCAGCATCCAGAATGCATGCCATAACAGCGCAACTCTCTCCAGTCCCACCCGTCCGCGCGCCCCCTCCCTCCACCACAATCCCAAACCTCCAGACCTTCCCTGTTCGCGCAACCGGTATCGAAGTCCTTGAGAGCTCTCACTTCCGCATACAATGTTTCCAGACGCAAACCGGCGTCAAGTTCTTGCTCTTCACTGAGCCCCAGCAACCGAATGTGGATACGATGATGAAGAAGATATACGAATTGTATGCAGACTACGTCATGAAGAACCCTTTCTACACCGTCGAGATGCCAATCCGGTGCGAGAAGTTCGATCGAGGGCTGGATGGTTTCGTCAAGGTCAGGGGGTGAGGAAGGCGCAACTTGGAGTATGATACCATGAACTGGGAAGAAGACAAGGAAAGCGAACCAGCGTACAGGACAGCATGAGAAGCCTTCTGCTGCGACACGTATTGTGATAGTATAGCAGTTCGGAAGCACGCTGGGTATCCTCGTTGGAGGGCTTCAGAGCATCACTCCTAGCTCTGGAACATGTCTGTTGGTTTCGGGTCTTGTAACACAGAGAGAGAAAAGAGAGTATGCTCTCATCGGGGAAGCCGAGCTAGATGAGTATTAGAGATATGCTGCAGAGAATAGCACTGCCCGTAATATTGTACCAATGGATACCGTAGTATTCATTATTTGCTTCATTTATTCATCCATGCCATGCGGTAGACGCCAGCTCTAGTCATACAGTAGACGCCGTGAATGCTCTGCCCCATCTCGAAGCCTCAAAGATCACTCCCTCTCCGGCTATGCCATGTTCGCGCTAGCTTATGCGGTGTCCATCTTGTCGGAGTCATCATCCTTCTTGTCCTTGCTGCCACTTCCGCTAGGCTGACCTTGGGTATCTAGCAGCGGCTGCTTCTCGTCACCCTCTGCAACCGGCTCAAGCTCTTGCTTGCCTTCGGCGGCCTCTTTCGTCTTCTTGTCCTTCTCCTGCCGTGCTTTCTCTTCCTCAAAAGACATCCTCAGCGCCAATGCGAGCTCAGGATCAACCGATGGATCTACGCCGAATTCGAAGTCGTTGCCGCCTGATGGACCGCCACCTCCGCCTCCAGAACCGCTGTCACCACCAGCATTGGATGCACCCTCTCCGCCAACTATAGGTGTTGTAATCAACGAGTCGCTGAGTAAGTTCGCGCTGGGCGGGATGGTAGCGAGGTAGGAGCCTTCGGCGCTTTGTACGTTGTCGCTAAAGGCCTGGAGTTTCCGCGTGGTATCGTCGCTCAGCTCGCCGAATGCGATGATGTCGATGCTGATACCGCTCTTCTTCATCTTCTTTGCCAACTTGACCAGATTCTTCTCGTCTTCTTCGATAGGGCTGCAGTTGAACATGACTATCCGCTGCTTCTGCGACTTGTTCTGCCTGTGCTTGAGGGCCAACTGTAAGGTCTGTTAGCTTTTACGTCTTCTCAGGACACCCAGATAACGTACAGCCGCGACGTTGATGCCAGTCACGAAGTGCGAGCTGCCCTTTATCTTTGTCCGGTGCAGACCGTCCAACACCTTGCCAATGTCCGTTGTCAGGGTCGTGAGGATCTCCGGTGTGTTGCCTCCCATGCTCATAAGACCGACGGAAGACTCTGGGTTTGCACCGGTCTTTGCGGAGAAGATCATGTTCACCGCGTCCTGTTGTGCTTCCCATCGCGAGGGTACATAATCACCATTTCGACTAGCTTCGCTGTTGTCAACGCTGTTGGAGTTAGCATATGATCCGTGAGTACGTAAGTAAAGCCTTACACTATCATAGAGGCTTCTAACACCATCTTGCAAATCGGTTGTATGTGAGGTTGAGGTGATTGTTTGGGTAGTTGCTAGATCGACGGCAACCTTATGATGCTGAGCTCAGGTCGCCGCAGCGGAGGACGGAGGCTGTCTATGGGATCGCCGAGATCACGTGCAGTGAGAGTGACCGCGACTGCGGGAGGCCGTGCGTAAACATGGTTACAATGACTCAAACGACGTCTACGACATCCGTAACCTTACTCGTGAAGTTGAACATCGAATATTGCGACTCCAATTCTTCAGATTTTGTTGCAATTATCGTTGCGCAAAGTGTCATACAGGATCTTGGTGTCCTTACTCGCCTCGCGAGCGATCTAAATGTGGCAAGCGTACTGCTGAGGTGATGGGGTGCCCTTGGCGCGCTGGCGTAAAGACAGACTTCAGTACCCTCCATCCTTCCTTCCTCCAACATCCCACTCGAGATTCTGAAGCTGCGACCACCACCACCTGCAACTACATCAAATCTGCTCAGAAAATCCCAAAAGCTATTGCAAACGCATCAGAAAGTCGTCATAAGTTTTTTGTACTACTTGTTTCCCCTTCTTAGTATACTCGTCGCGGCATTTCTCGCGTTGTTTACTGTTCTCCACCACACCCAACATTTCAAAGCTGCAACCCTCTTGCACCATCACCACACCCAGGTTGCTCAGAACCAGTTAGGAGTTCTTTGAAAGCATCATCAAGTCTCTCCGACTTGCTGCAACTCCTCTCTACTGTCGATACCCATATCGCCGCTGTTTACGCGCTGTTTATCATCATAACGCGACTATGAATAATATCCAAGACGGACTCACAGCTGAGGCGAAAGCCAACATGCTAGCCAATCTCCAAATCGAAATCGATTCGCGAAAAGAGAAGCTGCGAGCGCAGTACGATGCACAATGCGCCAGCATGCAGTCGCGTCTTGAGCGACGCGTCAACCGTATACCGACCGTGACGCGCCAGACCACGCTACTCGACCTTCTCAAGGCATCAGCGCCAGCACAACCAGTCGCTGTGCCTGCTCCTACAGCCAAGGTTGTGGCCCCTAAGAAGACATCTGCGCCTGCGCCTGCACCTGCACCTGCCGCACGCAAGACGCGCAACGCTGTTCCCACAAATCCCAGTTCATCTGCCGCGGCAACCTCTTCACCAGACAATAGGCGCATCAAGCCTGTCCCAAAATCTACCAAGCCCACTCCAGCCTACGCGAAAGCGACGAAGGGTACACGCGCCAAAAAGCGCAGTAGCGACGAGATGTCAGGAACAGACAAGGAAAACGCACAGCTTCCTGTGCCCAAAAAGCGTACAAGGACAGTAGCGCAGAAGCCACCACCCGCAGCAGCGCCTGCAACGCGTGCAACTCGCGCAGCTTCCCGGACAAAGACTTCGACATCCCAAGTACTGTCGCCAAAAACCAACTCCGCCAACGTCAAGAAGCCAGCTGCGCGTAGCGCCCGTCCGAGGTAGCGCCCGTCCAAGGTAGCGCCCTTAGATGGACTATGGCTACAGCATTGATTATATGGCATTGATTATTTCCGGCGTTTGATACCCTCTCGTTATTGCATCTAAAGGGCGTTGGAGGGAGTTGTTTTGGTGGTACCACCTCCACCCTGGCTTGAATGAAGGGCCTTGATGAGTTCCAGCCGCCCGCAAGGGCAGGCTCTCATGGAGCCTGAACACAGCCGGGTGGAGGTGAGTTCTGTGGGTTACCTTTTTAATTTCTTGTACGTGTAGTTTGGAATTGCGTAGTTTTCGAGTTTTGCATAGCGATGAAGCTCACGTAGCACAAAGAATGATGAGTTATGATCTTAATTTTGTCCCCGCAATGTAAGACTGTGATGATATACGGCCCGTGTTTAACAAAAGATTGTGTGCACAAATATAGCACACCTTGAAGGACACATTATCGTCAGTCCAAGACCTATGCGAGAAAAAATCCTAGTAAATGCCTCTAGGGTGGTATTTCATGTTTAGGCCTACAAGTCCTATAAAACGAGCTTCTTCGTATCAGATTCTTACCCCACTCCTTCAATCCCAATTCATAACCGCTTCTTCCACGATAGGTCGAATAACCTTCCTCCCCGCACCACTCTTGTGCGTCCACACCATCTGTCTCGGCGCCAACTCATCCGCACGATGCCACGGTTGGAAATCAATACCCTCTTCATTCTTCTCCAACGCCTCCTTGACCGTCTTGAACAGCGAGTCGGCTTGATCCTGATCGATGCGTACGTCGTCGCGGACGGTCAGGACGACTTCGCGAATCTTCTCCTTCTTACCATCTTTGTAATGCTTTTTGTATTTGTTGAGCGTGATGGCGATGTCGACGCCGGCTTCGGCGGTCCACGCGGCGTGTACAGCGAACCAGTCTAGAGGTGAAGTTAGTTGAGGTTGTCACTTCAAGGAATCAAGGGAGTTGAAAAGGGGGGAACTTACCGAAGAGCTCCGCAAAGTCCGTCTTGAGAATCTGCTCGTCTATCGAGTAAGGAACCGACGCAAACCCTATGCTCACAGTGGGTGTACGCGGCGAAGGAGTATCGATGACGTCGCCCTTCCAGTCTCGGCGCAACAAGTCGCGTAGACCGAGGTCATCGATATCCTTTTGTGCTTTGCTGAGTTCGTCGTCGAGATCCTCCATTACGTCTTCTAGGTTGTCTTTCTTCCAGTTGCTTCGTGCAAGCACGCGCTTGGAGACTTCAATGTCAGTCTTGGTTGTCTTCTTGCCTGTCAAGCCGCCAGAGTCGATTGCGATGGCGCTGAGGACCAACTCGAGCAGTTCGTGCGGCATGTGGTATTCTTCGTCTAGCTGTTCGAGCTCGTCGAGCATTTGGCGGGCTACGAGTGTAGTGCAGCTCGCTACTACTTCAAAGACACGGGGTTCGGCGTCCGGGGCGGTACCGCGGTCTTTGTGGTGGTCGAAGACGCTTAGAATCTTTGCTTCGCTCCATTTTCGTAGTGGGCTGCCGTGGTCGACTAGTACGATGCCCTTGAGCTTCTTGCCTAGAGTCTCGGGATCCTCGGGCAGTTCATCGAGCGTCAATAGATCTTCGTGGCCCGGGGTCATCTGCGAGTTATCCAGAGCCAATCTATTCTCTGGTCTAAGGTCTAGGGCATGCGATGGCGTTTGGAGAAGTGCAATTGCCTTGATTGGGTTCGAGGTATTGTCGGTCGAATGCTCAAGATGGTATGCCCAAGTAAGCGCCGCCGTCATGGAATCCAAATCACCGCCCTCATTGCCCTGTACAATCACCCATTCCGACTCCTTTCCGGCTTGCCAGTCTATCAAGAACTCCTTCTTTGTGGCACGGCTCCATTCGCTGAAGTGGCCTACTCCGAGTGTTTTGGGGAGATGGTTTAACGCGTCGAGAACTGCTTGTTGCGGCGCGCTGCGCTGCGGCATTGCGACGGTGCGGCTGGCGGCCAGGAAGGCCGGTACAAGGGCGCGGATCGCCTTCATTTTGGAAAGAGGTATGCGATGGTAGGTGCTAGGAAAGATGTTGTAGATGGAGATTATCGTGCAAGTCCAAAGTCATCATCGCTGAGGTACGGACGCGCTCGATGGGATCCACAGCTACGTCAACGCTGGCCCGGGCGCGACCGGATGGGGCGTGTTTCAGCCTTATACTATTGTTGTTGAGTCTAGGCATACGGTCTTGAAAACCTGCGTGCCAGCAATGTTTGTCAGTTCAATAAAGCGAGCATAATGACAATGCACATAACCGTATCCACTATTTCTATCCTATTTATGAGAAGATGCGCAATGCGACTAGTCACATGCAGTTTCGGCAGTTCCATGGCAAGGACTGAGACCCAAGCTGGCAGCGACCTGTGTGTTACATGTGCTGCAGGCGCTGTGGATTATTAATATAAGCTGCGTGTGCAGCGGTCAGCAACCCCAGACATCTCTGCACTCCGCAAAAGTCGAGGTATGACGTAATGTTTCACAGCGCATGTTGCGGTCGTGGAGTGCAATGGGATTCCGCACCACTCGGATCTTCGTAGGAGCCGTTGTAGCCGAAGCGCTACTCTACGGCTTGTGTTGAATCCGCGCGCTCAGTAGAAAGCTTGACTATGTTTTCCGAGACGCCTTACATGCTCCCATCTCTCAAAATCGTTATCATCGCCGTGCCAACGCGACTCTTTCCTATCGCGGCGCGCGCCTAACCCTTATTGCTTGTGACGGATTGCGGAGACGCTGCTGACTGAACAATGAACTAAGTCGATGCCGGTCACGGCCGGATCGCTGCACGCTTAGAAAGACACTACTTGTTCAGCCAACGCCGCACGCTCACTCAAACTGATTCTTTTCTTGGGGTATTCTCGTCGCAATCGCTGCCACCATGGATCAAGGGCAAGACGAGCAGGGACGCCCGTTAGCGTCGTCGACAACTTCGACCACTACCACGTCTGGTCCCCATACTACCACCACAACAACCTCGACCATACCTGGACAGGGCACCACCGTGCAACATTTCGGGCCACAGTCGACCACCATCACACACCCTACCATCACCACGACGGCCCGCGCACCCTCCGCTCAACCCTCCATGTCCGACCTATACGCGCCTCCATCAGATCCTGCCCAGCGCGTACGAAGTTCGTCAATTCGCATACGAAGACCTTCACACCAGCCGAGCCTGGACAATCCTCAACCTACACCCGATCCAGTTCCAGCGCCAGCGCCAGCGCCCATGCCAGAATCCGACAGCACATGGCAAGCCGGTCGAAGACGAAGCAGCTCTGAACCGCGCCCACCCCCACAAGCCATGTTCGCCGACGATAGTCTAAGGCGTCAATTAACAGGACCACACCTGCAGCCTCTGTATGAGGATGGCGCAAACCCCACTACCGGCAGCAATCCCCCGCCCTCTCGAGGTCCCACCAATGCACGAAGAGGAATAACTCGCCAATCCTCCGCATTTCATATGAGGCGGAACCAGAAAGCCCCAAACCAAAATATGATGGGCCATAACGTTGTCGATGTGCTTGATGTCATCGGTCAGTACATTCCAAGATATCCTGTCTTGTATTGCGAGCTAACAAGAGTCCAGATCCTGAGGTGTCTGCCCTTACTACACTGAATAACGTTCAGAACTCGCTCTTCTTACCCAACTTACCCTGGCTCTACAACCGCCAGCCTACATACGATCTCGGACAGACTACATCAGACTCCTCGGATGAAGAGATGGGTACGGCCAGGGGTGCCAGACGCGAGGAAGATCAACTCCCCGAGATGACACAACAAGGCGAAGTAGAACAAGCTGCGCGTGGAGGCCGCGGAGAATTGCGGAGAAATAACACAATCGACTCAAATCTTTCGACTCTGGAAGAGGGCGTGGATCATCACTACGCCGTGCTGCCACACGGTGCTTCGTTGACAGGCTGGACCGACGAAGAGAAGGCAGCTTTGGACGATCACGTTCGACATCTTCTTCACTCCCGGCGCGCAAAATTCAAGCGGACTATGAAGGGCTTCGGACGTTATGTCCGCAACCCCCTCGGCTTTCTCGTCACTCTCTACTTCTTCCTCATCACCTTCTGGGGAGCCGCATGGGTGCTCTTCCTTATCGGTTGGATCTACGTCGGCGATCGACAGGCGTACTTTGTCGAGATCGCTGATCAGGTCCTCACTGCCTTGTTCTGTGTTGTTGGAATTACCATGTTCCCTTTCCGCATCGTCGACACCTACCACATGATTTTCGTCGCCAAATACGCGCACAAAACCTGGCGGGTACGCAAAGAACGGGGCCTACAACAGCTAAAGGACCACAACGAACTACCAGCCATGCCCCGATCAAACGCGTGGGAAGCAAATGAAGCAGAACAAGAAGGCATAGAGACCCCCGTCCTCACCGCTGAAGAGCAAAAGAGACTTGAATACCATCAAGGCAAGCTCGAGAAGTCCCATACCTTCTACCGTCCCCACGAAACATACACACACCACGCCTTTTCTATCCGCCTCCTCATTACCATCATCGTCCTCCTCGACTGTCACTCCATGTTCCAATGCGCACTCGGTGGCACGACCTGGGGAATCTACTACAAAAATCGCCCCAAGGAACTCACCGCCATTATCCTGAGTTTCAGTCTTACATGCAACATCACCGCCGGCATCATCATCGGCCGCGGCGATAGACGCTCGCGCAAGAAGCTCGTTGTAGAGCAAATTCTCCGTCAAGAAATGACAGAAGAAGCACTCAAGAAACTTCGCAAGGAACGTGGTATCAAGGCCAAGGGACTCATGACGAAGAAGCAAAAGAAACAGGTGAAGAAGGAGTTGGTTGGCGAACCCAAGAATCCGTTGGATACGATTTTGCATCGCGGGTAATATAGTTATAATTCTTGAGAAAGCGTCTTTGACGATGATGTTTAGATTGGCATATTTTAATTTTATACCCTTTTGGCGCTTTGCGAACGCCTCTTGTTTCTTCACAACCCCGTAATGTCATCATGTGGTGCATCCTATCCTACATGCATTTCCGTGGTTTTCGTGTGTATATCCTGCTCTAACCAAGACTGCAATCGCACGTGAACACTACACAGAGACGGCCCACTTCAAGTCAACACATAACCCGTGGGAAGCTACAAAATCCTTTGCAAAACCACATCCAAACAACACCAAAGATCACTAACCATCAAACAGCACCAACAAAACACACGTGGCAAAACACTCCACTCCCATACTAAATAAATGTTCCTCCCGTTTCTCGTTTCCACCGCACATCTCGGCCCATTGGCCGCATCGCCTAGACGCTTCTTCGGCACATTCTCCCGCACACACACGCACACACACGCACATGCACACATACACACACTAACTCGAATAACTTAGTGCTAAAGCCTACAAGTCATGCCACCCTCCATCAGATCCCGACGATCTCCACGTGCAATGATGACTTCGTATCGAAGTCCATTTTCGATCAAAAACAAAAAAACTAGTCGAGAAAAAAACGCCACAACGTCAGTAGCGTCGTGAACTAGTTTGTAGCAGTGGCTGTGCGAAAGAAGAAATGGTGCGAACGCGAGTCGCAAGCCTAGCACACAAGCAAGATTCGAGGGCATACGAGTCATCAAAAGCCGTAGTAAACGCAAGCGGACTCGTTGGTTCCGTTTGTTCAAGATAATCATCATCTATCCATCCATGCATTCATCAAACGAAAGCAACGTCAGGGCAGGCCACGCTATAACAGGCGAGGTGCGGCAAAGACTGGCAAGTGCCAGCAAAGACGTGTGGTGTGACCCGAGGATTTGGAATATTCAATATAGCAGAGAAGATCAACAAAGTCGAGTCAAATGGTGTGGATATGGTTCGATGTGCAACCTGCAGCGACGATCCATGTTTAAGATTTTGTGCGTGTGGGTGTGTCTTCCCCTCACTACAAGCTATTAATGCATGGTGAGAAAACATGGTTTGCCTTTGCGCAGACATATGCCCACGTGTCAAGAGACGGGGCCCAAAGTCCCGGGTACACGCACTACAAGCAGAATTCCGAGTGAGAACTGAGTAATCGCTGGGAAGTGATCAAAGCAACCATACGCCTGCCATAGCGGAAGAACCCCACTCTTGATCTTGAGATGAGAATCGTGCGCTTCACCTGAGGTGAATGATGGCATACCCTTTTTTTCCTGACCTTATTCCGAGAAGCCTTTCTGAGCCCTCTCACTCCCTAGATATAAACCGTTCCGTGAAACGCCGTCCTACGCGCCGTTAGGTCGATGAAAGAAAGACCCACGAAGGGTAGCGAATATGTCGATGGGTGTCGCATAGGGTCGGTGTCATAATACATCTCGATGTTGAAGGAATCGTAAAACACAATCGGTAGATGATTGAAAAGGTTGTTGGTGGGTCAGCTAGTCCTAGGTGGAATACCGCTTCTGCCCATCCGTAGCTGTAAAAGCAGAAAAGCAACGCTTGCTTGATGTCTCTCGATGTAAAGCAGAAAAAGACCTGACCAAGTCTTGGTCGTCAAGAACTGAATCAGCCGTATTGCCCATACAAGCCGATAGCGATGTGGAGAAGGGTCGCTTCAACGATGCGAATGCTCATAAGGCCGCATACCGCCAAACTCGACGCCCTGCATCGCACCCGCATGCGGTGGTGGTGCCCACTGAACCTGCGACTGTGGTGGTGGTTGCGAGAGCCCCTGTTGTTGTTGTTGTTGTTGTTGTTGTTGTTGTTGTTGTTGTTGTTGTTGTTGTTGTTGCTGCTGTAGAGGTGGAAGCACGTTGTTACCGGGTGGTGCAGGGGCTGCGGGTAGCCCTTGTGCGAACTGGCCGGTCATACTTCCGTAAACATGGGTGTTGGAAGGATCGGCGCGACGGAGAGCATTCCAAACGGCATTCAATTCCCCTTTTAGCAACTCGTTCTCTTCTTGGGCTCTACGACAATACTCGGCTTCAGGTCGCAGGCGGTTGAGCTCTTCGCGCGCGTTTTGGTGTGCGCGAGTCAAGTTTTGGACGTATTCAATGGCTATAGACACGTTAGATAGGCGTATGGAAAGATTCAGGGGTTGAATTACCTTTGGTGAGTATCTCCCATTTGCTTGACTTGCTGCCCGGGCTGTTGGGGAGGATACCGTTAAGATCATCGAACAAAGTCTTCATCTCACTTCTCCGCTTCCTCTCAGCCATCTTGTGACTGACGCGAAGCTCGGGAGTCCTACTGTAACTTCCGCTTCCGGGGGCGAGCGGATTCGTAGGGTCAATGTTTTGTAGGCTTGTGACACTGCGGTGTTGCATGGAATGATGGTGGGTACTAGGGATGTCTATACTAGTCAGTACGGCTGATGTAAGATGAGGATTGGAATGCGTGCCATCGTTCAGTCGTTGTTGACCAGGTGGTAGCTTGGAATCTGTGGTGTAGATACTGCTATTGATCGACGTCGCAAAGCTACCTTGACGCGAGGGAGCGTTTGAGCGATCTACGCTAGACTCACCGCTACTCGATGTCCTCTTCTCTTCGTGGTCAAAGTCATCCGCTGGAAAGGCCCAAGCAAAACCCTTAGTCGGGGCCGCTGCCATAGGATCGGGCATTCCAGACACGCTTCTGGGGTTGGGATTGATGACCGGAGCACGTCGCGGGGGATTGTTGGCACGCGGGCCAGCACGGTTGGGTGATAATGGAGAAGTGCCATTGGTTCGCAAGGCAGGATTTGCGATTCCGCGTTGCTGTTGGAGGTCCGCGACAAGCGAAACTCGGGACGCGTTCTGGCTGTCATACGGTGACTGTGGGTGGTTAATAGTGAGATGTCCCATGCCAACATTCATCCGACTGTCCACACTGCTGCGTCGGGAGTCGAACTGAGAGGAGCCAGCATCTATACTCTGTCGGGTGTTGTCATACGCTTGAGAGAGCGAAGGTAGACCACCATGCTGCTTTCGTATCAGACGAGTCCATGAACAGTAACAAAGTGACGTACCTGAGAAGACTGGGAGAAGCCGGAGGGATACCTAGCAGAAGATGGCGTCTCTGGTATAGAGTTGCGGGATGTTGAATCATCAGAAGGGTTGAGTAGTGTTTGCAACTGTAGTCCCATGTGCTGGGACACGTTGGATGAATCTACAATGCATGTTAACAACGTGTAGTTGACAGATATCGTGTGTACTGACGTTTGCTTTGGGCAATGGACCAGTGACCCGAGTCGCGAACCTCACCAGCTTCTGGGTGTTGCCTGGGCTGCGCCGAGCTATGGTCAGACGTAGGGAGACGGTTGGTTAGTGCTGATAAGGGCGGCAGAGACTGCTGGCCTTGGGTAATGTTGCTTTGGGGCATATTGCCATGCGGAAGTGGACGCTGAGAGACAGAGTCCATGGCGGTGGAGGAACACGAGGCACCTTTTATAAGATAGTAGTGCGTGCTTGGCTTCTGTGGTAGCGAGATAATGGCTGAGCTCGTGATGGTGGCGGTTTGAATGGGTAAGAGAGCTGAGCCAATGAGGCAGTGGAGACCGACGTCTACCAGAACAACTGGATCAGGTCGCTCTCCACGGTCGTGGAGATGGGGCCAGGTGGAAAGATGGAGAGGTAGAAGTAATAGAGGGCCAAGTTCCGGGGATTATATAAGCAGTGACGTGGAGTGGAAGAGGGATGCAGGGTGGTAGGAAGGGTAATGGAGAGCGAGGCCGCACGGGATATGGTTCGCTCCTCCCCAAAGGTAAGGATGGCAGTTGGGTGAAGTGGGGCACGACGAAAGGACCGCCAAGACCTCTCCAACTCGAATGGAAAGCGCAGGGTAACGATGCACGCCGATTACCGCGAGAAAGGTAAGAGCGATGGCCGTGTATTCCAGATATGGCGGCTGTGGAGGTTGCCCAGTCCACCTCTTGTAGCGAGTAGCGGCACGAGTCGAGACAAAAGCAAGCAATGCTCCCGGTGCAAATTCACCACGAGAGTCGTTGCTAAAAGAGACGTGGCTGCAGTGCTCTTCCCGGTCGGCGTTTGCTGCGGCAGGGACAATTGGATGGTGCTTTTGTCCAGGCCAGTTGGTACACAGCGTCCAGAGGGCGGGATCTGGAATTGACACGGTGATGGCGCCCTAAGAGGCGAGTGCACGACGCAGGCGTCGAGCGAGGCGTCCTGGGTGCCGCTGGAGGAGAATTGGCCTGGTTGGGACGACTGTGGTGCGTGCCGGGTGGATGTCGCATAGGGCGAGTGAGGTCAGAGCCAAAGGCACTCACAGTGGTGCGCGCGTGGGGAAAGAAGAGCAGCGCAGTCAGCAGACTACCGGGTCGAGTACATGTCCTGGGTGGGGATGGCAGCAAGGAGCACAACAAAGCAGCGGGCAGCCAGCGGTCTAGCCGTATGTACGACGTTCGGAAGGGACCTTTTGAAAGTGGAGGAGGTGCGGCGCAACAAAAAGCTAAAGGCGACGGTTGAGTCTTGACGAGTCGCAAGGGCAGCCAGGGAGCCAGCCAATTAATGGGTATGTTGGTGCCCAGAGGTGAGCCGACCGCACGTGGGAAATCGTTCAATCGAGGCCTCGTGTATCTTAAGCAGCCCCTCTAGCGGCGGCTAGCTGCACTTAATATGGGCACCCTGCCTCCGCGCGCGAACTGGTGCACTTGTTATATGGCGGTGCCGATGACAACAATCCCCCTCTGCTCATGGCCATCGAGTGGGCAGTCTAGTCGGCTATGGTAGAGTCTATTGTTCCGCACTCAAGTGCAGAGCAGATGCATGCATGTAGACACAAAATCCTGGGGCGCAAGAGACACGGGATGCGAGCATAGCAGGGCCTTGTAGTTTGTCGTCACTTTAGCCAAACCCGTGTTGCTATCCCGCCGCCCGCTGTACCGCCACGAGGTCCACTAGCCGTCCACGCCTGCTACCCAACCGGCCAAAGCGCCGAGCAAAAGCAAATTCTGCGACACTGTCCTCCAGCGCTGATCCCTCACACATGGCCGCCTGCAGCGCGCATCCTTCTGCAGCCTGCATTCGCTGCCGACATGCAGTAGTTGGCCCAAGGCCGCTAGCCCGTGCCCATGCCAAACAAACATGGCCATACTTGGCCGGCTAGCGCTGTCTGATACCACGGTACAGCCATGGAGAACGACTGAGGAACACATCCACACCAAGGCTTCTCCGGGCACACCGTCACTACCTCTCGTCTTGCTCCGATTGACGCACTGGGCTGAACCGGTCTCTGCAGGGCACGGCGCTCCCGAACCCTGCTTCCCGCATGTGAATCAACCCGCTCCATTAGCCCATTCCTCCTGGCCCGACTTCTGCCAGAACTCCTGCAGCTCATAGCCTCTTTTGCCTGCTGATAACCCTACCAATAATCCTTCTGCGGCTGCAAAAGGTGATACAAGTGCTGCGCCCACTTTGTATCTTCGGTAACAAGTCCACCCTTCGTTACTGTCCACTGTTCTCGGTAGTTGTTTGGTCGACATGGCAGATCATCCGTGACCGTTACATTGCCTCTCGGAACCTGCAATGCACCTGATGCTTGAACCCTTGGGAGCCGCATCCACCTACCGAGTGACACGAGACAACATGTGAGCATCGACGTTGAACCCACCTTGAGCAACCAAGCTACGTACAGCAAGATTCCGCGCGATGAGAGCTAAACCGTGAAATGCATGTTGTATGCATCCGACCTTTAGAGCCCTGAATTGCGTCTCGACTCAGCCCGTCACAATAAAGACAACGACCGACGTCACTCACGGCTCCCCTATCGCATACCAGGGCACAGGTGTCGTCTCGGATGAAAGATCGTCTCCGTATGGTTATTTGGATACACGAACGGCTAACCTCGTTGATGCATACTGCCTTGATCAAACATGACCGTCGAACATGGACAGCGGACGGCAACCGCTGCCGACATGTGCCTATCATCACGCACCCTTTGGACCAGTATCACTTACTCGGTCCAAGCTGGCCAAGCTATTCTACACCACATGGCGGTATCGCCGCCGTACTCGACCTGACGGTGTTACCGCACGCTGACCCGACGACCAGGTTCGCAAACGTAACGGTCTTGTGCCAGGTGCCAGTGCATGCTTCGTGCTCCAGTGCTCTGATTGAGCAACAGTGGCTGTGGAGTCGACTCTGGATTCCACAAAAGTACTACGGTCAAGCGAACAGCAGTCCAAGTCAGCAAAACGAACGCACCATGCACGTGCAGCGTCATGGTCTCCGCATTCTCAATAGCATGCTCATCCAAATGGTTATACGGTCCTACTCTGCATCGAAGATCTAGAAGGCTAGTTGCGGTCACGGCATCACTAGGCTGTAGGAAGCAGAAGGTTCACCACGCTACTGTGCCTGCAGGCTGTATGGCAACGCTTTCTGGGCAGTGACAGGGTAACAGCGCTCTAAGACTGTGCAGATATAGATCGGAACAGGAGCGGACCGTCGTTATGTTCCAAACACACATTCGAATCTGGTCTTGTGTTTGCCTCTGTCATTGTCCAATCTAAGCCACCGATGGGCCTGCATCGTTAAATACGCATGCCCTTGGGTTGCAGAGGCGCGACACGTTATCAGCACGCCAAATTCGTTCATGATACAGGCTCAAAGGACGTATGCTGTACGCGGACGCGTCAACCTGCCAGCAGCGGGTATCCGTTCATAGGTGGAACTGTTGGGGCGCTGACCGTGATACACATGCAAGACTACCCCAGGTAGGTCGTTACGCGCTGAAAGTCTATCGGCAAGCAAGACCAGTCGGTAGAGCTGCCGCGTGCGTGTTCCCTGCAGTACATCACTAGACGGACATTACAGTGACATTCCCCGGCGATCTGAGCTTTAGTGACCTTCCGACTGCAAGGCCCCTGAAGTCGAGCAGCACAACAACGGTCCCGTACCTGAAGGCAATATACCAGTAATTGACGGAACCGAACGGCGCTGCAACGGTTACCTCCAGATTGCAGTAACACAGAAGTCTCATCTCGGTTGCGATTACCGAGAGAGTATGGTTGTTGAACGGAGACTTACCTCGATGTGGTGCAACTACCAGGGAAGGCATTTCACCTCGGCACCAACCGAAGCCTCCGAGAGGCTTGTCACCTAATCAGTTTGGGTGCGCTTGGGCAGCGGAAAGCTGCGACAGTCATGATTGCTTTACGATGCTGGCACAATAGGTATGTATTGCGAAGACTCTGTACAGTAGTACCCAAGGTACTTGATTGTGCCTGACATGGCGATTTGCTTGCGACCCGAGTACGTGGATACGCTACGAAGATGACGGTCATTACAGACAGGAATCGGCCCGTTGATCCATGGTACATGCAAAGCGCCTGCCTGATCCAGCTGTCGCTAGCTGCGCCGCCGCTTTGCCACACAACAGGGATGGGCTGATGTAGGCGGGGTGCGAGGCGATTATCACGTGAAGATCGTCATGGTGGTACTGCGGGGCAAAGCTTGGTTCGCAACACGAAAAGAACGCGTCGACTGAGAGCAGGTACCATGGCCGCCGCTGCCGCATCCGCGCCCGTCGTGTCTCTTGTTGATGCTGCGAATGTTGAGCGTGAGGATGCAGTACCATCGCACGTTTTCCCTTTCCTCAGGCTCCCACGAGAGCTCCGCGACCAAGTACATACATCTCCGCTACTCTATTGGAGCCTAGTCTGATTGCAATATAGATATACGATTATACCTTCGCTGCACAAGAGTTCAGCGTCGATAGGGCTATTGAGCGTCGTCACTTGAAGTACTTCAAGCCTAGTGCTGCTGCCATCCTTCTTGTGACCCGCCACTCATACTTTCTCCTCAACCGTCAAGTCGCCCGCGAAGCCCTCGAGATCCTCTTCAAAAACCACACCGTCTACCTCAGCTGCGGACCTTTTGTCCTCAAGGCTCTATTAGAGAAGATTGAAGAGCCAAATGGACCCGGCAGACAATGGCTAAAGTGGCTGAAGAAGGTAGAGTTGGATTGGCTAACGCTACCCAACCTACAACATTACCCACCAGACAGAGAAGAAGGGAGGGACGTGTGGTACTGGGAGCATGATCAGGTAGAAATTGATGTCGACTACATACGAGGTGCCTATTACAGCGGTCACTACGACGAGTACGACCACGAAGGCGAATCTTATGACGATAACTTCTACGACGCTTCAAACACATCATTGTACCCGTCCTTCCGCCAGCCAGCCACCACACAAGCCGCCAATATAAACGACCCCTTTGGCTTCGCAAGCCACTACCCCTTTGCCGACCCAACCCGCGATCCCGTCCGTGAAGCCTCCGCAGCAGACATAGCCACGAAGCTAGATCTCCTCGTCTCAATGGAAGTCACACCGCTCTTCACATACCTCGCCTCACCCACCTTCAACCTAAGCAGCATAACATTGCCACTGAGGTTTATATCCCGCGGCTCACACCAAAGCCGCAGTGTCTCGCGGCCAGGCTTCGCTTTACCACTCAAGATCCGCTACTGGGTTCAAGTCTGCGTCCATGCCCTTCTCATGCTCGCCTCTCCCCATATCTCAGGTACCTCGACGTCAACACCGTTGCAAGAGGTACGCGTCAAGTACGCGCCCGTCGATATCTGGGCGTCCATGGAACCAACTGATGACTTGCGTCGTATTGTGGACGCTGGTGTCTGGTTTGATAACCCAGAGGATGGGCAGGAGGTTGAGAGGGAAGGCGAGGGTGAAGCGTTCCGCGCCGTTTGGGAGGGTATGCGGGCGAGGACAACACATGAAGAACGGAGGAAACTGGGAAGGAGATGGGGATTGAAAACGGATATTAGGTTTATACCTTGGGATGGAGATATGGATAGTGGGAGGGTGGGGGATGAACTCGAGATTGTGTTTTCGAGGGATGAGAATGCTGCTTCTGTATTATGAATTGAACCCCTGGACGATGAAACGATTGGGTCTGAAGGAAGCCTGTGAGATGGCGAATTAGTTTGATGAGACTACATCTCTGTTGTATAAATGTCTCTTTTTCATCTCTCTCTAATCCAAACATCTTATTCTTCCCCTGTAAGAACTGCATCAAGTCAATATTTCTACTAGTCGCCCCTTTTGCTGCTGACGAAGAACCTTGAAAGCTCATTGTTCATAAGCTGTACCTCTGGACACTACCCATATTAAGCCTACCTTGAGCTATCCATTCTTATTTTTCTGTTCGAATTGTAACGTCCGAATATTACGTGTCCCTTTAGGCTACTTTTCTAGTAACAGGTATAGCTTGCAAGAATCGATCTCTTGAAGACGTGATAAACTGACTTCTACGCGCTCCAGCTCTAGCGTTACGGGGCACATCACCGACATGTTCAATCATGGGCACGTAGCACACTGTTCAAGTCAGAAGAACGGGTACCATGATTCAGCGAACAATCTTTTATTCTTACATGCCTTTTTCTGATATCGAGGGGCTGTCTGCCATGTGATACCTCACACGCTCATAGCCAGTGATCCATGTCAATGTCCATCCCTCCCAGTCCAGCTATCCCAGACGCCTCATATCCTGTCGATAAGACATTTGAGGAGCAACAGACTGGACAGAAAGAAAAGGAGACAGATGTATACACAATGACAACCATGCCCACAATGCTGGCCGTTTACATCACCCTAGCGTCAACACCGACCCCGCGCGTCCTCAAAATCGTAACAATCGCTCATCCGCGGGTACTACAAAGGAAAGCCGTGGGCTGGTAGGTTGAGACGCAACCTAAAAGTCCCAGAAACTCTTGTCCGCACCCTTCCTCCCACCCATACCATCGCCCTCAGTCTTGATCGCAGTACCCCTCGCGTTACTACTAAATCCACCATTGTTCTCCTTCTTCACAGGAGGGCTCTCTTCGAACAAGGACCACTCAGTGCCCTTGCGCCCACCCATGCCGTTGCCAGCAATGTTTATGCCACGGCTATCGGGAGAGTCGGCATCGACGCCCCAGTGTGTTTTCATGGAGCTGCGGGCTTGGTTCTTGTTCTTTGTGATGTCGTTGAGGGCGCGTGTGGCAGCTCCGTCGTCGTTGTCGTTCTTGTCGGTGACGTGGTCTTCATAGAGGCCCTGGCCTTTGTTGCTGCGTCCGCCCTTAGTGGGTGCGGCTCCGCGCTGGGCTTCGGGGGTGCCGTTGTCGTCGAAATCGAAGTGGGCGTCTTGGTCAGGACGAGCCTTGTGGACGATTGGGCGGCGGACGGGGGAGGTGTCCTGTGGTGAGTTGATGTTAGCATGTGGTTTGTTGGCAAAGCAGAGACTTGGATGCAACCTGTGTCTCTGGCTGATAGAATGGACCAACCTCGTCGTCGCTCCAGCCAAAGTGTCGAACCGCACTGGGGAGCGTCTTGGGCTTCGACTTGTTCGGGGTGGCGAAGTCGTCAAAGTCCCAATGCGCATCGTTCCTGTTGCGGTTCTGGTCGTGCTTGGACGGTCGTGAAGTGTCTCGTACCTTTGGCGTCTCCTCGCCTTCACCGAAAGTGAAGTGATCGTACTTCTTGGAGCTAGTCTTGATGCTCATAGGGGCGACTGGGTGCTCGTCCTCGCCCTCCTCGAACAAACGGTTCTCCTTGTAGTTCTTTCCGCTGCCGGCCTTGGCTGGGATCCTCTGGGGCGATGGCGATGGTGAGCCAACATCGGCGCCAGCGAACAGCTCAGAGTACTCGCGTGGAGGAGGCTTCGCAGACTGTGCGCGCGGGGCTGACGGCCCAGAGCTGTGGGACTCCTCTTGGTCTACCTCGCGAGGCGCAAACAGCGATAGCGATGCGTGCGGGTCGTTCATGGCATTGTTTGTTGATCTCCTCGAACGGTCGCTGATAGAGACCTCATCTACGCCACGGGAGGCCGACGTCGATGGGCGCGACGGAGCGGTCGACTCTGGCTGTGCAGCTGCCGCATTGGATGCGATCAAGCGAATCTGTTCGCTGCTGTCGCGAATGGGCCAGTTGCGAGAGCGCGCGCCAATGACGTCGATTTGCTTCAGGAGAGAGCCCTGGTCCCAGTACTGGCGGATCTGTGTGATCTTTCCTGACTTGTCAAAGTGGACCATGTGGACCTGTCGCTGTCAGTAAAGGCGTGGAGAGATGGTTATGGAGGTTAGATACCATAGGGAACGTCACCGTCCGGTCTGTGACAAAGTTGTCGTCAAGGCCTGGCAGGTATGCGCCGCCGCCGTTGGTGAATTCAAGGGTCGTCTCTACATCCACACTGAGGCCATTGCTGCTCTCGATCGCGTTGAGCACCTTCTCCTTGGTCTTTTTCAGTAGCTTCTCCTGAGCAGACAGGTGCTTGATGATGGCTGTCGCGTCGTTGATGCTGGTCGTGGTGGTGACATAGTGAAGAGAAGCATTGTCCGCCAGCGCACCCGAAGACGGCGTCGCCAGGAACCTGGTGTATGTGTCGCGGAGCGTCATGACGCCTTGTTTATTAGCTATTCAGCTAACTGCTGTCGTGCGTATAGATACTGGGGCGAGTGTTGTGGCGGGTCAAGTGGGGTGCGTGATAGTTTGTGGTGATACAGATGTTGTGTGTAAACAAATGCTGCCGGGCGCGCGTAAGATTATGTGCCAAAGCGGTGGAGAAGGTGAAAGGGGGACCACAACATTGAGGGCAACAAGCTCCCATATGGCCCGCAAGAGCCCCCGGTCTTCCCATCGCAAGGTGTTGTTTATGCAGGGGTCCCGCGACGAGCCCCACCTAGATCAGCCACCAGGACGGTGCCGGACTGGGGAGATCAACGCGGAGAACAATGTCATGCAGCTAACGGCGTCACGGTGGAGATCTAGTTTGTTGTCACACACCATCTTTTTCCATATTCTCGCTGCCATAAGCATAGCTTCGTGTACAGCGGAAGTCTGCCCATGTTTGCTTCTCCGTATCGCCAATCACCGGCGTGTTTCAGAGTGCTTTTCATTTGCCGTCCAACGTTGGACGCCTGCAATTTCTACGTCCTTACTAATATATACACAAAATCAAAACTTTTCCTATATACACAGTCATGGCCTACGCTAACGATGGCTAATAGTCGTCCGGCTCCCCTCGCTATTTTTGTCTTTACACCGTACCGCATATGTTTGCTTTTCTTTTGTTGGATCATGAACTCTAACTTACATGTCTTTTTCTCTGCGTTGTCGAAAGATCTGGGAGAAGCGGGGTGTGAGCTCTGTGCGCTATATGATGCGACTAGAAATCACCTGAGGCATAATGGTTCGCTGGCAAATCAGTATGAAATGACTGTAGTTAAGCTTGCATCAAAACGCAGCTGAGGTCGTTGACTATCACAGTCATTCCGAGGACGAGCCCTTCCCGTCATGCTCAAGTTACGAGCCATTCGAGACTTTCCATTTGGACCACAGGAATCACACCCACCGGGACTCGGTCACATGCTATCATTTATGTTATTTTATTCTTATCTCGGGGTGAATGGAGTAATATTATTCCAAGTCAGTCTGGGAATAGTGACTTTCACATAGACCTGTGACTTTCACATAGACCTGTGACTGCGCTCAAGCCTACGAAAGCACTACTCGTTGCTTTGATACAAGCAGTGTACAGCTATACCTTTACACTCTACCTGCCGAGCATACAATTCACCTTCTCATATATGTCGGCCCTCCTGATCCCACTTAGGTCTTCTTCTCATCAAGTTCCACTTATGACTCCGAATACAGGATAGACACACATCTCAATTTCAGCAACCACAACACAACATCAGTGACAACGACGAGGAACACAAGGCAGTCAAAAGACGCATTCTCGAATCAGATCCACCACAATTTCTTCACAAAGAGCAGGCGATGAACCAGGCCTTGACTATGTTCGAACTGCTTGATGACGCATTAGCGATGATTCAGATCAATGATGACACGTACAGCTATACTCCAGCATTAGGTCCGATTCATCTCCTTGGTCTAATGGAAGACGACAGCACACTTCGTTCTTTCTTGCAGCTATTGCATCTGCACAGGTCAATCGAAGTGCAGATTGCCCTAACGCCGACTGTGTGCTTGTTAGATGACGGCATGTTGGACGTTACGCCGCGGTCACAGGAGGACAAGCAGATTTTTCAACGCAACTGCCAGTCCTCTCTGCTCCTCTCACTACCGGGTGAGCTTCGCAATCGAGTCTTCGGCAACGTCATGGGTGGCTTCCAAGTCTTCGTTAGATGGGGGTCTGTCCCTAAGGGAAAGTATAAGGACGAGTTGACGAAGTGCCTTAAGAACCGCACTCGGCTGCTCAATCCCTCCAATCAAACAGCTCACCACGAGAAAGTGCTGTCGTTCATGGACGAATACAGGAAGCCTACACACATCGTTTCAAAGGTCAAGATCACGCGCAGCACACATTCCCGTGGTCCACACGAGAGCAACCCCTTCGTATCGCTCCAGCAGACCTGCCGGCAGATATATACCGAAACTGCCAAGCTGCCATTCTCTCGTATCAATAGGTTTTGGTACTTGGACGAGCGTGCTATCGACACTCTCATGCTGTGGATCAGACCAAGTCAAATCCAAGCCATCACTAAGCTCTTCTTCGTCGTCGTAGAAGATGTGCACGAGCCTTCTGAAACGGGAGACATAGACTTGAAGCGTATCCGGAACCTAGGCATGCTGACGGGTGTAAAGCACATCTCCGTTGCTGTGGCGGTGAGGTACTCGGGTTGCGTACCTCAGTCGATGAAGGATGCCGCGCTGGAGCGGATACGGGTAGGCTTAGGACCTAGGGTTCTAGAGTTTGCGCCTAAGGACGTTGAGTTGGTATTCGAGACTTATAAGCCGGAGGACTAGGTTGTCAGCAATCGTACATTGGCTCAGAAACGACATCAAGAAACATCATGATCGCGACGGAGGATTCGTTTGTACAGACTGTGGCTTGTGACCACGAAGGTATCAGCCCACGGGTGTGACTAGAGAGTTGTATTTACTCGTTGCACGTCATTGATCATAGTGCTCATAGTCACGAAGACGCGTGGTCTTAGGTAGTCTATGATTGTAGCTTTACCACTTCAACTAGCATATATTCTGCTTTCACTACGTTTGATGTATCTCATGTTGCAGTAGGACACCATAACTATTTATGAAACAGGTAGCAGAATGTACACTCACAGCTCACTAAGACTCTTCACTAAGCAGGAAATGGATTGCTTTCAGTCATCGTCATAAGATCCCTAGATAAACTCATCTGCGCATGAAAAATTACTGTGAAAGCACCAGCGTACCGGCATCCACTATAACACAGCTTCTACTGGACGCAGTTTTCTCTGTACCCTCTACCACCAAATCAAGTTTCAACCACAACCGATCCAGTTCAACCACCAATTACCACCACTAACCCGATCACTCAATATCCATCAGCAAGGGACATCGAAGCATAGAGGAGGGCGACAAGGGCTACCACCCAAGCTAAGCCACAATCTCGCAATCTCAACATGCTAGATGCTAGACCACCTACTCCAGAGCTCAAGGCCATGTAAGTTCTACTCCGCAAATTGACTGATTTGACCATCAATTAACACATCCAAGCGCCGCATTCAACAGTACTGTCAGTCCCCTTCTTCGCCTACCACCCGAAGTGCGGAACTCCATCTTTGGTAAGTTGTGACTGTACGAAATGCATATGATACATACACTGACTCCGTATCTTCACCTCTGCAGCATACGCCTACAGTGGTCTGAACATCTATCTGTCCAACACAACATCCTACACATCCGGAGACGAGCCGAAGATCAACGTCACGCATTTCCCAACTCTGACTTGGCCCTCCGTCCCCTCCCCCTTTGTCGCTCTTCAGCAGACTTGCCGCCAAATCTACACTGAGACAGCATTGCTCCCTTTCTCCTCAGTGAACAAGTTCTGGTTCCTCAGTGTCACTTCCTTGGACGTGTGCAAACCAAAGTTCTATTCTGCGCAGTGGGATTGTATCAGCTATGTCTTCTTCGTTGTTAGTGTCAATACCGTAGCTAACAATCTGGATACCTCCAACCCGCCACCAATTGGCAACTTTCGGAAAGAAAGGCTGCAGGGGCTGAGCAGTTTCCAGGGCCTGCAGAAGGTAACAGTGTATTTGAATGCTGAGCAGTGCGAGGCGGGAGCTTTGTTGAACGGTCTGAAGATGGCACTGGAGGATGACGTGAAGGAGGCGGTACCGGCAGGTGTGGAGATTGTATTTGCGCTCCGTGCGAAAGTTTCAAGGACTGGATCGCCACCTGCATGGGTATGGAAATCTTTTGATCGGAATATTGCAACGGAACCAAGTCAATAAGTAGCCAGACACATTTGTTTGTGCATTGGTATTTAAGGTTTCTACCTACGTAGTCACCATGAATGTTGATAAGCCAGTGTCTTCTGTACCATCCCTACTTGATCAGAGTGTGTGTTGCATAGAAGAAGAGTACATCCTGAGCTCGGCATAATTGACATTGAATGTACTAGATTGAGATGCTTCCATTCGGGGCGGTAAGCTAACCTTGGAGGCCCCCCAAAATATAGATACTGACTTCCGCATGCGCCTATCGCGAGCTGGCTTCCGAGATGAGGGCACTGCCTAGATGCTCCATCATTCACACAACCCCCGAGTCAAACCCAACTTTAGTTGGTGCCTTTATTGCAAAGTTTTCGTTAGTACACGATGTTTTCGAATTGAAATGAAATCATGATAAGGAATTAACTCACATCCATGTACAAAGTACAACCTCCCATTCCAATTCCATGTCCCGGAATGATAGCCAAGGGCTGGACCCTCTGGGCGACACTGGTTCAAAATGTTTTCGAATGCATCCCAGCATATCTGCTGCGAGTTGCCTCCAGGCCAGCTGAGTCTCCCTCCACCAGCAGCTTTGTAGGAGCCATCGGTCTGATACTTCGTAGTATCACCGCAAACATGTTGACGAGCAGCGTAAAGCTGATTGCGTGATGAAGCACTGTTGGCGCCGCACAAGCCGTAGCTACCACACTCGGCTGCAAAGACGCCAGCTCCGGAGAGCAGAGCACCAAGGGCAAATGTCAGGTTGATATGCATAGTGCTGACGATTCTGAGGATGGAGAGAGCAGTTAGAAGCAGTGTGTTGTAAATGATATTGGGTAAGAATTGAAGATCTCTGATAGTGATGATAGAAAGTCAAGGAGGAAATTGAAGGATATTTATACCACTAGAACACTCACCACTACCTACCTAGATGCAACATGCGCCATGCTACGGATTTACCAGAACGCAAGCAGGACTGCATGCCACATGCCTTATTCCCAAAAGGCGTTCACTGCGAAGCGAACAGAGTCCAAGCTTGCTCAGCTGAGATCAGTACATGAGACACCACTGCACCGTTCTCTCAGCCAACATGTAGGTGTGCATCAATCTAGCCCACCACAGAAGGTGCGTGTTAAGGTTAGAGTGATTGTTCTCGTACAGAAAGACACTAACTTCAGCCACACTAAGCTAAGTATCCTATTGGTGGGCAACATCGGATGTTCTTTCCGCAACTACAGCCTTAAGCGACTACAGCTCTGCGGTTCCAGTTACGATTCCTGAGATCTATGCCATAGAACAGGTGCGGACCGTACCGAGGTGGGTACGGCAACATGCATGATGCACCACACCATGTGCCAAAGAGGCATGCACACTGGCCGGAAATGGCCCTAACGTGCATGGTCAATACCAATGCATACTGTATGAACACGTCTCAAAAGCCCACATATAGGTGGATATTGGTCTAGCTCATTACATGCTAGATACTTGGCTCCTCGTTGAGCGAGTTTCTTCACGTTTGCGATATTCATCGTTCGAAAGTACCTCTTGTATGTGTGTAGTGTAGAATGCGGAAATCGTGAGTAGCTTGGTCCCCGTTATTGGCTTGGAAAGGAAATCGCAATAGTCCAGCCATTTGGGTTGATGACATTTAGAGGGATGTAGCAGCAACTAGGAGCATTGCAGCTCCGGATGCATCCTAAGCCACTCCGGCGCGGCCCACCTCCATAGCCTTCAAAGACAGGTCTCTGCATATGTCGTACGAGACGATGCGTAGGATAGGCAAAGGCGTCTTTATGAGCTCGTATGATCTGCAAGCCATAGCGAACGGCCTGGAGGATTGAGTAGTGAAGATTGGGTAATCGCATCCATTATGCCGTTCTAGAGGAGACGGATATCTGACGGTCCGTCCCGCTCCGTATACCGGTCCGTCATACTAGCAGTAGGGACTTCGGCGTTGGGGCTGAACGCCGTATTCACTTGATCTGGACAGTTACGTGAGGGTTAGTAACGAGTATGGAGTGTAGACGCCCACTGAATTAGGTGAAGGAACTTTGATGAATACATCATAGTAGGAAATAGGTCAGTATTTGCATCTTGATTAATTAATAGTCGATTGACGCCTTCTTTATAAACCTCCCATAAGGTATTCTGGCGGGTATCGTGGGGGGGCTTACAATGGTGCCTCACTGCCTCGTGATACCTAGTCTTGGGTATAGTAATTACCAAAAAGTGAAGTCGCGAATGAAACTTCCACCAGTTGGAGCTATCTTCAAAAAGAATAATGTCAGCGGTGGGACTCGAACCCACGCAGGTTGCCCTATGAGAAACCTCTTGAAGAGTGCGTCTTCCGAAGAAGACAAGCTTTCGCTTGAGTCACACGCCATAACCACTCGGCCACGCTGACTGATGTTGGTTTGATTCGATATTTGTATCGCCAGGTTTGAGGACTGGTAGTGAAATTCTGATAGTCTGGTAATATTAAGCGCAATGTGCGCGATAGATAGGGCCCACCAAAGGTGTGATACCGAAATCCAGAAGAACTGAACCCTTCGCAGGAGATTGATAGAGCCAACGCGATTCTTGCATGATATTTTGCTTTCGAAGGAGTACAGCGCTTCGTTGTAGTCCGTTCACTTTCTCTTGTCTGCGTATGTGTACGCTGTAAGGGAATTCCTTGTAGTGATCGCATATTCTGGCTAACGTAGATTAGCGATCTTACCTGTCTCGTTGAGGAGATACCGACACTTACTTGGATTAACCTCGTGTCAACATTCACAACCTAGACCATGGAGGTGTAGCTGTAAACAAGGTTAGCCATTGACACTCCTGTTATTAGAGGATATACTTACATGAGTAAGAGAGCCAGATTGCTGCCTGGAAGCGAATCTCGAGATCGGAGTTGGCCCAAATGTTATGTAAATCCTTCTGATGAGCCTGTTGCACCGCGGGATCCTTTGCGCACGCCCCATCACAGACGCAGTCCACTCAAAGTGTCTTCAGACTGGGGAACATACGAAGCGGACAATCGAACCCTTCGGGACTCGGGCACAGTATTCGAATCCACTTAAACTGTGTTCTTCTGCTCGGGAAGCCGCCGTGCAAGCCACCCCACCATGAGTTCAGTTTCGTAGAACCCGAACAGGTTGATGCTATACGTCAGCAAGCAAGTCTCTGTGTGGACATGCCTACAGACACGGAGTTCGCACGCCTGTGGTTTTTCAAGATCCCAGACGTTCTCATCGTCGTCTAGAAAGACTTTTTCAACGGCGACGACGTATCTCCATATCCGGTTCCGGATTTCGGGAGGCAGACGCAATAGTGTCGACTCTTCTGCATTCCGTTGAGCTCTTCCAACATCGTAAGTCAAAGCCAATTATAGTAGAACTACACTTACATCCTGGGGTAGTATTGATTCGGTGTCGCTCAGACCATCTCGCGCGTGCCTTTCTTTTGACCTATCTGTTTCCTCGCAGCCTACGCCTTGGCGTTGCGATCGGGTTGACGTCGCCTACTGTTGTTTGATGTTGACATGACGTGTAGGCAGTTGCTGGTAAAGAATCTTCCTGGTGGAGCAGGGTCGCTTCTTGGTTGTGTGTCCGGGAACGCACTGGAAGTGTAAACGCGGAGTGAGAAGAGTGGAAGAACATAACAGTCAGAGGAGAGGTAGGTAGCTAGCGGGAGCACGGGCGCTGGTTGTGAGGTGAGGAAAGAGCGACCTGCGCGTGCCAAGACTGCGCAATGTGGTGGGGTGTTCGACGTGGAAGGGACGTGAAGCTGCATGTGATTGTGAGACGATACCTGATTCAACTCTTTTGCGGTCTGTGAACATGCCTCACATTGTACGTGGCTCTGCATTATGGTCAACAAGCACACATCCAGTACACGAGCAGATCATAGTCATAACTCACCTTTGTGGTTCCTGGAAGAGGCGCGAGGCGGTCTGTTGCCGAGATAGTGAGGTTATTTCAGACAGTCTTCGAGCCGGTCGGCGGAAGCGTCGGAGAACGATGAAATTGTAGGATGCGGGCTTCCTTTGGGTATGTTAATCTTTTCTCTGTCATAGGGACGACAACGCTTAGCCAATATAGAAACCAGAAGATATCAACATGTGAAAGGGTATATTGAAATGTTACAAGACGCTCAGCTGTGTGGAAAGATGATTTATCCAGCCCTGGATAAACTTACACTGGGTAGGAAAGAAATGTACTGGTACAAGCATACTCATCAACAGCAGCACCTCGATGACCGAAGCCCTAGTCGCTCAGTCGTCCGAGCCATCCTCCGGCAGCTCCCTTAGTACATCCTCCACAATGTCAATCAGCTCATCAACATCAGGCCGCTCACTCGGCTCCAACCTCAGACACTTCCTCACCACCTCTTTGACACTATCTGTAATAGCATCCTCAGGGTTAGCCTTTTGCTTGCCCCTCTGCATGCCTTCATCCGGAAACCTCCAGTCACCACCTAGTACACATATACTCAGGCTACCACCCGTCTCATCTGATCTAGCCTCGAACGGGCTCTTGCCGACTAAGCATGCGTAAAGTGTGCAACCGAGTGACCAGATATCGACTTTGGTGTCGATGACGGAGCCAGTCTTGACGTCGAAGAGTTCGGGGGCGCGGTATGGCATGGTTGAGTGTTCGGCGGCGGTATCTTGGACTTGTAGAGCGAGGGAACGCGATGTTATGGGTGTTGGGGATGGGGCGAGGGAGCCGAGATCCATTAGAATCGGCGTCTTGCCGTCGTCATCTATCATGATGTTGCCTACGAATATTGTTAGTCTCCAGTATCCATAACCATGAGATGGATGGGATTGTATACCTGGCTTAATGTCCCTGTGCGCGTACGCCCTCTCTCCACCAGGCGCAATGCCTTCATGCGCCGCTGTGACTTCCGACTCTTCTAGCAGACCTTCTGCCTCTTGCTCATCCTCTTCTTCATGATCGCGATTCCTCCTACTCGGGCGCATTTCCATGCTCTCCGCTGCTTCCGCGTCTGCTCTCTTTGCATCCCTCCGGACTTTCTTCGCCTTGCCCTCGCTTCGCGCGCCACCAGGCCCGCCCTTGATTTTGTACTGATGCATTGCCTTTAGCGCTTTGCAAACACCCAAGAAAAGCACCATCAGTCTTCGCTCAGGAAATTTTGTGTGATTGACCAGGTTCGCATTGATCATATCTTGTAGGTTGCCGCGACGGTAGTAGGGGAGGAGAATGTAAACGGTCTTCGCAGACGCGTCCGATTTATCGGACTCAACAGAGTAGTCGATCGAATGTATGATGTTCGGGTGCGGCGAAAATAGCGTGTAGGCTTCGACTTCCTTGAGCGCCAGGCTCACGCTTTCTTGTCCGAAGGGACATCGTATCTTCTTGAGGGCGAGTAGTTGTTGATTCGAATTGTCTTGTACGAGGTATACATATGAGAAGCCACCCTGTGTCGCGATAAGTCAATTGAATGCAGTCTATTGAGAGGTATCTCAGCTTACCTCGCCCAGCAACCGTAGTATCTTGAAATTCCGATTGTTAATCTTAAGCTGTGGTGAGCTTGGAAAGCAGACCATGCAATTCGTAAAAGAATAGACGACGTCCAGGAAGTATGTGCCCAAGGAACTCATTGTGGCGGTTGTTGTTGCGGCTGCGATCTGTTTGTTTGCGGAGCTGTCGACAGCTTATGGGAAGTCAATGCCGGGATAGACCTTGGACGCGCGGCCAATTCGAATCGTTAGATGTCGCTATCAAACGGTTTATTTGCTGCGGCGGTGATAAGATAATTCGAACAGAACGATAGTGAAGATGTGTTGTTTACTGAGACAAAGCGTAATAGTGTTCGGAGATGCTGACGACGTGGTTCGTCCGGGATATGCCAAGGGCAGGTGTGGCTGTGGCTGCGACCCACGTCACGTTATGCTTCGCTTCCGTCCGATCGTCTTTCGGCTGCCAAAGACCCACAGCACCCGAGCAGATGTTACGTTACAACCAACTCATTCCATGATAGGAGCCACTGAGTGACATTACGAATCCCATTATAATTGTCAAAACTTTTGATTCTTTCATCTTACGTAAGATCCATCTGGGGCGTGTGGCTCAGTGGTAGAGCGTCCGCTTTGCATCAAAAATGCGTCTGCGGAAGGTCCGGGTTTCGATCACCCGCCCGTCCATTTCTTTTGCTCGTAGCAGCTCCAAACAACTTTTTTGTTGAAGTTGCAGCATGTCAAAGCCGAAGGAGGCAATGCAAACCTCATTTCTGGATGTTTGCCAACCATGTCCTTAACACCTTTTTACTAACAGCAAGTCCACCACACTCCCCTCAAGGCCAAACATTCTGAGGCCTATCATCAAAAGCAAAATCGATCTTTCCATCCAACCCCTCCAAAAAGTCCTTGCCTCCAAAATCCTCTACAGGAGCCCCGTTATATACCGTCTTCGCAGTCTTCTCACACTCATTGTACCACATCCTTTCGAAATTATACTCTTCTCCCAGCCCATCAGGCATCATTGCCCACTCGGGTATCGCACACGTGTCCTGTTCGCCATCCATGTACCACCAAAACCTCATCATATCATCCCTCGTACTGCGCCAGTTATCGCGATTCCACTTCTTCTTGAGGGGGGAGTGTTTGTCCCAGCCGCGTACGAGACTGCGGTAGTAGGCGATGGGATGGATATATTCATTGGTATCGCCTAGGTCGCGTAGTTTGGTCCATTTCTGTGCTTTCTTTTCGGCGTCGTATATTTCGACTTCTTCGTGGCCGGGCTTACGTGCACGCGCTCCGAGGAAGTGGTAGAATCCACCGTACGAGTCTACGAGAGGCCCTGTGCCCCAGCTGAAATCGAAGTTGGTATGTTCATGTGGAGGATCACGTCGTGGAGGCTTGAGTTCGTCGTTGCCGAGACTAAGGGTGGGCAATTTTGGTAGCTTGTTCACAAATTTCTCAAAGGAGCTCTCGTGGTGGTAGGTGCAAGCGTAGCGGATGCGGAAGAGCCAGCGTGTGTACTGGGACATGAAGAGAGAAAAGGCATGCCGGTCAATGGTAAGGTGAGGAGAGATGACTTGGAGCATCCAGCAGAGGGTTGCTGTGGAGATGTCTGAGGACGAAATTAGTACTTCGGTTTGTAAACATGGCAGAGTATCACTTACTTTCTGAATCTCCCTTCATGTCACCGAAAGCGTCTTGCGAACCACCGCCGCAGTTCGTATGAACACCCGGAAACTAGCAGACAAATTGTTAGTGAGGTCTGCTATCCTGAGATGAGGTCTCGCATACCCAAACCTGTTTCAACTCCGGTGTTGGCCGGTCCGGATCGTCGACAAGATCCTGGGGAATGTACCAGAGAGTTGGGCGGAAAGCCCTGCGACGCTCGTCTAAAGCCAATGCCTGATATGCATGTTCGATGTCTATCGAATTGTTAGCCAAGACTAGGTGCTTTTAAACAATTGAGAACTTACTCTCCGTCAGCTTGACATTATGAAACCCGAACTTCGTCCTTTTGGATGCCAGATTAAGACCAATCACGTCCGGTACACCTAATGAGCCGACAGTATCCCAAACGCCCACCACTTTTACCTTCCTGCTGTCCTCGCTGACTGCGAGCTCACCATGCGGTCGAATCTCCCAAACTTCAGTCAATAGTCGAAGATCATCCAAGCCAGTCTTTCTGACGTCAATACCGATTTTCTCCATCTCTTCCCCTTTTTTGCTGAGCTTGCCCTCGGTGAACCACTTCCATGCTTCTGTTTCCCTGAACTCGACGCCTTCCTCGTTCGTCTGGTAAAGACGATACAGTTCTGGAAAGAATTGCATACTGGTTGGTGCAATGACGCCAATATCCGAGACCAGCCCAGCGACCGCACGCGCCGTGTAAGCACCTCTCGAGAACCCAAAGCAGAAGATTTCATCCCCCGGCTCATAATTCTGTACGATGAAGTTGTACGCCTCAATAACGTTTTCCGCTAGGCCAGCTCCTGTGCCGCCTTGTCGTCGGGCTTCAGAGGCGCTCAGGTTTCCAGTCCCTATTCCAGAGTCATAATAGACGATCTGATGGAATTTCTTCGAAACGTCGTCCTTGTCTGCGCCAACACGCGCGATCAGGCGACAGAGTCTCGTGACATTAGAAGGTATGTTATTTTTGCTGCTGACGCTGGATTGCCAGGTACCATCACAGCAAATTACTAGCCGTCGTCTCCAGGCCTTGTTGTCGTCGAGCACAGGCAGCGCCGTCTTCTTCGCCATTCGTGATGGTGGTGGAATACAATAAGAGGGGAAAATGAGATTTTTGCTGCTGTCTGCAAGGCGCGATGCGAAGTATTAAAACGATGACCGTGTATAAAGAAATATGCTGAGACGCCGATCTAGTACCAAGGCTGATGTTTGGCGAACGCGAGGACGTTGTATGTGACACTCAGGGGTAAGCACAAATACCAAAAGACGAAGCGCACCGGCTATAAGCCACAATGCTGCATTCAGACAATGAAGCAGCGTAGCTCTTCTGCTTTAATATCACAAAACCTCACATCGCGAATGGGCGGTGTTCGAACGCCCAACTGGCCGCCTGAATCGCTAAAGCGCTGCATCGTCCAAGTGCGACTGGCTGAAGGGGGGTTGCCAAGCAACATGTCTGCTGGTTGCACGAAGCGCATCCTGTCCGCAGTCTTTGCATTTTCCCTCAAGGACGGATCAGGCCGCAAACTACCTCAGTGTCAGACCTGGCGTGAAGGTGTCAAGGTGGGTGTTGCTTCTGTTCTTCACGTCGGACCGCTGCCATGGGCATTAGAGATGCGGCGTGCGTTCATCCGAGGAGGGAGAGCACGCGCTCAACGTCGCCGCCCGCTTACAATGACTTCGCCAGTTCGGCCTGAATGGCTATGCTGGAACTACTTTCCATGCGCACGCGTGGTTAGCAGTCGACCGAATTGTTGCGTCGTTGATAGTGTCGAGACGTTGCAGGTGGAGTCCATGGGCGCAAGGCAACACGGTCAAGGCATGTCAGCTGTTGCCCAAACCCCGAACTAACAACATCCAGAGAGCAGACAAGCAAGACCACTATCCGATCTAGGATAATGCACCAACCGTCACATGTAGTCGTCAAAAATTCGATTTTTGTTACACCAATGTGGGCTTACACTCGCGTGTTTCACTCGGCACGTGCCGATTGTCTCAAAAGAAAGGCCGAAATTGTGTACGCCACCCTGAAGGCGACGATGTACCGATGACTTATTCTTCGTATAAATACCCTATATCCAAAAGGCGGTCTAATGATATCATCCAACATGTAATCATAACCAATAATCGCTAAAGAGCAAATTCATAGATCAACCCAATGTCGTGTCGTAATATGGCGCAATTTTGGCGCAACCTGAGAGCACCGTTGTGGCAGCCCCAGGCGTACCTACATAACGCCCACCATCCCACCATGAAAATGAACGCTTAATCGCTGAACATCATAAGACTCCGTTCTGAAACATGTGCGACAAATCCCAAAGCCGTCAAAGCCATGTTCCAAGACTTTCGAAATCATACCACTCACATCGAGTGGGGTGAACTGCCAGCCGTATGTGGCCGACTGCCATACTGAGATCCATCATTGAAGCCTTCGAAGCTATCGCCCGATGACATCCTCGTTAAATCATTATCATCGCCCATATCGACATCCTCCATCTCGTATCTGCCTGCCCCATTCGGGTTCTGTGACGGTCCCATATTGGAGAAAGAACTGTATTGTCGTGGAGGCGCCGCGGGCGGCACGCCAGCATTACTGATTTGTTCGGCAAGACTGGGCTTTTCCGCCAAATTGTTAAGCATGGCGCGACTTGCGTCCAGCATCGATACCGCGTACTCGAGGAAGTCGGCTCGCTTCGAAGAGACGGAGAGCGTCCAGCGGTATTCGCACAGCCTGAGCTTATAAAACTCGGCTTCCTCCTTGGCAGGTGCTGTAGCCCATAACAGCGACCCAAAGGTACCGATAAGCGTGAAGTTGACTTTGGAAGCAAAGTACCAGAAACCTTGCAAGTGCTCTGGCTTTAGACGGTTGACAAAGTCCATAGCGGAGATCAGCCGTGTTTTCGCGGCGTTGCGGCACATAAAGAGACCGTAAGAGTCGGGATTGGTCGCGTCGAGCGACTGCACTATGCGCCGATGGAGCGTGATCTCTGTCGCAAAGTATGCGAGGTGGAGGTAGCCCGTCGAGGTGAGTTTGCCCTTGTCGGGGGCGTTCATCTTGACTTCGGCTGGCAGCTTCTCGTGCCACTGACGGAGCTTGATCTGCACAGGCTTGGCGCGTGCGAGAATCAGCTCAGTCGACTTCCTTCCTGCATTCGCGAAGTCGTGGATAGCCGTTTGGGTGTAGAACGTGTCCATGACCTCAGCCATGATTTGCGTGAGCGCGATCATCTGAGCATACAGTATCCGGCCACGGTGACTTTCCACCTGTTCTTCTTCTGTCTCTTCCTGCCGTGTATCGTATCCGTCTCCTTCTTCAACAAAGTCGTCTTCCATAATCGGTTTCACTGCCCAATTGGCGTTGAAAATGTGCGATGGTCGGCCGTGGATCAGCGAGCTCCACTTGTCTTGCATGTACAGCGCCCATGCGATGCGCTTCCTCAGGCCGCGCTCCCAAAGAGGAACAGACCATGATGAGCAGTCAAGATGTAGACCTAATTCTTGACCAATTGCCACCAGCTGTGTGGTCAAACTCCAAGAGTCCGCTTCAGGACGCTGCAGCAACAACAAGCCTGCCTGTACAGTGGACAGCTTTGGCCGCTCCATAGCTAATGAAAGCGCCTTCATGGCGATTGCTTCTAAACGGGCAGCGTCCGGCCTGGAGTAGTTGGCTAGTTTAGGGTTTAGGGACCACCAGTTGAGGGCCAGAATATACATGCCAGCCAACAAGGCTGGTGAGAAGCCTCGATCGCCATTGCGATATCGCTCGACGAACAAATGCTTTTGAATGATGGGGTAGTTTGGATGTACTACTTGGAAGTACAGATCTAGTAAAGCAGGACCATGTGGATGCACGAGCTGCTCAACCTGGTTCAAAGCCTCGGACTCGCCGGCGAAGTCCTGTGTATTCTCGTCAGGTAGCATAATGAAACATTCATGATCGTTTACTCGTCGAAGCGTGCCAAGGTCAAAGGTAGACTCGTTATGGGTATCGAACTGTGACAAGCCAATGAGTAGTGAATCGAACGGGGAACTCAGACCAATGTATCTGCTATGTTGCCGTCGCTGCAGTCCCAATGTCTCTCCGAACTGAGGTAGATGAAGACTCGTTATTTGGGATAGCTGGGGTTGTGGCGGTGGTGGACTTGGTGCAGTTGCTGTGATGGTGGGTGTTGATAGTGCTAGTGGTGGAGGGTCTGAGTCGACGGATCTGCCAGAGGATGTCAGCTACGACATCCAACCACATGCTGACGAACCAGAACGTCTGGCGACGACTATAGCTCCCGATATCATAACCAGCTGCAGAGTGGAAAAAGCAAATACTGTCGCACGTGCGCACGTGATCTGATAGCGTGACACAAAGGGCATAGCAGACGTTGAAAGTGATATATCTACGCGAGCCTGGAGGCGTAATGACAAGCAGGGTATTGGGGTATCCTAGACATACCTCTTCTTGGTGTTGTTCGGCGAGTCCTTCTTCTCGCCGTCGACAACCTTCCTTTTCCGTGGCAGTGGGCTTTGCACAAAGGTACACTCCTGCTTGTGGAACTCGCACAAGACACACAGTGCAGCACCCTCGTGTATCACACAACGACTCTTCCTCCTTCTGCACGCGTCACAAGGGCGTTCCCTCCGTGAGCGGATGTTAGATACTGGACCGTTGTTGGACGTGGGCTTGGCCAAGCTCTCCTTGCTGGATGGTGACTTCTGTATCGTGCGAGGACGAGCTGGTGCTATAGAGACAACAGGGCGTGGGCCCATAGCCGGCTGCTGCATTGCTACTGCCGTCATGGCTAGCTGGCGTGGTGGAAAGGGTGCGATAAGGCTATGATAGACAGACTACGGCCCGTTGGCTAGCTTCCGAATCAGGTTGCAAGTATCTGGCTATCGGAAGCAGGGTACTTGACAGGTCTTATCGCGTGGGAGATAGGTGGTTCAATCGGTTTATGTGAGATATCCCGGGAAAAGCAAATAGAGTTGAGTAATCCAGCGGAGATTCAAGAGAGGCCCAGATTAGGGTCCTAAGTTGCCGGTAACGGCGGCGAGAAGTATGAGGTGACTGATGGTTCGCGCCGTCATTGAAGGTTCACGAAGAAAGTAGAGGATGGGCGCAGGCGGGAAAGACGGAATAAGCCTGGGCTTGGGAGCTTGGAGACCTAGAACCCTGTGTGGGGAGAGGGCGGGCGCATAATCGGGGGTGACAGTCGTATATATCGGAGTGATTCTGGAGAGCGCGCTGCGGGTGTCTTTTGTGGCAGACATGTGCTCGGGATGGGTTTCAAGATGCACTGTGCACGGGCGCTGGTTGGAGGTAAGCCGGATGCGCTCTAGCGGCTTGCTGCATTCTATCTTACGTACAGCCGAGAGATAAGGGAGACACGACGGGCCAATGGCCGCACAGTCTGGCTTCCCCCACCTGAATAATGTGATCTTTCCATTACTCCAGCTGTTCCTTATCTGTGCGTGTGTACTACACAAGATCCAGTTTAACTCTCTACGGGAATTACTCTTATGTACTCGTTACCATACTCTATGGTTTTAGTATTGGCGCATGCACGTCACCCACGACTACGCATCATTATCTCTCGCCTATCACTTGTAAACAGTGAACGACCGTTGGAAGCGACCTTGCACCTGACAGATCCTGCCACCAGAATCCTCTATCTGTAACGCGTCAACAGTGCATGGCAAAACGTGTCTCGTTGAAGATTTTGCAACCTCTTCATGACTTCGCCTCATTACGAGGCAGATCTCGCCCGATCTTGCCAGTATCCATGGTTGTGGTATGAACGGCCTCCGCACGTGTTGCATGTTCTCCACAAGCCCTACTTAGAATAGGACCCTCGATAACGATCTCCGCTCCGCTATTACCCCTGGTCTCGTTTCTCACCGCTCGCACTTCAGGCAAAACGCTTTCCGCTCCGACTACCGGCACTGCGCAGGACCCGAATATCTCCGCCAATCCTAGTCAGCGAGTTGCATCTTGCCGTTGCATACTGCCATTGATGTCATACCAAAATTTCGCCGTTGTGACGCGATTCAGGGAGGCTGGTAAACAACCGCGGCACGCCAAACCTCCCAAGACCGTAAAAGGCTGGAAAATCTGACGCGATCTACACCATTGTACGTAAAACGAAGGCTTAGCCTCGCACTGCCAGCAACCTCAAACTTGGGTTGCGATTCTGCAGACTGACAGATGGGTCCCTAGCCGCACGCTCAGTAGTTCCACATTCGTCCTCGCTTAAACCACCATTTAATCTCTCAACAACGGAACGATATATCCTAGGTCCATGTCAAAGGGCCGTAAAGAAAGCCAGATCACAGCATTTCGTCTCATGATCCGCTCGCTCTCAGTGGTCAAACCATCGGACAAGAATCCGTCCGCTTAACCGCATGTATAGAGTGAATCCTGGAGACCATGGGTTCGTGGTTAACATTACGAGATCTTAAAGCGCAGATCTGCATGTGAGAAACTGGATGGGTGGATTCTGCCCAGGCTGATGACATCTCAGGGAAAGTCGGGCCGCTTTTCTCCGGAGTGTGAATCATTCACTCCGTATTTGCGACTACATGTTACGCCTTATGAAGAGCTAAAGCAGCCGTCTCTTACCGTGGCTGTCCACAGACATCATACAGACGTTATTGATATACTGCGCAGATTTTTTTCTGTTCGTCCTCGAAGCTAGTATGCTGCATCTACTCGGATGCACATAATTGAGTGCCAGGACTACCCTTCCCGTGTCCAGGTGATAGAAGTGCCAGTATACAGGAAAGTCGTGCTCGATACAGTCAGTCTCCAAGATGTAGTCAGGCACCAGAATCCACTTGCGATCATATTCTCATCTTACAAAAGTGTCGCCTAGCGCTAGATGCGGCTGCAGTAAATCGTACATTATGCAACATCAACAAACACGTTTGATATATGTAGAGGAGGGATATTGAACTTTGTGAGAAGCATTGCCATAGCTCTCGATGCTGCCCGGGCAATACGCTAAATTCACCAAGGTGACACACGTTGCTTTTTCCTTTGTACTCGAGTAGTCTCCCCCGGAAGCCATGTCAACAAACACGAACAACGCAGGGACCAAGATTGACACGTGGGACGCGCTAGATCCGGTCCGCATGACATACGTCAAGTTTGCGCTTGAAAGGCATACTATTGCAGAAAAGTTGTTTCAACAAGTATCGGATTCGGACTAAGTGAAGGAGCTATGAATTTATCGTGAGATCTTATAGCAACTAGCAACCGTGCACCTATTCCATGGTCTCCTGACCAATGTCCAGTACTCCCAGTACCTCCTTCCGCCTCGGCTGTATGTACAAATGTGGGCTTCGGGTACCCTGTCATAATGGATATCAAGACGCGCTTTCGATTTGGTTGTAAACCCACAAAACCAGCGCATCAGTCATACCACCGTTATCATATCGTCGTTATGTTTTAACGCGCCTCGCTGGAAATGGATAAAGAAGATATCGCGAAATGGCCGTCTCGTGTGCCGTGGTAGTCTGCGCAGCTGTTGCGCGTGTTGTGGTCAACGTATAGCAGACCTATGGCTGCGCCGTAGTGCAATTTTAGATCAGTGCATGGGAGGCTGGTAGTTGATCGGTCGCCTGGCCGTACAGTTAGTTTGCAGCGCGCGATCTTTGCAACTAAACAACGTACTTGAAGAGCAAGATGTGAGGTTCTGGCTCGTGGACCTCATAATGCTCCCATCCCAAACTCTATTCCCAAGTCAGCATGTTGATTGTAGCCTGTTTCGAACCCAGCGTACCTGTGTGATTCCCAGTGCCCGCCATTCCTCTTCCCATAGCAACTTCAATGTGCCCCTAGCGCCGTCAAAGTAGTCTTTTGGGATAGCCTTCAGCATTTGCTTAGGGAGCTGCACATGGCGGTATTCGTATGCATCGTCTGAGTATCTGTGTCAAGTGTCAATAAAGAAAGCGCGCTGACCGCTTCTTGAGTCGACAACCCACCTTGCCGAGTAATGGATCGCGTCAATGAATTCATCCAGCTTCTCTTTCTCATGCTCAGATAGCGGGCGCGGCTTCTTGTTCCGGCGCGTGAAGTCAATATCCAGTTCGGCCGACATGTTGGGTGTAGGGTGACGCGAGAGAGGAGCTCGTGTGCTCGTCCAGTGGGGGTTCGTCGGGTGGTTGAAGCGAGTGGGGCGGGCAGCTGCGCAGCCTGAAGGGAAGTCGCAGTTGTGTATGCGTGAAGACGCGCGCTGATGGAGATTATCGTGTTAGACCGCGTCAGATGCGTAGTTTTGGAGCGACAGAAAGAATAGTTCAAGTAACTGAACCCAAACAGCACTTGTTTACGAAGTTGTGAAATTTGGCCGACTGTCCAAGCTTCTACGCTAATTCGGCTGTAGTCTAGCGTAACCGTCCAACCACGTTGTTACCGCATCTGGCCAACGTCTTTCACCCCTGCATCTCCGCTGATCAGCGACGCGCAGTCGACTTTACGGTGCAAACATCCTGACGCCAGCTTACGTACGCTTCGAGGCTACAAGTACCGAGTACCTTGCCCTTTCTACTTTTTCCATCTCTGCAGATAGATATAAGAGTTACTTCACCACTACAATCAATACAGTTCCATCTTGCTTTCTTGTACTGATTTTATGCGAATTGCTTGCAACGCTCCATGTATATCTCAAGAGCCATATCTTCCGCCTTACATTCGTCTCCGAGATCGCCCAATGTCCACTATATAAAGGCACAGATAACTCCACATAAGACCGAATCAACGCTGTTCGCGCATACTCCTCCGCTCTCCCATGCTGAACAAACGCTGCTGAAGGAAAACATGTCACACGTATAGGGGGCACGGTGCCGTGTCGATGTCAATATAGTCTCCCCTGGTGTTCGCCATAGCACACAAGTCTAGCTTCCTTTGAGGTTGAGAGTGATTGGACCTGTACAAGATAATAAGGCAGTATGCTTGCTTGTTGGTTCATGGACCTCAGCGTATGATTTGTACAACCCGGATACGGGTGGAGGGGCTGAACACAGAACTATGCGCCAGTCTCGACAGTCACAAATCGGCCACAAGAGCGCTTCCTATAGGTAAGATGTAACTCCGGCAGTACGAGTCGACTGAGGGTATCTGTGTTCAAAAGCATCTCACAATCTAGCTCGAGTGACCGTTGTGCAGCCAAGTTAGGTAACAAACTATCATGTCTACTCTAGTAAACACAGCACTTCTACTATGTGCACACTAAAGTCTGATACTCAACCACATCGCTATGAGCGGGATTCGTACAATAGTCACACAATGAACGGACGCACAAAGAGTGAAGTATACTTGGTTAGCTTCGCAACATCCTCTCATATACTGACGTTTTTTTTTCACTCCTGCAAGCCTCTTCAAGGTGCTGGCATGGAATGGTGAAATTTCAATATTATCCACTAATCACACTAAGACGATTATCTCCAGGTGCCGCTGTCAAGAACTCCAACGGTTTGTTCAATTCGCCCGATATTCCGTACATACCATCCCTTCTTTGTCCATCCTCTCGATAACCTTAGGGCGTCCACTGCCATGTTCCAGCTTTCCATCTCTCCAATCCCATCTCAACTGTTTTTTCGGCTTGATCACCATCGCCTGCTGCATCTCCGGTTTCGTCTGCCCCAGATCTCCATGAACCACATTGATGCCTTCATCAGTAACCCCTCGATCCAGCCACTCGTTGGCTCTGTCGTCACCTGAGCTAGTCTTGATTTCCGGTAGCAGCTTGATTGACGGCAATGGCGGTACGGACGAGTAGCATTGTTGCAGGCTTTCATAATGCTCTCGTTGTATATGCTGTCGAGATAGGCGATGTGAGAGGTGGGATTCTCGACTGGCCTCGAGACCATGTAAGGTAGGCTCTTGCTCTAGTTGTTGGCAGGGGTTGTTCTTGTGTCGGCTGACGAGGCGGACAGTGAAGTACACTAATATCGAGATGAGAATCGTTGATGTCAAAACGATAAGGGCGAGGAAGAGATTGGTAATGAGGCTTAACCCAGCCATGTCGCTCCAGTCGAACCTGTCAGTCTTCGTCAAACTTTACTAGAGGACGGAATGGGATGAATCGCTGGTGCTGTGGCGCCTGCTGCAAGAGGTATACTGCAGTACTTAAGCATGTTAGGTAATGCATCAAAGGGGGTTTCCACAAACTAATGTAACTCTTTAAAGGCCTTTCTCCAGGTAGTCACACAAGTGAAAAGATTTCCGAATCAAAGCGTAAGTCCGGATGCACGAAGGTCTGGCTAAAATGTACTTTGGTCGTATTGGGTCGCACAGAGTGACACTGGATATGGGAAAGAGAGATTGCGCGACCATCCATTGGCTCGAGGGACACAATAGCTAGTCATTAGGATCGGTTATGGTTACGATGCGCATAAGAGGATACTCAGGTTGATCAAAAGCAACTCGTTGACCAAAACGACACGTACGTACAACTTCATCGCCGGACCCCCTACTCTAATGGACCCAAGTAGTCATACACAAGCCTAACCCTGACAACCTCGTCTTTACCCTTCTTCCTAACCACAAACCTCCTCGTCAACTTCCTCTCACCGCCAATATCCGCAAACCCCCAAATCTGCCACGCAGTCCATTTATTTCCATCATTATCCACAAAGCTCTCCACAAGATCCCCTTCCTCTGTCTCCTTCAACCACCCTTCTGCCAGGTACTTGATATCCTCCTCCTTTGCACCTCCACTCTTCCCCTCTTCTACCGTCTTGGCCAACGTAGAGTAACGAGATCGTCCCTTGACAGTGCCGAAGAGCCAGTCGGTGTGTTCACGGTAGTGCCAGTCTAACGTACGGTTCTCAACTGAGCCTTTAAGACCGCCGGTTATGAGTTGGTCGATCTTTATGTGTGTAGTTGGAGCGTTGTCCTCGCCAGTCGTCGGCGATTGGTAAAGGTGTTGGGTTATGGTTGCTGCGCCGAGGGCTTTTCGGGTAAGCCAGCCGATGCTTTGTAGAGCAAGAATGGGGTCGAAGGCATCAGAGAGGGACTTGTTCTGAGATAGGTTAGGATGGTATTGTGATGTGTTGATGTTTGAGATGAAGTCACTCTGTTCGCTGCATAACTTCATTTTCAAGACTGCCTAAACTTACCATAACCCATTTTCCCTGGAGGTTCTTGATGTCGGCACTTGCTGGTGCAGCCATCTTGTCGATTCTTATCGTCGCTTCAACGGTGATGTGGTGTCTGGTGTGTAAAGAGCTTCGAAAGTTACCGCGGGGCTATAGTGATTGGTAGCCGTGGGTACCAGTCTAATTGAGGCGACTATGTGCGAGACATCTTATATGCCGGTCGTCTAGGTACCAAGCCCATCCAAAAGATGCCGTGCGTATTAGCACCTGCCTTAGTCGACAATGGTACATTGTCACGTTCGTGCCTGTGCGAACATCTTATGTGGCGTCATGGCAGGGATGCCGAGGTTCGTTTCCTTTGGGGTAGCACCTCCGCGGGGAACCCTGGCTTTCTTTCTCATGCGCGTTCGCATCCAATATCCGCGCTCGCAGCACCAACCCTATACTACATCCAGGGCCATCTTTGGACTTCACGGCACAGCCCCGGATCGACGGGAGAGGTTGCATGTGAACACCGACCGGAGATCATGCCTTAAAACGCGTGTTTTCCGATCGAGACGGGCTGATACGAGGAATGAGAGCAGCATGACCTTTGGAGCCACGAGCTGGCTTGTGATCAAGTACCATCCAGCTGCATTGTTCCATGTTCTTTATCAAAATGTCTGTTCTCTTTTCGGTATCCCATCACTCACTCCTCTTCTCTCTGACTTCCACGGAAGCGAGTTTGAACCAGGTCCAGCAACGAGGACAAACTTGTAAAAAATTGACATGCTAGAAAATTATTCTAAAGCGACACATGACCTCGCTGTCAACGGACTACTACAGTTGTCTTTATAACTCGACAAGTTCCTCTTGGGTATACGCATTGCACTTGTCAGGGCGATGATTTGCTCCAACGTCTGGACTTTACCTACCAGAGAACCCTCGAATACACCGCAAGCACTGTTTCGAGCAAGTTTCTCTTCGTCGTACCTTACCATCTCGGTACTCGTCAGGCGCCTCGGGTTTCGGTTGGCTCGATGTTCCGAAACATCTGCCATGTTTCAATGGTCGTGAGCATGGTGTGACTTGGCGCAAAACGGAAAGGACTGCAACAAAAAGGTCAAGGGGGCGAACATCGTTAGTAACTTCACATTTGAAGTAAGGCTGCGACACGGATTGTATGCTCCTGGCGTCGATGCCTCAGATGTGACATGTACAGACTGCCGGTCGATCGGTAATTTACCTTAGTTTCTAATCTGGTTCGTAGTTCCTTTTGTTTACCGGCCATTCTATCGATCTTTTCAACACTTCTCTTTCGCACGCGCTGGAACTCGTGTTTCTTTTCATTTCATTCTATCTTCAGTGTGTTTGTCGAAAGTTCACATCCTTGAGTCATAACACAGTCGCACAAAGTCTAATCAAACTTTTCGTTACTTCCACTCGTTGGTTGCGCATACGGCTTTGCGCAGCACTGTCGTCACGGTTCCTCATCTCAGACGGTTACAAGCGCAGTGAAAGTGCCATTTACTCGATCCAATCAATCCTGCGACTCCAACCTTTTGCCATCAAAGCACCATCACCTTTACTTTTACGGCAGTTCGAAGGATTGGAGTGCTGGTATCTGTTGCCCCATATAACGACCTCAACGAACGATCTCAACGATAATTTCTTTTCGCAAACGGTTGAGCTGAACTGAGGGGTCGAGCACTCTTTGCACGCTCAACGTCATATAGCGCAGAAGTCATCGTGCGCATCGCAGTGACCCCGCCCGATAGCTTGCTTGTCAATAAGAATCCTCTATATTCACAACGCCAACCCACCATCGGTCGTTCCCTCTCGCTCACAACCCACACTCGTTATTACTTCTCAGAACACCCACCCAACATTCTTTCAGCCGCCACGCGAACGTCGAGCCAAATCATCGGAAAAGCGACCTCAATCACCTCCATCGCGCAACTTCAAACGCAACTCCAACAATGAAGTCTCTCTTCATCTTCACCGCGTTCACTTCCAGCGCTGTCGCCTCCGCGATTCAGCTCCCCAACCTCATGGACCGTGCTATCGATCCAGCGACTATGAATCCAACACTGTTCTCCGTACTATCAGTGCTGAAAACCGGTATGCCCACAGGCCCCAACGTCCCCATGCCAACTGGCGATTTAATACCAGACTGGTACCAGAATTTACCGGGAGATGTCAAAAGGTTGTTGCCGTCGTTCTATCCTGTTGCTGCTGCGGCTGCGTCTGCGACGTCGGATGCGCAAATTGTGAGCCAGGTGTCTGCGGTTGAATCTAGTGTATCAGTGGCGAGCGTTTCGAGTCTCACCTCATCATCTTTGTTGTCTGCGTCTTCGTCATCGTCTTCTTCCAACGCCGACGACACTTCTTCCACGCCATCCATGTCGCAATATGCGTCCGCAGCCACCGACACAGTCTTGGCATCTTCTTTGGTACCTCATTCAAACAGCGCATTGCAAACAGCAACACCTTCTGCGGCTCTAGCCAGCCTTGCAGCCACACCACCGAATTCTCTTTCCACAGGCGCTAGGTTCGCGGTCAAGATAGAGACATTAGCGGTGGTTGCTTGGCTGAGTGTTGGAGCTGGGTTCTTCATCTTAGCATAGCCTGGGCTTGACGCTCAGGTGCTGCGTTGCTTGAAAGTTGACATTTTGTGTATATTATTTCCCGAGATATCCCCACGCGACACGAAATGTAATCTAGTCCTTTTTTTAAACTAGAAATGAACATCATACTGTAACATGCTATCATTCGCAAACTACATTCGTGATATTAAACACAGCTTCATGCGTCCATCGTCATACCATCTTTCAAATATGAACATAGTACACAGAGGCCCATCGCTCTTGCCCTCTCTTGAATGCGTCTTTTAGAGACAAAGCACACCCGCAACCCTAACACCCAGATCCAGCACAGCAAGATGCTCATCACCTCCATCCACAAGCCTCTTATCCGTCTCACTAAACACCCCCGCCAACCTGACCTTCTTCACGTCCTCCACCCGCTCATCAAACATGATCTGCTCGTACAACTGGCCCACAGTTTGGCTCGCACTCCACCCCTCGGCTACCATATTCTCAACCACCTTCGCAATCTCTGCATAGCGTATCGACTTGTTCGCAGATGACTTGGGGAAAAGCGAATCGCTGAAGGAAGAGAGTGTGGCTGGAGGGAGCACACCCGCGATCTCAGCGATGATAGGGAGGGACACCGCTGGTGTTGCTGAAGGTGCGGCAGCAGCACCAGCAGCAGAATCGATATCCATCTCATCCTCGTCAGCAACAACCTTCTTCTTCTTCTTGCCCCCCGCCGCACCCTGAGCCGACACAACAGCCCCTACAAGCCTAGCTGCAGACTGCAAAAAGGTAATCGCCTTCCTGAGATCCCCATCCGCGACTCTCACAAGCTCCTCCGCAACGCCGTCTTCCAACTCCACCTTCTCCAGCCGCGCAATATCGCCAACCCGCTTCACCGCATTCCCCTGATCCAAGCTCTTGAAGCGGAATTTCGAACAACGTGATGCAAGAGGATCGATGATGCGGGTGACGTAATTACACACGAGACAGAATCTCGTCATGCGGGAATACGTTTCCATGGTCCTGCGCAATGCGGATTGAGCATCTTGCGTCATACTATCCGCTTCATCCAGCACAATGATCTTGAATGGCGGGCATGGGTATTTATCCCTATACCGCACTGTCTTGCCCTCCCCTTCTCCGCTCTGATCCTCAACCATGATGTTGTAGTTTGGCGCAACACTAAGCTGCTGTCTTGCAAAGTCTTTGACCTTCTGCCGTACGATACTGATTCCACGCTCGTCTGAAGCGTTTAGTTCCAAGACGCGGGATTTCATCAGTTCAGGGCCGTAGAGTTCTTTGGCGAGAGCGAGGATTGTAGACGTTTTTCCAGTTCCCGGGGGCCCATAGAAGAGCATGTGCGGGAGATTAGAGGATTGCATTGTGCGGGAGAGGATTTGGATGGTGTTGTCTTGGGCGGTTACTTCTGAGAGAGTTTTGGGGCGGCTAGAAGGCTTGTTAGTATTGGGATTGAATGGTGTGTTTGGGTGTTGCGGCTCGCACTATTTCTCGACCCATGGTTGCATGCGGTTGGACTCTTGTTTTGTTGTAGGCGCTTTTGAGGAACTTGCTTTGGCCGCATTGGCTTGCCGAGCTTTTATGTTGAAGAAGTCGGCCATTGTTGCGGTTGTGTTGGGGTTGAGGTTGTGTTGTCGCGATGTTGGACAGCTGCTAAAGTGCGACGCGTCGACGCGAGACCACGAACTCACGTTTTCGCACAGACCATGCTAGTGTTCACCAATCATGTCATCATTGCTGCGTACAGAAAAGCTCTGTTTTTTCCGATTGTACTCAATATTGGGAAGATTCCCTAGAGGTATTCACAGTGATCTAGTTCAACATCCTGATAAAACAGATGAGACTGTATACCTTCAGGTATATTGTCGCATGAGTAACGACTAAGAAAACCTGAGTATGTACGTGCATCACTACATCAAAGATTTTAAGACTATTGTTCAACGAATATATTGCACGTCTTGTTTTCTTCTTAGAGATGAATTCCAGACGTTTGATGCCAGACCATGCATCCACTCCTGCTCAGTCCGAGCTGCCCAACTCCTCCGGCATACCCCGCCACGTCGAGGCTCCATTTCGCCTTTTCAATGTCGCTCGAATTACAGACCTATGGTATCAGAGGTCGCGCCTCAGGAGCGAGACTAGCCTGGACTAATCTACTTCCCAAGCTTAACCCCCTTTACTCTCTTAGTCAACTGTGCAGAATCGGAATCTGAGCCATAGGAGGACTGTCGCATCGTACCGCGGTTGTGATCTAGGGGAAGAGGAGGTGCTGCAGCCCCCCTACTGGCCGACGACTGGGAGAGGGACGAAGATTGATAAGAACGTTTCGGGGGGCGCTCACCACTTTCTTTGAGAATGGTCAGAAGAGTTGCCCAGCCTCCGGTATGTTGGAGTGCTGAGCCTTCTGATGTGTCGTGCATAGATGCTACCTTGAAGAGCAATGACTCTTCGTCCTGGTTTGTACTGTTAGCAGGGAACACAGATGGTTCTATTTGACGTACCTTTGATAGAATACCGAGATTATGAATAAAGCACAGCATGTGAAAATTCGAGATGGCGTTGAGGCCGCTGGTCGTGTTGAGCGCCAGTCCGTTCGCTTTAGCGTTGAGAGCTTTGCTGAGATGTGTGATCTCTGGCACCTCACCCGTGGCTTCACGATTTTCGATTGGGAACTTGCCACCGGTGAACAGAGGATTTGGCTGAGTCGGGAAACCGTGTGTTAGTGTGAGGAGTAAGTACTCCACGGGGAAGTCAGGTCTAGCAATCTCTTGTACGTTCGCACCGTGTTCGTTTATCCTTCGGTAGAAAACTTCAGGGATATACCGCGCCTTATTCAAGGCTTCGTTGTCCTCTTCTGATTGAACGAGCATGACTGACGGTTCGGCTGAAGGCTCGATGATGTCTGCGCGAACCATCTCAACAGCATCGTTGGACACTTGGTATGACGAGATGCCAATCTGACCTTGGTCGTCGCCGCTGATTACACATGTAACAAAGTTGGACCCATGTCGTCCGGTATCGCTCCACTTTGAAGGCCGGGGGTACTTTGCTTGATATCGTGCTGCAAAGGTGATTTCGAGTGAGGAAAGGTAGTATGAGTCCATGTGTCGCTTGCAGATGACGGAGCCGTCGCCCTTGTCCGCGTCGAGCAGATCTGTGAAGATCACTCCGACCCGTTGTAGTCCGCACTGTGCGGCGATCTCATCGATCTCCTTCTCGTTGTCCCAGTCGCTTAACGAGATACCGTCCGCCTCATTAACTTGCGGTGGCTCGTAGATGGTCTCGACAACAGCCTTTGTACCTAGTGGCACCTCAGTATACTCCTCGTACCTGCCGTACAAGAAGCCCAGTCGTTGACAGCCAGTTTGCCTCCAGAAGTTGATCACATCATCAACAACCTGTATCGAAGCGAACTCGACGTGATCCACCATACGGTATTCTTGTGGCTTCAAGGAAATGGCGCTAGGCATGCACTTGGTGCAGATACCTTCCGGGAATGGCTTGTGTCCCGATGGACAGTCGGGGCGTACGCGGTAGTAGGGTTCGGTCAACGGGGGCATGTACGAGCTACCGAGCTCTGGTCTGTTCTTCGCCGAGTTGACTTTGCGGAGGTACGAATGGAACGAGAGATGCTTGATCTTCTTTTCGGCGAGGTATACGGGAGAGTAGGGCTCTAGGGGCATGCAGTAATCGCACATGCCCTTTGGTCCATGGGAGCACATGCGAGCGTCGCGTTTCCTAGGAATCTTGCCATCCAGCCTGTCTAGCCTGTCATCGAGCGGTGACTGTCTAACAACTTCCCACGGATTCTTTATGGTTTGCGTAGGAGAGCCGAGGGGTACAGAGCCCATGTCGGTGGCTTCGACAGGTTTGCCGTTCAGTCGTGCGCCGCCTGTTGGTGCTACAGCATGGCCGTTCGATTCTGTGGACTGCTCCTCAAAGGACAGAAAGAGTTGCGCGCCGTTGGATAGTCCCACTTGCTTGAAGCTCACGCCCTTGAGTTCAGCAAGCTTCCTCGCGTCGCCTCCCTGTGGACGGTTGCTAACACTGATGCTCTGGATATCGACATTCTTTGGCAGCTTCTCGGCGACCTGGGGCAGGATGGCTGAAAAAGTATCCTCGGGCTGTACCGTCAACCTGAACTGGCCGTCTTTGCTAACGAACCTCAATATCATGGTTGTAACGTTGTGGATTTTGGGGTTGAACTGGTGGTAAAGGTCGCAGGTAGTAGGGTGTAGGTGGGAGTTTTCGTAGGAAAGCGTGACCAGAAGGAGTAAATGGAGAAAAGTGAACTGCGGTTGGGGGTGTTCGTGATTGATCTGATTAGAGGCATCGAGAAGGCGGACATGGATGACGCAGACGCGCTAAGAGGGGCGCTAGTCGAGCGCGGAACTGGACAGATATTCTAACATATCGATAGTGAGACAAATGCCCGCGCAATTCACCTACCCACTTGGTCTTCACCTACCCACCGTATCTCATCTTTGAGGACACCGTCGCTCCTTCGTAACTCTAATATCTGCGACTGCACTGAGTCCGCGAATTCGTCAAAGCCCCTCCGTATATCACACAAGCAACCCACACACTACACTCACCATGTGGCCCTTCGATATCGTCGACTGGGTGATGCTCGCCGTGCCCTTCGCCTACATCGGTATCCTCGCTGGCTCCTTTGCAGTCTTTACAAACCTCTATCGCAAGCGTCAAGCTGCCAATGCCGCATCCCTGGAACCCTGGTTCCCTACACATCTCCAGCGCAATGTCTACCTCTCCCTGCTACACATGGACGACCCCAAAGTGCCGGACAGCGTACTGAAGGCTGCGCTGTTGCGCCGCGCGACCGAAGACATTCACCGAATCGTACAGGTTAGAAACGCGAAGCAGGCGCTGCAGGTGTTGCTGCAGAGGGGTAGTGTGGGCGATGATCTGTGGCAGCGATTCCAGAGGGCGGAGAAGGAGATTGAAGAGGAACTTAGGGACGTTGTTAGTGAGGTGAGTTGCATATGTTTGGACTGGAGCCGGATAGCGTCGCGATTCTTTGAGTATGACTAATGTTGAGATAGGCCAACGCATTCGCACCAAACTGGGGTCAGACCATCTTCCAGTCCGCCTCTGAAATGGCACAGAACAACCACATCCGCGAACGCCTAGCTGAGATTACTGCGAAAGCGCCAGCGGAAAAGGAGTGGTGGGAGAAGCGTAGGACCGACATCCAATCCGAGTTCATGAAGGAGCTGGACGAAGAAAAGGCGAAGAGCGAAGACGGTGTAATGGTGGAGAAGGCCAAGGCATGAGGGTGGTCATGTTAAGGTACTGTGTGCTTCTATTTCAGGTGTCAAACGTGGGGTAGTCGAAGTTGTCTAGGGTATTGGCGTTTTGAAGCATTTGAAGGCGTCCTGGACAGCTGCACTTTGGTTGCTGTGCGACCGCATCAGATATGCTTTTATACCATGTTTAGTTGAGTCAATGGAGATTGCAATGGGTGGCTAAGTCAATTAGGCTTTTGTATCGACTTGTTCAAATGCTAAATTGCAGTGCTATAAACGCCATTATCCCATAGAGTACAAGCTCCGACACTGCTAACCATCAAATACTGTCTGTCGTACACCAGATATACACTGCTAACTCTCCCGTTTCTCTCTTTCCTCCCATACCTCACACTATCTTTCAAGCTCCTACTTCCTTGTGGGACCGCTAACACCAGCACCGATGACACTGGGTAGCTCCTCAGCACCCATGGTGTAGAGCATACCAATGCCAGCAGATACCAAGAAAGCCAGAACGACACCACTGCCGACGAAGAGCCAGAACTGAACCGATATGTCCTTCTTCTGGCAAGCGGGGCCACCCCAGTAAGTGACCTTCCTCTTTTCCTCCATACCCTTTCCATCCTCGTACTCAACAGTAGCCGAGCAAGCGCAACCAAAGCAATCAACGGTCTCCTGGTTGGAACCGGAACCCCGACCCTTGTGGAGAAGCTTGCACTCGCCATGGCTGGAGCAATTGTGGGTCTGAGTCTGGCAAGCCGACATGGACTTGAAGCACGTAGGGAGAATACCACGAACAGGGCCCTTGTTGTTCTCGGCCGCGATGACGACAGGGAAGTCCTCAAGGTCAGGCACCTTGGAGACAGCAGGTACGGGCTGGGAGGAGAGGACTGCCTCGGGGTTCTGGCGGCGAGCCTCCTTGGAGGGAACATCGTACATGCCCCATGCGTGGGCAGCGCGCTTGGACTTTGAGGCTGAACGCGGCATCATAACGACAGTCGTGGAGAAACCTGTCTCCTCGGCTTTCTTGTTGACGTTGCTGAGCACTTGGGCGATTTCCTCAGGCGTCATCTTGTTGCTCTTGTCGGTGCGCCACATGTTGAGGTAGCCATTGTAAGCATCCGACTTGCTGTTTGGCGGGAGCGCCGACTCGATCTCAAAGTTGGACGTGTATGTTCGCTGCTGAGGGTCTGGGTAGGCTGGCAGCGACTCGGCTTGTGCTATAAAGTCCATAATCAAGCGGTCATTGTCAGACGCAGATGGCGCACTTGATATCGCAAAGTCGTGTGTGCGATCTGATCCGTCGTTGATGATGACTGATAGCTTGAGTTAGTCTGTACCCTCTGCTATGCCTTCGTCACGTATGCCCACCTGTTGCCTCGTCTTGCTCAGAGTCCTCTGCCCAGATCAGCAGATGCGCTTTGGTCTGCTCTGCATCGTCTCCGCCGAACAGCTTCTGTTGCCGTCCACCATACGTGTTGATGTGTCTGATTGTCTCGGCGTCTGCGTGCTCGACAGAGTGGAATCGCGATAGACCCAGTCGCTGGGCGATGATAAGACGCGCTGTCTCGGGACTGACGGTTGGTCGAGCTGCAAGGACTGTGCAGTACAGCGATGAGGCGACAAAGGCCCCGGATAGCTTCATGGTGGCGGTGAGGATGGAGTTGAGGTAGTTCCACGATGATGCAGGTGCATCATCGCCATCCTGAGCTGCGCTGCGACCTAGATGGAACTAGCGTCGAACTTGCCTCACCTCCGCCCGCAACCATGCAACTCGTGGGGGCCTTGCCAACAGCATTCGATTCATTGTTCTAATAAACCTCGCGCGCATTCTTTGAGTCTGTAGCGCTTTAAATGTCTCTCCACTTAGCCTCGGGTTCCTCATAGCATCCGCTCTTCGCCTGCATCACACCAATGTTCACGCCACTGGTGCTGCGGCGCAACTTCTCCCTCTTTAATCGGGTACCGCATTCGCGCATAATCCGATCGGCGGCACGCCATGGACATGAGCAAGTCATAATACAGCGAGTGCGTATACGGCGACCATTTCTCAGCAAGTCGTGAGTCGCTTCACACATCCCTTGCACATTACGTATGCTAACTCGAGCATAGACGTCTAGTCGGTGCTGTCGCTATCGGAGTGGCTACGTACGGCCTCGGACAATATGTCGGTATAAGAGTTGAAGTGGAAGAGATTAAAGACGAGGAAAGGACGTCTAAGCCTGGGCAAGACGGATGGACAACAGTTGGTCAAGAAGAGGACGAGGAGGATGATGATGATGATGAAGAGTACGACGACGCTCTGCTATTCTTACCAACCGGATTCTCAAGACCACGGCCGAAGAAGTTCTGGAAAGGCTCAGACCCAGAGTGGCAAGAATTCAAGAAGTTGGCAACGGACCGCCCCAGGGTTGAGAAGATACGAGGTGCGATACGTCCGATCCGAACATGGTGGACGCGTGCTGACTATTGAGCAGGAGAATTAGCCTTTATGCTGCGCAATCTGTTCGCTAAGAGCCCCCCATACGTCGCCAAAGCCGGCAAAATCGACACGGACAAAGGCAATATGTGGATAGAGTTCAAGTTTCCAGACACTGCGCCAGACGAGTATGAGCGCCCTGGTATCGAATTGACCGAGGACCTGGAGTGGCGAAAGGCAACCCGTCCGGTAGAAGCTCCACACCATCATCGCTTGAACAGGATACTATATCCGAAGGAAGCAGCAAACGCCCTTTACCATGACACAACGAAGAAGGCAGGAAGGGCATGGGAAGACTTTAAGATTTACATGGGTTGGTCACAGGAATCCAAAACGGAGGCTGTCCAACAGCTCGTTCAGCGGATAGCTGCGAATCCACAGTCATCCGTTAACAAAACGACGAGCATAATCCCAAGCCCTTTCTCTACATCTGCCAAAGATACCCAACAGCCAGGTGTACCACCCTCAGCAGCGCCCGTCGACGCTCCCGCCAAGGACCTTAATGGTCTCCTTCTCCCAGATCCCAAGAAATTGACACTGGATCTTACACAATTCCGCAGCGACTTTCGCAAAAGCTTCAAGCAATATCCATTAGTAGTTCCGCGCGGTGCTTTTATGGTGCTCGGCCTCATCGAAATATATGGCGAACGAGCAAAATTGACGCTCAACGTTCATGCTGTGTATGATCCCAAGCAAGGACGTTATGTGGGCATGCACTTTACGCCGTGGAATTTCGTTGAGCTGAGACAGCTTCCGAAGGGTGGGCGGTAACATGGTTGCAAAGGTCGATGCATTATACCCAGCTTCAAGGGCGTTTTGAGCGTTAGATATCATTGTGTGAATGGCGTTTACTTGGAATACATGATCATGTTCAGCGGCATTATGGGTGTTTAGACTGCGTTGGACGATGAAGCATATTCAGAAGATTGTCTACGGTCCCTTTGTGTGTATCTCTCTCGCCCACTCCTTTCCGTTTACAAAGCTTCACGGCAAACGTCTGTTGTTTCTGTGCCTATCGGGAGCCTACTAAAGGTTCATGCGAGTTATACCATGGCGTGATTTCCTTCCGGATCTTGCATTCGGGTTGCCTTTTTCGAATCATCAATTGAATGGTTTGACGCGCGATTAGAAACAGCGAATTTCTACCGGTCCCAAAGAATAAAAGAAAGAATAAAAGAAAGAATAAAATACAGCATGACATGGGGCATAGCTTCGAGAGCAAGATAACGACTTCTACTTCACCGCCTTCTCATCCATACGAATATCTATGCAGATCTAGTCCTCCTTGTACTTCGCCTCTGTATACGCCACCTGCTTATCCTTATACGCGACCATGAAATGCAACGTGGCGCTGTCTAGCGTGATTGTGAGATCGAACAATGCGGATCTGTACTTTTGTTTCGTGTCCGCGTCCCTCCATGAGGTTTCCAGATATAATTTGGAGCACTCGACGCCGTACTCGACCGCGCAGAGTTCCTTGACGCCTGGACAAGGTTAGCGAGACCCGCGTCACATGGACGGAGATAAAGTGGGGTGAAACGCACAAGATTCAACGAATCGCGAAGGCGGCTCGTCATCAGCGCAGTACCATAGTTCCTGAGAGAAGTTGTGTAGGCCTGTGCTCAAGAAGCCGATTTGAATGCTGAAGGAATTTGATAACATGATCTTACGACCTTCTTCTAGGCGATCTCCCTAGGCCGTGTCAGTGATCATGTAGACCTCGGGAGGATCTCGGAAGTCAACTAACCTTTTTGATCAGCCAGTTCATTTGGTTGGTCGCAAACCAGCCACGAGGCCTTTTCCGGCGATCTATTTCCAGATGGCCCATCGACGCGTCGAATGGAACGTCCCAGCGATTTCCGTAGCTGTATCGCGCGATGCGTGCTGAGACCGTTTTTGATGTGAAATTGGAATGCGATGAGTGCTCCAAGCCCCATAGTGTTGCCCCCCGACAGATAGCAGACCACCTAGTAGGACATGAGAACTGGCTAACTATGATGGACTGACAACGAATGCTTACCCGCCAGGTACCTGTAGGATTTCGATTCCATCACCGCGATGTGCGTCCTTCAGTCGCTTGTAGATGTACTTGTTGGTTCCGAAACCGCCGACTAGGAGAACAGCCTACGAGTAAGGTTTAGAGAAGCTTGAAATGCCACATCAAGGAGCATACATACCTTTACATGTTGTCCGCCATCTAGTGCTGTGTCGATCTGCCTCTCTACAAGCACCATTATCTTATTGATGATATGATCAAATAGTGTCTGAAGTGTTTTCCTGGGAACGATCAGTTGGACGCATAACCTTATGCGTTTGTAGCGGTTGATAGCTTACGGTTTCAATTTGATAGTGTCGTCGTCAATCCCTGCGGACTCATTATCTTCGACACCATGCAGCACAACAGAGTATTCCTTGTTGTCTCCAGCATAGCATCTTTTTACACCCGCCTCAAATTGTTGAAGCATCATCTTCCTGGCCTTGGGCTTGAGTTTCTTGTATTCACGTTCGCCTACAATTAACTGGACCCATTTGACGAAGGCTCTGTCTAGGAATACAGATCCACATTGGCCACCGTCGCCCATGGCGCATTCTTCTATCTTCAACGGGTCAAGACCGGTGATTTTATACGAGATCAGATCCTTTCATGGTAAGCGACGAGCGTGTAGATCGGGTTGGTGGGCTTACTACAGTGCCTCCGCCGGCATCACATACGACGAACGAGGCGCCCACCTCTAGCTTGTTTTCTTGACTCTTTCCTTTCAAAACAGCTAGAGCTGCCGCCTCAGGTTCTGTCACCAGTTGGATATTGTCTGGTAAGCCCGCCGTTCTGGCAGCTCTCAAGGTTCTTTCCTTTGCAATTGGGCTCCAAATTGCTGGCACAGTCAGAACCACTCGGAGAGAGTATATCTTTTCCCATGTTTCTCCTTCATTGCGCTCGATATGATCCTTTGTGTACTGCCACAGCAGCTGCAAGTAATCGGAGGCTACTTCTTCAGCCGACTTGCTGAGAGATCCGAGGAGATTGCGAGACGCTGAGACCGCTTCAAAGTCTGCTCCCAGCTTCTGCTTGGAGTTGAGGAGTAGCTTGAACCATTGGAAATGTTGTTCAGTAAGGGTGTCGACGTTGTAACCCCAGTTGAGAGGTTTTCCGTCTGCGTACGAGATAATGGTTAGTACCTTCTCCGACTCGGCGTTTGCTCCGGTAGGGTTGGGCCAGTCGGTAATGAGGTGGACTTTACTAATACCATTGATAGCCCATGATACCCCCGAATACCTGCAACTCTTAGTTTTTGGTTATTGTTGAGAACATGGTCATTCTTACGTGGTTCCAAAGTCAATGCCCACAACAATCTCCGAAGCCATAGTGATTATTTCTGTTCGCTAGAGGTGAGAAAAAAGGTATTGAGTAGGAAAGAGTTGAAGAGTCTCATGTAACCTAGTGCCTATGGGCTGTACTTCCCCCCCCCCTGATGAATGCCCCTCACATCGGCGCATGGGGCCAGAGATAGCACGCAGCCACCGAAGTGGCACTTTACGCACCTCGCACTTTCGGTACCTTGATAACTCCCACTTCCTCTCTTCCTAATAGTCATCCCAAGATATTTTCAGGCTTGCCGTGTAGATCATCATCAAGCAGCAATGTCGGACGAATTCGAGCAAAGACCGACTGAAACCGGCTATCATATCACTGCAAGCGGGCAGTCGACCGACCAGACATTTCGCAACGATGAGCAAATATTGGTGCCTGTTTCTACTGACAGAGGAAATGACATCCAAACTAACGAATTCCCGAAGCCAAAGCCCCTTTCAAAGGTGCCCTTGTCAAGAACCTACAGTACTGGAGAACAAGTTTCCCAGATAGAGAAGCTCCCGGTCAAGCTAAACCGAAATTACGCAAATCAGAATCAAGGTGACTCTCTTCATTCTGCTTACTAGCCACGTCTCGCTAATAGTATATGTAGACAATCGAGACGTGCGACCACTGGTGACAACCAGAGGATCTTCAAACGCGCCGAGGCCTCCGCCTGATTCATACCAGTCAGATCAGCATTACCCACCACCACCACTACAACAACAACAACACGAGAAATCCCATAGCGGCTTTGTGGGTTCCTATTAGCTCACGCTTTGAGAGAAACTAACTGGAGACGCAGAGTAACAAGTTCACCAAGATTAAAAATGGTTTGCGTGGTGGTGAGTCCAGCCATGGGCGACGCTACGAGGACGACTATGCTCGCATGCAGCGGTACAAGAAAGAACGAAACGAGGCAGATGACCGGTATGAAGAACTTGAAAGAGAGATGAATGACAGAATATTGGAATTCGAAAGAGCTCTAAAAGCGGAGCAAGACATGGTTGAAGCTATCAAGCTATCAGCCCACGAACTGCAAAAGACCAAGGACACCAAGGTACTCGTCTTTGGGGTGCAGGAAACCGACGATGTCGTTCGTTCGAGATTTAACTCCTTGCTTGACGACATTCGTACTTGGGCTTCTGGCTTTGTCTGTACTATGGGACAGGAGCTGCATTTTGATGAGCGAAAGCATTCAGAGTATCAGCAAGTAGCTCGATCCTGCGCGACACTGGATCAACTACACGCCATTGTCAAGAGAGAAAAGCCAAAGCAAGACAAGAAGCAGAAACGGCATTTCATTCGCGGCTGGACCTCATGCGTGATGATCAAATTCCTGTTTCGGACCCTGGACGAACAAGGCAACGCCGGTGAAGATGTTGTACTCTCTGAGGAGGACTGGAAGGCATTTGAACGTCTTGAGAATATCCTCTGGTTTGCAGGTCAGTATTTAAATATTCTGCACGATTACAATATCGTCCTTCTCCAGCCTTGTCGTCCAACTATAAATATGGTGTACCACTGACTAGTGCAGATGATAATATTATTTCTCGACGCTCCTTCAACGACTGGCGAGCTTTGACTGTTCACCTTCTATCCGGAGCAACCAAAAATCCTCTACGAGAGGAGCGCCTCAAAGCTCGAACTAAAAATGCTGTACGCGAAGTCATGTCTCTAGTCCATGTCTGGGCAGACTTCGACAAAGTGCAGGGTCTTGAAGCAAGACTCTTTAACATCTTTCAAGATGCGCTTGTCTTTTCGCACTTCTTACGTCAGCAACGGGCACTGTGGACTTTAAGGCTTCCAACGATGCTCTCTCGTGTAGGGCCGCTGATGTTTGATACGGGGTACATGAAGGACGAGAACTTGAGCGACGACGAGGGTGATGGCCGCGCCGGTGGTACACAGTACAGACAGAAATCCGTCTTGTTGGTTATCTCACCTGCTTTGTACAAGAGAGGCACTATGGATGGGGCAAAGTTTGACTCGGAGCTGGCTGTTGTCCCTGCCAGAGTTATCTTGACTACGTCTTAATGCTATCACAATATCATGTCTCTCTGCGTGTTAGTACGAGTGAGCTTCGTCCCATGGTTCAGCAAGTGTTCTTGCGACGATGGCCAAAGAATGTATGTGTCAAACTCAATGTTCATGAATTAAGGTTCTTTATTGAACGGAGGATGTCCACTCGTGATTGTGATGGGGTAACAAAACAACAGAAAGGCGCAGGGCGAGCGACGATGCAGTCTCCAACAAAAAGTCACCAAGAAAATGAGTGATCCTTGTCGCAGGAGTAGATTCACCATCATGGAGTTTTCCGTACGACCCACAATCTTGAATCATTACTCACGTACGTTTCGGTGGCCTACACGATACGAGCAAGATCGTGTCATGTTGTTGTTCCTCGGCCAAAACGCGACCTCGTATCGCGATTGGTGGTAACTGTGCAGCCTGTGCTTCGACTGCGCCTGGTGCTTTTTCTCATAAATGCGCGAGGCGCAAGAAGGTCAACGCCTCCAATTCTCCTGTGATCGATCGTACTTACTTCTGTCGTTGCGCGACGCCTCCGTGTGCTCGTATGAAGCTCAGGCCCCAAGATAGTGACGTATGTAGTGGCTTAGACAGCTGTGAAGGATCAAAACCTTGAGGTACGAATATGTCGGCCCGTAACGCGGCGTCGGATGATGGCGCCGGTCGCAAGATACGAACCGCTCGGGTCTCCTCCTGCAAGCATATATTGCAGCGATGATTCGTGATCAAAGTCGCATGTTCTTACTCCGTTGTTCCGTTGCGTGTGCAGGCGGGGATGTGCTGCTACTGCACTGCGATGCACTCGTTCGCGCTAGAACTCAACGCAACGGAAAGTCCTTCACCCGAGGATTAGACTACGATTGCGTTAGCGCTGCGTGGTCTCTTCACCAAACCAGCGTTCGCGTGCAGTGGTGGAATATTACGGTGGAATATCTGCTCCGCTCATGATGGTACGGGGAAGAGGTCGGATGTAACTATATCCTCTTCCAAGTCTTGTTCATGTAATGCAGCATGTCTGGCTTGCGATTACCATGGTAATCGAGTCCGCCCCGTAGAACTTCGCAGAAGGCCCAAGTCTTCGTTTAGACATATCTAGGTTCCAAGCATTTCTGCTTCTAGCACAACGGCAGGTAGTGCTCGGTATCTTGCCGAGAAAGACACTTTCCGACGAAGTGAGTGGAAGGTTTTGCGTGAAGTGAGCGTCTCGAAGCGAGGGTAACCTGGGAGAGCAGAGTTTTGCGCACAATGAACGGTATCGGAGTGGAGAACTGTCAAAGTCTGTCTGAAGTTTGCTGACAGAGGCGTCTTTTCGCAGCCCACTCACGCTTCTGGCAAATCCCAGAGTCGCGGACCGACACCACATTCACATGTGGGAATGGATGGAGCGACAGATCGACAGAGAAGTCTCGCCCTCTGCAAGTTGTCCAGTGTCATCTACCTCGGCGTTCAGAGGTTGCAATAGGAAGCCAGGGAGCATCTGCCGTGTTGGGAGCGCCACGTGAAAAACGCAAGAGACGCCTCGCTTCCTCTTTCACGCTGTCGCTTGCGGTACCTCTGAAGATGCCGCTGAGTGGACGGCATGCGTTCCTGGTGGTCAACGGAAGATTGCGGCTCGGTACGGGCCCATGGCATTTCTGGGCATGTCTGAAAGCCATGATTGGTAGGCGCATTCAAATTATCAGAAAAGTAAAGTGTGTTTGCTTTCCGCCAGAGATCCTTGCTGCAAAACGATGCTCAGCACTGTTGTCCGCTACTTCCGATGGATCATGACGCGCCTCGTATCGTTGTGGTTTTCATGACAACATACATGTTGTCGTTGGTTGGATGTGCATAAGTGGACTTGAAATGGTGAGGATCGGCAGCGGGACGTTGGGTGTTGTCTGTCGGCGCCTGCCTCGATCTGCTTAGTGTACTCCGCTACAAGACAGTTCGCAGTCCAGAACAAATTTCTCCTCCAGTCAGCCAAAACTTGTTCCTGCGCTGTTCCTGAGTAGACAGGTAGCCTAGACATGGGTCTTGCGTTAGGTACCCTCAACGTCCCCTCCAACACACTACACCAGTGTACTAAGCAAGTTCTTCTCGTTCATATGCTGCGAAAACCAACGTGGCTCCAGCGACACGCCGATCAAGGATGCATCGTCCGCACCGTGATTTGACGACTACCCGAAGTGTAATTTCCACAGAAGCTTGGCCCTACCACCTTACTAAGATTGACGAATGGCCAAACCCCACAGCCGGCGCCGTCAAACCGGGCTGACGGGAGATATGCTCCATAATCTTATCGCACGTGGATTCTCCGACTCGGCAGTAGTCTTGGTTGAAACACTGCAGAGAAGGCCGAGAAGGCGACGCCATGCGCTGTCCTGCACAGCTTGTGGGCCACAGGTGTTAGTTTATTCTGTGAAGGCGCCTCTTAATTTCCCAGAATATAAGTACAGCGTGTAAAGAACCATGATTGAGTATCGCACTCATTTGACGATCCAGCTCTACCACGCTCTCTAGCAACCCCACAGTCATTCATTCGATCAACTGATCATTCATTCATTCATTATGCTTACCTCCACCTTCATTATGGCCCTTGCTGGCTTCTCCGCCATGATCGAGGCATCTCCTCTCCAGCCACGCGGCGGAAGCAAGCGTGGTCTTGCCTTCCCCAAACAACACAATGGTGTTGCTGGATCACAATGGACACACAAGTTCAAAGATACAAAGGTTTCTTGGATGTACGACTGGGAGGGCGTCATCGATGGAACACCCCTCGACCTCGAATATGTTCCGCTTCTTCACTCCAACCAGCAGTGGTGCACTGAAGGGTGGAACACCAACATCGCCAACGCCCGCAAGAACTACAAAGTCTCACACGTGCTGAGCTTCAACGAGCCTGATCAAGTCGATGGCGGAGGCTCCAACATCGATGTCCCCACTGCCGTCGCGACCCACAAGAAGTTCATCCAGCCCCTCGCCGCACAAGGTCTCAGGATCGGCTCTCCTGCAGTCACCAACGCCAACGAGCCTAACAAGGGCATCAACTGGCTCAAGAGTTTCATGAACACCTGCAACGGATGCCAGATCGATTTCGTCGTCGCCCACTACTACGCCTGGGACAAGCCCGAGGACTTCAAGAACTACCTGAGGAAGTTCCACGACACCTTCAACAAACCTGTTTGGATCACCGAGTTCGGTGTTACTGAAGGTAACGCCGACGAATTCTTGAAGCAAGTTCTTCCCTGGATGGATGCTCAGCCCTGGATTGAGCGTTACGCTTACCACATGGTTGCGCCCTCCACCGAGCAGAAGTACCTCATCAGCCCTGACGGCCAGAGCCTGTCAAGCATTGGCAAGATCTTCGCTACTGCTTAGACGCTTGTTGTCTTAAGGCGCTTCATGAGTTATGACTTTTCCCCTTCTTGATACCACTTTACTTTCTTGTCCATAGACTTCATTGAGACTTCGCTATATAGCCAAGATCATTATTCAATCTACCATTGACTTTGTCTACAATTGTTCGTATTGTGTTGAGCTCCAAGTGAAACTGCGGTGTCATACTCTCACAACTTCGAAAGCATCAGTCATTACAGCTGATAGTGTATCGTACTTGCTGCGCCTCGTCGCCCACTCCAACAGTCACGCGTATTTTCATCTCAATAAGCATCACAATAAGCATAACGATACCAAAATGCATATACCGCTTTGTCATAGATCGAGGGTACAGGGAAAAGTATTGTTGCTGTTATTACAACTGATTGGAATACAGATAGTAGTATGCTGGCAAGAGCAAACGCCAATGAACGCCCAACGAAAAGAATTGCAAAGTTCAAGAGCTTCGTGCACTGCAGCACTGATGTACTCGAAGCCCTTGTTGAAAATCGTGAACAATGGTGGCACTATTTATCTCTGGACTTACTATCAGAGCGTGCGACGCAGCTCATCTACTACAAGCAACCGCAATTGCTTAGGAAATGGGCTCCCCTTACCCTTGCCCTTTGCGATCGATTCCTCAGGTCGATACGTTGACAATAAACACATTTCCTTTCGAGCACCTCACGATTGATACGTATAATAAGTCGAGATGCGGGTAGTCGAGTATTCACGTGAATGTGTGCCGGAGACTGTCCAAACTACGAGGACACTACTATCGTGCCAAGAGCGGTTCAGCCGAGTCACTCTTGACACATGGCGTAGTTGTGGCAAGGCTGTATTATAAGCGTTTTGCACCCATTGTAATGTCTTCATCGCAAACCTACAACCTCTTTCTTCTACACACAAAAAGTTTAAACATTTCCAGAACAACTCTATGGCCGGGAAGGGTCGGCTGTCCTCCCTTCCAACGTCATCAAGGTGTTCATCGCTTGTAAATTCGCCTTCTGCTGCAGGCTACCACTACATGTCAGCTTTACTGCGCCACACTGTGGGCTGTGCAATCAGTCTACCCCGCGTGAGCTGAGCTTCCTCATAAAACGAAAGACATGGCAAGCCATAATAAGACCGATTTATCGCACTTTCTGCACTGTCTTGCTTTCAAATGTAATTCTTCAGTATAGCTTAGCGTCTTGTTTCCATATATGCTCGCCAACGTAGATACCTAGGACTAGTATCCCCAACAGACGAGCAAGATGTCGTATTGTTACTCCCCGTTCACATTTCGACTCATTCGAGTTCTCGACATGCACCAAGACGATGTCAATCATCATGGCATTCCAACACTTCAGGGCAGGCTCCGTGAAATTTCACTTGACAGACCAAAATCCTTTGATGCACTCTCCTATGTTTGGGAAGATGATCCCTCTCCACCGAATGAAGGAAACCCCGTCCCGAATTACATTCTACTTGATGGCAAACCCGGCGAGCCCCGCAAATCACTTGAGATATCGAAGAGCTGCTATATTGCTCTGCAGAATCTTCGGGATTATCATGGAGTCAGGACGATATGGGTTGATGCGATCTGTATCGACCAGAAGAACGATAGCGAAAAGAACATGCAGATTCCACTAATGAAGGAAATCTATGAAAAGGCAAGAAAGGTGTACATCTGGCTAGGGGAATCTAAGACATTTGAAAGAGAAGGCATTCCGTACAAGTCCGAAGATGAATTGAAATACTTGAGGCAAATCTCAAATGGGCAATACACACTTATGGATGCTAGACTATCCGGATTCCCAGCCAATATGTCTCTACACCAACTAGCGAGAAGCATTAGAGTTCTGTGGGACGCAGCAGTTGACAGTAAGTTCTCCGCTGTCGGTTATAGGCGTTGTTTGCATTAGATAACATCGATGCCAGAATGGTTCCCCAGCCCAGCAGTTTCAAGCAATGATGCGTCACTGAAAGACTTGATTGACAGGAAATGGTTCCGGCGTATGTGGACGATGCAAGAACTGGTGATGGCGGAAGAGCCGTTCGTTGTGTGTGGGAAAAGGTCTATCCGATGGAATAGGTTCTTTTGGGGTTTAGTACTCACTTGGGAGCATACGGTCAATGACAAGAAACCCGATTTCGAGGCGATAATAAAATTCCTCCATGGGATTGAATCGCTCTGGATCGAGATTACGAGGATCCTTGAGCACAGACAGTCTAAACACTGGGCTTGGGTCAACAAGAAAAGCAGCTGGTACTCATGCTGGGACAAGTTCCTTCGCTTTATGGAACAACATGGGAAGACAATGTTATTCTACGAAGTTACACTAGGACTCTTGATGATGTTACCACAACTGCACTCCAAGGGTATGCCTATCAACACACTTGGTCACTTCTTTGGACCCTTCCAGGCTTTTCTGTTCTCAATTGGGGCTCTAAACTCACTTCTGACTCCACCAAGACGAGATGACCAATGGAAAGAAAGTCTCCAAGAGAGGATGATAAGCATATTGCACAGCTGCAGAGACCAAGATGCGACGAATCCCAAGGACAAAGTGTACGCACTCCACGGTCTATTGACGAGTCTAGAGATTGAATTGCCGTCGCCAAAATACGAGGACTCGCACAGTTTAGAGGCAACTTACTTGGAATTCGCTGAAGCTTTCATAAAATGGCAAGGATCTTTAGAGATACTACTCGAGGCAACCGGCCCTTGGGGTAACGCACCTTCCTGGGTCCCGAACTGGAGCGAGCGATATATGCGGCTACCGTTCTCCAGCGCCAACGCAACCCGAGTGCACGCCTTGCTTGAATCCAGAAATTCTTTCCAGTTCTCCAGTGATGGACGTGGGCTTGAGATTATGGGTCGAGAAGTTGGTGTTGTTGTGTATAAACTCAAAGCCATCAACAGATCTCGATCTCGATTCTGGCAACATGTGGATCCGTCCAAGAGGATGGGTCTATTATCTGGAGCCCCTCAAGAAATATTTGATGAAATTTCTGCCCTGTACGAGTGGTTCATAATTGCGACCGAAGTTTTTGCTTTTGGGAAGGAAGAGATTGCGGAGTTCATGGCTTTGAACATTCCCAAAGATGCGATTTACGCCGTAGATGATACGCGCAAGTGGATTGACCTTATTTTCAATCATTATTCAAGAAGCTCATGTAGTACCGAAGACGGGTCCGCTGGCATGCATCCCGGCCACAAAGTTCTGGAGATGCTCTTGCAGAACGATCGGCTCTTCTCCATGCATTGGAAAATATGCCAGTTCTTCGCTGGTTCTATGACTTGTTTTATTTTAAAAGCTGCAGAAAGATTCCTGCTTGGCATTGGACCTGATGGTACTCAGAAGAAGGACAAAGTTGTGCTCTTTCCCACCCTTAAAGCCCCGATGGTTGCGAGGGTAAAGGAATCTAAAGGGGGAATACGTGAGGTTCAGGTTGTTGGAGCTGCCCTTGTAGATGACATGATGGATGGGCAATTTTGGCCTGAGGACAATAGTGGTCTGGAAGCCATGCTCGTTGTCTAAAGCAAAGAATGGAAGCGTGGCAAACAGTATCGATCGAGGCGAATGTCTACCCCATTTCAACGTATTGAGATTTATATAACAAGGTAGTCAATCATTTCTAAGATACACATTGTATGTACATGAATTGCTAATATTCACTATGTCATGCCCAACATGTCGGTAGTGCAACAAACGCCATCAGCATGTCTGCAACAACGCCGGTATCGACCTATCCCCATCATGTAGTGAACTCTTGAACATATAATACACTCTACGACTCCATGTCGGCGTATCAATCTTCGATATCATCATCGCTCAGCATAAGACTAGCACCCTTATCTGCCAGTCCAGAAATTGCCGATTCCGGTTCTTGTTCTTTACTCTCAAACTTCACGCGCCCTCTCTTTTTCGGAGTGTCGAGAGTTGGTTTATCTGTAGACCATTGCTCTTGCTCGCCTGGACGAACATCGTCCTCTAAGTCATCTTCCTCAGTGGCGCCGGATAGAGCGTTTCCGGTGAATGATGTGATCTTCCGAATTTCGCGCACGGTGGCTGCTGTGGACGGGGAAGGCATGCGCGACTTCCGTAGAATGGTAGTCATGTAGGGGAGGCGTTCGAGGAGCATTTCGTTCCGAGCCGAGCCGCCACTTCCCAAGAGAATTGAAGTTGGTGCATCTTCTTCTGCATGTTTTGAGCCCGGGGCTGATGTCGGTTGCGAAAACGAGGCGTTGCCTTTCCATGTCTCGACACCTCCGCCCGAGATAGCCGCTTTTGGTGCACCCGGCCCGGTCGAGAAGAGTTCACCGCGTTGTGCCTTTGATACCCACATTTCCAATAGATCTTCAATCTCTTCCTGTTGTTTCCATATCCGCAGCGACGCCGGATAGTACATGACAAACGCATTGCCTTTGGCAGCTCCACCACCTGCTCCTTGGCCTTTAGCCTTGATACCCATTATGCCTGGGGGTGGCGCTATTCGTTTGACAGGATATGGCAGGTTGTACAGCAGCCCGCGCACGCTCGTTTGAAAGCACATCTCGTCTTGCCGCAGATTGTCCGCACTCGTTCCTTGAAGATTCCGTCGGCCAGCGCCTGCACCAAAACGGTCCGGCGACAAAAGATCAGCATCAGAAAGAGCTTCTATACATCCCTCAATAGAGTCCATTGTTTCTTCACTGTCTGCGCCTCCGCAAGACAGGACGTAGTTCTCGTGTAGAGCAGCGACAAAGGTTTGGGTATCAGTACCCAGCTCATCGATGAGCGTGTCGACATTGACCTCCGAAGCTTTTGGTCTTCGCCTTTCGGGGAACCAGTTCGGTGGATGTGCAACAGGTGTGTTAGAGTCCTCTGCTAGACGTTTGTTGTAAACAACTCTCCCGACCGAATGGAAGATACCAAGAGTGCTTTCTCGCTGTGTCACCATTTCAAGCGATTCCTGCTCAATCTTGGTCATCGGGACATCTCTCGGCCCCTTCTTCTTCGAGAAGTTGACTTTCGCGCCCCAGCCTTCTGCATCATCGCCACGTAAGCATAAGAACTCGAGTGATGAAACTGCGCTTCGGATGTCTCCAAGCTCCGCAAGACGCTGAATGGCCTGTGGTCCCAAAGTCTTCTTACGCCCGGATTTCCGTGCCTCCTTGATAACGATTGTCTCTAACGCTTTCGTCATATATGTGGGTGCGATTGGATTGAACTCGAAGACAGACACTCCGGGGTGGGTCAGGATCTCAGGACCTAACAGCCGATGCGCAGTGAAGCTGTCAGCTGCTGCTGTGTTGGTAGACAGCAGAGTCTCGGAGATGATCATTACGATTGGAGTCACTGGCTGCTCGGGATCGACCTGGGTCGAGAAGAATGCAGTAGCTGATTGCGTATTGGCAGCAAGAAAGTTGAGGATGGAAGAGCGAAAAGATTGAACGGCCGAAGAAGTACGTGTAAATGTATTCGGAAATTCCTCTACTAGGACCAGTTGCTTCTGCCTTTCAGTCTGACTGCTGGGCGAAGCAGTCTGGCCACTCATTGTCGGCTCATCGAAGGCCAGACTACCAAAGGTTCCAGTTCTCCCAACGAAATCCTCGAACTGCGCAGTAGCAGACACGAAATTGTCGGAAGTCGACATGGAACCTATAGGATTCTTCCACTCATGCATGTCGATCCCCAGTTCTTTCGAGAGCAAGGACATGGTGGTAGTCTTTCCACTGCCAGCAGGGCCTTTGAGAAGCAGCAATCTCTTGCGTGCTTTGCCACTAAAGACATCTGTGAGCCATGTCCTCACATCTGTTACTTTTCGCTTATGCACAGCGAGCTCATCAAGTGACGCTGGGCCGTACTTTTCAGTCCATGGTCGCCGGTCTTCTGTGTCCTGCCGTGCCGGCTGAGACGATAGCGGAGTGACACTACGGGCTCCGCTTGCTGTTCGTAGGAACTTCTGCCTATTATTCATAGTATTACCATGGTCTATTGGCGCTGTCGCAGCGATCGGTCTCTTGCGGACGGGGAGAGGTTTCGAAGGTTTAATCGATTGCGCATCGTCCGAGGAATCGAATATATCGTCTACATCTTCAATTGATGCGGTAGGTTTCTCGAGGCTCGGCGTAGGCTGTAGCGACTGCGAGCGCGGAACACTGGCGAAGAAAGAAGTGATAGGCTTAAGGACAGGCTTCGCTTTGGTTGGCGGTTTTGCTGGAGACTTCTTAGTAGTAATTGCTTTCGATCGCGTGGGAGATGCTGCACGTGTCTGCGATCGGGTAGCCTTCTTTTCTCCATGTGCCCCAGTCGGTACGCTTGTTAGTGTGCCCCTCTTGGAACGCGTGGGAGGCGGTGTGTGTGAATCATCTGCTTCAGAATCGGATGAGAGCACGATCGGCTTTTTCCGCGTGGCTCGAAGCTTAGCCATGCCGCCCCAAACTGATGGATTTGGAGAAGGCTGGACTGCAGAGTGACATACTCAGTACTATGCCGGTTGAAGTTGCAAAGCGCGTGATAGGAGCTTGAGCCGTGACGATTTCACGTCGCGTCGGAAGGCGGAGGAAGTTCCACGGCCAACGCGCGCTAAGTCAGGTGGGGCTAGAAGGTACTAAACTTGTTGACAACGCATCTTCCTTCTGCATCTTCACACACACCGCTGCTCTTTTACCGCTAGCATCCGCTGTAGTGCACTCCTGTCGAGGCTGATATGCAGCTAACACATCCAACCGCAGCATGCCACAACGCCCTCCCTGTCGCTTCTGCATGAAGGTCAAATTTCGAGCACCCACAGCGTCATCGCGTGCATATCGGTTCGTTGGATGGTTTTTCTACAGTAAACATCAACAAAGAAGTCGGGCCATGACCTCCCGTTGATCCACTGCCGATGGCTACCGTCGTAGTACAAAGTGAGAAGCACAACGAGACCACATAGACGTAATTGTACCAGGCACGCGAAGCTGCATACGATGGCTGGAGACGTTGCGCTCGGGGCATATAAATTAGGCCGCTCAAGTTTACGATGAGCTGGCACGTCCCTGCCAATCTCCCATTGGGCGGGATGGCGTTTGCAGCTTGTACTATCCTCTTTCATCCTTTTCGCAGCCGCATTCCTTATATACTGATTATGCGCTTGCTCGTTGTTTTTTGACCTGTTTCCCGTCGTCATGCCACGTTAATGGACACTTATACTAATCTTCGCGACCATCTGAGCTTAACGTGAGAAGTGCAGGCTCCATTGCAGGTTTGGGTGTTCTGGTGTCTTCAACGCAATATACAAGAACTATCGCATTTGGCGGCCGCCGTTATGGTGAAGAAGAAAACCAAGAGCAAGATACCAAAACCGGTGGAGACCGTTGCTCCACCGGACAACGTGCCAACGAATACTGCCGAACCACTTCCTCATGCGCCTGAAGTTCCATTGACAGCAGAGCCATCAGCCACAGAAGCAGCGTCCGGGGAGCAGTCAATGCCAACCGCTTCCGAAGTGGAGACAGACGAGGGTACGGTTCCCACGCAGGTGGACGTGTCCACACCCGAACCCTCACATCACCCTGAGAGCATACAGACTATTCCCGACGAGGCTGCAGAGCCACAGGCCATTGAGATCACATCTGCTGCAGACCTGGATCCACCAATGGAGGAAGAGCGGGAATCTGGATCGCAAGCGGACCCTACCGAAGCCACAGAGTTAGCGACTGCCGCACAAAGCGCTGAAGATATGCGCCGTACTACGGGAGCGGAAGAACAGTCACCGATCATTGAAGCTGGAGACGCAAACGATCCAGAACCCATTGTGGATCAAGAGGATGCGTCAGAAGAACAACAAATCACAGTTCAAGGGTACACATATCAACCAGCGTTACTTCCAATCCAAGAATCTGTTCAACCTACATTTGAAGACGACACACCGGTTGAAGATACGGAACCTCCACAAGGATCTGCAATTGAGTCAGCGCCCGGAGCAGGATCAGAACCATCTATACAGAGCGCCCCTACCGCCGTAGAAGAAGCTGTTGAGTCGGCGGAACCAATGGAAGACACCGTCAGTGGAGAAGAAGTTCAGCTAGACCCGATAGATGTACTCGATGTACCCAACGCTCTTGAAGCACCTGAAGCTCCCGAGGCTCAACCAGAAGAGCCAGTTGAGGATGTCGTTACTGAAACTGTAACAGAAGAAGACCAAGCTGCGCATGCACAAGAACCCGAGAGCCTTCTAGCAGTACCCCAACAGTCGGTGCATGCTGAACCACAAGATGCGCCTGACGATGAGACATCAGCGCCAGAAGCCCCTGAGAGGCCAGGTTTCGAGAGATTTGAGACTGCGCAGGAGGGACTGGGAACGCTTGCTGCTGAGCCGACGGTGGAGCCCGAATCTATGCCTGAGGTTTTATCTGTAGACGCTGCCACGAAGCCGTCATATGAGTTTGCTGCGCCGGCGGAAGAAGAAGCACCGGTGCAGGAACAGGAGCAGCTTGAGGAAGAAGCAACGATCACTGCTGAAGCCCAAGAAGCCGCTGAGAATGTACAGGCGGCTCAAGCCCAAGAAGATGCGCAGCGAAAAGAGTTGGAGAGATTGGAGCAGGAGGCACTCGAGCACGAGCGGCAGACGAAAGACGCGCTAGAGCAAGAGATATTACAGAAGGAAGCTGAAGCCAAGAGATTATCAGAGGAACAACATGCGAGAGAGGCTCAAGAAGAGATGGAAGCTACCGAAGCTGTTAAACGAGCTGTAGAAGAGATGAGAACCAAGAAAGAAGAACAGCAGAAGGAATCCGAAAGGCTTGAAGAAGAGCGGTTAGCCCGTCAGAGGCTTGAGCAAGAGAAATTAGAGCAGATTGCTGAAGCGAGGAAGCTTTTGGCGTTAATGGAGGAAGAAAGACGTGCGGCAGAGATCCAGGAAGAGCTCGAAGCTGCTGCAGTTGCGGAGCGTGCTCAAAGAGAGAAGGACAAGATCGAAGCTGCTGCAGCTGCCGAACGCGCTCAAAAAGAAAAGGAAGAACTCCAGGAAGAGCAGTTACGACGTGAGAGAGCTGCGGAGGCTCGAATCGCTAGGAAAGCTCGAGCTGCAGCAGATGTTCTTGAAGAAGCTCAAAGAGAGGCAGCCGAAAAGCATACCGAAGATGGGTCACGTGAGCAAGCCGAGATACCATTCATCGCACGCCGATCAATGATTGAGTCAGCACGTGCTCCGTCACCTCCTTCGGGAGTACCTGATATGCACGATCGTTCTCCAGTCTCTGATCGACCATTTCGATCGTATCGATCTTTCGCGCCACATGCACCGAAGCTTAGAGCACATGAAGCGGGTCCAAACCATGCACCAAAGCCATACGCTGTGGCACAGCTCATTGAGGATAATAGACCTCCAGCACCGAGCCCGCCAATGAGTAAAGCACGACCAAGGTATGTAAAATCCATTTATGTGTTTGATGAGCGCATAGCGCGGGTCTTCCTCGGCGCGACCGTAAACCACGACATCGGGCCCAAAGTGAACATGCTTAACATACATAAGCTTACTCACCGAACTCTGATCAATTGCTATACTGACTAGATGTTTCCCTATAGACATGCTCCTACTTTTGACAGCGACGACGATTCAGATTCTGTTCTAGTACAAAACAGGATAGCGTCGAGGCGTCCATTTAGCGGTGAAGCACATGAAGTGTCGCGGTCCCACTTGGGCCCACATCAACCACGTAGCGCTTTTGCATCCCGAGTGCCTGTTGAGCCCACCTATCCGGCCCCTCCACCAAATTATCATCCCAGCTACTATGCCCCGCCAGCCCAGCCGCCTCACCAGTACCCAAATCATGCCTACGGCATGAGTCAGCAGGGTTATCCCGCGCCTAACCCCAATCCTTACGGCCCTTCGTCGCATTCTTCCTCCCCTCCCTACCAGGAATCATGGAGCCAATACCCACCCGGGTACCCTCCTTATGGCAACTCATCGCAACGACAGGACTCCTCGGGTTCTAGAGACTATCATTTACATGCTTTAGAGAGTCGACCTGCAATCGAAAACGGGTCTGGCGACGCTTTCTCACGCATCCCGCAGACCGATCTGCACGTTCTACTTGCGCATTACAAAGAGAATCACAATCAATTACGTATTAGGGAGGACTTGCTCCGTCGGCAAAGCGCTGAGCAAGAACAGCAACTGCGAGCAAAGGATGGTGAGCTTGGTGAGCTGAAGGAGAAGATTCGCAACTTGGAAGACAGGCATTCCGCCGAAGCAAGCAGACTACATTTTCAGATTGGTAACCTGGAAGAGCAAGTTAGGGAGCTTCGAGAGCTGATTGCTGAAACCAAGAAAGCTAAAAGAGACGCTGAAGAGTCCAAATTGGCATTGAGTGCAGCTATGAGGTCTTGGGAGGATAGGTACAGGGAGTTGGAAGATGTGCATCGCACCTTGGAGAGGACCTCGGCTGAAGAGAGGGAAAGGGCGTGGAGAGATTTCGATGAGTGGAAGTCTGCCACGGTTACGAAACACGACGCCGAGAAGATCGCCCTTGCTATTCAATTCGACAAGAAGCTGAAGCAAGCTGGGCAAGATGCCGAGGAGGCATCCAAACTGAGGTCTCAACTCCAGGAAGCCCTTGAGGAGCGCGACAATCTACGGAAGCAGCGAGATGAAGCAGAAACGAAGGCCGAGGAGGAAGCAGCGAGAGCCAATCAGCTGGCAAGAGAGAAGGATGAGCTGATGAACCAGTACAATCAACTCAAGGCCGAGAGCCAACAAGAGAAGGAAGTCATCAGGAGTGTTGCCAGCAACCTCGAGTCGGAGAAATCCAGACTGGAGAAGATGATGGAATGCTATGGTGATATCGCCGAGATCAAAAGCAAAGGCGACAACTACTAGTAAGTGATACCCAGTCTTGCACGTTCGTTTATAATACCCCCATGGTGGTGGTAGAGGCTACATTGCAGGCAGTGTTGGATCGATTGTGAACGGCTTCGATGTGCTTCCTCGTCCCAAACCTGGGCAATGAAGCACACTGAGATCGTCCAGCGAATCTTCTGGCCGGCGGCTGTGATGATATGCCGAAAGCCACCATTGATTGCCATACACTGTCTTTAGCGTTTCCCGATCCCACAATGCAATACTTGCTATCGCATCAATCGCCCCTTCCCTGTCGCCTTGTTCCACAAAGAGTCGCCCGCTAACGTTGTCGCGTCTAGCCTGGTAGCCTTTTCTCAGCTGCAGAGGCAGATTATCGATCTTGCTACAATCCATTTCGTTCACCTTCCAGTAAGGCCGCCGCCGGAGGATCTCTCACAAGTACCGTCCAACTTACCGTCATTCCTCGGCGATTCCATTGCCTCCAGGTGAGCAAGATCAATTCACATAAGTATGACCTCAGACACTGACTAAACTTTTCCATCCAGACAAGTTCGAGCAGCATATATCGCCCACACTGTATCAAAGCTGATCACGTTCCGTGTTTTCGGTCCGTTCTTGTTCAGTCTTGGTCGCCGGTACGACAAAGCTGATTCACTGTTCTCATCGATGAGCCACCACATTCGCGAGAAGAGCACACGTAAAGAAGCGATTTGGCGACAGCAAACTCTCCTTGCTGCATTCACTAGCACCGGCGCGAAGCAGCGCATCAATACTGCTGCAGGAACTGTTGTAGAAGAGATCGTCAACGCCATCCGACACTTTGCTGATCCGAAAGAGGAGGAGGGCATCAAGATCGCCGTGAAGCGCATCGTGAAGGTCGCTGCGGAGACATGGAGGTTTGCTCGTCTCGAGCGCGAGATGATCACCGCTGTCATGCCTGCGTTACATGACGAAGAGCATCAATTCACCGGCAACCAATTTTGGCCAGCTTACAAGGCAGAGACAGGTTCAGCGGACGATAACCCCCATCCAACTGATTCGCAACGACAACTACTACTCAGAATTTTCCCGGTCGTCTATCGCGAATCGAAGCACGAGATCTTCCAGAATAACGAAGAGCAGCGCGACGAAGGCTGTGTTCTCCACCATGGACTGGCATTGTATGACGATGCAGAGCCGGTCGTGACGAGAATGGAGGAGCTCAAATCTGCTGGTTTGCCTTCCCATACCACTGCATTAACGAGTCCGACTGACGAGGGCAAGTTTCCGCCGCCGGTATGTAACACCACCCGCGTGTTCACCTTATCCTAGCGTTCCTAGCACCGTTTTCGAGCTTCATTCACCGCTTCATTCACCCTGCCCCTGACAGGCTCGCGATATATCGATATCCACGTAAGACGGAAAGACTACTTTAGATCACTTGGCTAATCCACCGGTTCACCAGGCCTGCCCGCCTCCACGCGACCCTATACCACCTCCTCCGTCTCCACCCGCTCCCCGATCTCCGACGAAGACCGAGACGAATTCGGCTGAGGAACCTCCCGCATCACGTCCGATGTCCCCGATCGTCGAGAAGCCAGAGAAGCCCAAGAAGCTTTCGGCCATTGAGCGAGCTTTGAACCTCTTTTCTGCTCCTTCTCTGGACGACAAGCCGAAGCCTCCAGGCTCTACCTTTTCACGTCCACCGGCGCCTCCAACGTCCGTGTTCACATCGCCTAGGAACTTCATTGGTATGCCAGTGGAAAGTTTGGCTCCTTCACATGCACCGAGTCCTAAGAAGAAGCCACCACCGCCGCCGCCAAAGCCAAAGCCCGAAGTTCCTTCAACGGCCGCAGAGATCGCGGAAGCCATACGCCACCGTGCATCCGTTGAGAGCGCGATTCTGCCTCCGTCTTTCTCACGCACCACAACAGAAGACACTATCCGAGAGGATTCGCGAGCTCCAACGCCGGTTGACACAGTATCTCACGTCTTCGATGCCATAGATGAGATTGAAACACTGGTGCCTCAACGTGCGCGGACTACATCGACCTCCACCACGCATTCGCGACGCCGCTCTACGCACAAGCGTCGATCTAGCGAACATGCCATGGAGGACGAGCTGTTCGATATCACTCCTCGACCGGAAATCAGTCGAAGAAAGAGCGGTTATGCTGCGAGTATCCGTACGACCAAGTCTGCCGATACTGAGCGCACAGATAGGAGTGAGCGTACCGATAAGAGCGAGCGCACCGAAAAAAGCGAGCGCACAGACAAGAGTGAGCGAACCGAGAAGAGTAGTCGCAGTCATCGAACAGAGAAGAGTGATCGCTCGGATAAAACCGAGCGTGAAAAGGCTCGCTATATGTATGAGACTCGCGGTGCTGCCATGAAAGCTTTGTATCCCAATACTCCGACAAAGGGCTCTCATGGTAGCTCCAGAAACTCCGCTAGGAGTGAAAGGAAAGACAGGAACAAGGACAGAGGTAGCAAGGACTCTACAAAGGAATCAATATCATCAAGAGAATCCCGCGAGTCGAGAGAGTCGAAGCGAGAGTCACGGGAGGTCAAGAGACAAAGGAGTATCTCGGATGCTGGCACTTGGGATACAAACAGCATCATGACCCATGATTTCGCACCTACCACTATTACGATGGATGCACCTTATCCTTTCGCGTATGACTCAAGACGAGACTCGAAAGAGTTGAAGAGAGAGTCGAGAGAGATAAGACGGCAGAGAAGTATTTCCGACGCTGGCACCTGGGATACCAACACTGAGATCACTACTCACCGTCCCCCACCCACCACCGTATCGACCAACGTTCCTTACCCAACAGGAATGCCCTGGGAATTGAAGCGATCGAGAAGCATTTCCGACTGTGGTACCTGGGATACTAGTAGTGAGGTCACTCAACGTGCTCCACCCACTACCGTATCGACCAACGTCGCCTACCCAATGGAGAAGGACATGGACGAGTCGGAACGATGGTCCATGCCACCACCCCGTGACACGTGGAGGATGAGCACTCCCGATGACGACGTGTCCGATGCCGGGACCTGGGACACGAATACTGAGATTACCACTCACCGCGCTCCCCCTACGACCGTCTCTACCAACGTTCCCTATCCGACACAGCTACCGCGATATCTGCAAAGACCAAGTGATTCTGATGAGGATGAGTCTGACGATGGCATATCCGATACTGGGACTTGGGATACGAATACCGAGATCACAGCTCGCGCGCCTCCAACAACCGTATCCACCAACATACCCTACTCAAGCGTGCTACCCCAACAGCTGAGAAGGCTGAGCGGCAGCGACGCCGGCACATGGGATACCAACAGTGAGATTACCACAGTGACCCACCGCGCTCCTCCTACAACCGTGTCAACCAACGTCCCATACCCAACCGGTCAATTCAACGATCTCGGTCCATCGAGTTACCCACCCGGACCTTTTGAGCAGCTTAAGCGAGTTGAACAACTCAGAAAGCAGCACGAGCAGAGCTTCTCCGATGACGGTTCCGACTCCGGTACCTGGGATACGAGCAGTGAGATTACGCATGCGAACAACGGTCCCGCTACGGCTGTCTCGACCAACAAACCCTACCATCACACCGAGAGACCCAGGAACGTGGATAGACCCAGAAACTTGAGAAGACAGACGAGTCCTTCGGATGCGGGAACGTGGGATACCAACAGTGTGATTACGAATAACGATATGAAGACGACTGTTTCGACGAATGTGGCGTATCCTTCTGAACGGCGGACTCGATAGGCAGATGCAAGGACGATGTACTGAGGCATTGCCGGAATGTTTCGCGTAGTGCAGCTTTTTTTTTTCGATCTTCACTGTTATTGGGTTTTATTTTTTTGAGATTACATTGTATGCATGATTTCAGCATGGCAATGATTGCAAGGGAAACGTCGTAAGGGTCACATTGATGATGAGGATGGAAGACGAGCATGAGTGAAAGAAAGTATACATGGTTAACGGCCGAGCAATGCATGATGAAGAAGATGGTCTTGAGATAGTTGCATTTATGTAGCATGGCGTTCTGGGTGTTTGCACGTTTGTACGTTTGATTCAAACGGCAAAGACGAGCTTGTAAGATAGTACATATACATCATCTGTTTTCAAGTGCAATACAAAGCTTCCATCATCGGGGTCTACGAAGAAGCTCCTTTCTGTGGTTGTACCCACACCTAGAAACGTACCGTAGAAGCATCCTCTGTGTTCTGTAGTTCTATGCTACTAAAGCAAAAGCTGGTATATTCCTCTAAGATATATTCCCTAGTGATGACGAGTCTTATCGTATATGCGCAACTGTGATGGAGGGAAGAAAGTGAAGGAATGCTACAAAGGGCCGAAGCTAGCCCGAACATCGATCGCGCTTGAAGCTCAAGCTACCAAGATACTCTCAAGAAAGTCCAGTTCCTCATCCTAACCCCACAAACGCCAGATCCCACCTATTTCGACCGCGCCAATTCGCGTCAAACAAGTAGAAGAATCACCAGCGACCTTCCAAAATGGCGGAACCATCTCCCAACCCAGCACCTGTCCAAAACCCCGACATCGACCCTGCACTCACAAACGGCCTGGCGCAACCACCCCAACAAGCACCCACAGAACAAGCCGCAGATGTAGAAATGACAGATTCAGGCACAGCACCAGCGGTAAGCATCAAATCTACCCTGCCCTTCCCCCTCCGCCACAACAGAACTCTACTAATATCCTTCAAGCCTCTCACTCAAGACACCCAACAAACCGACATCCCCTCGCACCAACCAACCGTCCAGACCGTTCCCCCAACACCCTCAACCACCACCCCGGCACCACCATCCGCCCCCTCCCTCCCCACAGCGCCTACACCCACCCCGGCATCATCGCGCAACTCACCGCACCCGACTGCGCAAGCGCCCACGCAACCCATTCCACACGGTAGCCCGACGAGAGTATATCTGAACCAGCATGTGACGCCGCATTTGCTGGAGGCGATGAAACACCTGGCTACGACGGAACCGGAGAAGCCATTGAAGTGGTTGAGTGAGTTTTTGGCGGGCAAGAGTAGGGAGATTGAGGGGCCTTGAAGGTTGGTGGACGTGAAGGTGGTAGTTGGCGATAGTACTGGGACGAAGATGAAGCAAACATGCGCGTGTGGTCGCGTGAATCAGCTGTATGGTATGCTGGCTGAGCACGAACTATTCAGGGCTAGTAGCATGGCTGTTGTAGAGGGCAGACCAGGTCGAAGGACCAAAACCATGTAAGCATGTGTTTACAAAAAGTACAAGGCAGGCGTCACGAGGGATGATACCCAAGTCAATCAGCGTTACAATGAGCAAACAATCAGACTTTGACGAGTTCATTTCAACTTGGGTATATTCAATTCGAGGTGATGCTTTTAATTGATTCATTTCAGATCGTGATCCTGCTAGGTATCCGCAAAGCATCCATGCCCGTGAAACTCCACTTAAATGTATACCATCACGACTACCACACACGCCAATCCTACGTCTGCTTATGCGACCATGGTAGAGGCGGTGGCGCTCTCGTACCTCCAGGTAGGGGGGAGGGTACCGACGGTCTTGTAGTAACGGGAGAGCTGGAGGTAATTAGTATGGCGCTCTTCTTCTACATGGTACAGAGCGAAGAAAACTTACACGGTGGATACGGGACTCGATGAGAATAAGGCGGAACTTGCTGTCCTTGTCCTTGCGGTTGGTCTGGAGGTGCTTGCGGACGGCAACAGCCTTCTTGATGAGCATGTAGAGATCCTCTGGGATGTCGGGGCTGAGGCCTTTGAGCGCAAAATGTTAGCCTAGACCAACAAATGCAGTTTTGTATAGCGCGCAGATGCCCACAAGGAGCAGAGCTGTGTTGACATGCGCTTTCATGTGTAGAGGGCAATCGTACCGTTCGACTTGAGGATTCGGAGGATCTTGTTGCCGGTGATAACCTTGACCTGAGCCACACCGTGCGAGTCACGGAGGATCTCACCAATCCTGCAATTCCGTCAGCACACTATTCGTGCATCCTTTGATTCCTCGCGGTTGTTCTTACTGAGATGGTGTAGCACCCTTCTTCGCGAGCTTGCAGATCTGGTCGACAACCTGCTCCGGGGTGGTCTTCAACCACGCAGGAGCGCTGCGGGAGTAGGGGATGGCGGAGGCTGATATGCCCTTTCCGTTGCTGTGAAGACGACCCATTTTGAATGAATGTACCGGATGGCGACCTGGTCGATTAGTACGGAGACGTGTGGTAGGCTTGGAGTCGTGATAGAAGTTCGCGATCGAGGATTCCAATTTCTCGCGGCTCGGCTAGGTCTGTGGTGGACCGTGCGGGCTAGCGTCAAAGCTTCCGTCTAACAAAAAGTCTGCGACGACCAACCTCACCTTCTCGCACCTCTCAATGCAACAACATTGACCTTAGCATGCAAGCGCGACTGTTTCCAGGCTATATTTGAAGCTAGACGGGTGCTTTGCGAAATGCGACTGGTAGCCCTCCAGAGGCACTAATTATGAAGCGCGACAATAGCTCTCCTCTCCAGGTACGTACATCCATCATCTTCCCATCGCATAATGATGACAACCCTTACTATTTTCTGGTACCTCTTATTTTAGGCGGGCCCTTCACGGGTCTGCCGGTGCATTCAACCTTTATTCTGACACGCGATCTCGTCTACTTTCTTGTTACTTGACACATTTGTTGTTGACTTGGACTAACGAGAAGCAGATTTTATGGATCAGTGGCTTGTCTAGAGCGTCAGTGGGAGTATTTTGTTTAATAGCTACGAATGAAAATCGCTCTTTCTTGTCAATTAACGTGTACGCGCCTTCACATGAACTCAGCTCGTGGTTTCCATACGCTAGGTGTTATCACGCCATGGTGACACACGTTAATGGCATCCAATATACTCTCCGTTCCATCTCCGTCACGATCCCACACGTAGCATTGCCTTGTACGCTGCATACGTTACTCCGCAACCTATTGCTCACACAATAATCACTTCCCATTATCCAACATGAAGTATACAATACTCGGCACAATCTTCCTGTCTCCGTTTGCCTATAGCAGGACCTCCCAAGAACTGTGTCGTGGTACTGCTGAACTATCCTCGGATGGCAATTAGTACTGCTCCGAAGTCTGGGCCATCACCTACCGCAACATCAGCCAACCCGGCGCCTACAACCGGACCACTACAGTCGATCCACGAACTGGTATCTGTGGCCATGAACGTGTCGCCTATCCCAGCACAGGACCGCTGACGCCGTTGTTTGGACAGGTGTCAATGCACCTTCGCGGACCGATGAATGTCTCTCAGCTCGCCGTCTACCAACTTCCGGATGAGATCCATACAATGCAGAAGCGGACTACAGTACTGTTCTACAACCGTCGTCGAGCATTGAAGCAACAAGAACCACCGATGGCCACGAACATCACTACCAGACCGACGCAGTCGGCATCGTCTAACTGGTTTGATGTTTCCAACAAACGGACATACAACACAACGGCCAGCTGCATCCCAAATGTCGTGACCAAGACGGTGACGGTGAAGGCGGTCTGTTCATCGACTAGTACCCCACAGACTTCATCAAACACGACTTACGTAGGTCCTCCGCTGCTGTGCTTACCTACATCTACTACTACATCGATCATCGGCTCTAGCCCGCCAAGACTGGATTGCTCTTACGAAGGGCATCAGGATCTTGATCCCATCTTTCAGAGGCCCAATGGACAGGTTTTCGTCAGTCCAGCACCAGCGTCAGCACCAACACCATTGTCAACACAAGACACATCACGGGTGTTTCAACGTCCTAACGGACAGCCTTTCGATATCCCTGTGCCTTCGCCATCGTCCATTGTGAAAAGAAAGGCTACCGATTGGAGCCGAATCGCATACTACACATCGACAGCACCGGCCCAAGCCACTGGACTCAGCTTCATGGCTAATCTGGGCGACCCTCAAAAGTCTGGTACTTTTGACTAGTATGTTGTCCTCTGCCTGTGAGGTATTGATACTGACATTGCTCAGTGCTTTCGGAAACTCGCTCAGCTACGTCACTCCTCGGGGTGACAAGGTTGCAGTTGAGAGTCTCCCGTTTGACGGCACGCTTCGTACGTCTGAGACTGAGATTGTGGTCCTGTCTGACAAGGAGTGTGACGCGGATTGTTCGTATTGGAGACCAAACGCAACATCTCACCATGGCTGGTTGGGCTCGTCAAAAGCCTTCTTCATCGAATTCCAAATGGACCACCGCCCCAACATAGGCACAGATCAAGGTATGCTCTCCGACGCCCCAGCCTACTGGTTCCTCAACGCCGCAATCCCTCGCGTCCTCCAATACGGCAACGACCGCAATAACATTCCATGTTCCTGCTGGTCAACCGGCTGCGGCGAGTTCGACGCCTTCGAGCTACTCAGCAATGGCGCAAAACGTGCAAAGTCGACTATACATCGGCAGGGTAATCTGGAGGGTGGTGATTCGAACTATTTTAGCAGACCGGTGGGGCAGACGATGAAGTTTGCGGTTGTGTGGCATTATCCACATATCACGGCGTTGGTGTTGGACGATAAGTTTGACTTCTCGCAGAGCATGTCGGATGATGCTATTCAGAAGTTGGTGGCGTATGATGCAGATAGTTGGGTGCACTCTTTGTACGCTATCGGGGACTGAGGTGGATGTTTTCTTGAACGGAACGTGTTGAGATATTCATGTGAAGATATTCTATGTAATAATACAATTGGCAGTGTTTCCGATAGTTCCCCTGGCCTGTGTCGACATGTGAAAATCCAAGACTTTGTAACTGTGGCAAGCTCATCGTCACTGCAGGCCGATAACTCTGCGGAGGCGGATATGGGCGATGCAACGGAGTGGGCCGGCGACTGCAGTGTGGAGTGGCAAAGTGGTCGGCGTGTGATGGCTGACGGTTGGGCTTGCCAAAGCGGGCACGAGAAACCGAGGTCTGTTCTCGCGACTCAGCGTCTGTGTCTGTGATAGACCAGCCGCATTCCGGCCGACGACATTGCGTGCATTTACTCATCACCTTCATCCCTATCTACGCACGACTTTGCATCCGATCATCTCGCCCGTATTATTGCTCGCGCGCGCGCAGTAACTGCCAAACCGTCAACGCGGATCCGCCCTTTTCGCGATCCCAAGCCCCAGCCGGCGCAGCTTCCCCGCAAAAACTCGCAGCGCTCGATCGCCGCGAATTGCCAGCCTCTTGACGTTCGCAGATCCTCACATTGACGACATCCGCCGTCATCTCTGTGAAGCAACTTTCTTTACTGCGCACACAGGCGCGGAGGAGGCACATTCGCAAACATGTCTGCGCCATCGCCGCCAAAGCCATGGGAGACGAGCAACGGCGCGACAAGTGCCTCGGTCGGTCAGTTCCGCCAGCCATTCGATACGTCCGGGACAACCGCGACTAACAACAACACAGGCCTCACTGGATCGAATAGCAGCACAACACCCACCTCGACGACGACATCCTCGAGTGCGCCTCCGTTGCCATCAGTACCAGACTCCCTCAGCACCGTCGCCAACCGCAACGCGTCCAACTACTCAGGCATGAACAACCGATACGGCTCCCCCTACAGCAGCGGATATGGAGGAATGAGCAGCTACAGCTCACCCTACTCCAGCATGGGCGGAGGCTACGGCTCCATGTACGGTGGCATGGGCGGCATGGGTGGCATGTACGGCGGCATGGGAGGTATGGGTATGGGTATGGGCGGAATGTACGGTGGTATGGGAGGCATGCCGGGCGACCCAAACAGCAGCCTCACGCAATCCTTCAGCCAAAGCACAGCAGCGACGTTTCAGTTGATCGAGAACATTGTCGGTGCGTTCGGCGGCTTTGCACAGATGCTGCAAAGCACATACATGGCGACACATTCGTCATTCTTCGGTACGTCCGCCCCTTTACTACAGCCAACCAAATGCTAACATGAATAGCCATGGTATCTGTCGCAGAGCAGTTCGGAAACCTACGACAAACGCTTGGCTCGGTATTGGGCATCTACACCATAATGCGATGGATAAGAACGGCAATTGCTAAGCTCACCGGACGACCACTGCCAGCAGATGCGACCGCTCTCACCCCCGCAAGCTTCGCAGCTTTCAACGGACGTATGCCAGACGGCTCACCGGCACCCGCTAAGCCTTCCAAGAAGCCATTCTTCGTTTTCATGCTCGCTGTTTTCGGTTTGCCATACCTAATGGGCAAGCTCATCAAGGCACTCGCACGATCACAAGAAGCCGAGGAGCAAAGGAAGATGCTAGAGAACCCCCAAGCCGGCCAACCGCTCGATCCCAACAAGCTCGAGTTCTGCCGCGCGCTCTACGACTTCACACCCAACGCCAACATGCAGGGAATGGACCTGTCGGTAAAGAAGGGAGACATGGTGGCTGTGCTCAGCAAGAGCGATCCCATGGGCAACGCCTCAGAGTGGTGGAAATGCAGGTCAAGAGACGGACGTATGGGCTACCTCCCCGGCATCTACCTGGAGACAATCCAACGAAAGACACCGGCACAAATTACCAGCGGTAGCCAAAGCGGAAGCCCAGCTGGTAGCAGAACCCAGACAATGACCAACAGCAGCGCCACAAGTAGGACTGCTACTATGACTGGAGCCAAGGTACCAGAGAAGGTTGGTCCAAAGGTGGACAGCAAGGCAGGTGACATGGGTGTCGAGAGTTTCCAGAAGGGCGCCTTTTACTCTTAGGATTGAGCGATGTTTTATTTCTTTATCTTCTACATCGCGTTTCAAGTGTTGGTGTTGGGTTGCAGGAAACTGCAGGTGTGTATAAGTTGGCTAGGAAAAGCTACGGTTTGGCGTATGGCGCGTAGAGATATCATGGGTCTATCAATCCCAATTGAACATTGAACAAATAATTTACTCTGCATACCTAGCTGAAGCGACTCTTACCAATCACGTGTGAATATGAAGAGTGCCCAGATAGTTCATAGTAGTCGTCTTCCGCCCTTGCCCTTGCATGCGCGCTCCGCAACGTCACCTAACTTTCGCAACAAAGCCGAGCCACCGAGAGAGCCAGGCATCGACCAAGGCAAACAACCCAAGACGCCTATCCACGTTTTAGCTTCGCGCCCGCCTTCCCCTTCCTAGTCGCTCCTTTGGAACTCCATCACAGAACCTTCCTCCTCTGCCATTAATACTAGGCTGCTACTGTTAGGCGTGCTGCTTGCCCCTCCCCCGCCGAGTCCAGGGTCGCAGCTTGTGAGCTTGTCTAGCTTGTGAGTAGTTATACGCGAAGCTACGACATCGTTACTGTACGCTGGGTACCGCGAAGGAGGTACTGCGTCTATTCGAGGCCTCATACAGACCCTGGAGTGAAGGAGGAGCGCTACTACTGCACATCTCAAGATGTTCGCGTCGAAGCGGTTGGGCAAGGTATGTTTGCATTGTTTTGAGCTCTGGAAATGAGGAGCTTGGGTGTACCAGCACATACACGAGGGGAATAGAAGCTAACATGTGTTATAGGAGCTGTCAAAGGTACCAGACCCCTTATCACCGTCCAGCGTCCAGCGAGCACACGCCTTTCCACTACATACCACACAAACCACACGAGTCCATGGGCCAACGCCCCCCTACACCGCTCACCATACATATTACAGCTACAACTATGAATATGAGTAACGGGAAGAACAAAGTCGCTAATGACAGGCTTCACAGATGCACGAGAAACTCCCACCAGGCATAACGCTCATCCAAGCCGACGACTTCCAAACCTGGCTTATGGACATCCAAGTCATAGACTCGAACCCGCTCTATCAGGGAGAAACGTATCGGTTGAAATTCAGCTTCACACCTCAGTATCCTATCGAGGTACATATTCCTCCCCACACCATCTTCCACCACCCGTCATCCTCCTTCAACTCACGTCTCTCTTACTTCTCACCATAAACCAACCACCGAGAACCCAGCTAATTTCCCTTTTTACAATAGGCCCCCGAGGTAGTCTTCCTCCGCGACGCAACACACCCCATACCCTGGCATCCGCACATCTACTCCAATGGCATCATCTGCCTCGACCTACTCGACCGCTCGGGTTGGTCTCCCGTCCACAATGTTGAAAGTGTGTGTGTGAGCTTGCAGAGTATGCTTACGAGTAATACGAAGAAGGAGAGGCCGCAGGGGGATGAGAACTTTGTTAGGTATAATACGCAACGCCCGAGGGATATTAGCTTTGTTTTTCATGATGAGAAGGTTTAGGTAGGAGAGCTGAGGGGCGGATGGGGCCGGGGAAAGGAGGTATGGATATGGGATTGCATGGGATGGTGTTACATGGCGTCTATGGTGGACAAGGGGGGCTATGAGGGAATGACATGATGTTACGACTGGTTTTATGATTAACTAGTATGGAAACTACTATACTATGTGCAGCTTTGACATCTTTTCCAACTCATGACCATATCTTGATAATGAGCATTACATTGTTCATTTTGATCCGCGACAAGCAACAGCCTATCTCTTCTAATACTAATATCTTTACATTGAGTACTCCGCTACATCAAGAATGCGGAGATGGCTAAGGCGCGCGTGCTGAAGATACCGAGATGGGACTGGGTCTTGGCTGAGCTATCCACCTCCAAGGTGGACGATGTGCTAGGCTTGAGATTCTTGACCACTAAAAAGAGGGCTCGCAGAGATGATGTGTGGAGTAGTTGGGAGTAGGATAACGACATGTGAATGGAATGGTGTTGACAAGAAGATGGAAGATGTTGATAGTGGCGGGGGTGTCTTGTTAAGAGGGGTGGATAAACAAAGAGAGAGAGAGAGAGTATAATGATGAGAACTGAAAGGAAGGCCACTTTGTAACGTGTATTATTGATGCTCCTGGGTCTTGGAAATGGACGGGAACAGCATTTTCGACATAGAGAAACTAGAAAGATGTCGTCTTTTGGAGCATCTTATATCTCAACTTTATGACACCCAGACGCATACCAAGGTAGAAGTGTCAAGCTGACTGTGGGTGTAACCTACTGCGAAGGCAAACACGGTCATGTATCTAGGGTCCATTGATCCGGCCTGAAGGACATCATTCTGGCCCAGATTCAGGACTAATGCCTCCTTAGGGTGGTATATGTCACTCTGCCGGGCAACTACCGTAGTACAGAATGCCCAGGAATATTTTGAGTTGGTAACGCCGGACGTATACCGACATAGGTTTGCCGGGTTGATGAGAAGTGGAACTCGCTGCGAAGATAGACACGGTCTCGTTTCCAAACCTACTCTGGAGCTATCAAAGCTTGGCTGCGGGGCACTTTCTGTGAATGTCACGGTCCGGTTTCTCTTTTCTCACTCGGCGGGCCGAGGCTGCGTGATGAAATTGGTGGGTGGTCTTTTTCATAGAGTATCGATAAGCGCCGCGTTAGGTTAACCGAGTCGGCCTAGCGTCACTCGCCGACACTACGAAGGATCCCTGCCAGGCCAATTTTTCTCTGATCGCTCGCCTTTAAGCAAGCGCAAAAAAGATTCCCAACCCTCTTTTCCACCTTCTCTCCAACACCTTCCTGCTCTTCAATTTTTCAGGTTGTTCCTTATACACATACCGCAATCATGAGCGACGAAGTCTACGAGGGTGCCATCGGCATCGATCTTGGTGCGTAATATTCGCGAATTACCCCACAGTGGGATGTGTTGTGGGCTAACAATATCGCAGGCACCACCTACTCTTGCGTTGCCAACTACGAGGGCACCAATGTCGAGATCAGTATGCGCCCGCCAATTCTATTATGAAGATTCCATTGTCTAACAATGTTTGCCTACAGTCGCCAACGAGCAGGGTAGCTTCACCACTCCCTCGTTCGTGTCCTTCACCAGCGAGGAGCGTTTGATCGGTGAGGCGGCCAAGAACCAGGCTGCTATGAACCCCGAGAACACTGTCTTCGATGTCAAGTGAGTCGCCCCAAACTCCCGTCGCACGCGCACGATCAGCAGGCTGACTTTCATAGGCGTCTCATTGGTCGCCGATTCGAGGACGAGACCGTCACAAAGGACATCAAGTCATGGCCATTCAAGGTCGTTGACCAGGGCGGCAGCCCTCTCGTCGAGGTTGAGTACCTCGGTGAGACCAAGCAGTTCTCTCCCCAGGAGATCTCTGCCATGGTTCTCGTCAAGGTAAGATCTGCGCACATACTTAGTATGGCGGGGCAACGACTAACAAAATCAACAGATGAAGGAGGTCGCTGAGACCAAGCTCGGCAAGAAGGTCGAGAAGGCCGTCATCACTGTTCCCGCCTACTTCAACGACAACCAGCGTCAAGCCACCAAGGACGCCGGTGCCATTGCTGGCCTGAACGTTCTCCGTATCATCAACGAGCCCACCGCCGCCGCTATCGCCTACGGTCTCGGTTCCGGAAAGTCTGACAAGGAGAGGAACGTCCTCATCTACGATCTCGGTGGTGGTACCTTCGATGTGTCTCTGCTGCACATCCAGGGCGGTGTCTTCACCGTCAAGGCCACTGCTGGTGACACTCACTTGGGAGGTCAGGACTTTGACACTAACCTCCTTGACCACTTCAAGAAGGAATTCACCAAGAAGACTAAGAAGGGTAAGAGAGCCCCCCAGAAGATTTGCAATCTTGTTGTTTGGAGAATACTAACACTTTTACAGACATCAGCGGTGACGCCCGTGCCCTCCGTCGTCTCCGGACTGCTTGCGAGCGTGCCAAGCGTACCCTCTCCAACGCCACCCAGACCACTGTTGAGATCGACTCGCTGTTCGACGGTGAGGACTTCAACGCCAACATCACCCGTGCTCGTTTCGAGGACTTGAACCAGAAGGCCTTCGCTGGCACTCTGGACCCCGTTGCCCAGGTTCTCAAGGATGCCAACATCGCCAAGGACAAGGTTGACGAGATCGTCCTTGTCGGTGGTTCCACCCGTATCCCCAAGATCCAGAAGCTCCTCAGCGACTACTTCAACGGCAAGAAGCTCGAGAAGAGCATCAACCCCGATGAGGCCGTTGCCTACGGTGCCGCCGTCCAGGCCGGTATCCTCTCCGGAAAGGCCACCTCCGCTGAGACTGCCGATCTCCTCCTTCTCGATGTCGTTCCCCTCTCCCTTGGTGTAGCCATGGAGGGTAACATCTTCGCCCCCGTTGTTCCCCGTGGTCAGACCGTCCCCACCATCAAGAAGAGGACTTTCACCACCGTTGCCGACAACCAGCGTAAGTCACCTGTACAATATATATGTGAGACATCCACTGACCTCGTACACAGAAACCGTTCAGTTCCCCGTCTTCCAGGGTGAGCGTGTCAACTGCGAGGACAACACTTCTCTCGGAGAGTTCACCCTTGCACCCATCCCACCCATGCGTGCTGGTGAGGCTGTCCTCGAGGTCGTCTTCGAGGTCGACGTCAACGGTATCCTCAAGGTCACCGCCACCGAGAAGACCTCCGGCCGCAGCGCCAACATCACCATCTCCAACGCTGTTGGTAAGCTCTCGTCGTCCGACATCGAGAACATGATCAACGACGCCCAGAAGTTCAAGTCCAGCGACGAGGCTTTCTCCAAGAAGTTCGAGTCAAGGCAACAGCTTGAGTCATACATCTCCCGTGTTGAGGAGATGATCTCCGACCCCACCACATCCATCCGCCTCAAGCGTGGCCAGAAGGAGAAGATCGAGTCTGCTCTCTCTGACGCCATGGCTCAGCTCGAGGTTGAGGATGCCCCCGCTGATGACCTGAAGAAGAAGGAGCTTGCTCTCAAGCGCACTGTCACCAAGGCTTTCTCCACCCGATAAGCGCATCACACACTAGCAGCGCCACAAGGGCGTGCAGGAAGGAAGGAAGGGCGCACGTGCAGGATACCCAGACTGCGAGCTGCGAACGGAGTTTCATCTATTGCGGCATTTAACGATAGAATTGGTGTGTTTGGTTCCTTATCTTTCATGGGTTCCCGGTATTCAGGAACGCGGAAAAGTCTTCTTTGTACTTTCACGACGATGCCTGACGAAACGATCGTAATGGATGTTCTGCAAAAGTATGCCTAGCGGTCAATGTCTCTTATGTAACTCAATGAGGTAGATACATGGAGAGAGTGGAAAGGAAATTGAAATGACTTCACTGAATATATTTTCTTCTTGATGCTTGATTAGACTGCTACCGTGTTGTGTTTGCTGACAATAGACGCAGCAATACGCAGCGAGTCCCTACAGGCCACTCTATCGTCTTCATGTTACGCTGGAAATTTGCTCGCTCTACTTGGAATCTTCGTTGGCACACTCACAAACTGATCATTACCCGTGAGCGCATAGGAAGAGGCTCGTCTTTCCCCAAGCTCCACCAGTTGACGGTAAAACGGAGCCTAGAGGTATTCGCTAATTCCTACGTTTGCGTATCTTAGTACAAAATGTATTGAATACCTTTAGCGTACAATGTAGGTTCAACCCAGATATGCGAGCCTCGTCATAGAGTGGTAGTCTGCTTCCCGACAAGACTGCTACCGTGCTATGTTTGGCAGCAGTGAAGGTCGCTAGAAGCAGCGAATCCCTTTAGGCTGCATTATCATCGAAAGGTCAGTTCTAACACTAAGAATCGCCAAGTGCAAAAGGCAAGACATGCTGGCCACTTTCACAATATGACATGGCCCCTTCTCATGAGCACCAACCACATCCACCTTCCAGCGTGACGAACCAAAGCCTACTTCTTTTCCTCACCATCGCCCTGACCCAATGCCTCCACCTCCCGCCCTACACACCCAGCATAACTGTCAATATCGCAAGTACGTACGGCACCGTGATGGCAAAATACAGCCCTAGCAACGACATCGAGCCCGTTGTTTACATGACCATCTCAGAACTGAACAGGCTCTGTTCACTATTCGCATTCCATCACACAGGCATGAATGTTCTTTACAGCAATGAGCGTAGCGGGCAGGAATAAAGTAGCGACTTGCGCCAGCGTCTTGACGCTCATGGTGTCTTGGTGGCCTTGTTTCGCGGTGCGCAGGAGCTCGATAGTATGTGTGTGCATTTGGTCCGTTGTAGCGCGGTGCAAGTCGATATTTGTCTTTATGTGTGTAATGGAGAGGAGATGGGCTGTGTTTGTGTGTGTGTGTGTGTGTGTGTGTGTGTGTGTGTGTGAGAGAGAGAGAGAGGATGGAGTCCAAAAGCTTCTTGTACTCGTTTGCTTTGCACATTAGCCTGCGGAATGCGTCTTGCGTGTGCTCGATCTCGACTTTCAGGTGCGCAACTGTCTTATGTGCGTCGCATGCGCGCTTTGCACCGCATAGGAGGGTGTGGTGGCGATGCCAGCCTTGCAGGACTTTGAGTTGCCCGTATACGGCGGCCCTAGAGGTTAGTAGTCTGCTTTTGAGCTTTGTCAGGTATTGAATGTCTGAGAAGAGGACGGTGTGGTCGTAATCGACTGGCGTGTCCAGGTGTGAAGACACTGCCTTTTCTTCCTGTGGTGGGCGTCAGCAGTGTAGTGTATGTTGGCATAGAAGGCATGTTGCTCACATATCTTCTTAGCTGTGCTTCAATGTACTCGACGTAGGCATGCCAGTTATCGATACTGGAGTATAGGAGTACAATGGTCGCAGCGGAAACAAACTCTTGAACACTTGCTACCGCTTTGTGAACATTTCTCGTTGTATCCATGAAATCTATTGCAGATTGAACGCAAGAAAGCTCTTTTTTTTGTGCGGGACACTGCCTACTCGGTGGCTTCTGTCGTATCAATCGCACACCAAATATCAACTGCCAACTCTACGTCAGACGTTTATCTGCAATGGCTTCTGCCACTGGCGCAATCCCATGATGTCGATTTCCTCCCTTTGATACATCAGGCGACTCCTGGAAACGTAGGCGCAGGTTTGACCGCAATCGTGAATCATCGGTTTATCGGGAATGACTTGGAGCTTGTTTTAAGGATGTCGACTACGCGGGTGCCTTCCTGCGAGAGCTCAGCTTTGTGAATGCACGCTCGCTCCGGGTACATCCCCTTGTTACCAAGTTACAAGGCATCGACTGGAACGTGGTTGGGAGAGAAGACGGGAATAAATGGCTCATCAAGCCGGTCTTGGTCTTTGAGGAGGCCACATATTCGACACTGTGGTCGTTTATGCAAACTCCTGAAGGTAGTGGTCTCAGCGATAAGCAAAGATCAAGTCTTTGCATCCAGTTGGCAATTGCTATCGCAGGCCTGGAAGACCATCGTAAGCACAATTGTTTCAGTCAATATGCATACTAGCATACTAATGTTGAACGGGCATCGTACATGGCGATATCAAGCCAATGAACATATTAGTCTTCATCGACAGAGTCAAAAACGGTGCCTTGACTATACAACTTGCCGACTTTGGGCACTCCAGTGCAGTACCGGTCGAGGCACCTGGTCAACTCGTTCTTTTCCCAGAGTCACGCCCATGGTCAATACCTTCTAGCGAATATCGACCGAAATTTGCAGTGCGTCAGAGCGCAATACAGTTTTGCCATGCTTCACAACAACCACGGCGAGTATCCGAAAGCATTGGAAACACTAGATCCTCTGTACAAGGTTGCTGTATCTAATTACGGAGAAACGCACGAAATGTCTCTGCTGGTAGCACAAAGGCGAGTTCAGCTCCAAGTTCGCATGCGATTGTATAAAATCACCTGGGTTAGCCGCCTGTTTAGTCGAATGATCCAGTTGTGGTTCGACAAAGAGCACATCGAGGCCGCTCAAGCACAATTCGGAAATAATCATCCGTACACCATATCGGCTATCGACCGCGGAATTAACACACTAGCAGGAACTTTGAGGTATGAAGAGGCCATCACATTGGCGGAGTGTGCTGTGAATCTCGTAGAGAAAAGGTCTGGCAAAAGTTCATACGAAGCAGACCTCGGGAACTCCAACGCGAGAAGCTTGAAAAGGTTCAATCCGATGCGTCATTGCATCGAATGTTCTTTACCTGGGGTTTTCGGATTTTCCAGACACAAGAGCCCAGGCGCATCAAGGGAATTCCTGTTTGGTGGAAAACCAGAAAATGGGAACCGTTCGAACTCGACTTGACACTCGACCCCAACTATGGCGTAGACGATCGGAGCAAATTGTCTTAAGGGAAGAGTTTCATTAAGAAGAAGTTAAAACAGGTTTTGCAGTTTCCTTGCTCAGACCATTCTTCGCCCTCTCCTCACTTCGGCGAAAAGAGAGGCAAAAACGCAGACAGCGTCCCCTTCTACATGTTCAAAGAGGAACCAAAAAAAGAGATAAAAACATACAACAGCGGGGATTCGCTAGTGGTCACCCACCTAACTACTAATCCGCCGGTATCCTGCTTGTATATGGCTGAGCGGACGGGAAGCCTAATTCTCAAGATCCTATGGTCGTATGTGGAGGAAATGACAAATCTACTCTTTATATTCTAAGCACATCCCGGTGCTGTAGCTGTGGGGCTTTCCTAAGATGTTATGTTTTCTTCACATCAATGAGGGCTGAGTCCTGGCCTAATCGGACACGTTCATCTTGAAGGAAAACTTCCATTAAGATAATTTCAGATCGCTATGCACCGTTGGCTCCGTACGCTGCCTTGTATGATATCCTTTCAAGCCTTGAACTTCTTCCCCTCAACCGCACTACCCACCAACCCCTCTCCCTTGACCACATTGGTCGCACAAACCACGATACGACTCCCTCTCCCCTCCCCACCACTCTCCTTCAACTTCTCCCCTACGAACCTCAACGCCGCAATCTCAGCCCTCGTGACGCCTCCTAGGAAGAAGACAACAATGGTTTTGTTCTTCTCACCTGTACTTCCGTTCAACAGCTGCCTTGCCTTAACCGCCTTTTCCTCACCCTTCTGCGTCTCATCAAACGTAGCGCCGCGGATGTATTTGCTTGCGTCGTCGAAGATGCGAAGGCCTTGGGCGAGGGGATTGGCTTGAGGACTTGCTCGGGGGTCAGTGGGGGGTTTGATGGCGTTGGCGAGCGTGTGTTTTTGGATGATGGATTGAATTATGCGGACGCTGAGGGGTGCGTAGCCGGAGAAGGTGTAGCTGATATCGTTTGGATTTGCTTCGTTGACGTCGTCGTCCCATAGCTTTAGACTCTTCCGCAAGGGCGTGTAGTTGGTTACGCTGCCTGGTTTAGCGGGAGCGCCTACTCCACCGAGACTTACGCCACCCCGTGGTCCCAGTAGCCCCATTTTCTCGAGTGAAGCAAGGGTGAGAATGTGTTGCGAGCCGTAAGCCTGGATAATGGCACGCTTGAAGGCCTCGAGGTCTTTTGGACGGATACCTGCGTTGGTGGTGGATTCTAAGCAAAGCAAGCGGAGGATGGCGGGGAGCGGTATATCACGGTTGATGAGCTCGGTTATGGTGTCGTGTTGCGTTGTTGGGTCAGCGCCAGACATAATGTTCTGTTGTACTTCTAGGCTTCGCGTGAAGATATCAGTGCGTGTGAATTTGATAATCTCCTCAGCTAAGCTAGTGTGTAGCTTCAAGCTTGCTTGCTCAGCTTGATAACCTGGTAACTTGGCGACAAAGTCACGAAGCTCGGAAGTCGTCTTTGTGGCAAGCTGATCGCGTCCTGTGCTGCTTTGGAGGCGACGGGCTGCTTGGTTGAGCAGGTTACCGACAATGGCGAAGTTCGCATCACCCAGTTCGGCGTATAGAGTGTCTTTTGAATCAATCATGATCTTGCGCTTCATACTGGTCGATGCTGACCCAGTCTGTCCTTGCTGAGGCTGTGCACCACCAGCTATGGACGAGTCGACTTCTGTTTGGTTTGCGGTAATGTTGAAGACCTCATCGATGAGCCCTTCGTAGGTCAACTGAGTCAGTAGCACTGTGGGAAAGTCAACTTCCCGATCGACGATGATGAGGCTGTCTATGTTCGAACTAGGTGCTAAGCCTAGGAACGATGGCCCTCCGCTAGCAGATGTCTCGCCTGCCATGACTTCGGTACGCATGCGGATGAGAAGATCAGCAAGACGCTTGCCATTGTCACCCTTTCCGATGATACGTGGGAAAAGACCATATTTCTGCTGCTGGAGCATGAGTGCTTTCGCCGACAAGTAGATTGCGGTCGGATCTTTCTTCTGCACACAGTTAGTGCCATACCTGCAGTAGATCCAAGACACACATACGAGATAGAGATCCGAGATAGCATCTTCAAGTTCAAGCGACAGTACATCATCTGCAAGCGGCACGAAGAATAGCGGCCATTCGCTCACACTAGCTTCACCCAAAACACCCGCTTCTTCAAGCAGTTGGTCCGAGGTCATAGTACGACGGGGCACCCAGAAAATGGAGAATTCATGCTCAATTTGGCTGTCTCGCCGTATACGTTTGATTTGATCTATCTAGTATGTTAGCACCGTACAATAGACTGTTCCTATATGGAAATAATAGGCAATCCAATAAAAGCGCTATGTTCGATTTAGGCATCAAGACTGGCTAGGCAGAGTGGGTACTGTCTGTCTAGCCTACTTTTTGAGCCAGAAGCTTGCCTTAAGGCAGATGGGAGGAACCAAGTAAGGAAGCCGAGGGAGCTTCACTTACCAGCAACAGCCATCACAGTCTTCGCTTTCTCGCCTCTAACGAGAAAGACGATGTTGCGCTGAGACGAGTCGACATTGTCGTTCTCGAGGAAGAAGGGCTTGTCGACGCCATATTCCTGTAGCGTGGAGAACTTGACGAGCAAGTTCAGCGGGCCTGCGAGAGCTTTCTCAAGCACGAGATTCTTCTTTCCTCTTATCTGTTCCGCACGCGTTAGATGGTGCAGCGATCTGCGACGTTGATATTACCTTACACCCTCGAGCAGAAGAAGCAGCTCCCGGCGTGCTTTTTCAGTTATATCCGCCGCATTGAGAGGTGTGATGGGCGCCATCTTCGCCGCTGTATCATGAATTACAGCTCTTGCGAATAACCCTCACGCGCATGACTATGCAGCTCACCCTTGTGATGTGAAGGTCGATAGAAACTGAGAACGAGGTGGCTGGATTTTCGGCTCTTAAGCTTTGAACTCAAGGCACGTGCACGTTCAAGTCTTGGCGTCAAGGTGGACAACGGCCCACAACACGCTCGACGGTTCGCAGTTCTGCTTGAATATTGTGACATGAAGTTTATTTGATAGTTGTAACTAGGGATCGAGCTTGGAGACAACTTTTCGGTCAAACTTGTCCGCAGTTGAGTGTCTCCATCGTTGTAGGCTTGTAGCTAGGTAAGGATGAAGACTTCTACGGCCAACGCGTCTTCGTTGAAAGACCACCACAAGCGCGTCCAAGCCGATTCACTTTCTGTTCTTCTATCTCCTATTTGTCCGTTTCCTGGAGCCAATAATGACGGCGCATCTATGTACAAAACGTGGGTATACAGCGAACCAATAAATTGCGCACAAGGTTATGGATACGTCCTTCTCTTCCCATCACTCCACCCAGAAACACTAACATTCCTACAACGCGCCCAAAGCCTGCAAAGCCGTGCGTAGCTCCTTGACAGCGGTAGCCGAATCTTCAAAATTCAGGGCAGAAATTGCCCATTTCGCGTGCTTTGTGGCTGCCATAATAGAATCTTCATCGTCCCTGAAAGGGCCTTGCAACGACTGCTGTGGAGCAGGTGGTTGAGCGTATGGATTCTGGTGCGGTGTTGACGAGTACTGTGGCTGAGAAGGTTGCGAGAATCCGCCTTGCTGTGGGTATTGTTGCTGAGGTGGCTGTGGCGACGGCGAACCATACTGAGAAAAGCTTGAAGATAATCTTTGGGGCTTTTGGGGAACCTGAGGCGGGGGAGGGGATTGGTATGAATTTTGAGGTGGTGGCTGATGAGGGGCCTGAGCAGGTGGCGGAGGAGACGCCGGATTCTGGTAAAAGTTTGCAGGGTCTGACGGTTCTGGAGCTTGTGGTGCAGGGCTATTTGGTAAAGAGGAGGTTAGGGGGTCAATGTCCATGGGTGCGGTTGGTAGCCCCGGTGCTGTCGTCTCTGATGTGAAAGTAGGAGGATCAGTCTTCGGAAAGTATCCACCGCCGATCGAGACGACAGAGCCCTGCCTCGAAGTTGCGGGTTGTGATATCGGCGAAACATCATCGTGCGATGATTGATTGTATCCCGTGGGCGCAGAAGGGAAATTGGGAGGTGGCGGTGACACTTGGCGTGCAGAGAAGTTGGGCGATGGCTGAGTAGAGGTGTTGGGGGCCGTCTCAACGTACGGTTGGTATGGGTTTTGGGGCGGAGCACCTTGATTTATGCGCTGTACTTCTGGATCGTTTGGATCTAACGCAGGAGGCGATGTAGGCTGTTGTGGTGTTTCCTGCACGGGGTTCGTCGCGTTTGGGTCTTCATTAGCCTTGATAGCCTTGACGATGCGCAGGGCATGGTATTTCGCAAACTTGGTCTTGGAAGTGATCTCTGGGTCGTTGTTTTTCCATATTGACATGATCTCGAGGAACGTGGATGCAGCGAGGAGGGTATCGGCGGTCTGTCTGTACAAGATGTCAGAGTTGAGGGACGGCAACAAGACCATGTGTTTAGTACGTACCCGTTAACTCTGTTTTCGGCCATCTCCCTTTCTGCCTTTGCAAGAGTCTGTAGGGCAAATTGTTCGCAGTATGCGCTCGCAACCGTGTCATCCAGCAAAGCATCCTCGTTAGGGTTCTCGGCCTTTGCTTGCTCCAGCTTCTCCATAAGATCGGTCGTGTAGGCGGTACATTCTTGGTCGGCCGAGTGTAGCCCACCGGCAATTATTCTTTGGACCATGTAGAAGCGTACTGTCTAGCTTTAGTATACACTTGTTGTGTCAACGGGTGCGGTGGTACTCACACCAATACGTGACAATAGGCTTGAACTTCTCAAGCTGTGCAGCGCGCTTCGCGAAGGACGCGAGCTGCAAGCTCTTGAGTTTTGCCGGTACTGTGTCGGCCATTTTTAAGGTGTGTAGTGTGCTAAGCAGACGCGAGTCGCATGTGTTGTTTAGTCTGTGGATAGATGCATGTAGAGTCCAGGCAGCTAGAACAGGCATGCGGTCATAGGCGCTAGTCCGGACTGACCCCTGTCTCCCCGCATCTCAGCTTTGGCCATGTACCTTATGGCAAGCTGTTACAAGTGAGTGAAAAGGCCAACCTGGCAACTACGCCATGTGAGAGTATAGAAATCGCAGTGGCTGCACTTCTGCTTATCCTCCACCTCAACCACAACACACAGCAACCATGGTCCGCGCAACCACGCTGTTCGCTGCTACGGCCGCGCTGGCCCTCAATGCCCACGCCGAGAGCATGTACTCGAAGAACAGCGCCGTCCTTCAGATTACCGGCATGGACTATGACAGAGTAATCGCAAATTCCAACTACACTTCTGTATGAGTAGATCCAACCTACTAGCAAGAACCAGCTAACATTGCGCCAGATTGTCGAATTCTACGCGCCATGGTGCGGCCACTGCAAGAACCTCAAGCCCGCGTACGAGACCGCCGCCAAGTCCCTTGCCGGCATCGCCAAAGTCGCCGCCGTTAACTGCGATGAGGAAATGAACAAGCCCTTCTGCGGAAAGATGGGCGTCCAGGGCTTTCCTACCCTCAAGATTGTTCGACCTGGCAAGAAGCCCGGCAAGCCTATGGTAGAGGACTACCAAGGACCTCGTTCGGCCAAGGGCATCGTGGACGCTGTCAAGGACAAGGTGCCCAATATCGTGAAAAAGGTGAACGACAAGAACCTGAACGAGTGGCTACAAGAGAACAAGGATACCGCCAAGGCCATCCTGTTCAGCGAGAAGGGCATCGTCAGCGCTACATTGCGGGCCCTAGCAATCGATTTCGCTGGAATTGTCTCGGTCGCACAAGTCAAGAAGTCGGAAAAGGCGGCAGTAGAAAAGTATGGAATTACCGACTACCCGAGCTTGATCCTCATCCCCGCCGGCTCGGACACACCCATCAAGCACGAGGGCAAGGTTGACAAAGTAGCCATGGTCGATTTCCTTTCCCAGGTCGCTCCACCAAATCCCGACTGCCCACCTGCCAAAGGAAAGAAGTCCAAGGCTAAGAAGGATACTAAGAAAGAATCCAAGTCCTCCAGCAAATTTGCGAAAGCCTCAGCTTCACACAAGTCCGCAGACTCATCTTCAGCCGCGGCTTCAGCGACAGACGAGACTGTGGAGGAGCCCGTTGTACCTACCGAGTCGCCTGACCCGAATGTCAAGGATGAGGATACACCTGACCCGATCGTTCTCCCAGTAGAAGAACTCAAGCCCACCATCCCTCTGGTCGCTGAATCTGCTGAACTTCAATCAATGTGCTTGACCGAACAGAGCAAGACCTGCATCCTGGCCCTCCTACCCAAGGACGAGTCTTCCGAAGCTGCAACCACTGCCATTGCATCCCTCGCGTCCATTCACAAGAAGTACGATGCTTCTGGCAGCCATCTCTTCCCCTTTGTCGGTGTAACTTCGACAAACTCCCTTGCTGCAACCCTGATTACAGAGCTTGGTCTTGGAGGTGCAGAGGAGGTTCACCTCATTGCCACCAACGGAAAGCGCGCATGGTACAAGAAGTACTCCGGCAGCTCTTTCGGGGCTGAAGCAGTCGAGCAATGGGTCGATGCTATCCGCATGGGTGAGGGCAAGAAAGAGAAGCTACCCGACTCCGTTCTGGTCGCTGGTGAGAAACTGGAGGTTAAGGAAGATAAGGTCAAGATCGAGGTAGAAGAGGTTTTAGAAGACGTCTCACAAGATCCGGAGACACCTGGTCATAACGAGCTCTGAGCGAAGGACAACAAGCTCGTAGTAGTGAGAATCTCAAGTAACTTGTATAACAATTGGCTCTTATGTTTCAATAGACAAACCCGGATAAGTTCACTGCATTACCACTTCACTCACAAAATGTTCAGAACTCACAACAAAACCCGCGCTACGCCCTGCTCTTCCATGTGATTCTCGCTAATGCAGTAAGTTCGACCTTAGCCGTCCGGCCTGGTGTACCGCCTGCGGCCCCAACAGCATATCGGCTATTCGCATATCCCTGCAAAGCCCTTCCTGACGGAGAAGGGGCGGCTCATATATGTTGTACTATCGATCGGGAGGGGAATCGAGTGTGGTCGTTTACTCCTACCGCTTTCACTACCTAGATAGGAACGTACAGACACAGGTGTCTGGATCTCATACTTTGCACTTACTGCCTGCCTCAGGCACAGCTACACCAACTCTGAATATTACTCAACCATGGTGCTATTCCTGTTATTCGCGCTGAGTATCGTGCAGCCGACAACATCTTGCCAACGAGAGCTCCACAGCCGCGATCTTGGCCAGCAGTCTCAGCAGCTTCCTCTAGTACCTCGCCAGACCATTCCTTTTCCACCAGTATGGAGCGAGAATGAGAAGATCCTGCATACATCCTTCTCGACCGCGTCTATAGATCGATGGTCCTCGTACTATACCCATGGCAACCACGTTGCCGGACGCAACAAGTCCATGGCAGAGGAGACTGCAAAAACGTGGACGGAAAACGGAGTGGCTGCTTCACTGGTCGAGTATGAAGTATTTCTCAACTATCCGAAAGAGCAGAAGCTGGTACTGAAGATGGAAAATCGCGCGCAACACACGGCTCAGATGTACGAGGATGCTTTGCCAGAAGACGAAACGACAACCTACCCATTGGATCCAATGCTGCCAGCGTTCCATGGGTACTCTGCCTCTGGCCAAGTAGAAGCAGAATATGTTTATGTTGGGTAAGTGACTGCTGGGCTCATTGCGGTTATACTAGCTGACGCATAGCAGTCGCGGTCACAAAGACGACTTCGCAGCACTTGCAGCGGCCAATGTCAGCCTCACAGGCAAAATTGCTCTCGCAAAGTACGGAGGGCCATTTCGAGGAGTAAAGGTCCTTAACGCCGAAGCACATGGCATGGTTGGAGTCGTCATGTTCAGTGATCCTGGAGATGACGGGCCGCAGGAGGCAAAAGGACAGGCTGCGTATCCTAGTATGATCGTTTGCACTCGATATCTTTTAGATATATATCTCTGACGTGAGGCAGATGGTTCAGCACGGCAACCCTCCTCTATCCAGCGAGGATCTGTTGCATACATCAATCAGTACCCCGGTGATCCGACAACCCCCGGATATCCATCAAAGCCTGGCGTTGAGCGTGTCAGCAACCCACCAAACCTACCCAAGATCCCTTCTTTGCCAATCTCTCAGCGTGATGCTTTACCGCTCCTGAAGACCCTAGACAGCCATGGTATATCGGGAAAGCTGATCGGTCGGGACGGGTGGACGGGCGGATTGGACGCAACATACAGCACTGGACCTGTAACAGGTACTACTCTTACTCTGACCAATTTTATGGATGCGCAGACCAAACCAATCTGGGACGTCATTGGGATCATCAATGGTACCAATGCAAACGAGACTATCATCATCGGCAACCACCGAGACGCCTGGATCGTCGGTGGAGCAGCGGATCCAAACTCCGGATCAGCCATCCTGATCGAAATCACCAAAGCCTTCGGAGAGCTGCTGAAAACAGGTTGGAAGCCACGCCGAAACATGCAAGTCTATCCCATACCACCACTCTCCTCCAAGCTGACCCTCCTACAGTGTCTTCGCCTCCTGGGACGCAGAAGAGTACGCCCTAATCGGCTCAACCGAATGGGTAGAAGAACACGCTCCCTGGCTCGCCGCCACAGCAATGACCTACCTAAACGTCGACATTGGTGTCGCCGGTCCCCTCCCCGGCGCAGGCTCCACCCCCGAACTTCGCTCCATCGCGCAAGAAATCATGAAAAAGGTCACATACGGCACGCGAACCCTCTACGACGCATGGTACAAGCTCAACCAGTTCCGGCCTGAAGATAACGGCTTTACCAATCTAGGAAGTGGAAGCGACTACACAGCTTTTCTCCAACTGGGCATCAGTGCGCTGGATTTTGGTATGGATGCGAGTCGTAACACACCGGTTTATCATTATCATAGCAATTACGACTCATATCATTGGATGAAGACGTTGATTGATCCTGATTTTGAGATTCATGCTACTGTTGGGCGGTTCATTGCGTTATTGGCGTATCACCTGGCGGACGATGCAATTATTCCGTTTGATATGGATACGTATGCTCGAAATGTCAATTACTGGATCCGCGAGCTCGTCGGGGAAACAATGGGGATGCCAGACAGTGGGGATGTTCAACGACGGATTAAGCTTAATGAGCTCGCAGCTGCGGGAAGAAAGTTCCAGCAAGTGGCGACTGACTTTGCTGACCGGATGGCGGAGAAGAAGTTCTTAGATGATGCGGTGAGGGTTGGTAATGCAAATCGCGTTATGAGGGATGTGCAGAGGGCTTTTGTAAGCGAGGAGGGGTTGCCTGGGAGGTCTTTCTACAAGAATGGTTTGTATGCGCCGAATCGGGATGATGGTAAGTGGGTATAGATACACTCCGAGCGGTGGCTGACGAGATGCAGGGTATAAAGCGCAGACTCTACCGGCGAGTATGGAGGCGCTCCAGGATCGGAACTTGACGCTATGTTTGGAGTGGAATGTTTGGCTGACTGATGCGATCAACAAAGCGACGACGTTGCTTGCCACTGCTTAAGAAAGTGTGCATAGAGAGCAAGATAGGATCGTGGCAAGGTCGACAGCGCTGTTCATCTTCTCAAGACGGCTATCGTGAGAGATATTCCAGTTGAACCACTAGCACTTCATGTGGCTCATTATCTAACCTGCATCTATTGGTTGTGAGCTAATCATCATCTTACAGCTCGAATTCTTCCTATAGGTCCGCAGGGTCAAGCCCTGGAATAAGGCAGACTCGGCCAATAATACGTTGATAAGAGACCTACATCAGTCGAGAAGGCTAGTTCCAACAGTCTTTCTGTTTATCTTCAGCCTAGACTCAATCATTCTGAAACACCCGACCATCACTTGCTATGACTTTCGTCTTCAAGCTCGCCAAATCAACAGATGCATTGGTACAGGCTGTTCAGGTCGGGCCTGCTGACATGTTTGCGACTATTTCAGCGGCCCACTCAGCCTGGGGCTGGCTGAAAGGCTTGTCCGGGGTCAAAAGCCTGCTTGACTTCCGCAAGGAAACTTTGAAAATTGAGAAGATTGAGATTCTCGATGTCAAGCTACGATTATCGGCCCTCTCTGGTCTGGCGTTCACTTGCGATGGTCAATTTTACGTAGCCGATGAGAATATTGAATAGTCGTTCGACGGCGACCCTAGAACGCAGCTCATTGGCCTTACGGTCTGTGCCTTGGCTCACGAATGCGGAGGATCGACCGCAGTAGAGCTCTTCATGAAATGCCTAGGTCCTGCCCTGTTCGAAGAGGGGTTAATGCGAGATCAAATACATGGCCAGCTGGTAGAGAACCTTGCGAAGATACTGAACGAAGGTGCAGCCAGAGGTCTGTCGCAACGATTCATCTCGGAAGTCGAGTCCCTAGGAGTCCCCACGGGCAATCGAGAAAAATTGCGCCACCTTATACATGCCGATGACGGATCCGAGGTTGGACTTGTTGGCGGGCTATTGTTGCGGACTGCGTCCCGGGATCGGGGAGCGTATCTAACGCGCAGCAGCCTTGTCACTCGTGTTGCTACACTCTTGAGAGTTGTAGGCTATAAAATTGGAGAGATTGGAACATGGAATGGTGAAGGGGAGCAACCGATGGGTGATAAAGAGCTGGTCTTCGTCTTGGGTGGAAACATGGACACTGACAAGATGAGGTTGAGTGATGACGAGCTTCCAAACGATCAGCAAATCCATCAATATAGAAAGAATACCGTGGGAATACTGTTCTGCACACCATTGGAAACACAGTCAGGTCTCATCCCCGAAGTACTACAGTCCCGTTTCGAGGAGGTTCATCAATACATCCAGGAGCACTTACGTTTCGTGTGGAAGAGTGGGTATATTAAAGACCGCCATGTTGCCAACATGGGACAAGTACAGGCTTGTCCCGTCTGGAAGAAATCAAAGATAGCAGCCACTCCTTCTGCTCTGCGACTTGCTGCATTCCATTTTCCAATAGCAGCCGAATGGTTAGCACCTTGTTACGAGAAGATCGCGGGCTCTGAAGACTGGGTTATCATCCTGGATCCAGAACAGCGCTCAAGTATTGGATGGAAACATGGGTTCCCACCTGCGTTGATCAATTTTCGCATCATCTCGGCTTCTATTGTCATATCGGTTGCCAGCAGATTGGCCCCAGAGGACTTTGACAGCCTGCGCCACTCCGTCAACATTGTTCTCGATACTCCAGACTGGGTGGCACAGATGAGCTCAGTCATTGACAATGGCTTGCATCCAGGTCATGAATCTCAACCGAGCAGTCTTGGATTTCCACTATGGAAAGCTGTTCAAATCGTAGCCGTAATCCACGCAGCGTCAAGCCCGGATTGGGTGGACCAAGAAGCCGACGTCGACGTGCGGCGCATCATCGGTTGGAGGAGTGGTGTGTATGCAGTCTTGCCGAGTCTATTCTTTGAGATGGCACCGACTGAGAAAGCAATCGGTATCCGTTGTCTCGACAGGTTTTGGGCAAACGCCGTCGTCCGCTCTCAAGGCTCGATCCACACACAAGATAACACCTTGATGTACGGACTGTCGACCAAGGCTGAATCTTCCGGTGTAAACGTTCCGGACACCGAGGCAAGCCTTTCCCTCGTGAACACGGGTGGCAAATGTCACTTCGGCCCTGCCGTTACTCGTCCGGCTGACAGGCTCCTCTACCTCAGTCTAGAAAAGTCGGCAAGGCTACCGCAACATGACATAGCGTTCTGTGGGCGCGTTGATGGGGATTCTGTTGGGATGGTTTCAGTGCTTTCGATCATTCAAACGATTATCATCAGCTTAGAAGCTTCACAACAGTGTCTTGGACATGTCAACACTGTTCCCCAGACGGTGTACAACGTGCAAACTTCGAACTAGTGCCAAAACCGGAACCAAAAGCCGTGTTGGAAAGGTATGCCAACTGTGATATCAGCACAGGCGCATCCTCTATGGGCGATATTTCTCGCTGGACATTCCGGGTGGGGTATGTGTGGGCGCATCTGTTTCGGTTGTTCTGATTGTGCTACAGAACAGGCTCAAAACAATACTTTTATCATAGCATATACATAGTTAGTAGTAGAATGTATAGCAACACTCAACCCACGGAATTGTGCACGACATTGGTCCATCTCAAAGATACTCGACTTGCGACGGGAGCTTGGAGCAAACACAAGACTGCATCGCCAACCACAAAACATTGAGCCACTGTTCCTTTACCCACTCCTGTGATGTACCCCGAGCATTCCACACCCATGATGCGTTCATTCAGCTGCTCTATGGCGACCATGAAATCGCGGAAATTGACTCCATATGCCTGGGGAGCTATTTCGATCGTGTCTTCATCGATAGTCTCTTTTTGGACAAATGTTCGGCCGTCTTCATCAAAGAAGAGCGTTTCCAACAAGGCTGGAATTTCTGTCTTCAACTGCAGCGGCCTCATGGGCTGCTGGTACGGCTTAGGCGGACTAACCTCTGGTTTAGTGTAGTCGGTTCCTTCTAAAAAGATTTTCTGTTGCTTGCCATGTCCTTGTAACTTGGCAGTACCAGGATAGCTCCGCCTCGCTCATAGTATTCGAACTCACTTGGGCAAGCATCGTCTAGAAATAAGCTAGCAAGACTACCTCAAATCCTTCGCCGAAACAAACTATGTCAGTGCGGGTTTTGTGCGTTTTCGAGATTTGTGCACTCTACTATGATTAGTCGCCCCTATTATTGGCTAGGGAATTCTGACCTAAAAGGGCTACCGCCGTCTATAGGAGCACTAGTGGTGTTTGCCCCATGTTATGTCTTGGTAATGAAGTGCGGGGTTACTTTTGCAACTAGTAACGCCCTGTACTTGACATGTGGGCTCTTATTAGCGCTGCGTTCTACAAAATTGGGGCCACTTGTTGAAGATCTTTGAGGGTCGATATCTGTTAGATATGTTATATAAGACAGCGTGCTCTATGCCTGCTTGCACTGAGCTGCTGTCTAGCTGAGGTGACTGAGTAGTCCGTTGTCTCTTGACGTCCCCTCAGACACATCGATTGCAGGCTGGGAAGATGGCGTCTTCCGCTCTAACACTTCTCCTTTTAGCCATAATCTCGTATTTCACCAAGGTCCTTCTTCTCGATCCTCTGTTTCTGAGTCCCCTCAGTCGGGTGCCTGGACCAAAATTCTTCACTCTCACAAAGTGGCGTCTCGCTTTCGAGGACTGGAGAAGCAGCCGCACACGAACAATAGCTCAGCTACACTCTGAATATGGCCCAGTGGTTCGCATTGGGCCCAATGAGATATCTTTCAACAGTCTCGGTGCACTCAAGACAATCTACGGGCCTGGCAGCCATTTTGGCAGAACAACCTTCTACCGTATGTTCGATGTATATGGCGAGCAGAACTTGTTCACCTTCCATTCTGCGCAAGAACACGGCAGACGCAAAAAGATTTTGTCTCATGCCTACTCGAAGTCTAGAATACTTCAGCATGATACGACCAGGATAATTGAAGAGAAGGCCCACCAGTACGTCGAACTCATCGACCGCGAGCCGAATGGCACCAGCGACATCTTCCAGACTCTTCATTACTACTCTTTGGACAATATTACCCACTTCATATACGGCGACTCTGGGGCTACGTCTGCTCTCCTAGGTTCTAAAGAAGACCGAGCCCTCATTTCAGACATCATGCATCCGTCCCGCCGCAAATTGTCTTGGTGCTGGGTGCACATTCCTGGGATCACAAAGTGGCTTTATTCACGCAGAGGCTTCGTGGAGCGAGCTGTGAAGAGCATGCTACCGATGCAGCAGCCGACAACCTACACCGCCATTCGAAGACATGCTCTGGATGCGTTCCGCTCATTCAAGGCAGACCGCCAGAACGCGGAACACGGTAAGATTTTCTCCTAAGTACTTCTCGAGGCGCCCGACCGCAGATTGTGCTGATGATCGGGCATTTCACAGTGAAAGACCCATCTATTCTTTCTCATCTGTGGAAATATCACGAGTCGCAGGTTGATGGTGGCATGAACGATATGCAGATTGCGTCCGAGTGTGCCGACCACTTCTTGGCCGGCATCGATACCACCAGCGACACCCTCATGTTCCTTATCTGGGCACTTTCTCTGCCTGAAAACCAGAGATTTCAAGAGAAGTTAAGGAAAGAAGTTCGTGACATACCTGACGCATCACTGAATGAGCACGGCCATCCTCAATGCGATGCGGCCGATCATTGCACGTACCTTCAAGCCGTCATCAAGGAGACTCTCAGGCTGTATGCGCCATTGCCAAGTTCCGAGCCCCGTTCGGCTGACGCAACCACTGTGGTCGAAGGTTACAACATACCACCTGGCACAGTTGTGGGAATGTCGCCGTGGATAATGCACCGCAATATAACGGCCTTTGATGATCCAGGGACCTTCGATCCTGAAAGATGGCTTGGCGCTTCCGCCGTTGAGCTAAACCGATGGTTCTGGGCGTTTTCTAGCGGTGGCAGAATGTGTATAGGCATGCAGTAAGTTTCTGGCACCTTCTACTGTGGCGCCGCGAGTCTGATCTTAAACAGTCTGGCTATGGCTGAGATGACGACGCTCGTCGCCACGATCTATCGAAAGTATGACACATCTATAGGCGCTGGCTTTGAAGATGTAACGCCAGCAATTACTGCTCGTGTCGAAATCTTCTACGAGGAACGCTTTCGTGCAGTACAGGTAGGTTTAATTGCCGTCCATATATCGCTGAATGGCTGGCTGATTAAGGTGAGTAGGAGAATATCTGCTTGATCAAGTTTGAGTCGTTGAAACATCGATAAATCACTATAAGACTGATTATAGTAACAGACGTGGATTTGATGCACGACAACCCGGCCTTTGGCTGCTCCTCTAGGCTTGAGCCTTGGCGTAGCTCCTATACAGAGGTCTGCCGCGCAGTAGCGCAGGCTGTAGACGGATCTGGGGTTGTGGCCTACCCTGTCTAGCTTTTTGGCCAGTCTTCTGGGTCAGCTCAAGATTGGGACGTAGTCGAAAATGGAAGGCATTTTGGATCGACCGATCGTCTGAGGTGACTCGTTGAAAGCCATGGCGCTGCATAAAGGGATAGAGTGCTCTCTTTTCGAACTTAACGTCGCAAGGGAACAGTCTTCACGACATCATGGTGTTTGTGTTCATTTGGCCGTAGTATTGATAATGCGAGGGAAGCAGCGCGCTGCTGAGTGTAAGCAGTGTATGTCAGACTATATATCATGGATGGATATATCGCGTCAATTGGAATTGTGGACGATACTGCGCTGTCACTGATGCGGGGTTAGAAAGCGAAAACAGAAAATACATGCTGAGAATAGCAGCCTGGATACCATGTACATCCTTGAAGCTCCAAAATACTCGAATTCCTTGTCGTAAGCTTGTCGTTAATAGAACTCTTTCCAATCTCCCCATATGATATCGCTCTCGTACTTCTTCATGAGCTGACCCGTAGGATCTTCACCCTTGACATGTGCCCAAGCTCCCGCAAAATGCAGGATGAACTTGCCCGGCTTCCATTCGCCATCTTCATTCTCGAAGCAGGGTATGTCCTTTGGGAAAGCATTCAGCCTTGACTGTGGCGCCACAACATGTCTGCCCGCATATGGATCCTCCTTCAGCAACTCGACCATAGCATCCTGCTCGCTGTAACTCTTCTTCTCGGCACTGTTTTCGGCTTCATCGCGTAGTTCGAGTGCGCGGCGGACGAATTCGAGCGATCGGTCATGGGCGCGGACGACGAAGGATCCTAGGTTCAAGCCATTACAATCGTGGGTGAGAATGTAATCGACTTCGTTCGGATTCTCAGCTTTCTGTAGCTCATCGTTGATAACGTCGGCAACTCTGACACCGGTGTCGGTGATGAGTGTGTCAAAGTCTAGCCACCATATCCAGTCGTATTTGCCGGTTTTGACCAAACGCTCTACCATGTCAAACTTCCAGTAGACGGGGCTGCGTGGTTCAGAGTGCGCTTCGAAGTCGGTGATGAAGTCGTAACCGTGCCGTCGAGAGTAGTCTATTCAGCCTTTGCGTCAGTTTGTCCTTATGAGGCGGTTCCGCAAGGCTAAACTTACGGTCTTTGTTCTTTAGGGAGAGATGGAGATAGGATCTTTGGTCCGTCACGAATGTCATGACGGCGATTCTTAACGGCTTCTTCTCTTCCTCATGGGGCTTTTGTTCAGCTTCAACTGGCGGGGGTGCAGGCAGATCTGGGGGAGGGGACGGGGAAGTTCTTCATGGGTCGGACCTTGACTTAGTTGCCATCCCAAGAAGACAAGGAAGACGAGGAGAGGGACAAACGATTTCGGAATTTTTCGCGCTGAACGGAGTAGCATGTTTGTGGTGAGCGCAATAGGCCTACGTCGGCGGGGGAGTAGAAGAACAGTGTCTCTGTGGCATCTAAAAGGCCGTACACGACATGATTATCGCGGTTGGTGGTACTCGGAATGGGAGCCAAGCATGTGGAAGATGCAGGATCGGATGCAAAAAGGGAGACATAGGGTCATGGTCGAGAACATGTCCGGAACTCAGATGCGGGCGCGGCCGCGTGTCCGATCCGGGACGCAGCCAACGGGAAAGTAAGGATTAAGTTTTGAGGTGGATAATTGCAGCTATGTATCGTACGAATTCAGCGTGTATATCCGAATGGTCAGATACGAGATGCGACGGGCACCAAGTGGATCTTCAATGCCCCAAGAACACTGACGCGGTGCCAGAGGTCCACCCCGCTGCAGTCGTTCGGTCCAGGGTTCACGCTCGGACCGATATCCCCAGCCCTCCGCTTTGTTGCCAACCACCTTGAGCTGTACAAACATGACTGCCCGCACTAGTCTCCCTTCAACGCTGACATCATTGTTGCTCCATACTCCCTAAAATCGTAATGTCTGCCTTCAGAGGTGGGCGTACCGGCGGCGGCGGGCCACCCAAGGGACAGTTCCTGAATGGTGTCTGGCACTGTAAGCTATACCGCTTGAAGACATGAACATTACTGACCATGGTTAGGCGACTGCAATCCTCGACTGCCTGCAGTGCATTTCGAAACCAAGAAAGAAGGTGCAAATAAAGGCAGATGGTGTATGCTATTCCTACTTTGCTACCCAACTAGCTCTCTAACTTGTGCCAGTTCGCGCTTGCCAAAAGCCACAGAAATCCGAAGACCGATGTCAATTCTTCCTTTGGGATGACCACGCAAAGACCAGGGAGCAGAATGCTCTTGCAAATAACTGTCGTACCGAACCCGGCCCCCCCAATCCAGCTCCCACCAACCTAGCCACGCCTTCCAGGCGCCCGCCCTCTGCTCCATCACCTTATACGATCAAAACAAACCCCTCCGCGTCAAGTCGCAAGCGATCACGACCTATCAACGATGATTTTGACGACGAATACGGTCTTGGGCAAGTCGACGACGATGATCTAAACCAGATCATGGTTCAGGTAGAGACGCCAAGCAAGGCTGCGAAGACGACCAACTTCACAACTCCGGCGCCAAAGAGACAAAAGCTGCCGTGGCAGATTGAGCCGGGCAGTAGCTCTAGGAAGAATGGGTTACAGACGCCTCAAACCGACCAAACAACTCTACAAGACAATCCATTCGCCTCCAAGTACCCAACACCAAGGGGCGCGCTATTCACTCCCTCCAAGACCGATGCAGATGAAGACCAGCAGGTCGAAACTCCTTCTTCATTTGATGCAACACCCACTCCAAATCGGTTTAGTAATGCTGTGAATGAAGACGTTGTCAAAGACGTCTTCGACTTGCTGAAGAGTAGCAGCGTGCGTCTCCAGGAACACACCGAGAAGGAGCTTAGAACTCTACTAGTACGGCATACAAAGAACACGGAAGGATACAAGAGAGGTCGTGATGTCATCCGTAGTACAGTGAAGGCGAAAGAAGCGAAGATCACGGAGCTGACCTATCGCATCAACACACTCGAAGCTGAGCTTGAAGCAGAGAAGGCCATGGTCAAGCATCTTCGATGGGAGACGCAGAACAAGTCAGACACTTGATCGTTTCCACATACATTCGTCCAACCTGCGCGCGCCGCTTCGTCATAAGCCCTACTGCGATGGCACTGTGGCTGACATAGCTCCTGCAGCTCCCATGATGATCACCATATCACTGGGAAAGATCACCCACAAGTCCACTTCAGTGCACGTGTTACCAAATCGCTGGGTTGCTCTACTACTTCCAGCGCGTCTTGAGGTGTGGCACACGCCTGCATAGCACGAGAAGGCAACTCACACGATGTCGATCGCATGGCACGCCTGACGTTCGCAACGAGACAGATTGGTATATCCTGTCGCACGTCTGTGTTTCTTGACATTTCCATAACAGAAGTTGACCTTCGCTCTGCGATGGCTCCCAAGCACGTCATCTTGCGGTGCGATTTTCCATAGATCTGGACAACTATCAATCGGGTCGGGTTGCCCAGATGGCAAGCGAGAAATCGACGCGGTAGAAGGAGTGAGAGTTGCGGCGGAACCGAGCCTTGCCCAGCATTGGCACCCGGAAATCGGCACATTGTAGACAAAATACGATTCGTCGGGGCCCCTTGGACCCCAACCATCTTACGTACGCCGGGCCTTTGCCGAAGAACCTGTCTCCACACCCTCCACGGCGGAAGCTTGGCTATCAACGGTGCCATCCACAATCTCGTCGAGATCCGTGTTCTTGCCCCATAATATTCAGTGATTTCCCAACAAAAAGGACCCATTCTGTGACAAAAGCTTGTTTTGTGTGATGGCCAACATCGGAGTTACCGTGGCCCACCCTTCCGATGGTACGATGGGTCGGTTCAACCATGTGAACTTACCTAGGGACTGCAGGGTGACTCGCAAGCCATTACCACCGTCAACCGAGCGTGGCATGAAGAGATTTGGTACAATCTTGGCGGACGTAGTGGGGCGAGTACCCTAGACTGGATACAAAGGTAGTTTACTTCTCGATACTGACGTTGAAGCTTACACCCGTCTTCCATTCTTTCGTCGAAAGCAACGCCAATTCAGGATTTTTGAGATCAACTCTCGATACTTCAGTATTGTTGAAGGCAACCGTCCTACGTCTTTCCCTTGACTCTCGCCAGACGGCGCCTCTCTCAAGATGGCGATGCCATTCTTACGAAAAGTTGGCAACTACCTGGCGCCTGCTGCCTCGCAAAGCGAGGATGGTCGTGATCAATGGCCCTCAAGAGCGGCTTTCCTCCTCGCTGCCATGGGTGGTTGTGCTGGACAAGGAAACCTGCTCAGATATCCCAGTGTGCTTTACAACAACTATGGTCTCCAATGGTTCATCCCATATCTGCTGGCCGTCTTTCTCATTGCTATCCCGGCTCTTATCCTAGAAGTGTCCATCGGTCAAGCGTACCGTGGTGGCACTGTAATTGCTTGTAAGATGGCCCATGCGGCGATTACATAGGGAGTGTGAACTGACTTGCTGCTGCTAGTCAACAATATAAACACCCGTCTGAAGGGAGTTGGTATGGGGCCTGTTATAGTCAGTTTTCTCGTTGTTCAGTATTTTACTGTTAATTTGGCCTGGTAAGCAATCCTTCCATACAAGCTCAGTGTCTCGCCAGTACTAAACATAGTTGCCAGGATCATGAGATACTTCCAAGAAAGCTTCACCAGCCCCTTACCATGGAGCGGCCGCATCGATGAATTTTACTACCAAGACGTTCTCCAACGCGGAGAAATCAACGAAGGAAGCTTAAGCGCGGACGGCAATTCCGTACTTTCATTCACAGGCTACCCCAACGGAGCTCTCATTGGCGAGACCGTCGGTTGGAGCATTTTCGTCTGGTTTCTTATCTGGATCTCCATCTTCCGTGGCGTCGGCATGACCGGACGCGTCGTCTATTTCACAATGGGACTACCGATTGTCACCACCATTATCTTTGTTGGCCGGGCACTATCTCTTCCAAATGCAAGAGAGGGCGTTGATCTCGTGTGGAGAACTTGGAGGAGCGACCAACTCGCTTCAGGTGCCGTGTGGCAGACGGCTGTTGGCCAAGTCTTCTTCTCCACTGGCATCGGCTTCGGATATTTCACGTCGTACGCCAGCTACAACACGAAGCATGCCAACGCAGTAATGGATGCTTGCCTCATCTGCGGTAGCAACGTTCTATTCGAAAACTTTGCAGCATTCGCCGTCTTTGGCGTTGTAGGCTATCTCCGCCGATGGCCGCAGGATGGTGTCCGGCTCGGCGCCTTTGTTGTTGGTTTCTTGACGCTCCCCGAGGCCGTGCTGCAGATGCCGGGAGCAAACTTCTGGGCTGTGCTCCTGTTTTTTACACTTATTGTCCTTGGATTCAGTTCGGCCTTTGTCATGCTTGACGTTGTGGTCACGCTGATTTGCGACTCCGGTATGACTAAGGCTTCGAGACCTGTTGTTGTTACTGCGCTGACGGTCCTTTCTTTCTTGATGTAAGCACTGAATTGCTGTTTGGTTTACCGCCGGGGACGTCTGCTGATTTTGCCAACTTTAGGTGTCTGCCATACTGTACAGAGTTTGGCTACTATCTCCTCGACGGTATCGATCGCTGGGTCAATAACGTAGCTCTGATCTTCGTTGTCTGGAGCGAAGTATCAAGCGCCACGACAGTATATCGATGGAGAGACATCGTCGATCAAACTGGCCTGCCTGCCTTTGTTGTCTACAACATTGGATTCTTCGGAGGCCAGATCTTTGGTATCAGTCTTGCGCACGGTATCGACCAACCAGGAGCCGGTGCTGGTGCTGGAATCGGTTTCTACTTCCTCATGGCTATTGTAGCTGTTGTTCTGGCACGAATGCCCGACGCACCTGCGCCCTCGTTCTGGAACCGGAATGCCTTTATCAAAAAGTTCTGGTTCCTCGCTTTCTACTCAGGTAACCAACTACGTCGCGACCTGAACGTTATTGTTGGCCAAGGGAAGAACTGGAAGATACCGGCATTCATGCCTTTCCTCCTCCGTTACCTCAGCGGACCCGTCCTCGCCATCATCTTCAGTTTCGCGTTCCCGGAATTTCACACTTTGCGCTATGACCCCATGATGATTGCTGGATTCATCCTGTCTATACTTACGATCATCGTTGTATTGCTTGGCTTGGTAATGCCCCGATACTACGTCGTCTTCATTCCTGCGCACCGCCGGCTCGAAGGAACGGAACCGACAGTAGCGACGCAGACCAAAGGTGAATTGGCAGGCAGACCCATCACTGAGATATCGAGTGCTGAGCAAGGACTTCCTCCACCACCATATGCGGTCGAAGCAAACCTAGGACACTCTGATCTCATAAGGGACTCATCTTCGGGGCAAGAGCTGGAAGAAGACAAGCACGTCAAGACGACCGGCTCGAAATGAGCCAAAGCAGATACCCTGGTTTCGATTTCCTTTTCTTCTAGGCGAGTTCGACTGATCTGGAGACTTACAGTGTGGGGTTTTGGTGGCGCTGACAGTTTCGCGTTTCCTTGTTTTCCTTGGACAGTGACTTCTTATCAGTGCAGCCGTCGCAACGTTTCTAAAGGCAGTTGTCATGAATGCCTAGAGCCCCATGTCTAGAGCCCAGATTATACCAAAGCAACCCAACCCTGCTGTTTCGTACAGCACACCCTATGCGACTTTTTCCAGCCCAGAACAGCGACTCTTGGTTTTCGATAATGCACATACCATTTGTCTATGAGCTCTTGAATCAACTACTTTGAGGTTTCGCTCCCAGATAATCATAACCTAGGTCCCGTTGCCCCCGGAAGATCGGATTGTTAGCGCAAAGTACTCCTTGTTAGGTCTGCCTATCAGAACTCAAACCATTTGCAGACCAATTTCGCAAGATGCACAACTCCCGTTCCAGATGGCCAACACCGGCACTCCTGCTCCGCAATCGCGATGCCGTCCTCTCGTGTGATACACTGCATAGGGCTGTCGGTATTTCCAGATTGCAGTCGATATATGTAAATGGAAGTTATGCAGGTCGGGAGCCAAAAATGGACGAATCTGGAGCAAGCGAGAAGCTTGTTTGCATGTGGCTGCAGATCCGCTGACGCCTAAATAACATAAGCCAAGCAGGATGCTACCACAGGAGAGTGCCTGAAGATTTCCTTTACACACCTTTCGGCATGCACATGCCTGCGCAAGGGTTTGTTTGCCAACGATACGGCCCGGCGAGTCAGACTGGTGGGTTGCGCATTTTGTGCGAAGCCCCACTAAACCTCGTTCGTGGCAACTGCGCGACTTGTGCGGCCGCCACCGTCACGCTTTCGACAATGAACCAGAATCATAGGTAGTAATGACATACCACGCAATAATCACTCGGAAAGTCAGTTTTCACTTATATGTAGAGGTCTTGAGTGTCATGTTGTGTTTTTCTTGTACGTTCTTGCCTTCATCAACGCCTAGTCGCTTCTTTGATTGCTTTGATTGCGTGACGACAACAGTTGGCTACTACCCCAGAATCAGTGCCCACTACTACCGATAATTATCACCCAAGCCAGAAACTCATCTACCTGATCGATCAAGGGCCACCGGTATTGTCGATATTACACAACCAACGTCACTTGGAACCCGAACCAGTCACCATGTCACCTGCGACGCCGTCATCCAGATTGCGCGACCCAGCTGCGGTGGGCACTATCACCACAACATGCTTTATTTCTAATCTGCACTGCCCGTCATGTGTCGACGGCATCCAAACCTCTCTCAGTGCGCTCGATCCCCCGCCACAGGACGTGTTTGTTTCTATCATTTCGCATTCAGTGGTTGTGCGTCACGCCACAAGCCTTGACGTCGACGATATTACAATCTCACTGGAGGCTGCTGGGTTCGAGATACATAGTGTCTTCCAAGATAACAAGGTGGTTACGAGTCCAGCTGAGATTAGGAACCCCGAGGAAACGAGCAGGGAGTGGCATACGAGTTTTGAACGTGCTGTGAACAATTGGCTACGTCCTGTTCCAGATCTCGACGGTTCGTACGACGATATGAAGAAGAAAGAAACACACCTCGCTCAATGCGAGCAGTGCAAGAGAGAAGGTGGTGGGGTTAGCTTGCATAGCGAGGAGGTGCTACCATTCAAGCCTGCGCCTATCGTTACGTCTTCGCCTAGGGGTAGCTTCGATGGCTCTGCATCGCTCGAACCAAAATCGCCCATATCGGAGAATTTCGTTACTGTCGACCCACCTGTGACCCCACAAGTCTACAGAGTCACGCTGGCTCTTACCGGAATGACGTGCAGCTCGTGCGTCTCTGCCATTACCCACGCGGTCCAACAACATCCATGGGTCCAATCGGTCAACGTCAATCTATTGACAAACAGTGGAGTGGTTATATTCAGTGGCAAGGAGAGGTGCGCAGAGATTGTCGAAACAATCGAGGATTGCGGGTTCGATGTTGCAGTGGAGAAGCTTGAGGAGGTCCAAACCATATCATCGGGAGCTGTAGCGGCACCAAAACAGCAGACGGAGAGATGGCGCGCAACATATTCCCTTGGAGGCCTCACATGCTCGGCTTGTGTTGGAAATGTCAGTCAGGCGCTACAGCCTCTGACGTGGATTGAAAAGGTTGATATCAACCTTATCTCGAATAGTGCGACGATCATATTCAGAGGCAAAGAACATCTGCCTGACATCAAAGAAAGCATCGAGGACGTTGGATATACCGCGACTCTTGATCAGGTAATCCAGGAAGGGATCACAGTGACTGAGACTATTGAACGCGCTGTCGCGATCCGCATAGACGGTATGTTCTGCCACCACTGCCCAGACACCATCACGCGAGGATTGCAAGGAGCATTCGCAGAAGAGGGTACTTTCGTAATCGAAGATCCGTCAATATCGCTTCAGCAACCCATCCTACATATCAAATACGTACCGGATCCTCCTCGCTTCACGATCCGAAAGATCTTCGCAACGATTGAGAGCCTCAACCCGGCTTTCCAAGCTTCGGTCTTCCATCCTCCAACGCTTGAGGAGCGTGCGCATCAGATGCATGCGCAAGAGCGGACACGTATCTTGCTCCGCCTTATACTGTGCATCATCGTCGCTATCCCCACGTTCATCCTCGGCATTGTCTTTATGAGCTTGATCAGCTCCAACAACCCTATCCGCAAGTACCTCATGGGCAACATGTGGGCAGGTCATGTCACTCGGTTAAGCTGGGCGCTGTTCATCCTCTCTACACCTGTTTACTTCTTCGCAGCTGATACGTTCCACCGCCGCGCACTGAAAGAGCTGAGATCGATGTGGCGACCAGGAAGCCGGACCCCGTATCTGCATCGCTTCATACGTTTCGGCAGCATGAACATGCTCATCTCCCTCGGCACGACAATCGCATACCTGGCATCGATTGTTGAACTCATCTTGGCCGCCACAAAGAAATCTTCCGGCTCGATGAACGACTCTTACTTCGATGCAGTAGTCTTCCTGACCATGTTCTTACTTATTGGCCGGTTCTTGGAAGCTTACAGTAAAGCGAAGACTGGCGATGCTGTCACCTCGCTTGGAAAACTCCGACCAAATGAAGCTGTTCTCGTTGATGCGGAGATAGGCGACACTAAGATCGCTACTGATCTCTTAGAGATTGGTGATATCGTCCGAGTCCATAATGGCACTTCGCCGCCGTTCGATGGAGATATAATTGAAGGCACGTCTAACTTTGATGAATCAAGCTTGACTGGCGAGTCGCGTCCGGTGAAGAAGGCAGAAGGCGACACTGTGTTTTCCGGTACCGTCAACAAAGGCGCGCCCGTCAAGATTAGGGTTACGACGGTATCCGGTACTTCGATGCTAGATCAGATTATCAATGCCGTACGAGAAGGTCAGTCGCGTCGCGCGCCAGTCGAACGTGTCGCTGATGCAATCACCGCGCATTTCGTACCTTTCGTCATTGCCGCCGCCATCACCACCTGGCTTGTTTGGCTCATTCTCGGCACTACTGGTGCCATACCGAGTGACTGGAAGAACGAGAGTGCTGGTGGCTGGGAGCTCTGGTCCCTTCGCTTTGCGATAGCAGTCTTCGTCATCGCTTGTCCCTGTGGCATTGGCCTCGCTGCACCAACTGCACTCTTCGTGGGAGGTGGACTGGCTGCCAAACACGGTATTCTTGTCCGCGGTGGCGGTGAAGCTTTCCAAGAAGCTAGCTCATTGGACTGTATTGTTTTCGACAAGACCGGTACCCTGACACAAGGTGGTGATCCAGCAGTGACGAATCACAAGTTCTCTGACGACCAGAATGCTGAATTTGTGCTGGGCATCGTAAAGGCTTTGGAAGAGAACAGCAATCACCCTATTGCTCGGGCACTTGTATCCTTCTGTAACAAGGAGGTTCATGACACACCTGTAGCTGTCAACGTTGATGAGGTGCCTGGAAAGGGCCTGAAGGGTACATTCAGGGTCGATGGCCAAGACATTACCGCGATCATTGGCAACGAAAGCTTCATGGCTGACCATCATGTTCCTTTCCTCGCCGAAGATACCTCGTCGTTGCAAAAGTGGAAGTCTCAGGGAGACTCAGTTGCTTTGGTCGCCTTGTTTCTACCGCACAATGGCGATCGAGGTGCGACTCAGCCCTCCGAGCTATGCAATGGATCTGAGTCCCTCTCCATAGCCGTCACCGAGACCCAAGCTTCATCAGCATGGCGGCTCGCGTGTATCTTCTCCATCGCTGACCCGCTCCGTCCCGAAGCGCCAAGCGTCATCTCAGCCCTGCAAGCACGTGGTATAGACGTCTGGATGTTATCCGGCGATAACCAAACCACAGCCAACGCCGTAGGCGCACAAGTTGGGATCCCAACCTCCAATATCATCGCAGGCGTGCTCCCAGACCAAAAAGCGGAGAAGATTAAATATCTCCAGCAGACACTCACCAAGCCGCACAAGTCCCTTTTCCACATCCCCTTCCTATCCCGAAACAAGAATGAAGGAAAAACTAAGAGGCAAAAACGTGCAACAGTCGCCATGGTAGGTGACGGCATAAACGACGCCCCTGCCCTCTCTATTGCCGATCTCAGCATAGCAATCGGCTCCGGCTCCGACATCGCCCTCTCCTCGTCCTCCTTCATTCTCATCAACTCGCGCCTCACTACCATTCTTACCCTTCTCGATCTCTCCCGTGTAGTCTTCCGCCGTGTATACTTCAATTTCGGGTGGGCGCTCATCTACAACCTGGTCGCCATGCCAATTGCTGCGGGCGTCTTGTTTCCTATTACCACTGGCGGAAATAAGAAGATGGACATGCATCATAACGGGATTGGAATGGAAGGGGGAATGGCGATGGAGGAGTCAGGCAGGAAACATGTTAGACTTGATCCTGTTTGGGCTAGTTTAGCCATGGCATTGAGTAGTGTGAGTGTAGTTTGTAGTAGTTTGGCATTGAGGAGCAGGATGCCTGGGGTGGGATTTAGAGTGGCTAAAGGTGGGTTGGAGGGGGAGGATGGAACGGTGGATGGTGTGGGAAAGGAGAGGGTGGTGGGTGGGGACATGGTCTAAGGCAGTAGTGTGATGACGGAGTGGTATGGCTTTACTATTACTTGGACTCTTGTAGGCACGAGCTACTCATCCTACGTGAACAACTCTTCTCCTACAGGAAGTACACCCCTCTCCTGATCGACAACCCGCTCAGTATAGTTGACTCCAATTTGACTCCACTCATGCTCCCACCTCTCAACCCTGTCGCGTTCTTCCTTCTTTCTTCCCTCATCGTCCTGCTCCCAGAAGTCCGCTTCATGTGTAGGAACAACCAGTCCTTCGAAGAAGCCTTTCTCGCAAGCTTCATATCTCTTCGACTCCACAATCCAACCACTCATCATCCACCCCACAATCCTATCCCCACTCTTCTCTTCTTTCCTCTCCGCAATAACAGCCGAACGATCCTCCACCCTGGACTCAATCACCATGTCAACCCCATGCATACGCTTCTCTCCAACAGTCGGTATCGAGCAATCCTTATTCCATGGCTTCTTCTCCTCCTTCTTCCTAAAAGCAATTTCCCACAGATACTTGTCGCTGAAGCGACAATAAGGTACTCTGATCAACTTTTCATGGCTATCCTTGTCTTCGTCATCTGCCTCGAATGCAGCGTCTTCTGCCTCCAATTTAGCGGCTTGAGCAATTCGTTTCTTGTTTTCCTCAATGTTGCGTTTCCGCTTCGTTGCACGCAGGGCGGTGCGGAGGGTCGCTTTTGTTGTGTGGTCCTCAGTGTGGAGGGGGGCGGTGGTAGAGGGGGAGAGTTTGCGCATCTTCCTGCTGCGGAAGGAGTCTCGTGGTGCGCTGTGTTTGCGTGAGGGTTGAGTGTTTGGAGACATTTTCGGTTCGAAAACTTGGTGCTGTGCTGGTATGAAGTTTGGATACTGGAGAGAGATCTTCAATACTGGGATGGGGGTTGTGAAGTGTTGGTGATGTAGTAAGGGGATGGAGGAACTGTCTCGTATTTGTATACATTTACAACAAAACGTTTTCAAATTTCCTACCTAATCGTGAGTGGTTCTTCCTTTGCGAACCATGGTTGTACTTTGGGTCATTCCTGCGCAGCCACTAGTGAGGGTTGGATTAGAAGGGCGTGGGCTATACAGTGATCAGAATTTAGAATGCATTCACGAGTATGATGGAACCATATTGTACTTGCGGCTTTTCTTATTCGAGAGCATGATATGGCCCCATAATATCCATGGATGTAGCCTTGCGATAGATATCGATCCTATGGACCAGTTTGAGTTGAGGCACAGTGGATGTGGGGTATGGAGCAATCGAGAGGCTGAAGAACGTGGTATATGGCACTGCATGTCGCATGGTTGTGTTCCACAGGAGGACAAGTCCGTGGTAGTCGCCAGAGTGCGGTGTTGGTCGACGTCACACCAATGGGAAAGGATGTAATGGTTGACGGAATGTATTGTGAAAATTCGTTCTACCGTGGAAAAGAACGCGGTATTTGGCGAGGATTGCGCACAGCGATTTTCTCCAAAACTACTGTATTGAAATAGTTCGATATTCTTCATTTATGTTTGGGATCGGGAGCCGTTTCTGGTTATCCATTACCACACAATACTGTCCACCAAGTTGGCGCACATATCAAAATCGACTAAATCACCTATGAATTATCTTTTTACATGACAAAGCGAAGCTAGATGTGGATGTACTTTAATCAGTGTATGCCTCATGTGCAGTTCGTACATGGACACTTATATGCCGCGACATTAGGCGTCCCGCCGAACTCCGTCCATCACTTCAGTCCTGCGACCATCTTATGGGGCTTGCTTGAACCTCCTTCGCACGGGAGGTCGAGGATGCAGCTTTCGTGCAGCTCTTTCTCACTTCTGCCTCTCGGACGGAGAAGGCTCCTTGATGCTTCTTGTTATCCCTGGCGATCTTCTGCAACACCGCGGGAGTGATCATTGTTGGCCCGCGTGGTTTGTGACCGAGTCTGGCCTTCGCCGGCTTGGTCGACGTCGCCTCGTCGTCGTCGAGCTCGATGCTGTCCGGAAAAATGGTGGAGGTCGCCGCCGCTTGTCCAGGTGCTACCACCAAGTCGACTTTGGCGGAAGCGGAAGCGGAAACAGGGACAGACGAAGCCTGCCAGTCGCGCGCATCACACTTCGAGATGGCAGCGGGTTCGACCTTGGCAGGAGATACGATGTCGGTGATGTCCTCTTTCGAAGCACCATAGGGAACGCAGACGACACCGGGGGACACGAGGGGAGGAGAGGTCTGAACCAGAGCCTCCTCTAACTTCTTTCCGCGCGAGGAGGCCTCTGACTGCTTTCGTGCGGTGTCGGAGAATACGACTTGGCGCACGACGTTGAACCAGCGTCGGATCGAAGACTTGTCCTTTGATTGGACGAGGGTAGAAGCATCGTCATCGGTTTCGTGGAGGGTGATACTGCTGGTGCTCGTACTAGGGCGAGCAAGACTGGCGTCTGTGACTGTGGGAGAAGACATGGCTGGTGATGGGATGGATGTAGGGAGGAGATAGTCTACATGTGCTCCTGAGCGAGGATCGTTCACATGCAATGCAGAGAGAGAGATAGTCTATATATACTTCTGAAGAAGTGTCGTGTAGAACAAATGTTGAAGACGCTCCACAGTTAATTGTACAACTCACGCTTGAGGCCGCCACTCTCGATCGTCACGCCGCGAAATCGAAATGGCTCAAACCGTGAGGCTCGCACGTCAAGAATACATAGCATGAGTGTGCTACTGGCTGAACCAAGTTGAGATTGTGGCGCACGAAACTTCGAGTTCGTTAGGATCAGGCGACAGTGATGACGAGGGATGGCGCAAGGGAGTCATCAGACGTGACCATAAACCTATGAGCCATAAGTAGCAAATAAAGGCAAGTACTTTTGCAATGAAAGACCTGTAACCCAGTCATCTCGAACGACTGGTTCTGGGTACCAAGCAGATGTGGGATCTCTACAGGCCAAACAAGATCAGGTGGTAAAAAAGTGGTATTCCCAAAGTGATTCCCATAGCGCCTGCCCAATGCTCATATAATCTTATACACCAGTATACAAGGTCGCATCATTCGCTACTTGCGTGCTTCGACGGCCTGCTGGAGGGCTTGGGTGGTACCCATTGGCTGTGAGGTTCTTTCCATGGGTTTGTCTGGAACGACGACATCCTCGAACTCGTCCTGTGAGATGGCGTTGATTGTGTATGTATCTGTGGGATGTGAGTCGGTGCTCTAGGCGGAGTATCCATGAAGCATACAAATGCCAATGACCAGCGTGCAGATAGCGAAGCCGGTGATGGTGTTTTTGATCAGGTACGGCGCGCGGGCTCGCAGCAGAGCCGGCGATGCCCGCATGCGATCGTCATAGTAGGTTGAGCGGAAGGGTTTGCTGTCGGGGTTAGCCTATACCCTCGCTCGCACACATGCACAGTTGGACTTACTATCCCATGTTGGCGTGTACTGAGGCTCTCACTGTCTTGCGGGGAAAGAAGGTCTCGCCGCGGTGGTGAACTTCCACCACGCTAGACGGCCTTGGCGGCCAGGCGCAGATCATCGCACTGCCGCGAACCCTCCGCGTCACTCACCTCGCTCGCATTTGTAGTCAACAACACCAGTCGCGCAAAAAAGCCTTTCCCTTGTACACACTCTCTACGCCTCTTTGACTGTTAGCATTGCTGGGAATGGGAGCGCCCTTGACGTCGGATACCGGGCTTTGTCGCGCTCTTAGTTTGGCAGCATTGCGCGCGTGAAGCAGCGTCACTACTACTCTCCAACCCCTTCAAAGAAACCAAGCTCTTCTCTTGTGCACTCGCCATCAACCACCACCATGACTTCGCAAACGATACAGCAGATGGAGTCGGCCCGGTCGCTCGCGTTAGGCGACGGTAGATACTATCCTACCATCATACCGGGCGTGCTTCCTATTATCGGCTACAGTGAAGACCAGAGCACTGAGATACAACGTTGGGGCGCCGACTTCCTAGCGGAGGCTTTTGCGTCACCAACATGGCCTCAAGAGGTCAAGCAGAACAGTGCGCCCTCTGTGTTGGCCACCTTGAAGGCTTACCTCGACAATGTTGAAGACAAGAGCGTCATCAAGAGCGCCATTCAGGCGGCCGCCAGCGTGTACCCGCTTGTCTACAAACACATGTAAGTGATCCCACGCATCAGATAGAAGTCTCCATGTCAAATATGCCATGCGCATCTTGAGGTCCCCCTTGCTAGATGCCCATGACTGCATTCATGCGAACACTTTCTTATACTTGCATGTGCCAGTGTCTCCGACCCCAGCGATGCCCAGATATGGCAGCTCATGGCCGGCATCAAATCGAATATATTGCGACGAATGGACACAGCCGCGCCCGGTGTGCGGATATGTTGCGTCAAGTTTCTCCAACAAGTCGTCCTGGTCCAGACACCAGGCGTGGCAGACCCCAGGGTAATTACTACTCTTCAGCCAACATATTATACAGCCATCTGATGTCTCGCAGCGCGCCGACCAAAACGACATCTCCCTTTCCCTCGTACCCCGCGACCACCCCCTTATACCATACGCGAGCCTCGAGGCTGAAGGACACGGGCTGTTGGACAGGTTGTTGGACATCATACATGGAGATCACAGGTTAGATAGACAGTCGCAGACTGCCGGAATGCATCTAACAGAGAACAGTGACGGCTTGCTCGTGACTGCGACCCTGAACAGCTTAGGCATGCTCATCCATCGCCGGCCAAATGCTGCAAATAAGATCTTGAACAGTGTCTTCAACTTCAATCCTCTAAAGCTCGCCAACTCGCCCATGACGCCCAAGAACAAGGTCATCATGAAGTCGATTGAGCGCACAACAAGGGCGCTACTTGTGAACATCATAAAGAGGTATGTCTGCTTTACTACGTGATAGTACTGCTGTGCTGATTCTCATTACCACAGGAACCCCGAAAACCCCGTCAACGGACGGATACAGCAGTTCTTGGAACGCATGCATCGTACACGGGTTGAAGTCTTCGACGAAGCTAACCGTAAACGTCCAGCACCTAGTGAGCCGACTGATGGTCTTGACCAAGCGAAGAGGCAGCGATTAGTCGCTGAACCTCCGAGTCGCACGCCATCTGTCCAACCGCTACCGCCTGGTGAAGTCAGCTGGCGACAACTATACACACTGAATGCTGAAGGCAGCACTGCGAACTTTGATGTGCAAAACTTCAGAGATCCCGAGCAATTGCTGAGGATAGTCGTGCCTGTTTTGCAGTCAGTGAACGCGCAAAAGCTCGAACAAGCTATCAGTGTATGTGATGTCTTTCTCTTCATCTCAAATACTCCAAGACCTCTTATTGGCCTATACCCTGCAGAATTGTGTTGTAAAATACGGACAACAACGCGATATGTCAGTTATTAACCTGCTAACATCGACACAGGCTGTCCGCGCCCGGTATCAAACACTTAAGCAGACCGCTCCAAGCCGACCCGCACAACTCCCGATAGCCGCCGCCACAGAAGACGAAGAGGAGTACGAACCCGACTTCGAACCTGAAGATGCTGAACAGCTCATCAATAAGCTCGATGGTCTCCCCTCAAACCCCTTTCCGGCCCAGGGCGGACCGTCAACCGCTTTAGCACCCTACAAATTGCCCGAGGCGCCTCCGTTATCAGAACAGGATGTTCAGAAGTACGGTGATATGACCGTACATCGAGCCTTCGGCATGCTGAGCAGTGTAGATGAGACGCAAAAGAGCAAGGTCGCAAAAGGCGGCTTCAACCGCCTCGCCGCTACCGACTACAACAGGGACGCATGGGTCACCATACTCTCTCGGTTGGCCACACGAGCAAGCGCTGGACTAGACGACCCGGAAGAGGGCATCAAAGACGAATACGCCGTCAAGAACACAAAGGGCAATCTGCAGATCAGCGACACAGTAAGAGACGGCCTCTACCAATACATACTCTACAATTGGAAGTCCCGCATCGACGTTGCCATCTCCTGGCTCAACGAAGAATGGTACAACGACATGGTCCTCGCCCAGTCAGTCGACAAAGACTCCACTACAAACGGTACTACTTCAAACGGCCACCATACATCGACCAAGCCACCACCGGGTAACTACCACCGCTGCGCCCTCCGTCTCATTGACGGCATCCTCCCTTACATCGAACACACGGACAAAATCATCATCCGCTTCCTCTCCGAGATACCCCAAATCGACTACAGTATCCTCGTGCGTCTGAAGAAGATGGCCGAAGATCCCGAGCGCATCGATCTAGCGTGTAATAGCCTTCATTACCTTTACATGTTCCGTCCTCCTGTGAGGAAGATTGTCGTTGACGTACTAGCCGAAATGTGGAACGAGAATGAGCGGGCGAAGCCGTCTGCGCAGAAATTGTTGGTTAGGTGGCGGCCCGAGGTTCTGGGGGAGCAGAGGACTGTCAGTATGCCTACGATGGTGAAGGCTGAGAGTCAGGGCGAGGGTCAAATGGCCAAAGAGAGTGCTAACGGCGCGTTGGAGGTCAAGCCTGTTTCGTAGATGGTGCTGCATCGGTTTGCAAAAGGGGGGGCAAGGAAAAGCGGGTTCTACGGCCCTGGCATGCGGAGACGTGAAATACGGAATTGAGGAAAAGAGAAGGAATGAATAGTCGGTGGGACATTTTTCGGGGTAAGAGGACTCACATTTGGATCCCGCGTGTTTCATTTCATCAGCTGTATACCTATCGGATTCGTGAGTCATGCAGTTGGGTTACGTCGAAACAAGACCAGAGTGGAGGTTGGGGAAAGCAAAGGGCCGGAAGAGAGATGAACGCGTGGCTGTACGAAGACATGGCAGCCAATGTACAACATTCTAGTATATTCAAGACACCAGTTGCACATATTTCCATTTGCAATATAGCACATACACTTTGCGTTTGCAATATCATTTCTATTGCTAATACAGAGTGTCGAAGTTTCGTCTACACCATTCTTGCATGGTCTCCAATCTATTCTCTCATTGTAAACACACACGTCGTCTATTCAATCTTCATCTTCTGGAACTGCTCAATACTAGCCTCCCAGTTCTTTGCCTCCAACTCGGCCGTCCTCAGCTTCTCCCTCTCCTGCTCCTTGACAGCATCACTGACCTTCTGCTCCCACTCGTCATCCATAATCTTCTTCTGGCGCGTAATCGTCTCGTTCGCCTTGGTGAGGCGATCCTGAGCTTTTGTAATCTCCTTGTCGAGCTCAATGCGTCCCTTGACGTCGAGGTATGCCGTCGCAGAGGTGCCGATTGTGTAGACGGCGCATCCAGACGGTGCGGTGTCTGTGGGGGACAGAATCTTGATGTCGCCAATGGTTTTTCCGGCGAGGGAGCGGATGGAAGGGAGGGAGGTGGGGGTTGTGAGGGTGCTATGTGTGGCGTCGGTGAGGGATTGGATGTAGGTTGATGCACCCTCCTTGATTGCGTATTCGGCAGTGAGGGAACGGAGGCCCTTTGCGCTGTCGACGAGGAGCTCGTATTCTGCGTTCGCGGTCGCGTCTTCGAATTCTGGAGAGTACTGTGGGAAAGGGGCAATGGTAATGGAAGGGGTCTTGTCGCCTTGTCGGCGAGGGAGACGCTGCCATAGCTCTTCTGTTAAGAAGGGCATGAAGGGGTGGATCATGTTCAAGCCTCCCTCGATGGCGGTGTAGAGCGTCTGTTTCGCGCTTTCCTTTTGCTCTTCGCTTCCTTCATCAAAAATGGCCTTGCTGTTCTCGATGTAGGTGTCGCAGAGGTACTCGTAGAAGTACTTGTAGGCGGTCTGGGTGGCGAGACTGAACTCGCGTGCTTCCAAGTGATCGTTAATCTTCTTGGCAGCGGCATTGAGCTGATGCAGAATGTACCGCTCCGGTAGTGACTCTGAGCCTCCCTTTGTGACCTTCTCCCGTGGTGTAAAACCGTCTCCCAGACGTCCAATGACGTACTTTGTGGCCTGGTAGATCTTGTTGCAGAACCTTCGGTATCCGTGAATGACCTAAGTCAATGGGTCAGTATGCAAGACTAAGAGCGGGTTTTTGATAATCACTTACGTTGACGTCAAAGGAAATGTCGCCTCCTCCTGTAGTGTATCCGACAAGGGCCATGCGCAACGCATCAGCACCACATTCGGGAATGCCCTGAGGGAAGGCTGTCTTCTGATACTTCTCCGCCTTGGTCAACTCCTTGGGGTCTAGGTTACCCGCGCGAAGTTGGTCGTGTAGCTTCTGCAGTGTGATACCATCCATGATATCAACAGGGTCTACAACGTTACCCAACGATTTGGACATCTTTCTGCCTTCGGAGTCACGAATGAGCGAATGACAGTAGACCTCCTTGAACGGAACCTTGCCCGTGAGGTACAGCGAGAGGAAGATCATCCTGGCAACCCAGAAGAAGAGAATGTCCCATCCGGTCTCGAGGACAGATGTGGGGAAGAGCTTGTCCAGGTCGGCAGTCTGGTTGGGCCAGCCGAGGGTAGAGAATGGCCACAGACCTGAGGAGAACCATGTGTCGAGGACGTCCTCATCCCGTGATAGCGTGAACTTCTTGCCAGGGAACTTCTTCTCTGCCTTAGCTCGCGCTTCCTCTTCTGTCCGGCCAGTGATCCAGCGTTCGTCTTCAGTTCGATCACCCGCCTCGCCTTCGATTTCGACAAAGTAAGCGGGGATTTGGTGACCCCACCACAGTTGTCGGGACAAGCACCAATCCTGAATGTTGTTCATCCAGTGCATGTAGACCTTCTCGGAAGTGGCGGGCCTAATCTTAATGTCGCCCTTCTCGACGGCTTCAATGGCAGGCTTAGCCAAGCTGTCCATCTTCATCCACCATTGCGGCTTCATGATTGGCTCGATGACATCGCCAGACCTTGAACAGATGGGGACCTTCATGGGGTTGGGCTCCGTCTTTACGAAAAGACCCTCCTTCTTCAGCGCATCAACAACAGTGTAGCGAACATCGAAGCGCTTGCTGCCTTCGAATTGACCAGCATTCTTGTTCATAGTTCCGTTGTCGTTCAAGATGTTGATGAACTCAAGACCGTGCTTCTTTCCCAAGTTGAAATCGTTGGGGTCGTGTGCCGGAGTAAGTTTCACAGCACCAGTACCGAACTCGGGATCAACATAGTCATCAGCGACAATGGGCATGAGGCGATCAATGAAGGGGTGACGGGCTTTCTTTCCAACCAGATGCTTGTAACGTTCGTCCTTGGGGTGAACGGCAATACCAGAGTCTCCCAACATAGTTTCGGGACGTGTGGTAGCAATCTCGATGAACTGGTCGGTGCCTTCGACAGCGTACTGTAAGAACGTCAGCAACTGCGTGTTAGTATGTGCAGTTTTTCACATACCTTGAAGTGGGTGAGGACACCAAATTCGACCATCCTCTCATATCCGGGCACAGATAGCTTAGTAGGGCCCGCGAGATCTTTGTTGTCGACCTCGAGTGTACTGAGGGCCGTGTTCAGAGCCGTGCACCAGTTGACCAGTCTGTTACTGCGGTAGATTAAGCCATCCTCGTGTAAGCGAACGAAGGTCTCTGTGACGGCCTTGGAGCAGTTCTCGTCCATGGTGAAAGCCTCGCGTGACCAATCGAACGATCCACCCATCCTCCGTAGTGTGTTGGTGAGATGCTGATGGTATTCTTCCTTCCACTCCATGGTCCGCTCGAGGAACTTTTGACGGCCAAGATCATATCGCGTCTTATTTTCGCGTCGCTTGAGCATCTTCTCTACAACGGACTGTGTAGCGATACCAGCGTGGTCACAACCGGGCAAGTACAGGGTTGTGTATCCCCTCATCCTGTGCCACCTGATAAGGACATCCTGCAGACTCGTAGCGAGCGCATGTCCACAGTGTAGCTTTCCGGTAACGTTTGGTGGAGGGATAGGGATAACGAAGTGACCTGGTCCCTTGTTCTCCCCACTCTCTGTGAACTGAGGTTTGAAGAAACCCTGGGAATCCCACCATGCGTCCCATGCCGACTCAACGACCTTGGGAATGTATGCCTTTGTGTATGGGTCGTCCAGAGGCTTTAGCCTCTTCTTCTCGCCCTTGGGAGTCTCTTCGACGTACTCGGGTAGTTGCTCCTCCTCCTTGCCCTTCTTCTTCTTCTCTTTGGCTGGGGCGGCGCCAGCATCCTTGGCCGCACCGGCGGCTGCTGCCTTCTTTGCCTTGAACTTTGCGTCTTTTTCAGCCTTCTTACGCTCCTTCTCCAGTTCCTTGGCGGACTTCTCCTTCTTCTCTACGCCCTTGTCGTTCTCACGGCCAGGCGCATGTTGGCCGGTTCCCTCGTGTTCAGCAGCACCTAGTATGTCCTTCTTGACGTCTGCACTGAGTTCAGGCGGCGGCGCAGTATTGGGCGCCGTCTTCTCGCCGGTCGAATTGTGGGAGGACGCGTTGAGCGCCATGGTTGCGGTGGAGTAGTGGTGGTGGTTGGGTAGGTTTGGATGAGTTTGAGTGAGCACACGCTCAGCGTGAAGCGGGGTGTAGGTTCGCGATAGAGTACGGATTGGCGATTTCAATTGCAATCGGCGCCTGGCAAGAGTTTGATATTCGAGGTTTCGTCTGCAGGCGGCGCGCAGTGTAGTGGGCGCGGTGCGGGGCAACATTAACAAAAAAGTGCCTGGGTGTGAGTCGTCCAAGTCCGGCCTGCGTCACCCCACATAGAGAAGCTCGGACGGACCCCGCCTACGACGAACTATTGAGCCATGCTCATCGCTCTAAGAATACACTGGATACAGTCAGAGTGACAGACAGTCATACTGTGCGATAGGAACTCACCGAAATCACGTCGGTAATGTCCGATGATCATTCACATGTCGGTATAGACTAAGACACCATGACTGAGATGCACAAGTTGACTCAGACCATACAAAATGCGTCACAGAAAAAGAAGAATCATTGACTACACTCAACCCAAGTAACTTTGAGTAAAATCCAGTGTCCGCCAACACTCCAGTATGCATTGAGCCTCGTGCTTGTAGAGCTTCATCTGCTCCCCATGCGCCTCCGATAGACCGTTGCTTGCCTTGTCCCATGGCTTATACAAGAATGATACCTAGCACCTTGCCCTATACACCTTGCCGCTCCGTGATTCATGCCCAGTTATTTGTACCCCCGCACTTTAGCTGTGTCTCAAGCCAAGAAAACAGTGAGAACAGATGTGCAAGGGAGATCGAAGGTTTCGTTTGCTGCAACTTTTATGCCATTACATAAAGTCTAATTACGTGAATTGGGTATCTCAATCATGCCGCGGTGCTGTTTTGCTGCGCAGCCTGTCGGACGGGAGCAAAGTAAGGATGTTGCATAGCCTCTTGGGCGGTCAGTCGGTCCTAGCATGTGTTAGTCATCTGTGCTATATTTCCTTACTTGACGAGGCTCACCTGGTGGTCGTATCGTAGTAGCTTGTCCAGAAAGTCAATTGCATCGTTGCTGACAAAGCGCTGGTTCTCGGCATTGATGAACGAGTGCCACGGCTTCTTGGGATACCGACTAAGTATGTCGTCGTACTGGGCATCGAGTTCAATATCGTACTTGTCGAGATAATCGAACAGGTCTTCGGTTCCGAGGACCTTGGCGATCTTGACAAGCTGGTCCGAGTTGCTGTTGCCGTGGAAGAAGGGTTCTCGCCTAAAGATCATCGAGGCGAACATGGCACCCAGCGACCACATGTCGAGCGAGTAGTCGTACTCTTGGAAATCGACCAGTAGCTCAGGACCCTTGAAGTAACGTGACGCAACGCGGACGTTGTATTCGGTTCCTGCATGGTAGAATTCCGCTAGACCCCAGTCGATTAGGCGCAACTAGTACATGTTAGCCGTGTTCGTCTGCTCTTGAATTGGTATGCCCACCTTCCGCTTCTCATGATCGATCATAACGTTATGAGGCTTGACATCACGGTGCATGATGCCTTTGCTGTGGCAGTAGTCGAGCGCCTTGAGCAGTTCGAAAATGTAGTATCGTACGTCATAGTCCTGGAACTTGGGGTACAGACTCCGGAAGTCGGTGTTGTTGACATATTCGAATATCAACGAAGGGGTTTTGCTCTGTTTGGGGGCGCGTTAGCATTTCATTTCAAACACACGACAGCGGTTGGGCCTCAGTACCCAGTCGCCGATCCAGTCGGAGCCGTCACTAACCTGGTTGTCGCGCACCACGTCCAGCAGCGAGACGATGTTGGGGCCACCCGACAGATTCTGAAGGATCTTGATCTCACGCTTTATCTTCTTCTTCTTAACAGGTTTGAGGACTTTGATCACGCATTTCTGGTAGTTGACGACGTTGATGCCCTCAAAGACTTCCGAGTACTTTCCGCGGCCAATTTTACGGACAACCTCGTAGTTCTCGAGTACGCCCCAGGAGATGTTGACCGAGTCGTAGTCCCAGTAGGATCGGGGCATGTTTGCATTGACATCTGCGTACACGCGGGCGAGGCTTGTAGCCCCGCTAGAGTTGTTCAGCGCCATCCTGGCAACGAGCGTGTTCTCTGCGAACGCTGTATTGCCGGTACGATCCACACGCGCAAGGGGTGATGTAGAGGGGTCGTATAGTGGGGTGAAGAAGCGGAGGACGTCGGGACCCAGTGAGAAGAGGGCAAAGCCAGCTAGCGCAACGAACAGAGCGAGCGCAACTGTTTGGTATCGAACAAGGCGCGGGAAAAGGCCGTCACGACAGTCGCGATGGGCCTCTTGTTGGGGCGGGGCTGCCTGGGTGTCGGCGGTGGTGAGCTCTGGCTGCTCGTGTTGGTGGTGGTGGATGGCTTGTGGGCGTTAGACTAGTAGTAGGCAAGGGCCAAGCTTTTCCCAGCACGCGGGCCCAGCTGCTGAATGACGATCCATCTCACTTACAATTATTTGCCTTTCGCTGTCGCGCTTCTCCCCATCCCACATCTGCACTTGCTGTCTCGGCCATTGCAGCCATGTTCCACGACCTAAATGTTCCCTGGACCGACGCGACGCGCGAGTTGCAGCGCACAGTGGCTTTTCTCGACGAATGTGAGCTTTTAGTTGTAGTTGAATGCGCCAATGGTGGACTGACGCGGTGCAGTAGGATACGATGTCGTTGCTCTCACACACACTTATTCGGGAAAACTGCCCTCTGATATTGTACGTAGAGAAAGAAGCTGCGACCCTATCCCCCTCCATCTTATCACTTTCACTTATGCGCCTGTTCACTCGCTAACAGGCTCTCAACCAGAGTTCACCCGTACCCTCGAAACTCCCCTTCCCAGTACCTCCCCGCATGCGCATCTTACGACGCTGCAACATTTTCCTCACCGACTCGGCATCCAACTTCCGCATACCCCAACTCCAGCAACAATATGACCTCGTAGCCGCGCGACCAACCGACGACCGCACCCTCCAGCAAGCATGCATGAGTCTGGACGTGGATATAATCTCACTAGACCTGACTCGGCGCTTTGAATCACACTTCAAGTTCCCCACATTGGGAATGGCTATATCCCGAGGAATTAAGATTGAAATCTGCTACAGCCAAGGCATCATGTCGAGCGACCCGGCCGCAAAGCGCAATCTGATTAGCAATGCGACACAACTCATACGCGTGACCCGTGGTAGGGGCCTCATGTTTAGTTCCGAGGCGAAGAGCGTACTAGGCATACGCGCACCAAGCGATGTCATCAACCTGGCTTCTGTATGGGGACTCGGCACCGAGAGGGGGAAAGACGGTCTTACCAAAGAACCAAGGAGCGTAGTTGAGTTCGCGCGACTAAAGCGCCAGAGTTTCAAGGGCATAGTAGATATCGTATATGGTGGAGAGAAGCCAGTGGAGAAATCTGCAGCTGATGGCAAGGACAAGCAAGGCCAGAAGGGGAAAGCGAACAAGAACCAGAATGGCAAGCGGCCAGGTGAAAACTTGGAAGGTACTCCCGTCCACGAGACCAAAGTAGACAAGCCGAACTTGAAGCGGCAACAAGCCAAGACCAAAAAGGCGAAGATGCAAGAGGTGGGCGGAGAAGAGAAACAATCGCGATGAAAAGAGCAATACGGCACCAGATGATACCCATAGACACAAGCAGCAATGCACAAGAATACGCATATCCACATTCTTGTATTCTTTCCCGACATTACTACCTCGCAGGAGCACTCAATGCTCAACTGCTGCGACCAAACTATATACCATAGAAACAAACTAATACACCCGCAGTCTGAGCAAAGAGATATTGAAAAACCTACCACCACCCTCTCTTAACCTCTGTCGGTTTCGCCAACCTCCTCCCTAGATTCACCGTAACCCGACTCTGCAGCGCAACCGTACTAATGTCGAACGGCAGAGCCTGCCCCGAACTCGTCTCTCCGACGGGCGTAGGTGCAGGCGCGTTAGCTGCGACTTGGCTTTGAGCAACTGCACTTGTTGTTGCTGATGGAGCAGAAGAGGAAGATGATGATGCGCTTGCGAGCGATACCTCAACAGAGGGCAAGATGGACGAAGATGCTGAGGTCGCAGCAGGAGTCGAAGAAGTGGACGCAGAAGCAGGGACAGATCCACTAGCCAACATAGTAACGCCCGCTCCAGCCGCACTTGTCGTAGTTCCTGCAACAAGTCCAGGTCGAGTCAGTGTAGCCGAGTCGATAGACACGGTGCTGCTTGAGCTGGTAGAAGCTGCTTGTTGGACCCCAGAAGCGGGTTCTCCTCCAGCGACCACTGTTACCGCACCGCCGACTACAGTTTGCATGGTGCTCTTGCTTTCCGTGGGCGCACTGCTCATGGATCCCAGTTGGAAGGGTTGAGCTTGTGGTGCAGACATGGGAAAGGAACCTGCTGGACACATGCAAGCACAGTTGCACTGGGAAGCTGCTGTAGCGGCGGCGGCGCCACCAGATCCTGCGACCACGGTGACGGCGGCGGCCGCAGCTGTGGTCGTTGACGCGGCTGCGATACCAGCGGGCTTGAGAGACGCTGAGTTGATCGAGGGTTTGGCTGAAGAGGAAGACGCGGCTGCATTGGCGGTTCCATTGGTTCCGTCGCCAGCGACAACGGTGACGGCTGCTGCGGCAGCGCCGGAGGAAGATGCAGCTGCGTTGGCGGTTCCATTGGTTCCATCTCCTGCGACAACGGTAACTGCAGCTGCAGCAGCCCCGGAAGAAGAGGTACCGTTCGTTCCAGAGCCTGAGCCGGCGACAACTGTAACAGCCGCTGCAGCACCAGCTCCACCCGAAGAAGCGCTCGTCAAGGCACTGTTGACCCCAGCCGTGCCGTTTCCACCGCTACCGTCAGCTTGAACGGTAACTGCCATGCCCACCTTGGTCGTAGTCGTCGCAGCAAGACCTCCGGGCGTGAGCGTAGCCGAGTTGATCGCTGCGGCACTGGCAAAAGTTGAGTTTGAGGCGCCTTGTGCACCAACCGCGAGCTCGCCTCCTGCAGAAACAGTAACGGCGGCAGCGGGTGGAGCCGCAACAGCGGAGGCCTTGAACAGAATTAGCAATGATCACGATCCAAAACAGATCCTCAACGTACCGTAGAGTTCTTGCCTTCCGCTGGAGTTACAGTCGGCATAGGCTCAGCAACAGCCTCCATGGCACTCGTGCTGTTCGATTTCCCAGCGGCCATAGGGGAATTCGTCCAAGGAACAGGGGTCACTGCAGGTAGGGCTGACTTCCCAGCGGGAAAGACTGTCTTTGCGGGTTTGGACGCAAAGGAAGCTTCTGCTGGTGCCTGTCCGGCGGCTGATGATGATGATGCAGCAGCTGCTTCTCCTCCAGCTGGTGATGATGCAGATGTTGCCTCTGCCGGGGCCGATGACAATTCTCCTGTTGGTGCTTCCCCTGCAGCCGCTGGTGAAGGCGCGGCTGCTTGTTGAGGTGCCGCTTCGACCAGTGCTGTTGCGATCTTCTGGCCGTTGGCCTCTGTGATGACAGTTGAAACAACTTGAATAGGTTGAGCGTTACTGCCATTCTGTTGTGCTTCAGCTTGAGGTGGTGGTGGCAGCTGGCCTTGTCCGTTGGGTGCGAGTTGATTAGCTAGGTCTCCAGCAACGTCGGCGACACTGCTTTCGCTCGAGCCGGGTTTCGGAGCCAGTTGATTTGCAAGGTCACCGGCGATATTGCTCGAGTTGATGTCGCTTCCCGTTCCTTGGTTACCGCCCTGTGATGCCGCTTGTGCAGGGCTCTGGCCTTGACCTTGTGATATACTGGTCTGGTTCGCTGGTGCGCCTTGTTTTTGGCCATCGAGCCCGCTTAGAATATTGTCAATGCTCGTTGAACCTCCACCAGCGATCTGGTTCGCAAGATCTCCACCGACATCATCTGTGCTGATGTCTCCAGTCCCGCTCCTTTGGCCTTGTCCTTGCGCGATCCCATTTAGCAAGGCGTTTGCGTCCAGTCCATTCTGTGCGATCCTGGCAGCGATGTTCCCATTATGCAGTGCGTTTGCTTGTTCGATAACAGGTACGTTGAGTGCTTCTACGGCACCTCCCTGCGCCCGGTCGACCCCAGATATCAAGTCCTCGATCCGCCTGCCGACGGTTTCGGGTCGTACGTTGGTGTTGTGAAGATCAAGTGTTGCTTGAGCGACCGTCTATACGTAGTCAGTACATGCTATCTGTTCAAGCATGCGATATACGTACTGCGCCGATTAGCAGCAGGGCTGGCACCCAGGATGATCGAGTTCTTGTCATGGCGGAGTTTTCGACGAAGATAACGAGAATTGAAGACGATGGAAAAGAAAATTAGTAATTAATACATCAACAGTCCAGCTGGAATAGAATCGAAATTGATGTCACAGACATGCAGAAACGTTCAGTACCTGCACAGCAGAAAGACCGAAGAGAGTTGAGGGCAGGACGGAAATGTATGGACACACGATAGAAACAGGTGGTTCGGATCCAAACGAGTGTAAGCTTCCGAGTAGTGCGAGAGCGTGCCCAAACCGTTCAAAAGTTCATGACTGAGGCGGAAACTATACTACTTAATGGGTCCGACATGTCAGCCCCGCTCACCATGTTTCTAAGGATGTGGTGCTGGTTTCGAGCTTTCGCGGCTACTCGAACAATAGTCAAGTGCGTCTCAAGGGTCGGAACGATCTTCCTCGTATGAAGGGCCTGCGCGCAGTAGTGCTGCCGGTGTTAGCATTGTCGGGTCAACCTAGTCATCAAGGTTTGTTGCAGGATGGTAGCGTAGAACCCATGATTGACGGGCCCGCGATTAGCAGTTTTGGTGGTGGTTAAGCTTCACGATCGTCTGGCCAGCCGCCACGGTGGTGAGGTCTGACACGCGATATGCTCGAGGCGATGGGGCTCATACCAGGGGCGTTTCAGTCCGTTGTATGCCGTTTTCTTCGTTCCGCTTGTGCATGTATGGAATCGATCTTTCATTGCCGATTTATTTCCGCTTAAGTACCGTGTGGTAGTTTATAATCAGTGATCACGAAGCATGCACAGCGGTGTCGTTCGATGAAGAATGCGCGTAAGGCTGGTGATCGCGGGAGAGAGTCGTGCCTAGTCATCGTGGCTTGGCGACCGATGACGTGCGTCATTACCCTTGTGCCTGACGCTTCCGAGCCCCTAGGTCCAACTTCCATCGCAAAGAATACGATTCTTGCTCGTCGGAGTCGGCCAAATTTTGCCAGCGCAGAGTGGAAAGTTCGGCTTCCGTACGTAGCGAGCAGCTATAAGCCTCCAGGCTTCTGTATATGTAGACGCAGCTCTGCTCTAAGCTGCGTGCACACAACGCTAGCATCGTCCAACGGCTAATATGGCAGCTGTACACGTCCTCGACGACTATTATCTTGCCATTACCTTCCTCGTCACTGTTGCATACCAGCTGTTGTTCTTTGCGATTGCCTTCTCGTTCAAGTTCGACAAACTTACCGATTTTGCTGGTGGCACCAACTTCATCCTTCTTGCTATAATTACGCTCTCCTGCAGTGAGAATCGCGGTGATGCGCGCAATATTGTAGTATCGCTGTTTATTATGCTATGGGCAGCGAGACTAAGCGGCTTCCTCCTCTTCAGGATCTTGAAGACTGGAAAAGATGATCGCTTCGACGACAAGAGGGACAAGTTTTGGTCATTCCTCGGGTTTTGGATATTGTGAGTTACTCCAGATATCAGCTAGGTGTCATTTACTGATGAATTGCAGTCAAATGTTCTGGGTCTGGACAGTGTCTTTACCAGTTACCATCCTGAACTCGCCAAAAGTCACGCAATTCGATCAGCCAGGCTTTGGAACGGGCCGGGACATCGCGGGCATTGTTCTCTGGTCTATCGGCTTCATCATGGAGAGTGTCTCCGATATCCAGAAGTACCGGTTCCGTACCGCTCATGGTAGTGACGGTGCCGTCTGCAATGTTGGATTCTTCTCCTGGACCCGACATCCCAATTACTTCGGAGAGATCATCATTCAGTTCGGTAAGTATTGCTCATTCAAACTTGCCATGTCTATGCTAACTGTAGCAGGTATCTTCATGATTGCTATATCTCCTGCAGCATACAACTACGTCTCTGGTGGCGCATACAACGCGCTATATGCGTCTATCCTCGGAGCCTTCTTCTTGACCTTGCTACTCATGTTTGTGTCCGGTCTGACCCTCCAAGAACGTCCCGGCGCAAAAAAGAGATATGAGAAAGGTACCCAATGGCCTGCGTACGAGCGATATCTCCACCGGACAAGCATCCTCATTCCCTTTCCACCCCAGCTATATGCGAAGATGCCGGTCATTTTGAAGAGGACCATCTTCCTTGAGTTCCCAATCTATGTCTTCGATCCTGCGAAGCATGCGGATCAAGACAAGGTGCAAGCTAGATGCGCGGAGGAAGGACAGAGCAGGCCCAGCGACGAGCAAGGTCTAAGGTCGTGAAGCATGTCACCTCCTACGCATCGGATGTCTGATAACATGATACCCCTTTCTCAGTTCTGCAATGTTTTGTACAGTCATGATAATAGTCGGAGCGCTTTGTTAGCGCATAATCATAATCTAGTCCCTGTAGGCATACTCCCAAACCACTTGTGTGCCAAGCCGAGACATGTCAGTACCATGCGAAGCTCACGCCTGATTTTCAGTACTCTACCACCGTCTGAGAGAAGCGCACGCAAGGTGCTGGTCTTTTTGTAACAAGTATCACTGTAGTACCTTCGTGTCAGTATCATGTCAACATCGGATGAGTACTTTGCCCTTGTTTACTGTAAGCGAATGATGGTGTTCAGGTCTACAGTCTTAATGCCGTTTCTCTAGGGTCTGCGGACCATCAAGACAAAGCTTTAACCCTAAATCCGCACATTAGGGTGGTTTGGCGAACCCTGCATCTTCCTGTTCGCTGCCCCTGCGTCAAGGCTGACAATAGTTCCAAGGCTACAAAACCCAGCAAACATCGTGCGTTGCATCACTCGCCAAAGCTTCCGCCGACCTCGCATCCAAGCCGTGTCTCTGTTGGCGATGACATGTAAGAGTGCAACCACCCAGTCGAGCAGTGGGATACAGCTCGCTTAGTCAGTCGCTGGGCGAATCAATTCACCCGGCCTTATCGCGCGAACGCCGGAGATCACCTCACGCCATCGCATAAATCACACCCACGGGACAATACGGACAGTCAAACCCATCAAAATTTCTATCTTATGCTCGCATCTTTCCTTGGCTCATCGTCTTAGTTGGACGGCTAGCAGCCATGAGCATGCTGGCGTCTGTTTTCGACTCGGAAGCTACCTCCATCCCGCGTTGCCAATGGATTGAGCACCTTGAGATGGGATTGCGTCATTGCGTCACTTTGAGATGACCTGTTTGTAGGACTGGAAGAGCAAATATAAGAGCCCGAAATCGCGCTTCGCCCTGCTGTTCAACCATCCCAGCATATCCTACATCCTTGACATCGACTCTATTGAAATTTGAACAAGATAACATTTGTTTTGCGAACAACTGCGAAATAGTAAGATAGAAGAAGAATGACTACCACACCAATTCATTCGACCGGTCGCGGAGGTACGCTTCTGAGAAAAGAGGTTCCAACATACGCAAGATGAGTAGCTGATCGCCGATGCAGGTGCCGGCAACATCGGCCCCGACACCAACGTCTACACTGACGGAGGTCTCGTTCGTGAAGGCATCCAAGGCGAATCTCTCGATGGAGACTTCTCCACTGGCCGTGGGGGAGCTGGCAACATTGGAAAGTCGCCTCGCGTTGGGCCGCAGTCTGACGAAGGTCGTCGCTCGGTAGACATGGTCCCCGAGATCAACCAGCGCAGCGCGCAAGACGAGTTCCACACTGGCGTATGTCACACCAAATCAGGAATACCACTCATAACTGACATGACTGCAGCGAGGTGGCGCCGGAAACGTCTACAAGGAGAAGCATGGCGGCCACAGCTCCTCGCCCGACCGCAAAGGTTTGGGCGAGAAGGTCAAGGAAGTACTTCATTTGGATAAGAAGAAGGAACATGAGCCTTCTCCTTTGGCTCAAAACTCGACCACGAACTAAATATGATACCCAACTCGAGCGACTTTGGTGGAGGAATGGCAGCGGCATAAGCATTGGACGTCGATGATACCTCAGGCTGTGGTCTTTTACTATGAGACAGCCTTGTTCCCATGTAGTAACTAATAAACACAAACACTCTTTCAAAAGAACTCGTGGTCCCGGTACGACCTGGTCAGAGTAGTATTTGCGTCTGTGCCTGACTACCATGGCGGGGTGAACACTAGCGCGGACCACGTGGGGTAGTCGCGATCCCAAGTCGCGTCATTTGGCTCGTGAAAATCCACCAAACTTCACACATTCATAACCATTCTGCGAAAGCTCACAATGGGTTCCAACGAACACGATGCTGAGGCCCTCGTGCATTCTGAAGACCCTGGTCACCCAGCAAACCACATTTGCACGCTTTGCGCAAAGTTTTACAACTTGGGCTGGGTACGATGATCTCCAGGCGTCGGGGGGACGCAGATGAAGCGACAATCGAGCGATGGCTAACACGCGGATCCCGCCAGGTGACAGGCACTGGCGGAGGAACGAGCATACGCCATGAAGACAAGATCTACATCGCGCCCAGCGGCGTGCAGAAGGAGCTTATGAAGCCTACCGACATGTTCGTCATGGACTTCAACAGCAAAGAGTACTTGAGAAGACCACAGGTATACCTCGTGAATCTAGACCCATAGGACAAAGTAGCTAAGGTAACTACAGGTCCTTAAACCCTCGGCATGCACTCCGCTCTTCCTCGCAGCCTTCGAACGCGGCGCCGGTTGCTGCATCCATACCCACTCGCAATGGGCCGTCCTCGTGACCCTTCTCGTCGAGCGCGACTTCGGAAAAGACGCATGCTTTGAGATCGAAGAAATTGAACAAATCAAAGGCATACCGAAGGGCAGAGGGAAGCAGGGCAACCTCGGCTACTACGACCGTCTGCGCATACCAATCATCGAGAACACGGCGCATGAAGAGGACCTGAGGGAGAGCTTAGAGGAGGCGATGGAGAAGCACCCCGATTCCTATGCGATTCTTGTGAGGCGACATGGGATTTATGTGTGGGGTGATAATGTGCATAAGGCGAAGACGCAGTGCGAGAGTATTGATTACATCTTGCAGCTGGCGGTCGAGATGAAGAAGTTGGGTCTGCCATGGACGAAGTGAAGAGGCGGGCGATTTTAAATCCCCGAGTTTCGCATGAAGAGCGCGTCAAAATAAGAAAGAGAAGTGTCGTCTGAGTCTAGTCCCGCTAAGCGGTTGCATGTGTGCGTCGCTGTTTCGAGGTCTGGCCTTGCAGCCGATGGCGTGTTGCGATTACTATATCACCACGCGAAAAGTCAGCATCAGTAAGACCGGATGTGGAACATTGCCAAATAATCGTCGGCCGGCACTATCATACTTATGGAATGGTACAGTCGATTACAGATGGCATTGGTCTGGCTTGTCGCTTGCCTTCCGTGTTAGAGCAGACCGAAAACAGCGGCTTACCCCACATTGCCTTGCCTGCTCATGCCTCTATAGCATGATATGCTCCAAAAACAGACTCGACTAACGTAAGATTCCTGAGGATAGAATTGCCGCAGCATCAGGGGCTGCATAGTCAGCATGCTGCATCGACACAATTCGCAGGCGTGTTCTGTCTTTCCATGCTTATAAGCCGCTTTGCAATGGCCTCGTTGCTGCCTTCTGATCCAGTCCACGGACGTGCAAACAACTATGGCGCCTCATACCATTAAGCAGAAGGCTGTCTCGTATTTGGAATCATACATCGATCTTGCTATTCAGAATGGCACATCTGTGCCTGACCTACCGTGTGCTCTCGTCCACGTTGTAGATGCTCAGAACAATGTGCTTTTCTCCCATGGCAATGCTTCAGGAAAACGACCTACACCGAGCTCTATGGCCATCATTCAGTCTCTTACCAAGATTGTCGGCGCGATGGCTTACATGCAGCTCGTCGAAAACGGCCTCGTGACCCTCGACGACCCCGCCACCATCAATACCTGGTTACCTGAACTCGCCGCCAAACAGGTATTGACTGGCTATGAAATTGATGCTGAGACAGGGAAGAAATTATGGCAGTTCGAAGATCGAAGGGGCGATATAACGGCAAGGATGCTGATGAATCATACATACGGCGGTGGGCACACCTATTTCAATAAGCTGTTATTGGAGTACATACAAGACCTCGGCGAAGGAGTCTGGGAAACAACAAACGAAGCGACAAGCCCTTACGGGATACTCCTTGCAAGCCCTCTGTTATGGCAACCAGGCACACATACAAACTACGGCCAAGGTCTCGACTGGATCGCCGTACTCATCGAACGCGTCACCAAGCAATCCCTCCACTCCTACCTCCAAAAGAACATCTTCGATCCACTTGGCCTAAAGGAAATCGGTTTCGAACCAGCATACGGTGGAGACGTCACATCGTCTCCACACAACACTGGCAAATTCTGGCCTAGGACGTTGCGAAACGGCGAAGAGTTCATCACTATTGATCCGCCGGAACCTGAGATTGTAAGAAGGCTGGATGCATTCCCCGAGGGCGGTTATCATACTGGTTGCCTAGGAACGGGTTTAGTCGCTAGTGCAGGAGACTACACACACCTCCTTACTATCCTACTTCCACAGAACGCTGGAGTGGATCCCATCAGTGGCCGTCGAATACTCTCTGCCGGAAGCGTAATGGAGATTTGTCGTCCGCAGCTGCCTGAAGCTCTTCGCAATGACTCCCGCTGTTTGCAAGACTCGGGTGCGTCTCCTATTATTATTCCTGTAGATCTCTCTGTACCATTCCTGGATCCGCAAGGCAGCTTTGGTCTGGGATGCGGTGTCCAGGGCGCGGATCGAGTATTTGATAATGGGAAAGGGGGAAGAAGCAATGGGAGTGTGTATTGGTATGGTGCGACGAATGTTGAGTTTTGGGTTGACAAGGAAAAGGAGATTGTGGTGGCAGTGTGGGGGAATTATTACCCTTTCTGTGAGAAGGCTTGGATGGACTTTGTTGCGGGTGTGGAGGGGCTTTTGTATGAGGGGTTGGAGAGGAGATAGTCGGGTTGAAGTGAGAGTCATTGAACCAATTCAAAGCTGCTCTGTTCTTCGCACTCTTTTCGTCTTCGATATCCTTCGTCATTCACACGGTTGCAATGACAGGTTCAGTACCTCGATATAAACTCATCGGATACAGCATCCCGCACCCTCCACCGAATCGAGAACCTCGCCTCACTCGATGAATATCCATGGATCCTCATTGAATTTGTTCCCACCCAAACAGTTGAAGTCATCTAATCTCGAACCCCTTCTCAAGAAGTCGTGCCCTTGCCACTACCTCATCGAGCCTTTGTCTCATGCCCATACAGCCCTATTGATCCACAAAAGCATGTCGCTGTTCCGATATGTAAACACAAGCGCACGCATGTTTGGCAACACCGAAGAAGGACCACAAAATGAGTACCCAATGGCATTTAATGGATCCTCGCGATAGAGACCCAAGCGATTACGATCGTAAAACAAATCTTCGGTTACCAGCCTACCATGGAGCCTCTCGAGGAGGTAGGTCCATGTCGAATATATCGCCCTGCCTCAAATTGACCATTCCGAGGACGTTTTTGAAACTGATCGATGTCTGAGGGCTAGTGGAAGACGAAGGTGCTATCGCAGTAGAAGACTAAGCTAGCTTCAGAGTAGATCTGTCGGCGGGTACGAGGGAGGCTGAGTGGGAGGTCAATGTCGAAGTCCAACAAAAGTGTGGATCCGTTCTCGCGATATCGAACTGGCTTCTGGCTCCATAACAGAAGGATGTTCATGGTACCTAGTGCGTAACGCCAAGTCTTGATTCGAAGTTCTGCTGATAGTCTCAAGAGGGGAGAGTTGACGCTCTTGTCCCGAGCACCGGACACTGTTAGGGAAAGTCGAGGACCCGGTTAGGCTCGTTACTTACACAGATATAGGACGATCTGGTGTTATATGGAGAGGTGAAAGGCCGCCGTTTGTCTTGTGTGCGACTGATATCTCCAACGCCCAGGACATCTTGCAATTCAGTTCGAGCTGGTTGAAAGTGTTATCAAAAGGCTCAGTGGTGATAGTAAGAGCACTTTAGTAGTGAATGGTAGTCTGGCAAGGGTCGTGAGAGAGAACTTAGTCCTTGGATAAGATTCGGAATGGATTGAAAAAAGCAAGAAAGCACTGACGGTTTTGAGTCTGATCATTCACCTGGGCGCATTGACGCATTCTTTGTGGCTATGGCTGCCTTACGGAACAATTAAGGATCCACTTTACTAATGTTATCAGTTGGCCTCTTAACAGAACCCCTCTCCGATATTTCAACTCTGACCACTTAACCTTGACTGTCTCGATCTATATTTCGACTCCAAAACGCAGCCGCCATGGCGAAGTCCAAGTCCGAAGGCGGAACTATACAGCCCGCTACAACATGCGTGACCGACCTACAAGCCTCACCAAACCCGCTAAAGTCAAGAAGCCTTCACGAAGTACCAAGCGTGTTTACCGTCGCGGCAATGGTCTCGTCTCCTTACTCAGAACACCCCAAGAGCTCGTCTCCACGTAAGCCCATCCTTACCAGAAATCCTCCACTCAATCAATCAGCTAACTCATCTGTAAGCGTCGAGTCCAACTTTACACAATCACCTCTTCTTCGTCTCCCTGCCGAACTTCGAAACATGATATTTGAGTATGCTCTCGGTGAGACTCAAATCCTTCATTACTGGTCTGAGTACTTTCGTGAGTGGCGCACTAGTATCTTCGAAGGCGGCGTCACAGTCTCCAACTTTGTCTCCTGGCACACCAAATTCGCTTTACCGCGCGTCTGCCGTCAAATCTACTATGAGGCGGCTGTTCTGGTGTATTCTAAAAACACCTTCCACTTCGGGACGAGACGTGAGCTTGATCACTTTCTCAATCTACGCAAGCAAGCTCAAATCGAAGCAATAAGAACGATAGTGCTTGATCCACACTGGGGATATAAGGACCCAACTCATTGTCTGCAAGATGTGCTTCCAAGCTTGGGGAGGTGTAAAGGCCTGCGGAAGCTGTGTTTGAAACGTGTCGCTTGGCTAGTAATTAGTAGACATACTTCTCGTTCTTTCAAAGAGGCAGAAGATGCGGCGGCAGAGGGGACCGGTGGGTGATGTCAATATGGTCTTTGTGTAGGTACATGAATCGGGAGTTTAGAAGTTCATAGTACCTACACCAGCGATTGGGCTAAAGTGTTAGCTCTAGAGCGCCTAAGCAATAGTAACAAGACATTGCGACCCATATTTGAATGCGTAAGCAGAACAACGACATATCTAAGCCCATTAAGTTTGAGACTTTGTCACGTGCGGGACGAAACGCGAGGGAAGGAGTTGTTGCCTAGCTGCTTTTTAATGTCCTTCCGCTTTCCCAGCTCAACCCTTCGATTCTCAGACCCACAATCAAACATTTATCCATTCTTCTGAACAGAAACTCTGTCATCTTCACATCCGCACTGCAGCAAGCACCTATCAACAAGCACACCGCGGCCACTTCGCTTGCCTTTTATACATTGCCGAACAGGCAACTCTGGTGGCCCAAGTCTAAGATGCGGAAAAAGACGACGAAAAGCAAGGGCAGAGCAGAGCGCGGTATGCCGAGCGTAAGGACATGGTGCGCTATTTGGTTGATTTTGTAGGCTTGGATGTTAATAAGCTGGACTTTCCACCCAACACTAAAATGCGAGGAGAATAGGGAACACCACTAGAGTACATTGTTCGCATTGGCAGGCTAGATAAAGATGTACGCGAGCTGACGTGGTTCCTATTCGACCGAGGCGCAGATCCAGCAGTTGCACTCACCGAGGCAAAAGAGAGTGGTCATTCGGCCTTCATAGGCACAAGGAGGTCATGAGAAATTGGGACGCATCAGAAAAAAGAAGGGTGACGAGATGCTCCGTCCAATAGATACGTCGTGGTCAAGTCTTTAGTAACATTGACTAGCGTCGGCGTGCGTGATCACTCGCCGTGCCAGGGGTCCTCTCAGGCTCTCGGCTTGACCAGAAAACCTCCGACCTCGCCACTGGTAACTTTCCGGCAACATCCAACATGCCACCGACGACCTCGCCGACAAGGCTTTCGAGAGCTGGTTCGGTACAGAAGAAGGCCAACAAGCCAGTTGCGTAAGATACTTTGATATTGTACAAGTCTCGCAAGATCGTTGATGTGTTTAGTTGCCAGAGATGTCATTCGCGGAAGGTGAAATGCTCAGGCGGCCATCCATGCTCAAACTGCCAGAATAACGATACAACGACGTCTTGCGTGTATCCATCGCGCGACCGGCAAATCAAGCTCAGCGAACAGTACGTGGAAGAGCTGTTAAAGGAAATTGAGCATCTGCGCAGCAGTGCCCGCGATCCCGCTCATGCTGCTGCTCCCGTCGAAGAATCCCTCGAGAGCAGCATAGCTGTGCATGAAGCTGTCCGTAACCCGCTCCTTGAAGACAGGCCATGGTTTCACGCAGTGTCTTCAGAGCATGTACCCATCCACGTTGGAGAAGCTGCAGATGCGGCGTTTGCAACGAGGTTCCGACAGACCCTTGCCATAGGGAATACCAAGCATCTACCTCGGATGAGCCATGTGCAAGACGACTCCTTGATGCTGCTATCTGAAGCTCCATTTAACTGGCCGTCACCTGCAAGAGCACGCTTTTTGGTCAAGGTAGCCTTGTCTACCGTTTGCCAGTATTACCACATCGTGCGCAAGAGCCAAGTTGCAAGAACTCTGGAAGAAGCCATCAAGAACAATGGCAATGGTGATCGGGTTGCCATTTGTAAGCTTTTGGCACTGTTTGCACTTGGCGAGGTATATTCGGCTAAACATGCTTCCATGGAGACGACATTTCCCGGGTTAGCCTACTTCGCTCAAGCGAGGAAGATGATTAGTATTCCTGCTGAGCGACCGCAAATGGACACCATAGAAGTCGCACTGCTACTGGTTTGTGATACCAAAGATCTGATACGAAAAGATTGGTCCTAATATTAGCAAGGTCCTTTTCTCTTTCACGGTCAATCGTCGCCACTCGGCTTACATCTTCTCAAGCTCAGCCTGCAGACTTGGTCTTATCATGGGCATGAATATGAACATACCTGAACAGCAGTGTCCCGATCGGCTTGTGAGAGAGCATCGCGTGCGGCTATGGTGGTCCACATATACCCTCGATAGATCATGCGCCTCGAAGCTCGGTCTTCCTGTATCTGTTGCTGATGATGATATCATGGTAGACTTGCCAAGCGGCGACGGTCTTGATGCTGCAGAAGAAGGCGATTTCGGCGACATTGACTACAGCCTGAACAGCATCGAGCTGTCCAGAATTGCTGCTCGATTGACGCGAGCCATCTACAGTAGGAGGAACCATCACGACTCGTTTTCTAAAAGAGTCCAGGCGATGCTTAAGGATCTTACCAAATGGATGGACGCCTTGCCAGCTAAGTTTCAAATCAAGGATAACGATGCTTCGGTACCTATTCATATCGTCTATCTACATTTGCGCTTCAACCAGGTCTGTCTACTAATGATGACATTGGACCAGTGCTGACCACAATAGTGTTGTATACTTGCTACACGACCGATTCTTCTTCATGTCCTCCGTAGCCACAAGCAGTCATGGTCAGATCCTACCATTGATCCAAAGCGCAACCTTCCAGAAGGCGCTCTCGCACTTGCAGAAACATGCATTCAATGCGCACGTCACACCTATCGCATCCTTACAGAAGCCTGGATTCACGGAACCTTTGCTACGCTGGACTATTTCGATACTCAGTACTTATTCTCGGCTACTACGGTTCTCGCTATTTCTAGCCTCTTGCGGTCGCTGCGGAGTCAAACAGACGGTGATGATTTCAAAAACGCAGTGGAATTGTTGCGGCAGCTTGCTCAAAGCGGCAACTATGGCGCGAAAGAGTTTGTTAAGCACATGGATGCAATTGAGCAGAGTATGCAACTTGTGACTGATACTAGCTTTGCCCCAGGCTCAACGCAACAACCATCTTTGGTTGATGCGGGGCCATTGCTTCTTGCTTCCAACGAGGCCATGACTGCTGGCATGGCCCTTGCTGATCCTTCCCTCCAGTACTTCCTTTCGGAATCTGACCTAGACCTCCAAGCGTTCAGTAGCCCTGCCTTTGGTGGGTTACAGACACCATATTGGTGGACGGATGGCTGGGGAGTGGGCGGAGATATCTGAACGAACAACGTGCAGACAACCTGGACTGCTGCGATTAGATCGAGAAGCATCTGGAACAATGGCGCCTAGGTATATATAGTTTAACGCCGAGAACCAATCGTGGCGACAGGAAACACTGCTTCCGTCGGGATCATCGATGGCCAACGCCATGTTACTCGTGGACGAAGTTTTTTCGCGTCCGCTCGCTCAACCATCGAATTGGCATATCTAGCCGTCAGAAACGTTAGGCCACCAGCCACCAAAACCAACACTGTGCTAATGGTAGCAGTTGGACCGATGCCAATGGCTTCCATCAAGGGCACCACGCCAGCACTTGAACAAGCCGAAATCGTGTACTGGATAAGGTACTTGCCCGCAATTACTTCTCTCCGCTTTTTCGGGAACGCTTCAGCGCAATACGTGTTTAAGCTTGCAAACGCGGCCAACAACCCAGCGGCGGTGAAGAAGCTCGTAACGATCGGCAATGCAAGAGCTGCTCTTGACGTCGGGCCATACTGCAGACCCCATCCATATACGAGGGAAGCTGTAGGAATGACTACGAAGAAAGCGAGCATTCCCGCATTCAACCGGTCTTGGGGTAATCGCTCGCCTCGTATTTTGATGTACCGCCGAACCGTAATGTCTGAGTAGCGTCCCCCAACAGTCGTGCCAAGCAGGAAGCCTGTCGCGGGCGCGATATAGAAAAGACCTGAGGAGAGCGGTGATGTAAGGCCGAAGCGGGTAACGAGGATATGACGGGGTGCGGAGAGAAGGGAGTATTGCGACCAGCTAAGGAAGCCACAACTTAGATGCTATCGAAGACTCTTAGCCTATACGCTCATTACGGACAGCCGTTTTGTTCAACGTACTGTGAATATAATATTCGGATAGGTCATCTGCTTGAAGACTGGCGTTGGGTTGAACTGAGCCAGCGCAGCTCGGCCTCGCAAGTTCAACGTGAGCACTGGTGCATCCGTCCTGCTCGCTGGCACGAAGAACAGCGCGAGAATGAAAGCGAGGCCGATCATTGCGACTTGGAGCCACAGAACGCTGCGCCAACTCGAGTAGGTCATCATGACGCCCGCTACTAGGGGACCGAGGGGTGGTCCTAGGACTGTTCCAGCTAGGAAGAAGCCGTTCGCAGTACCACGTTGAATCTGTCACGATCCATTAGATACCTCAATCTGTGGTATCGATATGTGACTGGAGTACTTACGGGAGGAAAGTACTCTGCGATGATAGTCTGACCAGCGACATGGAAATAGCAACCTTGGAAGCCCGACAAAACACGCATAGTGACAAATACAGGCATATTCGGTGCGACAGCAGCACCAATAGTTAAGCTAAACAACACAGCAAGACAAGCATTGTACGCTAACTTTCGTCCTACAATCTACGCCACTTAGCTTCAATGTTTTCATCAGAGATACTACTATCAAAACTCACCGCAGCTATAGGGCTCCATACCAATGCGCTCAACCCAATAGCGAATATCAAGCCCGCTGTTGAGAGACTAACAACCTCCGGAGTGGTGTGTAGATCCGCTGCTATCTCCGTGCTTGCGCTGAGGAGCGAAGTGCTCGAGAAACATGCAGCGAGGGTCGTCCAACTCGTTGCGAAGACGATGATGTATTTGCGCCACACGGGTATACTGTCGAACATTTCGGACGCTCTAGTCTCAGTCTTGCTCAATGTGCTTAGTGGTTGCGAAACGGCAGCTTCGGGCGCCATTGGCGTGCCTGTTGACACGGCTTTTTCTGGATCATTCGTGAGTTCGGGCATGGTAGTGAAGTTGACTTGTGGCTTTGGTAGTGAAGCTGGGTGCGCACGGTCTTATATGATGCTATTCGAGCCATGTTGAGGTTTGAACAGTCATGTTCGGTGAAAAGCTGCGTATGCCGTCGGTGACCAGACGTGCACCCCGAGGTGCACTACCGGCCCCACTGCGAAGCATAAAGACTCATCGCAACGGCGAGACAGACTTTTGCCGAACCTGTGGACTAGTCGGCATTGAGATATGACTTTCAGGGATCGATCGCTCTATACGGACAGGTTGTCTGGAGCCGCCTCGCCCTCAAGCATAATCACATTGCATCTCCGACACTTGAAATGGCTCTCACATACACAAAGTACCCCTCCAAGTCCAACGCACAAACCTTACCATTTCAAAAATCCACAACCTAAACTACAATCCTCCAATCCTCTTCATCCATAGCTTCGGCTCCAGCAAAGAAGATCTTGCGGACCTTACCGTCAACTCTTTCCTGCAACACCATGCATACCTCGCCTACAACGCCCCTGGATGCGGATAAACATATAGCGCCAATCCCTCTACATCAACTATTTCCTTCCTCGTAGAAACCGCAGAAGCCGTCTTATCGCATTTCCAAATCTCACGATTCCATCTCATAGGCCATTCGATGGATGGGCTTACCGCGCCGCTACTTGCGAACCGGCATCCGGATCGAGTGCTGAGCTTTGTCAACATCAAAGGTAATCTAGCACCAGAGGACTGTTTTTAAGTCGACAGATATTTGAGTTCTCTACAGAGGATCCAGAAGTGTTCCTCGATGCCTTTATTTGTCGTATATGTGCGACGAAATCATACGGCAACTATTCATTTGCGAGTACGTTGCAATCGCGGGTCCGCGCTGGAGCCGTACGGCCGATTTTCGAATCCATGGTACAATTTTCAGATGAGGAGGATTTGCTAGGTATGTTTCTCGGGCTGCCGTGTGCAAAGATGTTTATGTTTGGGGAGGAGAATCGCGGGCTATCTTATTTGAGGCAGCTGGAGAAGGGAGGTGTGGTGTTGGCGCAGATAGCGGACAGTGGACATTTTCCTATGTATTCTAATCCCGTAGAGATGTATTGTCGGATAGCGGGTTTTCTGAAATGTTCGAGTTGAAGTGTTGGCTGGAGAAGGAAGGACTATAGACCACGAAATATAAAAGGCAAGGGAAATTCAGAATTTTGGGCCGCTTATTACTTGATTGAAAACTGTATGTGGAGAACTTGATCAGATCCTTGCCATACGTAGTAAACTAGCAACCGTTCACCACTGGAAGTAGCTGTGCGCAGCAGGCTGCATACATTTGCAAGAGACAATCGAGTGAACGGATGAGGGAACAGGCGAGAGAACAGATGAGAGAATAATTTAAAACTTGAAAATAAGGCTTGCGATTTACTGAATCGAATCGGTGCCGCGTAGGTTGTGGGTGATTGTATTTGCTTACCTCCAGTTCCGTTTGCTCCTCAATACCTTGCAGAGACTCTATGCGCACCTACCTTTACCTCTGCTGTATATCTTAACAGGTCTACTTCCTACCTCTCTACCCATATTGAGAACAAACTAGCTCAAGCAGCCACAACTCTGATGCATTAGTCCAATGAGAACATCGATTACGACACTGCGATGGAGCATTCGACAGATCTCGAGGGATTATATCACCCGATCACTTCCCAGGCCGAACGGGTACGTCGGTAAGTTGAATAGCTCTCACTTCCGCCGTACCGGATTGACACTTCAGTAGAACCAAAGCGAATCAGGCAAACTCTCCTCTTCTCCGCCTACCACCCGAGCTTCGCAACCTTGTGTACGAGTACACTGTACACATTGGGTGGCAATAGGCCAAACCTCAAGCCGATCCCAAGGAACCGCTTTCATAGGCGATACCTACGACGCACCTTCAGCTACAACCTCATCCGAAGTTGTTCCCAAATCTACGCAGAGACAGCAATCCTTCCATATGCTCTCAACACCTTTGTTTTCCAAGACATGATAGGCATCGAGGATCCGCGTAGTTACATGACCTCTGATCAACTACACGCGATCATGGCACTGGACATCATTGACACGTATGGAATTGTTCGTGAAGTACACTTCGAGCGTCTTGGCCATCTCAAAGGCTTGGAGAGGATTGTGATATGGTATAAAGAAGGCATTCGTCTCGACAAAACGGTCGAGACATTGCGGAAAGTCTTTCCAAGCGTGGTAGTATCTTCGAGGAACAACTGGCATTTCTCAGAGAGATTGAACGGTAGAGGAGCTACAGATTAAGGTTTCTTGTCTTGAATGTTTCTGAGATCACAATCTTTGCTACTAAGCTCGTACTCGCCGACTTATCTCGCAATGTCATAAAATATCCCAAAGGTGTTTGATGTGGCTCAAGTTTTGAATATGCTCGTACAGGGTTCAGCAAGTACCTTCAGAATACGTTTTAGTGAAACACTCAGAAAATACAATTTCCTTTGCAGCCCCCAATCTTATCCCTGGTCTACAGCTTTGCCGCCTCCCTCGCCTCCAACAGCCCCTCGATCGTCTCCCTCCACGTCTCCGCCGCTTCAGCACTAATCGCATTAAGATCATAGCTAACCCCAAACCCAACGATTCCCTCCGCACTCGTCGAGCTTCCAATCAAGAACTCATTGTCCCGTGCCCTAACACCAATCTTCACATCTCGGAAATCCGCCATAAAGTCCTTCCCTTCCAAGTTGTGAACATCGTAAGTTCCGCGCTTAAAAAACGCAGCTAGAGGCCCGATGGAGGAGACACCGCACGTAGCTCCAAACCCTGCTGTACTGGGAGCTAAAGAGCCTTGTGGGTTCTGGAAGGAAGGTGAACGACGTTCGGGTGGTAGCTTTGCTTCGACTCGTTCAATTTGCGCGACATATCCGCTTGCGAGGAGGCGGCCTGGTGAGTGTTTGTCTAGAATACCCGCCGTACCTGTCTTGCCTTTTCCCTTTAGACGTTTTTGGTAGACTCTCAGCTCGCGATTCGCGTGTTTCGCTACTAGCTTGAATCGTCCCTCTACAGGTAGATCGGAGGATAAGAATGGCATGACTATCCCTTCGCTGAAGGCTAGCATGCATGAGTCCGCCGGTGGCGGGTTCACGAAGAAGGCGCGTGGGTTTAGGGGAAACGACGCTGTGAATGGCGGATGATTGGTTGAAGGAGAACGCTTCTCGTGGATGGACATCATCGCTAAGCCGGCAAGAGCGAAACATCCAGCACCTATACTGACGTTTGCAGATCGACATAGTGATATCAGACGTGCCGAGGCGGCGGGCGAAAGCGATGCGGAAACATGGCCACAGGACATCGGTGGGCGGGTCGAAGGACTATAGTCGAAAATTCTATCGAATTTGGGTTCCAATGGCAATGGTTCGTCGAGCCTTTTATCTCTCCGTAGCGGATTCGTAAAGGTAGGCGGTAGTCCTTTCTTCACGTGTCTCAACACTCTAATAAGCGCCCAGAACCAGCGCTGTCTCGCTCTGTTTCCTGCAATCGGCGGGTACAGATCTTCTTGGGCGGCTGGTAAGACTGCCTTGATCTTCTCTCGTGTACGAAAAGACTCGATTTCTGTTAAGATGTCCTGAGATGGCTGGTTTAGGATGCGAATGAAGTGGCTGAACCAGCTGTACGCCGAGAGACCATCTGATATCTGATGCGCAATTACGATGAGGAAGCGCAGCTCATATGTTCCGTCCAGCAACTGTCGCAACGGCAGGACGTGAAGTTTCGATAGGCATTTTGCGGGTTCAATGATGCGAGTTACGTTGTAAGCATGATGGTACAGTTCTTTTTCGTTTACTTCGTCGTATGCTTCTTCAATCCAGACAATGCTCCTCTCGACTTCTTCGACGGCAGAATCTTGAGAGTCGGGTACGTCGACGGTGAAACCTCGTGTTCCTCCTTCTTGGTCTTCGGTCACTCGAGCCAGGAGCAGAGGGTGTTGGAGGCGTAAAGAAGTCCATGCAAGCGCTATCCTGTGCCTGAGCTCTGCTTTTGAAAGTTTGTGTTGGATTGCTATCGTGAAGAGGGCCGTCATGTCTGTGGCATGATCAGTTGCGTTCTGATGATGATTGACCTGACGAATAGGCCTAAAGCACCTTGCACCCTTCCGTGTGTTGTTCACAGCCGCGAACAATAGGCGAAACACTATAGACTGTGGCAACATGAACACAAGCTGTTTGAAAGACCCCACGTACCTGCCCGGCCGCCATAATACGTGCCATCTGAGTCGAATGATGTCTCCACTAGCCCGAGCGGTCGCCTGAACAGCTGTTTGCCATCTGCACTATCAGATAACTTCCATTCAGCATAGTTTGTCGCATATTTGTCCAGCCAGTGGCCTTGCTCTTGCTTTTGTGGTATCATGATGCCTGTTAGTTATCCAACTCCAACGAAGTTGTGTAATTGTTTTCCGCCACTTCTCAGACGCGAACAATGAGAGATGTGGAAATGATCAAGGAGTAGGATTATGTATTAAGAACCGCAAAAGATAGCAAGGCCAAGATGCGGTGTATGTTAGACGACGGAGTCGGAGTTCCCATCAGTTTGCTAAACGAGCAGTCCGGGCAAGTCCGCTCGAGTCATGGATACTAGTCGCTAAGATAGCGTCATGGCTATTATGGCCAATGCCAACCAACTTCTGCCCCATCACTGGAGATGTGGTCTAAAGGTATTCACATTGTCTCGTTTAGATAGGCGAACAGAATACAATATGATGTATACTCCTGACTTGGGTATCTATTACAATCTATGAAAAATAAGCTCCTTTGTATGCAGCAACCACGGACAACTCTCTAGACTACATCTTCCATCTCATCCTCGCCCTCGGTGTCTCCATCACCAGGTCCCTCTGGCGCTGCTGCCTCTGCCTGTTTACTGGTGTCGCGCTGGTTGTCGAATACAGCCTGGCGCTTCCAATTACTGGCAAACGGTCCAGACTTGACGAGGAGGGCAATGTCGCCAAGGACCTCCTTCAGATACTGTTCCGGCTGTTTTGTGCGCTGCTTGATAGCTTTCATTGGCCAGTACTGGTACTCGTCGAACAGCTGGTGGAGTACGTCGATGAGGTCGGAACGAGCCATACGAGCAGCCTTGTTCTGTTGTGATTTCGCCTTGGTCGTAGGCCTGATGAAGTTCTTGAAGCGATTGTTGAGTGTAATGGAGTTGTTGACGTCTGAGACATCGGTGTCTTTCGTAATGATGGTGGTAGTGTGGGAGCCTTGAATGGCTTGCTTGATGCGCGCGGCGCTGAAGTCCTTGAACTCCTTTGTCTCGAGAGGGTTCGCGTTGTATTGGCGCGTCGCATGGCCGATGAGCGCAGTCTGCTTAGGAATTGCCTTCTTGTATTTGCTTCGCTTCTGGACGCGCGCGTTCGGATCTTGTACACCACCAAAGCTTCCTTGTTGGCCTCTGCCGTATCCATATCCCTGTCCTTTGAAGCCCGGTAGATCCTTCTCCGTGAAGACGTACGTGTTGCCTAACTGAGCCTCGGATGCCGCTGCGGGATCTAGTTGGAAGGCCGAGGGTAAGTTTGACTTTGCGCGCCAGCGATCGTTGAGGAAGACGCGCATAGGCTTGTCCTTGTCGATGCCACTCGTTGTCGCGAAAGCGCAAACTTCTCCGATTTGTATCTGGTCGTTGTCGTTACCATCGGCGATGTTTTCCCATTTGGAGACGGCGTCGTATAGCCAGTCTGGGATTCGCGTGAGCCAGACGTCTTGCTGTGGGTTGTCCTTGTTGATGGACATCTCGCCGGTGTCCTCGTAGAAATCGTCGTCCATGAAGCCGACATCAGGTTCTGCCTTAACGCCGTTCATGGTTGCGGGTGCAAGTAGTTGCCTTGGGGTCGGTGTAGTGAATTTGCGATGGTTGACTACAGTGGTGAGAGAGACTGAGACGTGTACTGGCTGAAGAATATGCGAGTGGTAGGAAGATGGCTCAGCGAGTGGACCCTCGTTGTGATGATGAAAGACAACGAAAGGACCCAGGCGCATTGCTCCTCCAGACGACGCGCTTCCGCACTAGCGCGCCAAGTCTCTTATCGATAGGGAAGCTCTGGAGAGGTCGCGCTTGCCCCACGTCTGCTGCCTACACCTATCAACAACCAACGAGTACGACCGGCTTTCCTTCTCTTGTAGCTACTGAATTTGCCTCTTTCTCTCGCAATCTCAATTCAGTTCTTACTTTAATCCCTGAATCTAACTAAACCGAGCCCGACGAGTCTTCCACCCGAGCCAGCTTGCCCCAAACACCCCATAATGGCTTCCCAAGCTGTCACCTCTGCTTTACAGCAGATCGAGGCAGCATCGGCCAACGAAAAGCCCTCGCAATACACGGCTCTTCTCCAACAGATTGTTGAGTCATCGAACCATGTCGCCGCCGATCTGAACGCATACGCACAAACTCTCCTCGACGACTCGCTAGGCATAGTCGTCCTTCGACCACTTCTCGCTGCCTTTGTGGACGCGTTCCGGACTGTCCAAGACCCAGATGCGAAAATCGAAGTTGGAGAGAAGGTCATCACACTCCTACAATCCAAGGGTGCGGGCCAGTACGAAGAACAGGACACACAGATCAAGCATGCTCTAGCGGACGCATTCGAACAGAACGACGACTTCAGACGGTCTGCGCAGACACTTGCAACGATAAACCTCGAGTCAACACAAAAGTCTGTCTCCGCGGATGACAAGGCAAAAGTTTGGATCCGGATAGTGCGGTGTTACTTGGAGGAAGATGATCCGACAAGCGCATTCACACACCTGAATAAGATCAAGAACATCATATTTAACGTACAGGACAAGACCACCAAGGTTATGTTCCAGCTGAGTCAAGCTCGCATCCTTGACTCGCAACGGTCCTTCCTCGATGCCGCCCAGGGATACTACACCTTAAGCAACGAGCCGCTGGTAGACACTGATGAGCGGGACCGCTTTCTTGGAAGAGCCATCATCTGTACGGTCCTCGCTCCTGCTGGTCCCCAGCGAGGCAAAATGTTGGCCAAGTTGTACAAGGACGACCGCGCCAGTTCTGCTGAAGACTACGCGATCCTCGAGAAGATTTTCTTGAACCGTCTTCTCACACCCGCTGAGATCAAGGCCTTCTCTGCTAAGCTCGACCCTCACCACCTCGCCCGAGCCGCCGATGGCCTGACTGTGCTAGACAAGGCTATTCTCGAACACAACTTGCTCGGCGCATCGAAGCTCTACAACAACATTGGATTTGATCAGCTGGGCGAGCTATTGGGCATTGACGCGGAAAAGGCAGAGGACTATGCCGCGAAGATGTTAGAGCAAGGCCGACTTGCCGGATACATTGACCAAATTGACCGATACGTCTTCTTTGAGGGCGAGGCCAGTGGTGAGCGCAAGACCGGACATGCAGAGCGTGTCGTCGGCAAGGAGCTACGGAAGTGGGATGCCAACGTCACGGGCCTTGCCGAGGAGGTGGAGAAGGTCACTTCGATGATCCAGAACCAATATCCTGACTTCTATGCGTCGCAGGTGGTGCACTAGTTTGAAATCACTGTATCCAGCAGCGAATCGACGAGGAGTAGGCAATGCATAAACGGCGTCAGGGAATCGCATATACCCAATGTACACTTAGATATGATGAATATGAGCATAAGAGCCCGAGGTTCTGTTCTGATTTCACACAGGTTGCGTTAAACCTGATGGCCCTGAGGCCAACATGTTCGTGATATGGGTACATATGGTACATTCAAAGACTCACGACGAGACATTGCTAATCCCCATCTCTCAATGCCACAGCTATTGTACACTCTGCTTCCCCTCTTGGCCCAACGCCGCTTCATACTCGTCCAAACTCTTGACTTCCAAATCGCTAATCTTCAAGACTGTGAAATGCAGTTTACTCTTAACATGCTTGACATGTCTCCTCCTCCTCTTAGTCTTCTCCTCCACCCTCAATGGTTCACTTTCCACACCCACAACCCGCGCTCGGCACGTGAATAACCGCTCATCTAGGTAGTACACCTTCTTGCCGTGATCTGCGTTTCCCTTGACGGATTCCGGGGCTTTTAATGTGTAGTCCCGCGATCCGATGTGTGTAGCGCGGTTCAGACGCAGAATGTCGCCTGGGCGTACATTTGGCATTTGAAAGGGGAGGCGAAGTGTGTCGCCGCGTGTCAGGAGGTATGGGCGGCCATGTAGATGTGCAGTGATGTAGTGTGCTGGCTGGCTTTGGAGGAGAGGGAGGAGACTGCGGATGGAGGGTGTGAGGGTTTGCGAGAGGATGTCTGAGCGGGCGTGTGGTGAGGCCTTGACGTCGTTTGTGGAAGCGGGGCTTGGGGCGTCTTTGGGGAGGGGCTGCGGTGTTTGAGCGTGCTCTTTTGCTTCGTCTGATATGCGATGGCTGGACTGGATGAGAGGTTCGGGGGTATTGGATGTGTCGAGGTTGTGCGATACTGTCGTTATTCCTGCGCGGCGGATCGTCGGTTGGACTATCGCTCTGGAGTCGAGAAACGCATGACGTGCGGAACGAGCGAAGAGAGCCATTACTGGGTTCGGCAGGATGCAATGGCTTGGGGGCTTGGGGGCTTGCTGAGCACAGTATCCTTTGGTGTTGCGGAGGTCCGATGTTGAAGAATCCAGCCCGCATCGCGCTAGTGGGGGCTAGTGCCGAACTTTTTGGAGGCGGAAGGCGCTGTTGCAAGAGACTCCACTCTACCACCACTACCCTTACAAGACAGCATACACAGAGGTAGTCGCCATGCCTCAGAACGAGTATATCGAGCGCTTCACGAAGCAGTACGTCTACACCCATCATGCACCCCGCAATGCACCACCAGCGCCTCGCGCCTCAGTAACCAAGAACACCTGACTAACTCTGTCGCAACAGGCACGGAAAGCGCTTCGATCACGATGAGCGCCAACGCAAGAAGATTGCCCGTGAAGGACACAATGCCTCGAAGAAAGCGCAAAACTTCCGTGGTCTGAGGGCCAAGTTGTACGCCGAGAAGCGCAGGAAGGAGAAGATCCAGATGAAGCAGAAGATCCGCGCACACGAGGAACGCAACGTCAAATCCAACGAAGCACCCGAGCCAGCCACCGACGCGCTTCCCGCATATCTCTTGGACCGCAGCAACGAGAAGAATGCCAAAGCCCTCTCTTCGGCCATTAAGCAGAAGCGTAATGAAAAGGCTGCCCGGTTCTCTGTCCCGCTGCCCAAGGTCAAGGGTATTTCCGAGGAGGAAATGTTCTCCGTTGTCAAGACGGGAAAGAAGACGAAGAAGAAGAGCTGGAAGAGGATGATCACTAAGCCGACTTTTGTCGGTCCAGGCTTCACGCGTAGACCTGTCAAGTACGAGCGCTTCATCAGGCCCATGGGATTGCGTTACAAGAAGGCCAACGTCACACATCCTGAACTCAACGTTACGGTCCAGCTGCCGATCATGTATGTGTTTTTGACGCAGTAATCAAAGATAAACATGACTAACTTTTCCACAGCTCGGTAAAGAAGAACCCTCAACAACCCATGTACACCCAGTTGGGTGTCCTAACCAAGGGTACCATCATCGAAGTAAACGTCTCTGAACTCGGTCTCGTAACCGCTGGAGGAAAGGTCGTTTGGGGTCGCTATGCACAAATCACCAACAACCCAGAGAACGACGGTTGCTTGAACGCCGTTCTCCTCGTCTAAGCTTCCGAAGCAAAAACTGCATTTGACGGCGTTAATTGGGTCTTTTGAAAATCGATTCGAAGGCGTTGCGGCGACGTATGAGAATGGGACTTTGCTAGGCAGGGGAAGAGGGGTTACTGGCCGATGATGCAAATGCGCCTGAGCACTTGCGTTTCAGAGGAATTTTAGTAGAAAAGAATAATGATACCACATTGATCACAACACTTTTGCTCTTTCATGATGGCATCGCCAACACCAGGGGATGAAGAACTTCATGTTGCATCAGACGCCTAGAGATTTTACGGTGAACCAAAAGGGAGTTTGTTACAGTATAGATCTGATAGTCATACAGTATACTAGTAATCTATACTTGCTAAACACCAATTCCATATGCCCGCCCAATCCGTGGTATCTTCCATTCCCAGCCCATCCCATTTCCGCTTAGAACAATGAACGCCAGCCATCAAAAAAAAGGCCATTTCCCCCAAGCAAGATACCCGATAAACGAGTTAGACATCTACAGCACAACCGTCATACAATGACATCGCTCAAATCAACATGTCGCCTCCGTCTCTGTACATCGCCCGCCAAAACCCTGCCATCAGCATCCAGCGCACCATCACCCACCCAATCCGTAACAATATCATCCCGGTGCTCATCGTCAAAACTGCCCCTCCTGCCCGTCTTATCCGCCCACCCTGTACGTTCGAGTTCGATGATGCCGCCAAACCGCCTCTCCCCATTAGCAACAAAGAGCGACTGCCCATCCGGCGTAAACGACGCACCACCCACGGGGCCAAAGAAATCAAAAACCTGTTTCGACTCCCACGTCTGCGCGTTGATAACATTGATAAAATCGTCTGCTTCCGCTGCAACGAGGACACGAGGTCCAGAACCAATAGGAGAGAAGTGCAGGGACCTTGGGACACTGAGTTCGCTCTTCATGACAGCTAGGGGTTTCTCCCAGTATCGCGCGTCCCAGACGACAATAGTGGAATCTTGGGCTGCGGTTGCAACGTGGATGCCGTCGTCTGCCCAGGCACAGGCAAAAGCGTCGTCGGTGTGGGAATTTAGTGTTTCGAACGGTTGGCCTGTCTCGGCGTTTGTGATGAGGGTTTCTTGGAAGTCGCCGACTACGACGCGCATGCGGCCGTTTGGACTTGTTGCTGAGCAGTTTACTGCTGCCGAGTATTGGAATGAGTGGATGAAAGTGTTGGTGCCGCAGTCTAGGACGCGGAGGCGGTGGTCGTTGGAACACAAGACGGCTTGGGGAATGTATGTCCGCCGTGAGGGGAAGAGGTGCATGTGGTTGACTATGCGTGACTTTGTGTCGGTTGCGAAGTCTGAAGTGCGGCCAAATGTACAGGGCGAGCCGTGAGTGGAAGAGAGGTTGGCGATGGCGTACTCGCCTTCAAAAGCGCCAGCGATGAGTACGTCGCCATGTGATGCAATGGTGGTTATCGAGGCGTCGGGAGCTAGATGTTTGCTAAGGTCAACGACGACGTCTTCGGGCACACCTTCAGCGTCTGTATGCAGTACTTGATGACCTTTTGCGTAGTACACATCATTGCGGGATGTAGCTGTCACAATGTTTCGCAGCTGGAAGTGAGGAACGAAAGCACGAGGCTTGGTGTTGATCCTTCGAAACTGGAAGAAGCTGTCTGTATTGGGTGTTGAATGCACATACTAAGAGAGATTAGACAGGTACTTGAGAGGGATATACCAAGAAGCTCGTTTCTAATGAGTCGTACTCCTAAGCACCAAAGTGTACCCCAAAAGTATACACTGCTACTTCTCTAAGAGAGTTGTAACGTAGAATACTACATAGACCTTGAGGGTACACTTTGGTGCTTGGGGGTACAACTTATAAAAACGAGCTTCTCCGTAGTCTGCGTACCTTTCGAACTTCCTTCACACTGTGTAGCACTCTTTGACGTTCGTGTTGCAACCGCGCCTTACGCACCGCTGCACGTGTGGTCTATCGAGGTGTTAGCCCGAACGATACTTTTACCTCTTACATAGACAAGAGAGTCTCAAGCGCTGCGTCGCAGCTGCCTATGTAGGTCCCAGAATGTGAGAACGTACCTTGCGAACCGTCCAATCAATGCCCTGGTAGTCATATTCGTCGCCCTTGAGATCCTCCCGACTAATAAAATCCGGCACCTGCACCAGGTCCAGACCGGGAACGATAGGCTTAAGCTTTCCGAAAAAGCGATGGAAATAAGAAGTGATGGGACAAAAGGCGGCCCTGTCCTGGATACTCAAATGCGGTTCGTTGAGCGTCGTTGGTGGCTCTAGCAGCGGATCAGCACCGAATGGGAAGTGGGCTGTGTGGGTTCCTATGGCCATCGGTGTGGTGAAATAAGTAGTGGATGTGTGGTGAGGTATGTTGGATGTGTCACCTGTGAACAGGTCGAAAGCGTTGTATGTGACATACGAAGGATGAATTGGGCCAAACATGTCTTCGATGGTGCCTCCCTCATCCAGCGCTGCTTCCTCATCCTCATCCTCATCCTCATCCTCATCCTCATCGTCGTCGTCGTTTCCCTCTCCTGCTTGATGTGGTCCGGGCATGGCTTCCATGAATTGCTGGTAGTCCACTAGTGATATTCCCCCACCATCGTCATCGTCGTCCACCTCGTCGTCGTCATCGTCGTCACCGTGCGATCTGCTGTCGGAGAGAGTCGCGAGCGTTACAGCAGCAGCCAGCGCGCTGGGTGAGTGCGGCCAGTCTCCATGGTCCGGATAGGCGTGCGGCGGCGTTGTGGGATGCGTCGTGGTGGAGTGTGGCGCGGACCAGTTATGCATGCTGGCCATCGACGCCCGCTATCCGCCTGATAGCCAGTGCAGCGGGGCCGCCGAGGCAGGTTCTTGTCGTGCTTGCGTATGCGACGAAGTGGTCGGCTGGTGTAGTTGGAGAGAGGCGTTGGGGCGCAAGGTATAGGCTTGTCTGGCGTGGGGGGAGGCGACTAGGCCAAAGCATAGGCTCGGCGCAGCGAGACAGGCAGAATGCAGCAGATATGTAGCGGCTGACTGGCTAGGCCCCTTGCGCCACAGGCTAACTGGGTCGTCTTCTTGCTCTCGACCTGTCTGTTACTTACCCGAGGCGCCGCATGTGAAGGAAGACACGTCCTGGCCTAATGTGGGGTCGCTGCTGCCAAAGCCGCAGTCGGGTATTGGCTGCGGGAGCGATGGGTTGGGCTGCAGGGCAAGGAAGCAGGTCAGCTCCCTTTATGTTTATGGATATGGCTATGCCGCGTCGTCGCAACGGCTCCTGAACCTACCGTGCCGTCAGATATATACGCCAGTCTTGGAAGCCGCCGAATATCTGCATCCAATCCTCCTCCGCGCGGGCCCTCTAGTTTAGACGGAACACGGGGGGATCGGACAGCCCACCCCCCTCCAAAGCCTGACTAGCGACTCCACCATCTCAGATGTCCAGACGTTAGATCTATGTATTCACGCTGCTCAACTCCACGCTGTCACCAGGCGCTCAGGGTTAAGCAGCCATGGCGTGCTCACGAACAGTGATACAACTCACATGGCATTGCCAACACGACAATCTTCAGGGGCCATGACCCGACAACGAGAATGCAGTGTCCACTCAACGTCGGACATCCAGGCCCACATCTGCTCTTGTCAGGCCCCTTTTGGGACACAGGCAGCACACCAGTTTCGCTAGGCCGATCTTCTGGGGGCCAGAGGGTGACGCGCTGAGCGCTGGCCCACGGTTGCACGGCTATTTGGTGGAACAAATCAACCGTCTTCCCACCGCGCCTCCCCAGACCATGGCTCCAATGCCGTTTTTGTCTCTCCTCGCCGTCCCAGCTGTGGACAATGGTTGCTGGCACTCCACAACAGCAAGCCACAGATCGCTCCAGGGAGATAGAGTCGATTGCGGCCATCCAACGGGAGCGCTGAGCGCACAGGGCGCAACTTGAGGCTGCTAAACGGCACAGGAACAGTGATGCGTGGTCATCCATCTCAGGAAAATTTCGGCAATGACATGCCGTGTCTCGCAAGAGCTGACAACATGCGGTAACGATGTATTACTAGTGAGGTCCCTACTACGGGACCCCGACGGCGAAGTGGAAATTCTACAAACATCTCATAACAATGGCAGAAATGGCCTGCTAAAACGAACACCCCAGCAATGCAGCAAATCATGTAGGTACAGATGCAGTTCCTTCCTACGCGACGCCACACTGCGAAACTAATTATCATAATACTGATCGTACCCCTGCTGCTGTTGCTGCTGTGGCCATCCGCCAGCCGATGTCGCCGCTGGTGTCTTCAGTCTCCGTTCTGTTGGTGCCCAACGTCAGTGACTGCATTATCGGGAGAAGTTGTGTTCCTTACCTGCTTCAAAATCGTGCCACCTGCGCATCGTAATTTTACTGCTGTCGAATTCACCCTCATACTCCAAACCTGCCTTCTTCGTCTTTTCGCCTGCCGTCTTCCGAGTATCTCCCCAACTGAAGTCGTCAAACTTCCAGAACGCGTACGTCGGAAGCACAAAATTCCAAACAGGCAGTGACAGCAGATAGACGAACATCCAAGCGACGTAAGACCATCGATGAGCCGTTACGATGATGAGGACCGCGGGCAAACCAAGGATGAGCGCTAAAAGAATAAGAGGTATGACAGGAGCTTCTGTGTGCAGAATGGCGGCTTTGATAGCGATGGCGACTGGACGTGGTCAGCAAAGCCAAAGCTTCAAGATGGAGTACGCGGACTTACTTAGGTAGAATGTGAAGGCAATAGCGGCTGGGAGGACCAGAGTTCCGATCAATTCGATGAACACAACAAACTGCATGCTGAAGCAGAAGGTGCCACACAGATCTCGCACTAGCACAAGCTCCATCAGGTTGTGGACCGTACTATTAATCCATCGTCTGCGTTGTGACAGCAAAACTTTGAACTCGTCCGGTACAGTGGTTTTGCAAACGGCTTGCGGCACAAAAACCTGTTTCCGCTTGGGGAACGTCTTGAGCATCAGCGTCGACAGGTATCGATCCTCACCCAGTAGTAGCAAATTCTTCTTGTGCAACGTATCCACCACGTTCTCCGAATAGTGTTCAACAACATCAGGGTTAGCCAAGATCGGGACCCAGTAGTTCTGACCACCCTTGGGAGCCTTGATGCGGTACATGCAGAAACAACCCGGCAGACAAGTAACACCACCGAAGACGGACTCGAACGACTTTGCCAAGTGATGGGAGATGAAGTACCTATCATGGTTAGTGGCGCGATTGTAAAACACGACAACAGCACTTACTCAAACACCTGGATCATGGAGACCCACGAATCCCGCTTATTGGCAATCTTCGTTTCGCCGCAGAGTCCCATGATATCTGGGTCTTTTACCATGGCTGAGATCATGTGCGTCAAGCTATCAGGGAAAACCTTTGTGTCGGCGTCCACCATGAGTACTATCTCATAGAAATCGGGAGAAATGCCAGTAATCTTCCAGATACCGTTGAACATTTCAAACTCAAGCTCCGTCATACGCTCGTCAAACATGACCTTTTGCAGGAACGACATGAGGATGATCTGACTGTCTCGCTTTCCACGATTGCCGGGTTTCGATTTTTTGGCCTCATCGGGTGTTCCACACTTGACGACTAGCATCACGGGAACACGTTGCTGCTTCTCGACAGGAATACGGGTTGTCTCGCCATAGTCGTAGAAACCAGAGTAGATCTTGGCCATGTTGTGTCGTTTCGAACCACTAGCGACTGCAACGTACGAGTGCGCCTGAACCTCGTGGGGCAATACCGCGTGATCTTTCATCATACCAAGACAGACCTCTGGCGTTGTCAAATCTTCTCCGTGACCCTTGATCATACCGTCGCAAATGATGAGAATCAACTTGTGGCTATTTGGGTAGTCTGTAGTTGCGATAGAGTCGAGTGTAGTTCGCAGACCCTCTGGGCCTTCAGAGTACGCAGTAACAAGACAGATGGTATGGGCCAGTGGGTATCCGAAAGGCTGCCATTCTGGAGGCGGCTGAGGTACAACTGCTTCATGCGTGAAACCTGACGGTCCGGAGCCTTCAACACTCGAGTAGCGGTTGGTTTCGGTGTTACCAGAAAGAAGTAGACTAGATCGAGACTCTTGTACCGAGAACTGCGCATTGTGCTTTCCGTCCATAGGCAGAGTGCCATGACTAGCATTCAGTTGCTTGTACATACCACTGTTCGATCCGAGGACGCGAGATGCCGTACTCTGGCTTGTCATAGTTGTTGGTGGAGCGCGGGTCTTTGCGTTCTTGTCGACTGCGTAGGGGCTGGTAAACCTTGATGTCTGCGGCAGGAAGGTACTACCACGCTTGTTGCTGCGGTCAGAGCCAGAGGATGGGTCCATGAGCTTTGGCGGCGGGCGATATATGTCGTCACTCCACTCTTCGATCTGCTGCTTTCGCTGCTTGGAGTCTGCTGGACTAATAGACGTATTGGTAGCAGCAAATTTCTTGCTAATGAACCACTGGAAGATCAAGGCAAGGACGAACTTGGCCATCACAACAGCCAGAATAAAAACAAGCGAAACGTAGAGCACGACCTTGGAAGCAATGCAGCCGATGCTCTCCGTGTCGATAGAGCCGACTTTGATGGTTTCGGTGAAGCAACGGGCTACCTGCTTCTCATAGCTAGAAGAGTACGCACGGGTGACGTCCACACCGCGAACAGCAGGATTTTGACGGATCTCATCGAAGATGGGTGGAATGTTGACCTGAGTTCGGTTGAACCAGTCGAGCAAGTTGAGGTCCAACACATCACCACCCCATACCATTAGGTTTCTGGAGCTGTTGCGAATGTCGTCCCAGGTGAAGTACACGTCGCCAGCATTCCGGAGGCTGTAGAAGCCCCTGCGAGCCCTGTCCGAAGTATGGCACTGGTAACCATTATACTCCAAGAAAGTGTTGTTGGGCTTAGACGACCCGTCCTGGTTGAACAGCCGGCACGGGAAATACCAACCCAGATCTCCGTTACCGGTTGTCGGAATGCCAGAGTTGTCCTTTTCGGTGATGAGTCCCTTGCAGGCTCCATTGACATTCTGAAACAACATGCTAGCATCTTTGCCACCATTCTTCTCAGGAAGATCAAAAAGAACATTGGCGTCTTCGGGAATGCCGCGGGCCCGAGGGTGCTTGGACTGGGCGAGGTCGTAGGCTTTGCCGTGAATAATCAGGTATCCGTTTCCGACTTCGTTCGTCCTGAGGCGAGCGTTGCCGCCAGAAGGGCAGACAGTTTCCGTAAAACCGAACGTAAGGTATCCAACGAATGTGCAAATTAGCATGATGATGCTAACTAGTCCGACTTTCTCCCTCCATGCTCGCTGCTGTGCCTTCTGTGGCTTTCCAAAGCACTTGAGGATAGCGTTCGGACACCAAAAGGTGACAATGGCGCAGTAGACGTTCCACAGGCTAGGTGGCCGTAGCTTATCCTGCTCCTTCTGGCGCTGCTTCTCGCGCGCCTCCATTGTCTTGCTCCGTGTCAATTTGCGTTGTATCTGGGGCTCTCCGTCGTCCAACGGAGCCTGCTTGTCGTTGTAGCCTCCGCCTGAGGCATTTCGCATGTGTGGAGGCTTGATGTCGGTACTGTCTGAGCTCACCGTCTCAGCTTCTAAGTGGTCCTCCATGATGGGGTCGTTGCCTGTCGTCGATGGGTGGACGTCCATGCGCTGAGCATGTCTGCTGTAGTGATAGTTGGGATGGCTTGGATCCATTCGCTGGCGCTCAGGGCGGATAAGACTGCGCTTCCTGCCTAGCTCAGGCCCCGAAGAGGTGGGTTGCCCTCGCATGATGGGATCGCGCTCCATAGGCACAGGAGTGCCGGGTGAGGGGAGCGCGCGTGCGTAGGCTTGGGTGCCGCTCTTGCTATTAGAGCGATCGTGCGATCGCGTGTTCTCCAAGTCCGAAGTCCTCCTTCTACGGTGGTGCGAGTCTCGGTGTGCATGTCGCCGCTCGCCCCGTCGCGGCGGCGATGCCTCGTCGGGTCGCTGCGGTAAAGACATTTGCGTGAGGATGCAGGCTCAGCTGTGGTTACACAGTAGGGCTGCTGCGCGGAGCCCTTTTCGGCCCGGAAAGAATATGTATAGCGACTCTACGACGCTGGTGATTGCATGTATGATGCGGTGCGTGTTCGGGGGAGGTGGTCGAGGTTGTAGAATGGCGGTGGGTCGTGATTTCCTTCTTTGCAACGAATGTTGACCGGCTGCGGCAGGAGCGAGTATGCTGCAAAAAAGCCAAGCTGTGTAGTGAAAGACGATCGTAACGAGCGACGAGGAAAACCGACGAGACCCCGGGCGATACAATAGGTGTTGCTAGAGCGATGGTAGATGGGGGCGAAGCTGGCAAGGGGTGGATGCTATTTTGGGGGCTCTGTTCCGCCACTAACACCGCGGCCTATCGCTAGAGCATACATAAACATGGCATGATTTCCTCAACTCGCAATCAATGACAATGGCCATTGAAAGATGTATCTCCCAATATACTCTTCTCCTGTATTTTTCCATGATGCTGTATCTTGCTGCTTCTCCTACATATGTCGCTGTCACACCACAGCTCCCCATACCTAGGCACGATGCTGCCCGTGGACGTAGCTGAACCCCTGCATGCACCAATTCCTGCAGCCAAACGGCTACCGAGCCCTGGATCGCCATACTATCAATTGCTCTATCGACTAACCTCACTTCTCCTTTTCAACATTTCCACACATCGTCTCGACGCATCGCCCGCTTTTCACAACCTGCTTGGCAACCATCTATACGGTGTGTAAGAGAGAAATGCATCGAATTGACTCCTTGGTTCATCATCACTATTGGCGCCGAGAGCGGTACACAATCCCGTATACGTTGACACGACGCGCCTGTCATGAGGTGCCTGAACGCATCAAGGGCTGTGCCGCACCCTTTCTCATTATATACGAGTGGACCTGCGTTGAGCTTTGGCGGCGAATTTCCGCCTGATGCCATGTGCTGTGCATTAAGCTGGGTGATAGCTCTGAACGGGTGGAGTTCAGGGTCTATTCACACGCAGCTCCACACTATTCCATGTCTCCATCCTAAGCCCTGCAGAGCGGCGGCTCCACTCGCTCGAATTGGCATCGACGGCTAATCACCTAGTTAGCATTTGTCACCTGTACAGAATTCGATAGTTGCGGCACTTCCGAGGGTTGTGGTGGCTTGAACAAGTACGATCTTTGTCCGCGTCTAGGTACATTCGAGCCTCAACGTCCCTGTCCGACCACCTAAGTAGTCTCTGCCTATTAACGTTTGGAGCATGACAAGGCCATGTCCCCGTTTCTGATGACGCCACCTTCCCGATGCTCACTGCGTACGTGTCTCAAACAGTGCCCAGCCCAGGCCTAGTAGTCAAATATCGACACATGCCCATGCCCATGCAAAATTTCCTCCGCATTTGCCAATATTCCCCCCGTGAGCCGCCATCGACTGCCTGCGCCCCCTACGGATCTTACCGAATAGATCGATAGTGCTCGCGTTTCATCCTGTGGTCACACACCATCTCGCTTCCTCAGCAAGCCGGGCTCTGCCGCCCAGTCCACTCAGTCCACTATTCGCCATTCTATACGAGAGTCGACATCGAGTGGGGTTTCAAAAAGCGTCCACTGCCCTCCCACCTTGCACTTGGCCTGCAGTTGGTACGGAGCTGGTTGAGGGATCACCTAGAAGACTGTTCACACTTTTTAGACGGCAACGTTCAGGGTCCAAGTGCCGCGCGAACCCTTATACTCCGCTTCCTGTGAGTCTAATCCCCTTCTGTACCGCAGATCATGAATCCAGGATGCGCATCCTCTGATGGCCGAGGTTGGCGAAGAATTATTGCAACTCGTCGTCACACCGCAATTCATGTGCTAACGGTAGATTGATTGTAGCAGTAGCAGAGATCCACAGAGTAGACGGCTTCTTGTCGCATGCGCTGATTTGGTCGTCACTAAGACTGCACCACCACCTTAGAGCCCCGCCGCTGCAGCGAGTCAGGATTTAGGCGGACATAAGACTGCCACCATAGATCTAAGGAAGGGGGAAACGCCATTTTCCAAAGCCATGCCCGAAGCTGCTTCAACACCACCCTCGAGGGCCTTGCCACCTGTTCCCGTTGACGAAGAAGCCTACGGCGCACATCGCCCCGACTTGAACGGCTCGAGTAGTTTCCAGCATCGCAAACCGCCCACCGCGCGGCACTCTTCCACACCCTCTTTCAGCATCACCGAGCACAACAACACAGCAGCAGGAGGACGCGATTCGAGACAATCCGGATCTTCCTTCAACCAAAGCTCCGACGGCCATTCAAGAACGCCCTCACGAGAAACACCAGACCTCGAGTATAGGTTCTCGGGGAGCTCGATTCCGCCCGCACAAGACATCCCCTTCAGACAGCTGCATATCAGCGACGGATCGTACGGGAGTCGGTTCTCACACGTTGCGGAAATGGACGTTGCAAAAGCTCACGATGAGACGGACAATATATACACTCCCCAGGAGCAATACCGGCCCGTATCCTACCCGAACCAACCGACCCCGCCGGCTGCAACATACCCTCCCCGCGAGACCGCACAATCCCCGACGGCTGGGTCGCAGCACTCGTCGAACAACAGTGGGCGCAACAGCTATTTCAACAGTCATGCGCACGAGGGAGAGCTGCAAGTTCCGCGTAGCACGGTTCCGCGCCCCAACTCTGCATATACACTGGGCTCAGAACTGAACGTACAAGGTCGTACAGAATCCCCACGCCTTTCAGTTTACGGGACCCCGTCACCTAGCGCATCACCTAATTCTCACGCCCGCCCCATATCGACGACCCGCCGTTCTCCCGACGTCAGACCAGAGTCATCCTACATTGATCTAACCAACCTCCCGTACAATCAGCAAGTTGCGCCTGCGACCAACTTTGGCAATGCAGCTCTGCGGGGCAGTGTGGGGCAGAATGCCTCGCTGCTTAACCAGAAGAAGACGCTGGAAATGTACAGGGCGAACGTCAAGAAGACAGCAGATACTGCAGTGCAATACGAGTTTGCGCTTTTCATGGTACAAGTGGCCCGCGAGCTCCTGGGGACGGAGAATGGCAGTGACGATCACGGCATGAACCCCACAGACTTGTTAAAAGAAGCAAGACAGATTCTCCAGAGATTAGCCGACCGCAGCTATCCATTCGCACAGTACTACCTCGCAGACGGTTACGCGTCAGGCCTGTTCAACAAGGACAAGCCGGATCACGATCGGGCGTTTCCACTCTTTGTAGCTGCTAGCAAGCATGGTCATGCTGAGTCAGGCTTCCGTGCCGCACTTTGCTACGAGTTTGGTTGGGGCTGCCGCAAAGACTACGCCAAAGCTGTTCAGTTTTATCGTGCTGCTGCATCGAAGAACCATCCTGGAGCCGCGACACGTCTCGGAAAGGCTTGTTTGACAGGCGATATGGGTCTACAGAACAAGTATAGGGAAGGATTGAAATGGCTCAAGCGAGCTACCGAATCTGCCGACTTCCAGTACAATATTGCGCCGTATGAGCTTGGTTTGCTACACGAGACAGGCTTTGGAGACGACATCTTCAAGGACGAGGTATATGCTGTGCAGCTCTTCACACAGTCTGCCGAATTGGGTCATCCATTGGCTGCTTTGAAGCTGGGCGAAGCTTACGAACATGGCTTGTTGCGCTGTCCCAAGGATGCTGCGCTTTCCGTTCACTACTACAACTGCGCTGCTCAGGCCGATATTCCCGAAGCCATGATGAACCTTTGCGCATGGTACATGGTTGGTGCCGAACCAGTTCTGGAGAAGGATGAAAACGAGGCGTACGAATGGGCTAAGAAAGCTGCAGAGCATGGTAAGTTCATCGGCAACAGTGCAAGTGTGTCTTGCTAATTCAGTCAGGTCTTCCAAAAGCCGAATATGCCTGTGGATACTTTACGGAGATGGGCATTGGCTGTCGGAGAGATCCTCTAGAAGCAAACGTGTGGTATGTCAAAGCTGCAGATTCCGGCGACGAGCGGGCAAAGCAACGTCTTGCCATCATTCAAGCTGCCGCATCCGGGCAATCACACGTCCCCCCAGCAAGCAACGACAAAGGCAAACTCAAGAAAGAAAAGCCCGGCAAGGAGAAGGATGCCAAAGAAAAAGACGAGAATTGTGTTGTCATGTAGCGAACGAGGTGTGTTGTTGACCCCTCTCATGCTGGCACCCCTTGCGTTTTCTTTTATACCCGATTTGCATTTAGTCTTTTTTCTTTCTCGTATGCATATGGATTGGTTGTTTCCGCCATTCATTATGAGCATGGCGATAGTCTTTTTAATATGGGGTTGTGCATATACGGCGTTTGTAAGGCGTTGTCCTTTGCATATCGCTGCTTGGGATGTGAGCGTCAAAATCTTTTCAGCGTTCTCGCTGGTATCGTGTCGACGATGTTTCACCGTTGCGTCATAGCATTCAGGATGGTGTTGTATTTCGAGGATAGTTGAGATAGGTGGAAATGGTTAATGGGTAATGGCACTACGTATCGCAATGACCTGCTGTCACTACGAGCATGACTAAACTTAATGATAGGACCAGACAACTACAAGAACCGTTGTGTATCTGCAGATCTCCCTATCATGTGTTCGTGCTGTAAACATTGCCATAGCAAAATGTCTGTCGCCAAATTTAACGAGAGTACCTTCCAGATAGAACATCTAGTCGGCGTAGAATGAACCTAACAGCAGCGGATTGTAGCACTAGATGTCTGTTCAGCACGGGTGTCGACGGCTTTGCTGTTCTAACAGCATCTCGTGACAGTATAGTTGCCATAAAGCGCCGATTGGCCAGTTTTTGCAGCATCTTACGTAGCTATACTTCACAGCTCTCCGTTCTTGTCCGGTCCTCACGGTACTCTCAATACTCAATTCCCATAGTACACGTTCGCAATAACCCGCACTGACTGTGCACCAGGCCATGTGCAGAGGAATGTGCGTCACAGTAAATGTACATACAGAAGGCCCGAAGCTTGTGTTACACAGCTTACTGTATGGCCTTGGCGCGTGTTCTTTGTGGTGTCGCTTGCTTCGCTTTCCCGATACCGTGGCTAGCCGCTACCCGAATGGGTATGCATGATGCAGGTGCACGTTCGCGGCTCCACCTCCACGCCTTGGACTACATATGTAGGGCGTGTGATTACCGATAGCTGATAGCTGACTCTAACCGTGAGGTTTAAAGTCGGAATATCTCGAACACATTCAACTTTTACTACACTCGATTGAACAACCAGGTTTCAAGACTGTTGCTAGTCACTTGCTAAGTTGCACTAAGGCCTGAGCGAAGGGCGACAAAGAAGAAGTCTGAGTCCACCAAGTGCAAACTAATTCCAAGATCAATTTATCGCCTAAGATGTCACCGCCTTCAGCAGTCGAAGTCTCAGCAGTTTCAGACACATCTGGAGTTACTATCCCGAACCCGTTGAGTGCGCCAGTCCAAAGCAACGAGATACTTGGAAGAAGGAAGAAGACAGCTGCAGCTCAATGGGGAGTGGCAGCGCCGTCAGATACAGCAAATTTCAGACTGAAGTCTCATGACCACAAACCTAAAGCTAAACAATGGAGCCGTATGTTCTTACCACTTTCGTTCAGTGCCTTCTCCACTAGCCATCCAACGCTAACTAGCATCTCTAGACATCATGACCCATGAAGCAACCATCCGGAAAGGCAACTCTCTCAAAGAGGCCGCAAAGTTTCTCGGGACACCCGGAATCATATCTCTCGGCGGCGGTTTACCATCCAGCGAGTACTTCCCTTTCGAAGAGCTATCGATCAAGGTGCCCAAGATCGGCCACTTCTCAGAATCCGAGACAAGAGAGACCGGTGTGACCATAACCGCAGGCAAGCACGACCTTGCTGAGAACAAATCCAACTTCGACATCGCCACTGCGTTCAACTACGGCCAGGGATCTGGTTCAGCGCAACTTTTACGCTTCATGACTGAGCACACTGAACTGATACACGACCCGCCATACCAAGACTGGAAGTGTACTATGACGATTGGAAGCACATCTGCAACCGACATGCTCCTCAGAATGTTCGCCAGGCCCGGTGACATGATCCTATCGGAGGAATACACCTTTTCCGCTTTTGTAGAAACCGCGCGACCAATGGGCGTACGCGTCTGCGGCGTCCCAATCGACAATGAAGGACTCCTCCCCGCAGAAATGGACACCCTACTCACAAACTGGGATCAGGCCGCTCGGGGAGCGCGAAAGCCCCATCTCCTCTACACAGTCCCAACAGGCCAGAATCCAACGGGAGCAACGCAAAGCGCAGAGCGCCGTCACGCTCTCTACAAAGTCTGCCAAAAGCACGACATTCACATCCTAGAAGACGAACCATACTACTTCCTTCAAATGCAACCCTACACCGGTCCCAACGCCCCCGCCGTCCCCCCACCAGCTTCCCACGCCGACTTCATCAAATCCCTCGTACCAAGCTACCTCTCCCTAGACACAGACGGCCGCGTGATACGCATGGACTCGTTCTCCAAAGTCATCGCGCCCGGTTCGCGCATCGGATGGATCACCGCACCCGCCGAAGTCGTAGAACGGTACTCCAAACACGCTGATGTGTCGACGCAGAATCCCGCCGGCATGTCCCAACTCATCCTCTTCAAGCTCCTAGACGAACACTGGGGCCACGCTGGGTATCTCGACTGGCTCATCCACATGCGCATGCAGTATACAAACCGCCGCGACATTATCCTCTCTGCATGCAGCAAGTACCTGCCCACAGAAGTCATGAGCTGGAAACCACCCATGGCAGGTATGTTCCATTGGATGCAAATTGATTTCAGGAAACATCCTAGTTATCCGGAAAAGAGCATTGAGAGTATTGAGGAAGGTATCTTTATGCGGGTTATTGAGCATGGGGCGCTGGTTATGAGGGGCAGCTGGTTCTACGCGGATGCGGAGGAGACGCATGATACATTGTTTTTTAGGGCGACATATGCGGCGGCGCCGGGGGAGAAGATTGAGGAGGGGATTCGGAGGTTGGGGGAGGCGGTTAGAGAGGAGTTTGGGTTGGGAAAGTATGCTACAGAGGGTTGAGATGGGATCTTGGTTAGGCGCTTGTGGTCTTGTATTGACCGGGTGGTTGCTTTGTAGTATAGCAGGATGATTCTTTCAGCATACATGCCACTACCGAATCCAACGCTATCCATGCCTAGTCCACATCCCTGGTATTCATACCGATGTTGAATCCCTAGGCTTTCCTTTTGTGAATCCTTCAACCCATTGTGCAACGCCTCAATACCCACAGGCACGCAGGTTCAGTCTGCCTGATATTCGACTCCCTTGCTAATCTCCCCGTACATTTCGTTCAGTTGATAAAGTTTACACAAAAGAAGTGCAGTAGCAAGCTGCCAAAGATGAAATCTGCAAATGCCCGTTCATGTGATATGTTCTCGAAGTGGGCCTTGTTCTCCGAGTTTGTCTGGATGCGCAGCGAGGCTGTGAGGACGAATTGACCGACTGTTGCGCTGAAGCCGGAGAGGAAGGCGTTGAAGGGCTGTTCGAGAGTGTTAGCCAGCAGTTCTCATTCTATTCTCATGCATGCGGGCTACGGGACTTTGGAAGTGGTAATGTGCTAGGGAGTTGGGTACGTACAAAGTTTCCAACCAAAACTACATAGAGGAATTGCAGAGCACCGACGATGATAAGGAAGGCGAGGAAGGTGTCAAGGAGCTTTGTTCGCTGGGGTGTCTTGGAGACGTATTTGTCCCATATTCCTTGCGCAATGGCTGCTGCGTCTGTGTTGTTTGCTTTGCTTGATCGTGCGGATGCCGGGACACTGGTGGTTGTAGATGGGTCGCCAGTTGGGGCAGTGGTGCGCTGCTTCGGGGCCATTGTCGTGGAGCCTTAAGGATAAACGTCGAATGGTGGGCGTTCAGGGGATATTGAAGATGACGCGCGGTGGTGATGCTCGTGGTGGATAGCTTGAGGCCAGATGTTCGTGGTTGGTCTAAGCTGGGGCTTACGAGTCGGCGTCGGTTTCCTCGGGTGTCCGCGAATCCCCGCAAATGCCATCATTCACTTGGCCCAGCCATCTCGAAGCATCCTACGAGAAACTTCTACAACCTCAGTTTATCCTTCAAACTTCAAGTATCTTCGCGACATCCTGAGTTTCATTGCATTCTCCGAAAGACTACATAGCTGCACACAACGCGACAATGGTAGGTGACCACCAATCGCTGCTATACACGAGTCATGATGTAAATGGATGGATGCTAATTGGACATTCAAGTCTCTCGGAAACATTGCTCTCATCCTGGGTGCTCTCACTGCTGGTGGTGGTATCACCGGTTACGTGAGAACCGGGTCCGTGCCATCAATCGCAGCTGGATGTACTGTCGGACTTCTGGTATGCTCTCACTTTATATCCAACACTACCTATAGCGCGTCTAACGAAGACAATAGTATATACTCGGTGGATACCGTGTCAACAGCCGCGCAGCCTACGGTGTTGAATTGGCTCTTCTCGCTTCTGTTATTCTCGCTGGTAGCTCAATTCCTCGAGCCATCAAATCTGGCAAGCCGCTTCCCATTGGACTGAGCATTCTGGCAACATTTGGTCTGTGGACATTCGGCAATGCGTACATGAACAAACGTGTATGAATCTTGCCTGAGAAATCATGAAAGAGAAGGGCGTGCGTCGTGCTGAGATCTGTGTACTATTACCCTGCAACATTCGAATATGAATCTTGACTAGATGCGAAAGCAGAACGTGCTACGCGAATACTTACGTTGAACACAACGACAAATTCCACCTCCAGGGACTTCCTACTGCACCTTGTGCAGGAATTAGCAAACGCCTGTCTCGGAAGGAATTTGAACCGTGGAACCTTACTTACCAGCCGCCTCATCATAACCGCCTTCTTTGGCCTGCTCACGTGTAGAAACCACACGTCGGATATTAAACTGGCGCCGCCGATCATTTCAACCTCCATAGACTCCAACGTTCTGACAGGCTCCCCACACGCTCGTGCTCGCTAGGGGCGCCGGGTTATTTGGAAGAATACAACACCATTCATAAAACGTCGACGCAGCAACAAGGGAAGCTCCCCACCAATCTAGCATCCCGGCTCCGTCTCGCGTGTCAACTGCCGTCATTTGCCCAGGATCTGACACGTCTTAGCGTCATTCAGTAACACTGCATGAGTGAGTACTGGCTATCGCGAGTATTGTTCCGGGTCACAGTGCGGTTCCATCTCATCAAAATTGATAGGGCAAAGTTTCATCGGCCAATCGTACTACATGACAACCAGATTTCGACTATCAGCCTACCTTTTCCATCAGTAAACTCAGGCTGAAACTTGCCCACAATGCTTAAGAGCTATAGACGGCCGCAGAGGTATACCCATTCCGTCACAAAGCGTAATTCCGAGCGCGTCGATTGGTCGTTCGATATGACTTCTCCAGGCCTTCTCCAACATTTTCATCTAAGACATACAAAAAGAATGAAAACAGATTACAGATTGACGATATCGAGGCATATCCCGGCGTGGCTCGTGGTCTCCTCTATTGCCACGATAGATGTTGCAGGTAGTCGCATAAAGAGTTAAGAAATGCCTACTGGGTGACAATTACGAACGTCTAGATACGTGCCACTTGTCCGCAGAACCCTCCAGTATGCGTTACACTCAAGTTTTTGGCAGTGCTGCCGCACTTGCCGGTTATGGTGAGTGTAGTCTTGGATTGAGAGGACGATACTGACAAAGATGAAGCTCTTGCTCAAGAAGGTGAGGCACAGTCTACTGTTGTCTACGATGCAGAAACGAAAATCAGTTACTCGTCGTACTCGGAGCCAGAAACAGGAATGTCATTTGGTGTTGCTTTTCCAAAGAACGTCACAGACCCGTATGATGCCATTATCAGGATCACCGCACCGATTGCCAATCAATGGGTCGGCTTCTCATGGGGAGGTAATATGGTCTGGAACCCTTTGAGCGTTGCTTGGCCCAACGGTCAATCCGGGACGATCTCTGCTCGCTTCGCTTTGTATGTCGCATCCCCAAGGTCTATTCGAGCGTTACTGATATATCGCAGTGGTATTGCTTTGCCGCTTGGGTACGATGGGGCCGAGCATACATACCTCAAAGGCACAAAGACAAACGCCACACACTGGACAGTCAACGCGTTATGCAAAGGCTGCACTGGATGGCAAAATAACGAGGACACAAGATATGCACTCAATGGCACAGGTACAACAGAGTTCGCCTGGGCCTACGGTGCCTCTTCGGTCGAGAACCCTGCTCGAAATGATTCCGCTTTCAATGTTCATCAGGCCTGGGGGAAATGGATCCATAACCTGGACGCTGCGCGCATCGATAATTTCGATTCTTTGGTCAAGACTAACCTGCTGACGGCGCCTGTAGCCACACCTTCCGCTGCGCCGACCACCGTCGTGACAAGCGTTGTACCGTCCCCGTCTGCGACGGTAAAGCCAGCAGCGCCTGCTGCCATTCCAGCCTCGTGCTCCGGCGCCGGCAGTCCTGCATTTCAGGGCAGTCTTGCGGCTGGATGGAAGGCAACGAAGATTGCGGGAGGCTTGACTAGCCCTCGCAGCATCCAGTTCGACAGTGCCGGGAACATGTTGGTGGTTCAGTCCGGTAAGGGCATCTCGTACCATAAGATGGGTACAGATGGCTGTATCACCTCTACCAAGATGCTGGTCTCGCAGAACAATCTGAATCACGGTATCGCAATGAGCCCTGACGGCAAGACATTGTATGCGAGCTCTATGACTCAAGCTTACTCTTGGCCATACGACGCCGCGGCGGGTACACTGGGAACTCGAACGACCATCGTCACCGGCATGTACAACGGTGGTTCTCACTTGACCCGCACTCTTGCTGTTGCGCCACAGAACCCGAATTTGCTAGTGGTCTCCCATGGATCCAATGCCAACATTGACTCTGCTACATCGGACCCCAAGACCGCCCGTGCCATCATCAAGGTCTTTGATTTGTCAAAGGTCCCCAGCGGAGGCTACAACTATGTATCTGGCGGATACAACGCTGGCTACGGACAGCGTAATGACGTGGGAATTTGCTTTGACAAGAACAACATGTGAGCACCATTCGCGTTCAAGTACGCGCAGCACGAACTGACAACCAAAACAGGCTGTGGGGTGTAGAGAACAGTGGTGATGACTTCAAGCGCAACGGAAAAGATATTCACCATAACAACCCTGGCGAGAAGATTCATTACATGGGCGATGTTACCAAGCCCAACGAAAACTGGTACGGATACCCATCCTGCTTCACCGTCTGGCAACCCAGCGACTTCACCGACAAGACATTTAAAGTCGGCGACTTCTTCACACAACAGCCAAGCACCAGCATGAACGACGACACTTGCGTCCAGAAAGCCACACCTCCCAAGCTTACTCTGTTCCCGCACTCCGCACCCATCGACTGCAAGTTCGATGCCGACAGCACGACCATGTACATCACCTACCACGGTAGCTGGAACCGCAACCCCGTCACCGGCTTCAAGCTCGTCGCTGTGCAGTTCAAGATTGGTGCGGATGGGAACTATACACCCGTTGAGCCTTTGACTAGCACTACAGCTGCCAAGGACATCTTCTACAATCCGGCTGTGGAGAAGTGCCAGGGTAATGGACCGAGTTTCAGCTCTGGTTGCTTCAGGCCTGCGGGTTTGGCCTGGGACTCTCAGGGGCGGCTGTTCATGACTAGTGATACCTCGAGCAATGGAGAGCTCTGGGTTTTGGGGAAGTCGTAGAAACTGGAGCAGAACACCAGGTTTGAGGGTGTCTAGGGGGCGTCTCTGAGGACAAGACGTTTTGTATATACAACTGATACACCAACACTGTCGCTTCTACTTCCTCGTCTTTTGCTCATACTAGCCCTATTTCTCGGCCTTTAAACCAGCTCACCCTGCTAGACTCAGAGGAATGCATCATGTCCCGCAGACTACCAATGACAAGCGAACATGTGATGTACCTTTCAGTTCATGGTCTCTGGAATCGCTCAACCATGGCTCGCCCACCGAGCGTGTGGTACCAAGAATCTTTTCTATTTGATCGAGCACGCATGCTCGATTATTTTAGTACCTACCGAGAAGGAAAAGTCCTATCGTCGAAGTGGATTGTATTCTACCTGTATATGTTGGAGGGATAAGAGAGACGAGAGACTGCGAGCACCTCTTAGGTGTAGCCTGAGTAGAAGTAACAAGCAGTTGTAGCCTATGACACTATAGCAAGATACGTGCGGGACGGAATCTCGCTTGTGGAGCACGACTTAAACTAGGGTGAGATCCTGTTGTTGAACGACTGGACTTGCCGCTCCAAAGCGCTCTACTAGTATAGCTGAGACCACAATCATCATAGCTCAAGCACAGTGTGGCACATGAGTCCAAGTGAAAATCCACTTTCTCTGAATACCATGTGCCGACAGAAGTCTTGGTGGGGGTGAGGGGCGGATATCGGCAATGGATTGGCTGATTTGCATGCTGAAGTGCGATGACCAGGAACGCAGCGTGCCTGGCAAGAACTTGTTATTCGACATAACGATCGTCGATGCTGTCGGTTATTTTTGGGGGTTCATCTCGCTTTCGCAACTGCTGCCGCCCCCTTGTGACGCTGAGCGGCAAAGCAGCAGGTTTTTCAGGGAAATCTGGTGTTGCAAGGAGATGTCAGGGCCGTCGCGGGTTGTTGGCCGTTGGTTGTGTGCTTTTCAAGGCCCTGCCCATGCGCATCCGGCAGAATGCCATGCGACTCGCCAAAACCCATCAATCCCATCGGAGCGACTAGGCTCGGTTTCACCCGACACGCCGCTGGAAGGGCAAGTCAAGCATGAGCCAAGAAGTCTTTCCTCTACTAATCCTTCACATGCCATAGTCATCAGTTCCGAGCGGCCGAAGCACGAGTTGAGGCATGACTGATGGCTCTGCATCCTCCAATCGTTTGCATCCAATGCTGACAAGTATCCGGCTTGTGGCTGCAGTGGGCTCGTACGGCCGCCTTGAAGATCTTGGCTCTGAAAGCTTCGTATCTCATTGCCTATACTAGCCCCCGCTCTGCTGCAAAGAGATAGGCGTAGACAGCAGCTCTACCGATTGGGAGAGAGGTGCGGAATGTGTCAGCAAAGACAAAGAGCTGTGCATGCCGCCTGTCTGGCCTGTCAGAATTTACATAGCTATGAGGTCTTCAGGTTGTTGAGGCCTGGTCTTGATAGTAGTTAGGGGTCTTGTAGTGATGATAGTGACCGAAACCCTCCATCACACATGGCATTCTTCTTCGTAATCTCCCCTACTGCCTTCGGCTTCCGCGGCTTCTTCTCGTGCAGCCAGACAAAAGTCTAGAGCGGATTAATCCCCAAGCATCTACGTCACGTATGCGCACGGTTTGTGTCGTGCACAAGCTCGGCGCTAAGAAGGGCTTGTAAGTGAAACGCTGCTTTCCGGTAGCCAAAATTGGGGGGGTCACGTCATAGCCATTTCACCCTCGCATCGGCAACCACGCCAGACGCCGCTCCTAGCCACGATATACTTAGGCTCACGCCTCCTCGGCTTTGCTAGCATATCCATAGCAATTCATTTTTTCCTTGCCTAGGGACACCTTTCACGTCTCCCCTCAGCAATAGCACACCCCGCGTCTGCTTGCCCCCACTTTGCGCTCAGGTAGTCTAACCACGCACACGGGCAAAGCTCTCGCATCACCACCACCACGATGAGTTCCCTCAAGAAAGCGCTTGAGAAGCTCAAGCCTGGGCATCACGGGTCGTCTGCCTCTGATGATGACAAGAGCAGCGGCATCAAGTCTCCCACTTCCGTCAATGGCCGCGCTCAGTCGCCTGCCGCGACGCCGCGCTCTTCCATGACCCTGGGTCGCTCGCGACCAAGCGGCGAGCACAAACGCGGAGAAGTCGCCTCTCCTACCGACAGCAGGGCCAGCATCGATCAGCCCCGTGGCTCCCTCAGCGGCATTCTACACCGCCGCACCGAGAGCCCGAACCGCACTGGAACCAACAAATCCGGGTCCAGCCACCAACGCTCCGGCTCCCTCTCCACCCACAGCCCCATGCGAGCTGTCAAGGAGAAGCTGCATATCGGAAACGATTCGAGCGACGAAGATGCTCCTCTCAACCGCGAAGGCGAGCCCATGTCTCGTGGCCAACTGCGTAAGCACGAGAAGCAGGCACAACAGGAAGAGCGCCACAAGCAAAACTTGGAGAAGGAGCAAGAGCTGGAGCGGAGGAGGAAAGAGATGGAACAACAAGCCCTGGCTGAATTGACACCGGAGCAGAGGTCCAAGTACGGTGTCATTCACCCCAATTCCTATTCTGGAGAGTGGAGGCATGAGCCCCGCCACAAGATTCAAGACTTCTCCGCAAAGGATGTCGGCAAGGAGGTTGTCTTCCGTGCCCGCATCCACCATCTCAGGAAGATGAGCTCCAAGTTTGTCTTCTTGATGTTCCGTCAGCAGCTCGCTACCATCCAAGGTGTTCTCTTGGAGCACGCAGACATTTCAAAGTACATGCTGTACTGGGCAGAACACTTGGATGCCGAGACTATTGTCCTGGTCAAGGGTATCCTGCAGGAACCCAAAGCCAAACAGGGCGAGGTTCTTGGCGCCACCATTCACGATGTTGAGGTTTCAGTCCACGCCCTTCACGTCGAGGCTGCCGTTACGGACCACCTCCCCTTCAACGTCAACGAAGCCGAGGTCTCGCAGGCTGAGGTTGATGCTGAGCTTGCAAATGCAGACCACAAGGAGGGACACACTCGTGTCAAGATTGCAGATCGTACACGCTTGAACAACCGCGTTATCGATTTGAGGACAACAGCATCGCAGGGTATCTTCCGCATCCAGTCCGGTATCTGCAGACTCTTCCGCAACCAACTCGATTCGGAGGGCTTCATTGAGATTCACACTCCCAAGTTACAAGGTGGTGCAACTGAGTCGGGTGCTAGCGTGTTCAAGATCGACTACTTCGGTCGAGGTGCCTTCCTTGCCCAGAGTCCTCAACTAGCCAAGCAGATGGCCATTTCCGCAGACTTCGGCAAGGTCTATGAGATTGGCGCTGTCTTCCGTGCCGAGAACAGTAACACTTACCGTCATTTGACTGAGTACACTGGTTTGGATCTGGAGATGCAGATCGACGAGCATTACCACGAGGTCCTCCGTGTATTGGATCGCACTTTTAAGGCAATTTTCAAAGGTATCTACGAGCAATACCGTCCCGAGATTGAGATCATCAAGAAGCATTTCCCGCACGAAGACCTTGTCTGGCTGGACCAGACACCAATCATCCCCTTCGCTGACGGTGTCCGCATGCTGAACGAGTCCGGCTGGAGGGACGATGACGGCAACGAGCTTGACGTGAACGAGGATCTAGGCACCAGGGATGAGGTGCAGCTCGGCCGTGTCATCAAGCAGAAGCTTGGAACCGATTACTACATTCTGGACAAGTTCCCAGCCAATGCGCGTCCGTTCTATGCCATGAATGACCCGAACGATCCCACCGTTACCAACTCCTTCGATATCTTCTGCAGAGGACAGGAGATTCTTAGTGGTGGCCAGCGTATCCACGACTCTAACATGCTGCTGGAGAAGATGCGCAAACTCAAGGTTGACCCCAGCTCGATGGAGGAGTATATCCAAGGCTTCCAATGGGGAGCACCGCCCCACGGTGGTGGCGGTATCGGTCTTGAGCGTATTCTCATGTTGATGATGAATCTTGGAAACATTCGCCATGCTTCCATGTTCCCTCGCGACCCGAAGAGCTTACCGGAGAAGCCGGTTATCAAGCAGTTGCGTCATCCTGAGGCAAGCACTATGCACCCTCCATGGGAAGGACAGGATCGTGCCATTGCCAAGATCGACCTCCAGCCCATCGAGAAGCTTATCGCCAACTACGGTGACGCCACAAACACCTCGTGGCTGGAGCCTCGCACAGAAATCTGGCGTGATGAGAACACTGGTGCGGCTGTCGGCTTCGTACCTCAAGATGGTTTCGCCATTACTGTCGGTGACCCTCTTTGCCACGAGTCTCAATACCTCAAAACCATGGCTGGTTACCTCAAGTACATCAAGAAGGAGCGCAACCTGAAGCCGCTCTGGCTCCTTGTGGGAGCGGCTACGGAAGAGGTTCTTGCAACCAAGTTCAACTGGCGCACATTCTCTGTTACTGGAGAGCAGCGTGTAGACCCAGTACACAACCCCGCGGACAAGGACTCTGACGTCCAGCGCAAGATCCGCCATGCGGAGAAGGAAGGCGTCAAGATCAGTGACTATGCCCTCGGCTCACCACCACCAGCAGATGTCAAGCAGAAGGTTGATGCTCGTGTAACAGATTGGCTGAACAACCGCAAGGGCAAGCAGGTCCATCTGACCAACATCCACCCATGGCAAGATGAGGAGCACCGTCAATACCACATCGCCTACACACCCGATGGCACCATCGCTGCCTTTGTCGCCATGGCGCAGCTCTCACCCGACCATGGCTGGCAAGTCAAGTACTCTCTCGACTTCCCCGGCGCACCGGGTGGTTCAATTGAGTACATTGTCACGCATGCTCTCAAGCAGGTCGCCGCTAGTGGCGCAACCAGCGTTACCTTTGGTGGCGGTGCTAGCTCCAAGTTCAGCCCAGGACACAACGTCAAGGGCACTCGTGTTAAGGTGCTCAGCCGTGCATACCACGCCATCGCGACCGAACTCAAGCTCACAAACAAGACTGAGTTCCGTGAGAAGCTGGGTGCAATCGACGACCCGAGCTACATCTGTTACCCACCTCATGGGCTGGGCCCTATGGCGGTCAAGGCCATCTTGAACTTCTTCTCTGACGATGATGACAACAACTAAGTAACATGTTGGTGGATGATATATACGCTAGGATAACGATACATTGACGGAGGATCGAAGGCATGATACCACAAGGCGTTTTGCTGTACGAGTAGACGGTACCTTTTACCTGTCTGACTCTTTTGAGGGAACATTTGTAGCGGGAGGACGTTTAAGGTAGATAGCGTTGTTTCTTAATGTAATACCCCCATGAAACTGTCTTATCTTTTCAAATAAACCTGAAATCCGCTTATGAAGACATTGGCAGTTTTCGTGGTCATGTAATGATATCCAGATGGTAAACTAGACATAACTGCGGGATATGTGTACCACCTTCCTCGGCGCATTTTAGTATTTCCGACGTGTCACCGCGGCAGGCAGGTACGGCAGGCATATCGGTAAAGCTGAGGTTCCACCATCTCACATTCCATCAACCGTCTTTTCACACCGAGACTTCAGCATCTCATATCATCAACGCACAACTCTCGGACAATAATCCTCATGATCGGCTAGTGTGCTGACTTAGCGTCGCCCTCCCGATGACGATGAGCAGGTCGCGGGGAACCTTCGGCGCACTAGAGGAAGGCGGGGTCAAGCGCCAAAGTGTCCCCGGCTTGGAGACCTTCGGAGCTTCGACACGGCTAGGTGGAATGGTTTTGAGAAGCGTGTGATTGGTCAATGGGTGGATTTTGGCGATGGAGTCGAGATGGTTCTGACGTCTGCTGGTCGCGTGTTAGCGTCGGGAAACATAGCGCACGTGAATATGTTTCGAGCAGAAGAACACCGGCTTGAGACTATAAGAGGGCTGTGCCTGAACATTGTAGAGAAAGTTAAAGGCGAATCATTTCACTTACCAGACAGGATTCGACAAAGTACGCTGGGCTCGGTGCTACTGCTAGGGGAGCTCTATTTGGATCAAGAGCTCACCTCCTCTCTCATCCCTTCCTCCGGCTCTCTCGCAACCACCCAAGATGTCTCTGACAACGCTCCTACTTACGCCTTACTCCATACTCCTCCTCCCGGTAATCTTCTACATCCTCCCTTACATCCGCAACTGGCAGATTCGCGACATTCCATCTCCATTCCCAGCCGCCTGGACAAATCTTTGGCTCCTGTACCAATGCCGGCTCGGAAAACGCTATCTCGCCGTTCATGAAGCACACAAGAAGTACGGAAAACTCGTTCGCCTGCAACCGCATCACGTCAGTATCGCAGATGCGGACGCTATCCCACAGATCTACGGTCACGGCAACGGGTTCCTGAAAAGCGAGTACTATGATGCTTTCGTGTCGATAAGACGCGGTTTGTTCAACACGAGGGATCGCGCGGAACATACGAGGAAGAGGAAGACAGTTTCTCATACCTTTTCTGCCAAGAGTGTGTTGCAGTTTGAACAGTATATTCATCATAACCTCGAGGAGTTGCAGAAGCAGTGGGATCGGAGAGTGGAAAACGCTGAAAAGAAGGGAGAATGGTACCATATGGATGCGCTGCATTGGTTCAACTATCTAGCTTTCGACGTAATTGGCGATCTGGCGTTTGGAGAGCCATTCGGTATGCTGGCCAAGGGCAAGGATGAGGCAGAGGTTAGCAAGGCGGGGCAGATCACGTATGCGCCTGCTATCGAAGTGTTGAACCGAAGGGGAGAAGTTAGTGGGTACGTTAAGCTCGCATCTCGCATTCCTACGCATCTAATTCCGGTAACTAACAATATATAGAACTATTGGATGTTTCCCCGCCATTAAACCCTACGCAAAGTACTTCCCGGACCCCTTCTTCAGCCAAGGCATGAAAGCCATTGAAAACCTCGCCGGAATAGCGATCGCCCGCGTCAACGCCCGCCTAGAGAAACCATCCGACCGCGTCGACCTCCTTGCCCGCCTCATGGAAGGTCGCGACGAAAGTGGCCAGAAACTCGGCCGCGAGGAACTCACCGCCGAAGCCCTAACTCAACTGATCGCAGGCTCAGACACTACGTCTAACACCTCCTGCGCCCTTCTCTATCACTGTCTCCAGCACCCAGACGTTGTCCGCAAACTGCAAAAGGAACTAGATGATGCCTTGCCAGACGCAGATGCAGTGCCAAGTTACGCTCAAGTCAAAGACCTACCTTACATGGACGCCGTCATCAAAGAAACAATGCGTATCCACAGCACTTCTTCCCTCGGCCTCCCCCGCCTCATCCCCCCTGGTCCCGGTATCACACTCCTAGGCCGCCACTTCCCACAAGGCACTGTACTCTCCGTACCCGCATACACCATCCACCATTCTACAGAGATCTGGGGTCAGGATGCCGATGTCTTTCGACCTGAGCGCTGGGAAAACGTTACAGAGAAACAGAAAGCTGCTTTTATTCCATTTAGCTATGGTCCTAGGGCTTGTGTGGGGAGGAACGTTGCGGAGATGGAATTGGCGCTTATTGTCGGGACGGTGTTTAGGCGGTATGAGTTTGAGATTAGACAGGGGGAGTTGGAGACTAGGGAGGGTTTTTTGAGGAAGCCGTTGGGGTTGGAGGTAGGAATGAGGAGGAGGAGGCTCGACTAAGACTAAGTGCTGACGGGGTTCCTGGGCGGGTGGAAGTGATGCGTGATGCGGATGTCACAAAGGGTTGGCAATAGCGTTCTGTTCGACGCATTAAGAAAATATATAAATCTAGTACATGTTTACACCTAGCTGAATCAATATGAAATTACACAAGATGAGTGACGGAAATCAATGCCGTCGTAAAGTCCACCACGCAGTATGAAAAAAAAAACAGCAAAAAATCAGTGAAGTGTCTACGAGCAGTCGTAGGAAGGAAAAAGTAAAGTAACAGTATTGTACAACGTTAATTTCCATATTAACAGAAACACATAAACAACTCCCAAGCATCGAACACAGTACTCCCGAATCTTCAACCTCACAATATGGAAACCCAATTCACCTTCTCAAGTCCATCTTCCCCCATACCATCTTCTTCGGCTTGTCATCAGGTTTGGGGTCCCTTGCCCATTTCTCAAGCCTCGCATCCTTTTCCCTGTTGCACCAATGGCATGGCGTTGTCAAGAGCCTAAGTTCTGGATGAGGGACGGATCTGGGGACCCGACAATTGCAGCTCCCGTTCACTCTATGGTAATTGCAGAGAATGACGGTATCGAACCTCTTCTCGGCGTGATGACAGTTTTGATATCCAATGTAATATTTCTGACACACATTTGGTGCGGTTGCGGGTTGAGGCATGCTGTTTTCTGGTTGTGACATGGTGGTGGTGGTGGTGGTATTTGGAAGTGAGAAGTCGAGAACGTATGGCTCTTGGATCGTTTTTTGGTTTCGATGCAGAGTTTGTGGTGCGGAAAACGACGGCAGTGGGAGGTTCTTGTAGTGTGTGATATAGAGTCGTATGTAGAAGTCTTGAGTTTGTTCTGTTGAGAAAGCCATCATGGTGTCGTTTTGCCAGCTTTTGTATTCCACTTCTGAGCTTACGATTGATGTAGGAGTCTTCACATAGCTGTAGTCAAAGGATGGACTACGAACGCTTCCTGAGCGTAGCTGTTGTGACATTGCTCCGGTGATAACTTGATGTGTCAAACAGTACCATTTGCCGGTATGAGGAGTTGTAGAACGGAGCTATGACCGCAAGAATACGACGCAGTATTGACTGTACGAAGGACATATGATTGTATTAGATGAAGATGACCAGAAATAACAAAGGCATTGTGCTTCTTGCGTCTGCCTAAGGAACATATATTCGCTCAGTATTGTACTATAATGGTTGAGAAATGACTTAAGAAGAGAGAACAGATGGATAGTCATGACTAAAACCGACGCGAATATGTTGAAGGAAAGTAGCTACCTAGCATAATGAAAGGAAGATGCACAATGACGCCTGGCTTCTTCAAGTCGAAGCCATCAGCGAGTCATGTTTCAGGGGCATTCGCTGCATTTCTGGTTGAGATGGTAACATGAGAAAAGATAATGTATACCTCCTGGGCAAGTTCTGATACTAGCTATAGCTGAGAAAAGACGAACTTCTACGTACTCAACAGTAATCTGACATAGTAGTCTGCTTGTTAGATAACAGCCTGTATGAGTATTATTTTGCGTCCACATGCGGTAGGAAGCCCCAAAGTATACCCATATTAAGAGAGTATCGCCTGATTCCATGCTATTCCGTAGACTAGAACTATACGGCTCTGTGTAAGCAGCAGCAAACTAGAATCAGCCGAAACATTGTATAAGCTTGTATTCCCAAGTATAACATATTTGGTGAGCAAAATAAGAGTGCATTGGAAGCGATTCTAAACGCACAGCCATACTTTGAGTCGCTCTGAAGAACTATGATGTTCGCACCCTGCTATACGCTTACTGTGAGAAGAGCTAGATGGAAAGAATGATAGCTGGTGCAAACCACTTCGCAATATCCGCAGCGCGATTTTTATGAGGGTAAATTAATACCTTCCATATTCCACTCTAGTCAAAACACTTTGAAGTTTGATCGATATCCATATATTTCACATTCTCACTGCATGTGAAGTGGGTCGCAGTGACGTCTAGTGAAGCGCGGAACCACGCGCCCCAGTCTAGTGACGCACAGACCAACGCTTAGCGTAGCGGCCATTGTCGCGAACTCCCGGACATGTACGCGTATCGCAGTCAAAGGCTCAGTCAACACCCGCCACAAACCTCGACCGCAACCCACCCGCTGTAATCCCGGAAGCAGGATCGCCTGCGTCGCCTAACATGGCGCCCAACGAGCTCGCCGATGTAGCGGACGACGCCTCGTCGGGCGGCTCTTTCACCCTGTTGAAGCAGCAGCTCGAGCTCGACTTCAGTTTTGCACCGCGCCGCGTCAAAGGCCTTACGACACTCGACATACAGCCCGACCAGGCGCATCTGCGGGATATCACATTAAACTGCCGGCAACTGAGACCGACTAGCATCAAGATCGAAGGAGAGAAGGCCGCCTTTAGCTACTCGAACCTTCACCAGCGCCTGACGCTATATCCCGGCACCGGCCTCGAACAATACCACTATGCGAAAGAGCGGATAGCGCGACATACGCAGGGCGGAGAAGATGAGCTGGTCATCACTGTACCTGAAAAGGTCAAAATCCGGGAAGTGAAGCCTTCGGAGGCTGGCATGACCGACGACGCTCCCGGTACCTTCTATGCGCCAATGAAGCTGGAGATCGAATACGAACTGGACGATTTTCGGGACGCGCTACAGTTTGTCGGAGTGGAGGATGGAGATGCCCGGTACCCGCATGCCTACACGCGCAACTCGTCCTTTCCTGGTGCGGCCTCGTGTCTGTTTCCTTGCATTGACGACGGCGAAACGCGGTGTCTGTTTGACGTGTCTATTCGTTACCCGCGAACACTAGGGGATGCGCTCAGTAAAACTCCAAGCTTGAATACGAACGCGCAAGCACAAGGAGAGGGAGCCGAGAAGGCTGACAGTGTTATGCTGGATGCGGATGATGATCAGGTGGACTTGTCTGAGGAAGAAAAGGCCATGGAAATGCAAGTCATCTGCTCCGGTACACTTACAGATGATGTACGTTTTCCACACATAGTATCTGATGTGTTTTGTGCTAACATGGAAAGATTCTCGATCCTGCCGACTCTACTCGAAAGACAGCGAGCTTCTCCTGCGATACACTTGTCCTTCCACAGCATATCGGCTTTGTAATTGGTCCCTTCGAACACGTCGATCTCTCCGAATACCGCGATACACTTGATGACGAGCGCCTGGGAGAGAATGCCATCAAGGTCCATGCGTTCTGTTTGCCGGGCAAAGAAAATGAGGTCAGGAACAGCGCCATGATGCTAGCCCGAGCGCTCGACACCTTCACCGAGCGCTTCCAGAGTTATGCATTCGGCAACTCTTACAAGCTCGCGTTTGTAGATGATCTGGAGTGGGACACTGCGCACACAGCCTCATTCTCTATCTGCAGCTCTCGCCTGCTTTTCCCAGAGACCGTATGGGAGCCACTGGAGCACACAACCAGGGTGCTGGTACATGCAGTAGCTAGTCAGTGGATAGGCGTCGACGTCATAGCACATAACCCAGAAGATCATTGGATCATCGTTGGTGGTTCATGGTTCATGGCTGAGCTCTACCTCAGAGAGTTATTCGGTCGAAATGATTGGCGTTTCCGGCAAAAGTTGATGGTTGACAAGGTCATCCAGATGGACCGGAAGCGCCCATCGCTACAGCAACTTGGATACATTTTGCAATTGGATCCTGGCGAGGTCGAGTTCATGGAGCTGAAATCGCTCATGGTGCTCTCTATCCTCCACAACCGCCTGGTGAAACAGAGCGGAAAGAATGGTGTCGACAGGTGTTTGTACAGGATGCTGTTCAACGCTCGTCAGGGCAAGTATTCCAATGGCGCGATCGCATCAGAAGACTTCTTCGACATATGTGAGAAGGTTGGGCACCAAAAGCTGGAGTCCTTCTTCCAGCAATGGATCGTAGGAGCTGGATGTCCTACTTTCCACTGTGTACCTTCATTTAATAAAAAGAAGCAAGTGGTACAGCTTACTATCAAGCAGCTCCAGGCCGATTCATCCATTACGAATATCGAGAACGGTCTCGCCGCGGACGACTTCATGCGCGAAGCAAAGGAGAAGTCCCGCGACTTGCGGTCAGCGACAGGATATCCTACATTTGTTGGTCCGATGACCATCCGAATCCACGAAGCTGACGGTACACCCTACGAGCACATTGTCGATATCAATTCGAACAACGTCAAGGTGGAGATCCCGTACAACACAAAGTACAAGCGTCTAAAGAGAAATCGATTGAACAAAGAGCGTATGGCTGCTGCCGCAGGTCTCGATGCTTCAGGCGAAACACAAGAAGATGTCACCTTCTACATGCTGGGAGACCTCTTCACGTCTCCTCAAGAACACAATGAGTGGCGACTGGATGATTGGCCAGCGGAAGACGAGGCTAAGCAAGAGGGCGAAGCTTACGAATGGATCCGTATCGATGCAGACTTTGAATGGATATGTCGGACCAACATCGAGGACATGCCATCCTATATGTACGTCTCGCAGCTGCAGCAAGATAAGGATGTTGTTGCACAAGCAGAGTCCATACAGTTCCTCGCCAACAAGGAAGGTCATAAACTGATCTCAACCTTCTTGGTCAAGACGCTGATGGATAATCGCTACTTCCATGGCATACGAACTATGGCTGCTATGGTCCTGGCTCAAAGCGCGCTGAAGCGGACAGATTGGGTCGGTCTCTTCCACCTAAAGAAGGCCTTCCGTGAGCTGTTCTGCTTGCCCAACTCGCCTATGACTCGGTCGAACGACTTCTCTGATCGTAGCATGTACCTGATTCAATGCGCTATCCCCAAAGCCATTGCAAAGATCAAGGGCGAGGATGGTAGGTCTCCACTAGAGGCAAAACGCTTCTTGCTCGACCTAGTCCGGTACAACGACAACCGCGGAAACGACTACAGCGACGATCATTATATTTCTACGTTGATGCGATGTCTTGCAGAGACGCTTACAAAGACCACTGCCAGTTCGGAGCTCAGTCACGAGGATTGGGCCCAAGAGCAGGATTTTACAAGCAAAGCTATTGGAGAACTTACCCGACATCAGCGGCTTGACGAGTGGATTCCTACCTACCAGAACGTATACACAACCACTGCCCTCGATTGTGCGTTGAAGTTGGTCATGAGCCGCGTTACCCCGTTCAAGCCAACCGAGTTTCTTCAGTACGCCCAGCTAGGCAATGCAGATAATGTACGCCTAAAAGCTTGGGAATGCTTGATTCGGCTGGGCATGATCCGGAAAGATACGATCTTGAGGTTTCTTATGCATGAGCTCCGCTCTGATCCCTCGCCATACTTCAGAAAGCAGCTACTACGTATCTTTGGTATCGCTATTGGACAGGTCGCTACCGGAGACGTTTGGGCACCAGAGAAGGCTGTTGAAACCTCTGCAGACACGCTTGTGGTCGAGAACGAAGCCAGCAATGCCGAACGTGCATCAGCTCTCGCCCGACAGAATCTTAACGGGGCTTTGAGAGGGCTGAAGAGCGACTTACAGGGGAACAAGACCCTTCGTATGACACTAGAAGAAGCTTTGAAGTCAAAAGCATTATCCACAAGCGACATGTCTGAACTTTTGGACATTTGCGACATGATCTTTGATAATCAGAAGGTCAATAAGCTACCCATCAAACTGGCTCTTCCACGCTACTGGAGGGTGGAGTACGCCGGAAAGGGAGTCATGCGCTTTAAACAGACCAACAAGTTCCGAACCAAAAAGATGCTGCCTTGGAGACCAAAGGAAAAGGTGGAGAAAGAAGAAAAGGCGCCTCCTGCGGCTCCTCCAGCGCCCCCTTCGGCTCTTTCCGTGCCTCCTCCACTCCAATTAAATAGAGACGCAGCTGCTCCGGCCCCGAAGCCGCCAGGATTGCCGAAGTTGTCGCTCAAGATTGGTGGAATGAAGAAACAGTCTGCCACATCTCCACCGTCGACTGCCGGACCATCGCAGGCCCATTCGAGGAGCCAGTCTATCGTGTTCTCGCCCACCGTCTATCATTCGCCATCTCCCGCACCTGTATCGAAACCAGCGTCTCCAGCGCCAGCGCCAGCACCTGCACAAACACCAAAAGCTGCGCCAGCAGCAGCAGCACCAGCAGCACCAGCACCAGTAGCAGCAGCACCCACACCGCCGCCTGCTGTCCCTGAAAAGACTGATTCGCGTTCGTCGACTCCAGATGTGCCATTGATGCAACCTTCGAAGAAGATAGCAACCCCAGCAGCAACCCCCAAGCCAGCGACTCCAGCACCTGCTCCGGTTCGAGCCCCAAATCCGGCTCCTCCAGTTCCAGCCCCGGTCACCAAGACTCCAATTCCGCCACCCAAGGTTTCTTCTACACCCAAGGTTCCTACACCCAAGGTTCCTACTACCGCTTCTGCGTCTACCCAAGCGAAGCCAACACCAGCGGTGATCAAGGTACCGAAGCCTATGTCTACGACTCCCACCATCCAATCTCCTGTTCCTCTACCTGCTCCCAAGCTCAAGATCAGGACCAAAACCGCTTCTGGCTCTACCGTACCATCAAGACCTTCCAGCGCAGCTCCCTCGCCGCGTCCGAGTGCCGCTCCTTCACCCCGACCCAGCGTCGTTCCTCCCCCGTCACGTCCTGCTGCTGCCAACCCATCATCCATAGCAAGGCCAGTGATTAAGCAAAAGAGGAGCAAAATCGTCAAGCTACGACTTCCACCTAGACTGCTCTCGCGCCTCAACGGGGAGAGCAAGAAACGCAAGCTGATATCTGGAAACGGGGATGATGATAGGCCGTCTAAGCGTCAGAGTCTCGAAGCAAGCAGCATGTTGAACGGCAACGGCGCCGGTAAGAGCGGACTGGTTAGCGTAGAGAAAGGTGGCGGTAGTGATAAGCCGAGGTTACTTCTTAAGATGAAAGTGGGAAAGAGCAAGCTGCCTATCGAGCGGAAATCATGAGGTCGAGGCGAAAGGGGGCATCGGCATGAGAAAACTGAGTGGTTCACGATGAAGACTAAGAGTAACATGCATTTTCCAAGGTGTTTTACGGATGGGCATCTCTTCTTGCCACTGCGAACAAAAAAAGGTTTGGGATTAGTGCGCTCAAGGCTGCTGCATGATGCGATTGGGACTACAGCATTCAGCGATGGCGTTTCTATGTTTTAATTTCTTCTTTCATGGTGGATGGGACATTAGGTGGATATACCCCCCGTTTGCTGGATTTAACGAACCTCGTCTACCTGCTACGAGGTTCGTATGGTTAGACCAGCTATAGTGAGAATGCATAATTCACTACTATGACTTGTTTGTGTTGCGGTCAAATGTGAATTCATGATAAGAATTGATACTGAAAAGCTCGCCCGAGTGTTCAACACTCCAAAAAAACCCCGCAGCGCTAATACACCATATCAAGGGGTATCTACCGTTACACGCCTGAATCTATACATGGAAATGGAAGTGTGGCCTAACCCGAGATTATGATGCTCGCCAAAGAAGTCTTTTGACAGACCGTACACCAGATTGAAAGACTGATTCGCTGACGGGGGCTGGAGCAGGTGTCTTGTGAGTCGCAGTTTCGAACACCTCTTCTGCAGGTTCAGACTTGGTCGACATTGTCTCAAACACCGCTTGCGCGGATTTCAGCTTTGTCGTCACCATCACATCCTGCATAGATTCGAAAGCCGTTGCCGCTGTAGTCGCTACCACCGTACTCGTAGCCATATCTTGTACAGTGTCTGGAGGAACACGGTCCTTCCCAGTCTCTGTTTTAAAATGTTTGGTATGTGACAAAGTACATTTCTTAGTCGAATCGTAAGACGCGCGTTTCCTCTTCTTGTTGGTGGATCCGAGGAGACGACCTCTCTTCCTTGGCACTAGGTACTGAATTTAGTTGTTAGTCCGACGAGGATGGTTCGGCGGTCTCACCCTTTGACTCAGTATCACTTGTTGACGCAGCCTTGATCTCAACGTCTTGATCGTCGTCTGCGTCGCCAATGACTGAGTCCGCCTCACCATCCTGGATGGGCGTTTTGCTAACGCCGGATGCCTTGGTTGGAGTGGTGTTGTCCTGATCCTCTTCCTCGACCTTCAATGCATCCTCAACGACTTGAGTAGCTGAGGTCGTAGGCATTGGCTCCTCTAACGCATTATCTCTAGCTTCCTCTATTATCTTGCCGCACACGAGACACAGTATGTCCACGTCCCATGTGCGTGTGGTCTTTCCCTCCTGCTTCTCTATGATTGTGAGGCGGGTCTTGTCGGCGCCTCCCTTGATCTTTGCATCGAACGTGCATGCGCCTTCGCTCTTGCTATGTGTGGTTTTGCCTTTGCTGGGCCGACCTCGTTTCTTTGGTTGTGGTGGTATTGCCTCTTGTCCTGTGCTTACGTCTTGAACTGCTCGCTCTTTGAGGCAGCCCGCGTGAAGCCATTCTGAACAATGCGGGCATTGGACCAGAAGCTCATCTGGATTGCTGGGCTGACGATCGATACAATAGGTGTTCAATTTCTGGGACATGATCAGTATATAAAGCAGGTAGTTGAAATCGCAGTACCCACGCTCAATCGATTGGTCTTCTTTGTAATGTCGTAGCTCTGACGAAAGAACAGCTGATCCGTCGGGAGTGCCATGCTGTCCGGGTCGTCATTCCAATATACCACACTTGCGGAGGCTTCCACTGTAAGCGCTTCGATGATGTCCATATGGTTGCTAACTATTAGCTCGCCTCCGCCGTGATAGGGTTTTCGGCCGCCTGGTAGATCCTCTGGCCGATATGCCCAAAATACTCTAAGGTAGACATGGGAGGCGTCTCCGGCGCGGACCTCAAGCACCTTGGCGAGCCAATGCTTGATCGAGTCGGGACCTTCTTGGATGTGGTCTTGTTCGCTCTTCTTCACAAAGACCATCTGACCAACTTGGAACTCTTCACCGTTTACTGAAGTGCTTGCGTTAGCGTGACTGGACTCGCGAGGTAATAACAAATTTGTAACTCACTGGTAAACTTTCGATAGCGATTTGTACTCTCCCAGTATCGCGCAGGTGATATCTTAACATGAATATCGCCCATTTGAGGTCCTGGAAATGGATTTGTCTGTACAACATCTGCGTCCAAAGGCGCGTTCTGACCAGGGTATTTGTTCTCCGAACCATTTGCACTATGCTTTTGCTTTGTAGTCGTTACTTTGCTTGACCCCTTCCGCGCTTTGATATCGACGGCTCTGACTTCGAAGCCGGGGAAGTCGTCTACTGCCGACCAGTCAATCTTTCGTTTCTTCGCAATGGGGTTCGGCGCATCGCTGTTTGGGGGAGTAGACCCGGCATGCGCAGGATTTTCATCTACGACTTTACGTTTGCGTGCCATCGTGAGCGGTCGGGGGTTGAAGTTTGGCGTGTGTGAATCAGTCGAGTGTTTGTCGTGCGCGGGTGGTTGCGTGCGTTGGAGCTCTCGCGCAGTCACATTGGGTAGTATCAGCGGTCTCACAGGAACATCGAGACTTGAGCGAAGGCACTGTGTGAGAGCGGAGAGCTGAAGACGTCGGTAAGGGTTCGTATATTGGTTTCAGGATTCGATTCGTAGAATCAAAACGAGTTGCGCGAAGACCGGCACTTGAGACAGACGCGTTGGAAGTGGAGTAGATGTGCCGACGCGTTGTCAGCTGCCTAACCAGAGATGCTACCACAGCCGTGGGAACGCTAGTCTCAAAACATGGCGTCACGTGCATGTTTGTTGTCATCCATCACCATATCTTCTGCAAGTGCAATGACAATGCGAGGCCATGCTCACATGCACGAAAACTCGCTTGATTGTAAAGTACTTTGCCTCGTTCGAGACACAAAGATGAAGCTTCTATCCTCTACATTGCCGATATGTAGTTGCCGGAACAAAACGAAGTCTCGACCCGTGTAGAGTCCAGCCTTGAATTGCACGACGCCACCATTGACGATCGTATTCGTCACTCATTTCGATCATGTATAGCAATGCCAATGTCGCTGTGTGAAAAAGGCGTTGCGGTACAGCATAAGAGCCGGCGGCTGTTAGGCTAGTATTTCATGCAAGTAAGATGCGTACACCCTGTCAGCGCATCTGATGGTTTCGGAAGACATGGAAAGCACACCTGGGTACCCCAGATTCCGTGAGCCGCGTTCCGGCCGCTATTGCCAACAACACAATTGAGGCCAAGATGCACAGCCACACCATCATCGTTACCCAGAACAGAGGAGAAGTCCGTGCCGAGTGGCCGAAGACAGGTGGACGGCCGCCAATTTAGTCTAGTACGGGGCCTCTGAATGCGCTGATGATACGACCAAGAGCCAATGAGTAAGCGTGCAGTGGCCATTGTGGTCTTTGGAAGGATTCTCTTGTTGAGAACACGCGGCCATGTGTCGATGTTGATGGCGAAGCATGTCCCAGTCTGCGCAGATATGGACAGTCCGATAGTAGAGTTCACATCTGTCACCTGGTAGATGGATCATCTAGCCTTTGGCGATCTCCAAGAACCCTTTCAAAGGTTCGCGTCATAGCCATGTCTAATCCCTGCCGCGCGCCCAGAATTCCCTCCACAAGTCTAACTCCACCACGGACCTTAGATATACGTACTACGCCTACCGCTCTTTCGCTCCTTGTAGTTCCCATAATTCTCCCTCCTCCCTACTCTGCACTCGCCCTTAATTCTGTGCTCTCGTCGCTCGTTTCCCAAGAAGCTCTAGCCACTGCATCGTAACATTCAATAAGCCGGTGTATCCGTGGCTTTGCGCGGCTGGTTCAGTACCGACAACGCGCCCGTAGAGCACCTGCATTGTGTACTGCAAAGAGGAGAGACCTTCCATTTATACTTAATACCACCACTCGTTGCTGCCATGGGTCGTCCAAAGAGAGGTAAATAATGCGCCTGCTACATAATGGCTCCCCTCCCTACCGTGTCAGCAGTGCTAGTCTTTGAAAGAACATTCACTAATGTTGCGCCCTGTTCGCCCCTTCACAGTCCTGTCGTTTATGTCACAATGGGGTGGTCCCAACCAGCATACCTTGCAGAAGAACCCTCCGTCCGCTGGACACTCCCCGGGCCCCGCGTCCCCCGCTCCGCCTTCACCCTCCACGAAGCAACCCGTGAGCTCAGCCAACTTTGCGCAATCCGCCACGGCTCTGGACACGTACAACAGCGAGCGTCCCGCCTCTCGGGCAACCCAACGCGAGCGCAGCGACTCTAGAGCCTCGGTACGCCCCATGTCCATGATCCAGACATACCAACCACCAGTTATGGAAGTAAGCCAGGATACGCTGCCGGAACTGCAGCGCATCTTCACTTTCCTGAACAGCCATTCCAACAAGCTGTACCAGGAGGGCTACTTCCTCAAGTTCCACGACACCAATACTCGTACGTCAGATCTGTAAGCGATGCTTGTTTGTGATACTGACGGCACTGCAGGTGGCCGTCCCGCGCCAGATCGAAGGTGGCAGGAGTACTTTGTCCAGCTTGTCGGCACCATCCTCTCACTATGGGATGCGAGTGCGCTGGATCAGGCCGGTGGTGAGACTGAAGTGTTGCCGACTTTTATCAACCTGACGGATGCTGCGATTCATATGGTACGTTTGCTCGTTCCGTGCTGCGACCTCCCTAACCTCGCCAGATCCCTTCCATGACCCTAAAAGACGGAAAGAAGCTCGACAACATCCTCAGCGTGTCGACGGCTGCGAGCAATAAATTCCTTTTCCACTTCGATTCCTATCACGCGCTTTCGCAATGGACCGCCGGCATCCGCCTCGCCATGTACGAACACACAACCCTCTCAGAAGCGTATACGGGCGCATTGATTGCTGGCAAAGGCAAGACGCTCAACAACATCCGCATGATTTTGGATCGACAGTGCTCAAAATACGAAGACTGGGTGCGCGTTCGATTCGGCGCAGGCACCCCATGGCGCCGTTGTTGGTGCGTTGTCTCTCCACCGGACGAGAAGGAATACATCAAATTGCAAAAGCTACAGAAGAAAGGCAACGCTTACGAGCGACCGCCAGTACTCAAGGGCGACATCAAGTTCTACGACACCAAGAAGGTTACAAAGAAAACAAAGGCCATCGCCACTGTCAAAGACGCATATTCATGCTACGCCATCTACCCCCAGTCGAAGCCGCTCATCGACCAGTCTACGCTGGTGAAGATCGAAGGCAGGATCACAGTACACTCGACGCCAGAAAGTACGACAGAAGGATTTGTCTTTGTCATGCCAGAATCGCGTCCGGCTATTTCAGGATTTGAGATAATGCTCCAATATCTCTTTCCCGTGTTCGATACGTTTTCGCTATACGGTCGCCCAAAGAAGTTGATCGCGGACGTCTTGGACACCCGTGGGCTGATGTTCGCCATGCCTTCTGATAGGCGGTACGGATACTTGGAGATGTGGGACGTGGTGGGCTTGATCAACACAGAGGGCAGCGACAAGTGGTCAGAGCGCCAGTGGAGGAAGCAACTGAAGGACTTGACGTCGACACGGATGATGTCCGCAAACCAGGATGCAGAGTCAATCTACAGTCGCGCCAGCCGCAGGAATACCGTCAGCCGAGCAGGTTTCACACCTCGCGGTCTGCGATTTGAAGACCAGGGCTCTGTTCGCTCTAGCCCGTCCACGCGCCAGTCATCCCCTACACGTAAATTCCCAGACTTTGAAGTGCAAAAGACGCGCCGTGCCGGGACGGCTCCCGCAGCAAACCCGGTCAGTAGTCCACGCCATCAGCGGTCACTATCGGAGCACGTCAACGGACGCAACAACCAGAATACATCATCTAGATTCACGCAAGACGAGACACCCTACGAAGACGAACGTGCGCCGACTCCTCCCCAGCACCGTGTGCCCAATGGCTCCTCGAACGGTGCAGTCCAGCCATACGATTCTTCTGCGTCTGATTACGATGAGAGCCCGATCAAGGAACCGCATAACCTACCACCACCCCCTACGGATTTATCTGCTCCACCGCAGGGTTACGTCGACCTTCCTCCAACTCAAGAGCACGCTGCGTACCAAAAGCCACCCATCCGTCCTAATATGCCTATGGCGAAGCCAAATCCCGCGGTCGATTCTGCTACGCTTGAGCAGATGGCCGACGCTTCACACGGATCATTCCCAGGTGGCATAGCGACTGCTGGTGCAGCTGCGGCCTGGAGAAGCCACGATACTATACAGAGCAGGCGAAGTGGCGACTACAACGCATACGGCGATCAAGGGCAGTCGATGTATCTTGGTGTCAACTCAAGGCCGCCTCCATCCAACCAAAACTATGGTAACCGCCTATCTACCATTCCTGCATCGCCCTATGTCGAGCACTCCGAATTTGTCGACTCCCCAGCAACCTACCAGCCGACAGCTCCATCGGTTCCAGAACATAGTGAGTTGCCGCTGCAGCCCCCCAGTCACGAGCTCCCTTACCGCCCACACCCTGAAAGTGGCGGTATTACTCGTAAACCAGTACCAGGTCGGTCTCCCCTAGCCTCAGAAGAGGATGACACCCTCTCGACCACTAGCTCAAGACTCGATAGTTTACGAGAAGACGTAATCGACCCTGAAGCTCTCGATGCTTTCAACATCCAACCCACTCTGCACCGTCAGGCAAGCTCATCGAGTAGTCGCTACGACGACGATGCGATATCGACTTCTACACCAGACTATGCCAGTATCGCTGAGGAGGAACCTGCGCCTCCACCACGAAGGGTGCCTGAGCGACGCGCAGATCGTCCTAGAAGTGGCGTCTTGACGATGATTGGGGATCCAAATGTGAAGCCCCCCTCAGATGCAGAGCCGGATGGCTACAAATCAGTGTTGGACCCAGCACGGCCACATGCAGCTGTGCCTAGTATTGACTTTGGCCCAACGTACGCCCTGGACTTCGACGGCAAGCGTCCGGGCACCAGCGGGACCATGACGCAGATGCTGCACGATAACAGCGCCTCGCAATCCAAGGAGAACCTCGCCACAACACCAAACGAACAGCACCGGTTGTCATATATCTCTGGAGGAAGCACACCAAACACGCCTATGCATATGCGTAGTGGTTCAGACTCTCCACAGATAACGGACTCACGACAGGTCGCGTGGCAGCCGGCTGCAGCCTCACCACAGGTGCCCGATAGACAAAGGCTAGACCCTGAAGACTGGGTGATGCACCGTGCTACTCAGCAGCAGCCTATGATGTATGGACATGGGAGGAGCAAGTCACATACCCCTCCTCCTTTCGGTCGCACGCATTCAGGGGACTGGAGTCAGATGCAGCCCCCTCCCTTTGGTCGCACACACTCTGGAGATTGGAGCCAAATACAGCGGTCGCCCCAAGGTTCGCCTGGACCCGCTCGTCCACCCAGCCGCCCGTTGAGCCGTGGTGCTGACACACTGCTTGATCAACGACCCACCACTCTGTCAGCTCGCGAGCAGGAACAAGTAGCTCGATTGACGAACACTCCGCTTCTGGACTTATCGCAAACCCCTAAGAAAATTCAGAAGCAGCCTCCAACGGGACTGACAGGCTACATCGATCATCGTGAGAAGGAGAAGGCGGCTCAAAAGGCCAATCGCCACAGCTTCACACCGACTATGCAAGCCGAAATTGATAGACGCACGTTGCAAAATCAACAGCGTCAGATGATGGAGGTTCAGCAACGCCAGCAGCAGATGATGCAACAGCAGATGCAACAGCAGCAATACGCAATGGCTCAGGCGCAAGCTCAAAGCACCTATGCGCCGAGCATGATGGGAATGCCAACCGGCACGGGTACCCCCAGCGTAATGGGAGCGTCTAGCATGATGGGCACTCCTAGTATGATGGGTACACCTAGTGTTATGGGCATGCCTACCGGGCCTGGGACTCCGTCAGGAATAGTCGGCATGGCGTACTCTACACCGAGCCAGATGCACCCCATGTATCAGCAACAACAGCAGCAATACTTCCCTCAGCAGACACCAACCCCCCAGATGAATATCCCTGGTGGTTGGATTTCACCAGCGCAGACACCACAGGGCCAGTATTTCCCACAGCCGTCACCGCAAGGCTACGGCAACATGGCGCAGCAACAACAGCAGCAGCAGCATCCCCCCACGCAGGCTTATGGCGCAAGCTTCGATCAGGCGCAACAGGCAGCGAAGTTGGCGCAGCAACAGCATCATGGCCAGTACCGACGTTGAATACATGAGACATCAAGTTAGAGAGCGGTCGAGATCATCTCCGGGTCGATTACAATTGGATTGAAGAGTATGAGACGAGATGCCGATGTTCATTGTATATATTTCGTGTCTGCATCTTCTTCTCGTACATAGTTTTAGGTAGTTAGTGGTGTTTGTGGGAGCTTGGGCTTGGGCTGAAAGGCTCGCATATTTTAGCATGGGGATGTTAATGGAGTTCATGATGATTAAGGTATTGATTGAGTGTTGACTACTGAGTGTGTGCTGACTCGTACGCGTATGAAGTGTTTCTCCGTGCTAACTGTATATCTCTGAAGAACTCCCCTGCCCCGTACACCATATTAAAGCCAAACTCTTCCCTATCTTTGCGTTTTTTTTGCATATATTTGGGAAGTTTTTCTGACGTTAGAGCGTAGCTGTGGTTGATATGAAATTGTAACTCAGGCTCGGGAAAGGGAACTCTCAAAACCTTTTCTAACAATCGCCCGAAATTGGAAAGACCATCTTTATCCCAACATTCGTTAAAGGCCATCTTGGTGCTTGAAAAGTAGAATACATCAAGGAGAACGTCTTTTACTTGTTTGCGATAGTCGACTACGATACTGAAGCCACACGTCGTTACTCCGACAAGAGCATAGACTTTATCTCGAACATCTTCACACTCGTGATCACTGTATGTCTCCATTAGGTCCTCGATAGAGAACTCTTTGTGCCATCTTCTAAGTTGTGCTGTCGGCATACCCACAGCCCTTATCTTAACGATGGACATAACCGGACTGGTCCGAACGGCTGGACTGGCCCGAACGGCGTTGTGAAAAGGCGTGTCCATATCCTTTTGGACGTTTGGTTGAGTATTGAGATAATAGTACAACTGTTCGAGCTTGTACCATTCGAGAATCTTCGGGCCACAATGAATCTCTATGCGGCTGGCTAGCATGATTTCTTGGATAATCCACATACGCGACCAATATTTTCTTTGGCATAATGACAGTATACCGCACACTTGCTGCGAGTTCCAAGTGACCACGCTCTTCGTTCCACGGGCGAGAAAAATGTCGCTGATTTTGCCCTCGGTGGCGAATAGATGCTGTATAGTGGTCCGCCGGCACCACTCCCAGTCCGCCAACGCCTGCATGGCAAGATTGCTGTCATCACTCTCTTTGCCAAGCCAAATCAGAAGCCTATGCGCTTCTTCGTATATGGAACCCATCATCTGCACCTGGCGATTACGCTCGCGAACGTCTGACTGATTTATACAAAGGGCGTCGATCCAGAATGGCCCGTAGTTGCCGTGAAGCAGCTGTTGGTGCAGGAAGTCCCATAGGTTCTCGCGGACTGAGACCTTGAAACCGTTGAGCTCGATGTCGGCGTGCATTGTATTGACGCCCCATGTGTATGACAAGGCCGTATAGGATGGACGGTCTCTGCTACTGTAGGTTTGCATATCGCATCTGATGATGTCTTCGTCATTGTTGTGTTGGAGTGTGAGCAACCTGATATCCTTGCTGTTCCGATCGACCTCGCACGATGTGTAAGAGTTATCCATCAGGTATGATCAGCGTGTGATACGAACGGTGGAAACTCTTTGCGTGATATGCTGCCTCACTGTGTGATGTAAGAGTGGTAGAAGTTGGAGAAAAGACGACAAGACGACAAGACAGCTGCGAAGAAGCTATGTAGATGGCTGTCTGGAGCGGTGAAGCAGCTGGAGTATTTGGCAGGTGGGGGAGGCTGTGTCTCAAAAACTATATGGACGAGGCTGAAGCACTCAGCTCTGTGCATCCTGGACGGTACAATCACAACCAATGGCAAGAGGTTAGCAGCTGCCTCGTAGACGAATCTGCTCGCCTGGGATTCATGGCGATAGGCATGGTCCACACGAATGAATTCCACTACAGTTAACATGATGAGTGGAGAGCCTGAGATTACTTTGGTTGACTAAAAATGCAGTGAGGAAAGGGTGCAAGATGAAGTATGTATTCATGGGCGGATGTAAGATGCCTCGGAAGGATGAAGTGCGGGGCATCTCAAACAAGGAAGCTACCCCTCCATGCACCTTTCACGCTGCTAACCTTATCCCATCTCCGTCTCCACACCACACCCTGCATTAGGCTCGTCATCGTATCCATCACTCATAATCCTCGGCCAATGTTGCTTCCATTTGGTTCCAAGCCTAACTCCGACCGATGACATTGCCGTGAACCAAGATCGCTTGCTCGTTGCTGAAGTTCTTTACGTCGTCCATGATCTCCTTAGTTCCTGGATCCTGCATGGCCTTTCCAAGAGCTTCTTGGCTGTCAAACTCCATGACAGAGGAGATGGAGTAGGGGCCATCAGCGCTGAGCTCGCTGACGGCGTAGGACTTTAGGCCGTGCTTTCCCCAATGCTTCATGGCGAGGGGCATGTGTGTCTTGAGGTAGTACTCCTTGTCAAAAGTGGAGCCTTCCTTGCGAGGGTAGAGGACGATAGCGCTTGCGCCAGACATGGTGGCGTATAGTTGAGGGGTATCGAAAGAGTTCTGAGTGCTGTGAGTATAGATTGACAGATACTTGCGAGATATACTGACTGTTGTAGTAGGTGCGGTGCGCGTTGCTGAATAGCACCGACGTGTGGGTATTAGTGTCTTTATACTTGCATCGATTCCTTGGATCGACTCAGTACCCCACTTCGAGAATCCTTACGTCCGCTTCGGATCGTTTTGTCTTGTACACTCGTCCGTAATTACTCGTAGTCCCGCTTCGACCGGGCTTAGGATATACCATGTTGACTTTGTCAGCAGCATACGGCTATTTTCCGACTGTGTTCCAGCTCCAAACAGCTGTCACTCAAGCTTGGCCGGATCTTCCCGAGTGGATATAATCACATGCCTTCGGAGGAGGGATTGCTGGCTGTCTTGCTAAATTGATCTGTTGCCAGATAATTACTCCGATACTGTCGCGTCGTACCGCCAGCTGTGTCACAATAGTAGAAGTCCAGTAGGACCACCGATATCTTCGCATATGTGCCCGCTGTCCTGCGCGCAATATCACAGTTTGGCAGGAGGCTTTTCTTTACCCTCTAGACGACTACGCGCAATCAAACTGTCCTGGATGACCACAGTCCTTTGTGCTCCTGGCCTCGCGTCGTTCCCAGACAAAGATATGGACGGTATCGGGACGTCGGCTCGCAGTCCAGCTGTCCTCATGTTTCCCCATACATTTCCCCCGGAGGGCAATTTTGTCTTCGCCCATATGTAAGCCGTCTTGTCCATTCCCCTGAGTCTCAACCCGACGACCGTATGCACTTCTGTCATAACCCTAGGTTGAGATGGGTCTCTCGATGTCCATCGCTGGCTGTTCTGCGGATACATGGGCTTCACCGCGATACTCGTGCGCTGGGCGACACTCGCTTTTTCTATAACAAGGCCGGTACCTGAATCTGAGAATCGTTCAGGCAGTATGGAGTTGGTGACGCAGCCTTCTTCTTCATGTGCACAATCCGTCAGCTTGAATCGGAGCCCGGGATCCAGCCCTACGAACGCGTCCGACAGCCTCCCGGCGTCTATAGTACATGAGCGACCCGATTCAAAGAAGAGCTGTAGCGTGGGAAAGAATGTGTTCATGGTCCAGTAAACAATCTCTAGACATGGTCAGCTCTATGGTCTTCTTACGCTGCGTATTCGGCACACGTGCTCTCGTTGACCAACTGACTTGCCACGATCGTGTTCTCAATCTCGGTTGTATGCGCCAATTTGACAACTCGCGGTAAAAAAGTGCTTCGGCCCATGGTACATATTGTTGTCGCATTCGATCCCCGATCATTGTCGTCTCGCATCAAGCCTTCGTTGAGCTGGTCCCTACTGCGCAAGAGCGGAGAAAAACTGCGGCGCCTCATCTCCGAGTATAAGTCTTGCATAGGGCATTGGTAGTAGTCCATGCGACGGAAGCAGGTAGCGTATGTCGGTAGGCTTTCGCAGTTCGTCGGATGTTGAATGCTTGTGCAATGGCTTCGGATTGTTACGACAAAAGTGGAACATATATTGGTGGTTTTGATAGAGGTGACAGAAACCTGGATGATTCAAAAGCCAAGGTGTAGAAGTGCGTTTGGTCGCGTTTGCGTACGCTTCAACTAAGATGGCTTCACTCTTACTGGGAAGAACGAACTCGAATTGACCCACGCTATGGAGAAGGTTCACCCTAGCTTTCCAATAAACACGTGTTAGGCTTCCACATAGTGGAAAGCCTGGAAGATAGAAGGCAACCCCATTAGGCTTTTGGGATGATACCAACAATGTGCAGAATACGTGCTGCCTTTCACCGTACCTCTCCACGACATACTATTCATTCTAGGTTCTTCATCGAGCACAGCTCTAGAAGTCGTCTTCATTTTCTTACACGAAGAGTTATATGAAAAGAAGGCCTTGTATAAAGGACTGCCATGTGGATGGCCTTTTGGGTAGACGAGAGCGTGTTGCCGCCGTCGTATGCCGAGTGAGCAGAACATGATTCACTTTTGTCTCATGCGTAGTTCGGCAGGAATGAAAATTGTGGTTCCATGTGCTCTTTCCTTCGTCACACAAATGGGAGGCTAGAGAACGTCCCAGTGCGTACCTGCGTCATTTCACTAGCGGCTCTTGGCAGGTGCTCTTGCCATGACTATTTGTTTACTCTCACACTTCAGCACTTCGCTCACTCTCACACCAACTCTGCTGTACCTACTGATTATATCAGCTGGCACCAAAACGAGTGATGGCGCCCACCACGTAAGTCTCATCTTCTACATATCGCTCACTTCAGCAATCGTCGATTAACCTCACATCAGACGAGCCGGCAGCAAGCGCATAAGCGGCGAGACTGTGAATGCCGCTAAGCCTACTAATAAAGCCAAAGGATCTGTCAAGAGAGCCACAGAGCCTGTAGAGAGTGAGCGACCGGCGAAAGAAGCTGCGCAGTACTTCCGCTTCCTCGACCTTTCTCCAGGTATGGGCTTCTCTACTTTTCCAACGTATGTTGGTTGATAATGCTACGTAGAGCTACGAAACAGGGTCTACGAATATGCCAGGGAAGACGACTCCAGACGTTTCGCTCCACGGCCACTACGGTGCTGCCCACATATTCGCCGCAAGCCGCATACGGAGCGCACGTGGACATGTTTCGCTTTGAGTCAAGTCTGCGTGCAAGTTCGCGCCGAGTATCGTCCTCTTTGGATCCAAGATCTTCGCGTTGGATTTACATCGACCGACCAGTTGACTGATTTCGTCGATACCTTTCTACATCATGCGAGCGAACCCAAGCACGCGCCGAAACTGGTGCAGATCTTATGGGACCACGACAGCAGGATCAGATGTGATATGACGTCCATGCTGCTCCTGCATGTGCACTCCCCCTCATTCCAAGTTGAGTTCGTTCCTTACAACGTTGCGATCGGAATGACTGTAGACGACGAAGTCTGTTCCAACTGCATGATGCGATATGAGCTGGACGAACGCGGAGTGGAGCCGGATAGCGACTACGACGAGTGCGAGTGCCCGGACTATGGCATGAGCCACAGAGAATGGGAAGAGTTCAAGATTGATCAGATGGAATACACTTCCGACATACCTAAGTTCGTCCACAACGCGAACGAAGCTTGGCTCGAGGTGGTACGACAGGCGAAAGTGACTGTCACCTGCACATTTTGTCAGATGAGCAACCATGCCATCTTCAGAATTCTGTTCAAAGATCCAGTCTGCGAAACTACTACAGACTCTCAACCGGCTTGGAATCTGCTGACGCGATGGGGCATTCTCGACCTTCATACAAAACGAGGAACACATCTCATTTTAGCGTATGAAGATGAACAGACCATGGGCATTTATGGGTACAGCATGAAAAATACCGTTCTACGCGAAGTTCTCATTCGCAAGGCACCTCCGAAGGCATAGGGACCGGTAGGTGTACGGGTGTGCGGTGCAAGCCATCATGGAATGTGTTACCTTTGTAGCATGTGTGCAATTGTGATGAGATTGTCCAAAACATGTGCGTTTTATAAGCTGATGCGGGTTTCTATTATAGAATGGGTGCAAACGGGTTGGAGGCTGGGACAGAGTACTGTAAGCAAATATGGATAGGAAATAGCGTTCGTGTGTTAATGTTTAGAGTTCAAATTCAATAAGTATCTCTCGGTGAACTTTCTGCTTCCGTCGATAAACCTACGAACAACCTTACGATAGGACGCGAAGACAGCCTCGCTATTCCTACTCGTTGCTACTAGGTGCTATTCAAGACCAAACCAACATTACTTGCAGTTGCATGGATCCCTTCCTTCCCGTACTTCATCACGACCACAGCTACTCAACGCGGCACCTGTTTCTCTTCTGCAACGTCACGGCTGACCAAAGGTACACCCTCACGATTTGTATTCGCTTGACCAAAAATTGTTTGTTCGGTTATAGACATGTCATTTGCTTGTCATGGTCTGCCCCACAATCTCAGGACGGCTTCCATGGAGGCCAATTAAGAATTTTTGGCCCGTGATCAATCAGCGCAGACAACTGCACACGCCATTCGTGTTGCTTCATATTTTGAACGGCGTACAGTTCGGACCGGCGGATAACATGACTGTGAGAGGGAGAGCACATGAGCCTTCCATAGGGTCTTCTAGGACATTTTCCCTTTATTCCTAGCGAGGCAGAGGCCACCATGTTCCGTTTGCTTTACGTTTTCTTGTGATAGAACAATGAACGAATCTCTGGATCATTTTCTACAAACATTTTGTTTTTGGAATAACCGCAAAGGTACTGATGTATATGAGAGAAAGAAAAAGGTCGATATTGACAGGTTTATATACCCACCGCTCGGCCTCGGCGCAAGTCATCTTGTAGACATTGACAACGCTTCCAGAGAGACGTGACATGCTCCGGCATTGCTTTTTGTCCTTCACATCATAAATGTGGAAAGACGAGGCGAAGACAACAGAGTTTGCCGGTGATGTTTTGTAATTAGAGGTGCGAGCAAGTTGCACAGGTCGTGTCATTCTTGACCATCACTTTTGTGAAGTGACTTCAATGCTGGAAGTCATGAATCTGTAAACCAGGGTTTTTCGATACGCAAGCTCCAAAGACGCGATTCTCCTTCGGCTCCAAGCATAGAGATGGTTTTGGATGCCTTTCTAGTCCCCAGTCCAGGAACGAATCATACCTGTTCTTTCCTCTGTTTTTTTGTATGTCTTCTTGTCTTCCCCTTTGATAGGAAGCAGCCGACGAACACCCATGCCACCGAAGTCGTCATGTTTTGTTTCAATGAAATGGCGGAGCCAGAGTTCGCGCACACCTCATAGGTGGTAAAGAATGTGTTTTGGAAAAGTAGTTGTTTTGCAGGAAGAAGGATCGTGCGGCAAATCATCGTTCAAATGCATGGCAGTTTCCGGACAAACGCAGACCACGCCGCAAGTCATCAGTAGTGGGGGCTGAATTTTTGGAGATATGGTAATGTGCTTTATGTAATGAGAAGAAAAGGCAGAAGAGAGTGAGAAGAGCTTTATATACGCAAGAGGCTATGAGCCTAGCACGTGATTTCTTCTTGTCAGGATTATCGAAGGTAAACCAGAGTGAGCGGAGAGCTCGTTGTTATACATTGGCGGCAGACATAACGAAGATGATCAGCACACCCACTATAACACAGAAGAGATGAACATACCTCAAGCGCCCAACGTCTTTCACAGATAACTACACCGTACACAATCACTGGCATCCAGACGCTCCCTGGAAGAACGGAACAGATTTGTATTCCACTCACTGATACTATACACACGGCGGCGACCCTTCACCACCCACCAAACCCTAAAACCCAGAAAAAATAAACGCCACAGAACCCTATCTTTCGACTGCTCGGTATGTTTATAAGGGTATAGAATGTGAACCCGGCCCATGAAAATGAAATGATTCCAGCACACGACACTACTGCCCACTCGATCCCGGTCCTGTATTGACACCACTTTCCCTCTTCCGCCTCCTTCTTTGCCGCGCGTTGTCTCTTAGGAACTGAGGATCGATGAAATCGTCTGGGAGCTCAAACTCCTTTTCTGCAAAGTCAGGTATGGGCAGACCGAATGCAGATGCGTTGCGACCGTGCCTATGTTTGCCGAGGGCAGCGGCGCGGAGGTGCGGTTTTGCATAGAAGGAGTTGAATGGCGCTGCGGGTTCGGGAGGTACGAAGGGGAGGAGGAAGCCATGTGGACGCGGGGGCCGCCGTGGTTTTGGTGGCTCAGGCTCTTTGGGTTGCTGTCGTGGTGGTGGAGGGTCGCGGCCATTGACTACGATGTTTTCCGAGTCTTCTGTTTCTTCACCATCATCCTCTTCGTCTTCTTCCCTCGCAGCGAGCGCTGCTTCCTTTTCAGCACGCAAGCGCTTCTCCTCTTCTTTCCAGACGCGGAACTTGTCAACTAGCGCTTCTACTTCTCTGACAAAGTAGTCGCGCTTGGCTTCCCAGTCCTTTCTCTCGCCGTCTGTCACGCCTGTTATGCCCATGACCTTTAGCCAGTCTGGTCCCTGCAGTCCATCGAGGAGCCTTTCCAACTGCACCTTCTCGTGCATAGCGCGCTCCTTTTCGATGTTCCGCAGCTGCTTCTCCTTGCGCTCAGCGCGTCGGTGCTGTGTGAAGAAGACGGAGTCGATGAGCGGGTCTTCGCCGTCGTTGTGAGTGATGGCATTGGCTATAGAGGCATAGTCGAGGACAGTGAAAGTAGTCGAGGACTGGGCTGGGGGTATTGAGGGGTCCGAAGCATGGCGCGGAGGGGACGAGTGTCTCCCTTTCCGTGAACGCGTTGGGCTCACGGAGCTTCGCGTAGGCTCTGGTGTCTGGGGCTTGATGGGCTCGTCGACAATGTATATGGGCGTATCGATGTCGAGGAATTCTGCATGCGATCAGCTAGTATACCACGCGACATGCGACAGTGACATACCATCCTCTTTGGGCACGCCGGCAATGATGTCGTCGTAGTTGGAAAAGTATACGGCGAGATCGCTCTTCAGCCGTGATCCTCCATCGTGACTCCTCAGGCTCCTCTTGTCTGTTGACGAAGCTGTTGAAGCTGGGGCGGGGACGGCTGGGGGCGCAGCAAGCTTGCCGGAGCTGCCTGGCCGGGGCGTGGACCTCGCAGAGGGGACGTTGTCGACGTCTATGCCCAGCGGCGCGGCGACGCCGTTTGTGATGCGCAAAAGCTCGCCATGTGGTTGTGTAACGGTGATCTTGGTGGGAGGTCTCGTGTCGGTCGCGTCTGGTTCGAGGGCTGTGGCTGGCCGCTTCCTGCTGCTGGTGCGCGCAGGCGGAGGGGGTTTCGCAGGCGTGTGGGTTAATTGCTTGACGGATCTATCGTCATCAGCAAGCGCAAGCAATGGGCTGCTTTTGGATGTCCGTCTTGTCGCGACGGGCGCGTTATTGGTGTTGCGCTGGGCTTGTTGGTGGGCGTCATCGCGCGACACGGGCAGGAAGTTGAGCCTGGTCTGCCGTTCATTCGAGCTTCGCAGCAGCGGAGGCCGAACGGCGTTGGCCATGATATTGAGCAGACTCGAGATCATTCGCGATTCGCTGGGTCATCCTTTAGCTATTCATTGTTGAGCTGCCATTGAGTGTCGCGCTGAGATGTGCCAAAACGCGAGCCGTTAGGGGGTCGTCGAGTCGCAGAGCTCGCGCAGTTTGCCAAACGAGCTGCTGCACCCAAAAAAACTATCAAGTACGCCTCACCCAAGACACATACAGGCGCAGTGGAGGTTGAATTAAGCTTCATATCAGAACCCGCCCATCTCCATATCGCCATGTACATCAGAAGAATATTCAACGAATTGCAGTACAGCACATGTGAGATACTTGGAATAGTAGCGCCACCGACCTTGGTAGCCAATCAGTAGGGTATGATCCCGGCCAGCATCGACTTATCATTGAATCTTTCTCGACGGAGATCTCTACGAACTAGTGTTCTATAAACTTGAGTTTGGACATGATGAGATGATGACATGACGAGATGATGATATATACTAATGACTGGTCCAGTCATGTTCGTGGCTCGTCGGCCATCGGGCACACCCTCACAGCACTGATGAGCAACAACCACATCAAACTCTTGTTTGCCACAACTTGAAACATGAACAACAGCAACAACACCTCAATACGAGAACACGTCACGAGAAAAGAAAGTCCTTCAAGACTGGCGATCCAGCAAACTCCGGGTTGAGTAAAACGCAACTATTAATAGGTCAGCCGATGTACGCTACCTTTGTTATCGATAAACAAACTTGAGAAAGTACGAGAGCCCTTGTTTCCGCTTTTCCAGAAAACGGGGCCTAAATCGGGCTATGCCAGACGCGTTAGTAGAGCGTTTGGGTGGAGTGATGCTGCATGAGGACATGTGACTTACATATTACGGATTTGGGTGGGAACTGCGGCATGGAACCCGCGGCATGAGGGAAGGTCTGGAGCAGCTTTGTGTGCAGATCCTCAAACTCCGAGTATCTGAATACAATCAGCACATACATTACAAGGTGGCGGAAAGATGGCCTACCTCTTTCGTATCTTCATGGGACCACCCTGCAACAGTTAGCATGTGCATGAGAGTTCATCACCTGGAGATAGGCAGCATCTCGCAGCTCCACCACGGCCTCTCTGCATGAAACCATTTTTTGGAAAACAGTTTCAAGCAAATGATTGGCTACGGAAACATCGCTCTGCAGACTAGCGCATCTCGATGCGGCTCGGAACTTACATCCAATGTCTCGACGGTGCAGTTGAAGACGACGTAAGCCCCAAATGCGGGTGCCGTGCCGCTGATAACAACGTAATCATCTATCGTGACACGCTTGGCCCAGAGGACTTTGCAGTGGTCTGAACCCTCGTCGGTATGGTCCTCGAGGCCGATGGGAGTGGGGCGGCCGTTGTCAGCAGAATAGTTGCTTATGTACGAGGCATTGCGCTGGTGGGATTGCCAGTAGGGTGGGACCACGCTGCCCACGCTGTTGCGGTCTGGAGTAGCAGTGGCGGGTTTTGCCCCATCTTGGGCTGGCGATGAAGACGGGTCTCCAGTTTCAAAGCTCGCCGGCTCCATCCATTTACAGTAGATGGCTGGGCAGGTGGCGCGTCAAACGGGAGGGCGGTTGGTATCTAGAAGCTGCCGCGGCGAGGTGAGGGGTAGATATGTACAGTGTGGTGCTGCAACAGCTGGACCGGTGCATGCGGCCAGTCGCGTCTAGTGTCTTGTTGACGATGAAAGAAGAATTGGCGGCCTTTGCCTCTGCTCATCTCAACCGAATGATGCGCAGAGCAGGCTAGGATGCGAGACCCTGGGTGAATGACTAGCGGGTGCTAGGGCTGTGGCCAATACGAACAAGCAAACCATTGCATCCCTGCTCAACCGAGGGATTTATGGGATACTTCCAATACAGCGTCTCGCGACATTCCACGGAAAGCCGCCCTTTCCACGCCGACTCCACAGCGCCTGATGGCTCGAGTCACGGCCTGCCGTCCTCAACAGGCATCGTCCCGGGCGAAAAGGTAGGCGGGGAAACGCACGCACCCGCCCGTGAGCTTTCCTATCTGATACTCCACTAGCTTATTGCTTCCCGTCAACACATCCCTCCCTTTATATATCACACGCCGCCTCTTTTCTCCAGCCTCCTCATCACTTTCGCTGAAGACGTCTCCCATTTATATTCGATTGTCCACTGTCTGTCGCTGACTGTCTAATAATTTAATACCTTTGCTGCATCTTCACCCGCGTCTTCGCGAATTAGTGAGTCTATTCCCCAAGAGTAAGCCGTCTCGATGGCAACGAGATGGCAAACCTAATTTCCGGCATTCATCTAACACACCAATAGTTCTCCTCCATCCATCCCCGACAATCACCACCTCGACCGTCAACATGCGTTCCGTCTTCGCCCTTAGCATTGCCGCCTTCACTGGCTTGGTCGCTGCTCAGGACACTACCCAGCAGAACTACCCATACACTATCGACCCCGAAACCGTCGACCAGTCTACTAGGGGTATGTAGAGTCATTTCCATCTACTTTGCGTCGTCTAACAACCCCCAGATTACTGGTGCGACCAGAACAGGGCACAGTGCCCTCTCATCTGCCTCCAACAGCCCGGCGTAGACTCCATGACCACCGAGCAGAACGACTGCGACTCCGATGCTCTGACCTACACTTGCGTCTGTGACAACGGTGTCGCTCCCAACATCACAGAGTACTCGCAGACCCTGCCATACTTTATCTGCCAACAATGGGGAAACACCTGCGTCGCGAACTGCAACGGTGACAGCACCTGCCAGAGCGCGTGCCGGTATGTTTGGTCAATCTCGTTTCAGTAAAGACACGACTAACATGATCAACAGTGAGGACCACCCATGCGGAGCTCAAGACCCCTACCGTGGCAACACCTCCCTCCCTACCACCATGTCCTCCACCGCCGCCCCAACTGGCTCCAACGGCGCCGCTACAAACACCATCCCCGTGACCGGCTTCGGCGGTGCCTCTGAGACTGGTTCCAGCAACAACAACAACGGTGGCTCATCCGACCAAGGCGGCGCTGGCTCCCTCTTCATGCCCAACGCTGGTCTCGGCCTCGCCGCCGTATTCGGCAGCGTCTTCTTCGGCTTCGCCGTCCTCTTGTAGAACTGAGGAAACAACAATCTTGTCTTGCAATCTCAACTTCCAATCTTCGTCCCATTTCCATGCATAGCGTTTCCGGCATAAAAACTCCAGTCCTTTTCGATACCCAACTTGGGGCATTCCGCTCTCTTCATGACAGCCTGGCAAGGTTTTGTCTTTTGATTTATTGCATGGGGTTCATGGCGTATTCATAATCGCTGATAGGGTGTTGGATAACTAGCCTTTCGGGCAAAAGTAGCATTACTTAGTATGCAGTTGTAATACATTGAACGCCGAGGTGTTGATGATGAGGAACTACTATCTCTTCTTCTTTGTGCTATATGACTGTGATTGGCTGGTGTTCAGGTGTTCAAGTGTTCAAACTCCCCGAGTGCCAAAGGAATACGACTAACAGAGCAAGTTACCGAAACTAGAGATACACTTTTGGCGGTGATTCATCCCACCACAATCTCCCCTGCAAACTCTTCCTCGGACTCCGGCGCCGCGGAGGATAATTTATCACACCCGCTCTTCCTTGTTCGATATACACGGCGCGTAGATCTCCACTTCCTTCTAAACTCCCCGTTCGTCGTTTGACTGGTGACGGTACGTCAGCTAGTGGTGGTGAGGTGGAGATCAGAGGACTAGGAGGCGTGGGATGCGTGATGCTGAAATCCGGTTCATCATTTCTATCTCCGAGTAGGTTGCTCTTGTTGACAACAGTAGAGGGACCATCGAGAGGCGAGACGGGTTGTGTAGGCGTAATTGTAAAGAGTTGCTCCACGGATACGTGGAACATGCGTGAACCACTCGATACAGATCGCTGGAGCAAGGCTCGTTGTGGTGGACCTAGGTGGAGCGCTTGCATGGCTTCTGGGGAGGGGACGAGAGTGGGGTTGAGAGAGGGCGAGGAAGGTGCTGTGTCTGGAGGGTATCCGTGGGAGAGCAGGTCTGTGGTTGACGAGACGAGGGATGGGGGGAGCGTGGGTGAATCGTTTGTTGGTCGTGCTGAGCCTGCTACGGCATCTGTAGATGGCCAGTGGGTATTATGATACGAAGATGGAATAGACATTGATTCAGAGTGACAAGGTAGAAACCCAATCTGTGCAGTGGAAGGTCCGACCGTATCTGACGAGGTATCCTGGCAAGGAGAGAGGAACGGCTGATCTTGTGATGTCGATCTGGCTTCAACATAAACCATACGATCCTTCCCTTTGTCCACTTTGCTCAAGCGTCGAGGTTGCAAGAAGTCACTGAAGCTGAATTGCGAGTCTTTCCGCTTCCGCTCTCCACATCTCTCAATCTGCGTATCATGTTGTCGCAGCCTTTCGAGTTGCTCCAGATCGCCATCTCCAGAATAGTCCAACTCGTTGTACAGTTGTGCCTGTATAGTGTTTCTCCTTTGCGCCCGGAGCCTTGCCTGGAAGGTTTCCCAGTCAGTAGTGCCGTAGAAGCAGCTAGGGCCTACTTCGCCGTTAATATCGAAGTACTCGCTTACATTTGGCAGAGAAGCCAGACCCATTTCAGCGAGATCTTTGGAACGACGCTGGATATACAGGTCCTCCGCTAGACCACTTGTATAATCAGATACGCTTGATCGTTGGGTAACAGTAGGGTTGAGTGGTGGATGTTTATCTTCGGTAGATCCTCTTCGACTGCCAAAGAGGCGTCTGAGCCTAGCATTGACCTTCTCTATGATTTCGGCGACCTGTGACGGCCTACGCGCGTGGGACTCGCTGCGTATGGTATCCGGTGTAGGGGGCGTACAGTAGGCACTGTCAAGGTTCGAAGGTGGTTCGGTCATAGCTACGTCGTATGTTGGTGGTGGTAGACAAGGACAATTGATTGTTGTTTCATGAACACGCCCCAATGTTCCCCTTCGTTTCTTCAAGTAGCCACGCGTTTGGAGGAACGATTCCGAAACTCGTCGCTTAAGCGTAAGCTCTGGAGGGTAAGGTAATCGGTACACTTCTGGTTCAACTTCTGTTTGGCTGATGTTGACAACTACAGAGGGCTCGTTGGAAGGTATGTGTACCTGTATTTGAGAGGTCATGGTATCAAACAGTTTGAAAGCTGGTCGGAGAAGTAGGAGTAGAGCGGAAAGAGTGATGCAGATAAATGTTGTTGATCAATGTAGAAGCTTGACAACTGAATGACTCTTATGACTTTACTAGCCTAGCTATAACATTGGTACGATGAGCAGGAACTCGCTGGTATGGCCAATAACCAAAGTTATACATTTGTACCAAAGATTTCCGCCAATGAAACTTGGTTGATAAGGAACAGGGTGTTAACACAATGGCGCGGACCTGGCTAAACGTCAGGTAATCTGGTTGGCGGTAGTTTGGAAGCCCAGCGAAGCAATCCGGAGCAGATAGGAAGATTCTGCGCCCTGCACACGCATGCGAGAGAAACGTGCAGTTCCAGCGTTCCTGAGAAGATTGCCCTGTAAGATTCGCCAGGCCTGAATTAGTGCCACGGTTGAAAACGCTGCCGTGGTGATTCAAGTGGGGAAATTTCTGTGCCTATCATGTTCAAGCATTGGCGTCGTGGAGTATGGATACATCAGCCATCATTACCACAAAAAGTCGTAAATAGAGAATTGCATCGCCGGGCAATACGGCCCGCTCTTCTGGCATTGTGCCCGCATCGCGAAAGGATAGAAAACACACGAGAGCGTCCGGTGACATTATGAGCCTCCGATTGACAGGATATATTACCTAGCAGCGAGCAATGACCAGGAGGAAAGATGGGAGTAAAGATGTAGAAGTCGGCTTCAGTGACGTTGCACTACGGATAACATCAATGTTCTTTCTAGAAAGCGAAAGCGTCGCTGGAGAGAGCCTGGAAGAGATCCGGAAACTTCCATTGGCAGTGAAGATGTGGTTGTAGTTCAGATGTAGTGGAGAAAGTGGAAGGAGCCGGAGCTAACATTGAACGTTGGTAGGGCAGGTCGCCACGACTTGCCTTGCATGACATAATCCTTAGCGCGTCAGTCTGCAAACACGCCAAACAAACCTATGATGACACTACCATTCCGACTTTCGTGGTTCGCGAATTGAATCCGTCCTTCCATGTCACGATAATCCTCAAAGGCTCGTGATGCCGCCTCGAATATTACCAAGAGGGCCTAGTGCTCTATCGTCGCGATCGGCAGTCTGGGTCCGTCTGCAGCCCCAGCAGAGGTTTGCTTCGAGCTCCGCAAATGCGCCGGAGGTCTACGATGTCGTCTGCGTAGGCGGTGGACCGGCAGGTTTGAGTCTCCTGACCGGTCTGAAAGCATCGCCAATTACAAGCGGGCTGAAAGTTGCGCTCATCGAGGGACAAGATCTACACAAGAATCGGTTACCACAAGATGCGAGTCTAGGGAGCTTTTCGAATAGATGCAGCTCCCTTACCCCAGCCTCTGTGAAAAGCCTACAGGGTACGAACGAGCAGGTAGAATTCAAGATAGTGCTGGTCTGACGTGCGTGGAATAGAAATCGGAGCATGGGCACATGTCAACACACCCCGAGTGCAGCCATACCAGGAGATGCAAGTATGGGACGGCGTCACCGACGCGCGAATATCTTTCGACTGGCACACAGCGAAACCTCTCCTTACTCCTCGTAATCCGGCGCAACCCACCACAATCGCCTACATGATCGAGAACGTCAATACGGTCACTGCTTTGTTAAGTCGGCTTGAACAACTAGGCGGAGTCGACTTCTACACGTCTACAAAAGTCAATTCAATAGATCTGGGTACGGATACAGAGAAGATGGACTTCTCATCGTGGCCAATGCTCACACTATCCAATGGAAAGACACTGGCTGCCAGGTTATTGGTCGGAGCCGATGGTGCGAATAGCCCAGTGCGGACTTTTGCAGATATTGAGTCGCGAGGCTTTGATTATGGTAGACACGGTGTGGTGGCTAGTCTAAAACTTGAGGGGCAAGGCTGGGGCGGTCAAGATCACAAGATTGCATACCAGCGGTTCTTGCCAACCGGCCCAATAGCTATGCTGCCCCTTCCGGGCAACATGTCGACACTCGTGTGGAGTACCACCCCGGAACGTGCCGCAAAGCTCAAGACACTGTCACAGGCTGATTTCGTTGCAATGGTTAATGCAGGCTTCCGACTGTCACCCACAGACTTGGAATACCTTCACACACTTTCGTCTGGCCAGACAGAGGAAGTTGCATGGCGAGAGAAGCATACGCCCGTTGATGAACACGCGATACCAATGCGAGCAGCGCACGTGCAAGACGGCACAGTCGCGTCCTTCCCACTTCGAATGCGGCACGCCGATACCTATACTGGTGAACGAGTTGCATTGGTTGGCGATGCAGCGCATACTATACATCCGCTCGCAGGCCAAGGTCTAAACCAAGGCCAAGGTGATGCTGCAGCACTTGTTCGGACGATATCACACGCAGTGCAAACCGGTCAAGACATCGGTTCAACATTGGCGTTGGAGAGCTATACCAGCGAGCGATATGCGGAGAATAATGCAATGCTGGGCGTATGCGATAAACTACATCGTCTATATAGCGTCGAATCGGGCCCGCTTGTAGGATTACGAAGTCTCGGGTTGAGAGCCGTCGATGCAATGGGCCCACTGAAAGGCTTCTTCATGAGCCGGGCTGCGGGCGGTTCGTAGCATCTTGTAACTTTATCTGTATATGCATGCATAGCTTGGCAACAACAAAATCAACATAAGATTTCCAAACCACGCAACCTTCCGATATGTTGTTCCGCGCACGAAATAGTACGGCTTACCTATCATCATAGTCATACCATTTTCCCTGCACGTAGCCCCACAAATAATCTGGCCCCTCTCGGAAGTGTCAAAACAGACTTGTGTCCTACCACAAGTGAACTTACATGCTTCACCATCGACCATGGCTGACCACAAAAGCGAAATCGAAAATTTTGGCAACAATGATGATTTCTGGATCTTTGGATACGGGTAAAGCAGCCGGATGAACAGGGTTTCTAGATACGAATAGCTAACACCTCGGTCTTAGGAGCTTAATATGGAAACCACCGCCACACTACGGTACGGCCCGAGCATGCCCATGACAAAAGCAAACACGCTATTCTGTGCCTTTTGGAGTTGTGTTTCTTTGTCTGACGGTGAGGAATAGATCAACGGCTTCCAGGATACATTGAAGGATATGTGAGGAGGTTCTGGCAGGTATGTTTCCCTCGATTGATGCGGAGATGTGATGTGAGAATCTTCTTTGCTAATGGTAGTAGGCGAGGTATGAACATCATCCGATGGATACATGGAGAAGCGGGGTGGGTTATGCAGAGTACGCTAATGTTGGTATGATACAGTGAAGATCACCGGGGAACGCCCGAAGCACCAGGACGTGTTGTCACGTTGATCGATAAAGCGCATTGGGAGACTCTGACAGACATTGTACGTCGTCCTTTTCCCCCTTGACCTCTATCCGTTCTACTCAGCATACCCAACTGCACCCAACATGCCTTTCCCCCAGAAACCTAACAGCAAGAAAAACAGCATGAATCCACCGAGCGAGTGTGGGGCGCTGCATATCATATCCCCGCCTCCCACGTCCAAGAAGTACGCCAATACCTCGACATCCGCGAAATAAACGGGTATTCGATTCAATTTACTCCTTTTCATCCTGCGATTAGTACGACAGAAGTCACCTCTCCACCTCGCGACTCGGAGCCGAATGAAGCCGAACGAGGCGTGTGGTCAGGTATCAGAGCTACCAACACAGTGAGTGTGAAGGAGGAGGCGGGGAGTATCAAGTGTTTGGTGTATATTGGGTTGCCAGAGAATCCACAGTTCTTGGGTGCGCAAGATCCTGATGCATTGGCAAGGAAGATATTGGAGAGTAAGTTGTTTCTCTTTTTTTTTTTGCGTCTGCTGGATTACTTCCTATTTCTTCAAGAAGATCCTCATGCTGATGTGATCCATAGGCAAAGGGCCAAGTGGCGAGAACAAGGAGTACCTTTACAACTTAGAGACTGCCCTGCTTGGATTGAGCTATAACAGCGAAGATGCTCACGTGAGTGATTTGGTACGACGATGCAAACAACTGGAGCAGGAGGCTGGAATCGGAAGAGACGAGGGAAACAGCGGCACTCAAGGGTTATACAGGGTAGGGAGCACAGAGGAACAAGAGGAGGTCGAAAAGTAGTGTGGAGCACGCCGGACAAGTCCGTAATGTAACATGACCATGTGGCAATACGCACTTTGACAAGATCGAGCCAATAGAGGCCTCTGCGAAAAGTCGCTTGGGTGATTATGATTACGAAGCAGATTGACCTGCATGCATCCACTCATAACGCCAGATATATGCATGATGCACGCTTAGAATATACAAAGAAGAGAATACTAGAGACTATGCCCATGCGCCGACTAGTGCCATTAATAACGCCCCGCCTACGACACTGGCACAGGCCTGCAGTCGCCGCTTCCCACGTAACGTCACATAGCTTTCGTCACTAAGAAAGTCTTCAGCTAGAAGCTCTACCAAGCCAGCAAATAGCAACAAGCCACTAGATATGGCGTTCATGAAACCCACAGTCAGTAAGCCAGCTTCACTAGCTGGGTCGTACAAAGTGTGGATAGCCAGGCCTATTGCTTGGCCAATGGGTGTAGTGGTTCCGTAAGCTAGAGCCATTAACCACGGTTTGGGTGAACCGACTGGAAAGCGGACGGCGCTGATCCTGGAGCCGAGTGCGAAGCCTTCGAAGGTTTGGTGGAAGGAGATGGCTACAAGAAACACGATAAAGGCGGTGCCAGTGGCGACTGAGAGGGCCATACCTATGAAGATGGAGTGGAAGAGGATACCAGCCTCCAAGAGGAGACATTGCAATAGTAGCTTCTTATTTTGGGCTTCCGTTTTCTCGGCGTCTTCGGACGAGTTGCCTCCAGATCCATGGGTATGATGCTGAGCATTGGGACCGGGCAGTAGGCGAGACTCGTCTTCTGAATGCTCTTCATTCTGACGTTCCAGCTCCTCCCTGCTTATCTCAAGATCGGAGTCATCATCGTCGTCCATGGACTTCCGGCTCATGGGATCGCTAGGCGTCATCGGCGATGCCAGCGAAAAGGACGGTGATCGGCCTGCCATCAGATTGGCCGAAGATTCTACATCATGCAGCACGATGCCTGGCACGTTGCCACTTATTCTCGGTGTGCCGTTGCTAAACCTCCCATAACTGTGGCTTCTCTTGTGTCCTGGGCGCGCATTCGCATGATGATCATCGAGGCCTAGGTCGTCGTAGCCAGTCGCGTGTGAGTGGCCTGCTCCCCTCGATGCGAAGAACATCTCAATTCCTACCACCATGAAGACTGAGCTCATGGCTATGAAGCCCGGCATAGCCGAGTAGCCTTCATTCCAGAACCGGGGTAGGCATGGGTCGGTCAGGGATTCGAAGGCGGTCGGGAGAAGATGGACGAAGGCGGTCGCTATTAGGACACCGGTACCGAAGTGTCTGGATATGAAGAGGAATTGGTGCGGAACGGGTATCGAGGGAAAGCGCTTGACAACAATGGGGAAGGAGCAAGCTGCGAGAGGGTCAGTAGTGCATTGGAGATACGTCAAGTTAGATGCGAACCTGCAGTACTCAGTGTGAGTATCAAGAACAAGGCGAAGACATGTACAGGTGTATTGTAGTGTCCCTTGCCGCCTTTGCTTCCGCATTTCGGTCGCTCGTCATTCTCCTGTTGTCTTCGGAGCAATTCCGCATGGAGAATATGTGCAGGAATTTCTGAAAGGCCTAAGGTCGAAAGACGCGGTTAGTTTACGAGCGCCACCATCAACAGAATAAGCACGCATGGCATACCTTGTATAATTCCGTCTGCCTGCATGGCGGGTGTTGACAGAGCTTCCGAACGTCCAAGGTACGCGCGGTTCCGTCGCGCGTGCCCAGTAGTTGCCGGGGGCCGGGGGCTCTTTGTTCCTTGGCTCTTTCACTTATTCACATACTCTTCGGATCCACATATCGGCGTGCTCACTTCCCTCTGACCGCAAACTGCGTCTGTACGTGTGTTTGCGGGCTTCACTTGCACTGCATATACAAAAAGTATTTCCGAGCGCGCCGGAAAGCCAAGAGTGCGTCATACCCGGTATCAATCGAACCTCAGACGGCAACTCATCAACACTCGGTAATGCATAGCGTCTCTAGCGAACTCAGGCAACACTTGTCTAAGTTTCTATTCGATGCATGAATGAGACTATCGCGCGCCCCGGCTTCTGCTAATATCGGTTGTGGCGTCCTACACTCTCATCTCCAGAATTCTGGACCGGCAACATGCCCTATGAACGTCACGCAACTTTGGCCACTGGCCGTGGATGATACTATTTTTGATACCTTTCGGTGGAAAGCGACCCGTAAACTCCATCGCCTACATATATAGACAGAAACCGTGCGCCGTTCGCAACCTTATAAAACCATTTCGCGTACGGGTTTAAGACCAGCATAGGCCGTAGCGTCTTCATCATCATTTGAGAGATTGGCATCGGCGGAGACACCCCGTCCCACCCGACTTCGCTTCTGCAGCCTAATACGAATCGGGTCCTTGATAGTTTCACAGCTCGCGCCCCTCCATCACCTCCAGTAACATCAAAGACGATACCGCCGCAGCCCAACATCGTCCCGGCAGATGTCAGAACCAAAATGGTGGTACTCGAGTATGGATTAGGAATGCCTGGCCTAGTCACCACTCGCAACGTCTTCCCGGCTACACCCTGCTAAGCCCCACCATCTACCACATCTCAGAACAGGACAACTCGGCATATTGCTAGTTCTGTGACGGGAGGGACCGCTCGAGGGCCCGAAAGAGCTACCGAAGGGAGATTTAGCGGCTCTAACCGACAATGTCTAATCAACAAGACTTCTTGTTTGTCGATGCAGCTGAAGCGAAGACGTCTCGCCAAGGTCGCCGCAATGCTCGTTCTTTCGTCATGCAGAACGCGCGCAGGAAGAACCCTTGGTCTACAAGCAAACTTGGTGCAAAACAAAGGAAAACTGGAAGTCCGGAAAGCGCAAGTCCCAACAGTACATGTGCGTCCACGCCAAACACAACCACACCAAGTCCACCAATTCTTGCGAACAAGTCTGATTACTTTTCCTCCCCAGAATCCAAAGGCCATGCAACAGTCAAGAAACATGTCTGTCCAGACTGTCAGATTTTTCTATGTCGCCCTGGTGAGAGGCTTTGCCAAAGGTGTCTTCTGCTCAAGCCTGCGGCGCCTGCAGAAGACCCAAATAATCAATTGTTCGATCCTTTTCGGACTTCATCTGTTGAAGTTACCCGCAGCGTATCGGAACTGCTGAAGCATTGTAAGTTCCAGTCCCTGCATCACTGTTTCCATGAAGGTTTTCCAGTTTGCCGGGTTCGTGGCACGGCAACCCTGTTCGGCGCGTTGGCCAAGAGCGCAGTGCAACAATAGGGAGAATGCAGAGTATATCATGTAGTCGATTTCAGGGCGCCAAATAGTTCGATGGGCAGTAGTCTTGGTGTCCGCACACTGACTAATATCGTGTAGTTTCAACGGAGATGGCACCAGGTATAATCGCGGTCGACGTCCGTCATCGGTCTACCTTGATGAAATCGGACTGGTTCGGGACGGCCATAAGTAACCCAGGGTTCATGCACAGTCTTCTCGCTACGATCGCGCTACACGCCTACGTGTTCGGAAAAGGTACCATCGATGCCATCCTATACCATCGAGCACAGGCGACTGCTGCTGTCAATGCCGCGATACTAACACCAGATGGCATTTCGGACGCGAATATCGGTGCAGTGTTCAACTTACTTACTATAGAGGAGAGTCTCCTTTTGCCATCGTTCGAACAGCACGAGGACCACACTGCGCAACTCAAGATCCATGAAAGAGGCTTGCAAAGAATGGTGCAGTTGCGTGGAGGACTAAGAGCAATCAATACGAATCGCATCCTTCAGGCCTTTATGCTTTGGTGTGTAGTTTTCACTCCTACGTTCTGTCCCGAACCGGTTTGGCATGTGCTTACTGAGCATCAGGCATTCGACCGCTCACGCCATCTTCAGCTTCCAAGCGCCAAGCCCCTCTACATTGGATTTCATCAGCACAGCAGGCCGCCCGCGTCATCCTCCAGGCTATGAACCGCGCATCTCGCAACATCTAATTAACTACTGCCGGGATGCAGGTATCAAAGAGTCGCTTAACGCCCTGGTGGAATCGGTGCTTTTCCTGATAGCCGATCTCAACGTTTGGTTCAGTGATCCCGAAAGTCCTCTAGACCCTCTCGACATTCAGAATTTCTCTTGTGTATTGGAGTGCTCTCTTCTAACATGGTTGCGCGAGAACGAGCATCTTGTTACCCCTCTCGAAGACGCACTTTGTGTTGCGCTGCTCATATTCACAGTACGCACGACAGAAGCAATGAAGCTGCAGTCACACGTCCACCATCTTCACTTTGCAGCAAGCAAGCGACTTGAGAAAGCATTGAACTGTACCATCCGCAACGAGTGGCAGCATTGTCCCGATCTTCTGCTCTGGATCCTCTCTATTGGTGCGATATCAGCAGAACCCTCGCCAGATAGCACATGGTTTGTGTATCAAACATCGCTCGCTTGTGCAGAATTCGATATCCTATCAGCTGAAACGCTTCTCGAACGACTACATCTCTGCGGCTGGGTTAGCTACAAGCTCAATGGTGCTGTATGTCATTTATGGGACAGGGTTGTTGATCTCAGGTTAGATGACCGTACATTCTTGCCCATGCATTCGTTTGCTTATACTTGAGTTCTTCTTGTATGTAGGCTCGCGCCATTATTCGAAGCGCCATCGAAAGCTGAAGACGCCAATAGCCCCGTTGGTCCGTTACAACACCACGTTGCTGAGCCAGATTTCAACGCGTGGGAAAGCATCGACTGGGCTGCTCTCAGTCTGGGTCCCGATCATCCGAACGAAGGATACACAGACAATCCCGACGATCGAAGCGCAACAGCAGAGGCTTGCGGCTCTGGAATGCCAGACGACTCGTTGTACACTTTCGGCAGTGGCTATGCTTTCACGTGTATGTGCAACCCCAATCGCTCTAAACCCCCATCAATACCCGTATTGCTGGGTGCTAACGTTCTTGGTGAATGTACAGGGCCCACGACCCAGCATTCTTACGCACACTGGATGAACGGATCGCACAACCATCACGAGCAATAGGCCAGGCTTTTGAACGCTGTAAAGTCATTGACTCGATGTGTATACATCTGCACTTTGTCAGTTGATCGGCAGCATTCAAGCCTAGGGTCAGCTTAGCCTTGGGCCCGTCGCTAAGCCAGTCGCAGTGGCCTTGCATTCGGTGTTGCGCTTGACCAGAGCCACATGCGACTGTAGTTGATCTTGTCAGATCTGTAATGTTCTGCAGGAACTAGGGGTTGCAAAAGTGCGGACGTCGGGGTGCGTACTCGCAAGAGGAAAGCGCCTCGAGGTGCTGATGTCGTTGAAGGACCCTCTCGAGTCCGATACTGAAAGAGCTTATCGTTTGTCTACCATTGCTCTAAGAGGGTTTTAACGCCATAAAAACCAAATAACGCTTACATCATAGCCTGTCCAGGAGGCCGTCAATATAGGAATGAGTCTGCATCTCTATCGCCATAACCGATTGGAGAGGACATGAGGTCGACCCGATACTACATGAGTATGGCATGTATTGGAGAATTTCACTATGTCAGCTGTGGCCAAACAATGTGGCTTCCTTTCACCCTTGGTATCTCTTAGCGTATCAGGCGCAGACCTTACGTAATAGCCATACCCATTACGAGCGTATCGTTACTGTATCAACGGATATAGTGAAGGGGGTAATTCAGTGGTGAACTCTCACACCACTTGCGAAGAGTCGTTCGGTCAAAGCCTCTACCTTCACCTTCCATGACAAGCACGAAAGAAAGCCAGGCAGCAGTAGCCTGAGATAGAGGCGCTTATCTACTTATCAACTTCACGAAGTTTCTTGTAGAAGTTCCTACGGGCTATCACAATGTACACCCGTGCAGACTCTCTCACGCCCTTGTCTCTATGATTATATATTCATATTCCCTTCCTCCTTCCTCAATGAAATACATTCAACACCAATTCGCCCACCCTACCTCCACCTCACCAGACTCATTCTTTGATCTGTCTTCTCTATCAACAAACAGCTAAGACAACCACCTGACAGCGTCAAATGATCTTTAAATCTTTTGTAGAAATGCGTGCTTGGGGAACTACGGCCAAAGACGTTTTCACTAAGCTTCCAAACGAATTCTTGGATCAAATCTTCGCTGATGTGGACCGAGAAGATTTGAAAAGCTTGATCAAGACGCATCGATCCTTCAAGAAGTCCGCTCAACGCCACTTGTTCCACACAATCCATATTCCAGCACAGTCTACCTTGGCCAAACCATTTATCACCAGGGCGGATGAAGCTGGCTACCTACCGGGGCGCTCCGATCGCATGGAATGGAAAGTTGAACAGAGAAATCGACGTCCAGGTCTCAACCTAATGCCCCCATTCTTGCTACCCATACCAGACGCTCAGATCCCACCGAACCACAAGCAAGAGAAGTCTTACGGAAAGGTGATGGCCCGACAGCGTACCTGTGCTCTGTTTCTGCAGGCTATCATGTCGGTACCGTATCTGGCAGACTATGTGCGTCATGTTCGGATAGATTCCGAATGGGGTGCACCGCTCTTTTTCAACACGCAAGCCTATACGATTCTGAAGAAACTGCCCAAGCTGCGTAGCATCGAAGTCGCCGTTAAAGATCGGCTGGCGGGTTCAGAATGGAACAAACTCCAGCATGTTTGTATGCAGCAACTATGGACTATGCTCGAAGACCTCCAGATCGAGACAATCACCTTGACGACACCAACGCTAAAGGTTCTCAGCAAACTCATTCAGATACCTACCCTTCAGTCTTTCGTAATCAGTCCTGACACCCCTTGGCATATCGCCCCTGGCCTCAATATCAGCTATTTAGAGTCAGGTATCCCTCACAACTGGCTCGAGCCTACCTTCCTCTCTAACCTCACACACGTCAACTTAGGAGATTTCAGCATGAGCCCTATCGCTATGGGAAGACTACTCGGCCACGCCAAGAATCTCCAGTCACTACTCATCACCATCACTTCTCTTCACGCCTACCCAACTCACATTAGATCTGTCGGCGCTACCCCACTCGCCACCGTCATAGACATCCTAGAAGTAAATACAGGGCTTGCTTCTTCCCTGAAAGAACTAGGACTGCTAGAACCGCTATATGCACACTTCACGAATCCTGCTGTCCAAGTTTACCATTCCATCCACGCCGATTTTTCGTTCCTCAAACATCTGCAGGTCCTGAAGATTACCTCGGCCTTCTGGTACGATCGCACCTGCGAGCTACCCAACGCACCCAAAAATGCTTGGATGTGGAAGAAACAGGACCGCTGCGCTGTCCGCGCATACAGCCTCGTCCCTCCATCACTCCGCGAATTGGAAATCCAGTTCATGTGGCCCGAAGTTGTTTTCGTCTCGGGCGAAGGCTTACACGAACAGTTTCTTCTCACATCCCAGACCACGCAATTGAAGGGTTTTGGCTGGATCAGGGAGTTTGCGGACCAGAAGCAACGCAGGGAAGGTGTTTTACCAGAGTTGGATTGTCTTAGACTGACCGAGTTTCGAGAGAATAGCGGATACAGGACGCCAAGTCCTTATTCACCACCAGAACTAATGAGGGAAGTATTCGAAAGTGCGGGTATTGAGCTTGATATTCGACTTGCGAGGTATAGAAAGAAGTGGTGAATGGGAGTACTACATGCACGTGCAGGATATATTTGGGCCCTCTCGGAGTTTGACGTAGGAGGTAAGACTGGTTTCAGCTATCTAGATTTGTTCTTAGTATACTGCTAAGGTCTATAGACAAGGAAGCTAGATACATGAAGAGCTTCTATGCTTCCAAACATGCCAAAAATGTACTTGATTCTATCGCACTGCTCAAATATACGAGACGCCAAAATCGTCACGCTTGGTGATGAAGCTAGGATTCGACAGCCTGGCCAGAATGCTAGAAGTTGGAAGTCATATAAAACCTCTTCTTGAAACCCGATGTCTGCAATACCCATACCTGACTCGGGAATTTTGTCTCTTGTTACTTATCGGAAAATAGAGGGGCTGTGGAGCATTGAGTAATAGTCTTCGCGATCCACCACACTACGAGTACAGCTAGTGCACTAGCTATAGTCTGTAAAATTTCCAAGGAGCTGTTCAACTTGGTTTCGGTCTCGACATAACCCTCGTCGGCCGGGAAACAGCTATGCTGCTGGAAGTGTGCTAGCAGTTCGTCCTTCTCGGCTCATCGCCTATAGAGCCATTGATCGAAGGCCTTAGCATCGCCGAGAGGAATTTCGCCAACACCGAAGCGGCGCCGGTGGATATGGGTCACCGGAGCGTTTTGATGCTCGATGTAGAGATTTTGAAGACTGTAGATATCCTGCCCAAACTCATCGGGACTAGAGAACAGTCAGAAAATTGAGCCACTAGTTAGGATAAGGACTTACGGGATACCTTCGTATGCTATAGTGCAGTCATACATCCTCTGGACAGTGGGATTCAATGCTTCCAAGCAGAATTGCAAAACCTCAGTCCTTGGTAAGAGGACATTCTTGAGGTCATGGATATTCATCTTGTTGGCCCACTTCTTGCTCATTCCCCGTGTGTTACTGAACGAATTCGTGCCCTCAGGAAAGATGAGTAGCCACATCGCGTGTTGTACGCTAGGATTTGAAAGGTGGCTCTACGGCATGCATGTTGTTCAACTTTGTGCATCCCAGCATATTTCCAGTTGGGCTGTTCTTAACGATTGTGAGTGTTGCCAGCTTGGGTTCTTCTTTCGTCTTGCTCAACTCTTTTCTTCCGCTTGTAGCAAATCATTCCTCGATAAGCCAAAATCAGAAATTCCACTCTGTACAACTTGATAATGTCCATTCCGTCTCCAAAGACACTGATGGCGACGACGACGATGACGACGACGATGACGATACTCTGGACAACGAAGGTCTGGTACCAGACAGGCTTGCCACCATTGCGCTTCTCAGTCACTTACCACAGCAAGCGATAACAGCCACACCTGGAGACGTCTCACCTTCACTGAAGCTCTCCAATACAATTTCGTCGAAAGGGATCGGTATTGGATATGCCGCGTCGGTTCTTGTCCAAGTCATCAGCATCACTATAATCTTCATTTACTGCCAGGCCGAGGCTTCTGACTCAAAGTTCTCAGCAACTACACCCCTGCGTACCGTCTTATTCTTAGTTGGATTTTTGTGGGCTGCGTTCACGGTACCCACTGCATGTTGGCTTCATCGTCGCCCTGGACCGCCATTACCCTGGAATGTCGGCAACAAGAAGTCTAAAGGAGGCATAATCCCAGGGCTTCGGATTCCCATTTAGATTGTGTTGCTACAAATTCTCTAGTCGAACGACCAGATGCGAGTGTTGCATATATAATATCCTAACAAAAGCCTTTCATCGCTTAATACGTTTTTGAGGAATAATTTGGTTATTTTGCGATCAGCTGTAAGCTTTGGTGAGAGTGTACTACTGAAGAGCAACCCATCTGTACTCCTATGTGATGATGTGCATAGGTTGATTCCAATACCGCGGGCCTATGCGACGCGTTCAATGGCGTCGATACTGCTTAGTACTACCAACGGAAAAACGAGAATGTACCTCCTCCGCGTATCGACCTGAGACTTCCCATGCTTTGAAACATATCAAGTGTGTAATTCCGTCTATCACGCCGCGATAACACTGGAATTGTCACGCTCCTGCCTCGTCGACACGGCCACTTCCTTGCCCCTAATCTGAATTCTCAACTCCATCCCTTTATCCTCAAACGCTTTCTTTAACTCGAGCGGCGGATCCCAGTCCACCGACACATCAGGCTTGTAAGCCCGGGCTCCCCTAGCCATCTCACCAGATAAGTTATTCAACTCCAACACCGCAACATGCTTCAGGTAAGGGAACTGTGAGGGATGAGCAGCAAGTTCATAGATCCATTCCCAAGCGGGCTTCATCTTCATCTTGGCTTCGTCAGAGGTCATACGAGAAAACGCTTCACGGTAACCTGTGCCAACAGCGAAGATCCCAGAGCTACCGGTGAAATCTACACGGAGTGAAGATATAGATGAAGGCAGTAAGTGGACAACGGACGGGCGGATAGTTCCTTCGCGCTTCCACAGGAAACCCTGTGGGCCGCCGTGGCTGCTGTAAGCTGCTTCCTCGAACCACAAACTAGCGGGTATCTGTAGTCGTTTGAGGACGGACAAGCCCGAGAAGGGCATGCGGGGGCTTTGACAGTACTGCCAGCCGTTTCTTGGGTCCTCCAGTATCGTCATGTCCGTTAGGGTTTTTGTTGCGTATACCAAGCGCTCGGCTAGGGCGACCATGGTGTTAGCGTAGTATAAGTAGTATTTGACGTCGAATTCTCGTAAGACAACGTTTGGGTATTGTTGTGCGATGATTGGGGAAGAGCGGAGCATGCAGTCGTTGAGAATAAGACTCATGCCGATTCTTCGATGTGGTTTCAATGTATTGAGCATGCCCATGAGTGTTGAGTAGTCCTGAACGGCTCCGCGGACCTTTTCTTCAAAATCCGCAATCACTTCTTGGTAAGGTGTTTCAGGGAAAGGGCGAGCGTTGATCTTGAGTGTGACGTGTCGGACAGCCGGGAGAGAGTCCAGCACTCCCTGTGTTGCATCTGCCAGACGGAACTCTGCCCGGCTATCAAACACAAGCTCAAGATAGCGTATCGGCCCGATGAGAGCATCACTGGAGTTGATGGTCGAGCTGTCGTCGGATTGTGTCCCGTTCTGGCTTCGATGAAGGCTTTCAACAAGCTCTTTACATGCTTCTTGCGCACCGTTCCCGCGTACCAGGACTCTTCGAATACTATGGCGCACTGCATTTGCCGGTGGAGCGAAGCTTGGATGGGCCTTGCTTAGACGCTCAAGCGTTTCATGATCATCTACGAAGTACTCAAATATGAAAGCGACAATCTCAGCCGGTATTGTAGTAAGGGTAAGAGTCGACATATTTTCTGTATGTTGAGTGAGGGCAATTAAGGTTGTTGCCTACAGGAAGATGTGGGGTGAAGTTACACTTGAGGACCAAGTGCCGGGCTGCCTTAATTGGCCAGCTGATAGTCTTTTCCTCTTTACTCACCGCGCCTAGAGTTTCTTTCCATTTCTGCTCACCGCGCTGCCTGGAGCTTTGGACATGACCCTAGCACTTGCATGTAAAGCGTAGTTGTTCCTTCGAATTTACATCATTGATCTTGGAAATAAGAGCCTGACTATGGCCGACAAACGATCTTTAGAAGATGCTAGTCTTGTTATTAAATTTTTCATTTCATTCTCCTTCTAGTGTAAACGTAAATGTGCCTATTTTAGGCAGTCAACTGTGCGGAAACATGACTAGCTCCCCCAGATGTAAACGCTCAATCATACAGGAAAAGATCAACGAGCAAGTGATAAGGCCATACCAAACAAGCCCAGCAACAAGAGAACAAACAGGGGCTCCCATTTGTCATGACCAGCGCCGAGTAAAATGCTGATCTCAATGCTTTCCCGCACCTGTATACGCCATAAATGCAATGTATGAGAAACGATCATAGACTAGCCTCAGTGCTACCGTCGTCAAGATCATCGGGATTTGCGACATCAACGTCGTCGTCCTGATCCGAAGTGCTGTCATCGTCGTCATCAGCATCATCCTCGTCCTCATCCTCATCTTCGTCTTCATCGTCTTCATCCTCGTCATCGTCATCCTTTTCTACTGGCATGCCAGGTACAGGTCGCCATTGCACGTAGTCGTGCTCGACCCAGCGCTTACTCCGCGGAAGCACGTATGGGTCGAATGGAAAGTACGCGTCCATCAGGAAGGCCTCTTCACCTTTCTTGCCGGTGAGAGCAGTCTCTCGGCCGCCGATACCATTGAGGTAACCACTAGCCAGACTACGAGAGAGTCGTACACGCTTGTTTGTCTCTACCAGTGTATCGACGTATGTGAAGCGGAGGTGCTTGGCGATGCGGCCAAATTGCTTGACAATGTCCGGTGCACAGATTCTGAGTGGGTTCAGTTTGCAGAAAATGTTACGGCGTACGATTTCGAGGGTTGATCGGTGCCACTGGAAGTCGCCTTCATGATACATGATGTCCGCGTCGGTAGGCAACGCGCCATCAGGTGTGACAATGAGGTCGCGCCACCGGAAGCAGAAGGCGTATAGTAATGCCTGTGCGATAGCGTAGTATGTGCCGTATCGGCGTAGGTCTGGGCCAATGCACTTAGGCTCGTGCAATACACGCAAGCGCTCAAGTTGCGAACACAGTGTGTCAAAGACGTCGCGGACCACGAAGCCGGGTACGTGAGCGCCACGCGCAATGTAGGAGGCAAGATAAGCACATGCGGATGCTCGTATTAGTGGAGGTCGATTTTGATCGACAGCTAGTTGCGAGCAGGTATCTACGAACCGCACCATGAAATCCGTTGACATCTGGCTGAAATGGAAAAGCACGAACTGAGTATGCCGTGAGCGGTAGGTCGGGATGATGATGGACTGGAATTGGGCGATAAGAGTCTGGTATGTGCGGTCCATCTCTTGAAGATCTCTCCGTTCGAAGATTGAGTCGTAATAGGAAAACTGTACGTCCATGACTGTATCGAGCTTGAGCATCATATCTTTGATGTCCTTGAGCCGTTGTTCTTCCGGATCTAGACTCTCCTCGCTTGATACAGAGCCGTCGTCGCTCACGTTGTCATCATCTTCCTCTTCGTTGATGGCCTCGCCTACCAGTCGCTCCTCCAAGTCGTCGTCAATGTCGTCCATGTCCACCTGCATCTGCGCATCGATCTTGCACAGCTTGTCTGTTACGAGTGCCAGGATCTCGCCCTTGATCTCTGGGGCGTACTCTGTAACTCTGAATATGTTTCGGATGTACTCAACGTGGGTCTTCGCGCTGTCGTTGGAGAAAGGGAAGGTGCTGGAGATGACGGGTGCGAGAAAGGAACTCGCCATCGGACTGTAGCGTAATATGCCCATGAGAGTCTCGTGTATGCGTGCTTGTAGGCGTACTCGTTGGATGGGCGGATCGTCCTGCTGCCTAGCGTTGACAGACGGCGTGTTCAGGAACATGTCGACAAGCATCTGCAGCACAGTGGACATGTAGCTGGACTGCACTGAGAGCAGCCTGCGCAGGAAGATTCTGTAGGAGCGCAGAAAGTCGTCATTGCGCGCTATCCAACTGCAATCGATGACAGCGTGTACTAGACCCTTGCAGTTGCCGTCCAGTTTTGGCGTGTGTTCGGTGAGTGCGATGACGTATTTTTGCAAAAGTCGTGATAACGGTGCGCTTGTAGATGTTGGTGCTTCCTTGAAGAGGGCTTTGAGCCCGTCGTAAGCCGCCTTCTCGCCTGTTGCATGCTTCTCTATCGCCCGCCGTACCTCCTCCCCCACTAGCTCCAGACTCTTCTCGTGATGCTCACTTAGAATCCGTACGTCGACTTCGGGGTCGAATGTGACTCGACGGCGTTTGAGTTGGCTCGGCGTAGTGTTCTCGGCGTCGGACGAGTTGTCGGGTTGTTTGCGTTTGAGGCTGCCACCTGCGCTCGGTGCGGCGGTGCCGAGAGTCCTGTTCATCGTGGCAAGAGCGACCATGTTGAGCGGAAATGGTTGGCGAATGGTTTACATTTGAGCAGGAGCGTGAAACGTAGAGAAGTGTCGCCCGTCGGTGCGTTGGTGAAACTGTTAGTGAGGACGGCGGGGGTGGACGCACGCGACTGTGCTGCGAAGTATTGAGTCCCGAGAGAATTTCAGCGGGTCACTTAGGTAAGCCACACCTGTTCACCATGGTTCGCCGATCCAACACCAAAATCACTGCAAGTTTTGAAGGCAGATGCAAGTCATTTCTTCTAATTGTGTGTCAAGTCTCGAAGATACATTTCTTCGTCTTATGCTGCACTTGCTTGTACCAGAATTGGAGAATCACAGATACGCAAGAATTGATACCAGACTGGTAGCTTGAGCTGGCCCTACCACCAGTCATCATTCTGTGAGCTCTTCGTTGGCCACAAAAAATGCTCTTCAGGGTTTCCATGGGTCCTCTAAACATTGTCTGAGATCTTACCTCCAGGAGGTGGGCGTGGTAGACTCCTATGTTGAACGAACACTTCAGGTCATGTCCATGTTCACATCTCACCGCATTGTGCAATGGCGATATCTTGCACTGGCTTTCCTTCCGGGTTCGCTACTGTTCTTGTGTTCTCAATCTTGGTGACAACATCCATGCCTTCAATGACATTCCCAAACACAACGTGTTTGCCGTTCAGATGAGGAGTGCCATTCTTGGCAGTAATAATAAAGAACTGAGAGCCATTGGTATTAGGACCTGAGTTCTGCGATTGTTAGTGATGCACTCGATCGGACGGCTTACATGAGCTTACAGCCATTGATAGAAGACCCGGCTTGTCGTGCTTCAGGGTGAAGTTTTCATCGGCAAACTTTTCAGTTCCCCAGATGGTTCTCGAGCCTGTACCGTTGCCGTTTACAAAATCGCCGCCTTGAATCATGAAGCCTTTGATCTGAATCGGTTAGTATGATCCAAGCCAGACAGTTGTGCACTGCAACCCTGTGATGGCACTTACGACGCGATGGAACTTGCAGCCCTTGTAGCCCTGTGGCTGCCCCCGGCTGTTCTTGGTCTCTCCAGTGCAGAACTGGCGGAAGTTCTCAGCAGTCTTTGGCACCACATCTTTGAACAATTCCATCTTGATTCTCCCTAGCTTCTCCCCTGTTCACTTATGTCAGTCACTATGGTCGGGTCGCGGGGCGTTTGTCCGACTGTGGGCTAGGCCAAGAAGAACGCGTAGTAGATGGCGCGGGGTGAGGGGTAAAGAGACTATCTGGGTCACATGGGTGGATGCATACCTCCTAGGGTGATGTCGAAGAAGACGATTGGGTTGCGCTCGGCGGTCTCCGCCATAGTTGCGGCAGTGCAATGCTTGAAGATTGGAACTAGTGACGTTAGATAGGCTTTTGCAGCGACGACGAAGGAGTCGTACGGTAATTGAAGAAAAGTGGTCCGTCGAGATAATTCCCAAGAGATGCCGAGGAGAGAAAAAGATGCAGAAAGCAGGGGAGTTGGGCTGCTGCAAGTGGTGGACGATGTTCATGTGGATACTCGCAGATTGTTAGCGCTGGGGAAGGTTCCACTCGGAGTAGCAGGGATCTGACATGTCTACGCAACACGGCGGCCTTTGATCAGAGATTGTACACTGCACCTGAGATATGAGATGGAGACCGAGCTGTAGTAGTGATGGAGCGCAGTCCCATCTGTCAGGCGTCTGGGTGTCAGCAATTTCTTAGAGGTGATAGCACCTGCATGCGATGGCGTGAATGCGGCCGCCGAAACCCTGCTTCGAGGTGCATTGCGTGGACTCTGTCTGTGACATGTGCATGGTTCAATAGCAAGCAACGCCCAGCGCACTCACGACCTTCGCCGTCATCTTGCAAACAACCTTATACTTAGCAATCCTTTGCACTCCAAGTCGCCTCATTGCATTCTGTGAGACGGGCATTGTTATCATAGATGGTCCTGGTTGCCCGTCATCCTTGGCACCTGCCGTCGACGTTAGCGACGCCTTTGCGGCCTTTGTCCGCCTGAAGACCGGCACCTCCCCCATTCTGATACTCGCCGACCCATTCACTGCCCTTCACCACCCCGACAAGTCCAGAGTCTGTCGCGCGACCATTTGCACCCTTCGCATCGCATGGCCGATAACATTGCTCTTGCCATTTACCGCTAGCGATTGTGGCACGGGCAGTCACTGCGAGCCATCATAGCCTCTAAGAAGCCGACTCTCCATCGCCACAGCCGCAGTCGTTGCCGTCACCATCAACTAATTCCATCAACCACACCGGCCCTTCTTCCAGCCCTGCCCGCCGTCGCCTCGACCATATCGCAGCCATTACCACCGCCCAGAGAGGTTGTACCTTCGTAGTATCCAGCCGCCTCCTTGTCTGTTTCACCTCTGCCAGGGCTCTCCGCATCCGGCCAACTCCTCAAGTACACGCGCATCACCTGTTCGCGCCTCTCTACGGCAGCGCGAGCAATCGTATCCGTGTATGGAATAGTAAAGACGCCGCTACCCATCATGTCGAACGTCCTTGTCTATCCGAGGCAGAACGCCCCTGCCCCAACAGACGGCTCCAACAGTAACAACAACAATAACAACAGCGGCCCCACCAGTTCGCCGCTGCTTTTCTTTGTTGCCTTGGGTTTCGGTGTCGTCTTCACCAACTTATGGTAGGCATCAGCAGTTGGTTTGCGACTGCTCCCTCTTACTGACTGCTTCAGGATTATCGTCGGCGTTAAGTACTGCTTCCGATATAATCGCCGTCGCGCGGCTCAGGCTGCCGCAGATGGCGAGCCAATTGACATGGCCAACATGCCTCGTCCGCACCGGAGGAGGAGGGAGAAGAAGTTGATGACAATGGACGAGGTCAACGAGCGGTTCCCACTGACCAAGTACAAGCAATGGAAGTCAAGTCGCGAGACCGAGGGTTTACCAGCCAACGGCGGCATTGCGACTGCACCCCAGAGCAGAGCAACAAGTTTGAAGGATGTCGAGGGCGTCATCAGTGCGCAGGATGAAGGCCCTGGACCGAGAACCGACACTGCGCTTTCCATGGCTCGCAACGACCTCAACGCCCCGAACTCCTCCACTCAGCCGGTAGCCTCCCCGAGAACAAGCGTAGAAAGCAGGACGAGCGAGCACGGGCAGGATGTTGAGAAGCAGTTGGACAAGAAGGCGATCACGGAGAAGACGGACAATGTCCCAGGGCAGAGTACTACACCGCAAGCCAATGTACGCGAGCGTGAGAACGACTCAGACGACGACGAAGAGGATCCTATACGCACTGCTGCTGCACCAGAGATGCTGGCGGAGCCGGGAGACACATGTGCCATCTGCCTAGATACCCTGGAAGATGACGACGATGTACGCGGATTGTCTTGTGGCCACGCCTTCCACGCCAGTTGTGTCGACCCATGGCTGACGAGTCGCCGTGCCTGCTGTCCTCTCTGCAAAGCCGACTACTACGTTCCCAAGCCCCGTCCTGAAGGCGAAGTCGATCCCGTCACTGGTCGCCGTTCAGTCGCCGGTCTTCGGTCGCCACCACAAGCCGTTTGGACATCTACCAACCCCTTCTCTCGGTCTCGCGTCATGATCATCAATTCAGATTACCAGCAGCGACAAGGCGTTGACCGGTTTGGGCGATTGAATCGGCCTACTCGCCGTGAGCGCGTAGCTGGGGATACATCACAAGCGACAGGGCAGACTAGCGAAAACCAAGGGTGGCGATCGAGGATGACGCTCAACAGAACACAAGGCCCTACCTTTTCAAGCTGGTTCGGTCGCAACCGTGGCGCTGCTAGCACTGCAGATGCATCTGTCCCGCAGCAGCCAACTCCAGGACAACTCGAAGCCGGTAACCGGTAGATGTTGTCGTCTCATTATCCACATGTTTCAAATCTTTCTCACGCCCAATTACGATTACCCATACCCACCTTCCCGTGCACCCGATCTCATGCGTCTCAGTGAATGCCACGGCACCTTTTCCTTTTTCCCACATTCCCGGCGTTTTCTCATCCATACCCTGAGCAACGTTTTCGCCTCGGTACAATTTCGCTCGCAACACAACCTATCAAAGTATAGCGAGGCTTTTCTCGATACAGCATATGGTAGGCAGGAGCGAACGGGGTATATACTGATAGTTGCAAGTAAATATATGGCTATAGTTCTACGCAGGTCGTGAGGCTGCTCACATTGTAGATATTATGGTCTATAGGTTTGCAGGCACGAAAGTGTTTTGTGAATGGGGGCTTCCTGCACGTTGTTCTGTAGTATATGTTAGGCCATTTCAATATCGAAGAATACTCTGTATGAAATACAGCATGCCTGGAGCAAGTGAACTATCTCCCGCTTCATTCCCATTGGCTCTTAAATTCTGTCATAATCATCATCATCATCACCAAGTCTATGTTCTGATCACAACTGGGGGCAGGCGGGGTATTTCATCATGTTTCATTCGAATTATATCCCTCTCTGATTCTTCTTTGAGTGGGTTCGTCAAATACTATATCATCAGACCACCAATCCAGTACCAGTAGAGCTCACTTTAAATCGCTCAACGCCATTTTGGCTTAAATCCAGGGGCCGGCCTTCCCAGTCCGTAAACGCCATCACCCAAGCATAAATCATCCAGGCCCCCTCAACCTAACAGTACCTCCTCTCATCTCCTCATCCGCTCCTTCATCGCCCTCGTCTTCACCTTCAACATCTTGTAAGCGCATCGCTCTCAGCAAGTCCCTGCTAGCCCTGGTACCATCCCTCAGTTCGACCGCACTCTTGAGTAGCATATCCGCCATGATCCTAGCGTCCATATCCACGCCTAGCAGCGCCTCTACCTCGGGACCGGTTGGGATAGGGAATTCGACCAGTGGCTTGCCATTCGGACCGACGCTGACGATTGTAGATTTGCGACTGTAGCGTGGGGTGTCGTGTTGATCAAAGTCCGAGGAAGAAGAGTAAGGATTACCGTGGTGGTACGAGTCATCGGTATCGGAATCGAGCGTGTAAGTGGTGGATGTGAGGGTTGTGGATGTGGAATCATTTCTACGTGAGGAACGGAGAGGAGCGGATGGTTGGCCCATGGGACGCCGTTGCGCTGCGAGGTTGAGGCGTTCGAAGGTATCCCAAAGGTCATCGACGTCTTCTTCCTCGAGCGACGTGTCGGTTGTGACGCTCATGGGAGGGGACTGGTCGTCGCTGCTTAGCCCGTAGGCCATGTTGTGTGACCAACCGTCCCAAATGATTTGCTGAGAGCGCTGGTTGCCCCGGTGGTATTGACCAGAGCTGGGTGCTGGTTTCGCGTGCGATTGTACCTGGCTTGCTGAGCTGACGCCTCGAGCGTGCATACTAGGATGGTGTGGGTCTTGGTTCGTAGGATGGCCTTGTTCATCGTACTGCTGTGGTGTCAACAAGCCTGGTACAGCGTGGTTCGGCTCTGATTGCGACTTCATGTGGAATGAGGCACGATGGTTGTTCTGTGATAGTTGTACTTGATCTTCGAGGTTGAATGGATTATCGTTCATGCGCTCTGTTCCTGCTGTAAGGACCTCAGAGCCCGACGTGGATGGACGATAGTCTTCCACCATCGCCATATCTAGATCAATCATGGACGAACGAATGGGAGATCCAGGTGCAGAGCTGATCATTTCAGGGTATTCATTGTCATCCACTGCAGGTTGAAGTGGTGCGGTTTGAGCGTGTCGCAGGCTTGGTCGGAAACCGGTGGCAAGACCTGGAGAAGAAGAGTCTGTCTTGGTGTGCTGACTGCGCTGTGGCTCCGTCGGACTGCCCATTGGAAAAGCGAAGTCTTGAGTTTTGCGATTATCGTCCTGCTTGGGAAATGTCCACTCTTTCGTCTCGCGTCTTCGTGAGATCCGATTTGATGTACGGTTCCTGGGGGCCTCGTTGTTGGCTTCTGCCATTGCAGCGTCGAATGTCCATTCCACTGTGCGTCGATTGGGCTTCTGCGGTTGCGCTGGGAAGGACCATTCCATCGTCTTGCGATTAGGTTGCTCAGCAGCGAATGACCACTCCATTGTCTTTCTGTTAGGCTGCTCTGATGGAAATGACCATTCCATGGTCTTCCGGTTCTCATCATTCATGCTAGGAAAAGTCCAGTCTTTCGTGGCTCGTTTAGTCATCTCATCTTCTTCATTAAAAGCATCCCGGCGCTCCTCTTCTTCTTCCATTTCCCGTATGATGCTCTTCATGCGATTCGCGCGGATGGTGGGCACCTCACCCAGGTCAATACTTGGTATCTCGTCTGCTGATGGCATTGAAAAGTCCAAGTCGATGACTGTCTCGCGATTGGGCGCACCAGGATTGAAGTCGCGTAGGACTAGATCAGAGGGAGGGCGACCATTCGAGGGCTCTGGCATATCAACGGCACTGTATCGGTATGGTGTCGTGTTTGTATCGAACAGCTTGTTGAGACGTTTCTGGCCTCTAACAATAGACTCCTCCTTGAACCTAGCCTGAAGCTGCTCGAATCGTCCCATATCTGCGACAGGTGGTAGGCCCATCCCATTGAAGCCTGCTCCACCAGCGAAGGGGTCGGCAAATTGTGGTGCATGTTCCTGCTCGAATTCTTCTGATGTGCTGAAAGACCAGTCATCATCGTCGTCGTCTTCCGCCTCTGGTGCAAGCGGATCTGGCGCTTGAGCGCCGTATGGGTTGAATAGCGACTGGCGTGCACCACCTTGCTGCTCCCAGACATAGTAGTCTTCGACCAACTTGACGAGCGACACAGTTGGATACATCTTAGTAGTATCTGCGAGATAGGGATGCTCCAGAATCTGATCCGGAGTAGGTCGATCTTGTGGCTCCGGTTGGAAGACGAAAGCTAGGAAATCTTTCAGTTCTTGAGAAAAGCGATCGCCTTCAAGCACAGGGACACCAGCCGTTGGTAAGTCGAACTGCCCGATCTTGTGATGTGGTGGATAGCCGCAAGCCATCTCATAGACAGTGCAGGCGTAAGCCCAGATGTCAACTTCGTTGCCGTAAGATATCTCCTTGGGCTGCATCAAGCTATGCGGATCCGCATCCTTTACCCACTCCTTCTGCAGTTCAGGTGCCATCCAGAAAGGTGTACCAACAATAGTCGAGCGCTTCGATCTTTCGGGTTCCAGGGTATTCGAGACACCAAAATCGCATAGTTGTACGCGGCCGTCTTCGAGGATGAGAACGTTGTTTGCTGTATGTGGTCAGCAGAATGTAGAAACGTGGGAACATGATCACTTACACTTCAAATCTCGATGCAGCACACCGGCTTCGTGGATGTATTTGAGACCCTGTGCCAGCTCACGAGCGATGGGTATGATGAACTTCTCCGCCAGTCCAGGTCCAGGATCCTTGGTCATGGCTGTGGGCTTCATCAGAGTGTTGACACTACCACCACTGGCATATTCGCTAACAATCCATAGTTCGTTGTGAACAGGCCTTGCCTCCTCGATGATATTGACGTAGGGTCTTGCCTTGCTGTCTCTTAGCTGTTGCAGAATGTCGATCTCCTTGAGTGTGTCCTGGAGGTTTTTGTGTGTCATCTCCTCATAATCAACTTTGTCAATCTCAATGATTTTGATGGCAACGAGCGCGCCGGTATTACGGCTCTTGCTTGTTAATGTCAGTGAATGTCCTTAGCCTCGCTCCGTGATACCCACCCTTTGTAGACGCGACCATATGCACCCTTGCCAATAAGCTCGTAGAAGTCGTATGGGGGCGGTTCCTCACCACCTCGCTTCGCCCTCTCAGCAACTAGAAGCTCCATCTCCTTTGCTTGTTGCATGGCGCGCCCTTTGGTACCCCCCATGTTGGGCGGCTGCAGTCGTGCAGGTTCCATGTCTCTCATATATCTGTATGCTTTATCGAGCCTTAGCGGTTCAATTGGAACGTCTTCGGAAGGCTCGAAAGGCGACTCTGCTATGCGCTCCAACGGGCTATCCACTAGGGTACCCGTTATGCTCTCGTAACTGGTTGCAATTGGCAGAGGTGGGGGCGGGCGATTAGGTTGACGTGATCGCCCACCAGGGGAGACGTAGTTTGTGGGGTCGGAGGCAGAGTATGAGTGTCTTGCGGTAGGATTGGCGGGATTAAACTTGATAGTGTCTGGACTGGATCGTGATTGAGGCTGTCGCGGAACAGACGCTAACGGGAGGGCAATGGGAAGCCTCGGCGTCGATGTGGACGGACACAGCGGGCTTCTGTGATCTAAGATTGGACTCGAGATATCACGCTTGTCGATAGAAGGTGTGCGAGAAGAGCGAGAAGAGCGCGAAGAGCGCGACGAAGGACCTCTCTTGCCTTTGATTGAATCTGTCAGCTTTGACCACGAGAAGGAGCGATTAGACCGTGTCTTGTGGATTGGGGTCTTCTCCGGCGAGCGAGGCGGGGCCATCTCCCCCAGAGGGATGAGGTGGTCACTCTCGCTCACCGATCGCTTCAGCTTAACTATGGCTTCGTCGCCGAGCATTTGCGCGTGGTATTATTGGGGCATGATGGCGTTTTGAACAGGGATCGCACTCACAGGTTTGTTATGATATTCCACGTTGGTTACCAGAGGTGAATGCGGCTCATGGCGGGCAGGGTCGCGTGCGGTGAGCGTGGGTGTTCGTTGACATTCACAGTTCCGCACTGCGGAGGGGAGGAGGGCCTATCAACAAGATGCAATTACAACACAAGATAATGGAGAAGCGGAGAGGTTGGAGCAAAGCGAAACGAAGAATTGGACTGGGTAGAAAGATGGGACGGCGGTGCCATCTGGCAGACGTGCAAGTGTTGAAGTTGCGAAACATGGATCCAGGGTCTCGACGTTTCGCCCGCTGATCACGCTAAGGCAACCTTAAATCGATCTGGGGCAAGCGCGCCCCACGTTCCCGTGCCTGACATCATCTGCGCCACATGTGCGGCAGGCATAGCAGCTTGCCAACTTTCTGTGCATCTAGAGAGATTGGGTCGAGATGCTGCCTAGATACCTTCATTCATATGCACCATTCGATCTGAGACCTGACTAGACAACACCTATTCGATACTACCAGAACAACCTTTGGAAAAGCACTGAATTGACGTCTCACCATGGTCGCGCAACCCATTGGCACCAAGAAGACGCCCGTCACGTCCACGGCGAAGAAGACACCAGTCACAGCACCAGTGAAGAAGGCGCCCGCCAAAGCACCAACTGTTCAGCCTCCCAAGAAGCCTGTCAACACTGCCATGCAGAAGAAGCCTATGGCAACAACCCCTAAAAAGCCTGTCACAAATGTCGCACCCAAAAAGCCTGTAACAGCGCTCGGTCAAAAGAAACCCGTGCCAGCACCCGCAAAGAAGCCAATTCAACAGCCACAACAACAGGGCTGGATCAACAAAGGCCTTAGTGCGGCATCATCTGGTATTGGAAGTGCCGTCGGCGCTGCAACGACTGGTATTGGCAATGCCGCTGGTGCAGTCGTAACTGCGACGGGCAGTGGAATTGCTGGGGCAGGAAGGGGCGCCGGAGCAAGGTATGTTACTAGGTTTGTACCAAGTGAACTTGGGTGACTAACACTTCGTAGCATTGCAAACTCATCCCGCACCTGGGGCGACATGGTCCGCGAATACGGCAACTCCCTCAAAGATATCACCGGCGCCCCGGGCAGCCGGTCGACAACAAACAAGAATCCTCTCGGCTTGAGCTCTAGCGGCGTCGGAGGTATGGCATCCATGGCTAGTAGGCCTGGTGTGCCTGGTCTCTCAGGAGGTTCCGGCAAGGGCGGTGGCTCGGCTAGCAATCCGCTGGGCCTATAAGCCATGGTGTCGACGAATTTGAGAACATCGATTGGAGGCTGTACGAATATCAGGATCACTGGGCCAAAGTGCGAGGCATCTAGGAGTTGGATGGCGTTATTTGGGACATATACTACTCGAATGCATGATTTCGAAAGACACAGTACTCACTCTTTGTTTGCGCGAGATCAGTCTACTACATACAGCTTCAGATGGCCTAGCATGTCATCAAAAGCGCATTGAAAGTATTGGAACAACTTGATCTCCTTATCTTCGTACAAGTAGTTGTAGATCTTATTGCGTATCTCCCCAGGAAGACGAAGGAACGAACTCTCTGGCTCATAGAGTTTGATGAGATCGTTGGCTTTGGAGCGCTCAAAAACGAGATCACGGCCTCGTTTGAATGACCACTCGAACTCCGTGATGCTCCCACCCTCTTGTGTGAAGTCGATGGAGGAGACACCCTCTGTCTTTCCGTTAATGTCCGCCTTGGGGAAGTAATGGCTTATTGGAAACATGCCTTATGGGAAGAGGGACGACTTGAAGTTATGTGGAATCTGGACCATAGGTATATCAGCGGATCCCCAGATCGTGACAGTGAGCTCGCCGCAGGCTAGGGTAATCACCGCCATGATGTCGTGATTCTCGTTAACGAAGCCGCCAACATAGGGCTTCAGGTTCCATGGTGACTGTCTAGGATTTCTCATCGTGGTGTAAGGAACATTGTTAAGCGTTTGCGTCCGCGCCTTATAAGGAGAATCGTTGGTAAAGAGGCAGTATTTGTGGGAGGCAGTTTGGATCTGTCGTAGGCGGATGTCAGACGCAGCGCGATGTTTTCTGTAGTAGTATGGACGACGTCAAAAGTAGCTGGGGAGAGGTGAATCCGAACTTATATCCATGAGTTACCGTGGCATTCTTTGCAAACGTGCGTTTTCCACTCCCTTTCATCGTCCCACCTTCGGGCACCCAAATAAATGCCTCGAAATCGGGTGGCTGTTCCATCACCATCCCTTAATTTATGCCACTGTCTTATATGTAATCTTTTAGTACTACGATAGGCTCTTTTTCTGTAGCAGTAATGCAGGACACGAGCATCAGTAGGTACATTGTGTAGTCTACGAATGCTGTCTATAAGATCTCCGTCTTTCTTTCCTCTAACACCCCCTTGCCCCTCTTCTTTATCAGCCAGTCCGCTTCTCTAGCAGCACTTCGGTTGACTGCAGTAATATAGCAATAGGAACTTCGATTCTCCAGACTCACTTCACGGATCTCGGTAAGCAACAATCCCCATCGTCTCAGCTAAAAACGCAAACAAGTACTCAGATAATAGGGCCATCCGGATGGTTTTATTACATCATGCCTTCGGGCACCCCCTGCACCTTTTGAATGAGTAGGAGGCCAGCCTTGCCGTCTCCGGGCTCACCTTTGGTGGCATCTGTTTGCGCCGACGCGAGTAATGCATGCAAGTCAACCAACCGAGCATCAAAATGCTTGGGTTCTGTATTCAGTGCGAGCGAAAGATGGCGTGATACTGCTGGTGGACACTTCATCAAGTGGTTCACCGTGGGGTTCTATCGTGGAATGCCGGCCATACGAACGTCTTCGAGCGCTAGTAGTGGTGTCCCTGGTAACTTTGGTGCCGGATCTGCTCTGAACTGGGGATTCTGACAAACTGGCTCGTTCGAATTCTGTGTTTCTTGAAGAAATGAGCATGCCCGCATGCAAAGGACGTCTCCCTGCCACGTACGAAGGGCGATTCCGCAGGCCTCAATGCCGTAACGTGATCCACTGGGAACTTTTGTCGCGATGGTGCATAGTCTACCAGCGCAACGCCCTGGCCGTAACTCGATCTTGTGTCGTATACAAGGTTTCCTTTTTTTTCATTGAGCTTTCATCTTGACGGTGTTACTTGAGGAAGAATAAATCGTTGACAAGAAAACTTGCGAGCTTGTGTTACCGCTAGGATTCGTAGATTCGCCGGTATTCTCCAATTATATCATGCCGTTGGTCTTTGTTCGTATGGGAGCATCGGATAAATACCCTTGCCACTTGCCATGTTACCACTTTTGTACTGAAATGTCCAACGTCGGAGCCTTTCAAGTAACTCAACATGTTAAGCACGTAACACTTGACTAGACAAGAAACCCGAAGAATGCATTCAAGTGCAAACAGTAAAGAATCCGAGAGCCAGCATTACCGACTATTCGCTTGTCTGACAGGCTCGGATAAAATCTCATAAGCCGTTGGTTGTGGTTGCAAAAGTTATAGTAGAAAAGTTAAATAGTAGAATTTTCGAGATAAGCACGCCAGTGTCTCCAGTTGGGCAGCAAGAACCATGCAAGAGAAAACAAAAGACCGACTTTTGAAAACGCCCTGATTAAACCCAGAATAGAGAAAAGGATCTGACCCACTCATCAGTCAAACCAGTCGCCATGCATCATTTCTTTCTTCCAGGCTTCCATGTCTGCCTTCTCTCCGAATGCCACCTCGATATCCGTACCTTCCTTTTCGTTGATCTTCTTGGCAATCAGCTCTTGCCAGTCCTCCGTTGTCATCTTCTTCTCAGGGTCTAGATGAGCACTCATGAACCTACGGCACAGATCCACGCAGCCAGCTCCAACCTCGACATGTCTCAGTCCTGGAAAGTGCTCTCTCAGCGACTTCCTGTACATGTTGCTAATGTAGGTTTCGAGGAACATGTCGGTGGGCGCAAGGCTAGCGATGGCTTCTTTCTGTACTTGTAAAAGTTTGCTAGCCCAGGTTTTGGTAGTGCGACCGATGCCGTAACCCACCACAAAAGTGTTGTGCTTGTATCCAAGGATCGCTGTCTCTGCGTAGATTTGGCGGCAAACTTCGGGGAGATGGAAGGCAGAGAATGGGCGTGTGGTAGGCCAACGAGGGTGAGAAACTGCACTGCCGGTAGGGTGCGTGTCGCTGTCGCCGGGTACTTCGACATAGTCCCCACCCATTGCAAAGACCCAGATCTTGTTTCTGATCTCGCCAGGAAGGCAGAGAAGCGGTGAGCGTTTAGCGTTACGTTTGGCGCTTTTAGAGCATTAGCTTAGGAAAGGTCTTGTTTATTTTTGAGCGGGTTCGGAGACTACGTACATCTTTACAAGAGGCTGCGGTGTTACTTCCATGCTGACAAGACCATTCTCCAGGCGGATGACCGGGATATCTCGGAGCTCTTGCTTGAGAAGGCGGGATGGAGTTGCGAAATTGATTGTCTTTTTGACAGATCTGGCGAGAACGTACATTCCTTGACCTTTGCGCAACGGCGCAGGTATGCGTCTACTGCGCTGGATTTGCCTGTTGCTTGGAGTCATCTCAAACTTGATTTTGTATGCTGTGTAGAAGAAGAACAGAGAAGTGATGCTTGAACAGAGTAGAGGTCTGGTTTATATATGGTCATGAGATCATGTAGTCAGTGGAGAGGGTGAGGAAGAGGTGGATCACGACTAGTGAAGTTACCGGCCAAGCTATATGACTACATGGTAAGTCTGAGCATAACCAATTGCGATGGAAAAGAGAAAGCTGATATTAGCTAAGAGATAATGTGAGCAATGGTGAGAGAAAGAGGGATTGCGTCTTGTAACTAGGGTTATAGACACTGATAGTAATACGGCGGTGATACACCTTTGCACGTATACGGTGGCTTCGGCACTGTCAGATAGTTCCACTGACATAGCTGGTAATACACATACCTCACAGACCGTACATCCATTCCAATTTTGCCCACCACACTGGTCCCAGTGTTTCGATCTACATCCTCCGCCACCACCCGATGTACTTGTTGGTCTTTGCGTCGACGAAGTGTGACTTGGCGGTGTCGTAGATATTTTCGTAGTCGATGGTTGAGGACGCGAGGAGCTCGTTCGCGGTGGCGTTGGGGTCGAGCTTGTCTTTGGCGGGCTCGATGGTTTAGGCGGCTGCGATGGTCTTGGCGGCGATGTACCTCCTATTGTTGGTGTATCAACATAGCTGCCGTCGCAATAGTATGACATGCCGTTCAGTTTGAGATCTTTCATGATGGTACTGAGTCCGGCCACGCCCGTCCCTTTACAGGATGCGCCATTCATAGCTTGCTCATTGAGTGGCAGAGGGTACTCGATGTGGAAGACTGGCTTGTTGAGAGCGACAAAATTGTCATAGGCTTGACACTCGCCTTGTTGCGCACATTGCTCGTTGACTGCAAAGTCTATGATTGGCGACACGTCGTTGAGAATATCGAGGCTGTTCTTAAGACCGATTCTCATCTCGTATTTAGCGGCTTCCTTCTGCATCCATCGCAGATAGTCGACAGCGTCGATATTTTTGAGATTCAGACCGTCTAAATGTGGGTGAGTGGAGTCAGTGCATGTCTCACATGCAATTCGTACAGGGACACTTACTGTCGTTTTGCTACTACGGATCAGTATACCCGTGCCATCACATCAATTTAGTCAACGTACTATGAAGCATGAGAACTTACATATCCATCTGTGTTATCCGGATCGATCGCGTCGCAACCCTTGTCAGCAGCCAGCTTGATGCGCTTCGCCATTAGGGCTCTGATACCCTGACTGCCTGTCCGAATCCTACATAGTGGCGTGCGAAGTCAGTTCGTGTCTTACATGCAGTCCGTACACGAACACTTACCACCTTTCATTTGGCCATTCCGGTAGTACATTTCCTAGATCTGCGGCTGCAAAGCTTCTGTAGTCCTCTCTCCAGTCTTCCGCTGTTCCAGCACTGAAGTAGCAAATGACAATCTTGCCGGCTGCCTTGAGGGCTCCTATAGTCGTAGCAGGGTTATCGAATAGGTCGATGTCCCAAACCGGCGCATCAAGCGGTGAAAGAGGCATCTTGGACATGTCTGGAATGCCCAGGAGTACTATCTGAAACTTCTGTCCTCGTGTAAACGCAACGTTCTGTGCCCAAATAAATGAGAAGTAATATCCTAGCAACACTAGCCGCAAAATCATCTTGAACGAGTTGGAAGATCAGAAGATCTTCGATGCGTATGTTTGTTGGCCTGTACGAAAGAAATAGGATCAGAATGTCGAATCCGGGGAATGCAAAAACCATACGCTTGAGACAGATCTATCCAAGATCCGAATACTTACGTCGAGGATATGTAATGGCAATATGTCACAACTTGACTGTAGCCGAGACGCGGTCTGCAGCAACTCCCATGCGCCGCTATCACAGAAGATGATCTCCCATGTGTCGTGGCCTCTAGAGTTGCTTGGTTGTCGTTATATATCCTTGGAGATTGCACCATTACAAGAAGCCAATCATCCGATTACGGGGTCACTACAGGAATTTGACAGGACTAAAGTTTCGGAAGTCGCTCCAGTAGCTATGTTAGACGGCGAAACTGGGCGTCATCAATTCGACAATCCTTATCTGTCCAAGTTCCGGCTGTTTTTGAGTGTGAGAGATATACCATACTATGGGCCTTTGGAGAAAGAGCGGCGCCTGGAGCGAGATGTCATGGTATGTGTAGACAATTGTAACCGGAGACTGCCGGATCGGCTGCACGCATAGAGGTATGGTGATCCGGCAGATTCGTGCATTGCGGAGAAAGCTTGTTTTGTTTAGTCTCAAGCTCATCTCCGAGATCGTGTCGGTCAGATGCGCCGTGGTTGATCACATATGAGCAAGTTCTAGGCACGCGGGTAAATGGTGTACAATATCGGGGCCTTCATTTGGGAGACATTCGTCCAGTCCAGGCCAAAAAAGAGTGCTTAAAATTAAATCTCTGTCGGAATTATTTTTCAAAAAGTTCGCCCTAATGTTCTCGTTAAGCAGGGATTGGTTCTGCGACGAAGTTGTATATGGAAGATGACGCGATGTAGCGATGTAACTGGAAATCGAAGATGATGGCGAAGAATCAGCGCACAAGCGCGGGTTGCCCGGCAATTGAAAAGGTGATCAAAGCAAATGTGGGAGTCTGGAAGGTGATGAGAATTGCACTATCATCACGCATCTGATGAAGTTGACGGGTATGGTGGTGTGATGGCGGCCGAGGGACGACGCGTTATGTCATCTGGATTCCGCCATTATCGATAACACTAGCGCCATCTGAACCTTTTTGTGGGAGAGAAGTTGGGACATGCACAGAGCATGCAACAAGTCATGGTCGGCCGCGACTCTATGTTTCTTTTACTTCTGTCATTCTGCGAATACACATTTTAAATGCGGTGAATTCTTCTCCGCCTCTTGTTCTTACCACTTTCAGACAGCGCTTGCTCATGCTTGCGCTCTATCGACTGCGATGCGTCCCACACTCCACTCCAAGCTTTCAAACACGCTCTTTACGAACACTTCCTCGAGAAATACCGACATACATCCCACGATGGGATCCAACCCTACACAGGACTGCGCGACCAACTACGGTGTTGATTGAGTCGATGATAACGACTGCCGAGAAGCCCTCCTTCGATGCCAAAAGAGGTGCAGAGCGCGAGCAGCTTAGAGATGCACGCGTATCGGTCAACACGCTTGGAAAGCGAGTAGCTGTTAAAAGACTAAATCGAATACTGGAGCTAGTGAGCGGCACCAATGGCCGGGATGCCAGTCTACGAGCACCGCTTTGGCGAGCGTATTCTTTGGCCAAGGCTTCCGACCCAAAACTCCTAGCACGTCTACCAGATAGAGCATGGGATTTACTCTGGATTACGCAATCAGTCGAATCATTCAACAATCCGAATCGCACGGCACACATGGCACAGCTCTACCGCGACATGGACAAGGCTGGGAGGTCTACAACGGTCGGGCAGCGGACCAAACATCTGGAGAGTATCTTCCTTAGCGGGAAAGAAGATCAAGCTCTCAGGGAATGGGAAGAGGATCACAGATTGGGACTTGACGGTGTAAGAATGGATTACAAGCCGGAGCATCTGGAGATTGGGGCTAAACTCCATGCGCTTGCCAGGAATGTAGACTACAGCCGGAACATTATGGAAGAACTGTTTAGGCTATACCCAAGTTGGGACACCTCCGTAATGATGGCTGTGTTCCGAGCCCATACGAGTTCCGGTCTCCATGAGCACCACAATCTGGCAAAGCAGATCTATGCTAGAATGAAGGAGCTGAAAGGCGATGCCCGCTCAATTAAAGACTACGATGCTTGGCTCGTGGGCTTCTTAGAAACGCGAAATCTAAGCTACGCGAAACAGGTGTTTCAGGACATGGTTAAGGATGGCTACCTGGCTACCAGCGGGACCACAGAACGAGTCAGCCAGGTGCTGAAGAGACTACACATGCTGTATCGACTTGGAACCGATATTGAGTCAATGACTAGTATCGCTCTTGATGCTATATCTGTGCTCCCTCCTGGCTATCACGGCTATCTGTTCGGTGACTGGATGAAAGCCACTGTAGTCAGAAAAACACCACAGGCAGCCGCCCAGATCATGGAGATGATGCTCAAGCGAGGCTACAAACCGGAAACGTTCCACTTCAATATACTTCTCAGAGCTTTGATACGGACGAGAGAAGATGCGAACATCCTGAAAGCTGAAAACATTGGTTGGCGTATGATCGACGCGGCTCGCGAAGCTCACCGACATAATCTTACTCCGGATACAATGGCAACCATGATCGAAAAAAGAACCGCCGAGGCTCATCACGCAAATATCAACGTCACCCAAAGAGCTCCTGTTGCCAATGTCACGACATTTGCTTTGATCATGCAGCACCACGCCAATAGCCTACAATGGGAACATGTCGACTACTTGTCCCGCCAGCTCAAGGAAACGAAAGTCGAACCCAATGCAACCATCATGAATGTTCTCATGAATAACAAATGCCGTCAAGGTGCCTACAGCGAAGCATGGATGATCTACAAGACTCTTACTGAGCCACGGGAAGGAAGCGACGGCGTTTTCCCAAACGGTGCAAGCATACGCTGTCTCTGGAAAACGCTGCGTCTAGCACTTGGTGATCATACCGTTCAGAACAAGCTCGAATTACCTACCCCTCGTGAGCTACTAGCAGAGACGGTAAGCTGGTGGACACTCAGCCGCAGTCGCTACGACGCCGACCGTTTTCGCATGGGCCTCGCAGGCGCAGATAGTGGAGCAATCACGTCACTCATCATGCACTGCTTCAGCTACACTCAAGACCTGGCTGGCTCGCTAGTCGCTCTGCACGTCCTTCGCCATCACTTCCACATCTTTCCCACCGACGAATCAGCGCAAATCTTGCAAAGACAGATGGCTTGGGTGGACATGGCACGCGAGTCTGAAGCTGTGCGCAGTCAATATTTTCACAGTCGCTCCAACAAGAAGAACACGGATCGTATAGCTGCGGTCTACAATGTTCTACTTCAACGACGATTGGCGAGAATGGACCTGAAAGAAGGCGACTATGAGAAATTGACGGATGAACAGATTGGGGACGTGGGATTGAATCTGTTGAGCGAGTTTGTAAGAGTGGTGCTCAAGAGAAGTTATCCAGCCGAAGTCGTGGAGGCGATGATTGATGCGGCGAGATGCGCAGTAGGTGTACCCAACCTGCCAACGGGGGACATGGATGCATTTGAAGTGGCTTGAATGAACTGCAATTGCCGGGGTGGAAGTTGATGTACTGGAGAGTGAATATTCAAGCGATACTACAACCATCCAACCATCTTTGCATCCGAATACAACCACCAGTAAACCTCAGCCCAGCTCTTGTTGCAAACTATAGCATACAACAGATTGTGACATACCTCAACTGGCCCGGAGAAGCTACCCTCTCATGTTCGTTCTCTTGAAACAGAAAGTTCAACTCATCAAATCTAGCATGTTCGCAGGCAGATATGGTTACCCTTGCGAACTAGAGTAGCTTATCCAGAAAACCTCGTAGATACGATATAACTCGTGGATGTGTGATGCAGTTCTAGACAGTATTCATATAGTTCGGGGCAGAATTGATACTCGACCGTAACAACAGCATCAACACACGCCTCTTTGAGTATCTCGATATCATACGCCGTCCACTCTCTCACCTGAGCAACAGACGGTGAAGATCTATATAGGAATTTTGTGTGCTGTTCGTCAGGAGTCGCGACATTGATGGAGAGGTTGATGTTCCTCAAGCCCGGCAGTGCGATGGATAATTTGAGATTCGTTGCATGACGAGGCCGAAAGCCTTCGCTTTTGAATCTGCCGCACTTCCAGCCTATAATTCCAGAATACCACGGCTCATACGTGCATGGGAAATCTAGACGTGTGATGGCTTGCTGTTGAAGAAGCGAGCGATTTGGAAGCCACTCGTTTATGAAGGTATATGGACAGTCGTTGATGACAAAGGTACCAGATACGAATGGTAGGAGCGCCATTTCTGTGTGCATCTGTTTACAGACCCCTGTGGTTCGAATAATGCGTCGTAGGTCTTCAAAAGGAAGATTTTGGGTATCTGAGCCAGCTGTGCGTTTATATCGCCCAGACTCAGCGCACGCGGATTCAAATCTAGGCCTAACTTCTTTGCCTTCTATGGAGGAGAGTACGACTGAATTCATTTTCCAAGTCTGACATAGCGCGTACTCGTAGATTTGGTTTCGTAGTTCTCCAGATAGACGCAGAAACGGCGAGTTTTTTCTATTGAGTGCGGCACTGATGCGTTCGTTAGCCAGAAATATCATTAAATATTCCATTATCCATACTAACATCTCCTCAGCTTCTGGTTTAGATTGAGGTTGCATATAAACTTCCTCGGTTATATCGTCGGGTACTGATCTATCTTCATCACGAGGGCGAATTGGCAGACGAGCGATAGGCGAGTGCATGACGCAGGCGACCTAGTGTTTTGTGATTGGTGTTCTGGAGAGATTGCAGGCCGATGCAGGTGACTTAAAAAGCATAGGTTTGCGAGATGTTGGAACGTTTCAGCACCCAAGACTATATGTTGAGCACTCATTCAACTGCTGCCTAGTGTACCTGTGCAGCTGAGGACGCTTCATGGGGGCGACAGCCTTCCGACAAGTTGTCTTGAACTATAACTGCTACGTGCAATAACCCAAAAACAAGAGAGGTGTATCGTGACTGAGTCGAGTTGATGGCTAAAGCCATATGTTAGAGTCTCGCGATATATGTCGTCGTTGTGGATTGACATGATTGGCCGTGGCTGCGGGTAAGCTAAACATGGGGCTCTTCGATCGAGCATTCCGCGGCGTCGATCGATGACGCTCCAACGCTCAGATGTCCACAACGCGCACCAAACGCGGTTAAAGTTGATGGTTGCTTACTTTACGATGACGCTCACTGTCGTGCCGATGGCTGGGATGCGACCATCAAAATTATTTGGTCGTGCTGCATCTTCGGACCACGACCACCTCCACGCCTTGTACCAACGCCATCATGTCTCCACAGGGTGAGCGCGCACCGTTGCTACAACAGAGATGGAGCGAGGAAGGCGAGCCGCGGACCGTATGTTCTCTTTCGCACGCTTTTGCTATTCGTAGTATTGGTTCTCTAACTTTTGATAGCATCTTCGCATCGAAGATCTTTCGAACGAGGAAAACCCACGAGAATGGGTGCGCTGGCGGAAGATGGCCAACGTGGCTGTGATAGCCCTCATGTCCAGTACATGCATTCCATCCGCCTATACATACCTTTACTAATAATGGTCGTGGCAGTTCTCAGCCCTCTCGTATCCTCCATGTTCACGCCTGGCATCGCGCAAATCGCCGACGACCTCGACTGTAGTACGACTGCCGTTATTGGAACAACAACTGGATTCGTAGTCATGCTCGGAATCGGCCCCTTGATCCTCGCACCACTGTCCGAGACGTTTGGACGCAGAAGAATCTACCTCGTCTGCTTCTCCGTCTTTGCTCTACTACAAATACCCGCTGCGCTCGCGCCGAACATCGCATTCCTCATCACAGTACGAAGCATCGCGGGCTTCTTTGGTAGCGTCGGAATAGCAAATGGTGGCGGAACCATCAGTGACATGTTCATACCAAGTGAACGAGCAGGAGTCTTTGGCTGGTACCTGTTAGGCCCGTTACTTGGACCTACCCTAGGTCCATTATTCGGCGGCATCATCGTACAGCGTTTGGGCTGGCGCTGGATTTTCTGGATAATGACCATTGTGTGCTTCGTCAATACCTTGGCCGGTTACTTCTTCCTCCGAGAGACATATGCGCCGTTGATCCTGAGTTCCAAGAAGGCGGAGTTTGAGTCCCAGAGCTCCGAGTTTGATGGCACAAAGTACTCGTACGAAGGTGAAGATACAAGGCCACTGAAGGAAAAGCTTGCGCAAGCTCTCAAACGCCCACCGAAGATTTTTGCTCAGCCCATCGTTGCGGTCATGGCTGTATACCAAGCGCTCATCTTTGGTACAACCTACAGTATCTACACGAACATGCAACCCATATACCAGGACGATTACGGTTTTTCAACCGAGAAAGTTGGACTGTTATATCTGGGCCCTGGATTGGGTTTTCTTTTCGCAGTCTGGTTCCTGGTTCCACGAATCGATACCGTGTACAAGACTCTTACGGCGAAGAACCACGAAAAGGCACGACCCGAGTTTCGCCTTCCACTGGCGAACATTGGCTCTGTCTTCATTCCCGTGTCGCTCTTTTGGTTTGCTTGGGCTGTAGAGAAGCACACGCACTGGTTTGCGTCCATATCAGCGACTTTTTTCTACGGCATTGGACAAGTCATGATCCTAAATAGCACGCAGAATTACTTCATCGACAGCTTTGAGAAATACGCGGCTAGTGCAATCGCTGCTGGTACCGTGTTTCGCAGCGTCGTTGGTGGTATCATCCCAATCTTTGCGCCGATGCTGTTTGAGAAGATAGGATATGGTTGGGGCATCAGCACGTTTGCGTTTGTAAGCTTGGTTCTTGCGCCTGCTCCAGTTTTGTTCTTTATTTTCGGCGAGAGACTCCGGGAACGGTTCCCGGTCGATTTGTAAAGCTTGATCATGTAGGTATCATATTCATATTCTTAGCGTAACCTTGCTATGTCTGGGGTATTGTCTCACCAACCCTATTACTGCTCGATCTCAAGAGACCTTCCTCTTGAGGAAGAAGTGTGAATGAATATAAGCGAATGAAGAGAATCTAATGTGATCAGCTCTGTATCACACGTATGTCCCGCTCAACGACAACACTGTAGCAATGCGAAATACGAGACGACACTAAAGCTAAGTTGACACTGAAACAGCCTATTCGAAATGTCTGGCAATTACAGTACCTCTAGATCCTTGATAGCCACTCACTGATCAAAATCACTTGCGGGCGAGAGCACAGGGCTTTAGGAAACCATGCGCCATGATTGTCCTCGTTATCACAACCCCGTATTTCAGAGCCATTGACTTGTTTGGACGGTAGGTCCTGTGTTCCCGCACCACAAAGTCTACGAGGTGGGATACCACCATACAGGTAACACGCTTCTTGGCGTTTATCTCATGACTAGGCGGAAGTCTCACATTCCTCTTCCGGTGTCAATCAGAAGGTCTATATAAATCCCCAGATAATACATCTCCGGTCCTTATCACTTTCCATCCCTAATCCATAGCCAAAGGTCTCTCAAATATGCATCTTGTCCCGTTTATCACTACTTTGCTCACCATCACAGCTGCGTCTATCGCGGCTCCCACCGACAATTCCATCGATACTCTCCCGCCGATCGTTTTTCTCAGGCTTGTCCTGGTAGGCAAATTCACCACTGGCAGGGAGGGGGCTGTGAGCTCAACTGGGGAGCAGACTGTTTCAATCGATGTAAAAATGCTGCTGCAGGAAGACGTTGCTGTATGAGAACAGTCGGTTGGTATCAGGATGGCGGAGGATGTTTGGGCCTTTGGGAGACTTGCGAGTGCACATGCAAACGTTAGGCACGTGTGGATATCCGGTAACAAAATGGTACGAACTTGTGGCGATCATGATCTGTATTTAGAACCATCTGCTGACACTTCAGACATAGTTGAGCTGTCCTGGGGCTAGTACGCTGTCATTGCATCCATAGTATTTGTATGGTGTTTGTGTTGACTGGCGGACGGTACATGATTGGCTGGCGTCGTCATCATCTACAGCTCGAAAGGTTCTTATGTGACACCAAACTACATCGTTTTGAGTCCTGTAGGCGCGGTTACTTCTGTAATATCGATGCGTGGAATCAAAATTCGTCCATGTCAGCAACAATGATCTCGTACTGTCTCTTCGGATTTTTAGAGGACTTGTAATCAAGCTCAGTAGACTTCCACTGGTGCTGAAATCGACAAAAAAGTGTACAAACTCCATGGTGTTGGGTGAGCCTTCCCCAGCACGATCGCCATGATCTCACGCTTGCGGAGTCCGGACGACACCCGACCCGACCTCGGGGTCTTGCTACTCTCAACTACATTATTACATCGAAATCCATTTATAAACACACTACAATGATTTCCATATACCCTCGCCTATCGGCGCTTGACTCCTGTAGAGATCACATATACAACTTTACTTGAAGTTCGCGCGTCCACTGTGGATCCGCAGACCGACGCGACCATGTCATATGCTACCATTTGGCTCACAGTAGTCACAGTACCGGGTGTTGAGGTACTGCCCTTAAAATTCGGCCGTTCGCTCCTGACTATTACACCGCATATCTGGTTCGGCATGCACCCTGCGTCGGAGTATGCCCCTCCGCGAAACATGCAATGAGACTATGACCACTACGGTCTGTTTCCATGACTATCAGATCTTCATTTGCATCTTTCACTTTTGTCACTCCTCATTATTTCAGAAGGATGATAAGTATGTTGGAACGGGAGCTACATATACGAAACGCTAGCGGATCCATGGAAAACGTTGGCCATGATCAAGATAACAGCTGTAATACTGGGCATGTTATGTTATGTGAGGCCGATGCTTTGCCAGCGTATAAAGACCAAAACTCTAAGAAGTGCATCAATAGGGACGAAAGTAGCCTTATCGTCCAGGTCACAAGACAGGTTTCTTCATATGAAAAGCTGAACAAATGGCAGGCATCATTGATTTACATCACAAATCAGGTCAGCATAGGAATACTGGGCTTGCTTGCAGCATTTCAAACCTTCGGATGGATCCAGGAATTATCTGTATTATTGGACTAGGTAAAGAATCCCCGAAACCTAACACACTGCAAGCACTTTACTGACACAAGTTCTGAAAGGTATCACGGTGATGTACGCAGCATACGTCCTACTCCAGTTCTTTAGGAGGTATCCTTCGGTGTTGAGTTGTGTCGACTGCTTCAAGATTATCTGCGGCACCCCTCTGGCTACGGTCGTCGGTCTGTGGGCTTCAATTCAACGGCTCCTAGCAGCGTGCAATGATCCGCTCATGCCCGTCAATGGCTCATTCACGTGCGCAGACAATAGCGTGTGGAGGCAGCTGAATCAAGCTCCGTGCATGATACGACGATACGATCAGACCATCGATCACAGGTTACATTTGCAACATGTATGTAGAGTGCATCCAGCAGCGATGGTACCATCACATGTCAGGAAGTGTTTTTATACGCAAGCGTTATACAAGATTAGAATAGCAGATCTTATGGTGACGACAGTTGCGTCTTTGTATTATGTAGTACAGGACTATCAAGATCGAGACTACATGGACCTTTTTAAGCACAAACGTGCCTGCCCATCACACAACACCTTTGCACGTGACCCTTAGAGGTGCAAGCTCTTCTCTTATCTGATGCAGGAAACCCTCCCGAGATTCCGCTGTTTCTTCGTTGGTATCTGGACTACCCTCACCAAGAACCGACGTCCAGCAGATGCCAACGGTTACTCTTGCCGGCAGCCACCTCGCATCTTGCAAAGCTGTCACTATATGAGAGTCATATACTCTCCGACATCCCTGTGTAGAGCGCTCGTTCCTCCTCGTACGGTGCGACTGTACATAGTGATATCTATTTGCATACCACGAACTGCCATCACCGAGGCGCATGGCCTCCGCACTATCAATTCCCAGATCAAGTTCTTCCAGCGCAGGAAGGTGTTCTAGAAAAGCGAACGTACGCTGCATATCGTCAAGTAGCTGCAAACTTCTCGCTTGAGAGTTTGCGAAAAGTGCAACCATGTTCGTCGGATGCAAAAGTACGCGTTCGATGCTGGAGTTGGGAATAGTGATGCGTTTGACGAGCTTCCTGTTGTCAAGGCCGATTTGGCGGCAGAATTCTCGTACAACGAAGCGTATGGACTCTGAGTCGTTGTGTAGGAAGAAGGTGAAGTGGCCGAAGCAGTAAGTGAGAACCTCGTCATGAAAGGTGCTGCTGACGAATACCATGCCTTGGATGCTTTCGAGGCCCTGTAATTTATAGCCACCGCTGTGTCGTTGTCGGACGGTTATTTTGATGGCCCGGCTCTGAAAATCTTGCGCGAGAAGATAGTGGTATATTTGCTGACGGATTTCGAGCGGTAGTCTGAGAAAACCGGGGGCGGTGGTGGTGGTAGCCATCATTGATGACGTCTCGGATGTTCAAGTGTTCGAATCAAGCATAGACAGCCATCACCATCCAAAAGTTGACTCGTAGGCCATCTGCTGAAGGATTGACTGAGCAGAACAGAGTCCAATAGTGTACCTAGTACCGAAGGTTTGGTCACAGGATGCAGACCTCAACGCATCACTACCATAAGGGTCCAGGGTCCGTGCCTGTGCGGCACAGTCACCCCGCAAACGGCCTACCAGCTGTTCTAAATAATGCTGTCCCGAAAACATCTCCTCATGATTGCTACTCCATTTATGGTATCGCTAAAGGGGTCGTAGGAATATGCAGTCTGTTTTCAACCTGAGCAGTTTCTGGCTTCGCTGAACCATCCATGCTACATCTAAATTGCGTTCCACCAAGAGAAGATTATCTGGATCCACCAACCCACAACATGCCGTGATTTTACAGCTCAGTACATTGCGCACACACCAAAGCTTGTTTTGATATGATATTACTGTTTGTTGTAAATAGATTAAACACTAAAAACTACCTCCAAGCCACCCTCGCTATCGACTTGCAGTAAACATAGTATGGACAGGATCAAGATAGAGAAGACATAATCGCGTAACGTAGCCTATACACGTTTGACAAAAGAGCTACGAGCTACATCAATGTGACTTTACAATCAGACGTTGATTGACAGAGAGAGACCCTAGGCAGCACCGACGATGGCATCAACACAGCCGAAGTTCTGCTCAACGTCAAGGTTACCGGGCTCCTTCCAGCCATCGTTCTGGTAAGAGAACAGGCAGGACTCAGAACCGACCTTCTCCATGATCTTCTTCATAGCAGTCTTCTGCTGCTCAACACCGGCAACAGCCTTTCCGTTAGACTGACCAGCGCTGGGCCAGCCGATCTCAGTGATGTACTTGCCCTTGGCAGCGGCCTCGGGGCAGACCTTGGCAGCTTGCTCGAGTTGCTGGGCGGCAAAGTCACCGGCCTCCTCAGCAGAAACGGACTGAGTGAAGTAGGGGTGAACCTGGACAGTGAAGACATCGATGTGAGAGCAGAGGGCAGCACCGTGCTCCTCCCAGGCACCAACGGTCTCAGTGGTAGTGACGGCAACGCCCTCATAACCGCAGCTGACGAGTTCGTCACGGACATAGTCGATGTAAGAACCAAGCTCGTTAACATCGCAGTTACCGTTGAAGACGCACTCGTTTCCGACAATGACCATGGCAACAGAGTCCTTGGGGGCGTTGTTGGTGATGTCCTTGAGCTGGTCGTTGGCGTAGCTGGAGAAAGGACCCCTACCGCCCTTGCCACCGGCCTCGAGGAAGATACCGTAGATGACCTTCAATCCGTACTTCTGGCACTCAGGAACAACGTGCTCAAAGACACCGCAGTCAGTGCTGTAAGAACGGATAGTGGTGAAACCGAGCTCAGAGATCTTCTTGATGTCGGTGGCAATCTCGTCGGCGGTCTTGCAGTCACCAGAGTTGGCGTAAGGAGTGTAGGTAATGGCCCACTTGTCGCCGTTGGTCTTGATGTGGTCACCTTGGTTGTAGCTGCCAGTGGGCTTGGGCTTCTCGACCTTCTTGGTGGAGCTGGGGGTTGGCTTGGGCTTCTCAGCCTCCTTGGAGGAGGAAGGGACGGAGGGAGTGTACGCAGGCTTGGAAACCTCGGGCACCGCTGGGTAAGCAGGCTTAGAGGATTCGGGAACCGAAGGGTAGGCGGGCTTGGACTCTTCAGGGACAGAAGGGTAAGCAGGCTTGGAGGCCTCAGGGACGGTAGGGTAGGCGGGCTTGGAGGCCTCAGGAGTACCGGCAGGGTAAGTTGGCTTAGGGGCCTCCGAGGTGGAGGTCTTGCCCTCCTCCTCAGTGCAGGTGGTGGACTCCGGTACAGCGGGAACCGGCTTGGATGCCTCTGGGACCTCGGGAACAGCGGGCTTGGATACCTCAGGGACGGAGGGGTATGCAGGCTGAGTAACCTCAGGTACGGTAGGGTAAGCGGGCTTGGAGGCCTCAGGAGTACCGGCAGGGTAGGTTGGCTTGGGAACCTCCACGGACGAAGTCTTTCCCTCCTCCTCAGTGCAGGTGGTGGAGGACTCTGGGACAGCGGGGACGGCTGGCTTCGAGGACTCGGGCACCGCTGGGTAAACAGGCTTGGTGGATTGAGGCACCACGGGGTAATCAGGAGCGGAAGATCCGGGAACTACAGGAGCCGGGCTGGAAGGCTTAGGAGCCTCTCCAGTCGAAGCCGGAACGTTGGGTGTGTAGGTCTCCGGGGCATGAGATGGAACAACCATGGTGGTGTTGTGAGCCACGGAGGGTGCTGAGTTTTGTTAGTCTGTGTACTAAACTAAGCACGATTCCCTTTCGTTCACTGCTTCTTTCCAAGGTTGGTTTTCACATACTTGCGGTTACATAGACGGTGTGGGTGTAGACCTCACACTCATCGGCGGCGGCATATCCACCATGACGACGCATGTGGAATCCAGAATGAGCCTTGTGCTGGGCAGCGACAACTGACCCAACAAGGGCAGCTGCAACGTAGGAGTAACGCATCTTGAACTTGTTTACGTGGTATAAGGGTGACTAGTGGTGGTGATCGTCCGCTGAGCGAGTGAAGCGGGTATTATTAAGTAAATGGATAATGAGTGACGGGGCACAAAGGCCAAAGGTTCTTGTCAACGAGGCTGGTGATGCGTAACTTGAAAGCCTTGCGTAGTAAGAAAAAAGAAGAAATCTTGGGGAACACAGCGGTTTTCATGCATGTGCCGTGGCCTGTGAGCAGCAGTTAGTGGAGAACTGCCTCTAAGGCGTTAGGTTAGGGGTCCTGGAAATTGGCGTGATCATTGTTGTACAAGAACGGCATGGGCGCCATCCTACGGCTCTATTGAGATCGTGATGTGCTCCGAGCGGAAATGAGTCTGGGGTATAATTGTCGTGTTAGGTCGCGGGTGGGTCTTGTCTAGGGTCAGATGAAGTTAGTCGTCTTTTCACCCTGAACAGTCGTCCCGTGTAAACGAGTGCGTCACAACAACAAACACCACGCCAATTCCTCGCGCCAACAATGCCATGAAATGGACAAACTCTATCGCAGCAATGCCACTTGTTGCATGTTTCTTAGCTGCCATGTGCCCGACATCTCTTCTGGTAAGGCGCATCTCGTGTCGCTAATTACGGCCCACCGACTGGCTCCTGTCTTCATCAAAACCACGGCAACGCGCATATCAGCAATCACAAGCAACAATCGCGAACGGCTAGTCTTTGTGCAGCTCACAGGCGGAGCCATGCCCGCAGCGTGCGCCACCATGCAGGTACAGAACGACTTGTGCAGGGTTATACCTACTAGGCGTTCTTTAATTGGCCGACAGCCCCATTGAAGAGTTGGGGTGGATGCTGGATGCTGGTGCGTGCCCCTTTCTTCTCACGACTCGAGGGAACGAACGGCCGGCGCATTAAACCCGCTACCACCGCTATTGATGGACGTCACTAAACTCTCCGCTCGACGATGCCGGACCCTCGGAAAGCAGGTTTCCGCGAGCTGCTAAACATAGTTGTAGGCAATTCGGTGATTATGAGTGTATGAATACGATGTGTATCTCAACTTTGCGTGCGACGATCCGACGAAATTACGGTGGCGCGTATTCGGTTGTCGATTGTTGTTACCAAGCGCCGCTGAGAGTGCCTTGGGTGCCTTGTCAGCATTGGCGACACAATCCGCTGCCTAAGGAGCGAACAGCATGTCAGGCGACCACTCTGTACCCGCTCCGAGTGAGCACTTCCGTCTAACATCAGTGAACGGTTCGCCTATCAGCCACTCACGAAGCTCGTATACGTAGCAAGCAACGTTTACTATCTGTCGTATCGTGGTTGCAGTTTCTTCCTATCCTGAAAGTTATACCGAAACTTGGGAGGGCTGCACATCCATGACTCTGAAGACCGCAATTTAGGTTTGTTTGGTGAGCCGAGTATGCATTTTTATGCTATGAGCGACAAACAAAGGTACCTCTACCCCTACTTCTAGTGATTATCTTTCCCTCATCCGTCCTGGACCACTTCTGGAATCTCCTCCTAACCTTACCGGCTATTACCCTCTCGTTGCCTGTAGTAATGCGCCTTCATCATATCCGCAAAATCCTTGCCTCCGTGTTCACTGAAGTGTCCCTCCTTCCCTTTTGCTGTCTTGATTGCTGCCTCTGTCGAGCGTGGAAACATCTCTTCTTCATAGTCTTTCACACCACCTGCAAGAGTTTTCTCCCCATTGCATACTTTGACGACCTCTTGCGCCAAAACCAGTGCGTCCTTCATACCCACATTGACTCCTTCGCCGGCAAACGGTGTAAACACATGCGCAGCGTCCCCGATGAGGGTGACGCCTGAGCGAGAGGGCCAACGGAAACCGACAGGGAGTTCGTACAAAGCACGAGCTGTAGGGATTTCTGTAGAGGAGAAGATGACGCGCTTGAGATCATCGTGGATGTGTGAGAAGTAGCGGTCAACATATGTCTTGAGCGCTTTCTCCTTGTCATCCCAGTCGATGTCGCAAGTTTCGAGGAAGTCCTCTGGCACGCGCAAGGACGCGTAGGTCCGTAAGCTACCATCGCCTTGCCGTTGAGACTGCACTGCACAGTCCTTCCCAAAAGCCATCATCGAGCCCTCACCTGCATATTCAAGCAGCCAAGGATCGGCCTTGACATCCTTGCATGTCAATGCCACAGACGATATACCCGAGTACTCTGGCATCTTATCGGTGAGAAGTTTGCGAACCTTGGACCACGCTCCATCTCCTCCGACTACCAGATCGAACCCAAGCTCTTTTGTGTCGTCTGCGAAGTGTAGATTGTACTTCCCCTCTTCTTCGTCAGACGGCACAGCTTCTCTTAACTTCATCCCAAATCTCACAGACCCCTCCTTCAGATTCTCAAACATCAACGTTGCTAATGCCAATCGATCAATCTCAGGTCTTCCATCGAACTTTTCCTCCTCGTTGACTTCCTGCTTGTCAGCTCCGTTTTCATCCCAGAGCACCTCTCCGTTCAAAGTCACAATCTTCATCACATCGCTTTCTGGACGCGCATGCTTGACGAATGCTTCCCATAGTCCTGCTTCTTTGATGGCGAGCTGACCAGACTCGGGGTGGAGGTCTAGAGAACCGCCTTGCGTACGGACTTCAGGCGAGGACTCGAAGATGGTGAAAGGGATGGAGTGCTTTTGGAGGATGTTGGCTAGGGTCAGTGAGGCAGGACCGGCGCCTACAATGCCGATTTTGAGCTGTGAAGGCATGGTGACTGATGGTATGCCTGCTCGAGGGTTACGCAGGTCTTTGTATGATAGCTCGATGAACTTGGACTGGTGTGCGCCGTTGTTTCAGTAGAATATGTTATCTCTCTAAGCAGACAACTATAGGGGAACGAAAGGTGAATAGTGGTACAGTTACGCCTTTGTGAGATAATATCAAATATATGCAACATAGTGTCTCCAGGCCTCGCGATAAATACTTCTATGCATACTCTGCTGCCTAGCTCAACATCACGTTTTCCAGATGCTTACTCGGAGTCTCGGGTCCTAGAGGAGCATACAGTGCGACGCGTCTGACATCTCGGGCCCGAAACCACACGAAGGGTCCGAACATATCCCCAGGCAGAGCCCCAAAAGTCACACACACCACAAATAAGGCTTTACAACATGTATGCATTTCTCGAATTTGCACAAGTTGCGCAACCCATACTTTGCATAGGCTAGTGATCTGCAGTGCTGGCGCGTACTTCTGCGAGGGCTGTTCGAGATCAACGTGGCTCGACCCTCGGTTGCGCTCAGCCTAGCGCTTACCGTGAGGAAATAAGGTTATAGGTGGTAGCGCGCCTTATCTGCGTCAAGCTTCGAGCCAAGAGACGTCGAGTGAATGAATCGATCGGCGCAGCGAGCCGTCTGTCGATGTGCAAGATTAGGAATCAAAATCAATCTCGTTTCCTTTTTCTTTTCAGACAACCTCCAGGGGCTTTGCGTCTCATCGCTGATATGACGGTATTGCTTTTTCCATAAAGTGCGATCGACATCCACAACTACCAAAAGTATTTGCATCAGTTTCGCAATGAGCCAATGGGACAATCTTGTGCTGCATCCCAGACGCAGACGGTGTGCAGAGCTGGATTTTGAATACGTAAAGATTGCCTGGCTCACAACTGTACACACGTGACGCATCCCGTCCCGCGTTTTACGTCGTGTTGTTGGAACGTGCTGTTGGGACCACAAATTTTGACACCCAAGTGCGATAAGACCCTTGCAGCTTGCGAATCCAGAACCCGGTGCGTCATCGTATTGCGATGATCATCCCAAACCCAGCCCTCCTCCGCCTTTACCAAAACCGGGTCTCTTGCTAGCCAGGGCAATGTTATGGACCGTGTTTCCAACCCTTACTTTGACGGCATCAAAAGCAGCTTCTGGCGCCTGGATGAATTTATTTGTGTCGATATCCTGAACCAGAGTCGACCACTCCTTGTCAGGCTCAGCCAAGTTCCAAGCTATGCTGACGTGGAAATATTGCGAATAATCATGGCTGTGAGGCTCATTCTTATCGACCTCGTTCTTGTCGACCTTCCTCCGCTTCGGACCGTCATTGGAGTCGTGGCTCTCCATCGGACCGTCTCCCACTCCGCCTGTATACAGACCTGGATGACCGCTGTACTGGGTCGCATCGTTGCATGCCTGCAGCAGGCGGTTAAGTTCATTCAGCTTCGACTGCTTGATGCCAAGGACGAGAAACCATCTATTGCGCTCGAAGTTGGGTACCCATTTCAGGTTCTGAAATTCAAAATTGAAAGCGCGTACTGCACATCGCCGGACAGAAACACTCATAGTTCGAAGAAATGGTTCTCTGTCCTCGGTATTGATCTGCAGGGTCCGCGACAACGACACATGAAGAGGTAACGACGCACCCAGCTCTGACTGGAGAGATGGTATTATCTCCGGTACGGGCAGTGTCTTCGTTCGCTTTGCATTTTGGAGAGCAATTGATTCTCTTACATGTTGTAGCAGGCTGTGTAGAGCATCGGATTCAGGCTGTGTAGGTATCCCTCGAACGCGTTAGTCTATATTATCCACGTTGATGGTGAATTACTCTGGGTATCCTTACACTCTAAGTAGACGTGACTAGGCCATTTACCCTCAATATGAGGTACAGCCCGCTTACGTCCGCCGTGTAGGCTTGGGTTGTCGCTAGTGCTGACACGCGCATTTGTCGCGTAGAGATCGTGAAAGGCTGGCGGAAGGGGTGGCAGAGCATTGCTAGACTCGCTGTGCTTGCGCTTCGACGCAGCTTTGGCGGCAGATTGGGCCGTCTGGGCAGATACATCAGGGCTCTTATCATCATCATCCGAGGCGGAATCTGGATAATCCACCAGGGACATGGTGGGCTGGATCGTGTTGGGTGAGGGATCATCGTAGCTGTCGTCACTCGTGGAGAGGACCAAGCGGCCGCCCCACTCCCAGCCTAGCGCATCCGCATGACGTATGGCTGCGATTGGGCCGCTCTTTTCACCAAGAGGAGACAAGAAGAAATCTGACGCAGGGCCGCGACTGCGAACCGATGACATGTACGCGTCCACGGTACCTGCCAAGTCAGGCCTTTATGTAGTTCGCTTGCCCTCCCGTCACCTGTTCACTCTTCTCGTATCCATCTGTTGCACCTGACATTCGCCTGACCATTAAACTACAACCGTGCAACTACTCCAACCCTCATACAATCTCAGACTCAGATATTCACAATAGAACCCAGTCATCATGCAGGCTGTAAGTGTTGTGTTCCTATTGTTTAGTCGCATGGCGATCCGTTTACCGCGCCTCGCATGTGCGCCGGCACGCCTTCTCGAAGCCGTCCCAAAGCAGTTCAGCGCAATGATGTGTATCTGAACGCAAAAGCTAACTTAACAGGCCCAGCATGCGTTGATCGATCCTCTGATCGAGCCAGACCCGAGCGACGAGACTGGACTGAACAGCCATTTCCGTTCGACATTTGCTCCTGCAGCGCCCATCACACCACCCGGATCCGCTGGAGACTCCAAAGGCCACCCATCCGTTAGCGTTCAGAACACCGGAAGCTCAGTTGAGACCAACCCTTTCCGCCGTCATTCCAGGGCTTCGTCCGAGTCAAAGGGCGCTTCGGCATCAGTGTCACAGGTTAGGCAGAGTACGCCACAGAGTAGGAGGTATGATTATCCATCCCCTCCCAACTCTGCCAGCCCTAGACGTGCCCATTTCTCTGAGAACCACCGCGCGGAAATCTTTGGACCTATGAACGAGCGCCGGCCCCGACGATCCAGCGACCATGCACCATCCGCTATGCAAAAGAGCCTACCTACTCGTGCTCGTGCAGGCTCACTGAAGGAGCGTTTTCCTGGTGACAAGTCACACAGACCTCTTGACCAACTGCGTCATGATGAGAAAGTTGCTCACCGTGCTCCTCATCTTAGGAAAAAGAACTTCCAAGGCGCCGACGTCATCGATCGTCTGGACAAAGCAAGCTTCGGTCGGTACCACCACGAGGGCCCGTACGATGCCGCCAGTCTCGCTCGCAATAGGGATACCAAGTACAGTCCTCTCGCGGCGGTCAAAGACTCGAACGAAGAGGCCCTGAGGGCTACCCCACGAGAGAACATCATCGACTCTGTACAGAGGCATCGTCCTTTGGAGGGTGTTGCCATCATACCACCTGGCATGGCTGATCGTTTCGGAAGGGTTCTCAATTATGAAGAGGGAGCTGACCTGCAACGAGAGCCTGGAGGTGATTACCGCCGATGGCCTGGTGTGGTATGTTCCTCTACTGTTTTTCCTTGTCAGAACCTTGTTAACATAGCGTAGGAATACCACCCAGACGACCTCAAGGGCAAGGGCGAGCCTTCTTTCACTATCGAAAAGGCCCTGAAGGATCACAAGCGTCTTGGCGACACTGGCACTGAGATGACCACTCGCAGCCATCGCACCCGCAGCGCAGGCCATGCCGAAGCACCCGGTATCGTTCCTTCCGTCGCAACAGATCCCGAAGCATCCGGCGTCGGCCGCAGCAATACCACTGGCCGAAGTGTTGGTGGCGCTATCAAGAGGCGCATTGGCAGCATCCGGCGTCGCAAGCAAGAAGTCGAGGTCTAGGGGATCCCGCTCTTTGTGCGCTCGAAGCGCTTGTCCGACGTTCCACATGCACACGTGACGGCTTGATATTCCATCCCGTTTTGAGCGAATTTCCGAAATTGTACCATCCCGCACAGCATACTGACACGTATTGAGCGTCGTTTTTTTCTTTTCTTACTGGGCTCGGCAGTAGTGTAGCGTACATATGAGTTACATGATGTTTCATAGTTTGCGCCGCATATGGGCTTCGACCGTGTGGTCGAAGCCGTGTACGATATATGAGTAGTAGCTAGCAGATTACGAATAATGAACTGTATCTCAGTACCTCTTACGTTCCCTTTGCCACGTACAGTGAATTCTATGATGGTGAAAACAAGGGCATCGTGTAGTGACAATATAGAACTGATGAAGGGCTATGCCAAGTGACAACTGTGCACGATAACGATGGGGTAGACCCAAGTATGGTGAGAAAAAGTACAGATATGCACTACGTGAGACTGTATTGAATATGTTGATATTGTTATATTATATGGTTTCCCTCATGCCTCCGGCGCAATTATCTCAAACAATGATCGAAAATCAAATATCCAACTGCATACCCATCCAAAATGCCCGCGCTAAAGACATTTCCCTCCAACCCAGCGAACGAGATGCAAACGCCCTCAAGACTTAATGTCATTCAAACTCCACAATGCGCGCTGAATTATGCAACAAAGCGCGATACAAAAAGAAAAGCGAAGGAATAACCAACAAGAGAAGATCAGAAAACCGGATACAGCAAAGGTTACCAAACCCATACGCCACGAGATGCCCATATCACCAGGAAGGAAAGACCCTCATCACATAAAACTCATCTTGACCTCCTTCTCCTGTCCAAAGTCATCATCAAATTCATCAGCCCAAGCATTATGACCCAAATCCCCCGACGATGCACCCGCATTACTCGCGTACGATTCCGTTTTAGCAGATCTCAAGGGCGGACGTTCAGCAGGCGTAGGGTCATCCCAAGAAGGCTGTGCATCGGGGTTCCAAGGCGCAGCAGATCCGTTTTTACTAGGTGTCGTGGAGTCCCAGGGCGAGGAGGTGCCGGAGCGATTTGGATGCGCGGGTAGAGGTGACAGAGGTAACGGGGATTTATTGTTGGGGGTCGAGGTAGATGTTGGTGGATCGCGGAAAGAAGTGTCGAATGTCATTTCCATTTGACCTGCGCCGGGATCATCGAATTCGTCGTATTCTTCGTAACGGCCATTTGAAGGGGAAGAAGAAGTCGTCTTTTTGGGATCTGTGCTTGATACGCCTAGACTGTCATTGTAACTCTTCGTCTCTCTCAGCGTAGAGTACGGACTTGTTTGTGATGGCGATACAGTTGCGATGTCGATTTTCATAGGCGGCAGCGTGCTTTTGATTTCTTTGATTTCGAATTCAGCTTCGGCGTTGTATTCCTTGCTTTCTGCAGCCAAGGTGGCTACCTCCTTTCTGATTGCGTCGATGTCGAACATGACCTGGTTTTCCGCTAGTTTCGCTGGATCTTGGTCTTGGTCCAGCTTCCGGTGGCCTGGTGGAGCGGCATTGGAGTTTTCATCATAGACCTCCCAGTCCTTCTTGTCCTTCTTCTTCTTCGACCACCAGCTCAATTTGCTACCCCTTTTCTCTTTCTCTTGCGCTTTCTTCTCCAATTCTCTTCGTGCTTCCTCGATCTCATTGATAAGTTCGCGTTGGCGTACGTCGTGATTCTCAGGGTCTGGGTCCTCGATCTCGGCGAACTCATCGGATTCTACTAACCAGCCGACTTCGCGGAGTAGCTTGGGCATGGCAGCACGGTAGGCCATGTGACCAGGGACCAGTTCGGTTACGTTAACGTTTTCGATGGTCGGGATCTGGACGGGTGCTAGACCAGCTACGCGCATTACTCCACCACTTGTTGCACGGAACAGATAGCCTAAACACAGTGTCAGTAGTAGACAAAGGGTAGAAGTGTGCATGACGTACCCAAGATCCAGTCATTGGTAGCATACCCATTGACAAACCTTCCAGGCACGACTGATCTTGCCCTAATGTACTCGTCATGCTTGGCTACTGCTGGTGTACCAAACATATAGACATTCTGCACTATGCCGAATGCCCCACGATTTGCAAGTTCCTTCAAACATGAGAAGATGACTCTTGACCCCAAGGAGAAACCGACAAGAGTGACAGGCCTTGTCCCTAGGTTGCGATCGATGAGGGAGTCTGCAAGGATCAATCCGGCCATGTCTGCTCGTGCTTGCGAAACGATCCAAGGGTTGTCAATCAGGTAAGAGAGCTTAGTCAAAGCCAGAGGAAGCGTCATAGCGGCCATGAGGGCTGTGAGGATGGTACTTCCCAAAACTTGTTGGAGACCTTGTGTGAGAGCCTAGTATGGTTAGTAAACACCTTGCTAGTTTGAACATGAAAAACTCACTTCGGTGGCAAGAATATTGATGGTGTCACCCATGCTCCTCAGCATCTCAGGTTCCCATAGTACGGAATATATGTCGCCCATGATGGGATCCACAGTACTGTACGGTAAGCGGACATCGTCCACTTTGCCGTTCATCCAGCCCGCCAACGTGATGATGAGATGAGTCCTTTTGTTGTTATGGAGCGGTCGGTACTCGAACGTCTTGACAGCACCTGTGCGTCTGTTCATGGCTCGTACACCAACAGTACTACCCGTGACTACACCAGTCGACGTAATGATGGCGGCACCTCCAGCACCTGCCAGGAAACTACTTGTGCCTGCTACGCCTATAGTCGTGAAACCCGCGGCGAGACCGGCGCCAATGACTGGAGCGAGTAGGCCAGCGGATAAGCCAATAACGAGACCACCACCGACAGTCGCAAGACCCATAAATGCCAATCGCTTGTTGCGTGCCCGCTTAGCTCGGTTGACCATATGTTCATCTTCGTTCCAGTTCTCCTTGTCTGCCTGCTCTTGCATCTCCAAAGCATCCGTGACACGCTTCTCGAAGCGGCAGCTTTCCAGCCAGTCTACACTGAGATACTTTCCGACCTGCTCAAATAGCTCTCTTGAGCGTGAATCATAAACAGAGTCGGCAATGAGGACTAAAAACAGGTCGCATAAGACGGTCCACCGCAAATCGATGTCTAGGTTTTTGCTGGTGGGAAGTTGTGATGGTGATCTGACGTCTGGGTAATCGAAATCGTCGTCCTGATGTTCTTGGTACGGTGGAGGGGGCGGTGTTTGTAGGTCGTCTTGCGATTCTGTCGTCGATGCCCTCTTCGGTTTTGAATCTTTAACTAGTGAACCAGGGCGCGGCGATGATATAGACGGCCTGGCAGAGTCCGACTCATTTACCGTCTCCACCTCTTCTGCTGCCGGATTCTTTACTCGAGCATTCTGCATTAGTGCTGGCGTAAGATCTGCGGGGACCACGCCATGTTCAGACAGTTGCTCGATCATGATTTGCTCAGAAGCATTAATATCCATGTGCCCATAAATCTTGACCATGATTTTCTGTGACCACATCTTTGTTGTTCCTGACTGTAGCTCGAGTAGCTTCTTCATTTTCCTGTTGGTCGTCTCGAATTCTGAAAACTTGCGTTCCATTTCTACCATGGCCAAACGTACCAATCCAACATATGCGACACGCTGTCCTTCGGTAAGGAGGTTCTTTGTCGCCTGCATTTGCGAGAGCGGATCACGACCCTCCTCGTCCTCGTCGGCCAGGGCAGTACTCCTCTCCTTGAACAGGTACGCGGTGTTGTCGTCCATGCTCGTTTGCGAGTCAGCATCATCATCCATGATGACTCTTGTATATCCTTTGGCAGCGCCTCCGACGTTGCCATAGCCATGCATGTCTTCTAGTTCTTCCGTGTTCTCCTTCGCAATGAGCCTGTTGTCGTCGTCGTACATGTCGTATCGAGCGTATGCTGGCATCGTCTGCCATTCGCCGTCGTCCTCTTCCTTCTTCTCTTCCTTGACATCTGTTTGCGACTGCATGACTGCATGCTGATGTGAATACTCGGATACGGTCGGGACGCTCGTTTGGCGGCGGTGAGGAGGTGCTATACTTGTGCTCGTGGACGTTTCGGTGGTCTCGGAAGGTCGTGTAGCCTCGGGTGTATCTTGCTTCGTTTCTACTGGCTTGTCTTTAGGTGCCTTTGGGTCGGCTGTATCCATGGGCTCCTTCACCTGCCCATTGACTTGTGGGAGCGCATCGCTTTCCTTCTCAGTGCCTTCAGATGCGACCTCTGAAAGCTTCCCCTCTGTATTCTCTGCCTTGACTTGTCCCTCTTCCGCGACCTTGTCTGGACTGGTGGCTGTGGAAGCTACGGCATCCTCAAACTTCTCCCCTTCCGAGTCGGAACTGTCCTCCACCGGCGTCCGTGGCCTTCGCTTCCTTACGGGCAGACCAAAATCATCATATTCGACCGCCTCGTTAGGTTCCTTCTTCACGTCCGCAGTTTCGGCATTATTTCCCTCATTCTTGGGGGCCTCGGCGGGGTTCTCGCTCATTCTGGTGGGGACTACCGTGAGAAACGCATGGAGAGGGCAAGTTCGCAGTCGTGTCAAAAAGAAGAGCGCAGGGAGCCGCCGTATGAAATAGTTCACGTATATGTCCGAGTATGTACAAGTACGCGTGCAATGCCCAGAGGCGGATTTACCAAAGCGGAGAGCAACGGGGGTGTCGCTACAAGCCGCAGACGTCGGATACTAAGTTAGCGTGGCACGCGTGGCTGGTGCACGCTAGGTTCCGCAGTCTGGTTCGAACTTTTGGCCGCAACGAACTTTTTTCCCCGCGAACAATCAACTGCTCCTAAGCACAAAGTCACAATGAAGTTAAAGCGCGCAAAGGTAATCGATAGCATCCTATCGCAAGCACCCGAATAATTCGCTTACTGTAAGCCAGGCGTACAAGAAGCAGCTCCATCAATACGAACTCAACTTCGGCTTCCGCGAACCTTATCAAGTCCTACTTGATTCACAGATCCTCGAAGATGCTTACACCTGCAAAATCGATCTCCTCGCGCGACTTCAGAAGATGCTCGGCGGGCAGGTAAAGCCCATGATCACGACATGCGACATGCGACACCTCTACAACGCGAAGCCGAAAAACGAGACGCTCATATTACAAGCCAAGGAGTACGAGCGCCGGCGATGTAATCATCAAGACTTGGAGGAGCCGCTGAGTACACTAGAGTGTTTGAGCTCAGTAGTGGACCCCAAGGACAATGCGACGAACAAGCATCGATATGTGGTTGCTGCCAACGACCCGAGCACGCGCGCGAAGATGCGACAAATCGCTGGCGTACCGATCATATATCTATCCAAATCTATAGTCCTCATGGAATCTATGGCTGATGCGACAGAGCAACACCGAGAGCGAGAGGAAAAGTCAAAGTTCAAGTTGGGGCTCAAAGGGCAGCGGAAGCCAGAGGCGACACCAAAGAGGAAAAGAGAAGATGAGGGACAAGCTGGAGAGGGTGGTCAATCTATTGGAGATCAGGCTACGGGAGATACGAGGCCCAAGGCGAAGAAACGCAAGGGCCCCAAGGGACCTAATCCGCTGAGTGTCAAGAAGTCGACCAAGGACAAGACGGCCCAGTCTGGCGCTACCAAGAAGGCGCGACCGTCCGCATCAGAGACTGACGGCGACAAACAGAGGGGCGAACGCGAAGAATCTGCGCCTCGTAAGAGGAGAAGGAAGCACAAGTCCAAAGCTGACGGTGGCGGCGATGCACCGGATGGAGGAGAGCCTGCAGAGCCAGCTTCGCCATGATAGTCGGCACAAGATATAGGTCCAAGTGTGGACCAACATGCGATACCCGAAATACTGGACAGTGTCAGGTCTGAGAGTCGAAATCGATGGGGCGCAACCTACCCCGGTTGTATGCCATTCATATTACAAGATAATTAGGGGGAGTCGCGGCGACGGAAAACATGTGCCATGAAAGCATTTATACTCTCTTGCCTTGTGCAAGGAGGTCAGAGACCTTGGGCGGAAGGATGAGCGCACTGCGATCGTTGCGCTTCACAAACTCGACCACGACTTCAGCAGTCTTTTCAGGAAGGTCTTCGTGGAGGAAATGCCCAGCGGCGGGAAAGACTTGGAGTTGAAATTTGCCTGTACTGCATTAGATACCTCACAAAAGCGACAATTTAGTAGACATACCCTGCATCTGCCCAATCATCAATTCCTTGTCCAGTCTGTCGGTTCCAGCGAGCAGCAATAATTTGGCTCCCTTTCCACTGAGGAACTTGCCGCTCATACCAGTGAACCAATTCTCCCAGTATGGCTCGGTGCTCGCGAGCTCTGTCCGCCACGCCCAGCGCCCATCTGGATTTTGTAGCAACAGGCTCGGTACGCTTGCTCTCGCTGACTGTGGGTTGCGTATCGTTCGTGATCGGATGTGCCACTCAATAGCAGCAGGAAGCGAAGGGAACGACTTGGGCCTACTCGCAAGGTAAGTATGCATATGTCCCAGTGTCTCCATGGCTGAGCCCTCGACTACATCAAGCACTCCAAAGCCCAGTAGCTTGTTTCCTAGTAAGCCCTTGTTGGCCACATCGGTGACGACTGCACCGCCCAGACTGTGTCCTATCAGGACAACCTGGGGGAGTTCTTCCCAACTCATCTTGCTCTGGGTGAGCGACAGCATGTCGACTAGATCTTTACTGAGCTGCCCAATGCTCAGATCATTGTCCACCTCCCCACTAGCGTTCCAGACAACACTTCCGTGGTCGCGTGCTTCGACAGCCAGTATTCCGATTTCTGGCATGGCCCTGCGAATCTCCTTGGCTGCCAGCGCAAAGGTCATTGCTGAGCTTCCGGCGCCATGGTGGAGCACTACCAAGGGTGCCTTCGCCGTCGCTGGCGGTGTGAGGTATACGTGAAACTTGGCATGTCCTGACCTATCCTTGTGCTGTTCAAGATAGAATTCTTGGGCATAGTAGTCGGACCAATGTATTGCGGGGGCGGGTCTTAGTGTATTTGACGGTCTGACAGTACCGGTGCTAGACATTGACGATGCCGAGGACGAGTCATCTTCGTACTCGGGAGGCTCTTCCTGCAATGGCTCTGGTGGTGGCAGGGAAGAAAGTTTGGTCTTTGCGAACTCTCTAGCCAAGCTGGACATGGTGTGTGGCTTGGACGAGGCTGTTTGAGTCGAAAATCAGGGTTTGGTGAAGCGTGGAGATCCGCACATCGGTGATTGGACAGCTAGCGTGTCTTCAGCGTTCCAACATGTCGTGGCCTGGAGGCGTGAGGGGAATTGATACGGGTGGGGTTCTATCTGATAGACGGCAGGGATAAACGCCAATGTCTTAACGAAGAGCCGTTAGAGGCAGCAAGAGATGCATCGCGAACCCCGTTTCGCAATCCAATGACGCAGCGGCGTTGGATGACAGTGAGATACGCCACGAGGCTGGGCGTACCGTGGAGATGGTTGGCAAGTGTAGGGATCGCTTGGAGGTTTCCGCGCGGCGATCTAGGCTTCTGATGTGCCGCTAGTCAGTTGTGAACCTGGATCAATGTGATGATGACGTCGGTCGATCTTTGTCTTAGCGTCCCAGCCGTGAGTAAAACATCGACGCCTCCCGGTCGCATTCTAAACGTTTCACGAGCTTTCAAGAGCTCTTATTATCCCAAAACTTTGTAGAGACCTCTGCAGAGCCTTACATATCGGTAGAAACTGATATTGCCCGCCTGAACTACTATACCGCCAGTGTTTGTAGCTCAAGAAGAGCTCCGAATGTCCAGCATGTGGAGCGGAAAAGACAATGGAGACCAGGACGGCCTGAGGGCGGAAGAACCACACCCAATTCCCAACGACGATGGAGCGTCGAGGTCGTCCAGGAGAAGCCATCAACCGTCGAGAAGAAGCGAAGAGCCGACTGAGAGGACCCGGCTTCTCGACCGTCCCAGGCCACCACCCACCTCCGATGGCTACCTTGACCCAGATGATCCAGCTGTATGTTTTCCAGTCTTTGTGTAGAAAGTCCATCTAACAGTTCCAGGTGTCTCCATACAACCTCTGGACCGTTCGCGCTATGCGCTACCTGACCATACTCTTCCTCGTAATCACCTTCTTGTGGTGGGTACTTTTGTTAGTGTCCATCTTCGTCTCCCCTCCTGGCTTACACACCCGTGGATCGGGCTTCTTCGACTTCGCCTACACATGTCTCACCCTCGGCAATCTCCTCGTCGCAACCATCTTCTTCGTTACTCCTGCCAGAGGTCTCCGTATCACCACAGCAATCATCGCCGGACTCCTGGCTATTGACATGATCCTTATCTTGGCAGTACCTCGCATCAGGCTTGAGGAAGGCTGGGTCGGTATCGCAAGTGTTGTCTGGGCTTTCGTCATGGCTGTGTGGTGCATCCTGACCGATCGTGTCGTCGCATACGGCAAACACGAAGAAGAGGAACGTCTTACTGGCCGAGCCGAGACACGCCGCACACTGAAGGAATGGCTTGCTGTTACAGTCGCTACGATTCTCACAGTCATCTTCATCGTTATTGTCATCTTGATGACTGGAACTCTCGGCATGCGTGCCCGCGATGCCACACTCAAAATGTATGGTGACCGTATCCTCGTAGATGGCGACAAGTACGCCGTGCATCTTGCCTGTGTCGGAAACGCCTCCGAAACCAGCGGTTCCAAGGACCCTACCATCCTCCTCGAGGCCGGCGAATCGCCACTGGAGTATGACTTTGAGCACTGGGCTTACGCAGCCTACAAGAACGGTACTATCTCCCGCTACTGTTACTGGGATCGCCCTGGTTATGCCTTCTCCGACAACGCACCCTCCCCACACTCGGCCGGCATGTCTGCGGACGTTTTCTCAGAAGCTCTCGCCAAGTCTGGAGAGGAAGGACCTTGGATTCTCGTATCCGCTGGTACTGGCAGCATCGTCTCTCGAATCTTCAGCTCGCGTCATATGAAGCAGGTCGTTGGTCTCATGATGATCGATCCCCTCCACGAGGACCTTCTTCACCGTTACGGCGGCGCAGGACGTGGTTTCATCCTCTGGGCGTGGGGCATCATCTCACCTCTCGGTACCGTCCGTCTTGCAGGCGCACTCTTCAAGGGCCGCACCCGTGAAGACCGTGTCTACGGTCGCAATGCATACCAATCGGGCAAATATATCAAGGCGCAACTTCAAGAGAACCTCGTTGCTGACAGCCTCACCAAGAACGAGGTTTCGTCTGCTAGGAACATTCAGTCCGCCAACACCCCGCTTGTCGTCGTTTCCAGTGGCATCGAAGTCAGGAGGGACAGCGAGTGGGAGCGAAAGCAGAAGGATCTGACTACTCTTACGGACAACCTCGTCAGCTGGGATGTCGTCAACAAGGCGCCTCATCAGGTATGGGACACGCTCGAGGGACGTACCGTCATGGAGAAGCGTCTCAAGCAGCTTGTCAAGGCTGCGGCCAAGGTTAAGAGCGAGACGGATGATGAGCAGTAGGAGCATCTATCTGCAATGAAAAGCATGCTTCATGACACGGTGGACGGGCCACTACGTAGCAGCGATGCAGTTTGGGAAAACTCGTCTCTTTTCAAAGTTGACCTTCGGTTCTTGTTATAAGTTTTCCTTCGCATACCCTACGGCGTTGCATGTTTCGGCTTTTGTTTTCCTTCACGTAGCACCAGCACATACTAGTCTAATGTCTAAGACCATGTTCGATGACTTATGTTATACACATCTCCACAAATGCCGTGTGAAGCTACATGAGTTGTACAAGAAATCCCCTTCACCTCCGTCTAAACTTTGACTTCCCAATGACCGGTCTTTTAACCACCCCATCGACATCCGCATCCTTCTTCTTCACCACGCCTGCTTTCTTAACCACAGGTCCATTCTCCTCCTCAGCAATCCTTCGATCCTCATTCGCCTTGTCAACGGCCATCTGCGCCTCCAACTCAGCCTTTCTGTTGAACTCGGTTTCCATAATACGCTTATCTCTCGCAGAGTACCCCTTCTCCTTGATACTGTAAAACACAGCGCCCAGATCCGCCAACCAGTGTGGATCCACAGAAGTAACACACGACATGTACTCTTTGCTCGTAAGAATAAGTTCATGGTACACGACGTAATCGGGCAAGTAGCCTAAACCGTAGAGCGCAGAAGTAGGATGGAGTTGGATGGTAACGCTAGTACGGAGGTTGATGTACTCGCCTATACCCTTGACCTTGGCAGCTTGGTGGTAGTAGCCCGAGCAAATGCATTTACGGATCACGTCCCAGTCGGTACCGCAGGAGACGAGCTTCATCTTCTGCTTGGACATGATGTCGTAGATTTGGTCGCGGATTTCTTTCGCACGACGAAGCGCTTTTGGATGCAAGAAATGGCGGACACACCAGCCATCGGAGTAGCCGTTGACTTTCCACTGCGTATAGACGTGGAGCAGGGTAAGGTGATCAGATTCCGGAACGAAGAACTTTTCGCGCGCGGCGTCTGATTCTTCCTGGCGTTCTTTGGGTCGGTAGAAAACGGAGGGGACGGAGAGCATGGCGACGATAGTGAGCATTTCTTCGCTGCATTCGTATTCCGTGGCCGTGATGATGAGTTTGGCGAGGGAAGGGTCCATGGGGAAAGCCGTCATGGTGCGGCCGAGATCGGTGAGGTTGCCGATGTTGTCTAGGGCACCGAGGGCCCAGAGGTCGAACAGAGAGGTTGTTATGGTGTCTTGGGGTGGCGGGTCCATGAAGTCAAAGTCGAGTAAGTCGCGGACGCCGAGGGATTTCAGTAGGAGGACTGTGTTGGCGAGATTTGTTCGCTGGATTTCTGGAATGGTTTGGATGTAGAATTCGTCTCGGAAGGCTCGCTCTGTGTATAGATGGAAACACTTTCCTGGTCCGGTACGGCCAGCACGACCAGCACGTTGGGAGGCGTTAGCCTGCGAAATAGGTGTAATCTGAAGTGTGTCCATGCCCATCTTCGGGTTGTAAACTTTGAGCTTGGAAAACCCAGCGTCCACCACATACATGATGCCGTCCACTGTCAAACTAGTTTCTGCAATGTTGGTGGCCACGATGACCTTGCGTACGCCTGGTGCTGCTCTGTCGAAGATCTTTGCTTGCAGGTCGGCAGGCATCTGACTATAAATGGGAAGAATACTGAGTTTTGGCGGGTCGTTGAGAAGTTTAAGCCTTTCGGCTACAAGCTCACATGTGATTTCAATATCCTCCTGACCTGTCATGAAGACTAGAATGTCGCCAGGTCCTTGGGAGACATGTATAGCGAGGACCTGTTTGACTGCACTGTCGACATAGTCCTCGCATGGCGATCGCGAGTATTGGATGTCAACAGGGAACGTTCGCCCTGGAATTATGAACTCTGGGGCTCCTCCGTAGAAGCGTGAGAATCGTTCTGAGTTCATGGTGGCTGATGTGACAATCAATTTCAGATCTCGTCTCCGTGCCAGCACCTTCTTGAGGAGACCCATGAGCACATCGGTGTTCAAAGCTCTCTCGTGGGCCTCGTCCATGATGATGCAGGAGTATTTGTCCAGGTCTGGTTCTACCAACGACTCTCGGAGCAACACACCATCAGTCATGTATTTGATCTTAGTTTCCTTGCTAGTGCAGTCCTCGAAACGGATGGCATATCCAACCTGACCACCCAGCTTCACCTCCATCTCTTCACTCACGCGTTTTGCAACACTCATAGCTGCAACACGACGAGGTTGTGTACACCCAATAAGTCCTTGCTTGGCATAGCCATCCTCAAAAAGGAACTGAGTCAGTTGGGTCGTCTTTCCAGAGCCCGTCTGACCGACGACGATGACGACTTGATTGTCTCGAATCACGCGCAGGAGGTCTTCTCGAACTGCAAAGGCCGGAAGGTATTGTCTCTGCTCTCTGAGTGTCTTGCTCTTACTGAAAGCACTTGCGCCTTCTTGTTTGCTGAGATGCTGAGCAAACTTGCTGCCGCCCTGTTTCTGCTCGTCTTCGGGGCCTGGGGCAGCACTATCCGTGTCCTCCTCCTTGACGCCCATGATGTTTCCCAATGTAGTTCCCTTGGCGCTGGTGGCTTCTTGCGTCTGTTTAGCCCGTTCTTTCTGCTGCCTTTTCTCCTTGACAACACGACTGCCACGCCGACTGAAGACAGCCATATCGCTCTGTGGGTCGCGTACGGCAGGAACAGGGTCGATCTGCTTGGTGAAAACAGTCTTTCCGTCGAGAAAGGGCGGTTTGAGGTCGTGAACAAGAATATGCACACGCATGGCATCTTCCTCGTCGTCGAAGTCATCGTCAAAGGTTCTTCTTTGGGCGACTCCAGACTGCAGCATCCGATTCGTCTCCCACGCGTCTACGTCCTTCTGCTTCTGTTGCGCCCGCATGCTTGCTCGGTTGTTTTGTTTCTTTTCGGTCAGCGCAGCCTCGCGTTGCGCATCCAGCCATGTGCTCTCAGCGCCGCCGAATGGGTTGTGAGTGTCGTCTCCGAACGTGTGCCCGTTCTCCTCGCCGCCATACCAGTCGCGATCCAGCGCCATGGAATCAAAGTCGTCCACCAGCGGCTCGGGCCCATCGAAAGACTTCTGCGATGGGGTTGCGCCATTGTCCTGCAACTTGGGTGTATGCGCTCGGGAAGATGCAGCGTGGTTCGGCTTGCGGAACTTTGGACGGGGCGCGATGGAGTACTCTTCGGGGTCGAGCTTGCGCCGCTTCGGGCTATGTCCGCGTTCCATGGTGGGCTGTAGAGGAGCAGGTGGCGTCGCGTGTTGTCGTGGTTGGAAAGTTTAACATGTCGCGAAAGATGATGCTCGGGGGTCCGCAGTATCGATAGGCAGGGCAGGAGCTTCGGCCAATCGTTGCGGGGCGCCCAAAATTATTTCCAACTTTTGAAAAAGTTCCCCACGCGACTTGAACCTGCGCTCTTACGGCGCAATTTACTTGTCAACACCAGCGCAATGTCTATGATAACGGCCACAACATGGGTGCCGCGCGGCTTCGCGGCGCCCTTTCCCTCACGATACCAATTTGACGAGGACGAGTACGAGCGGATATCCAAGCTTGCTAACCTGCAACTCGAGGACGCCAAGGAGGATCTCGAAGAGGCGCAGGCTGAGGAAAAGAGCAAGAGCAACGGCACTTCATCCAAGGCCTCCAAAAAGGACGACGAGTGTGTGCGCCCAGCTTGTCTGTTTTGCCACTGCTAACTGCTGCCAAGGGACGATGATGACGACCTCAAAGAATACGATCTCGAGCACTACGACGACGATGTTGCTGAAGACCATGGTGATACTATGGCCATGTTCGGAAACGCGAAGAACCTCGTCTTCCACGAGAATGACGAGGATGATCCGTACATCACCATGCAAGGCGGAGAGGAAGAGGACGAAGAAGATCGTGAGGAGCTTCAAATCTTGGCTACGGACAACCTAGTTCTGGCTGGTCGCATAGAAGACGAAGTCGCCCATCTCGAAGTCTACGTATACGAGGACGAGGACGACAATCTCTATGTGCACCACGACATTATGCTGCCTGCGATTCCGCTTGCCGTCGAATGGTTAGATCTGCCTGTGGGCAAGTCGATAGGCACAAGTGAAGGCAGGGGCAACTACGTGGCGATTGGAACCATGGATCCTGATATTGAGATCTGGAATCTGGATGTCGTCGACAGCATGTACCCAGACGCAGTGCTTGGACAAGGCGCCGAGGATGCAAAGATGGACAAGCCCAAAAAGAAGAAGAAGAAGTCAAAGAAGGCCAACGACGAGTTCCATGTCGACTCGGTCCTCTCACTTGCAGCGAACCGACAACACCGAAATTTCCTCGCTTCATCATCCGCCGACAAGACCATCAAGTTGTGGGACCTGAACACGACAAAATGCGCCAAGTCATACACGTACCACACGGATAAGGTCTGCTCCGTTGCCTGGCATCCCGTCGAAGCCACTGCGCTGCTCAGTGGTAGCTACGACAGGACTGTCGTGGCAGCCGACGTGCGTGCACCCGACGCAAAAGCGCCACGATGGGGTGTCGAGAGTGATGTCGAGACTGTGCGGTGGAATCCTCACGACCCGAACTACTTCTACGTAAGTGTTGCAGCACAAACTTGAATCACGTCGTACTAACAACCCCAGGTCTCTACCGAGAATGGTATGATACACTACCACGACGTTCGCAATGCGCCAAAAGACCCCTCTGCCTCGAAGCCGGTATGGGTGCTACAAGCACATGACGAATCCATCTCTTCGTTCGACATAAACCCAGTCATACCCGGCTACCTGGTCACAGGCTCAACAGACAAGCAAGTCAAGCTCTGGAACATTCAAGACAATGGACCGAGCATGGTCGTATCGCGAGACCTGGGTGTTGGGCGGGTCTTCTCAACATCCTTTGCACCTGATAAAGAAGTCGGTTTCCGACTGGCCATCGCTGGAAGCAAAGGTGCAGTACAGATCTGGGACACAAGCACGAACGCAGCCGTGCGTGCAGCTTTCGCGAACAAGGTGCCGGCAATTAGAGGGGATGGCAAGGAGAGACTCGTGGGTCTTGAGGAGCAGGACACAGACTCAGACACCGAAGAGGGCGAAAGCGACGACGAAGGTGCCGAAAATGGTGACGAGAAGGGGTGGGAGTCGATGGAGGAGTAGACGATGATACCCTGGGCATATAGGACCTACAAAACGTGGCGAATGTACCAAGATCTGATACCATTTGTACCATGACCTACATCTTGCACAATCAAGCAATTTGTGAAGCTTGACCCCGCAACGGTCGAGAAACCCATGTAAAGTCATGTTTCGCAGAGTCGCAATCGCGAGTCATGTCCCGCACGCGTTTCAAAAATTGCCCGACGACCTGGACAGCTCGCCCTTGCTTTTCAGCTCCTTTCATCTCATCTGAATCGGGTAGCCTCATTGTGTGGCAGCGCGATTCATAGTTGAACATCGTAGTGACATCACCATCACCAAGAGCAACGGTAAATGATAAACCCAAATTCGTTTTCTGTGCCAGTGCCCGAGCGTGACGAAGCAAAGTGAACCAGCGGGCGAACTCACACCACACATCCGACAAGCGACCGGCTGATCTACCTTCGTTTGCAGCTTAGGAACTGGCCGGGCACCAACATCTCCGCAAAGTGGACCCGACGACGACGCTGCCTTTGGTCTCGATCTCGAGAGACGGCGGCCCAAATCGTCATTGCTAGGTTCCCCCGTCTCGGCCCTTCACAGTTTCGAAACCACCAAGGCCACGCAAGGCAGAAAGGTCAAAACCATCGGACCCTTTTGATGATGTCTAAGGATAGCAGGCCGACATCCTCGGAGTATGCAAGACAGCTGTTCATTCGTGCGTTTGTAAGGTACAATCGTGGCACCGAGTGAGCGGCCTGCCTTTGGCGCCTCTGCACAAGGTTTTAGAGTGCCAGGTGACCGGATTAGGAGCGGGTTGACAGATATGCCTTCACCAACGCAACCACGGTACCGTTTTCGCTCGCGTCGGAGCTTATCCATATGGCATGCTATGCGTGAGCTGTCGAGGCAGAATGACAGCTGTGCCGCCGACCCCCGATTGCAATTATTATCCACCTATCCGCCATTCATCTGAATCATCTCACATTGTCAATGCCGTGTGACAGGAAAGGGAAAGCCCTTCATTCAGCTCGGTAGTGGATCTCTGCTTGTGGGAAGCGTTGAAACAGCGGGCCTTTGGAACCCCAACGAAAGCGTGCGGATCAACTAAACAGGCCAACGAGCCCCGGCTCAATCTGAGACGCATGGGCGGCAGACGCCCTCTCTGCGAGGCAACCCCATTCGTCAGCTATAGAAAACATATCACCCACTAAACTTAGCCAGGCTGTGTCGACGCCACTAACTCAGCATCCCAGGACCCAATACACTCTGATTTGCTGCTTTTTACTTGGTTCTGGCGTTCCCCCCGGTCACTCCTACCAATCTTCGAGAGACATGTCGACGCGGCTTGGTTAGCCTGCCGCCCCGGGGATGCTGGTTTTTCAACCCATTGAGTCGCTCTATCGCGCGCCCTCTTCTTCAGGCTTCCTCCCTTCCTTTGCCTTACGCGCTCATTGCCTTCCACAGCAGCTATCATTCCCTCATTTCGCGGCCCGGTGTTCGCTCCTTACGACACAGCTGGTCTCTACGCTCTTTGACAGACTATCCTTCTTCATACCCACCATTCATTCTTCACTTCATCGCTAAACGCTGCAAAGCCAACATTAAGAAACCCGGAAACATCATCAAAGGACCCAAGGACTCGATCGGATCCGTGGAACCAACTGCACCGGACACTCGAGCCAACATTTTAGCGGCATCTGCACCACAGATACGACTCCAAAATCCAGTGCATTATTACACTGATAAGGTCACGCGGCTCAAAAATATCACCGAAACCACAGTGTGATCCTTTCCAGATCCTTTCTAGAACAACGCAACAAAGGCACTAGTGCAACTCTAGCTCTCGACTGTTTGGATCTCGTGCCAGCACCAAGCGCACTCTATCTCCGGCAGTACCCCGCCTATCTGCAGCTCACCTAAGTAGCGACCAACTACAGTCACCGCCAGAATTACCGGCCCCAGAACCGACAGCTGGACCCTTATTTGCAATATCGCCCATCTACTTCGAATTAATCCATCAATATGTCTCTCGCTCGTGCCATGACCAGGCGCATTAAGCGGACTGACGACCCGAAGGAATCCCCGGTGTCACCAACTCGGAGCCAGAGTGTCAAAACTCCTAACAACTTTGACCGCACAAAGATATCCCTTCCAATCGCCCTGGTATCGACCACCAACATGCTTTCGTACAATGCTCCTGACATCTCGAGCCTAAGGAATGTCTCATCATCAACCTCCTTGAGCCACTCTTCGGCAGACGACTCGGACCACAGTGTGTCAACACGCTCTCGGGCCTCTTCGCATGGATCAAGGGACACTACCCTTACCGATGCCTCTTCTGTAGAGTCTTCACCCATCTCGCCTACACCCAACCACCTCACTGGCTACTTTTCATCCGCTGGCAAGCAACTTAAGAAGTCTGCCTCAACCACCAGTCTCAAGCAAGTCAAAGAGGAGCCTGTAGAGGCTGTGCCTGCTATTCCTCAGAGGGCTCTATCGCACAGCAAACGCGCACACGAGCGACTGGCGCACAAGCGATCCCTTCAGAACGTCAGTACTCGTGGCAGCGTGAACTCGCGTGGAAGTGTCAGTTCTGCACGCCACTCCCGCGAGCAGCGGTCATCTCTCGACATGTTCAAGGGCACGATTGAGGAGGAGAGTCACCCCTTTGGTCGCGAACTGGAACAACTGAACGAGGTTGTTGAGGAATTCGGTGGTGTAGTACGAGATGCAGAGTCCGAGACGGACCTTTCAATTATGCGCTCAAAGAACCTTGCGGCTTTCTGTGCTGCCGATTATCTCTCGGAGATTCGACCACTTTTCAGTCATCGGTTCGGCGTACCACACCAAGCTCCTCCCATGGCTTGGATTTGAGAAGTCTCTACTGTGCCTCCTGGACGGTCTCTTTCGCTCTCAGCTCTATACCTTAGACGATGTCTTACGCTCTCGCTTCCGTGTACATACTTACGGATTTTGATCCCACCACTCTTTGGTCTAATTCTAGTTTCTTTTTTGTCTCATATTTTATCTGCTGGCATGGTTGGAAGGGACGTAACACGGCGTTCCGGAATACCAGCCTCAGGCTTGGGCACTAATCCCACACTATC